GACAAGCCCAAACCTTAACACGCTTGTCGGTCATCGTCCATATCTGACTCATTGTACCCTTTTGATCAATCATACTTTCTCAGTGATTTCACCGGAACAACGCTCGCCTCTCGACATCATGTATTCATTTCGCGGTTGTCGCTGCTGATAAGGGTAATGGTCATTCTGAGGAGGGATGTCAAACAAGCCAAGCGAAAAAGCTGCGAAAAAACGAAGCACAAGGTTATTTAAATTTTCTTGTTATTTTGTACTTTTGTGAAATCAAAGTCGCTAAACCTCGCCAAACTTTGTTCGTGTTTCCCATTTTTTCCTACCTGTAATAGTGAGTATGACAAGTGCAAATAAAACATACAATCTGACGATATGAATCCAGAAATCATCGCTGCAAATTCCAGCTAAACTAATTGAATTTGAGATGACGCAATTTCAGCGATATCAAAATTTAGGCGGTTTTGAGCTAGACAAATAATTTCTCCCAATTTTAAGCATTAATCCGACCTTTTAGCTTGTCCTTAAAGCAACCTTGATGGGCTTCTTCAACACTTTTTTGTCAGCACTGCGCTTTAAAACGGACAAAGTATGAGAGAATGGTGCGATTCCTATAGAAGGCAATATTTGAAGGTTACTCCATGACAAAAAAAAAAAACCAAGGAAACCAAAAAGCAATCACTGGTTTGTAGATGCAGAACATATTAGTAACCAACATAACATATCCTGTAAGTATCTATAAATCTTTGTTATTGAAAATTGAATTTTGCTGGCGAGATCTTTGACTTGCTCTTTCGTATGCTGCAAAGGTCAATAATCAGACCACCACATATTTCAACACGCGCGATGCGTTCAATTATGAATTATCCTAGAGTACGCCGCGATGAGGGAAATGTCCTTGAATTCAAATCCAAGAAGAATGGCTTCGTCAGCGTTAAAGATCCGTATGCTTGGCTGGAAACGCCTCCGTCTCAGTCGAAAGAGAGTGCTGATTTTGTGGATGCACAAAACAAGCTCTTTGGCAACTACATGGAGGACGTGAGCTATAGGGACGAGTTTAAGGCTGCACTCACGGACAATATGAGCTATCCAAAGTTCAGCGCACCTTCAATAAAGAAGAATAAAATTGCATACTGGTCAGAGAACTCAGGCCTTATGCCCCACGCGGTCATCCGCTCCTCTAAAAACCTTGACAGTCGTGACAGCGACGTCTTCTTCGACCCAAATCAGCTTTCTGAAGATAAGTCGGCAAGTCTCGCGACGGCAGCATTCTCAAAAACCGCAAAGTACTTTGCATACGGTATTAGCCGCTCGGGAAGTGACTGGGTCACTCTTTATGTCCGCTCGGCATCGTCACCCTTCAATGAGCACAGTGGATCACATGAAACTGATCAGTCCAGATTCTCAGATGAAGTGAGATATGTCAAGTTCTCCAGCATCGGTTGGTTGGGAGATGAAGGCTTCTTTTACCAGCGGTACGACGTAGCAGAAGGCGCACACGGTGCTGCAAACGAAGACAAAGCCGGTCTCGAGACAGACGCGAATGAAAACGCTAAGTTGTACTTCCATAAAGTCAACACGCCTCAGTCTGAAGATGTATTGGTTCTCTCAGACTCACAAAACCCAACTCATATGTGGTCTGCTGGGACGACAGATGATAGTCGTTATGTAGTTCTCACAGTGTCTAAAGACACATCTAGACGCAACCTCTTGAAAGTTGCTGACTTGAAGGATCCCCAGAACGCTAAAATATCAGCGAATATGAAGTGGATTGATGTTGTTGGAGAGTTCAAGCATGAGTATAGTGTCATTGATAACGACGGATCAAAGCTTTATCTTCAAACAAACGAGATGGCTGATAATTTCAAAATTGTAACAGCAGACGTCTACGATTCATCAAGTATCGAGTGGAAGGACTTTATTGCTGAAGACAATGCTGCTGTTCTTACTGATGCCTCTGTCGTCAACAATGACAAGCTGGTGTTGGTTTATTTGAGAGATGTCAAAAGCGAGCTTATTGTGCACTCACTATCAGATGGGCGCTATCTCTACAGACTCTTCGACGACTTCACTGGTACCATAAATCAAGTTACCGGTGAATCTGATCAGTCGAAACTTTTCATTTCAACCACTAGCTACACAACACCTGGTACGGTGTTATCGTTTGACTTTGATAAACACGCGTCAAGCACCTTCCGTTCTACTGAAGTGCATGGGTTGAGCCCCACAGAGTTTATGACTGAGCAGCAATTTTATACTTCAAAAGACGGTACTAAAGTGCCAATATTTATAACTAGGCACAAAGACACACCAAAGAACGCACCGTTCTTTCTGTTTGGATATGGTGGTTTCTCGATTAGCGTTCTCCCATTTTTCTCACCTTCAGCGCTTACGTTCGTGAAGCATTTTAGGGCTGGTTTGGCCGTGGCAAACATTAGAGGTGGATCAGAATATGGAGAGAAGTGGCATAAGGATGGTATTTTGGATTTAAAGCAGAATGGCTTCTCAGACTTTTTATCCGCATCAGATTTCCTTGTGGATACTGGCTACGCTGGAAAGGGTTCTATCATCGTTAATGGTGGCAGCAACGGGGGTTTGCTCGCTGCTGTCGCTGCTCAGCAAGACTTGTCAAACAATATTGCCGTCTCTATTGTCGATGTGGGTGTCCTTGATATGCTTAAATTTCACAAATGGACCATCGGCAGAGCGTGGACATCAGATTATGGAAATCCTGACGACCCGTCTGATTTCGATCATCTGCACGCCTATTCACCTCTCCATAGATCTCAAGAAATCAAAGATAAGATATATCCAGCAATGCTGCTCACTTCGGCAGCCCACGACGATAGAGTTGTTAGCTGTCACACGACTAAGATGATCGCAGAGCTTCAGCATTCTCATATTGAGCAGGTGAAGTTGGCTAGAATAGAAACTAAGGCCGGCCACGGCGCGGGGAAGTCTACACAGATGAGAATCCTTGAGGCAACAGACAAGTACACGTGAGTAACATATTTAGTTGTCGTCATCAGCTAACATAAGATAGATTCGCAGCAAATGAGCTTGGTTTGAAATGGTTCAAGTAGATTTGCAATAAACTACAGTTGTGTAAATACCTAATTCATACACTATCGTTCGTCGCATTTGGAACATGTGCAGTTCTAGAGGGTTCAGGAACACTATATACTATAACTTCTTTGGGATGTCACTTAACTTGGCCATAGCTAATTTAAATTGCATAAATTGCCTACTTATCATTATCTACACCTCGGAATAGGCAGCTGACTCCATGTTCCTGAGTGCACCACACAGCCCATTGAAGACAATAAGACGGGTTTAAAACAGATGATATTTAATGAAAACCAACAATCAACATGAACGGTGCGTGCTTGCTTGATTTGCAATCAAGCATAGTAGCTCAAAAGCTCCTGCACTTTCAGAAAACTTCTTCATAGCCTTTAAGGATGGAGTGGGCTTTGATCAACTATTCAATGCCCACCAGGTAATGCTTTAGCGCGGTGAATAGCCAATTTGTCCAAAAAACCCCCACTGAATTTTCCCTAGGCGGATCGATACCCAAATTCTCAGCAAACATCAACGATTTGTGGATCGAAGCACTCGTTGAGGAGACGGTATTTTTAGACTTTGTCAAGAAGAACAAGTCGAGCATCTCAGTTGCCCGCAATATATGATTTGAGAGTTGAAGGGAAGTGATTATAGCTTGTCGGTCGTATACCACGTTTGATACATACCAAATAGTTGAAATAAAAGCTCTTTTTTGATTGATGAAGAAAGAGGTGATAAGTCCGTCTGTCACATTTCCCCACGATAGGTGTGTAACTGGATATCAAATGAAGAGAAAGCAGAAATGAGAAATGAGAAATAACAAAGCAGAAATAAAACACAGAAATATAGATATATCTCCAAATAACCTCGATATTGGTGACGTCCGGCGTCGGCTTCTTTGGAATTTATTGACAGACGGCAGATTATGTATGAGAAGGATATCAAGACAAATTGATACTCAGAAGTAAAATTATGATACTCATAAATGCACTGGACACCTGGATAACACCCTCTGTTAAAAGAACCCTCTTCTTTTGATAATCTGAAGAGGTGCTAAAGCTGTGAAGCACGTATTACTTAAATTCACAATCTTCGCAAACCCAGAAACGGTACATTTTAGTTTATCCTGTGAATATGCATGAAGCTGCAGAGATTTGGAATGCAAGGTTGCCCTTTTGACAGCTTAATTAATCAATCGTAAGCTGCTTGCAGCCTTACCGCCAACAAACACTTTCAAATGGCTTCTCCACAAGCCTACGACAATCCTGTTCTTGAAGGCCTGGCTTCAAATATTCCCGCGAATCTGGGGTGTTACAGTGGGTCAGAATGGGTGATGAGAAGATGAGAAGACAAGCTAAATGTATTTCAGTGATTGGATGCGTACTCAACCTTATTCTGATGGTGAGACAGACGCGTATTCGTTGTCTTGCTAACAAGTTATAGGCCATTCTTGGGATGCAAGGGCTTGATTATTACAGTGAGTGATACACGATCCTAACGACTCATTCTAACATCACGATAGAATTGTGAGTTATTGCTTTCACCCCCACCTCAACCTCTTAAATCACACAAAGCTTCCCCAACGAGTGGGTCATATTCACATGCCATTCTTCACGCTCACAATACTAAACAGCTCCACCCTCAACAAGAGCATAGTTGGATTTCTTATGGTGGCCGGGCTTTTCCAGAGTGCTTGTTTTTTCGAGATGCTCTGGACACCGCTAATCAGTGGCTTTGGTGATCTCAAAGTGTGGAACAACAGTTCATGGACATGGTGGAGCGAGCCAGTGAGTTGCAATTTGGGGTATTTGCAAATGTCTCACATCTTTAGGTGGTCTCCTCTATCATCTCCGTCGTCTGTCAGTCGTTCTTTTTGAACCGCTGCTGGAGAGTGACGCGGAGCTACATCGTTGTAGTGGTAGCCGTTACGGGTATGACGATAGCGCTCGCATTTGGTATCGCTTGTACCTATTTCCTATCGGAGTTCGTCCTCTTCACGGAGTCAAATCGTATCCAGAGCAAGATCTGTGCCAGTTCGTGGTTAGCGTTTTCCACTGCCACGGACATCTGGATATCACTTTTCCTCGTTATTCATCTGCTGCGCGAGCGTCGCAGACTCAATTTCAACAGCACAGAGATGATTCTCGGCTCTATACTCAACTTCACAATGAAGACTGCGGCTTTTACTTCGGTCTGGGTGACAATCAATCTAATCCTTTACGCGGGTGTCACACACAACTTCGCGTGGTCTATTTTTCAATTCAACTTTGGTAAGATCTACAGTATCTCAGTATTATACACACTCTTGTCGAGAATTGACGTGAGAAAGATACTATCTGTTCACAACGTGCAAGTCAGTTCGAGCAGGGGGAGATCGGGCGAGGCAGGCCAAGGACAGTCAGCAATACACATACGCACAGAGGTGGAGCGTGAGTATGAGATGGACGATAAGCTTTCTGCGACTGTTTCTCCGGGGCTTGACAGGGCACCGTCGGCCGACACGGAATTGGGGGTGAGCCATAAAGGCGCAGGTCTCCAAGATAGTATTGTGGACGACGATCGCTCTACTAGGGCGTTGCGTTTCAATGGTAATTCATATTAATGTATCAATGTAGCTCTTAGGTAATATATCCAAGTTTTCCATTTTTAGTGGTAACAATGACTACGCTACCAAATTCGAGTGTCTTCCAGAGCGAGAGAACAGATAATATACACGATGTGCCAATGAGGGTGATTAACAGGCCTTTTCCACCAGAACTAGACGAAGTGAAAGTCGAGAAGTTTATCCAAGACTATCAAAAAGGCGATGTGTTTACTCCGATTGAGATTTGGAGAGCTAAAAATGACCAAGGACAGTCATATTACTTTAGCTTTGGTGGTTGCCACCGCTTCGAAGCCGCCAAAAGAACGAGCAAAGAGACGATAAGAGCGAGGATAGTGGATGTACCAAGCACAACAATACGAGCACACTTAGGCTCAAGCTCGCCCGTTTAGAATCTGTATTTAAAATAAAATTTCAAATTTTTGGTATAAATACCGCGATGGCGCCTTCACCTTCCTTCAACCAAATCAGCGTGATAAATTGTTGGGATGGAAGCTGTACCTCCGGGCAGTGGCTGATGCCTTCTCTTAACCCAGACACACGCTAATAGTGATAAACCGTGCAATTAAAACAACCGCTTCGAGGATTCATTCCCAAGACGAGGGGTCACCTGCTTGACACGTACATAATATTTTTATTGTAATACTTTTATTGATATTTATTATATGCGACCTGTTTACTGCCTACTATTGTTTGTTGCATTTCAATAGGACTTGTCCCAGTTGAGCGATGTGGGGATGAACAGCTTTCAAAAGGTTGCTTTGTATATCAAGTACACCCTTGAATATCTCTTTAGATTACCTGGCCTGCGACTCCACACTCCCCTCACTCCGGTACTCGCGCATCTCTTTAACCGAGCCCGACCTTCAAGCCCCACCGCCATCATCAAATGTCCCAGATGGACGATTATAAACCTCGCGTTGACGATGAAGCTGATGCCGACGCCGACGCCGACGCTGATGACTACGCCTACGATATCCACCACGACGACACCCGCAAACGCAGTCAGCTTGATAACCACAGCGACCCAAAGAAGCGCAAGACGCAGCAATCTACTCCGAGGCTCAACAAGGATGGCTCAGAGAAGCCAAAGCTTAGCAGGGGAAGTAGAGCCTGCCTGGTGTGCAGGAGAGTAAAGATGCGCTGTATCGGTGCTTCGGAAGGTGTAAAATGCAAGCGCTGCTTCAACGGCGGCCATGAGTGCATCTTCGAAGAGTCAAATAGAGGCAGACGCAGTACAAAGAAACCCGATCATCTCGCAAATTCGCTTTCTTCCATGTCTGAGACAGTCGATGGCGTCCTCAGAACATTCAATCCAGGAACCCCTCAGTCTGATAACTCACAGTACAGCTCCGCCGAGGCTAGCACTAGCAAACTCCCCCACAATGGCAGGCCGACACTGAATCGCCACTCAATCAACTCCTTGGAGAAGCTCATGAGCGGCTCAAGAGCACAGCAGCTGGAAGCAGCCGCTTGGTTAATGCAATTTCAAGAGTCTATTTTAAGCTACAATAATCAAATTCTCGACCAGAATGAAAGAATGGTCCAGTTGCATAACAAACAGCCTCATATTCACGGAAACAGCGTCACTCCGCTAGACCAGCTCGTTAATGCATTTCAAGTTAGCTCACCTGGAATGACGCATAAAAATGATACCACTAATGCCAATGGCATTAACAACGCCAACAACCCCACTAATACTACAAATGCTGAGCGGACCCCTCAACATCATGAGAGACCAGCTTCACCTAAACTTCATAGCCTACCTGACGACACCCTCAACCCTCTCGGTCTTCTTGCTGAGGCCAGTCTCAACAACCGACGCTACAGCGCACGAAATTCGCAGCGACCTGATCTTCAAACAATCCTCAATAACGAGGAGACGGACGGCTCTTCACCTAATGTTTGCGAGAAAGAAAAGAATGAGCAGGTGGAGGCCATGCTTAGAGATCAGAAATCGGAGGGCATTGGTGTGGCATCGGATGAGTACTATACACCAGGTGGGTAGTTGACATTTTGGTGCACGTCACTGATGCAAAACAGGACCCATGTCGATGCTTCCCCTCCGTCGTATCTTCATCGAACGCCAAGTCAAACCAGAAATACTCAATTTCTGCTCGGACCAAGACATTAGTAACCTTTTTCACATTTACTATAAGTACATGAACCGTGAGTGATTTTGCTTGTACACTCTACACCCACTCTAACACTACCCCTCCAGTACACACTTGCGTTCTCGATGAAGGTTTCCACACGCCCTCGCTTGTCGCATCGCGCTCGCCCTTTCTCCTAACGGCAGTGTGTGCAGTGGCGTCCAAGTTCTACACTCAAATGCCCCACCTTCAACCAAAACTCCAAAAAGTAGCACGCAAGCTCGCATTCGACGTGCCTTCGCGCGGATTCAAGAGTGTTGAGATTGTGATGGGTTATCTCGTTCTCGTGTATTGGGGTATAGGGCCCTCGCGGCGGTTTGAGGAAGACAAGACGTGGTTGTTGCTTGGTCTTGCGCTGCGCGTAGCTACAGATCTCAATCTACACAAAAAGGCATCGGCGCAGAGTATGCCTGGTAGCGACGATGCTCAGCGTGAGCGTGAACTCAGGTGTCGCGAGCGCGTATGGATTCTTTGCTATATCACGGACCGCTCGCTGTCGGCACAAATGGGCAAGCCTCCATCTACAAGCCATCGCGAAGATTACATTATTCGACACGTTAGCGACTGGGCGCGCAATGAAATGAGTAATCCCGAGGACTACCGCGTTGCGGCTTACTGCGAGATGCAGCGCATAGTGTCACGCTGCATCGACTTCCTCTACTCCGCCTCAACACCTTCCGGTTTAGGCGCAGATGTGAATTACATGCTTATCACGGTTATGTTCGAGAGTCAGCTCGTCGAGTGGATCGAGAAGGTGCTTCACAACAATAGTCGCATTCAGGGCTCGGCAGAACAGCACGCGTATATAATCAGTATTAGCAAGTTTATGTTTAATTATTGGTCTCTTGCCGTGTTTTCCTTCGGATTACAGAGCTCCCTCGAAACGAGTAACGTAGACACGCCGTACTTTTTTGCGAAATGCTACCACTTCGCTATGGAGTTGCTATCTATCACAAAGAAAGAGCTTGGTCCGAATGGCTGGCTGAAGTATAGTGTAGATTCGCACTTTGTTTTCATTACATATGCTGCAGTCTCGCTTCTCAAATTTATGCGTCCGCAGTTCAGTCCTTATCATGCAGCAATAGGGATAGACAATACTATGATAACAGGACAAGTGTCAGAAATAGCTAATTTGTTTGCTGGAGTAGCAGTAGATGCGCGACATACTCCTGCGCTCTACGCCGCATTCCTTCAGGCGCTTATTGGACCTCCTACGACAGGAGAGGATGATGGGGGATTCAGGAACCGCAACGAGATATTCGACCGTCTCGTCGGCGATCAAGGCAAGAACAGTATGACGGATCTGATAGATGAGAGTGTTGCGTTTATGCCACCGCCACATCAGCCGCCAGTAAATTCGCAGACACACCCGCAACCTCACACACCGCAGCTTGACGAATACGCACAGGCTCAGGCGGCATTTGAGGGCACTAGTGGGGATTATATGAGCATGGATCTGAAAACCATCAACGAACAAGCACAGGCGATGGATGCACTTTATCAGAATGGCTTTTGGGAAAATGTGCTACTGCCGTGGGTCGAAAAAGGCGTGTTGTGGAATTGTTGCTTACTAAATACTGCAGTGGTTTTGGCGGTCCTTTAGATTCTATTTCGGGGGGTGTAATGCGCAGTGGATTCTTGACTCCTAAAGGTATCACACCGTCACAGACACCGAGGAATATTTCCAGGCCGCAGACACCGGCAAATGCATCAACTTCCATGTCTCAGCAATATTCTAGACCGAGACAGCCTGTGTCGACGCATGGCCAGGTGAATAATCAGGTATTCAGTCACTCGCAGAATCACTCATACAATCAGCACGCGCACAATATCTAACAACCGTTTTTATACAAAATTACTTGCTTATTTTACAATGCATGAGTACATTCTGCTATTGTACATTGTATGCTATGTCTTACTGTAGATAGCAGCCAAATCAGAATTGAGAAAGGGAGAGTGCTTCTTGTGGTCCTCATCTTCAGTCTCACTGTCGTCATACCTTTTAAGAAAGTCATCTAATCTATCACTGATCACTTGCGAAGTACTCGAATGTGACTGAAGGTTAGACAGTACTGTCCTCCTCTTCTTGCCTTTAGCATTGATACGTTGAAATTCTCTCTCCTTAGCGTCATCTAATAAGGTTCGGCTGTTGATAATCATTTTAAGCTTTACGGAGACGTGCTGCTTAACGTACTCCACGTCATGACCTGCTTTATGGGAGCACTGGATGAGATGACCACCAATCCGCTTATCATTGAATGGTTTATCGTGTTTATCTTTGAATTGTTTGATGCAAAAGCAACATTTTGTCAACGGCTGAAGAGAGACACCTGCAAATACGTCATCTGATATCTTCTGTGCGTCTTTGACGAGTATATGCGGTATTTTCTTGGTTTGCTTTTTGGTCTTTTTCTTATCCTGGGGCATAGCACGCTCAATGTCCTCATCATTGATCTTTTCGTTGGCTATATCATCCTTAACGCGTTGGAGAGTATCGATACTGAGCATTGTGAGGGTGTAATTACGTGATGCTAGTGGAGCTGGATTTGATGATGATGCTGATGCCGTTGTTGATGTCCCTGCTTCCGCCGCCATCTCCGCTTTCCGCTTCTTTCTTGTTCTGTTTGCGTGTTTAGCGCGTGTTCTTGTAATACCATCATAATCCTCCTCCTTTGGCATGGTTGCACAAGCACAACGATGTTGAGATTTGGAAATCTGGCCAGACACGCTAGACAATTAAAACAAACCACTCAATTACGCCAATACACCTTCCACGTTGGCTGCTCGTGGTCTTCAAAACCTCGTCTCGCTTCCGAAGAATCGTTCAAGAAGCAGTTGGCGTACGACGATAAGCATGAGGTGGCGCAGTGGAGATCACAAATGATGGGCGATAGATTGAACGTCATTGGAGATGCAGGCGAGGACTTCTGGTTCATTGAGCCACACAAAGACGAAAGCGGGATTGCACTTGGTATTGCGGACGGTGTCGGTGGATGGTTCAGTGCAAAAGTAGATCCATCGAAATTTTCACAGACGCTCATGTGGGCAGCAGCGAAGAAGGCAGGCGGAATGAATGCATCTGAGGCTGTGCCTATGGATTTGATAGATGCCGGACACAAAGGTGTTTTGGGAATGGAAGATGTCAAGGCGGGAAGCAGCACGGCGTGTGTGGTTACTCTAGATGCACACTCAGGTTTACTCAAGGGTGCTAATCTCGGTGATAGCACTTTTGTGTTAATTAGAGATGCACAAGTCATAGAATCGACTAAGCAGCAGACACATTTCTTCAATTGCCCATTCCAGCTATCTAAATTGAGGAAGGGGATTGATAAGAATCATATAACTGATTATGCGCACTCATCAGATGTGTTTGAAACGCGTCTACAAGAGGGCGATTGCGTACTGTTATTTGTGGGTGTTAAATGACCATATTAGCCAACATGGTTTAAAAATCCCCAAGACAGACGGCCTCGGAGATAACGTTTTCTTAAATGAGATTATCCAGTATGTCATCATACTCACCTCCACCTGCTCTAATGTTGGCCGACAGACTTAAACAGGCAGTGGAAGATCACATGCCGAACGCACATATGACGGAAAAGTCACAGGCGTTTGCAGATACGCTTGTTTCATATGCAAAGATATGCATGGAGGATGAATTCAAGGTGTCACCGATAGAGTTATCTGCTAGACAGGAGAAAATCAAGGGATTTATAGGTGTGAGTGGATAATAATGACGTAAAAATTCAGGGCTGATGAAAATTCGCAGGGCAAGGTTGATGAGTGGGTTGTGAAGGGGTGAATCGAGCAGACTAACAACGGCACAACAGCGTAACAGTACTGACAGCATTTGTAGAAAAATGATATTTATTAATTTAAGCAAATTTTCGAGATTTAACTTTAGCGTGTATTCGGCAAAATCATTTCTTGAACGTGAATGCAAATCTTTTCAACAAAGTGGGTAAAAAGCAGAAACAATGGAAACAAAGGAATCTAATTAGAAACTTAGAAGCTCACAAAGGCGCAGAATACAAAACTTTCAATTCTTTATAGATTCAGCCGCAGAGAAGCCACCTTAAAATAAGAAACAATGGTCGCGTTTAATCTATACAGGTCTATCAGATCACGTCCTACATCACCAGATTCTAGGTCTAAATCACAGCCACTCACTCGCGGTGGCTCTGAGCCATCAAAGAATCGATTCAAGCAATCCACTCCTTCTCCTTCTCCCTCCACTTCTTCTTTTGAACCCTCAGCTGGTTCTGGTGAATCCACTTACATCGCTATGGTCTCATCACGCTTGCTTGATGGCGTTAACAAGGTTTTCATGTCCTCAAGCACGTCCCTCTCTGGTCCCGCTGACGGAGTTTCTTACAAAAATAGAAGATCACCAAAGAAGGCTAATGTTTATTCATTAGCCAATCAGATCGTACAGGAATTAGAAGTGGCTAAAACGGACGTATACCTCCTCAGAGCTGTTGCTAGACAGGTTCATCGCTACCTCAGCGTTTTCTCTTCTCAGCTTGATCCTCTTCTAGCTATGGTATGCGCTGATCCCTCTTTTATTAGCGTATGTAACCCAAATCACTCTCCAACTCAATCTCAATCTGATACTCTCAACAACCCATCCACTCGGAGAACTCCCTCACCACCCCCTCCAACTCCTCTCCCAATCCCATCTTCACAGCAGCAAATCAACAATGCTCAGCATTTCGCTTTCGAATTAGCTCACACGGCGTGGATTATTAAGAATACCATATTGGATGCTTTTGAGGAGGGTAAAATCCCACAGCTCGCTAAGGATCTCATTAAAGATAGTTTAGAGAAGCTTGATGGGCACGTCGTTAGAGTTGTCAACCCTACAATTAAAGCTCTGCGTAGCTATCTTGGTTTGCTTGCCTCGGGATTGCGTGAGTCATACCCAGATGCAAACACCATCACTCGCAAGAATGGAAATATTGAGTTCAATCCCCTTCCATACCACCTCAAAGCTCTTTCCAAAGGAATGGATGCATCAAAGAAAATACTAGTAAAGATGACTGGTCCGTGCCAACCTGAGTCTGAGGCTTGGGTAGCGAGAATTACCGTCCACCTTATCTGGTCTGCTATGTTAGCTTTTAGCGTGAAGAAGCCAGCGACTCCACAATTGAATGGAAAACAAGTAAGGAAAGCTACAACGGCACCATCAACGGATTCGACAGCAACAACCAAAACCAGAAACGCCTCACCCACACCTATCCACTCAGCACTAGGTAGAGTAGCTGCTGTATCAAAACCACGCACACCAAGTCCAGATGCTGTCAGTATTGCTGAGAGTGGTGATCAGGGCAATTGCGTGATAGTAGCCGAGATGGAGGCATTCGTTAAGATGATTGATAAGTTTACAGATGGTCTGGTTCAAGTTAGCGATGTGGAGCCTGAAGATGAGCTTGAACCTGAATCAGTTGCACTGGCGAGATCTGCGTTGAAGGAGAGCATTGAAAGTCTCAAGACTATGAAAGAATTCACAGCTACGCTGAGCACACCACCAGACAAAACGGATGTGCCTGTAGAGTTACCGAAAGTATTAGCGCTTCACTTGCTCATCGCGAGAAAGACAGGCACGCCAAACACACCAGACAAGATATGGAAGTGGAGCTGGGATGCGTATGCTGAAGGTATTGGTGGCTTCGGCGGGGCTATCAGATGGCAATCTGCAGTGTTTAAAGTGGTTGAAGCTGCACTCAAACACGAGGAGAAGAGAGAGGAAGATAAGGAATGGAATAAATTAATTTTGGACTTAATTCGTGATTGACTATACATTGATATTAATATTATATTTGATTTATTTAGCTTCTTGATTTCATACGGCCATCTCATGACGCAAAGAGTAGTGTCGATCCCGCCTCTGAATGAATTTAGACTAGAGCTAGACGTAAACGAGGAGCTGAGTATAAGACTGGTTGAGGGCAGAGCAGAGCTTAACGGCTGTGAGCTTAGTCTTGAGAAATCGTTGGCACTCAAGGACGAATTAAAGTGCTCGATCTACACGTGGACTGGCTGTAAGCTTGAAATTACCGGTCAGAGTCTCGTCGAGTACACGTCCAATGAGACTCCGCTTATCACGTACTTGAATCTACACTTGGCTTTCGAGCAGCAGCGTATTAAGGCTAGAAATACCCAAAGTGATTTCAAGCCCTCCCCAGAAAAACCCAATGAGCGACTACCTGGATATGTAAACGCTGTAGATGCTTCCAGTTCGGGATATCGAGTTATGGTCATTGGACAGGAAGACAGTGGCAAGTCGACATTATCCAAGACGCTACTCAAGTGTGTCAGCTGTATTATTTAGTGTAATTTCTCTCACAACATACGCAGCTACGCTGCAAGAACAGGCAAAGGTTGGACACCGATCTTTGTGAATCTCGATCCATCTGATGTGAGTGGGGCGGGGTTATGAGGTTAAGTTTTCTAACACTTTAATCACTCCCAGGGTGGTCCACTTCCTCCTGGAACTCTATCTGCCACTGCATACTCAACATCCACTCAAACAACATCACCTGTGAATGCATTTGGTTCTTGTTCCACTTCTGGTGCAGCCCTAGACAACTCTGCTGCCCTTATACCACAGGCTTTGCCATATGCACACGCATCTCCCGCCCGAAATCCAAAAGTATACAAGATTTTACTTGAGGCTCTTGCCCGGAGGCTGGATATGCGTTTGGAGAGAGACGCCAAAGGTGTGTTTAGGTGTTGATTTTATAAAATTTCTCACAATTGCAATTAGCTCGATCGTCTGGTGTTTTTATCGACACTCCAGCTGCTTTCACCTCTGCGAATATCGGCTCAGACGATAAAAACAGCAAGTACGACTTGATCAAGCATGCTCTACATGCTTTCAGAGGTGCGTTTGAGCTATTTTAATTGCTCCATTCTAACAAGAGATTCAAGTGGATGTTTTACTTGTTATTGGTCATGAAAAACTTTATATTGAGATGCAAAGACTGTTAAAGTCGCTGGATGCGAACATTGCACAGAATATCAAGATACTTAAAGTACCAAAATCTGGTGGCGTGAGTAGAAGTATTTACGCGAGTCTGAATAACTAAAGTAAACTAAACAAACAACTTAAGGCTGTCGAAACAGACGACGCGTACAGGTCGCGCATACAAGCAGCTCAAATCAAGTCATTCTTCTACGGGAACATGTCAAATATTTCAGATGAGCAATTGTCACCTCAATCAATGACAATAAAGATAGATAATCTTAAAGTATTCAAAATCACAGAGGATAAAGTTGCACCTTCTTCTGCTCTACCGATTGGTGCAAGTAGAGTTTTGGAGAATACGCAACTTGAGAGGGTAAACTTTGAAAGTTCTTCGCAGTTGCTTACGCTTGTTCATTCACTACTCTATCTCGTAAAATGGCCAGATAGTAATAATGTATTGAATAAGCATGCCAAGGAATTTGAAGGTGATATTGATAGTAAGGACCTCATACGTGCAGACTTGGTTGGATTTTTAATTGTCACTGCTATCGATAGCGCAAAGCGTACGATCACGGTACTTGCACCATCTCCTGGAAGATTGCCCTCACTAAATGCAGTTTTTGGTTCATTCGAATGGCAAGACACTTAATTTGATTTGATATGATAATTTATTCCTGGTATAATATAAACTAAAATCTAACTTGATATGATCCTTGTGATTTTGTGAGGTAGCGCACCCATTTTACGGACTGGATTGTATGTTAAAATGGGTTAAGAGATGAAATGCCCACCTCACCTGATAGTTTGATTTCTCAAATACTTTCAAAAACCTGACGAGCAAACCTGAAGATGTGAACATTAAAACTTGGAAATCAACGTTGATGGGGGAGCGAGACCAGGTTTGTCTTGTTGTTGTAGAAGTGAGATCAGCATCAGCAGTTAGCGTAGCCTCCGATTGACCCTGCATGCGAGGGATTTTCCAAACAATGTGATTCTCATCAGGTACATACTTAGCCTTACCCATTGGGGCATTGCATTTTACTTGAGTGGTGTTAAGTGGAGTTGGTATACGAAGATTGACAGTATTTGCACTCAGTTTGGAGTCAAAATTTGCTTTTATGCGGATAGTGTATTCAACTGTAGATCTACCAATTTCGTTTACGATGGGAGTAATTTTGAAAGGAAGATTGACGTTTTTAGTTGAACGATACCTCATCAGTTCGAATTCACCGTCTGGCGGGATGAACGAGATGATTCTGTCTTGTTCAAACCTCGATAACCTAACGCACTGATGAAATTGACAATCATCTAATTCAACAGCACCACCGAGAGCGCTATCGTCGACTATACGCGTCTTGTCACTTCTTTCTAAGACCAGTTTATCATTGAGACCAAATTTGCATTCAGGCATGCCAGATAGGTAAGCCCTCATGAGAATTTGGCCATCAACGTCAGCTCTCAGTTGAGTACCTTGAGCGCTCATCAAGTAATTAACGTTCTCGATAACGTCAACAAAAGCCTCATTCTTTCTATATCTAACGTCAGATCTACGCCATGAAGTAGCACCTGTTGCTTGTGAGGTAATCTTTGAGGAGTCTTGAGTAATAGCATGATCAGATTTAACGCCTTGGGTGGTGATGTACATTTTTAGAGCGTCAATTTCGGAGTTTTGCGGGTAGCCGAAATCAACAATTTCATCAAGTAACTCGTAAATCAAGACAAAGTTGTTCTTTACCGAGTCTTCAGTGAGTTGACCTAGGTAGCTTGTACAAACTTTGATAAACTTGAAAATGAATTCGAAAACGAGTGCAGCTAGGGCGTTACATCTGGGGGTGATGTGAGATAGGTGAAAGGAAACTGACGAAAAGAATTCACTTTGTAACAGCCATTACGTATAAGTTGTTATGTCTAACGTGGAAGAATGAAGTAGAACCGAGTGTGATTATAGGGGAGCGTACATCTGGGTTACTAACGACTTGAACTCTAAATATATCGCTAATAGAACGTCTTTTGAAGGGTTGGCTATTAAATCGCATGAAGTTTCTATCAACTCACTTTATATCAGATCTGAACAGCCTTGAAGATAGAACTTCACCCTTGGAATTCATAATATAGACACCCTTGAAGTTTATAAGCCTTTTTAAAATTAATGGTAAATACACACAGAGATCATGATTGGTTGGTTTGAACAAGTACAACGATGAATGAGTTCAAAGAGGTTAACGAGGTCAAAGAAGTTAACGACTTCAATGAGTTTAACTCGGGTGATTTACAACATTCAGATGAAGATTTCGATAATGAATTCGATAATGATACACTGCCCAGTATACCTGGAAAGAAAGGCAGAAAGCTAGGTGCAAAATACTCATTAATCCCACAAGGATCACAGAATATAGATATAAATATGAATAAACGTAAAAGACAAGCACCTTTACCTTTTAATAGCTCAGTTAATAACGCTATTGCTTCTTCTTCAAAAGTTACTTCACGTACACGTCCACCTAAAGCTGATCCATATCGTCCACAGATCCCTGCACCTGATTTTGCTAAACCTGATTATAGCCACGTTGAGGAGTTATTTGAACCTTTTATAAAGAAACAACTTGAACTCCAAGATCAAGGTCAGACACCTCCACCAGTTAAATTCCCCGTTAATCAACGCCCTGATTACGTTGTTTCTTCTGCACCGCGTATACCACAGAATTACATAGTACCAGTTCCATTAGACACTCACTCAAAATCAAATTACAAAACACGCAGGTGGTCGGAACATACGAAGCATATTAGAAGTTTGAGTGGTAGTACACTCCGTTTGAAATCTTGGCTGGGCTCGCAGCACAGTGAATACAGCAATAGACCTCCGCCACTTATCCCTACAACTACAACCAACAGCAATCAGGGGTTCGAAGAATCTATCAATCCAGCAAATATCATTACTCCTTCAGGCGTCCCTCTTAATAAGCTCGATAAGCGTACGAGAGAGTATAAAATGATTATGGCTCAACATAAATCTCAATTGGAGCAAAAGAGAATGGATCAACAGCGCCAGAAGATTGATGATAACCATCAAAGTGGTGTTGGTGGTCTTGCTAACAGCGGCGGTGTTGACAGTGGTGCCAATAGCGTTGATAATACTGTTGATAACATCGTTGATAGCGTTATTGAAAAAAAGGAAGACGATGATACTGTGGATATCGCAGATAATTCAGAAACCGTCGATAATGCAGACAACCTGGAGACTGCCAATAACGTATATAACCCAGAGAAAACTGAAATATCAGGTAATCCAAGCAACCCAGACAACACAGAGAACGCATCAAGAATGTCTATAAACAACATTTTAATGTAAAGCCGTATTAATTAATTTCATATGTTTATCTTCTTCCTTCTTTCCACACTCTCATTCTCATCATGAGTCCGTATTCTCCATGACACCATCCACCACTCTCACTCCCACTCCTCTCAGTTTTCTATCTCGATGATCTTCCCGTTTGTTTCCCGTACGATCGTATATATCCAGGTCAGGCTGTAAACGCCTACTCGACACCCAATACTCACAACAACCACAGAGCAGTACAGCTACATGCGCGATCTCAAAAAGACACTCGACGCTGGTGGCCACTGCGTACTAGAAATGCCTTCTGGGACCGGAAAGACTGTGTCGCTGCTATCACTTATCGTCGCCTATCAGCAGCATTACGACGCAGACAGAAAGCTGGTATACTGCTCGCGCACAGTACCAGAAATTGAAAAAGCTCTTGCAGAATTGAAGAGATTGATGGCTTACAGAGCTGATCAAGGTTACGCCGCTAAAGATAGTGGCTATACCGGCTTAGGACTTAGTTCACGTAAAAATCTCTGCCTTCATCCTTCAATTAGCCAGGAGAGACGCGGTAAAGCTGTTGATGCTAGGTGCAGAGATCTCACTTCTGCTCATGCTGTACAGAGAGGCAGAGACGATCCATCGAGTCACGAGCTCTGTAGCTATCATGAGAACTTGTCAGAGCTAGCACCAGGTGAGATCATCCCTCCTGGAATCTGGACAATTGAGGATGTTCGCAAGTTTGGTCAACAGAAAGGTCTTTGTCCATATTTCAGCGTTAGACGAATGGTTAGTGGTTTAAACTCCTCTTTAACCTCTCTTGATCCTCATTATCTCTTAAAAGGTCCAATTTTGCAACACTATAATCTACTCTTTCCACTATCTCCTAGATCCTAAAGTTGCCGAGATGGTATCTAGAGAAATGTCGAAGGACGCTATCGTCGTGTTTGACGAAGCACACAACATAGGTGAGTGAAACATAGCCTTACAAAAACACTAATTAAATACACCAGATAACGTCTGCATTGAGTCACTCAGTATAGATCTAACCCGTCCAATGCTCGAAAGTGCTTCGAGGAGTGTCGATAGACTATCAGATAAAATCTCAGAAGCTAAACAGAACGACGCTCAGAGGCTACAAGATGAATATGCCAAATTGGTTGAAGGGATGCAAGATTCCGACGCACCTCCACCAAATGATGAAATGGCCATGATAAGGCGGCAGGAAGAGGATGTATTAAGTAATCCAGGTGTGTAAAACAAGCACTCTAGTACCATCTAACATTTCACACAGTACTACCCGACGACCTTCTCAAAGAGGCTATACCTGGAAATATTCGCAAGGCAGAGCATTTCATTGCCTTCTTGAAAAGATTTGTCGAATATTTAAAGACTCGCATGCGTGTTCTGCACGTCGTCGCAGAGACCCCACTGTCCTTCTTACAGCACCTTCGGGATATCACCTTTATCGAGAGGAAGCCATTGAGGTGGGTTATAGCAAAAAACACTGCTCAAACAGTCTTAGCTAACACGCTAATTCCAGGTTTTGCTCAGACAGACTCTCAAACCTTATTAAAACTTTAGAGCTCGAGAGGCTGGACGAGTATTCGTCTTTGCAGTCTGTTGCTGCATTTGCAACACTTGTTTCAACATATGAAAAGGGTTTGTCTGCGCCAGGTGAAAAAGCAGTCTAACAAATTCAAAGGCTTCCTGCTCATACTTGAGCCATTTGAAACAGAAACTGCAACAATACCAAATCCAATATTTCACCTCACTTGTCAAGACGCTAGTATAGCAATAGCCCCAGTCTTTGACAGGTTCTCATCAGTAATCATCACATCTGGTACCATATCACCATTAGATATGTATCCAAAGATGCTCAATTTCAACGCGATAGTGCAAGAATCGTATCCAATGACACTATCTAGGAACTGTTTCATTCCAATGGTTATAACAAGAGGCAGTGACCAAGTAGCAGTCAGTTCACGATTTGAGGTAAGGAACGACCCAGCCGTCGTCCGCAATTATGGACAGATGTTGATAGAATACTCGAAAGTTATTCCTGACGGTATAGTAGCCTTCTTTCCTAGTTATTTGTACATGGAGAGTATAGTAAGTGCGTGGAATGAGATGCAAATACTCGATGAAGTGTGGAAGCACAAGCTTATTTTCGTTGAAACACCCGACGCACCCGAGACAAGCATAGCATTAGAGAACTTCCGTAAAGCTTGCGATAATGGACGTGGAGCAGTTATGTTATCGGTGGCACGAGGGAAAGTGAGTGAAGGAATAGATTTTGATCATCATTTTGGTCGGGCTGTTATAATGTTTGGAGTTCCATACCAATACACAGAATCTCGTATACTCAAAGCTCGTTTAGAATACCTACGTGATAATCACAGAATACGTGAATCAGATTTCTTAACTTTCGACGCAATGAGACACGCTGCGCAGTGTGTAGGTAGAGTTTTGAGAGGTAAATCTGATTACGGTTTGATGATCTTTGCCGATAAGCGATTCGCGAGATCAGATAAAAGAGCAAAGTTACCACGTTGGATTAATCAATACATCGCTGAAACATCATCGAATCTTTCAACCGATATGGCTATATCTCTCGCAAAGAGGTTTGTCAGGACTATGGCTCAACCATTTGATCATTCTCAAACTGGGGTCAGTTTGTGGACAATGGATCATGTTTTAGAGAGACAGAGGTTGGATAAGGAGAGTGATCTCGCAGCTGTAGCACTCACTGATAAAGATCATATGAACGTCGATGGAGTTGTTGACGGAGTTGCAGATGGAGTTGGCGATTCTAGCGGTGATAGTGATATCGATGATACTGGTGGGATTGATGATAACGCATTGATAGATATCCCTATGACGCAGTAATTTAACTTATTAACATATATATACATTAGATACATTGTTTAAAGCAGACAATCCGTCAAAGTTCATCCCTTTTGACTCTCCTAGAATGAGGGAATTGTAATTCGACGGACTTGACGTGATTGTGAGACTCCAGTGCTGATCTGACGGATTCCAATACTTGCGTGCCTAGAGACTTGTCCACTCTGTACAATTGAGTATTTGGCAACTCGCCTACTTGACCAACTGGAACGGCGTTTGAGGGTGTCGGGGGAAGCGTAGAGCCCAATTGAACGATAATGGAAAGGTAGTTGTAATTGTTGTGATCAATTTCAGTCATCCTGTCTTTGACTTGTTCAACACCCTCATCCAACACCATGGTCAGATTAATTACGCATAATATTTTGACATGTGCAGTGAAGGGTTGCGTCGATAGTGGGAAGAACTATCCACTAACATTTAAAAATGTCCAAGGAATTGAAATCAGAGAGCAGGAATTCAACGCTGACTTCATCAGAGCTTTCTTCCCTAAACTTGATTATGGTGTATTGAAATCGACGTTGGAATCTGTAAGTAGATATTTAGTCCATTTTGATAATCTCACACAACCAAGCTCGGTGACGATTCACTCAAACTTGATAGCGTGGAGGATATTGACGGACAACCAGAAGATTTCTTGAGACTGCTGCATAAGGTTCTTCTGGAGATGGATGTTACCCAGGGAGAGATGACGTGCGGTAACTGCCAGCATAAATACCAAATCAATGAAGGTATTCCAAATATGCTACTTGGAGCAGATGAGATATAGTGGATTATAACATAGAACATGTATGAATATTTATTTAAAACAGGCAACATATAATAACTAAACACAAAAAATAAATCCTACTTATCATCAGGGAGGGCATTAATACCAGTTCTAGATTGTGGTCTCGACACTGGTGGGCTTCCACTTGGAGTTGCTGAAGGTGACTGAGCAGGTGAAAGGACACCGACAGCTTGCATGAATCTCTCAGAGTGTGAAGATCTCCTAACCATAGGTCTTGCCATTTCAGGCATCGAAGGTAAACCCATCAATCTGTCTGCCATGTCTGCAGCGGTTGCACCTTGGTAGAGAAGATCGTATACAGCTTCAGCGATTGGTGCTGACATCTCTATCCTGCCGAGCAATTCATGCACAGCATCGGCTGTGAACACACCCTCAGCAGTTGATCCGAGTGTTTCTAAGATATGGTCCAATTTTTCACCCTCACCCAATCTCTTACCGACGGTGAAATTACGTGAGCTTTCAGATGAGCACGTCAGGAAGAGATCACCGACACCGGCCAGTGAGAGGAAAGTGAGTGGATCGGCGTTAAATGCAGTACCAATTTTTTGCATCTCTGCGCTAGCTCTGGTGACCAAGCCTGCTCTTGTGTTTTGTTGGAAACCTAATCCTGATGCCACACCTGATGCTATGGCGTATACGTTCTTCAACGCACCAGCCAACTCGACACCGACAGGATCAGTGGATGAGAAGGTGAGGAAGTGTCCTTGGTGGAACACTTCACAAGCCTGTTCAGCGTGTTGTGCAGAGAAGGAAGCGATGGTTACTTGTGTTGGCATTCTCTGCACAATCTCCTTGGCAAATGAAGGTCCAGATAAGAAAGTAGCAACTTTGGCAATATCCTTACCACACTCTCTTTCAATAATTTCAATTGGGAGGAAACAGCTACCTGACTCTATACCCTTATTGGCGAATACGAGCAGAGGGGCTTTATCCTTCTTGGCTTCGAACAAAGGTATCAAGTTTTTCAGGACTGATGACATGGATTGTGATGGGATTGCCATGACAATGACGTTGTATAGAAGGAGATCTTCAAATGAAGGGAATTCAGGTCCGACAGCTTTCAGGTTCTTTGAGAATATGTGGTCGGTGAGATACTGTGAGTGTTTCAAATGAGAAATCTATCGTGTAGGTAGAACGGGTGATACACACCTTTGGATTCTTGCGGTGAGTATTGAAAGACTCAACTACATCAGCGTTACGCGCCCAGATTCTAGTTTGGTGACCGATATCGGCCAAGTGGTCAGCTAAACAGCTACCGAAGGAGCCGGAGCCGAGAACGAGAACTCTCTTGTATCCAACGGAAGGAATGGATAGTTTGCGCTTGAATGAAGATGATCTTGAGAGTGAAGGCTTCTCGTCACCGCCAACAGGTGTCATTGATTGAAGTGGTTCGAATGGCATCTTTGATTATTTAATGGGAGTTGAATTGGCTATACTACTACTTACAATTTCAGTTTATCGTCTGCGTGGGATTAAATTGTGTTGATCAGTTGATTGTCTACTTACAACGGATCCAAGTGCTGTACTTGTTAAATAAATTGTTCAAATCCTTTAAGTATTTCGCTTACAGTTTTTAAATAAAGCTCAAGTAATTGTCAATATTCAAGAGAATTTAACGTTGGAACCCAAGCGACGCGATGATGTCACGATCAAAAGAGGTACCAAATACGTTTTTGGAAATCGCTGAAGATATTTGATTGATAAAGATATAGTTGATCTCCGCGCATTGACAGATACAGTTCCGAACGCCTCCGAGAAGCTTTTTGTGTGATTCTAATTGGAGGTGTTCATCGGGATTACTCGGTAATATTCGTATTACGCAATAGATAACTCACGCATTATCACCAAATAACTTATTCAAAGTAGTATATTACACAATTCGGGTTCGTAGTCTGTTGAATTTGGTAAAACATTCAGTGGTATCTGGCATTGAATCAGCTCTTCCTTCCCTTTTCCATCCCCGCCTCCTAATCTATCCTGCGACCTGAACGAGTTGGGTATGTGATCCACGTTGACAAGGTGATTTACACTTTTCGCGCAAAATCCATTACCGAGATTGAGATTAGTAGTAGATGGGGAAGATGGCGTTGATGTTGAGCTTGAGGATGTGAATGGAGTGCGTGGCATAGGCTGAAGAATTGGCGTGGGTAGTGGGGATGAATCGAGGCTGCCTATTGATGGTCTGGGTGAGAGTGCTTGCGGGTCCTCCACAATTACTGGTATTATTACTAAAAATGACAGCTTGATAATCCACTTTACTTCAACTGAATTTTGGTCATGTGTTAGATACTTTTATTGTAACTTGTCTTCCTACTTACAGATAGATGTCTTGAAATCTGATGATTGGTGTGAAGGTACATCAAGCGAAAAACCTATTTCGGACAAGTCGATTGCGAGAGGTTGATGAAATTCTGAATGTACTTTACGCGTAGCGTTTATCGTATGCTTTTGATTGAGGTTTGCATAATTCTCATTCGCAATTTCGTGACTTTCCAGTGTAGCTGATAACTGTTGTAAAATTAGCACATAATACCACAAACTTGAAGACAAACCGACCTTCAAAACCTTACCGCACATAGTATTGGGTTTATTTATTGATATCTTACCCAACACACTCTCACCCAATCTAAATGTAGACTTGACTATGGAGAGAATAGCGATATTGAGATCATCCTTGGTGATTTCGTAGGTGACCTTCTGTGAGTTCCTCGAACTAATTCCTATTGCTGTACGACATTGCTCACTGACCCTGGTGCCAATATCTGCATTTTCAAAAGGACCGTCGTATCCGGACGAATTAGTTGAACTACTCCTTTGCATTGAGTCGTAAGTTGTTAAATAAAGCTTTTGTGCGTATTTGTAAGCCTTTTCGAAGCAGCTGTTTGAGGGTGTGTTTGATGGTGGGGTGTTTGTTGGGGTATTTGCTTTGACTACCTGCTTGTCAGCACCACTGCCATAACCAACGTCACCACCCTTCACTATCGCTTCTTCGTTGATTTCCATTATAGGTTTGAGGACATCAAACCTCCTGCTTTCCTCATCAATTGTGACATTTGGGAGTACTTTTATTGGTATTTTGATAACGCGAGCATTTCCATTTTGTTTATTAGTACCTACAACAAACTCGTAGGTTATTTTACCAATTTTGCCGTGATAGCTGGGTGGTAAAGTTATCGGCAGAGTGTGTTGAAAAGTGATTGTGGTGTCTTGGTTAGGTGAAAGCACTTTATCAACAACCAAGACAGATCTCCTAGTTTCCCAAATCGATAGTGTTGTGTTGGAGGTGTCGTTTGAGTTTGACGAGTTGTTGAGGTGGTTGAACCAGTTCGTGAGGCTGAAATTGAACAGTGTACTGCTGCGTTTGTGGGGATTTGCTTTTACATCGTCCAGGACACCTCCACCGAGTACATTTGACGATCTGCGGTTAGTCATGGTGCTCCTCTTTATCAGCGAGCGATTGAGCTCAATTTTGCCACAAAGTTGAGCAGTCGCCCATAGAATCTTCTCGTGGTTCGGAAGTAGGGGTGTTTTGAGGTTGCGATTCAGTTTATGATAGGTTGAGTTATCCTGCATGGTAGAAGATGTGGGAGTGGGAGTGGAAAGGTTTGAAGCTTTGCGCGTGTGGGGATGCCTCCAAGGGAGGTTTGGAGAGCGTGTGGGTGATTGTGTGGAGTTAATTGACAATGAAGAAGGTGAAGAGGAAGAAGAGGGTGGTGAGGGTGAGGACAGCGTCTCAGCAGATGAGAATCGCTTTGAGAGGTCAATTGATTGTACTTGTCTGTTGTGTCGTAAAGTAGAAGGCCTGCCTTTACCAATACCAACGTCATTCTGAGGTACAGGATCAGAATTCTTACCAACGAGACCACATCTTGATGGAGGTTGTTTGAGTTGTGCCTGCTGTGCGCGTGTGTTACTCAGTACACCGCCATTGTTATGATTCGTGGATACGGACAGAGACCTTTGATGTGCGTGTGGAGATGGAATTGTTGATTGTGGCTGAGAATTTATAAATTTAAGCGTGAATGTTATCTTATCGCCTGCAAAGTAGTAGTATTTATCAGATTTAATTTCAACGCGTAATCCATCCATTAGTAGGTATTTATATATATCGCTATAATCCTGTGTTTTTGCAAAATACGGCTATCAAATAATATACTTGAAATTTTAAGCTTATTATTTACGTACTTGTTGGTGAGTGGTGCAGGGGTGCCGGTGCAGATCGTATTTCATAATAAATTACAAAATTGTTTAAAATTGTTTCGTTAAATCCAGAGTCATTGAGGGTGTTGTAGTAATATATACCACCTACTGACGCCCCGCCGCCTTTCTGAACTCCTCTTTGTATTCGTTTAATGAAGAATCCTTGTTTGAGAGCCTGTCTGCCCAAGTCTGTGAAGCAAACTTACGTTCGCCCTTGGTGGAATCAGCTTTCGACATGAAGAAGAATCCTGCGACGACGACGATTGAGCCGATAATTCCTGCGAGCTGTGGAGTGTTAGTGCGGTACTTACGAACCTTAATCCCTTAAGAAAACCCACCGGATAAAGTGATGGGTCACGCTTTGCGAACTTGTTGAAAGTCTTCGCCGTATCACGAGCGCTCTTTTGTGGCTGATTGTTTGTACCTGGTGGCTGGTGTGGGTGTGAGCGGTAAATATCGTATAGTTATACCAATTCCCACCTGTGGCGATGACATTATTGGTAGTGTGGAATCAAGAAGTAGTTGTAGCCAATTTAAGTTTATATTTTGTAGTTATTTACGGTAAAATTTAAATCCATCCATTCATCATTCAGTCTTTACTCTATTCTTCTAACTACCCTGCTTCTCTGCGTGTTGCCACCCATTCTTGTGGATTTCTGACGTCATCCCGGAAAACTCAATTGGCGCCGACTTACCTTAAATAAACTTTTTGTTCGTATAGGGATCATCAGACTCTGCCCCTGAATCACCTAGCTATCGCTCACTCTCAAGTTTCAACCACCAACAACTGAATGCATCCACATCTGTACACAGACGACAAGCAAGCAGGTGAGCTGGTCAATGCACATGGCAATCGATTCACTTAAATTAAAATAAGCTTGCGGTGATGTTATTCGCCAGTTACAAGAGTGCAGAGACAAAGGTTGGTTGAATAGGCTGAGCGGGGCATGCAATCCCATCGACAAGGCGCTTGGAAAGTGCTTGCGGGAAGAGAGGATCGATAGGACGCGTAGAAATCTGGAAAAGTCAAAAGAGCGCAACAGGAAGAAGCAAGAGGCGTGGAGTAGCTTGTAGAAGACACCATTTATAAGTGCAGAATGACGACTCTGTTGATTCTGTCGTTAAATGGGTCTTCTATAAGCTCCACATTGGCTACACCACTCTGCTTGGCCAGCTTTACCACCAATTGAGCCTGATTATAACCAACTTCCATCCAAACTTGTTTGTTAAACGCATCCTTGAGTAAATAGATCATTCTCTTATAAAACACCAGTCCGTATTCATCTCCCCCAGCGAGTAGTGCATCTTTATCCTCCCAATCCCGGACTTCTGAGTGCAGTGTCTTGTAATCGCGTTGAGTAATGTAAGGTGGATTGATAGTAATAACATTGTAGCTGCTGAGGTCTATAGATTCACTGAGAATGTCCATCTGCTTCACCTCGAACCTCTCGAGCTGCTCCTTGGTGAGATTGTTACGTGCGTTGATTGTAGCTAGCTTGCACGCCTTGGGTGAGCTGTCCACTACCACGACGCTATCGCAGTGCAGCTCCTTAGCAATACTCACACCAATGCACCCACTCCCTGTACACAGATCTAGCACTCTAAGCTGTCTATTATCACAAAATCGCGCGATTAGTTTGTCTACCCAGAATTCTGTCTCCTGGCGTGGAATAAGCGTTGGTGGAATACACTGAATCACTGCACTATTGAATGGCTGGTTGCCTATAACGAATTGCAGCGGTTTCCCCGATAGTCGCTGTCCCAGTTTGAATACAGCCTCTTTGCCACTCCTACAGCTCTGTCTAACCCATCTAATCTCATTGTACGCGTCTGCGCTGCCAAAGCTATCCACCATTCTCCGCGTTACAGTTAGCCGCCTTCTCATTGGTTGGTTGTTGTACCGGTACTGTCACCACTGCCATTACCAACACACCAACACCATGAGAATCACGCCTTCCCAGCTCAAGAACGCCTCCCCCACCGCCGTCGTTATGATGAACATGGGTGGTCCCGCCACACTCGACAACGTTCACTCATTCCTCTCAAACCTCTTCCACGATAAGGATCTAATCCCGCTGCCATTCCAATCAATTCTCGCCCCTAGAATCGCCAATAGACGTACACCCAAGATAAAGCAGCAGTACAAAGAAATCGGCGGCGGCTCACCCATCCTCCATTGGACACAGCGTCAGGGCGATGAAATGGTGAAGCTGCTGGACGAGCTCTCTCCTGCTACAGCCCCGCATAAGCCCTACATCGCATTCAGATATGTCGATCCTCTCACAAAAGACACGCTCGCGCAAATGAAACACGATGGCGTCACTCGCGCTGTAGCGTTCACGCAATACCCCCAATACTCGTGCAGCACCACTGGGAGCAGTTTGAATGAGCTCTATCGCCAGATTCATGCGCTGGGCATAGACAAGGATATAAACTGGTCCATTATTGACAGATGGCCCAACCACCCACTCCTAGTTGAAGCTTTTGCGGAGAATGTCGCCAAGTCTTTGCGTAAGTATGCTCCTGAAGAACGTGGCAAAATCCCCATTCTCTTCTCTGCTCACTCGCTTCCGATGAGTGTGGTGAACAGGGGAGATCCGTATCCAGCAGAGGTAGCGTCTACGGTGCAAGCGGTAGTTAGTCGACTGCCTGGCCTCACTGGCCATACCAACCCACACCGACTCACCTGGCAGTCCCAAGTCGGGCCATCCGCCTGGCTCGGCCAGCAGACCTCCGATGCTATACAAGGTCTGCGCCGTCTCGGCTACACAAAGGCCCTCGTCGTCCCTATTGCTTTTACATCTGACCATATTGAGACGCTGTACGAACTAGATCTCGAGTGCGTCGAGGAGGCTCGCGAGATCGGTCTCCAACTCGACCGCGTGGACAGCCTGAATGATAGCCCTGCTTTCGTGCGCGCTATCGCCGACCTCGCCGCTGAGCATCTGGGTAGTGTCTATCAGAATAAAGTGACAGACATCAGCCATACTGGTTACGTCGGCGGTTGGGTCCCGGGTCACCCTACCTCCACTCAATTCGCTCTCAGGTGTCCAGGATGCACCAATGATGTCTGCCTCAAACAGAAAAATTTCTTCAATCGCGGTAGTAGTGTTATATAGATATTTCCTTCCTTCTTTTCATGAAATCTGCTTATACCTTGTGCGCTCAAGTTAAAATTGTTTTGCAAAGTATTTTGATATATAGAAATCATAGTATGTAGTCAAAAGCTTTACAAATATTGATAATCTTCGCCTATCCATACTTCTTGTACATTGATAGCTAACGATTTTAGTGACTCAAAGGGATGCGGTTCTTGGCATGTGTGCCGTAAGTTGGGAGGTAACTACGTGGAGCTACCGAAGGCGCGCGGGTGGGTGTTGAGCTGGTTTTTGAAGAACTCGTAAAGGGTTTGTAGAGAGTGTGAGTTTCTGAGTAATGAACCTAATCCGAACTGAATATTTATCTTGGTAATTTTTCTTCATAATGTGATTTTGGCCATTATATGTCTTTTATATATGAAAATTCTATGTGAGATGGTGTCCTCTGTGCCACAAGCATTGCATTGAGGTGAAGCAATCAATATGAAAACGTACAATGACTTGATTTTATGAATATTTGCGTACACCTTTTGCGTTTCAATTGTATATATTTTTAAGCTGCAAAGGAATTCTCAGTTCAAAATAACTCAACGGGAGTAGCTGATATCGAAAGGTTGCAGGTTCGAGCCCTGCGTCGGTCACCACGGCCGGCTGGCTCAATGGTAGAGTATTCGACTACGGCATTGAAATAATTTTTTTCTTATTCACTTTATAAGTGCGGCAGAATAACGACCGTTATCATCAATTGCGTTTCACTCAAGCCAAATTTTTAGCCCTATCACTGACACTCACGTTTCAACATAAAAAGTGATACGAACATAAAACTTTCTTCTCAAATGATTTAAGGTTTTGAAGTACTTGTATTATTTGCACGACTCTCGTTGGTTGTTTTCTAGATTTACATTATTAAGTGAATCCGGTTAAATGGCATCTGCATTGTTTTCTGAGCCACTACTATCTAAGCATTTTCGTTATTCCAATATTTCATAGCGTTTGAAATGGTTGAGATTGAGACACTGTCTCTCAATCGAATACCCGTAGATTGTCTTTGGCAGCGTGAGGAAGAATTTAAAATGACCTGAAGCATTGGCAGAGTTTTAATTCTATTTCTTTAGGCCTTTTTTACACTCTTCACGTCAGCTCGTCACCCTCGAATTAAACCCCTCTTCGGAAAGGTTTCTGGGTTTCAGCTAGTAAGATTAACAGAATACTTGGAAGCAAAGTGACTACAAGAATTGTTTACTAAGGGATTTTCCAATGTGTGCTATGTGGGCGTCTATTAACCGAGCGTAGCTCAACGATACAGCCTCAATCTTGCAGCAACATAGATTATCTCAGCAGGGAGCCTTGCGAAGGACTTCTTGTTGGATGTTTTGTCGTCTGTGGATTGCTTTGTCTTGGTGGTTGAGGTTAGATAGAGAGATGAAGTGAGGGATGGAGAGCAAACCTACCAGGAGTATCGCTCAAAGTGGACTTTGAACGGACTGCCAGATCTTAGTTGGAGTTCAGAAAGAGTTAAATGAGCGGAGATAAAGCTTACTGGGAGTAGCAAAGACCATTTACAGGGAAAGGGCTAAACCCGCCATACTATGGTCCACAAGACGGCGAGCCGCGAGGAAATAAGTGTGGGCCACTACAGAACGCAGCGGTGTTAGAGTCGTTAATGTACTTTGACTCACGTGACTCTTGCCTTGTCTGTTGTGTTTCACTAACCCGTTACCCTCGTTCCTAGTCTCGCGGCTAACAGCGTTGAAAGAGGGGTGATGAGCAAAACAAAGTACCATCTCAAAGCATACATATGAGAAAATTAGAAATCACGATATCAACGCCTATCGCATGTCTGCTGATGACTGTGAAAAAAGCGTGAAAATCAAATGCATCATACAAGTTGGATAAAGCTGGATATCATTAGGACGTCGTGCGTGTGAGTAGGTGGATATAATAAGAGGGGAAACACTGAGTTAAGCTGGCATCTAGCGAGTTAGTTCTGGCGAGTTCTGCCAAGCAGAGTTTTGCAAAGTGAGCAGTTTATGAGTTTCGAGGCATTCCGCAATGAGACCTGGATAATTATGTTCCATCTCCTCTCTTACCGAATAAGCCCTGTAAAGAATCTCCGCAGTCTGTTTATCCTGCAGGAGGACTCTCAAGGAACCTCGAACGAACGGAAAAAGTTTACAACATTTCTGCAAGTCGTTATTCAGCGCGTTGAATTTTAAAGCGACAATATCGATATGAAACCCATTTAAAGCGCGCATCTCATCCTTTTGCGTCCGTTTTGTGATATAGTATTTCAGCAGAGCACGTTTCTTACATGTCCTGTTTACAGAGTCTGTAAACTTACCAAATGTACGTAATGTATGTGTGTATCAAATTTAGTGGTGTATCGGTGGTGATTGAGCCATTTACCAGTTCGTAATTCTTGAAAATTATCATGTTCGGTTTACGCATGTAGCAGCTGTCCAGCGCGTTGAGAATTGCAATGAAGTGCTCCTGCGTTATCAAATCGAATCCAGGCATATCGACCAATGATGGTCGATGGATGCGGAGTAATTTGATACGGAAGTATTTGTCGCATATCGCAATGGCTAGCATCGCGGCTTTGAGATGTGTCATGTGGTCTATGTTTATCGTTAGCTCTGTCGCACCGTCTGACCTACCAATCAGGAGATGTGTATTTTCAGTCTCGATGAGCGCGTCGAGTGTGAGAGTGAACTTTTGCAGTACAGGCATTTTGTTGATGCATGTGGATAGCTGTGGACATGCTAATAACCGTGTGGATTTATTGAAGTGTTCCAGATTCAACTCAAGTACTTCTATCGAGTAGAGGAAATCTGTTGGTTGGAGTACACAGTTTTGAAGGAATGTCAGGTAAGATATCAGCTCAGCTGGTTTCGTGTTGTTTGTTGGTTTCAGAGATTGTATAATCAGACTTTTGGGATGTTTGCGGGTGAGTTTGTAGCTATTCTTAAGAGACGGCAAACAGCTCAGTTGCACCATGTAAGCTAATAATCCTACAAACGACATCATCTGGGAAGCTCCAGAATCCTGCCATAGGAGAATTAGGTAGAGAAGATGGGGAAAACGGGGAAGAAAAAGCACAAAGCGCTCACAACAGACACAAAACACCCGCCCACGCCAATTATACAGCCACAAAGAATCTATGGATGCAACAAGCAACTAAATTTAGTTGCGGCTCTTGAAGTAGTCCAAGAGGACGTTAAGACCCTCAGACTCAACACCAAAGTCGCGGACAACGACGCAAGAGGTACCGACGACCTTACGTGCGTTACCCTCTCTGTCGATCTTGCAGAGACCAGCCCAGGTACCCAAAACCTTGGCGTCGGAGACCTTGATGAGGTTGATTTGGTGCTCTGCGCAGAGAGCTTCGATGAGCTTGATGTACTCAGCCTCAGTGCAGGTTTCGACGAGCACACAGAGGTGGGCAGCTCTACGGTCGAGAGCCTTAGCACACTCTCTCAAACCACGGGCGAGACCATCGTGGTAGAGGGCGTTCTTGAGAACTTGTTGGAGGGCTTCCTCGACAGACATCTTGCCTGCTGGAGCAGCCTCAGCGACTTCGACCTCTTCTTGAGGAACTTCGACTTGTTGTTCACCGTTTTCAGACTGTAGAGAGTGAGCAGGGGTGTATTAAATCCACTGCACACCAAACACACCATTATAGATTCTTATGCTAAGTCAGTCAATCGTAAGACGTCGTCCTTCGTTCTTAGCTGTTAGCTGGGTCGAAGAGAGAAGGCGGCGTTACAGATTTTATCCACCGAAAAATTTAAATTGTGTGCGAGTGTATGAGTTTGTAGAGAGTTTGTGGGGTTTGTGGATTTATGCTTACGTATACTTACATCCTCTACTCCTTCGGCGATGGAGTTGTGCGGGGTTTACGCTGTGTGCTGATGTAGACGATTGCATGTACGTATATCATTCTGAAAGTAGGCTCTAACCACACTTTTTATTTAAATACACACTGCGAGCTTTTCAGACAATTTTACAGAAAATTTCACTATTGTTTAACTAACAACAAACGGTATTATGTATTTAATGTAAAAACAGAAACCCGGTAAACAAAACAATTTAGATGAGTGGGATTGGAGTACAGTTGATACCGAGGAGACCATCTGAAGATGCCTTCTCGCAGCAGACTGGGGTGTTCTTGCATACGTCTGTGGAGCGTGTTAGTTATATTTACGACGCACGTAGATTCCAAATACCTTGTAATGCTACTCCGATGAGAAGAGGTATTTGAGTACATTGGATAGCAACTTGGTCGAGAATATCGCCTGTGTGGAGAAGACCGTCTTCTTCACCAGTGCTTGATTGCTTGTCTTTTGTAGTATCACAACATGAAGTAAGTCCGGTATTACATGAGCCGACTGATGAGCCGCCTGATGGTCTGGCGAGGGCAGATGCGATGACGGCGGAGATGGCGAGGGTTTGAGCGATCATTGTTTAGAGAGCAAGATGAGTTGTGAGGATGCAACATGGGTAGAGCTAGGCTATTTAACCATCTGAGAAGCGCACTAAAATGATTATTAGCGCTATCTTATTTTAGTGCACTTTTAGCGTGCATTATGAGCTCCGGAATGTGGTATTTGCATTGAATATCATGTGAAATAAAAAGTGTATGTTTGCATGTGCGTACGTTTACACAAAAATATTTAGAAAAACACTCCTCCACACGGGCACACCTCTTGCGTATAAGACGAGTAAAATTTTCAAAAGGCAACACAAAAACAAATCAATTATTAAACGAGGAAAGTGATGCAGCGTTGTTGTTAGTGAGAGTGCGAGACAACCAAGTCTCAACTGGTATCCTGTATGAAATCTGTAAAGTGACAAGTTGAACGACCCCATTAGTCCTTGTAAATGAGCAAAGGTTCACCCGGTTCATGAACCTCTGGAATTGTACATTTCAAATCGAAAGCCTTTGAGAGAACAATTTTGAATATTTTCTGTACGTGAATGGAGTGCGAAGTGGAGCAGAAGATGAGAGGAGCGTGCATAGCCTTTGCGAATCTCTTTGCCTGTGTTGATGAGTGGGTAAGTGAATTGAAAGTGCAAATATCGCTCCTACCTAGCATTGCATTGAGGTGAAGCAATCAATATGAAAACGTACAATGACTTGATTTTATGAATATTTGCGTACACCTTTTGCGTTTCAATTGTATATATTTTTAAGCTGCAAAGGAATTCTCAGTTCAAAATAACTCAACGGGAGTAGCTGATATCGAAAGGTTGCAGGTTCGAGCCCTGCGTCGGTCACCACGGCCGGCTGGCTCAATGGTAGAGTATTCGACTACGGCATTGAAATAATTTTTTTCTTATTCACTTTATAAGTGCGGCAGAATAACGACCGTTATCATCAATTGCGTTTCACTCAAGCCAAATTTTTAGCCCTATCACTGACACTCACGTTTCAACATAAAAAGTGATACGAACATAAAACTTTCTTCTCAAATGATTTAAGGTTTTGAAGTACTTGTATTATTTGCACGACTCTCGTTGGTTGTTTTCTAGATTTACATTATTAAGTGAATCCGGTTAAATGGCATCTGCATTGTTTTCTGAGCCACTACTATCTAAGCATTTTCGTTATTCCAATATTTCATAGCGTTTGAAATGGTTGAGATTGAGACACTGTCTCTCAATCGAATACCCGTAGATTGTCTTTGGCAGCGTGAGGAAGAATTTAAAATGACCTGAAGCATTGGCAGAGTTTTAATTCTATTTCTTTAGGCCTTTTTTACACTCTTCACGTCAGCTCGTCACCCTCGAATTAAACCCCTCTTCGGAAAGGTTTCTGGGTTTCAGCTAGTAAGATTAACAGAATACTTGGAAGCAAAGTGACTACAAGAATTGTTTACTAAGGGATTTTCCAATGTGTGCTATGTGGGCGTCTATTAACCGAGCGTAGCTCAACGATACAGCCTCAATCTTGCAGCAACATAGATTATCTCAGCAGGGAGCCTTGCGAAGGACTTCTTGTTGGATGTTTTGTCGTCTGTGGATTGCTTTGTCTTGGTGGTTGAGGTTAGATAGAGAGATGAAGTGAGGGATGGAGAGCAAACCTACCAGGAGTATCGCTCAAAGTGGACTTTGAACGGACTGCCAGATCTTAGTTGGAGTTCAGAAAGAGTTAAATGAGCGGAGATAAAGCTTACTGGGAGTAGCAAAGACCATTTACAGGGAAAGGGCTAAACCCGCCATACTATGGTCCACAAGACGGCGAGCCGCGAGGAAATAAGTGTGGGCCACTACAGAACGCAGCGGTGTTAGAGTCGTTAATGTACTTTGACTCACGTGACTCTTGCCTTGTCTGTTGTGTTTCACTAACCCGTTACCCTCGTTCCTAGTCTCGCGGCTAACAGCGTTGAAAGAGGGGTGATGAGCAAAACAAAGTACCATCTCAAAGCATACATATGAGAAAATTAGAAATCACGATATCAACGCCTATCGCATGTCTGCTGATGACTGTGAAAAAAGCGTGAAAATCAAATGCATCATACAAGTTGGATAAAGCTGGATATCATTAGGACGTCGTGCGTGTGAGTAGGTGGATATAATAAGAGGGGAAACACTGAGTTAAGCTGGCATCTAGCGAGTTAGTTCTGGCGAGTTCTGCCAAGCAGAGTTTTGCAAAGTGAGCAGTTTATGAGTTTCGAGGCATTCCGCAATGAGACCTGGATAATTATGTTCCATCTCCTCTCTTACCGAATAAGCCCTGTAAAGAATCTCCGCAGTCTGTTTATCCTGCAGGAGGACTCTCAAGGAACCTCGAACGAACGGAAAAAGTTTACAACATTTCTGCAAGTCGTTATTCAGCGCGTTGAATTTTAAAGCGACAATATCGATATGAAACCCATTTAAAGCGCGCATCTCATCCTTTTGCGTCCGTTTTGTGATATAGTATTTCAGCAGAGCACGTTTCTTACATGTCCTGTTTACAGAGTCTGTAAACTTACCAAATGTACGTAATGTATGTGTGTATCAAATTTAGTGGTGTATCGGTGGTGATTGAGCCATTTACCAGTTCGTAATTCTTGAAAATTATCATGTTCGGTTTACGCATGTAGCAGCTGTCCAGCGCGTTGAGAATTGCAATGAAGTGCTCCTGCGTTATCAAATCGAATCCAGGCATATCGACCAATGATGGTCGATGGATGCGGAGTAATTTGATACGGAAGTATTTGTCGCATATCGCAATGGCTAGCATCGCGGCTTTGAGATGTGTCATGTGGTCTATGTTTATCGTTAGCTCTGTCGCACCGTCTGACCTACCAATCAGGAGATGTGTATTTTCAGTCTCGATGAGCGCGTCGAGTGTGAGAGTGAACTTTTGCAGTACAGGCATTTTGTTGATGCATGTGGATAGCTGTGGACATGCTAATAACCGTGTGGATTTATTGAAGTGTTCCAGATTCAACTCAAGTACTTCTATCGAGTAGAGGAAATCTGTTGGTTGGAGTACACAGTTTTGAAGGAATGTCAGGTAAGATATCAGCTCAGCTGGTTTCGTGTTGTTTGTTGGTTTCAGAGATTGTATAATCAGACTTTTGGGATGTTTGCGGGTGAGTTTGTAGCTATTCTTAAGAGACGGCAAACAGCTCAGTTGCACCATGTAAGCTAATAATCCTACAAACGACATCATCTGGGAAGCTCCAGAATCCTGCCATAGGAGAATTAGGTAGAGAAGATGGGGAAAACGGGGAAGAAAAAGCACAAAGCGCTCACAACAGACACAAAACACCCGCCCACGCCAATTATACAGCCACAAAGAATCTATGGATGCAACAAGCAACTAAATTTAGTTGCGGCTCTTGAAGTAGTCCAAGAGGACGTTAAGACCCTCAGACTCAACACCAAAGTCGCGGACAACGACGCAAGAGGTACCGACGACCTTACGTGCGTTACCCTCTCTGTCGATCTTGCAGAGACCAGCCCAGGTACCCAAAACCTTGGCGTCGGAGACCTTGATGAGGTTGATTTGGTGCTCTGCGCAGAGAGCTTCGATGAGCTTGATGTACTCAGCCTCAGTGCAGGTTTCGACGAGCACACAGAGGTGGGCAGCTCTACGGTCGAGAGCCTTAGCACACTCTCTCAAACCACGGGCGAGACCATCGTGGTAGAGGGCGTTCTTGAGAACTTGTTGGAGGGCTTCCTCGACAGACATCTTGCCTGCTGGAGCAGCCTCAGCGACTTCGACCTCTTCTTGAGGAACTTCGACTTGTTGTTCACCGTTTTCAGACTGTAGAGAGTGAGCAGGGGTGTATTAAATCCACTGCACACCAAACACACCATTATAGATTCTTATGCTAAGTCAGTCAATCGTAAGACGTCGTCCTTCGTTCTTAGCTGTTAGCTGGGTCGAAGAGAGAAGGCGGCGTTACAGATTTTATCCACCGAAAAATTTAAATTGTGTGCGAGTGTATGAGTTTGTAGAGAGTTTGTGGGGTTTGTGGATTTATGCTTACGTATACTTACATCCTCTACTCCTTCGGCGATGGAGTTGTGCGGGGTTTACGCTGTGTGCTGATGTAGACGATTGCATGTACGTATATCATTCTGAAAGTAGGCTCTAACCACACTTTTTATTTAAATACACACTGCGAGCTTTTCAGACAATTTTACAGAAAATTTCACTATTGTTTAACTAACAACAAACGGTATTATGTATTTAATGTAAAAACAGAAACCCGGTAAACAAAACAATTTAGATGAGTGGGATTGGAGTACAGTTGATACCGAGGAGACCATCTGAAGATGCCTTCTCGCAGCAGACTGGGGTGTTCTTGCATACGTCTGTGGAGCGTGTTAGTTATATTTACGACGCACGTAGATTCCAAATACCTTGTAATGCTACTCCGATGAGAAGAGGTATTTGAGTACATTGGATAGCAACTTGGTCGAGAATATCGCCTGTGTGGAGAAGACCGTCTTCTTCACCAGTGCTTGATTGCTTGTCTTTTGTAGTATCACAACATGAAGTAAGTCCGGTATTACATGAGCCGACTGATGAGCCGCCTGATGGTCTGGCGAGGGCAGATGCGATGACGGCGGAGATGGCGAGGGTTTGAGCGATCATTGTTTAGAGAGCAAGATGAGTTGTGAGGATGCAACATGGGTAGAGCTAGGCTATTTAACCATCTGAGAAGCGCACTAAAATGATTATTAGCGCTATCTTATTTTAGTGCACTTTTAGCGTGCATTATGAGCTCCGGAATGTGGTATTTGCATTGAATATCATGTGAAATAAAAAGTGTATGTTTGCATGTGCGTACGTTTACACAAAAATATTTAGAAAAACACTCCTCCACACGGGCACACCTCTTGCGTATAAGACGAGTAAAATTTTCAAAAGGCAACACAAAAACAAATCAATTATTAAACGAGGAAAGTGATGCAGCGTTGTTGTTAGTGAGAGTGCGAGACAACCAAGTCTCAACTGGTATCCTGTATGAAATCTGTAAAGTGACAAGTTGAACGACCCCATTAGTCCTTGTAAATGAGCAAAGGTTCACCCGGTTCATGAACCTCTGGAATTGTACATTTCAAATCGAAAGCCTTTGAGAGAACAATTTTGAATATTTTCTGTACGTGAATGGAGTGCGAAGTGGAGCAGAAGATGAGAGGAGCGTGCATAGCCTTTGCGAATCTCTTTGCCTGTGTTGATGAGTGGGTAAGTGAATTGAAAGTGCAAATATCGCTCCTACCTGCTTGGTTATCTCCTCCTGATCTTCCTTAGGCAGACCAGCGAATACATCGAACTTGGTACCTACGAGGAAAGGGATTGCAGTTTTGTTAAACCCTCTAGCCTGTCTGTACCACTCTTTTATCGAATTAAGGGTGCTCTTCCTGGAAAGATCGAACATGAAGAGAATTGCAACTGCGTCATTGCAAACGAGTGGGAGCATGTTGACGAATTCGCGTTGGCCTGTGCGACGAGAATGAGAATGACAATGAAAGTGATTTCAAAGGAAAGTTAATCCCCCAGATAAAGCCACAACGCACCACCTAGATCCCAAATGGAGAAAGTAATTTCAGTCTGGCGTATGGATATAGTCTTTTCCATAAAGTTTACGCCTGTAAGCGGGTGATTGAGTGATGCTCTTTCAATAGCCCAAGCTACACGCACCTAGCGTTTGTATGTAGTCTTCATCGAATGAACCTCTGTCGCGCGTAAGTGTAAGAAGCGTCTAAGAAACGCATCCACTGCACCCACTCCACATATTTAACCATCAAAGACGTCTTCCCAATGCTGCTGTCCCCCACCAACGCTGTTTTGAGATAAAGGGCCATGATCGCTGTGAGTAAGGTGGTTGAGGTGTTTGAGGTACTTGAGACAACTTAAATTAGCAAATGATGTTTCAATTTTTAAGCCTATTTTCAAGCTCATTTTCAAGTTCACTTCGAGACCGTTTAATTGATTAGAGTCATCTAACACACAACATGAGAGGATACGCGGATATCAATTTGCTGTTGGTGGGTTGAATGTTGCGAATCAATCCCTCTCACATTCCATCTTCAGAGCATCGCTGTTGCCATTTTATCGCTTTTGATCATCTCTCCCTACGTTTTCACTTATGAGGCTACTAGGACAGCCAGCGTTGGGGAAAGAGAAGCAAGAGTTGCAGAACGTGAAAGCTCAGTGGCTGCGAGGGAAAGCAATCTCTACTGGAAGTCTATTCCGCCCCCTGACGTAACACAAGACGAGGAGGAGGAGTGCAATCATGATACGATTCTACTACGCGAGTTGGAGTTTACTAAGAGAGAAGCAGGATTGCATAAACGTGAAGCTAGCATCGCGCGCAGAGAGGCGTGGTTAGTTGATAATTGGTGGGTGAAATTTGGAATATACGAGACATTGTGAGACTCACACACACAATCACACGCAGGCCACACTAAACATATATATGATAGTCATTATGAATGAATAAAAGATTAAATAAGATTTGCAGTTTGATTTGATCCATGGGGCAGGTCACCTACGTCACACACCTTCTAGACGCCATTGCTTTGTGATTGAGAGCGTCTGAAGAGTACAGCATCGTTAAGCTCGTTGAGCATGTCGATAGTCATTTGGAAATCAACACATGCGTCTGTAATAGAAACACCGTGCTTCAAACCAGATGGACCCTCAGCTGGGACATCCTGTCTACCCTCATTGATGTTAGATTCCGCCATAACACCGACAATCGAAGTGTTACCACCGCGAATTTGTTGAGAGATGTCCGAAATAACTTTAGGCTGGTTGCGGTGGTTCTTGGAGCTGTTTCCGTGGGAGCAATCAATCATAATTGCAGGGTGGTTATCTGGACGAGCCTTCTTAATGGCAGCCTCAGCAGCTTGGACAGAATCCTTGTCAAAGTTAGTACCCTTAGTACCACCACGCAAGATGAGATGGAGATCAGCATTACCTGCAGTTTTCACGATAGCGGCTAAACCTTGCTCAGTGACACCCATAAAGGAGTGTGGGTGAGCAGCGGAGCGGATAGCGTCAACGGAGACACCGACACTGCCATCAGTGCCGTTCTTGAAACCGATTGGGAAGGAGACACCAGAGGATAACTCTCTGTGGAGTTGAGATTCAGTGGTACGAGCACCAATTGCGCCCCAGCTGACGAGATCAGCGAGGTATTGAGGGGAAATGGTGTCAAGGAGCTCACAGCCGACAGGAAGACCTAACTCTGTGATATCACAGAGAAGTTGTCTGGCTATACGCAAACCCTTGTTAATCTTGAAGGAGCCGTTGATGTCAGGATCGTTGATGAGACCTTTCCAGCCAACAGTGGTACGTGGCTTCTCAAAGTAAGCGCGCATGATGATATGAAGACCAGGCCAATTAGGCAGCTGTTGCTTGAGCATTTTAGCGTATTCGATGGCTTGTTCTGGGGAGTGAATAGAGCAAGGACCGATGACGACGATGACTCTATCGTCCCTCTTGTGGATAATGTTGGCAGCGATGTTTCTGCCAGTGGCGATTGATTGTTGGGAGTTAGGAGTGGACATGATTTCATGCTGTAAGAGGGCGGGTTGTACGAGTGGATCGTAGCCAATGATGCGTACATCGTCTGGGGAAGGGAGTTACAAAGAGAAGGGTAAAGAGGAATAGCGACAAACCCTTGTAATCTTCCATATCGACTTGAGAAGTTGCGTCGATGTTGCTGTCGACGTTGAGCATATTAGCAGAAGACATGGTGGTGGTATGCGGATAAGGAGGGAATGGATCGATTGACAGATTTATAAATACACAAAGCCGAACGCGGGAATATAAAATTTAATAAAATAGCCGTGAATTTAATCAAATTGCCTGATTTGGGTGAATTCGCCGTCTTTTCTGAGTCAATTTGAGTGTTTAACGGAGTTTCAAGGAATTTTAAGTGGGTTCAAGTGAATTTCAAGTGTTTAAGATTATTTAATAGTGTTTACTATTAATAATCAGTGACACTTAAAATTACTAGTGAAATTAGAAATACATAGTTACACCCCAACCACCATGCTCAAATGAGATACCTTGAAATATCCAAGCACAGCTCTATATCCCCGAACGATCTCATAAATTCAATAAACAAGGCAAACCTAACGCCACCACTGCAAGTACTCTACAACAATCACAATGACGTCTTCTACTTTGAATTTGCACACAGTATTGATGCTATTGAGGCGCTGAAATGGTGTGATAAGTGGGTTAGATTGGTTGGTGGCAGTAACGGTGATCAAGTACAGTCACAGGTACACTCAGAGCAATACCCACAGCCACACTCCCTCAACCAGCACTCATCCTCAGGTCCGCCTGTTGGTAGCATCCTAAATCCACTCATAGTAACTCACTCTGATCCGATCTCGCCCCCACTTTCCCCCAAATCACCCAAATCACCCAATTCCTCTTTGTCTACTTTTAACGCTTCTCCACCGCAGAATTTGTTTGATGTATTAGCCTCGTTGCCTGGTGCAAATACAAACACTGTAAACACTGTAAACACAGCCAACACAACACAAAGCATACACACTCCACACCGCACACAAACACCAAACAACTCCCTCCCTCCCATCCTCAACACTGGCAGCCAGGGACCGATGCAGATGCAACCCGGCGACTGGGTGTGTTCGTGCGGCTTCGTTAATTGGAGGAGAAGGAAGTCGTGCTACCGGTGCTATCCATTTGCAAATGGTAATGAGAGTGGTAGCGGTAATAATGGGGAGCTGGCTAGGGCTGCTCAGAAGGCTGCTCAGTTGGCTGAGGAGGGTTTGAGCGAAAGTCAAGACAATCAAGACATTCACAACACCCAAGACACTCACAATTCTACTCACAACGATTCTGCGTTTGCGTTCGACACACATCTTCTTAATGTCGGCTTGGGCCGTTTGGAGCTGAACCAGTTGGACCATCACCCACATCACCCAGAACACCCCACCTTAGACTATCGCACTTTCTTGGCGTCCAGAAAGGCGTGGGACAGCGGTAATGATGGTGGTTTTAATGGCGGCGGCGGTGGTGGTAGCGTCGGAGTGGATCACAACGCGCACGACACCTTTGACCAACTTGGGGAAATCTTGCAGCGCGTGCAGTCAAGCCGTTGACTGGAGAGCGAATGTGGAATGTGGATGGACACAGGAACACATAAGCGTGTGGATGGATATCAACACATGATTTTTCCGGTATTTTTCTTATCTTTTCTGATGACCACTTGCTTTCTTGGATACCATTGAGTATGAGCACGAGTTTATCTATTTCTACTTTTATTTATACATTTCCAAACGCAATTCCGCATTCTTGTATAACAAATCAACTCATTCAAGTCATTCTAAAAAGTACCCAACTCCTCACTGACAATAAAGTCCGCCTCTGTGTTCCTTCTGACGTCGTCGAGGGTAGAATCTTCAGCGACATCAGTCAACACCAATGTGCCACGCTCGTAGTCGACAGCAAACACCGCCAACTCGGTGATAATTTTCCATATGCATCGTGAGCCCGTGAGAGGGAGGCTGCATTGATTAAGCACTTTACTGCGACCGTACTTATCGTTGTGTTCCATGAGCACCATGATGCGGGTATGTTTGGGGTTACTGACGAGATCCATAGCACCGCCCATACCTGTAGGTGGCTAGTCAGCGATAAAACGTCTCCGGCTAAGCACTAAGCGCTGCTTCAGGAACAACCTACCCTTCATCAGCTTGCCCGGTATCATATAGTTGGCGAGGTTGCCAGCGCAGTCGACCTGAAAAGCGCCCAGCATGCTCACGTCAATCCTTCCACTCCTGATCATGCCGAATGACTCATCACTCCCGAATGCCGCGGCACCTTTACGCAGCGTCACTGTCTCCTTACTCGCGTTGATGGTGTCGGGGTCGACAGCGTCTGCGTGGGGATAGCCACCGATATTGAGCAGCCCGTTCTCTGCTTGAACAGTGACACCCGAGTGTGAAGGTATGTATTCGGGTACGCGGCCTGGTATCCCCACACCGAGGTTCACTACCTCCCCACTACCCACTTCGCGCGCTGCTCGACGCGCTATCCTGTCCTTGAGTGTGAGAGTGGGGACTTTCGTAGCCGCAGTCTCGCTCGCACCCCCGTCCTCACTCTTACCAGCCTCGCTCACGCGCAACACCTCAATCTCGGCAGAGGTCGTCGCAGGGCACACCCTATCCACATAGACACCGGGGACGTGTACGTGGTTAGGGTGAATGGCGCCAACATCTACGATTTCCTCCGCTTCGACGATGGTGAGAGGGGCGGCCTTTGCCATGACGCTGTTAAAGTTGTTAGCCGAGCTATTAAAGACGAGGTTGCCAGCGTGATCAGCGATTCGAGCGCGTACGATGGCAACATCGGCGTGTAGGGCGTGTTCAAGGAGGTAGTTGCGACCGCCGAACGAGCGCGTCTCACGGGGAGGCTGGTGAGCAAGAGCGTTGCCTGCGTCGTCATACGCACTCACCAGCCCGCCCACCTCCACAGCCGTGCCTGCGCCAGTGGGAGTGTAGAATGCAGGCACGCCGCGCGCGGCTGCACTCACCCGCTCTGCTATGCTGCCTTGGGGCGTGAGCTCGACGGTGATCTGCCCGCGTCTGTACCCCTCTTCCAAGGTGCGGTTGTTGCCGAGATAGCTGCAGATCAGTCTCGTCACTTTACCCGGCGTGCTGAGGAGCCGGGCCAGCCCCTTCTCCCCCACACCGGGATTGTTGGATATGGCGGTGAGGCTGTGCAGGTCTGTGCGGCGTTGTATAGCGTCGATCAACGTGCTTGGGATGCCACACAGCCCAAACCCCCCGCTGTACAGCCTCGTTCGCGATCGGAGGTCCGCGATCGCCGCACTGGCATCGCTGTACACCTTGCGTGGCTGCTGCGTGGTGTAAAGTCGCACGCTAGTTCGCACCCTTAAGCCCACGCGCACGCTAGTGTTGATAGCAGCTCGCGACGTCATCGATGATGGTGGTTGATAAGCAAGAGAAATAAAAATAAGATATAATACACTATCGCTAGCTTGCTCCGGCTGCCAGACTCGCCGACCAGCGCTTGCGCTGCCAGTTGAGCAGCACGGGGACGAGTTCAGCGATGCCGATATCCGGCCAGAACGCATCGACGACTTGCACGTGGGTGTTGTGGAGGGAAGCCTGGAACATGAGGAAGTCGCTGAAGCGGTTGACGGCAGAGGAGCGAACGAGGATGTCTAGTGGGGGAGAGTGGTGCGTCATGAGGTGGGCGTCGAAAGCGCGTCTGTCCCCGCCACTGTGGAGCATTGCGGTGGACATCTCGTCTCTGCTCGTGTACGGCATGCATATGTTGAGCGTAGCCCCGTCGTTGTGCTGCGTGCGCGTCTCGATCTCCACCAGCTTGGCGCGCACGTCGGCGCGCAGGAGGTGGGTCGCGCCCAGCACGGCTATACGTACATTATGCTGCTGCACGATATCACCGTGCTGCGCGATCTCGGCGAGCTTTTCACTCGCGAGCCCCATCAAGTATTCCACCTCGTCATCCCCCCGGTTGAAATTCTCGATGGAGAAAGCGTATACGGAGACAGTGCGTACGTGGAGACGCAGGCAGAATTCAAGCACGCGCCGTAGCCCCAGGAAGCCACCCTCGTGGCCACTCTTTATCGCTAGGTTGTGCTGCCGGGCGAATCGCCGGTTGCCATCCATAATGAAACCTATGTGGGATGGTACACCGCCGAGCTTGAGCACAGAGATTAGCAGCTGGGATCGCCAGTCGCTGAATTGCTGCTTGGAGGTGTACGTGCTGAGCGTGGCGCGTGGAATCACGTCGGGCTGGAGTGCTGGATACGGGGATGACATGGTTGATGGGCTGCAACCATGTTGGATGAGCTGGATGGCGACCACGTCGATAGCATCGAGGAGCTCTTTGATGAGGGTTTTATAGCGTCGTTGGGGAGCGCAGGCAGTGGCAGTGGCAGCACCAACATCAACACCAATATACACACCTGCACCACCTGCTTCAAATCATTTCCCTCCCAATGGAACCTCGACAGACACGCTACTATTCACTCCCCCGACAAAGACTTCAAGTGTGCTTTGTGTGGTAAAATTTTCGCATTGAAAGACAAATACCAGCAACACCTGCGGAGGCATAGGGGTGATGTCACAAAGCACACTTGTCCAGAATGCGGGAAAGAGTACACGGACAAATCCAGCCTCAAGCATCACCTAGCAACGCACAACACACCCAGACAGCGCTACAAATGTCCAATATGCAATCTATCCTACACGAAACCACGAACGACCAAGATGCACATACTACGAGAACATCTAGAGGGGAGGGAGGGGGTGAATGTGAATGAAATACCACTGGATGAGGGTGTTTACGCCTTTTTCTAGACGGCTTAATCGAATACAGTGTCCTCGGGTGCACAGCGGTGTAGATGGCCATCACTCCTCACCGTCACGCCATCGACATCGCGCGGTAGAGACTTGCGCATGTCGTATGCATCTTCGTGGTCGCCGTAGTAGCCAACGACGCGCCTGAAGACGGAGTAGCCGAGTTTTGTATACATATGGATGGCATTGGAGTTGGTGAGGCGTACGAAGAGGTCGACAAAGTAGGTGGGCGAGAGCGTAGCAGAGAGGTGCTCGCATGCTTTCATAAGCTCGCTGGCGAGACCAATCTTGCGATGAGTGGGGGATATAGAGAGAGCGGTAACGTGGCCGTGGTGGTCCAAGCCCCGCCCTTCAATTTTACCGAACAAATAACCCATCAAGGAGGAATCAGGGTGCGTGAGGCTGATGCAGATATCAGGCCAATTGATGAGGTATTGCTGGTAGAACGAGATGGAATACGTCTCTGTCCAGTAATCGAGGTTTATTTTATTGAAATTCAGAATATCCGTCGATTTAAAGCTCTTTATCGTCGTCATTGATGAAGGCAGAAGAGCGGAGCGTGGTTGAGGCGTTGGGCGAGTTGGGAGTACACAGGAGAGAGTGTGTGAGGGAGAATGATGAAAATATCCCCACAGACACACTCCACGCGGATTTGATGAGCAATCTCAGGCTGATTTCAGTGCATTTGAACAAACTTGTAATCTCAACAAAGAAGCCAGTGAATTGGAGTTTATTGAACCAGCTAATCCCAGACTTGAATGGATATCTGAATAATCTAGTTTTTATTCTGAAATCCACAAAGTCTCACTTGCTCAAGAAGAATTGGCTGGGTATCTTCAACGACATCCTCGATAACATCCATGGATTACTGTCCAGCGTTATAGAATACAGCTACAGTGATATCATGAATCACGCTGAAATCATTCATCAAATATCCCTCTCCAATCTCCCTTGTTCTGAACTACAGGCTTTGAAGACGTCCCTTTACTCCCTCCTAGACATATTCAAGGACACGCAAAACGAGATCAGCGATTTAGACCTCGTTGAAAGCGACTTGTCGGACAAAGGTCAGAAAATTCTCAAAATTTCTCACTCACTTCCCAATAAATTCGAGCAATTGATAGACTCAATAAAAGATACAGACAATCTCCATCAAATACACACTAAATCCACCCAGTTGTCAGATATCTGGGATGACGTAGTGTACAACCTCGATGACGATCATTCGGATGACTTTAACCAGTCAGCTGATAACTTGATGCGGGTGTACAACGACATATTTAGCAGCGTGCAAGTTGACCTATCCAAGTTGAAGATATGAGGACTGCGACATGTAATAACCTGATTTTCCCACGTCGTACATAAATCACATCTGACCTCAGCACATGATTTCCATTAGAAGAACAACGATGAGCCCAATAACACACGCGCTTAGAAAAGCCACAGTGGCTGCACCGCTTGCACGACCAGCCACAGCCACAGCCACAACTACTGCCAGACAAATACACCGCACAGCACCCCTCTTGAAAGCCCTAGACAACAAAGCAACGTCGTCATGGCCAGAAGGCAGCTCATCACGTCCACACACCGAGTACAAGCCAGTTGAAGGTCGTGAAGGCAAGACGGCCAGACTGATATTCCGCATAAAGCCATCAGATATCCCGATGGAACTGCTGCCTCTGTTTGCGGCTGTTGGCTTCGCTGTCGTTGGCGCATCGGCGTACGGCGTTTATGCGCTCTGGAATGACAAGACACTGCGTGTGCACAGACACGGCGAGCGTAAGTAGGAGTTGGCGAGGATGACGATTGTAACGCTTCTGTAACGACATGACGAAATGAATATGTATTTCTGTTTCCTTTCAACTCCTTTACTCCCGCTTGGATTCTCCTACCGCTTGCGTCTTCTCGCCCTGCGCTTTTATCCCGTAATCCGCCGTGAATCGCCAATGAACAGCGTTGGTGAGCCCAACATCGCCGCGAACAACGCCAAGCATCTTGAGAACGCCCTTGAATAACACCAGTGTGAGATAACATCCAGATAGCTCTAGCACCCAATGCAGCGCTCTGTGCTCAAGCAGTACGTGTGCTTGGAAATACTGCAGATAGCAATTCACGCCTACTATAACGAGGTATATCGGCAGACTGCGCCGCATCACCATCTTGTCTTTGTCCGACAGCCTCCTCAGGTGTCTCTCTACGCTGTTTGGTGTGCTCATTTGGAAGCCCGGGTTTAGGAAGCCACATCCCGAGTGGATCTTTCAGACGTAAAAAAAAAGAGTCATCTTATTCAATTTCATTCGCATTGTAGTGTTTACATGTTTTGTTGACGTCACTCTCCCTCACCCACGCCGTATCTCAAACAAGGTCCAGCGATGTTGACATTGTGGAACGCAGGGACTTGCGACTTTTTCCTGTGTATATGTTCCAATGTGCGTTTGAAGTGACTGACTACGTTGTGCACGGTGAGGTTAACGTCAACGGTGGATGGTGCTTTCAATTCGACGCTGATAGGGTGGTTATCAACCGCGTCTACTTGGTCTATCTTGGTAGAAATGCACTCTACCACACCATTAGCCGCATTACTAAGATTTGCAACGCTCTCCACGCCCGCCCCATCCTCGAGATACATGAGGTATGTGTCAAGGATATCCACATAAACTTGTGCGCTAGTGAGTGGATCGATGAGGTGGGATGCAATGTCGGCTGCTCTACCCAACACGCGTCCCAACTTATCTTCCTCATGGGTATATACACCGGAAGCCACCATGAGCGACTCGGCCTGGTGCGACTTCTTCACCATCTTCGCTGCGAGGTTGATCAATTTATCTGCGAGCGTCGCGTAGTCGTGTGCGTTCACCTCCAGCCTTTGCAGCGCCCGCGTCGCTTCTGCCACCAATCGCATCTGGTATTTGGAGCTGACGACCTGCTCCTCGACCAGCAGCAGTGCCTCGCTGAACAGCTCGTACGCCACCGCACCCATCTCCTTCTCCTTCTCCTTCTCGGCTGTCGACGCCGCCGCGGCCGCGCGGATGAAAAGGCGTGCGCAGTCCTCGGGTGTATCTGCCAAGACGTGTAGGTGGAAAATAGACTGGTGGATGAAAGCAAACAGTGCATCGTGCGCATACGACCTGCTTAGCTGTATAGCGCGAGTGACGAGGGTGGGGAAAGTGAACACGATGCGTCGCCCGCCCCTGCCCAGTTTCTCGCCCGTCTTTCTGAGCAGCGCGAATTGTGTAGGAGGGTCATCTGAGTGGAAGAGGTGGATGAGGCGCGCGAGTGAGCCTTGCTCGCTGGCCAGCTCCATATCCGATTCTGAATCTGTATCTGTTGCGTCGTGGGGCGCATCGCTGATAAGCACCGCGCATAGGTCGAGCAGGTCACCCACATCCTGCTCGTCGGACACGATTGTGTGGCTGTCGAGTAGCGCGCGGCAAATGTCCTGCGCGACACTCTTGCGTGAGTGGTATGGCTGCATGCGCAATAGCGGCGCGTAAGACGTCAAAGCGAGCAACGTCAACATACTCTTGTAACTCCCAATCGGCGCGCGCAGCAGCGCAAGCACATTCGTAACCGTCGCAGGTGAGTGCTGTGGCACCTCATCTAGCTTCGCCTGCGTGAACGAGAGCACTTGGTCGACATATTCCAATCTGTCCGGGTAGCAGTTGAGCGAGAGAACAAGCAACGAGCCCAATAACGCAGTTATATCCTGCATAGATAGATCTGGACGTGTGTCTATCAGCCTCACTATCTGCTCCCAGAACATCTCGAATAGCTTAACAGAGTGTGGGATTCCGCGGTATTTCTCCACTTCTTCTTCTCGTCCTTTACCTTTACCTGAGGTCTTTTCTGAGGTGGCACTGCCATTCTTTTCACCTTCACGCTTCGCCCTCACTTTTTCCTGCAACCGCTTCTCAATCTCGACATCCTGTTGCTTGAGATCTTCGGGCGACTGCTGCTCAGCCTCTCGCCTCGCATACTGTGAGAGGCGGTCAATGAGGGATATGACAATCTGCTTGATGTTGACGCGAGTATTGAGCTGCGACGCGGCTGTGAGAAAAGGCGTGAGAGTGTTGAGTTGAAATTCATCCGGGAACACTTGTATAACGACCTCCATGAGATACTCCTGCGCAATAACGTCACGACAGTTTACGACCTGCTCGAGTATGTTGGGGAGTATGACAGACTGATATGTGTGCAAGTCAAGTTCCTCGAGCTGCGAGAGACGCACGAGGTTGGTGCCGACAAGAATACGCAGCTCCTTCCTCTCCAATTCCCTCCTTTCCCTGTCCCTCGAGTGGCCCTGGTGTTGCAGTCTAACCCAGAGTTTGTTCATCTCGATAAAGTTGGAAAGAATAAAAGCGATGCTGTCGTTGAGTGTCCCCTGGCTCTTATCGGTGGAGTTCAGAGTCACTGGTAGATAATCCCTCGTCTGGCCCGACAGGTAGTGTCTAAGGAACAGGCCGCGGATCGGATGCTGTACCCCGCGAGACATTTCCATGATATCTTTGATTATCTCTCGGACGGGCGCGTCTGGAACAGACATGTACACTGAAGCCACAGTTATCATCAGGTAGAGTCTGGGGATGATGTTTGAAGCGTATTGCACCAACTCGTATAGATCAGCGAGGTGGTGCTTCGACGACATGTGTGCGTCGTATAAGTAGGTAGACAGAAAGCGGAGACTGTCGAATATTGACATGTACAGCTCGTAATAAGCTTTGGGGCCTAGAGAAGACGTTCGCAGCTCGGATAACATGGCAGAGGCAGATTTGAAAGCATCAATGAGCTCATCGCTGTCGAGGCATTTCTTCATTTGTATTTGGTGAGTCTGAGGTGTTGGCGTGGTGTTAGCCGTGAGCTCAGTGATGCGTGTCAGTTGACTCACTTTAACGGCACTCAAAGCCTCGATTAGTAGCTGCGTAGGGGATCAGCGTGGTCCCCGCGTGCTGTGTATATCTCCCACTTTGGGCTCATCCATTTGATAGATGATGGTTGTTTGATAAAGAGAAGCAACGGCAGTGGATGTCGAAACGATAACTGACAGCAACAGCAGCAGCAGTGGCCCATTCACTCTGCCCATCACACGTCTCCCCCCACTCCAAATCCGGTCACCCCGCTATAACCACCGTTAAGGAAAAAACGCGTAGATATTGCAAGATAAGGGTATGTAATTAGTCAGCTGGATTCCCTGATTGCAGCAATACCAACCATCTCTTACATCTCAACTTTCCAAATATAGAAGTCAGAGTATTTTATGCACTGCCCGCGATTTCACATTTTGAACCAGAACACTCATCAAGTAAATTACAAAGGCGTTGCGTTGAGTTGACAACACGTGCCATAACATATAAAGCAGACACAACACAAAACACATCGCACAAAGCACACAGCACAATGTCCACTCCTTATTACCAAAGTGCTTATCAAGACAGCACGCCTGGACTAAACAACGCTCCTTACAGTGATGACCCAATGAGCAATGAGGGTTTCAAGTACGCTGGTGGTGGCGCTGCTTTCGGTGGCGCACAGGTCGCAGCACCAAAACCCTGGTACAAGAAGAAGAAATTCCTTGTGAGTTACGTTGATTTGGCGTTGATGGCTGGGGCTGGGGCTGTCGACGTGGCTGCGTTGATTCCATTTTTTATTTTAATATTCAATCCGCCAATGATTCTGGATTCCGACCCTGTTGGTTCCTTATCTTAATTTAAAAATAACAGCCACCGTCATCACCGTCATTATCCAATAGCCACAACATCCACTAACACATGAAAAATCAGATTGGTATCCCTGCAGTCATCGCTGCTATCATCATAGCCTGTGTCGTTGGCGGTGTCGTCGGCTCTCGCAACGACGATGACAATAGCAACTCAAACGCCAACAACGCAGCTCAACCTTCCCCTTCAGACGCTGCTCAATCTAAATTATCAAGCGGCAGATTCTCAACAGACACCAATGATGCTGGTGTTCCTATCTACGGTAACAATGGTGTAAGCACTGCACAGCCTCTTTTCGTGCAAATTTTGACATATCTCAGACAAACTCAAAGCTTTTCCAAGCTCCTACCTTCCTCAGTGATCAAGATGACGAACTCAATCTTCCAACTTGCGACGAAAGCCCTCCTTCTTTCGACGGCGATGGTATTCAAGTCACCACTGACAGACCTCGTATTGGTGGTGTTGCTGGTCGCTGGGAATGCCTTAAAGACATGATCGACGCCGATGCATACATGAGCTATTGGAATCAGTCTATTTTCGATGAAGCTCAGCACTTCCTTGACACTCCAGCCCCAGCTTGGATCCCAGATGGTGGTTTAACTGGTTCTGGTGTACTCGACCAAGCTCGTGAATGTCAAATGGCTGTCAAGTCCTTGTCTTACGCGTATCGTATGACCAAAGACGATAAGTACAAGGATGGTGTTTGGGACCGTCTTCAAGTTATTGGTGGTGTCAAAGAAACTCCAGCAGGTACCGATGAAGATTCCAAAACATACGGTTCTGGAACTGAAGGTGAAACCAACAACTGGAATCCAAAGCACTTCCTTGATACGGCTGAATTCATGAACTCTTTCGCCATTGGTTACGATTGGCTCTACGACTCATGGTCCCAAGATGAGAAGGATTGGATCCGTGACACTCTCGTCACCTACGGTCTCAACCACTCTCAAGCTGAAAACAACTACTGGTGGAGAAGTGAATCGGGTAACTGGAACTGTGTCTGTAACGGTGGTATGATTAACTCTGCTCTCTCCATCTGGGAAGATGACACTTCTGGTCTCGCTGAGCAGATACTCAACGAAGCTCTTGAAAACGCAAAGTCGAACTGTGTTTATGGTGCTCGCGAAGACGGTACATGGACCGAAACTTCCGACTACTGGTACTTTGGTACCACTGGTTGGTCATTAGCCACATCCTCATTGATCGCTTCAACCGGTAATGAACAAGGAATGCTCACCACCAATCCAAACTTTTACAAGACTGCTGATTTCCATATGTACAACTTTGGTAACCAAGCTAAATTCGACTACGGTGACACTGGTCCAAACAAGTACACCGCCACCGCCAACGCTTTGGTCTTACTCGGTAGAGAAACTAAAACACCTGAATACATGCTCTACCAACGTGATCGCGCTGACGCTACTGACGCTTTCAACATGTTATGGTACGACCCTCATGTAGCAGGTGCATGGTGGAACAACATGCCATTGGACAGATACTTTGACGACTCCCACACTCAATGGGCTTCATTCCGTTCTTCATGGACCGACAACAAGGGTCTTTTCGCAGCAATTAAAGCGGGTAACACGAGTGGTCACCAAACACACGGTGATCTTGATGTCGGTGACTTTGTCATTGATGCTCTCGGTCAGCGCTGGGCTGGTGAATTGGGTGCAGCCAACTACCTCGGTGAAAACTACTTCAACTCTGAAGCCCAAGATGCAGAGAGATGGCAATGGTACAGAAAGGGCACTGAAGGTCAAAATGTTTTGTTGTACAACAACACAAACTCAAACGCAGGTGTTGCTTCAGATGCTGCTTTCGGCACTTCAAACACTACTCAAGGTGCAACAATGGATATTGACATTGATGATGACTCGACTGGTTTCTACACATCCGATATCACCAGCTCCTACTACGGTAACTCAGTCAAGCGTGGTTTAAGACTCCTTAACAAGCGTCGTCAAATCTTGCTTCAAGATGACATTGACACAGACGCGCAAATGCAATGGAGAATTCAAACTAACGCTACTATCTCGCTTAACGGTCAATCAGCTGATTTAGAATTGAATGGTGAAAAGATGACAGTCAGAATCACTAATCCTTCCTATACCGACCTTGAATTCGGCCAAGAGAAAGCTGAGCCAGATTCTTCAGATGAACTTCCCGAAAACGGTGAAGGTGAAAATGCTGCTATTCCAAACGTCGACTCGCACGGTAATGAGACTAACGTAGGTGTTGATGTCTTATAATCTTCTTATCATTAACATCATCTCAGGTCCTTACTATCGATATCCCTGCCGGTTCTTACAGCTTACAAATCTCGTTCGAACCACAATGGGACGGCATGTCATCGGATGACTTCCAAACCCCAAAGAATGTTGCTATCGACGATTGGTCGTTGAGGTCTCACGATGCATAACCGGCGTCTCTTTTTCAATTCTGCAATATACACACTCTCGTTTTATAACATTTTGATTATATCAATTTCAATCTTGTGAATAGAAGATTTCGAACAATGACAATGATACATTTCTTCGACGTCTACACGAGTAGTTTGAGCAATGCGACTGTCTTCCAGTTGTCTTGGTCCGTTGGATCAATGTGCAGTGCACGTTGAGCATCTTTCAATGCCTCCTCTGCCATTCCTCCGTCAGCTTTAGCCAGAGCTTGCAAGGCGACATTGCTAGCGTTTAATCTGGTCGCAATGCTGTCGTCGGCCAATGCTACGTTCACACCCAGATCTTTCTTGTCGGTTGCTAGTAGCAGCTTGGAGAGGTCCCTCTTGAGGTCTTGAGCGTATGGCTCGAAGGATAACTGCTTAGTGAGCATTCTGATTGTTGAGAGTGTGTCTCCCTGTGTAAATGTTAGCGTAGCATCTCATTAATCATCTCACCTACGCTCATCAAAGTATTCTGAACGAGCAGCTTGTGCACACCCCTGTGCTTATCAATCTCGCTGCGCTTGTCAATGGGCATAGACAGGATTTCAGACAATGCAGCATCGAGCAGCCCACCGTCGTGTGTGAGTATACCTATAGCTGCGAGGGTGGAGATAGCAGGGAGATACTCGCTATCAATTTCCACACACTCCAATAACACAGACGTAGCCGAGTCTCTGTCGCCCTTACACCACAAGAGCTGCGCGAGAAGCACACCAGCATCGACATGTTTAAACTCGTCGAAAGCATCTTTGATGGGTGTGTGCGACGAGTCGCTATAATACCCAGCCAGTCCCAAGCCAAGCATAGCTGACAGCTTCATATCTTTTTCCTCCTCTTCGACCAGACTAAGAGAGATATTGAATGCTTCTATTGCGCCACCATACTCTTCCAACGCGAGTCGGATCCTGCCTAGCGAAACATTTGCAAGGGCGTAATTCCTCTCAGTTTCAGCACTCTCGCTATCTTCATACGCAGCCTCGAGGAGCTCGACACAACGCTCTATCTGTGCTCGTGCTACGTCGTGCTGTCCTAGGCGCTCACTGACAAGGGCGTGCAGATGCAGTCCGGCGCAGTCATTCGGACTGTCCTCTGTGAACCTCTGCATCGCGTAGTTTTGACGATGCATTTCGGAGCTTTCCGCTGCCTTGTTGTGAGCAAATGCGAATCCAAAGTTGCTCTCAAGCTGTTTTTGGCATGGTTAGCTTGAGTTTAGTGAAAGAAAAGTACACTAGAATACGAACCTCTGAGCCGCCTGATATAGTAAACGAGTGCTCGTACAGCATCCTGGCATCCTCGTGTCGACCTTCCGATGTCGCGAGGATGGATAACCCAACCCATGCATACACATAGTCTGGATCAACTGTCTGGGATTTCTTGAGTGCATATCCAGCCAGCTCGGCATCCTTCTGTGCTATATACAAGAAACCTAAGTTGGTCCAGTATGTGGGGTTACGTCCATCGATCTCAATGGCTTTGATGTACGAGTGCTGAGCAAGTCGCGCATCACTCTCGAATACAAGATTGCCTAGCGCGTTCCAATAGTCATCATTGCCAGGCTCAGAGCGTAGAGCGTTCCTTACTGCCGCAATTGACAGCTTGGACGTATCCTTTTTAACATCTGCCTCTGACTTCAATGAGCTTTGTTTAGAAAGCTCCTCAAGAACGATAGCGAGATCATACCACGATGACCCCACGCTATCTGGTCTGCCGAAATCCAAAGTGATTGCAAATTCGCTGGTGAGTATTGCCACCATAACACAGGCTCTGTTGATTGAGCTTCGCGTGTTGATCGTGTTGCTGATCCTACCCAAGTCGATTATATCTTTGCTATGAAATTTCCCTAAGATATCTTCCTCCTTCACTACGCTAACTATAGTCTCGACAGCTTCACTGAGATCTGAACGCACATCCAAAGCGGCCAGCTTAGCCAATCCATAGAAAGCATCACTAAAAACCTTCCACGCTACCCTCAAATACTTCTCTTGGTGAACAAGAGTAAGGGCATGTTTAACTGACTCAATGTAGCTCTCGACGGCTCGGCCTTTGAAGCCGCTCATTGTCTCATAACGTGCTTGTGAAATATATGATTGAGACAATGCAACCACAATCGCGAGGTTGTTTTTATCGTAGATAGACTTTAAAGTCTCAATAGCCGATGCGTGGAATCCCATCAAACGCAAGACGTCAGCAGTAGCATAAAGAGCTAGCCAGTTATCTGCACTATTATCCAGTTCCCTACTCTTACCGAAAGTTTTTAGAGCAGCAGAATGACGTCCGGCAGCTGCATAGCTCTCACCAAGACGCAACCAGCTCGACATATCGGCAGTATTTGCACGCAAAGCGATCTGGAATGCTTCAATAGCAGCACCATAGTTATTTCTGTTGAGTTCAACCACACCAATAGCTTTCCATGCCCAGGCGTTTCTACTGAGATATCTACCTTTAACCAATTCTTCGACTGTGCTACCTTCACCTTCGACGGTCCTCCTGGCTACAATTTCCACTAAATCCCATTCCTTTTCATCTGCGAAACCATCAGCTAACCATCTCGCTGCTTCTGTTTCGCGGCTATCCAACTCGAATGCCTTTTGGAAACACTTGGACGCGCGTACGACATCGATTGGTTGAGCTACCTGTAAATAGTATAGACCAAGGTACGTGAAAGATGGTGCATATTTGTTGACGTGTTTGATTGATTGTATGAAGAGTGAGTAGGAGCTCATCTTCTCCTGTCCACCTTGCTCCCAAAGACATTTGCCTAGCTTGAAATAGCATCTTGCTTGGTGGGTTGCGACGTTCTCCATATCATCTCTCTTAGAAAGCTCATCCAACACCTCCTCTAGCCCAGCTTTTCCGCTTGCGTAATCAGATTGCATCACATAGCACCAACTGTGCTCCTCTTTCGCAATAAGGTTGGCGGGATCGATGGTAATAATCCTTTGGAATACTTCCCTCGCTTGTTCCCACTTGCCGCCATACTCCATACAGGTTCCTTGAGCAGTTAGAATGTCAACGTCTTGAGGGCGCAGGTTGAGAACGTTGTAGATATGCCCCATTGCTCTCATGTGATGCTTGGGAGGGAAATTATAAGTGAATGAGATTGCAAGTGTGCGTTCAAAAGCCAAATTGTGCAAGTCGTACGTTAGACTACTGTCTTTAGCGAGTACAGTACAAAGATCAAGACCTGCATCTGAGACAGCTGAAGCGTCTTCAAATTGCTTCTCAGTCTCGTAAACAAAGCTGAGTACTCTATGAGTGAAGAGAGAGCTGTTGTTTGATTCAATACCATCAATAATTGCGTTGAGTGCCATGTCCTTTGGCATGATAGGCGTTGGATCATCTTCCAATCTGAAAGAAGGAAGATAAGCAAATAAGCCATTTATGACGCCGCAAAGAGGGTGATCTGGGAATAATGCTTGGAAGCGTCTGAGCAGGATTGCATTGTATTCATTGAGATGTTCAACATTGCACCACTCAATTATTGTAGTCCACGCTAACAAATTGGGGACATTTATTGTCACCATTCCTGTTGCCATAGTCATGACTTGGTGGATAAGTTGTTGCTTGAGATCTGCTTCCTTGAGGGATGTGGCTAAGAGATGGTCATGTTTGAATTTGAAGAGGGCTGCTTCGATGTCACGCCTCAGTTCGTCGGATGTGAGTGGATGATTTAGTATTTCCAAGTAAAGGGGCTCTAACTTGCTGTCTTTTGAAGATTCAGATATCAAGTTCTTCTCAATAATATCCCTTTTTGGCGCGCCCAAGCGAGTTCTCCTTTTTTCCATCTCAGACCACCTCCACTGAGACATGTTTGAGAGGTGTATGTCCTTCAACTGAATAAGAATTGGCAATGAATCGTAAATAGCGCATTGTGATTCGTAAGTAGTGGTAAGGAGAGGCTGGGTATGATCTGGTGGTGGTAGAGTGGTCAACAAGTCGTAATATTTTGAGCCAGGCAAGTACCAATGGAGGCATTCTGTCAAATCGTCGATGTTGTTGAGTTGCTTGTGAAGCTGCAATAGCTTTTGAATAGTCTCAGCTAATTTCGTAGCGTCTGAGCTGTGGTAAGTGTGGGTGAGAGGACTGTCTTTTCTTTAGTGAAAATCAACGCACGCGTCGTGGAACAACTCAAGCAATTCAAACAGAGTCTTTATGAGTCTATTCCAGTTTTCACATTTCTCATAAAAGCTGGCCAAGCCCTTTGAGAAAGGGTTAGATTTTGTGGATGAGTGAGTGAATGGCTCACCCTCCAAGCGAGTAATTGAGTTGGATTTGATTCGATAGCTCTCCTATAAGCCTTTGATAGGAGTTGTGAGTATTATTCTGTTGATTCTACCTATATAACAACCTTCTCTGCACCGATTTCGTCACCCAAATTTAGCAGAGCTAAACCGTGGAAGACGTTGGCATTGTAATTGAAAGGCTCAAATGTAAGAATTCCTTCTACCGATATCTTTGCCTTATCAAAGTCCTTAGCATCCAAAGACTCTTTTGCTGATTTCAATTTGGCCTTTGATGACATAGCTTGAACAAGGACAATGAGGCGGGCAATTGGTGCATTTGGTGCACTTGACAGGATGAGAACGCGCATCTGTAGAAGTCATAAATTTCACTCCACGGCTTCAACAGGTTCTTCAAACGGATCAGACGCATCAGATTCTTCAGACTCAACGTGGAAGACAATTTTCAGTACACTAGAGAACGATTCCACTTCACTTGATAGGCAAGAAATACGCAATTTGAAGCCTAGTGATACACTCCCACCCCTTATCGGAAATCGCAGGCAGCTTTCAAACAAGAAGACTAACATAACTGCACAAGAATCTGAAATATTTGAAGATATTCTCAATCTTCTATTCCAGCATTCACCTAATCAACATCAATCGATCGATAAGCGCAAGTTGCCTAAGCGTCCACGACTCAAACAATCTGATACAGATCTTCTACTCGATAAGTCAAGGGAGGAGCTACTAAGCTGTAGTAACCCCGTTGAGCTATTTAATTGGTCAAAACTCAACGTTTTAGACGTCGATCCAACGAGTCCCACTCTCCCTTATCTCCTCACTGACCTCATGGTTGTCTTCAGGGATACTTACAATAACCCACATCTCTCCTTGTCCATATTTAAATACGTTAAGAACAGAGGCGTATACCATTATGTTCTCGGATGCACTACTCCCGCGTATAATGAACTTATAGCGACGAAATGGGCATCATTTGCAGATATTAATGGTGTCAGGGATATTCTCGAAGAAATGCTTACGAATGGCGTGAAGCGTGATGCTCGTACAGAGCAATTAGTTGAAGATATACGCAATGACGTCATGAAGCAACATAACAACGATATCGACGAACAACTTGCAGCGACGCTTCTCAGGATGGAGTATACGTCGTCTAAACCTTTGAAACCTTCGGAGAAATCGTCTTCCCGGTACATGTAACATTATTGTAAGATTCATCACAAGACATTTGAGTCAAATGCACCTGTGTGAAATATTAGTGCTTTATCACACAACAACCATGTTCAAAGGAGCAAGATTAGTTAACTCATGCGCACTCAGATGCAGCACTCGTAGATACGTAATGACCCAAGACGGGGCAACTGCGAAAGCTGTGCAGTGGAAAGAGCGTGAACAGGCACTAGAGAAGGCTTACATTGCCACAAGAGATACTGAAAACCTCCTCAAGTTGAAAAACAGTCTTGAGAAGAGCATCGAACACATCGACAGTCACTTAAACGCACCGCCCGAGAAGGTACAGAAATCAACTCTTACAAACTCACTAGAGAGTGAGCAAGACCGCACAGCTCAGATTGATTCACTTGAGAAAGAGCTCGAACTCATTTCCAAGCGCTTGGCTTCGTTGGAAGCGGGCTCAAGACATATTTGAGTTTTTGACTGCTATCACGAATAAATAAACCGATACAAACATCACGGCCTCATTTTGTTACTATCATACGCATTGAATATTTTCTCTACCATGGTCTTGCTTGATGAGTTACTGTCTAATCTTGAAAGAGTCAGTTGAAGCATCAGTTTGAGCGCGCTCCTTGGTAATTCCTTGCAAGCATCTATCTGATTAAACATAGCCATCACCGTACCTCGATCTGGATAATTGTGTGCTGATAAATAGACACCGGCTTCCCATTCAGGTCTTTTCCCAATAAGGACATCCCTAAGCACATGCTCTTCCACGCCACCTTTGCAAAGTGTTCGGATAGCGTAAGTTATCATTGAGCTTTGCAGCAGTGGTGCGAGATAACCTAGCACACTCCTTAATGTGCCTCTATATGCGGCCTGCAGGTAATTGAGCTCGCGAGCACTCAGAACAAGCTCTGTCGAGTTAGACCGAGAGTATGTCTTTTTATGTGCAAGATTGCATAAGCGGTTCAAGGTCAAATGATACCAAACACTGACAGGCTTGTCATTAGACAGCGCATCCAACAGCACAGCATCGATGAAATTGCAGCTGCCTCCAGACCTAGCGAAGCTTGCTAGAGACGACAAACTGCCACTCAGCTCCAGACTATTACCGACTTCTTCGTAGTTTTCGGAACGTAGCAGCCCCTGGTCGGGTGTGAGATCCGTCCTCAGGTTGGCTACAAGGTCAAGTCCAGCCTTATTTCTGCTAGCGGTAGACTTCAGATTGCGAGGATCAGCTGCGTAGCTCAAATATCCTGCTTTCTTCTTAACGTAGAAAGTCTGTGATGTCTTGAGATTCTTCAGACTGTTCTCATCGTTGAAATCAATAACAAGCGGCCAATATCTGGGCGAATCAATCTTCAGGCTGAGCAGTCTAGAATATTTGGGCACGAGCGTTGGCGCTATCATCCTCATGCTTTTCGGCATCTTGTCCAATTCGTCGACAGCCTTGATCTTAATGGGAACATAGACAGCCTCATTAGTCTTGACATCGCGCGGAATAAAGCATCGTTTCTGTACAGCCTTCACCCACAAATGTCTGTATGCGAATGAATGGTTTGACTGATCGGCTGGCGTCATTGGCCATTTGGGGTACAGAGCGCACAAGAGGAATCCAACAGCTTCGTTTGAGTTAGTGAGCGTGTACTCTCCGCCTCCTAGAAATAGTAATCCAAGTGCCATATGCGTCGCCATCTGTGAGCCGAAGTTTCTGCCACTTGATGCACCGAATTGACCGTGAGCTATGCGGAGACGCTTCAAGATTCCAAGTTCGCCAGTGCCAGCCATAACCGCCGCTAGTGCTACGGTTATTGTGTTCAGACCTGACCTGATTGCTGCTCGTTTCACTTTGCCCTCGTATGTGATAGCTGGAATGGGAGTCAAAGTGTCAGTCCATTAACCATCGCATTGTCACACAACCCACATTTAATCGATGCGGCTTGTGTGAAGAGATCCATATAGTAAAGTAGACACTCAAACGCATCGTCTTCGGCTGTACCCGCAAATTTGAGTCCTTGAGCAAGACATGCGCCGGCGACGATGTTGTAGTAGCCCAATTCGATACTATCATCCACAGACTCAAACCTATCCTTCTTTCTATCAAGAGCAGATCGTATGAACTGGGGTATTTGACTCTCAACCCACTCCTTCTTCCTGCCAATCGAATCCCACATGATGAGATTCTTGGCGAGAGTTCTAAATAGGAGGAAATCAGGTCTGATCCAATCTAATTCAGTGGAGTTGTGGGGTAGATCCATTAGAGACGCCACGTCGCTTCTCTCAGACTTTAGAAACCACATTGCGAGTGCCAGTGTCGCGCCGGGACTGGTAAAGTTGGCGTCAAGGGCGTCAAACTCGATGCCCGACTTGTTGTGGCCGTGCTTATCGCCATGCATATAGTGTCTCAGTTTTGTAATCATCTGCGTCTCTGATGGCGATGTCGCTTCTTTACCTTTCGCGAGCATGACTAATCCGAAGCCAAGAGCTGCCGATAACGAGTAGCTTCCTCGCACGCTACCCTTTCCTTCGTTTGAAGGGACATCCACTCCACCGATCTCGCCAAGCAGAATCTCAGCCTGGCGTCTCTGCCGTGTACCAAGGTGCGCAACACCCAAGCTGAACAGTCCTGCCGCCTGTGTGAGCCCCGAAAGATTGAATTCCAGTTGGTGAGTTGGTAGTATCGCGGGTACGTGTAGCGAGAAAGCCCCTATCAACCGTTCCGGCGGATCGCCTGCATAACTGATAGCAACACCAAGCATCGTCCCTATTGTCATAAATTCATTCTTGGGCTCGAGGAACTTCTGCACGTGCCCCAGCCACATACTGCGCAAATGGCCATTCATTCCTAGCCCCAGCATCAGACCAGAGTGACGCGCTGACATGACATTCTTGCTCGGTTTATTTAGCATGATCCAGCTCTCGTCCACTGTGAGCTGCTCATTCAGCTTCAAAGCTGAGGCGACACCATTTGAAAACTCCCCCCATTCTTTGAATTCAGTCATGATTGCTGTGGATTCGATGTTGTACGTCGTGTTAGTCGGTATCATGCGCACACGATAGTCAAAATCCGGTATCTGTAGTGGACCTGCTGGAACACTCTGACTTGTTCCGTAAGTCAGCATACCACGTCCATATGGCAGACTTAATGTGCGTTCTGGCATCTCGTTCGTAACATTTTCCTGCTCTTTCAAAAAGTCTGGTTCACTGTATTCTAGTTAGAGGGAGTTTTACCAAACAAGAAGCAAACCCACAGCAGTCCACTGGTGTTGAGAAAGCGCATGTTTGTCAACTCGCTGCCATCCAACATCTTTGCTACCTCTTTCAAGCGATGATCCTGTGAGAATCTCAACTTTGGTATTTCCATATTATCAAATTCGACACCGGAGCAATTCTTGTTTGAAGCATTACTTTCATCTTCCTTTTTAGTTTTAACTATATTCTTGATGGTCTCCATAGACGGTAAATCGCGCACATCATCACTCTTACCCTGCCGCTCTTTGGCATTAGCATTTGCGACAAGGTCCTCTCTCCCTATGAGCTGGTACGCTTCTGCTGACCATCGCAGTTTCGGTCTCATCTGGCATACACGCAGGACCTCCTGCAAAATTACTGAGAGTTGTAGCGGTAGAGTTCTGATTTTTTCATTCGTGAAGCCATTACGTATCAACTCATCCACCGTGCCTTCGAGATTGTTGTCTCCTATCAACGTAAATACTTTTTGTAATGCTACTGTCGACTGTAGTTGCTGAGGCGGTATGACAGGATAAGAAGACGAGTTTCTATCCATCCTGCACTGCAGATCTTTGTAGATACTCGGAGGCGGCTGGATATCAATTTCAACAGACGCATGGCTTCCACAGTCAAAAGGCAGAGGGGTATATTCCCCAGCCCATCGCTGCCACCAGCCTACATAGTCTTCGCGACGTGCAGCCTTACTCAGCCATCCTAGAATCGGAGCGAGATTAGCGAGATTCTCAAACCTCGTCGTGGTATCCAATAGCACATCTTCTGCAACAAGATGCAGAGCGAGCAAGACGTGATGAAGCGCTTGCGAATGCGGCTTCAAATCAGAAGCAGATTTGTGTTGCTCTTTCTTCATTGACTCAGGAGGAACTGCGAATATATTCGAGCTTCTCAGAGCGCGTTGATGGGCTTTAGTGTTGGTCAACCTATTCCAGCCATTGCTCATTGCTGCAGTGGGTGTTTCAAGGTGCTCGCATCGTATAAAATCAGCTAGTGTACTGATTAAAGCTTCAAGACCCTTATTTTGTGGTGTGAAGTGCTTAAACATTTTCCTTGCAAAGTCCGCTTTTTCTTCGTTGGTGCAGAGAGATGAAATGAGACTGGTGCACGATTTAACAACAGGTTCAATCGGCCACTGACCCAAGTTGAAACGTCGAACTTTGGAAGTGGTAGTTTCGATTGTGAGACAGCTGCCATTGACATCCTTGAATGCTCTCGGTAGATCTCGTGAATCTTGAAACAAGCATGGAAATAGTATAGACTTGGGTGATTTGTGTATGAGAATATGAAGTTGTTTGGCATTATCGAGAATAACCAGCTCATCGGTATGCTCCTGGGTACATCTAATGCTAGTCACCGCAGTAGCTACGGGGAATCCAGTATCCTTTTCTTCAATATGCAGCTGACTGGTTATGGGAAGGATGGGGTCTCGGCTCACTTTGATGACTATCAATTGCGATGACAGGCCAGAGAAATGGATGGCGAGAGAAATTTCGCTTTCAGACTGATCGAATGCGTGAGCGGAGGGAGTGCTGTAACGTCCAAATTAAAGATATTTCAAAAAGCATTAAAGCACGCACCTCGAATCTATATCAGCTGCTTTGCATTCCCAAAGCAAATCGATAAAAACGTCAGACTCGCTGGAAAGCGTCTGAGTCTCATCGGGTTTCGAGCCTGGTGGAGCTCTGTTGGAAGCAGATTCGCCAGCGAGAATCATTCTATCCATGGTGAGACTGATATCGCTATTATCGAACGTATTCTCGAGAGTAGTGTTGACCTTAGACTTGATACTGCTCCTACGACGATTCGGCTGCGGTCTCGGTGTTGAAGATCTCTTTAAGTTTGAAGACACAATTGGAGCATTCGGGAGGGAGGAAGGTGCGGCATAATCAGGGGAGGGAGGATTGGTTTTGATGGGATGTTTGAGTCTGGTATAACGAAAAACACTGAGTGTCTTTGATTGTGAGTCAAACGAGATGAGAAATGGCCAATTGTGTTTTGTGGATTGGTTGTGTGGTTGCATGGGAGTGATGAGGACGATGCGAGATTTTGGACGCGGGGTGAAATCGAAAGGCCTGATAGGATTTCTGTAAGCGTCATAGCCTTTGCAGCCACCAATTGGTCTCCAAGGGTGCCAAATACCAGATAAAACAGCCCAAGAGGACACCTTTTCACCGGCTCTGCGAGCGTCACTGCGTTCTACGAGCCAACCAAGGCCAAGGTCCCAGCTTCTGTAGAGGTTGAAAGGGAGTGGAAGAGAGTAATCAAGACCAGGATCGAGGAAGAACAAGCGTGCGAGATTAGCAGTGGAACTGATTGCCAAATCGAGGTCATTCTCGTTTGTGTTTGAGGTGAGGGTGGAGTGTAAAAACACTATGAGGCACTCTCTAGGCTTATCGTCTGCGCTGTTGAGATGGAGTTGTCCAAAAGACGCGTGTGAGATGTTGAGATGATCGCTGTCGAATTTGAGAATGCGCTGGATATGCGAGTGGCTGCTAACAACGAGATGAGAATTCTGCCACGTGAGCTCGCGTTGGCCATGTAGAGATCTATGCAATGGCAGTGGCAGCGGGGGCTGGTAGAGCTTAAATAGGCCAGGCTCAATGGAAGGAGGTGGTGGAGGATACGACGGGGATTTATTTATCTTATTAAGGTAGATGGTCGCAGGTGAATTGAGATTTATAATTTCCATCTCATCGGCGTTTGATTTTGAGATTTGAGATAAGAAACTCAGGTTAGATTAGAACGATCAAATTCGATTTAGAATAAAAATGAAATTAGGGGATTCACTCGTCAGCTAGCCTCCGCTGGAATCATCTAACTTACTGAGCCACTGGCCATTGACCATCTCAGCAATTCTAACGCCTCAAACTTGCACGTAGATTCAGTCTAAAGAACGGCTCGGACAGCCACATAGTCTGTTGGAGAATCCTTGATAGATCTCACGCTCTTCTTGCTTATCTCTTCGATAATGTCGACATCTCAAACGCCTTATGCGCAAATTTTCTCTTCTTCGTGGCCCTCCAAACAGTCTCAGATGACTCAGGCGTTCCAAGAGAATGACATTTACATATTTGCACAACTTGCACTCAAATTTATACTCAAATGGCTGGAATTTTTTTTTATAGCGCGATGTACATTTGAATGGTAGAATTGTTCTCTGATTTTATAAGATTATCGACGAATTTCTCATATCAACGATAGATTTCGTCCAATCATCTCAAATGCTGTTAGACGTTCAGGTCAAAATTTTGCAAGACATCTCGATTGGGACACTTCTGAGCTGAGTTGTTGGACTGGTTTCTGTCAAGAAGTTGCTGGTATTCATGGTGAGACTTTGTCTAATATATTAGTACTGGGTGAGTTGGAACCTTCCCGTTTGAGCGAGCTATCTGGATTATTTCAATCACTGGCTATACTCCTATTCAAAGTACACTCAATCACTCAATTCTACCAAAACCGTCTCCAAAACGTTGTCAAATGGCCACTGAAACTTTCGAGGCAACACAGAATGAAGAATTGGAGAGACCTTGCTGTTTTGTCCAACACAGATTCGCCGTTGCGGGTTGTGTCTGAAATCATACTCGATAATCTTCGACATGTTGCCGATGTCGTTATATATCTTGCTGTACAGACCAACAGGAGCGTAATCCATCTAATTGGATATAGTGTTTTTACGGCGCTGATACACGTCGAACTGAGTTTCATGAACATTAACGTCTTTACTAATGATGAAGTGGTTTTTCCAGTTCAACACAAATGGTGGTGGGTGAGTGGGTTTTTTGTTTCCAGTCTAAGTTTCTTCAAGGTTCTCAAAACAACTACAAATACAGCAGATATTAGCAGAATGATTACTGAGATCATGTTGAAAATATCCAACAAAAGCACTCCTTCTAGAGTAACACATAGCTCGATAAAACCCATCATCTCTGCAATCGAAGCGAGAAGTTCAGCTCAATAAGAACACAAAGTGCAGATACCACATTCAATGTATCCAATGTATCTAAAAGATACCATAAAATTTCAAAATATCTATTCAGTTTCCTTGTCTTGGTTTTACACCAGGAACTGGAACCAGACGACTTTTATCCTTCCTAGCCGTCTTCTTGCGTTTAAGCTGTCTAGAAATCAAAGAGCTGCAGTAGAAAGACACTGGAGCTATGAGATTGTATGAGATAGCAGCTTGTAGTGGGACTTTGAGAGATAATTCGGCTGTCTCACTTTGAGGATTGCAAATTAGACCACCGAGTAGAATAAGGAGCATAGCCATACTTGCAAACACCATATGCATCAAAAAGATGGCAAAATTAGGCGCGTCAAACTTATCCAACAGAAACATCAAGCCGAATACTGGGATGATGAAGAAAATGCCATATTGGATTAACTGTGAGAAAAATGAGCATTTGAGGCTAAATATGATGTAAACTTACATATCCAGCTACTACAAATTTCTGACCTATCCGCAGATCTCTGAAAGACAAGGCTAATAAAGAAAACAGATGCTCAAAATCAACACCCATAGCAACGGTGTACTGGGTAAGTGTGAAGATTTGCAGTGCCACAAAGACATCATTCCATCCTATCTTTTCCGGGTTTCCAGTAGGTCGGAGCAATAAAGCCACAGATGCAAACATCATTGAGCAGTAGATGGCTTGCGTTACATTGCCTTCCAATGTCATACAGCACATGATGGGATGTACAAACTCTACTGATTTGAAGAATTCGCGTCCGTGTTGTTCATTATACCATCTTCTACTGACTGAGATGACTGTTAATGATACGGTAATACTGTGAGAGTGAGAATAATAACAATCAAGTAGCGCTTACTCACGCAAATATCGTACTTTTGCTCCACGTATTTGGGATTAGTGGTAGAAGAGTACACATGGCGTAGCTCTGCAGCCACTCATCAGGTTCATAAGAAGACGACTTGATCACGTTGTATCCCAGCAAGAAAATGACAAGTGACCAAAGCCTTTGATCGTAGTAAGTGAGCTGCAGTGGTGTGAGTGAGTGAGTGAAGTTAGTGTACTAGACACGCACTACGATTGTGAGCAGAGAGAGAATAGAGATTATGACATTAGTGAGCTGCTGTCTGATAGAGCCTGTGTGATTTGTGCGATTGAATAGTGCAATACAACTATCCAAGTAAGTAGTCGCAGCTGAGTAGATGAAGGTGTTTATCACTAAGCCAACCTGACTTTCAAATGGGGCGTCTTGGATACTTAGAGCCAGGCAGCCAAATCCAGCGCAGAGTAAGATCGGGGCTCTAATGAGTGGTTTATAGAAATCAGCGTGCGCGTGCGCATGTGTGCTGTTGTCAAAGTTGGTATAATGCTTGAGTATGTGAAGTGAGAGCAGGAAAGAGAATCCAAAGAGAGCGGTAATGATAAGAATATCATTGAATAGTTTATTATATCTGAAATGGCGTCATTTGATGCCGAAGAGAGTGGTTGCGTCTACCAACATTTTCAAATCTTTTATAGCTCGAATCGTATCATCAATCGAAGGGATTTGGTTAAATACATATTTTGTATCGTCCATTTGCTCAATAATTCTACCTAAATTATATTCTTCCGGATTTCGGTTGTAAACTTGCGAGCAATCATCCAACAGCCAAACTCGGCAAATAAACGGCAATGGTTTATGTGCCTTATATTAGCTCAAAGCTGCCTAATTACGATGGCCCATATCCTGTCGGTGCGTTTGATTTGGAGTTGCCAGTCGATGAGGTACGACTTTTCGCCACCGATAGAGCCCCACACAACTCACACTGACGCAGCCAGACGAAAAGCAATCTGCCAGCTTCAAGATTGATACAGATCCGGAGCCACTCAAGCTAGAAACTGTCCTCTTCACACTGTACTACCCAACAGACAAGAAAGCTTTTAACGGCAAGGGGAAGCTTATCAAGTGGTTTCCTAGGCCATTCGCTTCCACCGCTTATGGATATGCTAAGCTTGCTGAGATTTCTCGCACTTTTGCAGGTGAAGCACGCTGACTGCCAATTCCTAATGCGTAACTGACTTTTATACTTTAGTTTCATTCGCACATGCTCTAGCTCGCAGCACAAAGATCCCTGCATACGATTCTGCTCCTCTCGCTTCCTGCCCCACGGGAAAATGGCCGCTTATCATCTTCTCGCACGGCCTCGGCGGGCAGAGGAGAATGTACAGCCACCTCTGCGGGAGCCTGGCTAGTCATGGATATATAGTGTGTGCAGTTGAGCACCGCGATGGAAGTGCACCAACTTCGTGGGTCTATCCACCGCTCAACAATCGCAGCGAGCAGGGCTCGCCGAGATCAGTCACCTGGTACGACTGGAAACAGGTGAAGTTTGAAGATCCTTCAAAAGAAGAGTCCCACGTCCCTCTGCGTGACGAGCAGCTCGATTTCCGGTTGAGAGAGCTTGAGATGACCTGGAAACATCTCAAACGTATTGCTGCGGGCCAGGGCGCTGCATCTGAGCTCATGAACCATCGTAAGAAAGTAAGTGGTGCTGCAGGCCAAGTGAATTGGGATTCATTCGCAAGATGTATGGATGCAGACAGGGATGTTACTTTCATGGGCCACAGCTTCGGTGGAGCGACTATCTGCAGGGTTGCGACCAAGTCAGATGGATTTCTGCGATGCATAACACTCGATCCTGTGCGTATTTCTTTGCCATTCAATCACACCGCGGCTAACAAGACACTCCCAGTGGAGCTGGTGGGAGATTTTCCCAGAAGACGCCATCTCGTACCCCGTTTTCTCACCGCCGCATTTCGACATCAAGGTGCCTTTGCTGACGATCAATTCTGAGCAGTTCACAGTATGGCACGACAACTTCCGCTCCGTCTACGACCTTCACCGACGCCAGAAAGATAAAGGACTGCCGTCGTGGTTATTCACCATCTGCGGCACGCTTCACGCTTCATTCAGCGACATCAACCTAATTGCGCCTCGGCTGTCCAAGTACAAAGGGATGCGTATCAACCCAAAGCAAGCACTTGGCCTGACGGTGGATGTCGTGAGGGAGTTCACGAACCAAAACCCCAGCCATGACCGTACACCTTCGATCCACACCCACGCTAGCACCGACACATCTGAGTTCTCCGTGTGTGAGAGCGAGGATGAGGAGCATGCGCGTGTTCTCGATGAAAGACGTCGCGAGAGGCCCTACGAACTCGCTGACGAGGACAAGGAGAGCATTATGAAGAGGTGGCCGCCACGTCTCCCGCCAACGTCGAAAGAGCTGATCAAGTTGAAGATCGGAGAGCCCGGCCATTTCGTCCTGCATATCAAACCGAGAGAGGAATATGCAGGGGCAGATGTGGAAGACTCTATACCGTCGCCTACCCTCCCCAGTCACACACCGCCAGATACTACGAGTCAGCCTAACCAGCAGCTGCCATACAATGTGTCGGCATCGTGAGCGCGGCTACCCAATCCACACACCACACACCCACACACTAACAAAGCAAGGACATGTACTTCTAATCCCTAATTAGTTACTTTAATTGAACATTTTGTTACAATTATAATAAATTTATTTGATAGACACGCGCAGACTACTCTCCCAGCGCAGCCATAGCACCGTCATATCCCTGTCTCCAGCCAGTTTCGAATTCCCACATGTTCCCACTTAGGCCTCTAAAAGCTGAGTGTTCGTCCATCCGCGCCTCGATCCATTTCCCGACGAAGCCGATTTCTGAGCGCCCGACTACGTGGTGAGAGGGAGGGCGATGATAAGCAAACATTACCTATAGGTAGTGTGTTAGCAGGCAAACAACGTAACAGCTGCCATTACACACCGCATCATCCCAACCGATCCTGAAGCCATCTTCGAATCTCCAGTGTTCGGCAACAGGCAGACCTTGAGAGGCCCAGTATTGAGCGTGAGTGTGTACAGCATGTTGGCCGAGTTCGTCTCTCTCCTCCAGCGACGCTCTGCCCTCCTCTGGCAGACCTCTCCTGCCGCCTGCCCACTGGGGGAAAGCGTGAGTGTTGACGGCCTCCTTGAAATCCCAACCGGTATCCCCGCCATGCTCCTTGCGCAGTGTCCAGAAGAACCAGCCAGCGGTGGTGCGTTCGTAGAGTGCGAGTTGGGCGCCGATCCACATGGCGATCATATCGTGATGATCGTGTCCCGCCGTCGACCCCGGATTCAGCCCGCCACTCCACTCACCGACAATGAGACTCCCGCGGGCTTTGCGCTGCGCCTCGCCCAGGAACTCGAGATACTCCGCTTGACACCGCCCAGTATGGTCGAACGCACTCGCGCTTGTTTGCTCCTCGGTGAAACAGCGATAGAGGTGGTGGTCGAGCATGACGAAATCTTTGCGACTGCCTACTACACCGGAATAATACTCCGTGTCCCATGCATCTCCTAGCGCTAGGGGGAAATGCGGGTGGGTCAGTGTGCGCGCTTCGCTCAGTATGTCGAGATAAAGTGATAGTAACGCATCGTTGTTCGCTGGCTCATTCACTAGCTCCACTCCTACCACATTGTCGCGAGGGGAAAAGTGTGCGATGAGGAAACGCAGCGCATGCTTGAGTACTGCGATGTTACGCTCCTCCCACATCTTAATCTCAGGTCCAGATCTCCCAGAGTGATCATCGTGGTTTTGCTTTCCAGGTGCAGAATGTAGATCGAAGTGTACACCAATGTTCCACTTCTCCGCCCAATCTACGGCTCTTTCGATGTAGGATATAGTGTTCTCGTACACATGTCCCAGGCCTTGGAAATCTGTGCCGTCGAGATACCCTTGTCCGAGATATTTGCTGAAATGGTAGTATCCTACTGGGATACGCACCGTGTTTATACCAATACTAGACAACCACTCGAAATCTGCTTCAGTTATCCACGTCTCGTAGTGCTGCTCCATTATTTCTTTTGCATTTCCGCCGCGAGCTACATCGTGGTCTGATTGGGCTGGCTCTACCGCCTCCCTGTAGGGAGACCAGGTGATCCACTTTTCGAGGACAAACCAGCTGCCTAGATTGACACCGCGCTGCTTACGAAATCTGTACACATCAGCGGGCGATAGGATTCTTGGTGGTATTGTGTGGTTCGAAGTGGGGTAAGCGTGAGCGTTGGATGTTGGCTCTGTCGAAAAGGATTTCTTGAGCGATTTGAAAATTCCCATAATAGTGAGACAACTTAGTATTATAACAAAACAAGTGTTGCGTCGTAGATATTTCATATATGCGCAAGACACACACACGTGAGCAGATTATTTAATTCAAAATGAATAAGATTCACAAAAGAAAAAAGTTCATTTAATAGTCGATTAGATTATTTGGTTATATGCTTTGTACTTATGCATTGCGGTGGAAATCAATAACCTGGTTGACTTCATGCTTCGAGCCCAAGAAGACAGGCACTCTCTCGTGGATAGAAGTAGGCTTGATGTCCAAGATGCGTTGTGTGCCAGTAGTGGCAATACCACCGGCTTGTTCGATGAGCATGGCCATTGGGAAACCCTCGTAGAGAATACGCAGCTTACCATCCTTGGTCTTCTTGTCGCCTGGGTAACCAAAGATACCACCGTAAAGAAGTGTTCTATGGACATCAGCAACCATAGAACCAATGTATCTGGCGCTGTAAGGTTTGCTACCGTCTGCAGGGTTCTTGATAGAGTCAAGGTATTTGTTTACAGGTTCATGGAAGAACTTGCTGTTACCTTCATTGAAAGAGTAAATAGAGCCCTTTTCAGGAAGGGTGATGTTTTCGTGGGTGAGGATGAATTCACCGAGGGCAGGGTCAAGGGTGTAGCCATTAACGCCAGAGCCGGTGGTGATGACGAGGTTGGTGGAGGCACCATACATGGTATAACCGGCGGCAACCATATCAGAGCCCCTCTGCAGGGCGTCTTCTATGTCGCCCTTTGAGCCATCCCTGACCTTGTAGATACCGAAGATGGTACCAACGTTAACACCGGCGTCAATGTTGGAAGAACCATCGAGAGGATCGAAAGTGACGCAGTACTTGCCCCTCTTTCCATCCTCAATGAAGACAGGATCGTCGAGTTCCTCAGAGACGAGGACAGCAGTCTTACCAGAAGCCCTGAGAGAGTTGATCATGATTTCGTTGGACAGGACATCGAGTTTCTTCTGGTCCTCGCCCTGGACGTTGGTCTCACCAGCCAAACCAACGAGGTTGATAAGCCTGGCTTTACGGACGTTGTTCGCGATGAACTTTGACGTCAGCGTGACTGAGGTGAGGAGAAGAGAAAGATCGCCAGACGCTTCAGGCGAGTTGTGCTGGTCTTCCAAGATATGGCGGGAGACAGTCTGTAAGTTTGTGTTTGAATTTGGACCTTCTGACATGGCTGTATGGTTGAAAGAAGATGGAGCCGGCGGAGGGCTAGCGTGTGGATAGATTCGATGAGGTCATTGGATTTTGGTGGGTGGGTTATTGAGCGGTGAGTGCGCGTAAAGTCTGTGCCTCTAATGCTGGCGCTTGATCTAGTGTGTTACTCACACCTGCGTGGTTACATCACTTTACAAATGGATAAATGAATTGCGGGGGTAGTTTTGCATATATCCACCGGTACACCACACAATTTACAAATTTATGCAATTCCACTGCCACTGCTGTGCGATGTATAGTGCGTAGTATAGCATTCCCGGGACATTCCAATGAGCACGCAAGTGGGCTGCACTGTGGGCAATCTATTGGGCCATCCAACGACAAAATACCATCGTGATTATCCTACTGCTCGCTCACAAAACTCAAATTAATTCCGGCGAAACATCCTAAATCTGAAATCCTCCGAATCATCGCACTTCTAAATTTCTAAAGCCATCACAACGCAGCAAATCGCAAATAATGAACTGGGTCGGAATACTAAAGAAGATATTCAAGATATGCGTGAAGGAGATAGAGAAGCATCAGGAGCAGCAGAGTGAGCCAACTCCAGCACCCTCGCAGAAACCAACGGGAGAATACATACCGCCCAAGGAATCGCTCGGAGAGAAGCGGATTAACGGTCAAGCAGCAGAGCAGTACTGGATGTCTCAGCCCGAGTACACGGAACTCCGCGACCGCGCCAACGCAGAAGGCGACAAGATGGGCAGGTGTTTCGACGCAGCCAGCAGTGCATACACCAGTGGTGACGGCGGTAGAGCTAAAGAGCTTAGCAACGAGGGCAAGGAGCATAAGAAGGAGCGCAGTCGCATTAACAAACAAGCCGCAGATTGGATCTTCGAGAAAAACAACCTCGATAACCGCCGCGATGAGGTCGATCTGCATGGCTTGTATGTTAAAGAGGCCATGGGGAAGGTGGAGGAAGCCATCGCCAATGCTCGCGTTTCTAATATCAACCCGCTCAAAGTCGTCGTCGGGCGCGGCACCCACTCTAAAAATCATGTCTCAAAGATGAAGCCGGCGATTGAAGGTATGATGCGCAAAGAGAATCTGAGATGCAGAGTAGATCCAACCAACGCTGGCCAGCTGCTCGTATATCTCGATGGTCAGGGTGATGGAACGGATAATGCTGAGGACGTTGCCAAGGACACGGAGGATGCTTGTGTTATTATGTGATGTACACACCTATGTAATGTTATTCTACCTGCTATAGAAATTAATAACACCATCACTCCCACTGCTAACCATTTCCTCGCGTGTGGGGTGGTGGTCGACGTAAAGCACCGCCTTCTCGTGTGACTTGTGCTGTGATACTATTCTACTCTCCAGCATATCCCATACGAGTAGTCTGCCATCCTCGCTGGTGCTGATGACAGACGAGTCACCAAGCCCGAAAGTAGAAACCGCTTTGAACTTCTCAGCGGCGTGACCGGAGAACGTAGCGAGGAGTTCTCCCGTCGCCGTATCTAGCAACCGCACTTTATTATCCAGCGTAGAGACGAGGATGGCGGAGTTATCCGATGTAGGTTTAACAGAAGTGACGGCGTGATCGAGGTAATCCTGACGGAGCTGTCCAGCTCTAAGATCGTAAGTGCGCACAAAGCCATCTACGCTAGCAGAGTAAACGATGGAGCCACTGACACACACATCCACCACGCTATCCGAAGCATCGTCAAGTATCTGCAGAGGGAGACGCTGTCTAGCACGCATATCCCATATGCGCACCGTAGAGTCAAACGAGCCAGACAGTAGCACTGAGGCATCGCCGTTGAATGCCACCGTGTTCACTTTGCTGTCGTGTCCAACGCACCTGCGTACTGTCGCGCCCGCTTGCACATCCCATACAAATACACTCTTGTCTCCCCCGCAGCTGGCGAAATGGGTGTTGTCGGGCGTTATGCTCAACCCAAGCACCTCGTAGCCGTGCCCGTTGTACGCCTTCACTTGGCTCGCCGTGTGCGGATTCCATAGTCGTATACTGCGATCTCGCCCTCCACTTAGGCAATACCGCCCCGCATTGTTGTTGAACTTTACTACATTCACGGGCCCGCTGTGGCCGAGAAGTTGCGTCATGGTTGTTCGGTTTAGATTACAGTGTGTATCGTATAAGTTATTAAATACAAATGATTAAAGTATAATTACCTGCTTATACTCCGCTATGTAGTGTAGGTATGAGTTTACTAGAAATTGAAATGAGCGTGGTGTTTGTGGGGTTGCTGCTTCTGTGCGTATGAGCAGCTATGAATACATAAATGAGCGCGTTTGTTTGTGTCTATCTAACTATCTCCTGCGCTGATCCCTTCCTCCTAATCAGTTTATTGAATATTCTGTTGTTGTAAAAATGTGAAGATTTTGTGATCTTACTCGCGACTGCTGGGTGTTTCAATTCGAGTGGTGTCTCTGGTGGACTAGCTAGGGCCATCAATGAAGGTATGTTCTGTGTCTGGAGTGGGTGATGTGGGTGATTAGAGTGAGTGTGGTAAGAGTGCTGTTGCTGCTGCGAGTGATATGTTTGCTGTTGATTCAGCGGACTAAGTGAGATATTCCCGCGTGGACGAAGCGTTGGCTGTGATCTTTGTTGACGAAGTTGGTGGTGTTTGCGTATTGCCGATGGGGATGGGTACGCGGGGATATTGTGTAAGTTGTGGTAGAACATAGGTGGTGGCTGTAGTGGCTGGTATTGCTGATATGGAAGCATCATCTGTGCAGGCATCTGTGGCATTTGCGAGATGGGAGAGATGGGAGCCATTCCAGCCATTCCAGCCATGTTTACTGGAGGCGCCCTAATTAACGGACCAAACTCCCTGACAATGTCTTGATGAGTTATATTCAATTCAAAATTCAAAAAGGACAGCAGCTGCCTCTCCATCAAGTTAACCTCTGCCACACTAAACAACCTAGCGTGTCTAGCCCAGTGCTTGTTCTTAGGGCTGCTGTCATTAAGAAATTTTGAAGCGACTATCAAAGCAGCCAAGAATACTCTATGTCTGGTGCAAGACATGCCTTTAGCAACGGGTGGAAGCTTGAGCCTAAGTCTATCCAAGTAAACGAGGGTAGAAATGAGAGTTGGAACTTGGACATTTGATTGGTCAACCAGAGTTGCGATAAAGCATTCCAAACTGGGCAAGGTAGATGATTGAGCGAGTAAATCATCTGTCAAAGACAAATTGGGCAATTCAGCAGCATCTTTTGTTGGCGTAGCAGGTGGTGTGAGTACTGATTCATATCCATTCTTCCCCCCAGCCGATAACAAGCTATCCGTTGTCTTCTTTGCGAGGTAGGTGATCATTGAGGGCGTAACGGGTGAGTAAACAAATTCCAATAACTCCTTTTCATGCTTAAAGAAGCTTAATTGACTAAACGGGCACTTCCTATCAATCTTCATTGTTACGTTCCAACTTTTTCACTTATTCTCAATAAGGAAGGTCTTTCACTTTGAGCTTGTGGACGTTCTCAACTAAGAAATATTTCATCTTCTCATTTTATATTCCATTTGTACCTTATGATTGATTTGTTGACATGCTTTCAACCTGCTTCGCCGTCAACTTTATTAAGACCTAGGGTTGGCAAAAATTTTTATTTTCTTGTGTCTTTTGAGATGAGGAGGGGGCATATCCGTAGGGAGCTTGAGCATCCCTTTCAAACCACCTTTCAAACGCGTAAAATTCTAACTTTTCGTCGAGATATGCACGTCATTGCGTAATAGTAAACAAGGGCGGGAAAGGCGAGAATACATGCAAGCAATACATCTAGTACAAGCACTGCACTCCCGCACAAAACCCACCCTCTATCCTCACAAATCAGTCAAATACCTCAATTTACGTCACCAAATGTCTAATTCATATCTCATCGGGCTCAATTTCATAAAACAGCTGTCAGATCTATTTTGTCTTTTTGGGTGAAATATGAATATTTTCAGCCTTTTCCGCTCATTTGGCTACAAATTCTGACGTCTTGAACCGGCCAACGTATAGTCCGCAGGGAGGGGCAGCAGACAGCGCGTAGACTACAATATATTAGTATATCGCACACAAACACACAATATATCACATTGGACAGCGACAACACGCAGCACAGCTCATCACAGCACACACCCCAATGCACCCAACCCCATGCCCAATATCAGCGTAAGAGAACGAATAAGCGCTTTGGAGCAGCAGCACCGGCCGAGCACAAGCGAAGGCGTCGCCGATGCCCATCGAAGGATATCCAGCAATTCCACAAGCATGAATGTGAAGCAGCGCGCGAGTTATTTCCAGGGCGAGGAGAGTAGAAGTAGGAGTAGGAGTAGCGGCAGCGACAGTGCTGGTGGTACTAGCAATGACACCACGAGCAGCAACACGGGCAACGCATCCACTCCACCCTCCACCAATCCACCTTCCTCTCCCCGCATCGACAGCAGCAGCGTGCAGGTGGAGAGTGGCAGTGTGGGCAGCGCCGATAACAGCATACATACACCTACTCCCGCCTCACCCGCTTTCACAGCCACCACTGACGTCCATTATCAGGTCCCTGAGCTCGTCGAAACGGACTTGGAACACAACCAGGAAATAATCCAGCTGCTGAGAAACGACAAACAGCTGTCTTTTGCACATGAGACTCAGACACATGCACACCCTCAGTCTCGTACGGACGTTCTTCAGGCTACACACGACCTAGCAAACCTCAGTACATCCTTCGACGGTGAAGTTGGTGAGCTGGACGGCGTTCTTGATGCGGATAGCAGTATTAGCAGTGCTAGCAATCGTGATAGTGAACTGGAAGCAGATACTGAGGCTGGCTGGGTGACAGTCATCACAACATAACCATGACTGAATATGTCTTATTATATGGATACCTAGTCAAAATAATACACGCAGTTTATCAGTAGAATCAGTAGACAGCAGGTAGCTTGAAGTACCTATTATAATCCATTTTCCTATTTTGTTTCTAGTTTCATTTGAATTCTAATTTGAGTTCCCATTGGCCTTCACTCCACCTAATCACTCACCATCTGTGGGTTGGATTCGCGGGTGATAGTGAGTATATGATCGCCAATAGCACGTGCATCGAATCCTGCCTCACAGTAAGTAAAGTAGTAAACCCACTTGCGTCTAAACACCTCGATCGCCTCATCCGACAATCCTTTATGTTCGAGTGCGAGATGATGGCGAATTTGTGTATCGAACGACGCCTCGAAAGCCCTGCGCCAATCGCGAAGAGTGCGAGAGTAATGAGGGCCTATCTGCACAACATTATCGACCACCAGCTTTCCTTTGGTGCCCTCCAAGAGTGTATCAAAGAGGGCTGTGAGACTAGGCAGAACGCCACCCGGGAAAATATACTTGCGAATGAAATCGACATTCTTAACGTAAGCCCCGAAACGACCTTCGGGGATGGTAATAGCCTGGATGACGGCGATGCCGTTGTCATTGAGTGCCCAATCAAGGCAATCGAAGTAACGGGCCAGGTACTCTATACCCACAGCTTCGATCATTTCAATCGATACGACACGGTCGAAATTTGCGTGCCAACTCTGTGGCATGTTTCTATAATCGCAGAGATGCACCCTGATGCGATTACTCAGTCCAGCATCACTGATACGTTGCTCGGCGAGCTCTTTCTGCGCTGTGCTCAGAGTGAGTGTGTCGACTATTAGACTCGGGTAAAGCTTGCACGCCTCGATCGCAAACGATCCCCACCCACTGCCTATTTCTAGCAAACGCATGTTGGGGAGAATGCTAGTTTTGTGTATGATTGTGTGCAGCTTTCGCAGCTGCGCAGCGTGCAGATCATCACCCTCATTCACTGCATCCCCATTAGCCAGTGTGCGGCCGTTGTTGTTTAGTTTCAGTTTGTGTGTTTTCTGTTTTTTCTTCGAGTTGCTGGTTGTGCTGCCGTTATTGGTGGTGCTACCGTTGCTGCCATTGCTCCCAGTAAGCGCCAACGCCACCTCCGTATCTGCCTTGGGATCCTCGTAGATACCGCAGCTGTATGTCATATCGGGGGAGAGGAAGCTGGTGAACATGTCGTTTGAGATATCGTAGTGAGCTGAGATATTGCGACGCGTGTTCGTTATGCTGTTTGCGAAACGCGTGTTGAGAGCATACGCCAGCCAGCTATACAGATAAGAAGGCAGAGTCGACATTTCAGCGAGGTGCTTGCGGTTAGCTATGAAAATCTATAAAAGGCGCGGTAAGCACACATCGACGCGCCTCGCAACCCACGACACACCTTGAAGACGGAAGTGAGATCATCGACGTCTATATCGCCGAACATGTACGCCTCGCTGAAACCAACATCGTTCATTAGGAGTAGACGCACCCAGAAAGCGTGATTCTTTACTGTGATGGTGGCTTGTGGCTGTTTGCCCGGTTCCCCCTTTCCAAATACCACAGCACCCTCATCACCGAGTACAACCAGCCTCCCAATCTCGATTCGCTGAAAGTACGACACAATCAACTGACGTGAAATCGCTGTCACTGGCCCAAACCCATAACCCAGAAATCCCTCTTTTACGCTGCCAAGTACCTTTTCTGCAGCTCGCAGCACACCACCGCTACCGACATTGCCACCGAAATCAATTTTTTCTCTCTCTACTCCCACTGTACTTTCCCTGAATCCACCACGTCAGCTTATCCGCGGCGCTATCTTTCCATTCTCACATAACGGTAGTGATCGCCGAGTTCCGAAAGGCAATGACCGCGCACGCATGACAAAAGCGGAGGTACATTTATATTTACATTTATAGTGTCATCATATTCATCGCAATCATCGTAATCTATATTATATACCTTTACAACAACGTCGAATGTGTTCTATCGCGGCATGTCTTGAGAAACTTTATCAATGATGTCCCTCCTGTACCTTTGATATCCGTATCGCGCGATTCCGGGACATTTGCTGAATTTGAGTCTGATTCTTTCTCTGCCTTGCGCGACTGCGTCACAACATACAGCGTAGCTATCTTGATATGTTCACTACGCAACTTCTTCATCGATTCTATCGCACCATTGTACGCAGATTGCAGGTCAGCATTATGCGACGTACCCACGACATCCCGGCAGCTCGGTTCGACACATTTGAGGTGATTAAGGAACCGCCTGTGATAGTCAGGCATGTACGTCTGCATTCTGCGCATAAAAGTGTCGTCGAAATCAGCTTCGTCGTCTACAGGAGCATGATTTACCCCCAGGAAGGCATCTATAGCGTGAATTAGTGATGATTGCCCTGCAGATGGTCCGCCGTAGTCTCTATACACCCCCAGCGGGTCGACGCCTTCGTAATGCCACTTGCCCTCGCCATTTGGTCCGTTGAACCATCGCCTTATGCTCGTGTAGAACACTTCGGGACTGCATTCTGCACGCACTGCGACGAGTATCTCTGTAAGCACATTTATTTGAGCGGCTAGATCAGTCAACTGCCTGCACATCCTGGGAAACGACACCTGCGGTGATACGTCTGCCATAAACGCTTCATCGAGACATTGAGACATCCTCTCCAAACATAATCTCCCCTCTACTTCAATATGCGCCGAAGTTAAGTAGAAGTGTTCTTCATCGCGGGATTGAGTGAAAGTCAAGGGTGCTCGGAGATTTCCACGTCTAAGGCCCTTTGATTTGTCAATGTACTCCCAGTTCCACAGTACTGTGGAGGCGTAGGTGAGGATCGGAGGTAGACCGAGAGCCAGAGCGGTGGTATGCCAAGGAATCGCGATGGAGCGTGGTATGATCTGTGTCGATTGCGTAGTCTGCTTCTTGTGCGCTGGCTGCGAGTGAACGAAGAAATGAGCGAGGAACGACAGCACAGTGTATGCTCTTCGAACCGAGCGGATACCGTCGGAAAGGATAGTAGGGGGCTCGAGTACAGACATCTAATCGGCAACGACGTTAGAAATGCTTACGCAAAACTCACACCACTCACGCCACAGATGGCATTACGCCATGTATTCGAAACCTCGTTGTTAGCACCGTCTAGAAGAAGAGGGAGATTTTGGGCAGAATCCAACGCTAACTCCCATATATCATAGCACTCAGATAACCTCCTCAAAGGCTCTTCTGGTGGGAGAAACGCGGATCTGGGATCGACGTCGAAATCGGCAGCGGCAAGCGTGGAGCAGTCCAAGCTTCCGGAGTAGGTGAGCGAGCGCTGCGATAGGAAATGCTGATGAGGTAATTTTGTATTGGAATTCATTTTGGCGGAGAGCGCTTCTTGATCCGTGGCCATCATCAGCGATCTTGACATCTTGAAAGAAGGAGATCAAGAGGGGAATTATATAAACAAACAAGTAAATTATAATACTAAAAAAAATGTATTGGCGATTAGGATTCGGGGTTAATAAAGAGATTGATCAGATACTCGATAACCATAACGTCGAGCTTGAAGAGATCCTACAAGAAGATTCCGTCGTACACGAATCTAAATCTCATAATTACAGACTGATAGAGTATTTGACACTGCCGCATAACCTCAGAAAGCTTCTAAGCTACTCTATTGGCAAGGCAACAGTTGATGACGACAGGAATAAGCTGAGGTGGGTCTTTTAATACTTTAAACTCTTCAATCATCTCAATTCACCTCATTCATTTAAGATTCCCGTACGTGGCCACCGAGATATTGTCCAGTGATATTCCTGCGATACACAATACTCTACTAGAGCCTTCAAATCGCAACGAGTACATACAGCCATTCTGGGATTTTATTATCAACAAGTCCACCCAAGAGTTGAATGATTTAAACCCCTTTGTCGGCTATTGGGGAAAAATATTGGCAAAATTGTTAGACACTAAGTCAGATCAAGTGGTTGAATTCCTCAAAGCTCAACCATCTCCTATAGATTCGTTCCTCAAACACATTGAAACTCCCGTTATCGGTGATTTACTATTTAGATTAATTGTCTCTGATCACCATAACTCATCTCTCATTGAGTTTTTCACTCAATCAGATTTCATACCAAAATTATCAAATATTCTCTCTTCAGAATACTCAAAAGATGCTCATTTAGCTGTTTCTGACTTGATGAAAACTGTCATCACATTCTCTGCACCTTCTCCGCCTGCAGCCAATGGTGATAATCAAATTTATATTTCAAACAACTTGGCAAGACAGCTTGCAAGTGATGACCTGGTTAATAAGCTTATCAATTTTATCCTAGATGACGTTCCAGTTGGCAACAAAGTCGATAGCGGCGACATATCCACAAATCACCTTCCTGATTCTATTAATGACTCGAGTAATGAACCCAATAATGAGAAACTTGCATCAGTTACTTCTTCACTCATCTCCATCTTATCCATTTATATAGAACTCATTAGAAAAAACAATGCTGATTTCAGCGAACCGCATTTATTCCACACACTTAGAAACAAACTCATTACCATACAACAATCTCAGCATCAAGAGTCTATCAACAGCCTCAACGAAGATGATACTAGTAGCGTGAGTAACATGAGTAACCTCAACGACGAACAGTTGTCTAAAAAGGAAGAAGAAAAGGAACAGTCTGACAAAGACACATTAGAGGAAGCAATGAATCAAATGTCTCAATCTATCGGTATAGTACATTTAGGCTCGATATTGAAGGCTTTCACGAATAGATTGTCAGACTTTCAGAGCCTGCTCAATCATCCGCGCAGCTACAAAGGCATGATCATGTCTTCAACTGGCCCTATCAAGCCTCTAACATTTGAGAGGTTCAGGATATGTGAACTTTATGCTGAGTTGCTCCATTGTTCGAATATGGCCATCTTCAATAGACCAGCGTTTAACGGTCCACACTATGACGGCTACGGGAGGCTGATTGGTGGACTGGAAGCATTAACACAGCTATCGCGAGCACTGTCAGATAGCGAGGAAACGGACGAAAATGAGGAAATGGAAGAGATACCCGTAGACGCACCTCATTCAGACTCCACTCATTCGGACTCTACACATCCACACACACCCCATACAGCAGAACGCTCTGAGAATACTCAACAACTACCACAATCAACGTCTAGTTTGTCCATACCTCACGCTCACACTGACGATAACCAATCGACGCAACTCACTACAGGGGAGAGTCTTAAGAAAGCGTTGATAAACAACGGAATTCTTAAAACGCTCACAGACCTCTTTTTCGAGTACGCTAGCAATCCATTTCTGCACAACGTAGTCTACGACGTGATACTGCAGGTGCTGAATGCACCGTTGGAGCGTGGACTAAATATGGAAGTCGCAGTGTCTCTTTTTAACGATGCTCGCCTAATAGAGAAACTGTTGATTGGGCATGGCAAGGTGAAGGAGAGCGTTGAGAGGAAGACACCGACACCCGGCTACTCAGGACATGTGATGCTCATAGCGGATGAATGTCAGAAAGTGTTTGAAAAACACGACACGCTCTATGAACGCATCAAGACGTCCTTCCCACAAGACGAATGGGACGCGTTTGTGCAAGGACCACTAAGAACTGTACAGAATCTGGAGAAGGAGCCGTTAGGAGGTATACGTCCGGATACTAACCCATTTGGTCAGTATGGTAAGGTTGAAGGAGACCAGGACGACAGTGATAGTGATGATGATATCGGTTTCATGAGTGCTGGATTCGGAAGCAGCTATCGAAGCCTGAGTGGACAGTCGCATGCCAATATCAATTTCGACGAGGATGACGATGACGATGACTCTTTCTTCAGCTCGTTTAGCTTCAAAGGTGCGCATCCGCAGTCGCAGTCGCAGTCGCAGTCGCAATCGCTGGATGAGGATGATATGAATGAAGTGGCTGGTGGAGGTGCACAAGTGAGTTCTTTACTTTTTTTTTGCTAAACAAAGATTGCTAAGCTTGGTATAGCTCAGCAACTTTATGAACACAGATGACGATGAGTTTGGTGATTTCACCCAGGGCGGTATGGATGACGTCGATCCGTTCGGTATGCCGCACTGCAGCAGCTCTGGTAATCCATTCGGCGACAATTTTGCGCCTGCAGCTACACAAAACCTTACACCAGCAGACTGGTCGCGGGACTTTAAGGAGAGTGTAGACAGCGAAGGAGAAGGAGCTGCAGACATAGTCAGCACTATCACTATCCCTGATTTCGACGACGACGAACACACGGAACACTCAGAACACATGGAGGAAATGGATCACCCAGAGCACTCGCAACACACTCAGAACATCAATGATGCCATTAAAGGTCTTAAGATAGGCAAAGTAGTTGATGAGCGCGAGGCGTCGTCGCAAGCTGACCTCGACACTGGGGCGCCTCTAGGACCTGGCTCTAACGCGGCGGCGGAAGTGACGGACGAGTGTGTCAAGCGCGAAGTGGACGGCGTCGTAGTTGAGGCGCCGAAAGACGACATGGTGCTGATAGCCGAGGACAGTGCAAAGACGGAATGAGACGGGAGTATTGTAATATAAAATGTATACAAGATTCTGTGATAATCGGTAGTTGCCTTGACTAACAACCATGACTTCAATATTTAAAGGCGCGACCCGGAGCAGCAACTCTGCGAATTCTATTAAGTCTATCAACTCGCTTCCACGCGCACTTACCACCATCCCCACCAACACACCACGCCAGCGGCGCACAATCACCACATCTGCATTCATACTAGGCACGTCATGCGCACTAATCGGAGGATATGCGATGGGTGCGCTGCGACCGCCGCACGCTCTCGCAATGCTCTACCCCGCACCTGCTCCTGGGCCGCCGTCGCCGCTGAGCGATGCTGGCCAATCGCACACGCTAGCGCTAGAAAAGGAGATACACCAACTGGCGCATGTTCAGGCCTTGAAGAGCGATAGTGATTGGTATGAGTCCCGTCCCTATGCAGCGATGGAGCAGAACCGGGTAATAAACACACTCACAGCCGGCGCTCTCCGTTCACCGGGCCGGTTGGCTATAGCGCCGCTGGTACACGCACGTCACGATGACAGCGAGGCTGTGGTCACCCTCCATGTCGGCCGCGGGGTCTGCGGGCATGACGGTATCGTGCATGGCGGCCTAATCGCAACGCTGTTCGACGAAAGCCTCGCAAGAACTGCCCTTCTCTCGCTGCCGGGCAAGACTGGCGTAACTGCTACCCTCAATATCAGCTATAGAGTGCCCGTCAAGGCGGACCAGTTCGTCGTTATTAGGAGCACGCTCGAAAAGAGGGACGGCAGGAAGGCTTTTGTTAAGGCTGAGCTCTCGGATTTGTCAGGAAAGGCGCACGCTCAGGCTAATGCCCTCTTCATCGAGCCTAGGTGGTCCTTCTTGGCGGATAAAAAGAATATCAGGAAAGCGTTAGGCACAGAGAAGGCCTAGATTAGTGTAGTTTTGGATTAGATTACGTGTTGCTCTTTTTTTTTGTTCATGCTTGCATATGTTGATGCTGATACTGGGCTGTATGCCTTTGATGTATGTATGCGTGCCTTTGATGTTTGGCTAGCTGTAGCGCTTCTTGCAGATTCTTTGAGCCATCATCAACCATCTTCTTTTTCGATTCTTGCAAATGACGAAGGTCTCAGAATTCAATGATATATATTAACGCCAACACAATAGAGAAAAGGAGCTCTTTTGATAAGTAAAACAAATCAAAGCTAGCACTTGAGCTTCCAGAAGAGTGAAAATATTCACGTGTGTATAAACCTTAATTGAAACATATCTTTCACAGCTGCAACGACGATTCAATGAATCTTCAATATCTACCACACGACATTATTGTTGAGATACTCAGCCACCTCAAAGAAGACGAGCATTATACGTTGCGATCGCTTTGCAGTGGTTTCCACAAGGCATTTCCATCGTCGGAAGAGCTGCTTCTCATAGAGCCAGCCTCCATGACCTGCTAGGACTCCCTCGACAATACACGTCAAAATTTCCATAACAAAGTATCGAATGTAAAAGCGGAAAACTTCATTAGCTTGTTAAACAACGTCATTGAGAATCCATCTATCGAATATAATAATGTATGTTACCTGAATTGATATAACAACCTTCACTGATAATTATACTAGATCTGCAACTATCAATTTCAACTTACACGAGAATGGTCCTTACAAGAAAATAGTGAAACTTTTGTCTCTACTTCCAAATTTGTGCAGACTCAAGATGATAACCGCAAAAATGTCGCTGAAAGCTCTGGATTTTCCACTTTGCTTCCAAAAATTGGAATTGATCTACATTTGGAATCCAGTCATGATGTCAAGTTGGGGGAATCTCCTTCCCAACTCTGAAATGGATTTGCTACGATGATAGGAAATTAAAAGTAGATAGTTTGAACATAACAGAGCTGGAACAGAGACTAGCAGTCACTTACAAGAATTCCTTACGGTTTCCTAATCGGTCTCTTAATCAAGAAGCTCGACCAATGCATGATGATTATAAAGCTAACTACTAGTTCCATATGTCCATTTTATCACACATGCTGATTATACCAAAGGACTTTTGCTGCATTCTGATCATGGTGATAGTCCTATCAACTTGTAAAGCAACCGTTGCATATCTTTAGTAAATTAATTGTAATCCCAATAATCTTAAAACAAAAACTAAACATATGAAAAATGAACTAGTCAGCTCCACGGATTTAGCTCTCTGTAGTCATATAAAACACTATTGAGTGGTGTTTGAGTGGATGTAGATATCGTACTGTTATCATCTTGGTCATCTTCATCGTCAATTTCGTATCTATTTTGATATGAATGGCTGTGGCCTGGTATATCCTCCTGCTCATGTTCATTATGCTCCTGATCCTGCTCATTATGGACATTATGGACATTGGAGAGACTCTTACGCGTCTGCACGCTCTCCTTAGGCCGCTGGAGGTGAGCGGAAGCTGATGACGCCGACTTGGGCGAGAGGAGTCGACTAGCCGCGCTCCTTTTGTTTGCGAGAACCTGATCTTCCATATCACGTCTCAAACGCATCTCCTCCTCCCGCGATACGTCTATATGGGGGTAATTGTAGTCACCGTATGCTGTAGCGTAGTAAGTGTGAGTGTAAGAAATAGCGTCTAAAGACCATCTCCACTCACGCAGTCGCTTCGCCTCAGAATACAATTTATCCTCTTCAGCTGAAGTTTCTCCGAAACTACACGTCGAGAGGTCGTCGACTGGGCGCTTGCGTCTGCTCGCACTTAAGTTTGCGTTTGCATTTGCAGCTGGCGAGGAGGTATTGATAGAATTATAGCTGCTGTAGTGGTCGTTAGTCAACCCACTCACTCCTGCTCTATCGCCATCGCCATCGCCATTGCGCACACCGCCGACCCAGTATTTCCGAGCACCGCCGCTGGCATAACGCAAACCAGCACCGAGGCGAGTATTGATGGCTCTGCCCTGATGAATCTTGTTCGCTGCGACAGGCTCGAACTGTCTATAGTCGAACCCGTCGCCCTTGAGCGTCTGGAGGGAATCGATGAAGACATCCTTCATAGCGAACGAGTCCCTGAATGCATATGCCAGCGGGAGTCGTGAGGAGAGATAAGCGGATTTTGACACATAGTCGCCGCTTGAGAAGGCGAATAGGTGGAGTATTGCGAACAGAGGCATTTCGAAACAGATGAGCATATCACCAATAGCTAGAGAGATATGCTCGTTATCTGTGTATGGTCCGACTAGTTACGCTCGCGTTAGCAAGTTGAGCGTGACAAAAGGAAAAAAAAAAAACGCACGTCTCGGAATCGCCCCCACCGCCACAAGGAAGGACACAAGAAGACCTTGCCAAAAAGTGGCAAAAAGAATTCCCTTCACGCATATGAACTTGGGAATGGGTCTGAAGCCGCGCAGGTCGTCGTGTACCGTCACCCAGAACATGGCGAGACAGTAGAGTGCAGTACAAATACTGACATTGTATATGAGCTGGACATAGGTATAACCGGCATTCCAGGCTATGTTTCCGTCATCGTACTTGTCTGTAAGCTTGAGGATGAGGGTAAGGATAGCGAGCAGAGGTTTCACCCAGGCGTATTGGAGAATGCCTCTTTTGAGGAAGAGGAAGCTGTGTGCTTACGTGTGGGTGAGCAAAGAGATTTACGAAGCCAAGAAACCTACGATCAGAGACGTCCATTGAGTCCTGGAAGAAGGTGACCGGGAAAAGGTGCTTGGTGGGCTTGCGGCCGAGGAGAGAAATGATAAGCTGACGTTCACCGCCGCTGAGATGAGTCAGCGGACAATATTATTCAAAAGCGTCTACTTGCAGGTATTCAACCTGGTATCGGCGTCAGGCGTTAGACGTCATTGTTATCGGTGGAGTGAAACGGGTAAACTTACGAGAAGATTAAAGAAACAGTAAATAACGAAAGCCTGTTATAATTAAATATAAACATGTAATCCCAATGTGCCCGACGCACCTCATAAAGATCCCTACCGACATCGATCCAATACGCAGCATCGAGCGAGAAGAGTGAAATTAGGGACGCGAGAGCGTAAACGGGCAGCCTTAAGAGGAGTGAGATGGGCATGCAACTAGCGCCACACGCACATGACCAATATCCTCACTGTAAATCTCTGCAGCAGCGGCATACGGTAATTGAGTAAATGCGTCTTAATACCAGCCAGGCTGATAATCGTGGCGAGCAGTGCAGAAAGCGTACACAGTACAAGGAGCACAGTGGGCAGTTGACTGCCAGATCCTGCCATTCTAATCTCTATCTTCACGCTGATGACGGTATGAAACAAACAAGAAGGAAGAAAAATCAAATTATGTGTATGATACGCACAATCACGCTAATAGTCAGTTCCCCTACTCACAACCTCTTTAACTGTCGGTCTAAGCAAGATGGTGTGCTCAAATTGTGCTGTCATGCTACCCTTAATATCGTGCAAAGGTGGGTAGTCATTCACGATACCGGCATCCACAAGATTGTTCAATGCGAGTAAATACCTCGATTCTCCAATCCGATCGAGATATCTACGGCAGAATGGCAGCGTACCAAAGTTCTTGTCAATCACCTTTAACAATGATTTTGCTGATTGTGTGCGTAGTGGTACGTGAGGCGCGTCCTTGTTACGTCCATAGTGCGAGCAAACACCTTGGTCACTGACGTAACCTCTTCCGGTACTACCGAACGTCTCAATAGCGTAGTACTCCCCTTCTTCCATCTTAGTTTGATCACCGTTGTTCACAATCGGGACGGATTTCCCGCCGTGGATTTTATATTTATCGATAGAGTGGCCACAGAGGTTGCGGATAGCCTTCACTGGGTACGTCGTCCCATTCACTTCAACCTCATGGCTCTCCATGACTTCTTGTATTTCAGCGCCTATATCGCCCAAACGCATATCAATACCAGCGACTTTGATACCTGTATTAGTCGCAGCCTTGACAGCTTCGAGGAGTTTGTTATAAGTTGGTTCAAAGTTGAGCGTGAATGCCGAATCAACGATGCGACCGTTGACGTGAACGCCGAAATCAATTTTGAGTACATCTGATGCGTTGAGAACTGTGGATGCACAAATTAGCATTGAGACCGATAAAGCAACCCCACTCACCAGTCTTATCACCCGCATTGGGTGTGTAGTGCGCAGCGCAATCATTCAGACTGACGCCGGTAGGGAAACCAACGCCACTGTTGAGGCCATCCTCTTCAACACACGCCCGTGTTCCGTCTTCGACCATCTCTGCAATCTCTGTCATTGACATTCCAGGCTTGACACTGCGCTGGACGTAGCTGCGTACTTGACGATGCACCTCACCAGCTCTACGTATATCGCTGTATGTCTTTACGGGATCTGCCATCGCCAGCTTCTCAGCTTCCTTCTTCTCAGCTGATGTCGTTCTGTACGAGTTTTCGCCGGAATATTCCTGTATCTCTCCCTCAGGATAACTGCCATTGGGGAAGAGCTTCGTAATGCCTACGCGAGGTGGCTCTGATTGCGCTGTTGCCTTCTTTTTCTTCTTGTTGTTGTTCTTTTTCTTCTTCTTCTTCTTGGCTGCTCCTTCGCCATCTACCGCCTGAGCTTGCGGGTTGTTCGTTTCCTCCTCATCCTCCTCTTCCTCCTCAGCGTTGTCTATTATTTTCTTCTCCTCGTCTGCTGACATTGGTGGTGGTGGTGTAAGCGCAACTGAATCTTAAATTTTTATAACTAATATCAGCAATAAATACGAGTTTACAATACATGCAGCCATTTCATCCAAATGTCTGCGTCCCGCGCTGGGTCCTGAGTGTTTTACTAGAGTTTGTTAGCGTGAGCGAATGGAAACGGCAACAAATTGACACACCTAATTCTCCAATCATCCTTGCCCTCAAATTTGTTGTAAAGCGGTTCTACCTTCTCCTCCCTTTTTCGTTTACTAATCTTATTAGAATCTGCAGTCTTGAAGAACGTAGGCGCGACCTCAGTGAGCCACTTGGGCTCTATCGTGATTATCTCCCGCATATACTCCCTGCTAGTAAGAACGAGCTCGTGATATATAACCCACTCCGGGCTTCTGTTAAACAGCGAGCTAGATGGGTGTATAGCGACTGGTGTCCCTTCCACAAGAGTCTTATATCCCTCCGTAGGATCCTTCTTGGCAGCGTGTCTAAAGAAACCGGCTGTGATCGCTCTGCGCACCCTGTTGTAATTCTTTCCACAGCTAATCACCTCGTGATGGTATCTGTCCATGATCGCTACAAGCTGCTTGCGAACGTCTGCGGCACGCTTTATCGTTCGCGCCTGTATAAAGTTCTCGAAACACCATGGATTACTAAACCGACTCGCTTCCCATCCGTTGTACACGGCAAGCAGTGTGAGGTGGTCGCCTTCGGGTTGATGGAATTTCGCTTTCTTCGCGTCGGCTTGTTGTTGCTTTTCTTTCGGACGGTAAAACACATTTTGAGCTTCGAGCATCGCAACGATAGTTAGTATTTCTTTGCTGCATTCCAAGTCTACACTCGCGATCAACATCTTAGCTCGACTAGGATCCATTGGGAAATCAGCCATTTTGCGACCGAGGCGAGTAAGCAATCCTTCGTCATCTAGAGCCGATAGCGCATAGAGATTTTCTAGAGCTGTTATCATAGTCTGTGCTGGTGGTGGATCCATGAAATCGAACCCAAGGAGATCGTTAATACCCATTGCCTTGAGTTGGAGAATAGTATGGGATAAGTTCTGACGTTGAATATCGGGCACAGTGTTAGGAAGCATCTCATTCCTAAATGCCGCCTCTGTGTATAGTCTGTAACATTTTCCTGGTCCAGTACGACCTGCTCTACCCGCTCTCTGCCTAGCCTGGGCCTGTGAGATGGGTGTAACGACCAGACTGTCCATACCGAGACGAGGATCGTAAGCATTCTGCTTGACGAAACCAGGATCAACGACGTAGTAGATACCGTCTATTGTGATAGATGTCTCTGCAATGTTGGTAGCAATGACAACCTTACGTGCGCCTGGAGGAGCCGGTTCGAAAATTCTGCTTTGCATCTCGGAAGGCAACGATGAATACACCGGGAGAATAATAAGCTCGGGGACTTGATTACCTAGCGCTTTCATACGTTCGTATAAGATTTCAGCAGCTGTATCGATTTCTTCTTGACCAGTAAGGAATAAAAGTATGTCTCCAGGTGGTTCAGACAGATGGATCTGCATCACCGTAATTAACGAGGCTTCCATGTAGTCAGATTCAGGTTCCTTAGTGTACATGATCTCGTAGGGGAATGTACGACCTGGAATAGTGAAGATAGGGCACCCATTGAAGTATGTAGAGAACTTTTCGGCATCGAGTGTTGCAGATGTGACGATAAATTTGAGATCAGGACGGCGTTTCATTGTTTCTGTATCTTGTTAGGTAATTTATTAAGAAGATAAAAATACTCACTCTTGAGCAAACCGAACAGGACATCGGTGGCGATAGTGCGTTCGTGAGCTTCGTCGAGAATAATGACAGAATAATTTCTCATATCAGGATCGACAAGACACTCCCTCTGGAGCATACCATCAGTCATGTACTTGATTCGCGTCTCAGGACCAGTGCAATCTTCGAATCTGATAGTGTAGCCGACTTCTTGACCAAGACGACAACCAACTTCCTCCGCTACTCTCTTACTAACGCTCATTGCAGCTACACGTCTTGGTTGGGTACAGCCAATCTTACCGTACTCAGCGAAGCCTTCTTCTGCAAGATACTGAGTCATTTGGGTGGTCTTACCTGATCCAGTATCACCAACGACGACGAGTACTTGATTGTCTCTTACAGCCTGTACCAGCTGCTCCCTCAGCTTATATATTGGCAGCGAAGCTCTCTGTTCTTGGATAGTCTTGTCGGTAATTTTTCCGTATGTAGTTGCTTTGTTGAACGTTTTGGCCTTCCAGGCAGGTGCGGCAGACGCCTTAACGTTTTGGTCTTGAGCAAATTGCCTATCGCTTGGCTGTGCAAGCGGATCTTGCCATGCGGATTTGATGTCGTTTTGCTCCGAGTCTTTCTCTTCTTGAGCATCTTGTTGACGAATTTCTCTACGCTCTTTGGCCAAACCAGCGCCTGAGACGGCGGCTCTGTTCATGGATCCATCTGGAGCCTTGACGATACGCACGGGAGAAAGATCCAAACTAATCTTTGTCTGACCCTTTAAGAAGGAAGGTTCAACGTCGCGGACTTCGATGTCAACATCTTCGTCTAATTTATTTTGATTGCTACGAATGTTCATAGGGGCATCAAAATCGCGGTCAAGATCTGGGTAATCTGAGGGTTTTGCGGCGCCAGAAGCGATCAGTTGCTTAATTTCCCAGCGTTCTGGGGAAGTGTAGCGTTTTACGGAACCTCTATAATGATCATCTGGGAAGTGAGCAGAATGAGTGGAGTGGGTGGAGTGTTTTGAAGATTTAGAAGGTTTTGAAGATCTAGATGAGGATCCTTTACTTGGAGCAAGATGAGGACTGAGGTCATGACCATTTGATTGATCAGCGTCTTTTAACGATAAAGACAATCGGTGACCATCAATGGACATGACCTTGACGTAAACGAGCTGATTTCGTCTGAGAAAATCGCGTGGGTTATTAACTCTACTGTTTGACATTGCGGAAACGTGTACTAAGCCATCAATTCTACTGTTGAAACCGTTTAAGCTGATGAAAGCACCGAAATCTTTGATTGAGTTGACGGTACCTTGGTATATAGAGTAAACTTGAGGAGAAGAGTGGGTAGGAGTCATAGTGGTTGTAGAGGGAGAAGGATCAGGCTGTATTCTAGGTTTACTAATCTTATCAAAGGAATTGCTATCCGTCCAGTCTTGGTTTGGCTGTGATAAACCTGGGAATACTCTTTGCTGGTCTGGATTTGATTGTGGTTTTGATTTTGATTTATACTTTGGATGCATGGTAATGATAAGCCTATCGATGGTATTTATCGCAGATTCAGGAAACGAAGCCCCCATTTCATTCAGTTTGCTCTTGAAAGAGGCCAAGTCTTTCGATTGCTCGTGTATGCTGAGTATGAATTCTGCTAGGACCTGTGGGGGTCGTTAGCGGTGTTTTTGGGAGATCAAGAGAGATGGCTGAGTAGAATGGGAGATAATATGTAAGGGATACATCTCCGGGGAGTCCTTTGACGACTCCGTGGACGCCGGAGAGATGAAGGAAAAAGACGAGGCAGCCACCACAAAAGACCCACCTTATCTTTAATACCAGTATAATTAAACAGCTCTTTTGTAATTTTCTGATTTAGATTTATAATTTCAAGATTTTCTAATTCGTCCATCTTGATGCAGCTCCTGATGGTTTTGAACAAGAATCGCGATGGCAGAAAGAGTTAAGAATCGCTTAAAACAAAAAACACAAAAGAAGAAGGATTTTGATTTTTCATTTAACAGCCACAGCCACGGCGACGGCGACGGCGACGACGATCAAGGTGTCAATCACGGTGATGACGCTATTACGCTCCCGAACAAGATTGAGCATTTGATACACGTAGATGGCCATATGAGTGGTCTCCCGCCTTCCTGGGCCAATCAACTCGCTCAATTGGGCTACTTTGGTGATCTAGATACGCCTGCTATTAACCAGCATAAGCAGCGGGGGAGCACGCAGCAAAGAGGGCAGCCGAAAAGGCACACAGACCATACACAGCATCCAGGGCGCTCAGGGCACTCAGGAACCACAGTTCACTCCCGCCAATCCCATCTAAGCATCCCTCAGCTCAACATCGCAGACCAAGACGAGGATTGGTCGAAAGGTGTACTCAAAGCACTCGAGCGATCTTCACTGGATGACTTCAAAGCAGCTCCTTCCAGACGGTCGTCAGCCGTGAACGTCGAGTCGGGTAAATCCACTCAACTCCACCGCAGGCCAGCCACCACAGACACCAACCAACCGCGATACACCGTCCCGCGCTCTTTCGCAGCAGCCCAAGACCAATACCTATCAAACATAGCTATCCGCAAGGAAATAGACGCCAGCCACGGCATAAACGAGCCACACGCCGCTGATGTTTACGGTGGTATGGAAGAGGAGATTCTCGACTCTCCCCGCGATGTTGATGATGTGGGCGATGTGGACGTCACTCATTGGGCAATCCCCAACAGCCCCTCTGCCCTCTCTTTCCAACTTTCCCCGCTCCAGATCGATAACCACACCTTTGAGCTGTCTGAAAGCACGACAACGCCCCCGCTAATCCCGGCGCACCTGCGCAACTCCGCGAAGCAGGTCGAGACGCGCAAACGTTCGCGATCCTCTCTGATAGCGCTTGATAAGAGTCGACATGTCTCGACGCTGTCTACACCAGGCTCTGTCGATGGTGATGGTGATGGTGATAACAATATTACAGCGACGTACATGCACGACATGCATGCTGCACCCAACCTCGACGACATCGTCCAAGACGATAGCAGCAGTAGTAGTAGTGATGCTATTCATGGGATTGGTGTCATTCCTGGTGATGGCTCTAGACCTAGCCATGCTCACAGTCTTAGTGACGATAGTACATTCTCCATCCTCGACGGCGTGCGTGGTGTCGACAATTTCAATGACCCCGACAGTCCTGACAATCATGGTCTCGGTATCGACGTATATGGTTTGACTAGAGGTGCACAGAGTGAAATAAACACGTTGAGCGCGTTGAACGCGTCGAACGCATCAAGCACATCAAACATTTCGAGCACTTCAAGCACTTCGACAGCGCGAGTGGGAGCGGAAGAGTCCGTCGCTGATCAACCCATAGCGTTCGATATCCCGCACGCACACCAGTCCAATCTACAACTTAATTCGACTGCCACCACTTCCAACTCCAAATCCCCGGCGGATCTATACAAGACATTATCTCAAGACACGGAAGCGGACACAAAATACGCGCTCACCCACCTCGTTCCCCTCGCCTCAACAGGCAGCGCCACTGATGCGTACCCACCTGCACAGCGCACGCTGATAGCAACAGGTTTAAGTGGTGATGTGTATGCAAGTGGGTGCGGAATGCGAGCGCTAAAGGTAGTCCGACGCACCACCGAATCGACACGGCTGCTCAACCTGCAGAACGAGCTATCAATAGTGCGATCAGTGCCTCACGAAGCCATTTTGCCCATACTGGAACTGTACGTGGGGGAAACGCCTCCACATGCCACGCTCGTCATGCCGCTCATGGCGCGCTCTCTCACTGATATCCTTGCTTTGATGGAACACGGGCTAGTGCTGAGTGGAGGTCAAATCGCGCGTGTCGTACAAGATATCCTCTCTGCCCTCGCCGCTCTACATGCCCATCCCGATCATATCCTCCATCGCGATGTGCGCTCTGACACCATCATGCTGGCGAGCGATGGCAGGAGCGTGCTTACGGATTTCGCTAGCGCCACCCGCTCCCCAGATGAGCATGGGTGCTCTGTCGGTGATGTCATATCTGCTCCTTTCTGGCTAGCTCCGGAGTTGTGTGCTGATGGTGGTCGCTATACGCACAAAAGCGATGTATGGTCATTAAGTGAGTGCTGAGGACTATTGGAAAGAATCAAAGCATCTTACTCCCTTCTTATAGTCGCAACTACACACGAAATGGTCACCGGATTGCCGCCATACGCTGAGTATGACGAGTTGGCCTTGTTTCGGAAACTCGCGGGCGGGTTGCCTGATTTGCCCAACGAGGCTTGCAGCTCAGTGAGCGGCTTCATAACAAGGAATGCAGTCGTCGATCCAGTCGCTCGGCCGTCGGCGAGGCAATTACTCGATAATGACCCCTTGGTTGGTCATGATAGCCAGGCTAACGTCGCAAATAGAGAAGATATTGCCAGCTTATTAGTGCTTGCTAACCAGCTCGAAAGTGAGCCAACCTCATGAGGTTTTTTGTTTCTTCCTTCTATCTCGGAATTTACAGATAAATAGTGGCTCTGGACGGGCACGCTTCTTGCACCTCGCTTTTCGCTTTCTCACAACTCATCACATACATTGGAAATACCCCCTCTCACACTTTGTAATTGTAAAACAATCTTCGCTTTTGAGACACGTTAATTCATTTCGAAAAATCAGGGATATAAACAGAGTGGCTTGTTCAGATGGCTTTGTTTAATCAAACATATCCAAACAGCTCCATCCAGGAGCACAACTGCCACCTCAGAGCAAGACAGCAATAACTGCAATCACAGCGATAGACCAAGCCGATACGAGTTGGAGAGTGGCAGCAGCCGAGTCGTCGTCCTGACTCTGGCCCTTGCTTCCTTCATCGCCCTCGTTGCTTGAAGTAGGAGTTGGCTGTTGAGCGGCATTCAAGCTGCTTTGCGTGCGGCAGTTAGACGAGGAAGGAGTCATCTGGGCCGAGCTAGGCGTAGCCGTATCTCCGATAGTGTAAACAGTCTGCTGGCCCTCCTGTGTAAGAGTGCCGGTGTATCTCTGGGCGAAACTAGAGAAGCTGTTATCGCCGTCGCCCGCTACGCTGAACATACCAGGAGGGTAAGCAGCGTCAGCGTCACAAGATTGGAAGACATCCTTCTGTTCGTAGTCGCCGGGCATGATAAACCCGCAACCCATTTCGTCCAGTTTATGTTCGCACATGGTGGCCGCATCCCATGTATCGTTGCCAGCCGTGCAGACACGCAAGCAGAACTGTTCGTAAGAGATGAACTCCATCCACTCGGCATAGTTCTCATCTGTGCCCGAGACATTCGACGTAACGTTGCCGCCGATGGGGTTGCCCTCGCCAGTGGCGCCGTGAGGATCGAGCTCACCGCCGTAGTCCGCATCCTGCAGACCGATCTTGGTGAGGTCGCCCCAGCCGACTACCTGTACGTAGAAGGGGGTCGTGATGAAGTGCACGCCAGTGAACGTGCCGTCGGGAATCAGACGTGCGTCGTTGCGCGGTTGCGTGCACCACGCTACTTGCTCCCCTTCTGTGTCACCGATCGTCTTGTTGGCTTCTTTGGGCCCGAATATGCAGAAGTCCTGCGCGTGTCAGACAAGATTTTCACGCTTCAGCCTCACTCAACTCACATCAATCGAGTTGACGGAGAGCAGTCGCGCGTTTGAGCCCGCATCGCCAGCTTTCATGGTGGGCGAGGGCGGGTTCGTGCTGCCCATAGTGCCCGTCGCGAGAACACCGTTCTGGGAGGAGTTGACGTCCTGTGCTGAGACGGCGGTGAGGGAGAGAGCAAGGAGAGCTGCTGAGAGATAGCGCATGTTTATAATAGAGTAAGAGAGACGAGAATCAAGTCAGTCAGACTCGATTGACATGCTCAGCTGCGGATCAGCACTACCCGCAGCTTAGTGAAAAAAAGGAAGAAAACTAAACAGAGTACGCTATTGTAGCGGTGTGGGTGGTGATGAGCTGATGCACAATGTCCTCATGGCCAGGTACACGATAAGGCGGACCCAGTCGAGAAGTGTCGAGAGCTGTCAGAGTGAGTGCCTAGTAGAGAGGGAGTGAGTGGATATTTATGTCAGTGCGACATTGTGTGTGCCAGTGCGTGCCGCTCTATGTCCGAACGCGTCTGGCTAGTAATCGACACAAGGTCTATTGAAATTGAAGGGTCACAGGCTAGAAACAACTGAGGGGAGAATTGTGGAAGGCTGCTGAGAAATTACAAGCCAACGATGCTGGTAATTTACTTGGAAATACACCGAAAAATCTGCGAATGGGCGATTTGAGGGACATTGCCATAGCAGCACCCCAAAAACGCGTATGCGAATTGGATTTCGATTCAAAATGCAGCAACCATGATATTGGTCGTGAGTAAATTGGATTTGGTTGTAATTGGCAGCGAGGGACACAGGATACTCAGGGCTAAGAGGCATCGCACCGCTGGAGAGCTGTTCGCTGCGTTGGACGAGATACTGTGTACGGCCGACGTGGATTTGTTGTCTGTGGATGGCTACCAGGGCAATCAGCTAGACGCCACGCTGTATTTCCCGTCCACGCCACTCCAGCACCACTCGCAGCTCCACAATGCAACATACCTCCGCCAGCGCTACAACAGCCACATTCGCATACAGCCCAACCTCGACAGGACAGCAGCCCACTTTACCGCTATATCCCCACCTACTAACTCCATACTCGTCGGGCTCGGCCACCACAACCACATCATTTTCCAGATACCAAGACATACTACAGCGCGTCTGCCAAAATACACACACGTGCTCCCGCACCCTCTCAACCCCTCCCTCGCCCTGGCATACATTCAGATACGCGACCAGGGTCTCGCACGCTCCTCAATACGCGACGCATACAGCAACGGCAACTGGTCCACCTTCAACAGCCTCGTCAATATAGTCAACATTGGTGGATCCGTCGGGCTGGATAACAAGCTGTTCAGTTTCTACTACCCCACGCCTCAAGCGACGCTATCGGGGAGGCTGCAGGGATACTATCGCTATGAGTTGGGCACACCGACCAACGAATTTGCAGACCTCCGCGCTAACTCGCGCTGCATCGTCGAATCTCAATTCCTCACTATCAAGCGCTATATCGAGGCATTCGAGCGGAGCGGTGTGATTGGCCAGGGATGTGCGGTGTATTTGACGGGAGAGCCCACCCAGTCAGGCTCGCTGTGCTCAGCGATAGCCAACATACTCGCCAAGAAGATATACCTCCCGCATTCGACCATGTGCGAAAAGAGCACGCAGCACACACTCACCCCGTTGCTTGGCATGGGGCTATATAGCTGGTATAATGTCTTTCAACCATCCACAGCCCTCGAGGAGACAGTGAGGTTTAGGAGGAAATCGTATAACCACTCCATCCCCTCACCTACCTCCACTCCCCCACTTACACCCCTCCTCACGCCTCAGATTGGATATCTCAGCAACCGAAGAGAGAGCGAAAAGAGTAATCTGACGCCGGTCGCCGAGCAGTTTGAACTGCCTACTATCACACCCACCACTATATCATTCGAACAGAGGTACCAATTCAGCAGCCTCACTCAGCTCGAATTTGACAACGATCCTTATATCAAACCAGACAGCGATCTTGGATTGATCTATGCTGCACTTTTATGCGAGCATGAGCGGCTGGAGGCCATCTCTGTGGGAAGCTATGCGAGGAATAGCTGGAATGTGTAGTAGGGGCTTCTGGGTGTCTTGGCATGTCTCACTTTGTTAATAGCTACAATATTATTTTATTCGTCATTAACTTGATCATGCATTCATTAAACATTTGCAGGCATAGCCCTCATTGTGTAGTCACCACGGAATCCTTCTCAACAAACTCCACAGGCGACTCGCCCTCAAGTGTGCTAACCAGGTTTTGTGGAATGTGGCCAGTGAATGTCTTCATAATCCCATTGCTGGTGTAAGGGTGTGTCACTTTGCCGCCTAGAGTATATTAAAAATGACGTCATCAGACATGCACTACACACCAGTAGACTCAACCTGGCTGGCGTACTTGTGGATCTCGTCGTCGGTGGCTGTCTCCTTGAACATGACGATGTATCTGTCGTGTGATTCTGGGTTGTGTGAGTGAGTATGTGGCGTGGCGTATGCGGCCAGCACCCACCTGCGTTCATTCTGCTTATCTGCTCAGTCGATGGGATTACGATGTTGCGTGTCTGTGTGCTGTGTGTGTATGTGTACAATCCTCCCAGCGTCAAAGTAATTGTTACGAAAGCAACAGCTATTTTAGTCGAGAGGCGCATGACTGCTATTGATAACGAAAGGTACGCGTGAAATGAAATTACTTATTTCGAATGTATAGTGTATCGTGTATCGTGTATCGGGAATAATACACAGTAAACACTCTCACAGACTCCTCCCCGCCCTCTCGGCTATCGCATACACAAGCGACTGTATATGCGCGCTGACCTGAGTGGGCATCACAGACGCATCAGCCACAAAGACATTTTCACAGCCGTGTACTCTCAGTGTTGAGTCGACGACGCCTGTTTCCCCACTGCCCATTCTGGCAGTACAGCCTGGGTGGTAGTCGCAAGCGGGTGCGTGCGCCATGAACGCCTCCTCCGAGACTCCATTTCCAGGCGAGACTTCCCCGCCGATTATTCCACGCAGCGGCTCAGTCTGCGCAATCACACTCCTTACAAATCTGATGCCTGCCTTGAGTATCAGTCTGTCGATGGGATGTGTGTTGTAGTTGCTTGCTATGTCCACGCCGTGCTCGCCAGCATGCACGCTGCCTCTCGAGACTGGGTGCTGGCATCCCACCATGAATGTCACGTACTGCTTGCCCTCTGCGGGAGTGGTGCCGTTCGTATCGGCGAAGAAACCCACCATATCCACTTCGACTTGGGGAATCTGGGTGTTTCTGTACAGCTGCGCGAGTACACGCTGCTCTCCATCTCCACTCTCTAACTCGTAAAGCAGCTGCGACAGAACCGCCTTCTCGAGCTCGCTGAGCAGGTCGTCTGTGGTCAAGTAAGCCACGCAATCAGCCGCCTGGTGGATGGGAGAAGGGTCAACGCTGTCTGCTGTTTGTTGACGATTTCCACCCCTCAGCGTATCCCTCGTCGCCTCGCCTGCATCCACATCGCGCAGCTCGTAGCACACCGTCACGTAGTAGTGGCCCTGGTACCTGCCTACGCCGGGCAGATGTATCCGTGGAGTGTAACCACGCTCCTGCAGCACCTTCTCATCCCCTATGCCGCTTTTCTCCAATATCGCAGGAGTGGCTATGGCGCCTGCTGCGAGCACGACGCGCTTGCCTACGTCCACGTCGAATGTGGCGTCCCCGCTGCTGCACTCTACCGCCACACCCCTAAATGTCTTCTCGGGGTCGTCGGTCTGCGCCAAACGTATGCGATCGACGGTGGTGTGTGTGCGTATGTCAAGCATTCCGCCGCGTCCTACTGGAATGCTCTCCAGATACCGTATCGCATATGCGCGCTGGTGGCGCGCATCGACAGTCACGGGACTCACATTCGCGCCTGCATTGTCGCCCAAGTGAGCGCGGTGGTTGACGCGCACGCCGGCGCGAGCCATCGTCGCCAGCCACCGCTTGTCCGTGCAGCATGCGTAGGGTGGGTAGGAAAGGGCGATGGGCCCTTCGGAGCCGTAGTCGCCGTAGTCGCCGTTGCCGATTTCCTCTGGTAGCTGCAAAGCGCTCTTCTGAGTGGAGGATGGCGGGAGAAACGCCTCAGCTCGTCGCATTTCTGAGAGCACCGCCTCCCAGCTCCACCCAACCACGCCGAGCGCCTCCCATGCTTCAATTTCGCTAGAGTGCGGCTTGTTCCACAGCCTAGCGCGACTGCTGTTAGCTACACTATTGTCGCAATAGTACTCCGCCTCACAGGAAATTAATCGCACTGCTCCCTCCCAGGCACCGTCCGCGGGGCATCGGCATAGCAGCATCGTGGACAGCGTATGCATGGTCATTCACACTGCCCACGTGGCTGACGAACTCGCTGGCTGCGTTCACGCTGATGGAGTCGTGTGCACTGGTTGGTGTGCTTACGTTAGCCACACTGCCACCGCAACTGCTGCTGCGTAGACTCACTCCCCACCACTCTCCACCACTAACACTTTCTCGCCCTTCTTTGCTAGCCTGGCTGCTACAACTAGCCCTGCTGTACCGCCTCCAATGACGACATAGTCATATTCCGTGTTCATGGTACTAATTTATCATTATAGCCATACAAATCTATGTATAAAGCGCTAAAGCTACTTGTACATCTACTGCCGAATCTTATCCATCCATTTCATAAATATGTTCTTTTTGCCTGCTTTAGCTGTGCCTGTCCGTGATGATGGTCTTGCTGCTGCCGTCATAGGCGAGCTGCCAATGTCGTTATCGAGTGCGTTTGCGTTTGTATTTGCATTTGCATTTGCATTCGCGTTCGTGTTTACGTTTACGTTCGGCGACGGTATCCTCTTCCCCCGTCCACTCTTCTCCCGCTCATACTTTTCCCGCTCGAGCTGCTCTCTCTCTCTACGCACACTAGCTGCATTCAGCCTCGCGCCAGCGGGCGCAGGCGGCGGCGATATTTGTCCGTTACGCGGGTTCGCGTTGGCTGTGCCGTGACTGACGCTCCTCTCTTTCATGAACGTCTCTGACATTCCGCTGGCGAATTGGCCGCTGCTGTGTGGCGGTGTAGGCTTGGTGTCTGCTACACTCTCTGCTGCACTCAGAGACCGCCTCCTGCTTCGTTTTTCCTCTTGTTTCTGCTTCTGCTGTCTCCCGCCGTTGGGTATCTCGGGTGGTATATCGTGCTCTCCCTTACTTCCACTCGCGTTTCCACTCCCACTCATGCTTTTCAGCCTCACTTTCCCAAACCAGCTGCTGTCTTTGTCGTATGTGCTCGCAGCATGGCTGGTAGATGGCCTCGCTGTAGATTTGTCCTTCTTGGCAAAAAGCGATCCTGAGGATATGGGTCGAGATGCTGAGCCTGCGTTGGAATTGTTACTCTTGCTTTTGATGGCGCTACTGTTTCCATTGCCACTACCACTCCCCATCCCCACACTGCTTACCCTGTCTGCCCCCAGTCCAAAAGGTATATTGAGTGACTTGCGAGAGCTTTGAGATCCAGTGCGTTTCAGATCACCACTTTTATTCTTATCTTTGTCCTTTTCTTTGTCTTTGTCATCCTTACTCTCCTTCTTTTCCTCACTCGCAGTCATAACCTGGTTGAGCTTCGACGTGCTGTTCACTTTAGAAGCACTGGTGAGTGGGGTGAGGGTGGGTGATGGTGGTGCACTAAAAGACCCTTTCTTCTTCAAGTACGACGCCTTGTTTGACTTGTCCTTGTCCTCCTCTTCCTCCACCAGCGGCACCTGAGGCGAAGGCTTCTCCGCGAGACCAACACTCCCTCTATCAAGATGGACAGTCTCGTAGAAGAAGACATACCCCTCTCCCGCCGGATCGTTTCCGAAGAATTTACTCAGTTCGTGCTCGTCGACAATCGACACCTTATCGTCGTCGAACAGCACCCATCTGTCATACGACTTGATGATAGATACGTAATGGCCGTGGTGTGGGCCGCTGTAGGTGCATTAATGATGATTTTGGTAAGCTCGAGTGCAAATATTTACACACCTGCCGATATGGATGATGACTGCAAAGAGACTATACATCCTGTCACTGTTTTCAGCACCCTGGCATGTGCTGCTGAGATTGGCAGGCTCGAGAAGGAACGGGAACGCAACGCGGTACGACAGTTTGATGTAGCGGTTCTGCTCTTCCTGATATTTGAATCGCTTGAGGTGGAGAGCGAGGATGTTTGGGAGCTTCTTGATACGCATCCTGAATATAGTACAAGGTGTAAGAGGATGGTTTAAACACTCTAATTAAACACTCTTACCATTTTTCAGCTTCCTGCAATCCTCCACAACCATCGCAGAAGAATTTGTTCTTCTGGCAGAGCATCTCGCGCGTGCTGAAGTTGCTCAGACACTCTGTGACATTGGAGTCTTCCTCGACGTTGATGCTGAGATCGAGAAACGACTCATCGCGGTGGGTAATGTTCTCGCAGGTCATGCATTTCGTTTCATTTGTGAGCGTTCCTTCGAAGAGAGAATGTACGAGCGTGTGGGGGGATTTGGTGAGGCGCGTAAGATCCTCAGCGACTCTATTGAGAAGATAGTTGAGGAACTCATGCGCATCCTGGTGCGTCGTCGATCTGAACAGCTCATTTTCAATTCGAAGCCTATCGACAAATGATTTGGTGTGAGATACGCCAGTACGCCTAGGCTGCCTGGATATTTCATGGAAAAGATTACGGAGCACTGTGTACATGCTCCTGTCTACATCCGACGGCAGCCCCAAAATCAATTCTCTTAACGGGCGACAGAAGTAGAGAGATTGGAGAACTGAATTGCAGTAGCACGTATTGCCCAGATTATCCATCCCGTAGAATCTCTCGAGGTTTCTGTCTGCAACCTGCTCTGCACTCAGTCGCCGCTCTGTTTTCGGGTCCTTTACCAGCGCTGCATCGAGCTCCCTGCTGCTGATCCCGCTTTGAAGATCCTTGCTGGCTATTCCAAGCCTCTTGAACAACGAGGTCATCCTGTGCGTCGTTTGCCGTGGCTGCTGTGATCTGAGAGAGATGAATTAAATAAACAATTAAAATTCATCAGAATCATTTACATCGACATATTTATCTGCCAGCTCATCGTCATCGCTGCTCACGTCTATCATCAGATTCTTTCGTGGCCGCTGTGTTGGCTTTGTGTTTGAGTTTGTGTTTCTATCAAGCAGCCCAACCGCGACGCGTGGCTGATATATGTGATCTATCTTGCGTCTGAATTTCTTATAGTTCGGCATATCTCTATCACCTCGAATTTCCTTCTTTTCCTTCTTTTCCCCAGGCTCGTCACGCCTCCGCAGCGGAATGAGTTTCATCGGAATAATGCAATCGCCGAGAGCGCGCTGAAATCCACTCCCATCCAGCTGCAGATCATCATCAAAGTCATCTCCTTCCCTACCCTTCTTTCCAGCCTCTTTTCCAACCACTTTTTCAACTCCACCGGACTTGCTCCCAGGCACACTCTCAGGCACCCGCGAAGCCTGTCTCTGCGCAGCCGCTAATACCTCCTGCTCAGCTATGCGCGCATGTTGTGCAGCTACCTTCGCATTCCGCTCTTCCAATAGCGTTTTCTTTCTCCTCATCATATGCTCATTGAGAAAATCGTGTTTTTGGGGCGCTGCCATCTGCTCCTCTACTCTCTCACGCGCCGTCTTGCGTTTCTGAATTATTTGCGGTGTCGGGGGTGGTATGTGCGATTGCAGCTGCGACAGCAATTGCGTCGGTGCGGGGGAAGACACATGTGGTGCCGTTGGCTGAGGTGCTGGGAAAGGCTCTTCATCGGAGTCGTCGATGTTTATTGTCTGCATTCGACGCGTGTTTGCTCGTCTGCGCAGGGTGCTTTGTTGTTGATGGGGCTGATAGGGTTGCTGGGGTTGCTTTGTTGGAGATGATTCCTCTGCTTTCTCTTCTGGCTGCTGCAATTGCGATGTCTCTTCGTGTTGTTTCTGTTGTTGTTGCTGTTGCGCGTTCGCACTTGTATGCACATCATCATCATCAGAATCATCAATGTTACGGGCCAATGCGCGTCTCGCGCCTGCTCGTTTACCAAGTTGTAATGTTGTATTTTTCCCTGGCTGCTGCGGTTGTCGCAATTGCACTGTTTCTGCTTTCTCCTGAGCAGGTGGTGCAGCTGACGTGCTATTTTCACCATCATCGTCTAGGTCATTAGAATGCACTCTCGCAGCACCGCTTCTCTTAATCAACTTTCTCTGTGGTGCTTTCGGTGCCTCAGCTTCCTCTATCCCATCCAGTGCTTTGCGCTTCCTGCTTTGGGAGGGCTCTTGAGAAGGTGCTCTAGAAGAAGAGGATGGTTGTGATTCATGCCGAGGTGCATCTACTCTCTCTTCACATGGCACAGCCTCTAAACAATCCACATCAATCTCCATAATAGCTCTATTCACCGAGGAGCATTCCATATGCTGAATACCAACTTGTTGAGCAGCTTGCGATATCGCATTCGACCATGCTACACCCTCGCCCAACAACCTGTCGCTTACATCTGTTGGGAGAATAATCTGGGTGTTTTTCGTACATGTGCGCTCAATTGCTGATGCGACATTGTCCGCTTTGATGGATGTGTTGATTGGTTTAACACTTGCACCGCAATGCGTTAGTATGTCGATATAAGCAGATGATAGGAGATCAACAATCACGTAGAAGGTGTGTCCGCTAAATAACCTCAATCTACTCTCAGAAATGAGCCAGAAAGCATCAGATTGAATTTTTTCATTGGAAACTGCTGATGGCAGATGATCTGAAGTGACAGTGGGGAGTATAGAATCGATATTGTCTGACAATATAGACTGGTAGACGCTTTCAAGGTAGCCTCTGTTGACGATAGGTTTGAGGGAGGTTAGAGCAGCGAGTACTTTAGTATTGAGAGATCTTTCTGGATGGACTAGGTAGTCATAGGAGGACTTCCAATGACCCCTACCGAATTTTAAACCCTTTTCCGCGTAACAGAGTGTCTCAGAGTTGAATGAAGATTTTGAAGTGAATAGGGAGGAGACATTGAAATGAATTGGGCGCCAAATCACAGTCATAGCGATAGCTTGATTGGCAAGGTATATAATGTCACCGTGTTCAATCTCAGTTGAACTGTTTTCGAGCATCGTCGGTGGGCTGTCTGGTTTGACTACTTTAGCTTTCTTGTTTGCGTGTATTGTGAGAGGATATTTTGCTTGTATATCATCCCTCTTTGTCACGTCAACATCACCGGCTATCACGTCACAGTGATTAGCCCTACTAATCAACTTATGGTTGAATTTGATTTCTGAGGATTTCCTTCCGATCGAAGTTGTCTTTGAGGGTTTCAAGAAAAAGAAGCTGTGAGTGTTTTCGTTGGTGTTGTAGCAGTCTAGTGTGTACATTGAAGTGGAGTGGTAAGGAGGATAGTGCTTTGAATTGTAATGCTTGAAAGCTAATTGAATTGCTTGAATTTACTATTTCAGTTGAATTGAATTAAAGTCAAGTAATTTAGAAGCCCCTTGTTCTTGAACGGTGGTGACGTAGTAAAATCAATTTAGTCAAATAAGAAGCTTGAATAATTCAAGTGAAAATGTCACAAACTAAATCAAAGAGACCTTCAAAGATTGGTCAGTATCAAGTACTTCAAACGCTTGGTACTGGCTCATTTGGCAAGGTTAAATTGGCTGTACACGCGCTCACTGGGCACAAAGTGGCTATGAAGATCCTCAATAAGCGTAAGATACACAGTCTAGATATCAGCTCCAGGGTCAAGAGGGAGATACAGTACCTGAAGCTCCTCCGCCATCCCCACATAATCAAGTTATACGAGGTTATTTCTACTCCGACTGACATTATAATGGTCATGGAGTATGCTGGCAATGAGCTTTTTAATTATATCGTTGAACGCGGCAGAATGCCCGAGGATGAAGCTCGCAGATTCTTCCAGCAGATCATTTGCGCTGTGGAATACTGCCACAGACATTCCATAGTTCACCGCGACTTGAAACCGGAGAATCTTCTTCTAGACGACTTCAATATGGTCAAAATTGCAGATTTCGGTCTATCGAACATAATGACTGACGGTGATTTCCTTAAGACGAGCTGTGGTAGTCCAAACTACGCAGCACCTGAAGTTATATCGGGCAAGCTATACGCAGGTCCTGAGATTGATATCTGGTCATGCGGTGTTATCCTATACGTCATGCTCTGCGGAAGATTACCTTTCGACGATGAATTCATTCCTAATCTCTTTAAGAAGATAAATGGTGTGTTTGAGTGTTTTGAATGCTCTTGGCCATCTAACACACTGAATAGGCGGTGTTTATCACCTTCCAAGCTACCTTTCTCAAGAGACCAAAAGTCTACTCACTCAAATGCTCATCGTAGACCCTGTCAAACGCATTACTATACCAGAGATACGTGATCTGCCTTGGTTCAAGGTCAGCCTTCCCAAGTACCTAGAACCGCTCCCACCAACGACGCCATCGAATGAGAAAGAAGAGCCACCAGCACCTTTGCCTGAGAATGATGCTCAGGTTAGTCCGGATCTCGGACCGATCGACCGTAGCATCGTCAACGACCTCGTTGAAAAGATGGGACCGTTTGACATATCGCAAATAATAAACGAGCTGAAATCATCTCACGACAACCAATTTAAAGTCGCGTACCAGCTTGTGCGCGACCAAAAGAGAATGGTTGAGACAGCCGGCGACAGACAAGACCAAGCGATGGATAACTTCCTATCTAGTTCCCCACCTGCGTGGAATGCAGGTCTCGAGCATATGACAGGGTCGCGGAGATCGACGTCGATCAAGCGCAAGTCGAGGAATGCCGCAGCAGCTGCAGCTGCGGCCACTCCTGCACAAGAGAAACAACAGCAACCTGAAGACTACGATGAATATGATGAATTCGACGAACTCGATGACTTTGATTTGGAAGAGCGTTTTACTGTGCTCGATTCGTCACTCCCGCAGAACAACGAGGATGATGGCGTGGGTGCCAGCTCGACAGCGTATAGGATGGAGTCTCTCAAGCTCAACAGCGGTGGAAGAGGGGAGCGCGGAGAGAGAAAGGATCCCACTAAGGTACTCCAGAGCAGAAGCTCGCAGCCTATCAGCGTCGAGCCCATGTCGACAATCCCAGCGCCCTCGAGCGGTGCAGACGAGCGTGAGCGCGAGCGTGAAGGAGAAGGAGAACGTGAACGCGCGCGTGTTCATGAACGTGATCGTGATCGTGAGCGCCACGCTAAAGATACCATTAATCACGTCTCTTCGGCAGCATCACCTAAGGACAAAGAGAAGGATAAGGAGAGAGAGAAAGGTGGTGCGACAACCTCCAAAAAGTCAAAAGCTTCTAAATGGCACTTTGGGATAAGGTCGCGCTCCCCGCCAATGGAGGTGATGTTGGAAATATATCGCACGCTGAAATCGCTCGGAATGGAGTGGAAGACGAAAGATCTTCCGGCGGATCCACCGCGTGGAGATGTCGACGATAGTCGCGTGCAGGACCTCTTCTTCGTGGAGACACGCTCACGTATTAAGAATGTTATCATTCGCATGGATCTTCAGCTGTATCGCGTTGATGAAAGTAACTATCTCGTCGACTTTCGTCTTGTTGACTACTTCCCCATTGCTGCTACATCTGATGACTATATACGGCACGAGGGAGTAGCTGAGGAGCGAGAGAAGGAGCATGAATATGGACATGAACACCCCCATGGTGCTAAAAGTCCAGGAGAAAGCCACAGGAGCCACAGCAACAGCGTTAGCGCCAGCGCATCAGAGGGCCATAGCACACCCAACGTTGACAGGCTGTCAGACACTAATCAGAAACTAGGGCAATCATACGAAGGCGATGTGTGGTCGCCATTCCTCTTTCTCGATTGTGCATGCAAGCTTATAGTGGAATTGGCTGGAGCGGGTGCGTAGGATTTCAACGATCTATGTAAAGAAAGATATATAGGTATACAGATATGCATAATGACGATAACGATGATAATGATGACGCTCTCACACACCACTCTTGCCCGGCCTCGCTACCAAAGCTGCAGAAGCCTGATTGGTGGGAAAGATGAGGGAGCTGGCAGTTTGGACGTGCGGAGGACGGCTAGTGACCCAGATGATATCTTCTGCTACATCGTGTGGCGTGAGAGGGTCTAGATCCTTATAGACATTGCTAGCCTTATCAGTATCTCCGCGGAAACGCACCTCGCTGAATTCCGTCTCGACCAAACCAGGCTGAATTTCCGAGACGCGGATGGGAGTGCTGATGAGTTCTTTCATGAGAGAGTTAGTGAAAGCTCTAGCAGCGTGCTTAGTGCTGCAGTAGATGCTGCCGTTAGGATAAGGTTCGATGCCGGCGATAGAGCCGATAGTGACGACATGACCGTTGTTACGCTGTTTGAAGTGGTTGACGAGTATTTGGGTGAGTTTGATAAGACCGGTGACGTTGGTGGAGTACATCAGGGCTACGTCGTCGTCGGCGATATCTCCCACAGCTTCGATGCCCTTGACTAGACCGGCGTTGTTGATGAGAATGTCGATGTGGGGGAAAGTGGATCGCTGGAGAATAGTGGAGATGTCTTCGTTGCTGGTCATATCTAAAGAAATTGCTTGGTGTGCGCCGTGGGGATTGAGTTGGCGTGCTTGAGCGACGATATCTTGCAGCCTGTCTAATCTACGAGCAGCGAGGAGGACATTTGCACCGCATTGGGCGTATAATAGGGCAGTGGACTTGCCGATGCCGCTGGAGGCACCAGTGACGAGGACATTCTTCCCTTCTGCGGGGGAAGTTAGTGGGGAATCAGTGAGAATAAGTATAAACATACGTAATCTATGAGTTGATAGAATTTGGGACATTTTAATTGACTATAGATGATGGACGTTCGGGTTCAAGAGGGTTTCTCTGTTCGCTACAGCCATTATGTAAATTGGGTTTAATTGAAATGGCAGCAACTGATTGAATCAATCACAGGACACATGTACTCCCAGCTAATCTGTTAAAGGTGATTAGATAATCTTGTGTACGCTGGTTACTCACTCACAGTTGCAGCTATTTGCACCACGGCCACCACTCTCTTATGCTAAACCACTGGAGCGTGATCCAACGCGTGGAAAGAGGAATACGATTACAGGGATTGCCGGTTTGATGGATTCGATTAGGTACGAGAATGAGAAAGTTACAGACGATCAGGATGAGAAGGCACAGCAGAATGGAATCAATGACAACGATAGGAAATCCCAACTTCAGGCTGAAAAAGCTACAAAGAGAAAGGACACCTTCAACAGCGCACTCAGTCAGTACAACCCACAATCAGACAGTGAAGCTATCGGTGATCCCTTCAAAACGCTCTTCATTGCACGCTTAACCGCTGAAACCAATGAATCCGATTTACGTAAGGAATTTGAAGTCTATGGCCCTGTGGAAAGAGTTCGTATTGTTCGTCATAAAGACACGGGAAACAGCCGCCGTTATGCCTTCATTATATTCGAAAAGGAACGCGATATGAAAGCAGCGTATAAGGATGCTGAGGGTTTGAAAATCAATGGCAATAGAATCCTCGTTGACGTCGAACGCGGTCGTACCGTAAAGAATTGGAAACCTAGGCGTTTAGGCGGTGGTTTGGGTGGTAAACCTAAAGTGGTTATCCCCGACTTACCTCCGCCACGAGGACCTCGAGGCCCTCCTGGTGGTTCTAGAGGTGGTTTTGGTCCTCCAGGTCCACGAAGAAGCGATGGCGGTGGTAGATTTGGTCCTCCAGGTGGTGGTCCTGGTCGCTTTAGCCGCGACCGCGACCGTGATCGTGATGGTCCTAGATTCGGTGGTGATCGCCCAATGCGTCACTGGGGTGGCCCTCCACGCGATAGAGATAGAGGTGATAGAGACGGCCCCAGAAGATCTTTTGGCGGTTTCAAGAGGGAATTTGACGGTGGAGACGATCGGGATGCCAAGCGTTATAGATATTAGCTGGCTGGGTCATAATATGTGGTACTTTTGTACAAACGAATTTAATTATTGATTCACTAGTCTCTTCTTAACCGTGATGACCTCATCACCGAATTCGAACGACTCGAAGAAACGCAAAATGAAATCCTTCGATGAGCTATTCGCTGATGCAGCACCGGAGAAAGCCAAGGGTACGCGACAGACGACGCCTCACGCGACGGATGTGCGATGGCTGCGAGTGGGAGGAGGGGGAGCCGGGGGAGCTAACCAAGGCGATGATCAATCAGGCTATTGGTGGCCAGTGCGAAGTTTAGACGAAGGCGCAGTGGAAGTGTATGGCGACGACGGGCATGGATTCCGCCGGCGGGTCAAAGCAGACAAGGAGTCGCTGGCCACATTCAAGCGCGAGGGCGTAGTGCGATATACCCCACAGACCTTCTACACGCACGAAACTCCGCCTCCCTGTCTCGTCGACGCTTTTCAAACAGCCGTCAAAAGCGCCAGCATCGACGACGAGGATAGCAAGGATGACCTGCCTGATGTGGACGTAGCGTTGTATGTCTCAACCCCATCGGCTAGCCAGGTTGGGCAGGTTACCCAAGTGGACTCGGACTCGTCCCCGGTGAGCACACAAGGGCAGACTGAGACGCATTCAGGGCATTCAGAGCACTTGAATCACTCCCAGCACCTGATTCAACCCGATCGAGACATCAATATAGCGGAGAAGGAAGGTGTCTTGTCGCGCTACTACAAGTCATCCAAGACACACTGGCCAGCACGCGTCATTGGGTTTGACAGCGGACTCTACTTGCTCGAATTCAACGACGCGACTGTGCGCAAACTGCCGCGCGCATGTTTCTTTACGTGCGCCGAAAAAGGTTTTCGGGAGTGCGAGCTGGGGATGCTGGAGAAGGTGGGCGGGGACCAGAAGAAGAAGAAGCGAGGGGACAAGAGCAGGTATGAGTATGGGCGTGAGGGCGGGAATAGGAGTGAGCTCACCTGCTCACACACTCGCACTCAGCCTCGCATGCCCCCCACAGAGGTGTTTGGGGAGCTGGACATGGCGACACAAGTGCAGCTGTGTCTGCCCATCATCGACCGCATAATCCACGAGCAGTACACGCCCGCTCTGGAGAAGCACAAGCAGTTTGTCAGAGGCGGTCTCTCCCGCAAGGCCGTTGGAAAGCAGGTGTGTTATGGGGAATTCAGCGGCTGTCGCGACGAGATTGTGGAAATAATACGCGAGTATTTGAAGGTGTGTGCAGCGTGCTGGCTAGCTAGCTAGTTAGGCATACACACACACGAATACGCTAACACCCCGCTCACACCAGCCAGGCGAGGAGGGAGAGGAAAGTGCGCAGGAAAAGGCCTACGAGAAGCTCACGCCGCCGGAACGCGTTGCTTATATGCTCGATGTACTTTTCCCGGAAGTGCTCATCCAGATTGTCATCCACTCGGAAGGACTGGATGGAGAGAGCGCGAGCGGATACAGGCGGGCGTGCGAAATACTCAAAGCGGAGTCTGCGGACCGCGACTGGATCGATAGGATCTACGCTCAGAGACAGTTCCACGAGCCGTCCACACCCACGCAGCAGCCCGAGCAGCAGCTGTACCACTCGTCAGGCAGGCCTGTGCGGAAGAAGACAGGGCGATAGTGGTTGTGGCTTAATCGGATTTGATTTTTGATTTTCGCGTACCACTTACAGGCTACAGCCCAGCCATCCCGCTTGTACTGCTACACTATGACGTTGATCGACTTTCCTAAGTGCGAGTGCGAGGGCGAGATTGAGAAGGCTACACACACACAAGCCACATCACGCAAATTTCCGCTCAGTCTGCCTTTCGATCTGCGTATGTTTGCGGTGACTTGGCGCCCGCGGCCGGCGACCGCCCCCACATACACAGCCACCGTCAACGAGAAGCGGATCGCACTGGGCGTAGAGCTGCTCGAGAAGGCTATCGAGGCTGACAGGAGGCGCGACGATGAGCTCTGCTGTACGTATGCGATTTACAGCGCTCTATCGCTGCAGCTGCCCGATAAGACGCGTTCTGAAATTTATAACAGATGAGGCATATTTCCACGCGGTGGACCTAATATTCAGTGCAATCAACGAGCGCAAGGAGATGGACTCAAGGCGCATGGAGCACCTCGAGAGCATGATCAATTGCCATTTGCTCAAGCTGGGACTGACGCCAGTGAGCTGCACAAAAGACCGCGGCGGCGGTTGGCGGGAAGGAGTAATTGAGACGAGCACCGCGATAGCCGTGGCTGCCAAGAAAAGCAAAGTGGGGAAGCGTACTGCTGTTGGTTTGCTACTCACGCTGCTCAGCTCCACCAATACGCGTTGGGCGGGTTAATCAGCATCGTCAACGCACTCAGACAACTCAATGAGAGATTTCAAATATCTTGGCGTCTCGTCAACGCACTCGAACGCGCAGTCGCGCTCTTTGTCCGCCTTGATAGCCACTTGGGTCTCCACCAATCAGCTTGCGAGATTGGCTGGACGGCGTGGGAGGCCACAGTGAAAGCTGCGATAGCTTATGCTCAAGCGGGTGCGTCGACGGCAACATCTCCAGCGTCATCTTCGGTGTCATCTCCATCTCGAGTGAAATACCAGTAGTCTTTAGATGAATTGATATAATTTCTGTATTTAATAAAGCATTTTAAGTTCAATAAACTATAAACACATCTTGGTAGTGTACAACGACGATCAGCGCTAGAGATGAACAAGCCACGCGAGTCAAAAGTGGTCGATATTGACAGCAGCGACGATGACGCGGCGGGCGATGACAGCAACAAGCGCAAGGATGGCGTAATTGATCTTACCAACGACGACGACGATGATGTTGTTATCAAGAGCACGCCAAAGCCACAGCCACCACAGCAGCCAATATCATTCGATCCGCTGTCTCCATCTGCACCGGTGTGTATTGGTGAAATAACATGCACTGCACTCGTGATGATTCCTTCGAATTATATCCAAACGACTCCCGAGGTTTGGAAGGACGTCCGCTTGGCTTATGTGCCTCAACTCAATCATTCTACTCAGAATCCTCCAATTGAAACTATACGCGTATACCCTCCTGCTCATGTTCTCGGACAGACTCCTGCACTTAGCCTCGGTGCTGGTCAGATGCGCATCCAGGACAGCTTTGCCGTTGTTGATCGCCGCACTGCGGGCGTTTTGGGCCCTTTGATGCTTCAGCGTTGTGTACGAATTGAAGGCGTCGTTAAAACAAAGTCAGGAAGCGTGAGTTGAGTTGCTTATCTAATAGTCCACTCTCACCCATCTACAAACAGCCAATGATGCTCCCTATGAAACTCCTTCTATTCACCAGACGTGACTTAATGGAGAAAATTGCACACGTTGTCCTCCACGCAGGCATTGCCATCGAAGAGCCAGAAAGATATAGACCAGACAAACATTGCAACGCTTGGTATGAGTCGCCTGCTATTGTCAAGACCTTTAGTAAACATGGTTTTCCTTCTACTAATATACCCTCCTATGGCCCACTCACTAATGACTCGTCCTCCTCCCTCAATCCTTACTCTTATCGGCCTCAATACACTGGCCACGCAAAGACAACCGAAGTCAATCGCTCTCAGCAAGCTAACGAAATGCTTGGCAAAATATCCGTCGATGAACTCCCTGAAACTCTCGCTTCATCTAGAATAGCGACTACTCTCTACCCTCATCAGAAACAGGCGCTGACTTTTTTACTTGAGTGCGAACGTGATCCTCGTAGATCCACAAATGAATCTGACAAATTCTCCTTCTGGAAGCAAAGTAAAGATAAAAGGAAATTCCAGCATATTATCACACACAACTACCTCAACCAGGAACCTGCTGGATGTCGCGGTGCTATTTTAGCAGACGATATGGGACTCGGTAAGACTATCTCAGTTGTCGCGTTGATTGCGTCCACGTTCGAGTCTGCAAATGATTATGCATTGGCTGGTCCGAGTAAATCAGACACAGAAAAAAAACCAAAGAGGCAGGAAATGAAAGCTCCAGATGCTTCCCATTTCAGTAGCAAATTCGCTATACCTGGCATGCCTCAATCTAACTCTGGTATTACCGACTCATTTCGAAAAGAAAATGACGACCAACTCGAAGGTGCTTCTGGAAAATCACGTCGATTGCGCAAAGAGAGGCTTCAAATTAGGAGTAAAGCGACTGTAATTGTCAGTCCCTTATCTACGCTAAGTAATTGGGAGGAACAGTTCAGTGATCACATGACAACTAAGCCGCATTTCTATCGTCATGAGGAAAGACCGCCAAGAAAACGCAAAGACGATGGACTGAATATTTATATATATCATGGCAATAATCGCAAGAAAGAGGTGTCATTTCTGATGCAATTTGATGTCATTCTCACCGCCTTCTCCACCGTCGCTACTGAGTTCAGCAAACAGGATACTGCCATCAAGAAACTTCATCTTGCGCAAGAGAAATGGGATGAGATGTTGGAGAATGGTACGGCTTTCGCGAATACCAATGGAGTTAGCGACGATGATGTATCCTTTGTGTCTGACAGTGCAAGCGCATCCGGAGCCTCCTCATCGAAACCTACCAAGTTGCCACCATCATCATCATCATCATCGACGTCCAAGCCAAAGGGTAAAGGCAAGCGTAAGAAGAAGGGTGAGGATGATCTTGAGGGTCTCTGTCCAGAGATGCTAGCAGAATTGGAGCAGAATGCCATCAACTATACTTCTCCACTTCAGCAAATCGAGTGGTTCAGAATTGTGCTCGACGAAGCCCACTATATCAAAGATCCATCAACCATGATGTCAAAGGCAGCTTCTGAACTAGCAGCTGAGAGAAGGTTGTGTTTGACGGGTACGCCTATCCAGAACAAAATTGAAGACCTTTATGCTCTGTTGAGGTTCTTGCATCTCGAACCATTTGATGAGCGCGAGACGTGGAACACGTTTATTGGCACACCCATTAAGCAGCAGCTCAATGTAGGATTTGCGAGGATCCAGATAATTATGAAGCATATAACTATGCGTCGTACCAAGGAAATGAAGAATAAGGATGGTACCCCGATTGTCTCCCTCCCTGATCGGTCTGATGAGTTGCGTTCGTTGGAATTCAACCCCCGAGAGAGGGCTATATATGAAAATCAACATGGTAAATCTAAGGACAAGTATCTAGATTTACGTGATGCTGATGGTTTGTCACGTGGTGGTTTTATTAGTATTTTGCAGGTATGTTGGAGTATGAGTGGTTGGTGATGCAAATTAACACTTTAAAGGAATTACTTCGTTTGAGGATGATATGCGACCATTACTGTCTATGTCCAGATGCTGTGAACGCGTTTGCTGAATCACCACTCGCACAAGCGCAAGCTATCTTTCAGGTAATGCGCGACTCAGAAACTGCAAATTGTTTGGAATGCTACTACGACTTTGTCCAAGCGCAGCTCCCTGGTGCGCCCAAGGAAGAAGAGGACGAGAAGCCGCTGTATGATGAAAAAGATAGGGATTTCAAAAAGCCGAAGAAGGAAGCAGGAGGAGGAGGAGGAGCACCAAGTAATGCCGTGGCACTTCCAGTTCTCAATCTCCAGTGTAACCATCTGTTATGCAGCAACTGCATACAAAAACACATTGGCGTATGGCCCGAATTCGAGCCATTTAATTGTCCAGATTGCAAGGAGCTGGTCAGCGATCGTGAAAAGATTATCCAAATCAGTAACTTCAACGACACCTTTGCGTCTGTCGACAACGATCTCGCCAAGTTTGAAGACGAGCTGCCGACTTCGAAGCGGAAGAAAAGGATCGAAAGACCGGAGGAGTTTTCGACCAAGATAGAAGCACTGCTTCACGATCTCGCTGAAATATCAACAACGAATCCTCACTCACCCAACTACGACACACTCAATTTCGATGTCGACATCAAAGCTACACCGAACAAAACGATCGTATTCAGTCAGTGGACGTCTATGCTGGATTTGATTGAATATGGATTGAAGGAGTGTCAAATTGGATACGGTAGACTCGATGGAACTATGCAGCGTGATCAGCGTGCTTTCGCTCTTGAAAGACTCAAATTTGATCCCAAGTGCGAAGTGCTCCTTATATCACTGCGTGCAGGTGGTGTAGGATTGAATCTGGTGAGTTGTGTGGTACATAGTGTACAACCCTCTCACACACCTGGCAGACTACAGCAAATAGAGTATACATGATGGACAGCTGGTGGAACGTCGCAGTGGAGAACCAAGCAGTCGACCGTGTGTGTCGTATTGGTCAAAAACGCCCCGTGCAGGTCGTCCGCTATATCATACAGAACACTATCGAGGAGCGCATTCTGCAGATACAAGAACGCAAAACAGAGCTCTTCAAGGGCGTCCTCGGATCTGGACGCCAGAGGTCCAAGGAAGAGGAGAGGAAGGAGATGCTCGAGAATATCGCTATCATGTTTGGAGAGTCGCCCGAGTCTGCGCATGTGAGGAAAAACATGTAGATGGTTGCATCGCTGTAATCTTTTCAACTCATTCACTCATCTTTGTGGCTGGGCTGGGCTTGTCTCAGCTTTCTCAGTCGACTTTTTTTTTTAATCTCTTTTATCTTTCATTCCCCCTTACTCAGCAAACACACAAGCATGTATCACTATGTCTTCTCAATTTTATTTATTTGTATTTAGTTTATTTGGTTGTAGGCTGTATCCATTCTATCCATTCTATCTAATCATTTGAAACCTTTGTGAAACATTTATGAAACATATTGTCAAGTGCGATCATGGAGTGCATGGATAGACAGCTAGGTCAATCCAATGCAGGAAAGCTAAGCATGCTCCTATGTATTCTCATTGTACGTACTTCGCTGAGGAAGGCACAGCGCTGTCTTGGAAGAAGGCTTGGCTATACCCAAATGTAAAAAACCCTAAAAATCAAACACCTGCGTCATATGCCTGCATGATCACTTAAAATAGGCATTAGGGGGACATTTTGCTACAAGGCTCCCAACATCCTTTCACGGCTCCTCTCAGTAAATCGGCATTGTTCTTCATCTTTAGTTATACCAGAACAGCACATATATCTTTTTTTCTCTTAAGCGGAGCATTTGTTGGTTTAAATGTTAAGAGTTAGTTAAATTGACATTCTCAAACAATGATCAGAATGCCTCAAATTAATGTAAAGGTAGATTATATACAATACGCTGCCATAAAATTACTATGAGTGTCAGTATAATATGATTACGTGCGCTGAATTTTGAACAAGATTACATGAAGAGAACAACTTTCCCGCTGCCATTACCGCCTGCGATGCTCAAATCGTCGAGTCCAGTGAAGGGTTTCGCCGATACGACAGCCGGTACAGCGGTGATATTCTCCGTATCAACTAAATCAGCAGACGGTGCTCTATCGCCCATTGTCCACATCTCCAACGACCTCTTCATAGAAGGAGTGATGAAAGAGGTGGGGACACCAGTCCATGGCGCTGGATTAATCCACTGCATTCTAAAAACCGACAACCATCTCCCCGTTTCGTTGTTGTGTTTGATCGAATTGACAACGTTGAGTTTATCGTCGAACACCTTAACTGTGTTGTCGAAAGACGTTGACAAAATGTTGGATCCCGTTGGAGAGTAATAAGCCGATGTGACAGCTTTCCCGTGGATGGTTCTATGCAACATGCCAATTTCCTCGCGATTGTCATAGTACGGTAGATCGTCTTCATCTTCTGTAATAGGTTCGAGTGTATTGCAATGTTTCTTAACCATTCGCATGTCGAATATACGTACAGCGTGGTCGTTGGAGGCTACACATACCTGCTGCTCGTTGGAGGGGTTGATAGAGACGGATCCGAGTTTGTTCTTGGACAACACATACCGCACACCCCTATCGCGGGATTCACGCATATCTTTTAGCGACAGTCCGCCTCCGTTGTCAGCTGCGTGCAGCAGCGAGGGCGTTTGATGGGGTATGTCGAGATGTGTGATTAGCCTATTCGTCTCCTGTTCGTATCCGTCGTTGCTACGGAAGAGTTGGGTCGATAGCCCACTCTCGAAGTCTAATTGACGGATTGTGCAGTCGTAACTGGTCGTGAATGCCTTCCTACTATCGCTAGCATCAAATCGTATGCAGGAAATAGGTGATCCAATCACGTGTGGCTGCAAACGCCATATCTGCGCCGTGTCCTTGTCGGCGTCATATTTTAGTATGCCAAGTTGACCGTACTTGTCACCAGCAAACACCAGATCACTTTCTTTGTCAGGATGGTACTGCATGCTGTGAATGCGATTTGAGGTAACTTTTTGAATCGTTTTGAATACCAAACTATTGGCTCTTTCTTTGTACTTGTGCACTGAATCGCTGCTGTTCGTATCTTTCTCATCTTCGACAGAATGTATGGGACGTGGAATGGCTGGTCGTGATGCCAAATAGCCTGAAAGCTCCTTCGCTATTAGCTCATCATTCTCGTCATCATCTTCTTCGTCATCCTCATCCTCATCATCCTCCTTCTTGGCTTTCTCCTCCTTTTTCACACTCTCGCCGCACTTCTTGCTGTGTATGTACTCTACCGGATCGCGCTTAAGTAGCTCGAGTATGGGCATATCATTCCTACGCGTTTCGTGCTCAATTCTCCGCTTTTCATCTTTGCGTTGTGCTTCGCGTTCTAGTTCCGTCTCTAGCTGCTCGCGGCTCGCTTTCTTGTCTTCTTCGGTCGTAGGAACGCGTCTGCTCGAACGTCTGGGTGGGTCTGCAGCAACTGCTTTGTCTGCATCTTCCTCCCTCTTCACCCTCTTCTTGGCTGGTTGCTGCTTCTGCTGTTTCTGCTGCCTGGGTTTCGCATCATCACTGTCGTGCGATCGCTTCCCAAACACCTCCTTCGACGCCTCGCCTAGTCCAAGTTGCTCGAGAAGACGGTTGTTCTCCTCGATGTTCTTCAGTCGCTGTCGCTCACTAGCGTGTATTAGCGGATTGCAGTGAGCGCAGAACCACAAGCGTACTACTCTGAACCCATTTTGAGCACTTGTTTTGATGTTCGGTGTCGGTGATTAAGTTTACTGGGTCAGTGGCGATTACATTTGATTGCATCCGATAGCGACTGATAGCAGCTTCCAAATAGACTTTACCTGAGCTAGCTAGTTGATGACTGTTTTACGCGTCACTTAACTTATCACTCGCTAATAATTAACAATTACAATATATACCACAATAAAACGCAACAGCACGCGTAAATCTATCCTAGTAAAAATACAACAAACACAATTCAACCCATTTGCAACCGCAAATCTAAAGCCATCAGAGTCAGTGCAAGGTTTAGCAGCAGTTAGGCAAGGTCTAGTATGAGCGTCCGGGAATACTTAAGAGGCTTTCGGGAACTTCTCTGCACCGAGTAGACCGAGTTCAAGGGATTTGATGCGCGTATCGTTTATGTAGAACAAAGGCGTATACCCGTCTTAGGTAGAGGGTTTAGGGAAATTGGCGAGACCGATGGCATTTTAGAGGGCTTATCGGACTCATATGCCTCCTCAAAGGTTAGAGTGTGATCATACAATTCTACGATACTACCTATGGATGATGCTATGATTTGTTACCCGACGGTGAATAATGAGCATTCAGTCACCGATGATTGTTCTGATAGCCATAAAACAATCCTTCAACGTCAAATACATCTTCCGTGGGAGTTTTATTTGAATTTCGACTATCACTCTTCTGCAGCCCACTCACATCGAAAACTCGAAGTGTTTTATCTGCACTTGCCAGAAAAATCTCAAACTGGTTGGCTGGATTGATCGAGACGCTATTTAGTGCTTTAATGGATTAGCTAAATTTTTCAACGGTTTCATCGTTATTCCGAATGCGCGCTTCAGTGATTGCCAACCTTCCTTGTGAGTCAGACATATAGATGATGTTTGGAGAGTTGTAATGTGCATCTATACCCAACACATCAACTGAATCACCTTTAAAAGTCTTGTCGAGCAGACTTGGAGGATCGAAGAGCATTTGGAACACTTTACTCGACACACCAGTCTCAAAATCCAACAACACTCGAACCGTTGAATCGGCGCAGACTGTATAAAGTTTACGGTAACAATGAGGATCTAGGAGGTTGTTGTTGATTGAATGACTTCTAACGTGTGGCTGTAGTCTCCATACTTCAGAATGATTTGCGTGTTTTGTGATACCAAGTTGGCCCTGCTTATCTCAAGTAAAGATAAGCTCAGATGATCGATCTGGGTGGTAAAGCAAAACAATTGGACTACTAGTCACAGCTTTAGTTCTGCAATAAGGTCTGCGTTTTTCTTTTTGGATCGCTGCTGAGTGTTCAAAACGACAGGAGAAATGCGGAATCTTGATCGTCTTTGGATCTCTTGAACAAGTTTGTTTTAGGTCATTTTTGGAACAGAACGGAGTTATTAGTGTAGATCAGCAGAGTTTTGCGCGTCCAACTGATCCTGATAACACTCGTATTCTGCAGCATCGTCCCAAACATCGTCATAAACCGAGAAAAATACTGCGTCAAGTACGTCCAAACGCCTAGCAAACTTCCAAAGGTGAACTTTTTTGCGTTACTCTTCAGAATCAACAGAGTAAAGAGTTGGATCTTATTAATAAGAGTATGAATTGAGTGCTCAGAATAATAAGAGTTATTATCAAGGCTCCAGCGCTCTTCCAGCATTTCACCAAGCCCAGTTTTATCTGGTCTATAAAGTTCGGCATATCTTCTATAGGACTGATTCTTTGCAATGATGCTTAGCGATTTATTGTAAGTTGGAATCTTTCGTTCTCTTTCAGGATCCTTATGATTAGTTTGAAATTCACTTGGATTGATGTGCCATGATACCTTTAATGCCTTTGATAGGAAATGCTTTGTAAATGACGGTAACTATTACAACATAATTGATTGTGATATACTTGTACGAATTACTCTTTACTTTCTGTGCCGCTTGCTAGCATTCCTCTCTCAATATTCTCCACTGTTTTCCTGTGATTTGCTCAGTTGAGTCTTAAGACATTGTATTTGATACGAACAATTTCTGTTCGCGGATCTTTGTCAGTTCCTCAATAAGCTTCAGTTGGTCCTCCTTTGTCAAATTGGCGCCTTGGATATTTCGCACTTTCTCATGAGACTTGTCCAAATTCGTTTTCAACTCTTTAGCCTGTATTGGGGGTTTGAGGGTGTCAAACTACACGAAACTAACCCGCTCACTGCCTTTGATGCTGCCTGTGTATTACCGCTGCTTATATGCTCAGTTGTTTGCGCTATCAGCGGCAGTAATGATCCGAAGCTATCGTCAGCCATGATGTGATAAGTGAGAGAGTGTATGGTATGTTAATTTTATGTGATATAACCAATACATTTGTGGATCTATAGCGCTACACATACTTGAAAATATAAATCCAGATGGAGTGCAGGTGGCGTGCAAGGCTTCGTGAAGGCTTTAGGAAGAGATTAATGAACATGTATAATATCAAGCAGCCTCAAAGCAATATGAATAACGCACAAAACCACCCCCTCTCGCCCTCCAGAGAGGTGTAAAAACTTCACCCAAAATGACTGAAGGATGAGAATACAAGCGCGAGCAATACAATACCACCCTCATAAACCCCCTGATACTCCCACACAATTAAATATTTGAGTCTTTTAATTTTTTTAATTCTCCAGCCTCCGTCTTCGTAAATTTGAGAGGCGCCTTCTTGTCGAACGAGCGTGAGGAAGTGAGTGAATATCTCGTGGCTATAAGGAAACACATTGACGGGTGTTTGAAATAGAGCAGTATGGTCAATCTCAGATCTCAGAAACGTATTGCTTCTGCAGTCTTAGGATGCGGTAAACGTAAGGTCTGGCTCGACCCAGCTGAGCAAAAAGAAATTGCTCAAGCTAACAGCCGTGCCAACATCCGTAAGCTCGCTAAGGTGGGTAACAAGTCTTTTGAATTGAATTTCCCTCACGAGACTTTCAGGACGGCCATGTCATCCGCAAGCCAGCTTTGATGCACTCACGTTCACGCGTCCGTGAAACTCACGCTGCTAAGCGTGCCGGTCGCCACACTGGCCTCGGTAAGCGTAAGGGTACCGCTGAAGCTAGGATGCCTTCCAAGGTCGTTTGGATGCGCCGCCAGAGAGTTCTCCGTCGCTTGCTCAGAAGATACAGGGAATCTGGCAAGATTGATAAGCACCTCTACCACTCCCTCTACCTCAAGTCAAAGGGTAACACTTTCAAGAACAAGCGTGTCCTTATGGAGCACATCCACAAGGCTAAGGCTGAGGTCTTGCGTACTCAACGTCTCACTGACTCCGCTGAGGCTCGTCGTGCTGCTAACAAGGCTCTCCGTCTCCGTCGTGCTGCTAGAGTCGCTGAGAAGCGCTCAGGTATCACTCAAGTCGAGCACACTGACAACGTCGCCGCTACTCAAGCTTAAATTGGCACTATTTAAAAGTGGAGTGTTTTGTTGGGTCACATATCGTCTCACACATGTATATTGTTTATCATTTACGCTCGAAAATTTTTGGTCGTCTGTGATAGTGGCTTGGTCTGTATCGAGTGGTTATGCGGGGGATTGTATACACCAAATACAAACTTTAACTGCGGCAGATGCACAGATTATATTTTTAGAACTCGGCGGGCTGCCATCGGGAATCGGTCGTTCGGAAATCCCTCTCGCACCGAATCAGCTAGGGCTGATAGCTGATTACGCTTTCTTATCAACAATGAAATCAGACGACGAAAGTACTTTACACAGCGAGCGCCACAGCCATAATAATTCACTCAGTAATCTCAACATACGCTGTGGTGGCGATCACACTGGCGATTACGATAAGGCGACGAATTTGGAAATAAAAGGTCAGGAATTACAGCGGGAGCAACGTACTGATGATCGCGTCTCTGATAAAGGATCAGAAATTAATACCGATAAGCAGCAACAGCAGCGGCAGCACGATGCTTCTACATCTAATAGCACTCCTGAGCATACCAACAATGGAGAGAATGCAGTCGTTGAGAAGGAACAGCGCACTGATGGTCTCGATGATCAGACAAACTTAATGCCCCGGAAACAGATCATCGTCGTGTTCATGGGAGTCTCGAGCGCACTATTTATAAGTCTACTCGATCAGACGGTGATAAGCACAGCTTTACCTGATATTTCCAGCGAATTCCACGCTGCAGGGAAGGGTAATTGGTGCGTAGACCGCTAAGTATCAGCCCTTTGAAACTAAAAAAAATTATGACAGGGTTGCTACATCTTACCTGCTCACAAGCACAGCGGTAATAACCTTCTGGTCACGTCTGAGTGATCTAATCGGCAGGAAGTTAGTACTACAAATCAACTTGATCATCTTTTTCATAGGAAGTCTAGCATGTGCACTGTCCACTACAATTACAATGCTTATCGGCTTTCGCGCTTTGGCTGGACTAGGCGGCGGAGGAATACTGAACAACGTCATGGTCATTATCAGCGACATTGTATCATTGCGCGAAAGAGGAAAGGTTAGGTTGAGATGGAGTAAAATAAACCATACTAATCGTAAGCATAGTGGCAAGGACTTATTGGTGTGATTGTCGCGATAAGTAACAGTCTAGGTCCAATATTAGGGTGAGTTTTTGCCTACGTATGAAATAGACCATTTACACCGCTCTCGACTAGAGGTGTATTCACTGAAACTATTGGATGGCGCTGGATATTCTGGATCAACCTACCGCTCACAGGTGCTGCTATTTTGATCGTCCAGATATTCCTGCCTCAGAAACGTATCACATCCAACCCCCGCGAACAGATTAAACGGATAGACTATATTGGCACGATACTGGTACTTGCATCGACTACTCTGACGTTGCTGAGCTTGAATTGGGGCGGAAATGAGTATGCATGGGACTCAGCTGTCGTCATTGCACTGCTTGTTGTTGGCGTAGTGCTCATGGTAGTCTTTGTGCTGGTAGAGGCTAGCAGCTTTATTAATCTACCCATTCTCCCAATGTATCTCTTCAACGATAGGTCCGTCTCAGCTAGCTTCTTCTGCACTTTCTTTAGCGGTACCATCTTCTACGGGGCTCTTTACTTCCTACCGCATTATTTACAAGTTGTTAAGGAATACAGTCCTTTGCGATCAGGAGTGGTGCTGCTGGGACTGATCCTTACCCAAAGTGGGTTGTTGATATGTCTCACTCAATAAACGCTAACAAGGCCAAAACAGCATTGTTTTCATTCACATCGGGAGTGATTGTGTCTAAAACTGGAGGTTATAGGGTGAACATATGGACTGGATTTCTAATGTGGACTATTGGACTCGGGTTATTCACAATGCTCAGCCCGTCAACAAGTATTGCAGAATTCGTTGGATTCTCAGTGATTTCAGGTGAGACATACCTTGCTTGTTGAGCGAAACTCAATGTGATAAAGGTTTTGGTGCGGGGAATACATTCCAGACGACGTTACTGAGGTTGGTATATTGCTTAATGAAAGACAAGCACACTCAAATTTCGTAGCGTACAGGCTGCTGTTAAAAGGCAAGAGATTGCAGTTGCGACGGGAGGTAAGTGAGACTTTTCCGAAACATAAATGTAATCAATCTCAAACTAACTGTATCATATACAGGTCGTAACTTTATACGGCTCCTTGGGGGTACGATTGGACTTGCACTGTGCGATGTTATATTGAGGAACACGTTGATTACGGGATTACACAGTTTAGGGTCAAGTGTAAGTGAAATCAACGAAATCACGCAGGATCCTACGGCTATTCGGACCGTTGAAGGGATAGATACCGGGAAGGTGTTGGGGATTTACTGTGACGGAATTCGAAATATATTCATACTATTTACAGCTGCATCGGGTGAGTTATAAGATTAAGCGGTTTGCGTCGGGTAATCAGACCAATAATTACGAATTTGCAGGCGCGTCATTTGCATGCAGCCTTCTGATTCGTCAATGTAAGTCGCGTACCCATTCGGTTAAGATGAGATAATCAGATATGACGTAGATGCGTTGGACAAGCCAGATGACCAGATATTGAAGGAGGAGGGTAAGGAATGGAATGAGGAGCGTAAGAGGAAGAAGAGAATGAGGAAGGGAGGTGGTGTGGATAAGGTGGAGAATGAGGACAAAGTCTAAAAAAGCGTCGGCAATTATGTGGAGATAGAGTTGTCTCAAGAAACCGGCGCAGGAAAGGGAGAGAATTACATGGCTACAGGGAACAAGTATAGAATATATAGATGTACAAATGTGAAATTAATAATTATCGGCCAAAGTGTGATAATAAAAATCTAACGGATCAAATAAAATTCTCAGCTTGTAACTCGAAGTAAATTGGATTGTTTCTTATAGAAATACTTCCATTAACACACACTCGTTTATAAATTTAAAGTCTCAATGAATATTACAAACCTTGTCAACAGTGAGGGCAATAGCCATATCACCAAGGTGCCAAACCAGAACAAGCCATTCCAATGCACCTATGGTACCTGCACCAAGTCATTTGCCAGGAGATCTGACTTGCAGAGGCATTTAAGAATTCACTTGAATGAGAGGTGTGTCCGGTGTTTCAGGGGATTACATATGCTCATAAACACCTAATAGACCATTTGGCTGTCCTGTTGACGGTTGCGGCAAAACCTTCATTCAACGTTCCGCCCTTACTGTTCATATTAGAGTACACACTGGTGAACGCCCCCACACGTGCGAGGAATGCTCAAAGTCTTTCTCTGACTCGTCCTCACTTGCACGTCATAGAAGAATTCACACTGGAAAGAGGCCCTATAAGTGTCCTATTCAAGGCTGTAGCAAGTCCTTTTGCAGGAAAACCACTCTCACTAAGCATACGAAGCGTAATCACCAGTTACACCTTGAAGATAGGTCTCCTTCACCTCAAGTTGACCAAGTTGAGAAAGTTGACAAGTTAGACCACCCACAGCAACCAGCTTTGACTATACCACACACACTCTCGAACATCCACAACGTACAGCCTACAGAGTGTGTCCCTATCACGCAACCATCCCTCTACTCGCTTTCAATGGACCATAAGCCCCAACCATACATGCACACTCCGATACCGCAGCTCTCTTCTTATCAGGATGATTCACCATCCAACTCAACCGTCTTTTCTTCACCAGCTACTCCTTCGTATTCGCAATCGCAGCCAGATTTCTTATATACTCAGCCACCACCGCCTCACGCGTTCAATTTCTATGAGTCTGCCTCTCCATTCGTTTACTTGAATACACAGCTACAAGCACAGGCCAAGCACACTCAGCCTACACACACTCACGCTCATTACACTATAAATCATCACTCACAGCTACTTACTCCGCCTCAGTCTGCTGATCCAAACCAATTCGGTCCTTTCGCTTACGGTCCACCTCCAATGTCTCCAGTTGGAGTTGAGGACGAATTTGGCACATACCCATTCGTACCACCATCACCACCTCTGACAGGCTACTCGTCCACTCATTTTGACGAAAACGCTTATCAAGATCCATACCCATCCCAACCACACGTATTGACTGGATTGGGGTTAGATTTGGTACAGGATACCGAGTAGATGTGATCATAACTCGTAACTAAACTCTAATTGGGATAATTAGAGTTGTCTCTCATTTCAAGTATCTCAACTTTATCAGTTACGACACTTTCTCAATTTTCATCCTCGTGATACTATCATTCTGTTTGATTTCCGTTCTATTCGTTTGATTCGTTTTTGCGCTTACTCATTACTTTTAATAATCACTTTATATCCTTCTATATACCCGCTTGGACTATTTAACATCATTTTCACATTCATGAGTGTCATTCATTCGATTAACAGGGAGGCGCGTTAGGATTTGTGTTTCTGTTTCTTGTTTTGCTTCTTTTTGTTAAGCTTATCTTGAGATTTCTGAAACTCTTCCTCCGTGGGTTCATGGACTTGTTCTTGGTCTTCTTCATGGTCCTCTTCCTCCTCCACTGCGCGCTTCTTTTTATTCTTGGGCTCCTCCTGCTTGTCCTTACCCTTTCCTTTCTTAGGAGGTGCGTATTTAGCTTCTAGCGCGCCGACGAGATTATCAAGTTGGCTCTTACGTTTATCACCGCGTTGGGCAATAAGCTGAGCGAGAGCGGAGTCACCCTCGTCGCCCTCCTCATCTTCCCCACTTTCCCCACTTTCCTCTTGGAAATCGCTGCCCAGACCTAGCTCGCGCCTTAGTTCTGCAGCCTGCTCGGCCTCAGACTGAGCCTTGCTAGCGCGACTCTTGCGCGCGACGGGTTTAGACGATCTAACGAATTTCTTCGAGTGCGCAAGTCGGCCACCGTCTATTTCACGCTGCAGTATGTCGATGAAGCGCTGCTCATCGTCCAGCACGCTAGCGTGAGGGATATTTGCAAAGATGGCGTCGAGATCGCCGTCGCATGTCTCATAAGCGTGTTTCAAGTCGTTCAGTTCATCCTGCGAGCCTGAGCGGGAGTGGGAGAAATTGTGTTTGTGTTAGCCCCAACTTCTGATACACCCTCTACCCACCTTGATACCGCTCTCGATCTTCCGCTAGAGCTTCCCACGTGACGCGCTCGAAGAGGTCATCGAAATAATCTTCCCAGCTGTAGTCCTCCCCGATATCCACACCGAGATCTATCGACGATGTTCGGCCAGTCTTGTCGTACTGCTCACGCTTCTTGTCGTCCGATAGCACTGTATATGCGAAGGACACACGCTGGAATTGCTCAGATGCATCCTGCGATGGATTCTTGTCCGGATGACTCTCAAGCGCTAGTCGGTGGTACGCCTTCTTTATCGTCGATGTAGTGGGTAAGTCTTCCTGCTGCAATTGTAGCACTGCGTATAGATTCGGTGGGTCGGCACCGAATATCGTGTGCATTGGATCGCTGCTGTTCATGTTAAGTGCTTCGTCGCGTGTCGCGTGTCGCGTGAACAAGAAGGAAGACGGAGTAATTAAAAAGTGAATTAGATACAATTTGCTTTCTATTTGTATTCCTTACTATAAACTATATACCACATACCATAATTTATTCTACACATTATACAGCACTCAACCACGCTTGTTCTGGCAGCACCTGTCTCATTACATCCCAATGATGCATAGCTGATTTCTGCTGAACATTGTCGAGCTTCTTAGATTGGCCATCGTGCAAAACATCCTCATTGGAAGCCCCCACATAACCGGAAAGGTCGATTTCATTGCTAGTGAAACTGCTTAACACCCTAGTGCGCAGTATAGAGTTAAGCGTGTCGGCGCTAGTAGCTGGCCTGAAGTCCAAAGCTGGTTCAGCAAATTTAGTGCAGAAGACGACCATGTTGAGGAAAACCTCTTCCTCCTCCATCTTCTGGTTGACGGGGCGATCAGAGAAAGCGCGACACTGTGGGAAGGCGTGGAGGAGGGTGCCTATGACCATTCTTGTAGCTTGAGATGAAGCCACACCGGCAAAGTTGACGCCCAACACACCGCTCTCTTTCATTCCGTACTTGATTTGCTGCCATGACTCAGTCGTGTAAAGTCTTCCAGGCACACCTCCGCCTGTAAATACATCGTGGATCACATAGTCGAATTTGTCACTCTCACTGTCCATATCGACGATCCATTCTATCACTGCTCGACGCGCATCCGCCAACTTGAGGTGTTTGGGTGAAGGTGCTCCGAAATACTCCAAAGCATAATTGTAGACGGCTGGATCTATTTCTACAACTGAAAGTTCCAGGCCGTGCTTATCGAATGCAGTCGCTGAGACACCAATGCCTAATCCGATGATCAACGCTTTCTCCTGCTCGTTGAGCTGTTGGTGTTCCGGTCTATTAACAAGTCTGACTGCTTCTTGGAGAAGGAAAGTGGTGTAAATACTCTCGCTGTTGTTCACTACAACCTCATCACTCAAGTCTACCTTGTTTCCGTATTGATTGATGAGTGACTCCTTTGATGGACCAACCCAGAGTCCACCAAGCAGGCTGTGATCAGCACGCATATACCTGAAACCTTGAGCTGCGTCTTCGCCGATGATTATCTGACCAGTAACTGACTGTGTGCGTGCGAGGATTGGATGGCCATCGACAGCCTCCCTTGGTGCAAAGTTTGAGATGGTGATAGCGAGCAGAATAACAGGGATAACAAGTAAGTTGCGTGATTTGGAGCTTGAGAAGATGCTTTCATTCTCAGCCTTACCAACGCCTAAAGAAATCAGGACAGAAATGAGTGCAGCTGGTAGAGAAACCAATTTGAGGAAGACAACGGGGTCTTGAGGCATGAGTGGAGAGAGGAAACCGCGTGTGAGCAATCTAGAGAAGCTAGTTTCAATGGAAGGGAACATAAATGAACCAATCAAAGGGAGAGCGTATTGGAATGAATCCGGACAGAGCTTTAGAAGATGTTCATAGAGGTTGATAATGGCGAATATCCAGCTAGGGGCTTGGAGAATGGACCAGGCAATCCTAGGACCCCAAACGACACCCAATTGAGAAGACTTATTCGCAATCAAGCGTATAGTGAATGGATTTGAAATAGCGCAGATGATTGCAACAGCGAATGGCTTCAAAGTCTTCCTAATCTTAATAGCTTTTTCGTTGTGCATTGCAAGTGGCAGAGGGAGTACAGATAACAAACCAGTGAGTACTTTATGCGGGGAATCAGTGTTTATACCGCCAAAGATGGGATTGAGGGATGATTTGATCAAAAAGGATTGGAATGATAATAAATAGGCTGTAATAGCGAATAAAGATGCTGTAATTGGGTTTGTTAGCGTATAACCACCTTACGTACGAATCCCCCACCAAGTTTGAACATTCTTACAAATGTGAACTGTTGTACGTAATCGATATTTCTAGCTTGATTCTCATTAGCCATGTGAAGCGCATCCATCAGTGTCGTTGGTTTTGCTGGCTGGGATGGCTGGGCCGGTTCAGATGCCTTCTTCTCTTGGGACATGATGGGCGTGGGTGGATAAGGGGCAATACAAACGTAAAATGAGAAATTAAATCAATTTTATTTGTTTGTAATCGTCGCTTTAAATACATCTTCTAATCTATTGACCACCTGATTCACGAGCAATGGCTTCACCCTTTGCTTGTGCTTCTTCGATGGTACCAACCATGTAGAAGGATGACTCAACGAGGTGATCATACTTTCCTGAAAGGATTTCCTTGAATGAGCGTACAGTGTCTGCAAGTGAGACAAGTTTTCCTTCGAAACCGGTGAAAACTTGAGCAACAGAGAATGGTTGAGACATGAAACGTTGAATCTTACGAGCACGTTCAACAGTCATCTTATCCTCTTCAGAAAGTTCATCCATACCGAGAATGGCGATGATATCTTGAAGAGATTTGTAGTCTTGAAGGATACGTTGAACTTGGGTTGCAATGTCGTAGTGCTCTTGACCGATGATACGTGGGTCAAGCATACGTGACTTTGAGTCAAGTGGGTCAACAGCAGGGTAAATACCTAACTCAGCGATACCACGTGACAAGACAGTTGTGGCATCCAAGTGAGCAAAGGTGGTGGCTGGAGCAGGATCAGTCAAATCATCAGCTGGGACATAGACAGCTTGGACAGATGTGATAGAACCCTTCTTGGTGGTTGTGATACGCTCTTGCATACTACCCATATCAGTGGAGAGAGTTGGTTGGTAACCGACAGCAGATGGGATACGACCGAGAAGGGCAGAAACTTCAGAACCAGCTTGAGTGAAACGGAAAATGTTGTCAATGAAGAGCAAGACATCTTGACCTTCATCGTCACGGAAGTATTCGGCGATGGTGAGACCGGTGAGGGCAACACGAGCACGAGCACCTGGTGGCTCGTTCATCTGACCGAAAACAAGAGCGACCTTAGAGTCACCTTGAAGGTTAATGACACCAGTTTCAATCATTTCGTGGTAAAGATCGTTACCCTCACGAGTACGCTCACCAACACCACAGAAAACGGAGTAACCACCGTGAGCCTTTGCGACGTTGTTGATAAGTTCTTGAATCAAGACGGTTTTACCGACACCGGCACCACCGAAAAGACCAATCTTACCACCACGTGCGTAAGGTGCGAGAAGGTCGACGACCTTGATACCAGTTTCAAGAACCTCAGCTTCGGTGGATTGTTCAACGAAAGCTGGTGGCTCAGCGTGGATTGGGGACTTCTTGACACCGTCAACAGGACCTTGCTCATCGATTGGGTCACCGGAAACGTTAATGATACGGCCGAGAGTCTTTGGACCGACTGGGATGGAGATAGGAGCACCGGTGTCAGATACCTTTGTGCCTCTAACGAGACCGTCGGTACCCTCCATAGAAATGGCACGGACCGTGTTCTCACCGAGGTGCTGGGCAACCTCAAGAACAACCTTTGGGCCGTTGTGTTGGACTTCAAGGGCGTTGAAGATGGCTGGGAGGTCTTCGGTGTCGAATTGGACATCGACGACGGCACCTGTGGAGTGGGCGTGCGTAAGCCTCAAAAAACCGAAAAAAAGAAAAATCTCAACTAACCAATAACCTGCTTGATGTTACCAACTTGCTTAACTTCAGTGGCGTAGTTGCGGGTAGCCTTAGCTTGTAATTTGCCTAAAGCTGGCTTGGTGACAGCTGGTTGAAGGCGAGCCGTGGAGAAGGCAGCGAGGTTTGATCTACGGATAGAGGCAGCCGCAGATGATCTAGCGACACGTGAAAGTACGCTGCGTGAAAGCATTTTTACTATTTTTCAAGTTGAAGACGAGAGAGAGACCAAGTGGATTGCTACTCGTCGCTTTCAAGAAAAAATTAATAAAATTTATAAAAATGGCTTCCAAGAATATTAAATGCGTAGTGTGAGTTTGTTTGTATTTAAATATAAGCAATAAGCTTATCCAATCTCAACAGCGTCGGCGATGGTGCTGTTGGAAAGACGTGTCTGCTGATATCTTATACGACGAATCAGTTTCCAGTGGGTTATTTATTGTGTCTGGCGGTTCCATTCACTTAATTGCCTTTAGAGCGATTACGTACCCACCGTCTTCGACAATTACCAAGCCACGGTCCTTCTCGACGGCAAGCCTGTCCTCCTTGGCCTCTGGGATACTGCCGGTCAGGAGGATTACGACAGGCTGAGGCCCCTTTCATACCCCCAGACGGACATATTCCTTTGCTGCTTCTCTATCCACTCTCCCGCCTCGTTCGAGAACGTCAAGTACAAGTGGTGGCCGGAAATCTCCCACCACGCTCCAGGTGTCCCTATCATCCTCGTCGGCACGAAGCTCGACCTCCGATCCGACCCGCAAGCCGTCAATGCCCTTAGAGCCCGTAGAATGGAGCCCATTTCCTTTTCTCAAGGCGTTGAGCTTTCTAAAGACATCAACGCAATCAAGTACCTCGAGTGTTCCGCACTCACCCAAAAAGGCTTGAAAGGCGTCTTCGATGAGGCTATCCGTGCCGTTTTGGTGCCTCAGGGACGCAAATCAAAGCGGAAGCAAAGAGGTTGCGTTTTGATTTGATGTTATTCTCTAAACAATCTTGGATGGGTTGTAAGCGAATGCTTCTCCACACCTTCTCCTCGTGCTAACGTATACCTCTCCTAAAAACACCGGCACAAGTCTCTTGTAATGTACATACATGAATGAAATGAATGAATGAATATATGCATCGTCTTTCTCACTATCTTTTCTTTCACCTGTCCGGCGCCCCTATCCTTCCATGCTGCTGTTCCGACAGCAGGTAAGACTCGCACTGGCTTTGTGAGCCAAGGGGATATCTCAGCTGCCACAGGAGAACCAATTGATTGATAGCCTGCATCTGAGGACCAGGTTTGAGTTGCAAGAGGGTAAGGATGCGTTTACCGTCTACCAGAGGTCTCGACTCAAGTTCATGTGGGAGTTGAAGCATGTCGAGAGCAGCCTGCGTAAAAGAATTGTATGTGCCAACAATGCTGGTGATTTCCCCAGCCTTCAAAGCGTCGTCTGTGCAACCACCTGCGTAAAACGGCTCTGCGAGTTCCTTAGTGAGAGCGAAAAGTAGAGAAGCATTCCAATGTGTGCCTTGTACCGGACGATGAATGTGACCACTCCGTAAAGCACACGCGACAGCTACCCTGTCGCTTTTATCCACACTCCGCACATCTCTCTCCAGCTGCGCGCACGCCTGCACAAGATTATCCACATGACTTCTCTCCGCATTGCCCAGTTTGAGCCCATTGCTGATGATGGACGCGGGTGCACTCACCTCCTTCTTCTTCTCGCGCACTGCCTTGCCGAAATAGGGAAGGAGCGCAACTGCCATCCATAGACGGCGGGTGAGTGTGGCATCGTGGAGCACTGCGCTGAACTGCTCACTCACCGCTGTGCTCAGCCCAAGTGTGTGCGGCGCGTGCAGCAGAAGGTGCAGGATGTGTCCGCCAGCCACCGCATATGAGGCTGATGAGGATCGCAGTGACTGTATATTTTCTTCTCTACCTTGCCTAACATCCTCCACACCCACACTCCACCCAAACACCACGTCGTGCATCTGCGTATGTGCCAGGTTCTCCAGTGCGCTGAGTGGGCGGGATGAATTAAGCATTTTATCCACCTCGATACCGATGCGCTCGCGCGAGACATTCTCACATACGCCTTTTCGAATATCGCCGTGTCTAGCGGCGAGTATAATCTCCTGATCGAGAGCAAAGCCGTAACGAGTAGCGAATCGGATGCAACGAAGAACGCGAAGGGGGTCGTCAGCGAAAGTGGTAGCGGGGTGCAAAGGCGTGCGTACGAGACCTCTCTCTAGATCTTGCACACCACGCCCAGTGTAATCCTCCACTTGTCGCGTATGGATGTTGTAAAACAGCGCATTGATCGTGATGTCACGTCGTAACGCATCTTCCTCCGCCGTCCCCAGGTTCATCTGAGGGATACGACTGCCCGTTGCGTACGTCTCTGAGCGTAGATTGACGAAATCTACCTCGTACCCCAGGAATTTCATCCTCGCTGTTTCGAGATGTTTGCTTTGGTCGGGGTTAGCGTTTATGCGTGCTATGGATATCTTGGTGGGTTTTTCGGGCGTGCCACTATCGCTGATATCGTGCACAGCGTGTGCTTCGATATACTTTGCCAACGCCTCAGCGAATGGTAGCCCATTCATTGGGGTTATGGCCACATCTATGTCGTCGGACGGCTTTCCAAGCAGCTTGTCACGCACCCACCCACCAGCTATACGCAGCTCTAGCTGACGCAGTGCACTATCCGACGTTCGCAACTCCGCCGTACACCCATTCAACACCTCACATAACCTCTGCTCACTCCTCGTCAAATCTATCATTGTCTTTGGGTTGCTTGCAATTTTCGGATTTCTCGGTTTTAGCCGCCCTGCTGCCGTTCGAAGCCCGCGTATTATGATGGCGTGGTGGTATCGACTAGACACAAAACACAGGACAAGTAAAAACTATCAAATGTATTGCTTGTAACAATTTGTATGCAGAAATATTAAAGTTTTCCGTATTATTGATTATTGATTATCGGCTGGGTATCTTGTATCTTGTATCTTGACGTGGTGTAGAGTAGTCTAGAGTTGTTTCGAGGGGGCAAAAAAGGAACGACGAGGAGAACGAAACTTAGAACGAGATCAAAGGAGTGTGGAACGAGATTAACATTTAAAAGAGGAGCAAAACGTGATCATTTTCCATCTCTTTCAAGGTGTCCAAATCTACAAAAACATCGTTAGTAAACGCTTCAATAATCCACATTGTACGCTTCACCCACCTTAATAGTCCCATCTGAGCTAGCAGAAGCGATCACATTCAGTGGTCGTATCACAGTGTGTTCTTCTTTTTCTTCTTCTCGCTGGTGAACACTACGCAAGACATCGCCACTACTCATCGAACGCATGGTTGGGGGAGGATGAGGCATGCTGAACCTCCGATTAAGATTGTTGTTGTTGTTTTTACCCAAACCCATGCTCTTGCTCACTCCAACTTCAGGCATCGCTTGTCTCCCCCAACTGAGAGTGTTGACGAAATTCCTGTGTGCAGCTTCGATAGTCCGCGTGCACCGGCCCGTTGCGAGATCCCATATCTTGATTGACTTGTCTTCTGAGCAGGAGAGTAAATGGGTTCCAACTGGGTGGAACACTATGCTCTTCACCCAATTGTCATGTCCATTGAAGGTATACACACATTGGAACGACGAAGTATCCCACAGTTTGACAGACTTATCACGCGATGCTGTGGCTAAGTATCTGTTGCGAGATTGTGATTGCGATTGTGAGTGGGTCTTGTTATTAGGTATCCCATTGGTGCTCGCACTTCCACTAGCACGGTTATCCCGATTACTACCAGTACCACTTTCGCCTATCAATTGGTGGATATTAGCAATTGAGGTGGTTGGGGCCCAAGCGACAGACTCGACGACATGCTCATGGCCTCTCAATTCGCTCACAGTGGTGCCTGTAGCGGTATCGACAACCATTGCAGTCTGATCAGAGGAAGCGGTAGCGAGCAAGCTCGAGTCATCCGACGGGAGCACGACTCTGATCCAATCAGAGTGAGGGTGTATAGAGCGAGTGCAGTAACCTGTATGCACATCCCAGAAGCGGATTGATTCATCTCTTCCACACGAAATGAGCGTGTTGGTGTTGCTATCACTGAGGAAGCGCACGCAGCTCACACTCTCGTCGTGGCCGTAGAGTGTCTTGGTATTGGAGTACTCGCCTAGCGCATCCCATAGCTTGATGGAGGTGTCTGAGGAGCAGCTGGCGAGGAGTGTGCCGGTAGCGTCGTAGTCTACGTCAAGCACTGCCTTTGTGTGCCCTTTAAGCGTACGCTCACACTCTCCCACATCCCAGTCCCAGATCTTCACTGAACAATCGTCTGAAGCCGACGCTAAGAGGACGAACTTTGGGTGGAAAGAGAGAGCAACAACGGCAGATCTGTGGCCTGAGAGGGTGTGCTTGGGGAGTGAAGGGAGGAAGTGGGCCGTATTGTGCCTCTTTGTGGCCATTGCAGGGGTAGAAAGTTCGCTGGAAAGCTGGGAATTCTTGGATTCAAGTTCCATGACCTGTAGGGAGGGAGTGAGGGGAGTACACGCCGCTAATCACGCTCAGCGCACCTTCCTCTGCAATCTAATCACCGAAGTCCACTTTTTCTCCAATAAACCGGCGTATTTTGCAGTGGGATCGAGCTTAATATCGTCCAAGCCAGCATCCAGCCTTAAAGCGCGTGCACTGTCTTCGTATCCGCAAGACTGGAGATAGTCGAGTAGAGATTTGTGGCTAGATTATAGATGAGCGAGCGAAAAAAGATATGGGAGATAGCCACGCACAGCTCGTCCCTTTGCCGATCAGATAGGGGTGACATCTCTCGAAATAAAATATCAGTGATGGTTGTTATGGTTTAGAGCGCGTCATCGGTGTTGGAGAGGCGTGAAGGGGGAATTGGAGGAGAAGGAGGAGATGTAGAGATGAGCAATATACGCCGAGGAAAATAAGCAAGTCGATTGGTGGAAAATTGATTAAAATTTGCTTGGAATGTTTAAAGGTGATTTTTAGTCTGTGCACACTGATTAGCGTCTTGAGTCACGACGACGAAGAGAGAGGAATCGATGGCAGCAGCAACAGCGTCAGCGTCACCAGTGATAAACAATCTAAACCCAGGCCAGTATGTTGGATTCGATTCGTGGGTTTTGTATAAATCACAGGGACTATCTGACAGCACACAGCATTACCCGCCAAATCGAGACTAAACTTCTCAAGCGTGGTTTTCAATTTAATGTTATGGTCCGTAGAAGCCTCGGAATCAATCAAATCTCACTCACCCCGCTCTCAGGTCGTCGGCCAAACTGGTCTCGGAAAATCCACTCTAGTAAACACGCTATTCGCATCACAGCTGATCGATTCAAAGGGACGCTTGAACCCCGACGAGCAATCACGCTCTACCACTGAAATTCAGACTGTCTCCCACGTTGTCCAGGAAAATGGCGTTCGACTCCGCTTAAACATCGTAGACACCCCTGGCTTCGGCGATCACGTAAACAATGATGGCTGCTGGGAACCTATCGTCAAATATATCAAAGACCAGCACTCTGCTTACCTCCGTAAGGAACTCACTGCGATGCGTGACAAGTACATTGTAGACACCCGAGTACACGCTTGTGTCTACTTTATCAACCCCTCTGGCCATAGTTTACGCCCTATCGACGTTATTGTCATGAAAAAGTTGGCTGAAGTCGTCAACGTTATACCTGTCATCGCCAAATCTGACTCTTTAACCTTAACCGAGCGTGAAGCGTTCAAGTCGAGAATCGCTTCTGAATTGGCTTACCACCAGATTAAAATGTATCCTTTTGACGCCGAAGACGACGATAGAGACGAGAGAGACATCAACGAAGGTGTCCGCGAAACTCTCCCTTTCGCTATTATTGGCTCACAGAAGACTCTCAACGTTAACGGCAATCAGGTTAGAGGGCGTAAAACGCGTTGGGGCGTGATTGATGTTGAGAATGAAGACCACTGCGAATTTGTTAAGCTTCGTAACTTCCTCACTAGAACTCACCTACAAGATCTCATCGAAACTACTGCGCAAATCCACTACGAGGCTTTTAGATCGAAGCAGCTGCTCGCTCTCAAGAACCAGGCTAACACCCCGTCTAAGCCTCAAGAAACTGCTTCTCCATGAGTATGTGTTTGATATACCCTGAAATGAGCCAATGAGCCACTTGATTGTGTTAAGATTTTCACTTGTCTTGTCTAATTCCTTTTACATATACAATGCTTGTTGAATTTAACCATGATGAGTGTCTTTAGTAAGGGTGCAGGGAATGTGCTGTTTAAAATGGACAGTGATATGCTTCTCAGAGTGAGGATGGATAAGGATGGAGAAGGGTGTATCGATAGCGAGGAGGAGTACGACGATGTTATCAGGAAAATTTTACCGTGGCTCAATCCTGCGCAGTTTCTGAGTGTGGATAATGACCAGCTGAAAGCGCTGGATCCTGACAACGCATATCACCTCACAACCTCAGCCCAAGTCACTGAAAATCTTATCAAGGAGTATGATTTGGTGGTGGAAATAAAGGTGGGTGGTTGATCATATGTTTTGGCATCAGTCAGCTCACTCTCAGTAGCCAAAATGGGCATCTCTTCCTAATCCACTCTCTGTGGGTCTGAGACACTCGCGTATGAAGCTCAAGTGTAGCTTCCAGAGCGAGCGCTTGTTCTCGGAAAGCAGGCAGGAGCAGCTGGAAGAGCTATCTGGATTGATAGATGGTGATAGTAAGTTTCTCACTGTGTTTTCTAAAGGCAGGAAAGTGAGAATGGATAGTGAGACAATAGCCGGTAGACTACAGGAAGCGCTCAACGATAGCGGCGTTATGCGGGCTATAAAGTACTACCAGCTATACAGCGATCCCTTGGATATACAGCACATCTACCCGCTGGTCAAAGATACCAACACATGCAACCCATCCACCTCGTTTTTACGTGGCGTCATTAACAAGATACCAAAGCACCCGGGACTTCCGACGTGGGGGGATTTGAAGGCTTTTGGGGGAAGTCTGAGTGGGGAGGAGCTGCTCTACCTCTATTCATTATCGATGACGTTGCGCGATGTGTCTGTGTTAGTGAGATTGTCGCCAGAGACACAGCCAAAGGTGAAGGTAGTAGACGCAGACTACAAATGTCTATCTAGAATACACAAGTGGTATGAAAGTGACTGTAAATTAAATAATTTTCACGCGACCGGATAACCGGGTGTATGACGGTGCATCACCAGATTAGCCTCTCACTCGCACACCACTATGAACGCACTAAACTCACTGAAAATCAACGCCAACGTTACAAACTCATTAGAGTTGTTGAAATACACTAATGGTAGAGATAAAGTGTATCGCACGGCGCAATACGCAGCACGTTTACTCGCGTGGTTCTACTCGCGCTACGGTATTCCACAGGGCACATTCGCAGGTGTCAGTCTCGATGCCATCAAGGGTGTTTTGAGTACATCGAGGAAGCTGATGCGTCTCGGCAAGCCAGTTGAAACGCTCACAGCAGCACTCAAGACGCTCGACGGCACGAGCAACAACGACATAATCGCCAGATCGCTCTCCGTGATTAGGAACCTCAACTACACTATCTTCCTCTCTTTTGATGGGTTGATTTGGTTACATTCTACTAAGATACGCTGCGTGCAGAAATCTACCAATGAGAGATTCATCAGAAACGCTTACACGTTCTGGGCACTCGGCTTACTCTCTGGTGTTCTCTCTGGCGCTTACAAGGAGCAGATGCTGTCGCGCACCCTCCTCAAGGCTCGTAGACAAGCTCTGAGCGATGAGAAAGATGGTAATGCTAACGTTGAAAGGGTCGTTAGGTGGGCTCTTTGCTGATTGGCGGACTTTATGCTCTTACTCACTACCTTTACAGCCAACGCGCTTCTTCACGCAAAGCCATGCTTGAAGATGCCCTCAATCTGCTCATTCCTGTTAAGGGTCTCGATCTGTTTAATATCAACGAAGGTTTCGTTGGCGCAGCAGGGTGAGTCGGAGTCTCTGGCGTACTAATTGCTTACTTAACCAACCCCCTCAGCCTCGTTACTTCACTTATGGGCTTACAGTCCCAATGGCACTCTGCCAGCGCTAGTACGGTTACAGCTAGTAAGTAGAGCTGGAATGTGAATCTTAATGAGCATCTGTACAAATATCTGATTTCAATTTCAAACATTTATCATTCCAGCGTCATGTCCTTCTTCCACTACCGAATATACACAAATACAGTTTTAGATTAGAATAGGCCGAATGAGCATTATAAGTCTGGATAAATATTTTGAAGCAGCAGTATTACCTCCGCTATCACCCAGCATAATAGTGCAGTGTCTCGAGCAAGAGAAATGGCTAGTGAGGATCGGCGAGGGGTTATTGAATGCATTTCTGGTAAAATTTCCTTGGTTGGAATAGCGGGGATTGCGCACTGTCTAATGCACAATTCATAACAGCTAGACTATATCTGCTGCAACCATCCCAATTTGGACGTTGGAGCAGTCTTGATGCACCTCACAGCACCCGCGCTGCTCGCTTGTCTGCTCGACAGTCTTGGTGTGTCTGAACTCAAATCCGAGGAGCGCAAGAAGAGGGCTTTGTACGCGTGAGTGGGCGAGAGTGACCTCAGCGTTGTCTCACCGTTCTCATTTTCATTGGGGCTATCTACCGCGAACTAAGCCACGATAAACTCGTCAAGTGGCTGCACGATGTGTATCACCCGCACATTCAACTCGCTGTGCATGACCCTAAGAGGTGCACCAGCCAGGTTATCTCACTCGACGACAGCGACAGCGAGAGTGGGAGTGATGAGAGCGAGGAGAACTGGGTGCAGGCTGTAGAGGCTTCTTTCGGCGACCTTTCCATGTGCGATACTGGGGAAACCACCATGTCCTCGCAGGATAACCCCTCCCCACCCACTAGTAGTACCACGAACACCACTAAAACCTCCCCAAACAACGATTTTGCACTTACAGATCTCGTTTCTACCCTATCGAACATTGTCAACCACTTTGAAAACGACATGGAGGATCCCTACAAGAGCGAGCGGTATCATTTCCTCAGAATACTCAGAATAAAGGCGCAGGTGCACAACACAAAGAAGGTTGATCGACCAATGGCTGAATTAGGCCTAGACGTCGGTCACCATGAGCTGCAGTTCCACGAGGCTATCCAGAGCATGCCCAGCTTCCCCTCACACTACCCACCCCCACTTCCTTGGCTTTCTGATAAAGGAATCTTTGAGACACTCACACCGCGATGTTTATACCCGAGACAGCAATCCATATTCGACAATGAGAGATTGGAGTTTCTCGGCGACACCGTTTTGGAGACCATAGTAGTGAGTTGGTTGGGTTGCTTGTGGATTGAGAGGATTCAGACTAAATTATCATCCCCAGACAGACGCGATATTCGACAAATTCCCTAAATACCAGCCATGGGATCTCACCAAACTTAGACGAAAGCTGGTAACCAACAACTTTTTCAGCTTCTTCAGCGATCTTTATGGATTGTTTGATAAACTACGCGGTTCTCGCACACTTCATCCCAAGAGAAAGGCTGATGTATTCGAAGCATATATCGGTGCGCTGTACAGGGAGTCCGGACACATTTATACCAATAAGTGGCTCGTTGAGTTGCTCGAGCCTTTCATTTTCCAGTTTGCTGAGCAGATATGAGACGGTACATTGTGCAGTGTTTATACCACCAAAATGAGATACCACGATACGTTATAAAATTATCAATTCAAACATTCAAACTTTATAAATATATTCTAAAAGTACACATTGTCTGTCTATCCACATAGCTTGGCTAGTTGTTTTGCGACCATTTGTATTCACATTTCGTGCACGTATAAAAAACAGTAGATCTGCGCGTTGTTTTGTTAGTTGATTAAGTTGCTATGCGAGATTTCTCGATAGCTCGATCGATTGAATCCTAAACTGTGTATACGCACCCTTCGTCAGCCGAGCCTGGAGGAGTATTGTCAGTAAGGGATTTATGGGAGTGGAGGGAGTGTGGTGATTGTAGCTAGTGCTACACTACCCTCACAAAACTCACGCAGTTGTAAAGTTTGGAACGTAGCCTTGTCGTGTCCGCAGCTTGGACACTTCTCATCAATCTAAAGGACTATTGTCAGCTAAATCTGTAGTATTGTGTCATTAGTCACCTCCGCTCCCGTCGCTTTCGCACCGTCTGCAAGCGTATTCACAACGAGCGACTTCTTGAGGTGGAGTGCGGAGGGAAATGCGTTTGGATGTGAACGCGTTTCAATGTTCAAGTTTTCGTACGCTGCGTTTTGCAATCTGATTAGCCAGTATTCGTATACCCACTTAACTCCCAACACACCTGCACCATTCTCTACTAATCCACACTCTTCACAATTTATCTTGTCATCGTCCGCTGGCGGATTGAGAAGACTCCCACAACGCTCGCAGAATAATAAACTTCCGATCCTGTTGCTCATGTCTTCTCTTTTGGTTAGAGTGCAAGATAATCAAGGCATTTGAAATTGAAAATATAATAAAATGTGCTTCTATACAATGTGCTATGTCATGAGGTAATTTATTTTACACTGATTGTTTTGCTTGATTCGTTTGGTTCGTTTGATTGTTACGAACCTGCTGGTCTGGCATCTTGAACATGGGGATCGTGCGTGTGTCGCTTGATACTTCTTGAGAAACGTGCTTGGCTTTGCTTCCAATGGCCATCTTGGCAGTGCCCTTTTCCAGCCCCTGCAGCAAGACACATGCCTTACACAGTTCGTTCGATGATATGTAACCACACCTCTGACACTTCTGTTGCTTAGGCAACGCATCCTGAACTACTTCTGATATCCGTATGTTCTCAGCAGAGTGAATAATGTCGATAATCGTAGATGGTCGCAGTGCTTCCAGGTCTTTGATATATGTTCTAGCAAAACCTCGATACGCTTCTGGAGAATAGATACACTCTGTGGAGAAGTAGTCTAGTTTCTTGAAGTAAGCATACATGACAATTTCCTTCTCGTAAGTGTATTTGAATGGTTTTGATCTGTTGATAGTGTCTTCTCCGCGAGTTGTTATCTCAACACACCTCCCCAGTCTGCTCACATCGCCTCTGAGGATGTTCATCAGTACTGTCTCTGCAACATCGTCCGCGTTGTGACCGGTGACGATGTGGCTGATGTTCAAACTCGATGCACCTCTATCGAGCGCCTGTCTACGGAACACGCCACAGAAAGTGCAGTTATTCTTCTTGCCTACTGCCTCCACTATACGATCCATAGTCCAGCCATAGAGCTCGTTGTAGCTGAGTATCTTGAGTGGCAATTGATACTGCTCCTTATTCCTCTTAACCGTTTCCAAACTATCGTCTCTATAGCCGGTAATACCTTCGTCAATCGATAGCAAGAAGAGCTCGAGGCCATAATCGTGTCTCTCGTTGAGTGTTTTCATAACATGCGCGAGTACTGTTGAGTCTTTTCCACCAGATGCTCCAATCGCTACGCGCTCTCCTCGTTTAAAAGTATTTGCATCGCTTATCGTCTTGTGTATTTCCTCCTCAAACGCAAAGAAGAAGCATTCCTTGCAAACCTGCTGTCCAGTCTTTGGACGCTTAATCATTGCTCTGTTGTTGCTGCATAGCTGACACGGCCTCGGTGGCATTTTTAGATATTTTAGTGATGGAAGTTCTGTTGCAACTCAACGGCGATCTGCAAATCAATTGGAATGTTTCGCAGTCTAAACAGACTCAAACCTGCTTTAGAATTCCTTCCAAATAAGGTTGACTTTGAATTGCGCCCGCTTGGAAGGTACGCGCTATCTGTAGCTGCATAGCCTATCTCACAATACCAGGCTCAACAAAGAAGCTGGGAGCAAGAGAGTTCCACACGTCACTCAGTCCGTTGGTTCCATGTTCGGGTCTGTCTCATCCTTCTCCTTTTCTCCCCGCTCTTCTCATTCTGTCGTTCCAGCGGAAATCACAGCTTGAAGTGGATATCTCAACCCCGCAATATCCTCCTCGTCAAGAAATCACACAGTGAAAGCTCCTCAAATGCAATGCATCACGTCATAAACCATATCAGGTCAAAATTTTCAGACACCAACATTATAGTAGAGGATGGCGTGAGCCGTGAGCTAGCAGCTGTGCATGGAATACACGGTCTATATACAGCCTCTCAAGCCAACGAATCTACCCTCCTCTCTAAAGTGGATTTTGCCATTACACTAGGAGGCGATGGCACAGCTTTGCACACCGCTTCCCTCTTTCCAACTGGCCCCGTGCCTCCTGTGCTTTCCTTTAGCACTGGCACTCTCGGTTTCCTGCTTCCCTTCCATGTGAACACATACAAAAGCGCGATCGACGATGTTTTCAACTCGACCGTTTCCGTTATAAAGCGCATGAGGCTTATGTGCACTCTTCACGACGCTTCCGGAAGGCTTATTGATGATTTGGATGGTTAGTGTTGCATAAAATATCGCCATTCTAACCCCACCCCGAAGTGTCGCATGTCCTCAACGAAGTGGCGCTCCATCGCGGGCGATATCCTCATCTAGTGCAGATTGAGATATACGTAGATGGGATGCCACTCACTGAAGCTGTAGCGGATGGCTTGATTGTCTCTACCCCCACTGGCTCATCGGCCTACTCGGTGAGTTACGTGTGGTGTTTGAGTGATACAACTCACTCTCCCCAGCTATCTGCGGGTGGTCCACTAGTTCATCCCTGCGTACAGTCCATTGTACTCACCCCTATTTGCCCACGAAGCCTCAGCTTCAGACCTGTCATTCTCCCGTCTGACTCGACAGTGCAGCTAAGGGTGAGTCAACGCCGATCCGGCTGCCATACTTGCTCACTGAATGTACAGATGTCCTCTAAAGCAAGAAGCAAACCGGATGTATCACTGGACGGACGCGAAGTGATGCAACTTGAAAACGACAATTATATCCAAATAGCAATGTCGCCTTTCCGTAAGTGGGGTGTAGGATGTAGAATCGAGGTGAACAGGCTAACATGGCACAGCTCTCCCGTCAATCAATAGAGCTGCTCAGTACGATCCTGAGAGCAGAACCAGCACTCCTCGACTGCCTTCAGAAAAACAACTCGCGCAGAGCGCCTTGGACAGACTTGGGCGCGCACAGGATGACTGGGTTAGGGATATAAATGATCTTCTGAATGTGAGTAAGCCGCTTATTATCACGCTGCTGCTCACCTTTACTCAGTTCAACAGCCGCTTCGAATCTAAAGGTCACGAAATCTATCACGGCGGGCAAGATGACTAAAACTGAGCCAATGAGATGCTAGTTTCGTGAGTGTTGTATTTATATTAAAGTCTCACTTATAATATCACGCGATTTTTATTCAAAAGCAGTCCCTGAGAACACTCTTTAATCATCATCACCACTTTTCGATGAAGCGGCTACAAAACCTATCACTGGAAATTGATTCAATACTTTTCAGCTACCTCGATGGCTACGGATGTAACATGCTGCGCCTCCCCTGCCGCGCTCTAAACCAACAGGGTTTAAGGTCGACGAGAGCGACTGTGAAGTTACTTTCGAGGATTCTGGTCAATTTATAAGCCTATTAATCGACATCCCCACAACCCTCGGGCTGACTGATCGAGTAGTGTGCGTCATTAGCTGAATTACAAAAAGTCACTAAATGTGAATAATAGGTCAGCAAACGTCAAACAAGAATTGGAAACATTGGTAACCGTTGGAATCCACAAGGTTTTAGCGCATCTTCTAAACCTGCGAAGACTCAAAATAAAAGCCAATGGGAATAGAATCGTAAATGATGAAATAACCTTACACGGAGAATATCCCAAGCTGGAAATATTATGATCCAAACGCGCACATTACGTGACAAAGTGTGCGTCTCCTTCCCCAGCCCTGAGTTGGATTTGCACTGATACTGGCCGCTGTGTGTAGCTGGTTCACAATATCAGACCTAACTGTTGAAATAGCAAATAGTGAAAAAGGCTCACAAAAAGCCAAGTCACGCGAATTATGTAAACTATTCAGTTATCAACGGAACTACAAGAAAAAAAAAAAGACATTTATGTGTTTGGGAATATTCAAAGTTCATATGGAGGACTTTTTGAGCGTTATTAAGAGGGTAAAACGCTGATGTATGAGAAGAGTCGAGACTGTACAAGTAATTTACAGATCCCTACAGAATAGACGAGTTCAAACTGCACACTCATCAAATTTCTCATAAATAGTACTACAAAGGTGTTATAAATCTTGATGAGGCTTATCGTACTGTTGCAAGTTATTATAAGAATGAATACGTTATGAAGGATAATCGATAGTGAGCGCTAATATGACTTTCTGATTGAAATGGACAGGAACTGCAGTAATCGAGATACCACAATAAGCCCTAATGATATACAAGATTGCCTCGATTACTGTAAGACACTTGTATTTCAACCAAAATTACAGTATACCTGCATAATAATAACAACAATTGATAAATTAAATCTATATTTTTTACTCCCCGAGACTAAATTGGGAAGTAGGACCGCCTGGCAAGTCCTTGAGAACAAAGGTTGCGACATCAGATCTGAGAATTGCAACATCAAGCATTTCAATGATGTGTTTGAGTTCTGCCAATCTATCTTGATCAGATTTGGCCAGAAGAGACGCGTCTTCCCTAACGTCTCTCCTGTCGGCTCTTGCAAGCACATCTGCTCTGATGCTTCTTTCGCGTCGCTTTCTCTCTATCAAATTGGCTATAGTCTTGTACAGCTTAGCAGACAAAGCCAAATAGGCTTTGGGAAGATCAACATACCATAGGTAGAATGTACGATGCACAGCTCGGTCAGCAGATTTAGGCACTTCCTGCAATTGAAGTAAACCGCTGGTCTGTAATTTGCCGATCGTCTCTCTAGTTTCTTTCATCGAGAGCAGCCCAAGAGTTGAGATATGTTTCTCTTCGAGCTTGCCTTTCTCCAAGACTATGTTGATGATACGCGCTGCTTCGTTTCCAAATTGCTCTCTGACTAAGCTGTCGACGAGTGATCTTTTGATACGAGCGCAAACGGTTTCATAGCAAACTTGGTATTCTTTACTAGTACCTGCTTTTTGCAAAAATCTGGTCGAAGCTCCTGCCGGTCCAGGGAAATCTTGAGATGATAAGATTTGACAGTACTCAGTAATCAGCTTTACATGGTTGTCTTCTTTGTTGCTCAAAACTATGCCCTTTTTGAGGATGCTTTCCATCGGTGCGTATTTCGCTGCATGGTGGATTGGTATAGTCTCTGATAGTAGATCGTGAACGTTATTGTGAGTGTCTCTTTTGTTTTCCTCGGTAACTCTCAAGAATGCATCCACAATTTTGCCAGACTGATCATTCCAGCGCTTGGCTGCTTCAGCAGCGATAAGCTGAGACTGTGCATTAGCAAGGCAAGACTTGTAATTTTAGACTCACTCGATTTCTCAGTCTGACGTTATAGTACTCGTAGTTAACACGGAAGTAGGCATTTTCCTGTATTTGATCAGCAAAGGCGATGGGGAGGTAGTCGCACATACGTCGATCGAGTAGGAGTCTTCAGCCGAGTCTCCAGATTTATTCTTACGCTTCATACCAGCGCGTGTACCGTCATCCTGCATTGTATCACCACGCTCCTCTTGTAACTCGCTGAACAACCTGCTAGCAGCCTGGTCTTTGATCATTTTGATATCTTTAGGGCCAAGGATGTGAGTCTTTGTGAAGGTACTCTGCTTAATCTCCTTTTCATATATGAGTGTTTTGTCTCTGGGACTGATGTGCATGTTTTTGGTTGATTTAGTAAGTGCAGCTGATCTGACGAGTTTAACGAGAACTCTCTTTTTCGTTGTGTCGCTGATTTCAGTTGATATTCTTGCGAGTAGATCGTGCGGACGCAATTTACCGTTGAGGAGTACAGTTGTGATCATTTCCGAAGCACATCTACTCTCCAGCTTATCTTTCAAGCTTTCTGCGGCGTAGACAATGTACCTCCCGAATCTAACTCTAGCGTGTATCTCGTCTGTGTTAGTTTCGTAGAATTCTTCGTTATCAGATTGACAATGCCACATGCAATTCTGCTGAATGAGAACCAAGAGTGCTGCTCGTACTTGCTTTGGTTTTAATGAAGTGTATCTCGCTATCAATGGCAATGGCAGTCTACCAAACTCCAGTACAACTTGGCCTACACGCTAGGAGCTGGCTGTTAGAAACTGGGACTACAGAATACTATGCAGCACTTACAGACACTACTACACCAAAATCATTCTCTAAAATTATTCCACACAACCGAGAAGCCTCCTTGGTGACCATGTCCTCTTGGTCGCGACAAGTCAAGAAGAAATGTCGTCAATCTACAAGGTATTTGGCGTGTACTAGTCTGTATGCTGCGCTCACGCCTCAATTCAGCCAAGTCTCGCAGATGTGCGCTCACTCGTACTCGATCAACAGAAAGGGAATTGCGTACCTGTGTACACCAGCATACAAGCAGATCTACTTACGCCTGTAATCGCCTACTTGAAAATATCACAAAACTCAAATCACAGCTTCCTCCTCGAGAGTGTCGCTGCGAATGAGCGTAGCAGATACTCTTTCATTGGTGCTTGTGAGTTTGATAGTCATCGCGTATTTCCTTTAATCAATGTTTAAAGCCCCACTCAAGCTTATGAAATCTGGCCCAAATGAGGACATTTCTGGTGATCCTATGCCTGCACTTGAAGCGGAACTTGGAAAGTACAAATATGTTAAGGTCGATGGCTTGGACACCTTCACTGGTAGGACCTGTTGGGTTTTCATGTACAAAGCTAACGATGCCTGGCTCAGGCGGTGCTGTTGGCTACGTCGCTTACGATTGTGTTCACCACTTCGAACCAAAGACAAAAAGAGAACTCAAAGATCCACTCGGGATCCCTGAATCTATGTTCATGATCTGTGACACTATTCTTGTCTTCGATCATGTTTTCCAGAAAGTCCAAGTTGTTAGTCATGTCAATGTTCCAGATAACTGCAATGAAGTCACCCTTCAAGCCAAGTACGCTGTAGCAATTGACAAGATTAGAAAGACTGTTGAATTGCTAGAGGATCAGCAAATGCCTAGGGGTCCTTACCAGCCAATGATTGGTCAATCCGGTGAAGCTTTCAGTAACGTCGGTAAGACCGGATACGAGGGCTTCGTTACATCTCTCAAGGAACACATCAACAAGGGTAACATCATCCAAGCTGTACCTTCACAAAGACTAGCAAGACCGACGCAGCTTCACCCATTCAACGTTTATAGACACCTGCGCACTGTCAACCCATCCCCCCACATGTTCTATCTTGATTTCAACGGTGATAGCCCAGAAGGTGTAAGGTTTGTGGGTGCTTCACCTGAAACGCTCTGCAGGGTAGAGAACAACAAGGTGTTTAACCACGCAATTGCTGGTACTGTCAAAAGAGGTAAAACTAAAGAGGAAGATGAGAGGCTGGGAGAAGAGTTATCTCAATCTGAAAAGGATAGAGCTGAGCACATTATGCTTGTCGATTTGGCGAGAAATGACGTCAACAGAGTCTGTAAACCAGAGACTGTCAATGTCGACGAGCTGATGAAGGTCGAAAGATTCTCTCACGTCATCCACCTAACTTCACAGATATCTGGACAGCTGCGTGAAGGAAAGTCTCGCTTCGATGCTTTCAGATCCATCTTTCCAGCTGGGACCGTGTCCGGTGCACCAAAAGTCAAGGCAATGGAGCTGATCGGTGAGCTGGAGGGTGAACGCAGAGGAATATACGCCGGTGCAGCTGGTAGATTTGATTTTGCAGATAATGAAATGGATACGTGTATCGCTATCCGCACCATGACATTTAAAGATGGCGTAGCATACCTGCAAGCAGGTGGTGGGATTGTGTATGACAGTGTTGAAGAGGACGAGTATATCGAGACTATAAACAAGCTTATGGGTAACGTCAAATGCATAGATCAAGCCGAAGGTAGGTTGTTGTTTTCCGCGTTTGCCTGATACTTCTAACACGCACACAGAATACTATCGTATGCTTAACGGTGAACTATAAAAAGGACGCTATGTAATTAATGTATGAATACAGATAACATGGAAACATGGCCGTGCTCGATGGATGCGCGATGGTGAAAATTTCCCAAACATCACCACTCATCTGCCTAATATCTGGGCAGCCTTTCCAATAATACCTTTTTTTTCAAGTACACGCTCGACGGCACGCTCAACAAAGCCTTCCAATGCGATTCGCTTTCCCTGTGGCGTGCTCTTGCCCTCTCCATCAACGTTCTCAGCCTCTTCGAAGAGAGCTTCGACTGCATTTTCTACGTACTTGCCAACCATATCGACTTCAAGGTTGACGGTATTGCCTGGCTTCTTGGCAGAGAGGGTAATTTGAGATTGTGTGTAGGGTATGAGCATCACTCCGAAGCTCTTTTCGCGAGTATCGACGTGTGTGACGGTGAGAGAAGCACCATCTATAGTGATATAACCTTTAGGAATGATATAAGGTGCAATGTTATCTTTACCGTGTTGCTTCGGTGGAATTTCCATCTTGTAGCGCAACGACGCGCCATCGCTATCGACCTGCATAATGCGCGTAGTGGTATCGACGTGGCCCTGAACAATATGACCACCCAGTCTAGTCCCGACTTGCATTGCCCTTTCGAGGTTCACCTCATCGCCAACTCTCAGCTCGCCAAGGTTCGTGCGCTGTAAAGTTTCCGGGGCTAAACCGACTTTGAAGCAAGTGGATTCGAAGCTTACAACGGTAAGGCAGGTGCCATTTATAGCGATACTGTCACCGTTGTGGCAGTCACTGAGTAAATCGTGCGTGGTGCTGAGTAAAACACTCCAGCCACCATTCTCAGATTCATCCATCTGCTCAATTCTTTGTACTTTGCCTACAGCCTCAATTAAACCAGTGAAAACCATTTCGCTGTGAGTGAGTGTGCTGAGCCAAGAGCCAACGTCAACTTGATGATATGCGTGTTATTGAAATATTTGTGGATTTAATTCATTTCTTTATTCTTAACCACCAACAGCTATCAAATGTCAACAGCAACGGCAACACCAGCAATCCCGGCGACAACGAGAGATGAAGCAACTCAGAGCAACTACGAGGAGATTTCATCCACGCATCTCCATTTAGACTGGCAAATCGTCTGGGAGATGTCCGAGATAACCGGTGTCGTCACTCACTCACTGGTTGCGCACAAGCACGGCGTGCATGAGGTGCACTTAGATACGAGTTATTTGAAAATACGCCGTGTTTCCACTGCAAGGCATAATCAAAGTCTCAACTTCAAATTGCAACAGCGAGATGCCACAATGGGGAACAAATTGGTTATCTACCTCCCACACAAGCTCAACGAGAGTGAAACGATTGATATCACAATCAACTACTCGACCACCAAGTATTGCACTGCACTGGCTTGGCTTGGGAAAGCCCAGACTACTGGTGGTGACTACCCCTACGTCTACAGTCAGTGTGAAGCAATTCACGCTAGATCACTCGTCCCCTGCCAAGACACGCCTGCGCGCAAGTTTACCTACTCTTCCAAGGTCAGAAGCACCCTACCTGCCCTCATGTCAGCTCTGAGAGTGGCACCTGCGAAAGACACGCCATTAGATGAGTTGCTTGGGAAAGACGTCGTTTATGAGTATAACCAGCCCATCCCAATGCCCTCATATCTGATTGCAATCGCGTCTGGGAAGCTAGCCTTTAAGTCTTTCGATGTACCAAGCGGTGTGGTGTGGAACGCGGGTGTATGGACCGAACCAGAGTAAGTTTGAGCCAAAACTACTATTCGCAACTTCCTAAACATTTCTCAGACTTCTTACGTCGTCTTACGACGAATTCAATGAAGACATACCAAAGTATATCCAAAAAGCAGAACACTTGACTGGTTCAGAGTATGCGTGGGGGACATACGATATTCTCGTCCAGCCAAAAAGCGCACCATTCGGAGGTATGGAGAATGTCTGTCTTACATTCGCAACACCAACTCTCCTTGCTGGAGATAGAAGCCTGACGGACGTGTTAGCGCACGAGATTAGTCACTCGACATTCGGCAATGACATCACTTGTTGTCAATGGAACCACTTCTGGGTCAACGAAGGCTTCACAACGTACATGGAAAGACTCATCTTGCAGTTCATGCATTCAAAAGCAGATCGCGACTTCTCATACATTATCGGAAGGAAGGCCTTGCAAGAAAGTCTGGAGGAGATGGAAAACGAGCGCAGATACCAGAAATTGGTCATACCTTACCGCGCTGGAGAAGATCCAGATGATGGGTTTTCCAGCGTACCTTGTGAGTTTGTGTCATTTTGAGTGCTCCTCTAACACTCAAGCTAGACGACAAAGGCGCAAATTTCCTCTACTACCTTGAAAAGACTGTTGGAGGCTTAGACGTGTTCCTGCCATTCGTCAGGAGCTATGTTCAGACATTCAAAGGAAAGAGCATTGCTACTGCAGACTTTCACACACATCTATTTGATTTCTTCAGTGGAGATAAGGCGGCAACGGAGCAACTCGACAAGGTTGATTTTGACGCTTGGTACAATGGCACAGGATTGGTAGGTAATAGCTTTTGCGAGCTATGATACTAAAATATAAGCAGTCCCTGCCAGTCGAGTTGGACTACGATACATCATTAGCTGATGCTGCCTTTGATTTGTCGGACAGGTGGAATCAAAGGCGCAACGCAAGTAGCAAAGAGTTAGAATCAACCTTTCACGCAGACGATATAAAAAACTTCAACTCGAACCAAAAGGTGGTGTTTTTGGAGAAGTTGCAGTCCTATCCAGCATTCAAAGAGGAGGTACCGAAAGCCATTGCTAAGGTGTACGGTTTCGATGAGGCACAGAATGCTGAAATAAGATTCAGATTCTACATCCTCGCTCTCAACTGTGGTAAGACTTATGCTAAAGCTGCGGCAGAATGGGTAGCACACCAAGGTAGAATGAAGTTCTGCAGACCGTTATTCAGATCGTTGAACAAGGTTGATAGCTCACTAGCTTTGAAGACGTTTAAAGACAATGAGAACTTCTATCACCCAATTGCAGCCAAGCAGATTAGAAGAGATTTGAAGTTGGATAAGTGAATGCTATTTGACTGCTATGCAATAATGTATAAATCAATACAGGAAGAAACATTACAATTTAAGTTTTGCTATTACTTGCTACCAGGCAACTTGTCGCCTTGTTGTGGAATATGTGTGAAAGCGCCTTTTGCAAACCACTTATCATTCGCCGCTTTGAGTTTACGCTCATTCTCGGCGTTTTGATTAGGATTAGCCAACTCAATACCCTGGAATGGAGTAATGGACAGACTAGACGCAGTACCACTAGTTGCTGTTCCTGAAGTTGCCTTCGATGGACCACCTAGCAATTGAGTGCGAATTTTATTTTGTTTGCTCATTTTAGCTCTACTTTTAGAATCAATTGCACTAGCTCTCAATTTACCAGATTCTTTGCCCAGCATACCGAGACCTCTAGTCTCACCACCGAAAGCATCAGTCTCTTGCTCTTGTTCACCAAATTTGACGCGGTTGCTGAGTTGACGGAGCTCTGTCATACCATATGCTTCCTTAGCTTTACGTGCTCTTCTTCCACCCCTCCTCTTCTTCTTTCCGTCTTCGGATGGTACTGGAAGTGCTTTTGTTACTTTCAAAGGAGGAGGTTCAGCCATTTTTTCGAAATGCTTTTCTAGTTTAGTTCTTAGCATATCTCCGTAGTTGCCTTCTTTGCTACCACCCTCGAGGTCCACTCTAGCGGCTAAGACCACCTTACCGGAAACAGTGCGCTGAGCTTTAAGCTTGTGTTCTGGTTCGCAAGACTGCACAAGATCAGACTGGAAAATGAAACCAGTATGTCTGTTCATAGTTGCTGTGGATTGGCCTGTCGGTGTCTTCTTCATAGCACCTAGGAGGTAGACATTACACGAAGGCATCTTAGCTAAAGCTTGCAGACCACCCGCTACACCTATCAGCTTTGCTGCGGTTGTCGTACCAACGATAGCAGACACGTTGGGCGAGAGTATATTCATACGCGACTGAACATATTCGAATATCTGAAGGTAGTGAGTGAGTGTGAGTGTGAGTGTGGTGAAGTAATGCAAATATATTCACCTTCCGTTTGGCATCTTCTAGCTCTTTGTGCACTTGACATGCAGCGTCTACTCTGTGCCACTCGTCGTGCGATAATTGACGACCATCTGCAGTTGTAGCGCTGACAGTAATGACCATGATAGTATGGCCTTTAACGACATCCTTCAGTGGAGCTTGTGAAATGTCTTGCAAGTTTCCAATAGCTTGTACAACGCGTAAGTAGACTGTAGGTTCTGGTACGAGAGTGTCTAGACCGGGAAACTTAGCGTGATAGTGATCTCTAACGAATTTGTGTACGATGAGAAGCTCATTATCAACCTCGACAGCTAAATTGTTAGCTTTAACGATGATATCGTATTCAGGGTTATCGGCGAGTGAACCACCTTTGACAAGCTTTGGGTGAAGGAGGAATTCGTCAATGCCCTGATGATTTGTTAGTGAGTTGTAAAAGGATAGACTGGTGACTCACCTCAAGTACGTCTTTCATGCGCTTTGAGGATGTTAGAGGTGCTACTTTCCTGACATCTAGAACCTTTTCAAGCTTGAAGCCTTCAACAGCTTCTGCATCAAGCTCATCTGCTGGTCTGACACCACCTGTTGGTACGTATAGCTGACCATCCTGGAGTTGTACCTGGTTTGGATCTTTGGGTTGGTCATCTTGATCCATTTTCACATCGTCCTGATCAGCTCTTAGTGGGGATATTGCTGATCTTTTGCCATTTCCATTTGTGGTTGTGGTTGTGGCAGTGGCAGTGTCTTCTCCAGTGGCATCTTCACCGGCATCACCGGTTTCTTCATCAGATAAGCCATCTAGATCGTCGATAAGCTCTTGTGCGAGTGACTGATAGGCTGTTAGGTGGTTTAATCGGTAAAAGCGCTGAGACAGACCATCAAGAACGATCGATGATGAAAGTTCGGGACCAAAGATAATCAGAGATAGCGGGAAGGGGGAGTGATTGATGAGATGTAGTTTATTCAAGTCCTCGTGGTCGTTTCAATAACCCTAATCAATAGGATATCAATGGCATTGAGATGATTAAAGTTATAGACACAAACTAACAACGTAGATTGATGTTATTTAGTTTTGTAATGTATATCTATCAATATTTTTACAAAATCCGCGCCGAATAAAGCCAAAAAGTAGCATCGGAGATAATCGCGTTTATTTGAGGTACGCGGGTAATAAAGGGTATTTTGAGGGGAATGGAGGTGGATTAGAGGTGAATTCGAGTATAAATACGTAATTTCTAAGTAATACATTGTAATTTATAATCAATGGTATCCAAAATCCAGTCAAATGATATTCAAATGACGTTATTACGACGCCAAAAGCGTATTAACGAAGGGAATGAGAGCAAAATTGGGATAAGTATGGTTTAATAGAGGCTGGTATTGTATAAAACTCAAAACCAATCTCCCCCGAACAAATTACATAAACACTGAAATTTGATTCGTGAGGCTCAAACTTGTTTCATTAAAACATCCAACATGTTCTCACGCGGTGTAAGAAACTTGCGGCAATTCGCCACCCAAGCCAAACGTATTGGTGATCAGAAGGTGGATATGTCCTTGATGTGAGTACTTGAGTATTCCTTGGTCGCTGATCCTGATCTCACTCCAAATCCAGCGAAGCAGGTCAAGGCAAGTACATTAATTACCAAGTGAGTTTCGTTTGAATCTAGTAAGAATCCCCGCTTACTCATTTACAGCGCATCGAAGACAACCTCAACGTTGTTCGTTCTCGGTGAGATTTACCGTAGCCGTCTAACCAATCAAATCTTACCAATTACCAGCCTCAATCGTCCTCTCACTCTCTCCGAGAAGATCGTCTACGGCCACTTGGACAACCCAGAAGAACAAGATATCGAAAGAGGAAAGTCTTACCTGAAGCTTCGTCCGGATGTGAGCAACTCAGCCAATCAGATGTTCTTAATTTCTAACCCGTTTTACAGCGCGTTGCTTGCCAAGATGCTACTGCTCAAATGGCTCTCCTTCAATTCATGTCTGCTGGTCTCCCAACCACAGCTGTACCAACTACCGTCCACTGTGATCACTTGATCGAGGCTCAAGTTGGCGGTGTTGCCGACTTGGCCCGTGCCAACGACCTCAACAAAGAAGTTTTCGACTTCTTGTCAACCGCTACTCAGAAGTACGGTATTGGCTTCTGGAAGCCTGGTTCTGGTATCATTCACCAAATCGTTCTTGAAAACTACGCCACTCCTGGTTTACTCATGATTGGTACTGACTCCCACACTCCAAACGCCGGTGGTCTCGGTATGGTTGCCGTGGGTGTTGGTGGTGCTGACGCTGTTGACGTCATGGCAAACCTCCCATGGGAATTAAAGTGTCCAAAGGTTATCGGTGTTAAGCTTGAAGGTAAAATGAGTGGTTGGACTACTCCAAAAGATATCATTCTCAAGGTCGCTGGTATTCTCACCGTTAAAGGTGGTACCGGTGCTATCATCGAATACTTTGGTCCAGGTGTTGACTCGTTATCTTGCACTGGTATGGCAACCATCTGTAACATGGGTGCTGAAATTGGTGCTACCACCTCTCTCTTCCAATTCAACGATCGTATGACTTCATACTTGACTGCAACTGGTCGTAAAGCTCAAGCTGACTACGCTAAACAATTCGCTCCAAACCTCGTACGTGACCAAGACGCTGAATACGATCAAACTATCACCATCGACCTTAACGAGCTTGAACCACACATCAATGGTCCATACACTCCTGATCTTGCAACTCCACTCTCTCAATTTGCTGGTGAAGTTAAGAAGAACAACTGGCCACAAGAACTCAAAGTTGCCTTGATCGGTTCATGTACTAACTCTTCATACGAGGACATGACTCGTTCAGCTTCTATCGCCAAGGAGGCACACGACGCTGGTTTGTCTGCCAAATCTAGATTCACAATCACTCCTGGTTCTGAGCAAATTCGTGCAACCATCTCTAGAGACGGTGTTATTGAGAACTTTGAAGAAGTTGGTGGTATCGTTCTTGCCAACGCATGTGGTCCATGTATCGGTCAATGGGATCGTCAAGATGTTAAGAAGGGTGAAGCAAACTCTATCATCACTTCTTACAACCGTAACTTTACTGGTCGTAACGATGCCAACCCAGGTACCCACGCCTTTGTTGCTTCCCCAGACCTTGTCACTGCCATGGCCTTCGCTGGTGATCTCACCTTCAACCCAATGAAGGACACCCTCAAGACTGAAGATGGCAAGGACTTTAGATTCTCCGACCCAGCTGGTTATGAACTTCCACCAAAAGGCTATACCGCTGGTGAGAATACCTTCCAACCACCATCAGAGCACCCAGAACAAGTTTCGGTCGCTGTTGATCCAAACTCACAACGTTTGCAACTTCTTGAGCCATTCGACAAGTGGAATGGTGAAGACCCACAAGATCTCCCAGTTCTTATCAAAACTCGTGGTAAGTGTACCACTGATCACATCTCAGCTGCTGGTCCATGGTTGAAATACAGAGGTCACTTGCAAAACATCTCACAAAACTGTCTGATTGGTGCAATTAACGACGCCAATGGCAAGGCTAACTCTGTAGAGAACCTTGAGACTGGTGAGTGGGGCCCAGTTCCAACTGTTGGAGCTTGGTACCGTGACCACGGCATAAAGTGGGTTGTTGTTGGTGATAACAACTACGGTGAAGGATCATCTAGAGAACATGCCGCACTTGAGCCTCGCTACTTGGGTGGTACAGCTGTCATTACCAAGTCTTTTGCTCGTATTCACGAAGCCAACCTCAAAAAGCAAGGTATGCTTGCTCTCAACTTTAAGAACGAGGCAGACTACGATAAGGTGCAACCAAACGACAAGATCTCTTTGAAGGGTGTTAAGGACAACTTCCACCCAGGATCTGAGCTCACCATGGTATGCAAGCACAAGGATGGCTCTGTTGATGAGTTCCCATTAACACACACATACAACCAAGAGCAGATCCAATGGTTCATCAACGGCTCAGCTCTTAACTTGATGAAGGCTCAAGCTGAGGGTAAGGCTTAAAAGATGAACATAGTATAAGCGCATTAATCTGTTTTTCTAATTATTTACACTGATTTTACTTATTCTAACTTTGTATTGAATTATACACAAACAATATGTAACCTAAGAGCAGTTGTATAGTGCGCAGTTTGTTATAAGATGAAAAGCGTGCAGTGTATTGTAAGATGAAAATATAGTGGTATCCTTCTATATTAAATTACAGTAGAGTTTCCAGTCGAACACCTTGGTCTAGTACCCGCGACAGCTTAATAACGCGTTCCTTGAGAGAAAGTTGTCGCAAAGCCATTATTTTTTCTATTGCGTGAAGTTGAAATTTGAGTTTATGGGAAGCGGAAACCTTGATAGTGATAGCGGCAGCGGACAAAGACTCTAAGAAAGTCTTGAAGCATCTGTCATCCCGAGCGAAGACGTATGTGGGTATAGGTTCACCCTGTTGGTAGAAACATAGAACTTGTGACCAACAAGCCATCATGACTAGATCAGCTATACCATTACTGAGGTAGTCATCCAGACTGGCAATCGTAGATGCACTCTTATCTAATCTCCATGTAGCGAACTTTCTCAGTTCATCGGTTGCTGTTTGGACAGGTTTGCTGAGTTGAGGGTGGTTTAGAGCTGCTGCGACGAGTTGAGTAGCATCGTTGATGAATTTGTCGCCCTCTTTGGTGCGTCAGCGGGTGCTACTCGGAGAATCGCAAAACTTACCACTCATAACGAGAGTTTGGAGGTAGGAAGCGAGGAGATCAGTCTGTTGGTGGAGTGAGATAGGATTGAGATGTGCATATAGGCGAGCTACCTACCTGACCAGTTGACAAACCATGATCAATGGCTAGTTTTAAGTTTGTTCTTAAACTCTTGAGTATATCGCGGTTTTCAGCGGTTTTGAGGGTGTTTTCATCCATAGTGTTAACCCATTTGGACATTGCACCGACGAGGACAATAGCGATACCGTCATACTCTTTACCAAGTCTCATAGCATGGACTAGTGGGGTAGTCCCGCCGACCTTCTTCAAAAGAAGTTGGAAGGAGTGATCACGGCATGTCATGATGAACATGATGTCCTTTGTTTCAATAGCTTTGAATAACTCCCAAGGCATCAAAGGTCGCTTTGGTTTGGTTGTAAGTTCACTCGATTTCTTTACAAGTTTCTTGCCAATTGGGCTGATTGAAGAGCCTTGTAAACTATTAGTCAACGCCTCATTTAAATTTGATTGCTGGTGCTTCACGGATATTTCACATTTGGATATAGCATCATACTCTAATGACTTGAGCGGCGGCAACTGCTTGGGAAGTGTATAGAGAGAAGGCAAAATATTATTTATCTTATCAGGAATTGGATTGATAACTAATCTGCCGTCATCGATATCGTTATCTGGATTATCCAATAGATATTGATAGTTGGCCATTAACGAGTACTTCTTCACCGTCCACCATCATGTACGATAAATTGAGACTGTAAGTTAATTCTATTAGATTATGTTAACTCCCTCATATCCATTGAACAGCCTGTCTTCCAAACAAGCGTACACTCTCGAGCCTCTCAGTGGCACTGGACAGTCACTCACCATCGATAGAGCTACTCGTGAATTAAATCTAGTAAACTCGCCCAAGGATGTACACAGTGATGTTGATAGCGTCATCACACTATACGGTATACTCGGTATTATTCACCTCTCCACTACTCCGTTCCTCATTGCTATCAGCGACCGTGAACTCGCTGGTACAATCAATGGCTGTGATGTTTACAGAGCCACTGACTTTAAAATGTTCCCTATAGACCGCTCTTCCACTCTGTCTGAAATCCTTAAACATCCCGTCGACGGTGTTTTACTAGGTCTACTCAAAGATCACTTTAGAGACGGTAACTTCTTCTTTTCTCATTCTTTCGACGTTACAAGCAGTTTACAGAGGCAGCAACGACACAACCAAGGGCCACTCCATCACAGATCGGACGATCGCTTCTTTTGGAACAAGTTCCTTCAAATGCCTTTGCTGGAATCTGAGCTTGATCTCAGCAAATTTATCCTCCCTGTCATCTACGGCTTCCTCGAGATTAAGCCAACGAGTATCTTCGGTCAACCCCTCTCCATTACCCTGATTGCAAGAAGATGCAGATACAGAGCAGGTACTCGTTATTTTAGCAGGGGTATAGATAGTCATGGAAATGTTTCAAATTTCAACGAAACTGAGCAGATTGTACAAATCGGCAATAATACTCTCTACTCACACGTACAATGCAGAGGTTCTGTGCCTATTTATTGGTCAGAGATCAACACTCTCAGATACAAGCCTGATCTTCAAATAATGGACTTACCTCAGATAACTGAGTCTCTCAGACTACACCTCAGCTCACTCGTTGACCACTATGGCAAGGTCACCTGCATCAACCTTGTCAATCAAAAGGGTTATGAAAAGCCAGTTAAGGAGTGGTTCGAAGCTGCGCTTGACAAGATTGACCACCCCAACACTGATTACTTGTACTTTGACTTCCACAGCGAATGCAGCAAGATGCGTTGGGACAGAATCCAGATCCTGATTGATCGCCTAGATGATGACCTAAAAGCACAAGGCTATTTCAAGAAGGATGCTCAAACCGTATCTAATACCCAACAGAGTGTCTTCAGAACCAACTGCATGGATTGTCTCGATCGCACCAATGTAGTACAGAGCGCAGTGGCTAGAGTTGTACTCACTGCACAGCTCGCTGACGCTAATTTGATCGGACCTAGCGATCAGCTCAGTGATGATATTGGATTCAATTATCTCTTCAGAAATATCTGGGCTGACCACGCAGATGCTGTCTCCGTCACTTACAGCGGCACGGGCGCACTCAAGACCGACTTCACCCGCACAGGTAGACGTACACTCCAAGGAGCGTTCTGGGATTTAGTCAACAGCATAACGAGGTACATTAAAAACAATTACTACGACGGCAGTAGACAGGATGCGTTTGATTTTGTGCTCGGCGCTTGGTCACCTCGTGTGTCAAATCCACGTGCTGTGATCAAAGACGACAGGTCTGCAATAACGAAAGCCGTGCCTTATGTACTGACATATTCACTCCTCGTGCTCATTTCGGGTGTTGTGTTGCCGAAAGAGAGAGGAAGATCACTGCTTACGTTCTACCTCCTCTTCTCTAACCTCGTCGCACTCTCGTCCGTGTACCTAGTCGCGAACGGCAGGGAGTACGTCGCATGGCCTAAACTCAACCCTCTAGACAGTATCATCAACTATAAAGGACCGGGTTATAGAGGCGCCATGCACGGTAGAGGCTTCGCTTGGGGCGTTGGATCTAGCGGCTTGCGCAGCCAGAGTGCTTCCTCTGTCGATGAGATCGAGATGGGTAAGAAGGCTAGTTAGTGTTGCTCCTTGTAAGCATGTATGCGATGCCCTTTGTTGTTTGTCTGTCTTTTGACTACATATAAATGTCTTTTTCTTTCTATTTGGTTTGCTCAGCTCACCTCCCGAATTTAATGTCATGCTTTTGATCCAGAATTCAGGAATCGTGTGGTATTTGAGATTAAGACACTCTGATAACATTCTCGAGTCCTGAATGATACATCTTTATATCACTTCACGCTTATTCGCGGGCTTGATATACCTCACCGATGACTTCAAGACGTGTTTGTGAAATGAGAGGACACTTGAAGTATTTCTTTGGACTTTCAGACGCGTGTAGCAGTATAAATTATTCGATTAAATTGAATGTGCTCAAGGCACCCTAAAAATGACCAAGTGTACGCCATTAGCTGCGTGACTAGGAACGAGGGTATCCGGGTTCGTGAAACACAAAAACATAGAACGCTACAAAACGCTAGCAACAGTAAATCTAAAGAAAATCGTCAAAATCCTTGTGGAACTATAAGCTACATAATGATACCAATTGTTCGACTTCATGGTCGCGCACTCGTCAAACATTTCATTTTTGGCCTGAAGGAGGAAAAGGTTAGCGAAGGGTTCAGCGTGTAGCTTTAAGACATTGTTTATATTCAAGAGCTAATGGCTAATGGCTAGACAACCAATTAATCGTTGCTATTCAAATGACGTCGCAAATCATAGAGATAATGCGAAGAATTGCATAGTAAGGCGCCTTAGTGGTTTAAATGGAACAAAAGAGTGCTTCCAGCTGATCGCTCTTGCATGAGCCTAATCATGTAATCATCTACACATCATCTACGCGCATCATTGCAAAAATATTTGAGGATTACAAATGGTGATTATTTGCAGTAAATTCTCAAACAATGTGTCCGAAATAAGCTGATGCCTTCCCTAGAAGTGAGTGGGCTGGAGCTATTTTTTATCAAACAATGCACTATCAACTGAAAAATGTAAAACAAATCCGAGACAGATTATTGAGTGTTATTAATAATTGTTGATAATTTTAACAATTATCTCATGTATACACTCTATGCAAATGCAATAAGTCGCTATTGTGTGGGGCGAGAGTGGGGGCAGACCTAAGAGCGTCTTTGTTTTCATCGTATTTCATAATTAAGCTTCATAAATTTTGCAACTGTGTAATATTATGCTCATGAAGTGAGATAGTATCTTTACTCGATCATTTCTCCCACTTACTTGAACCACCACCATGCGACTTCAAGAACTACCACACGATGTTATTGTAGAAATTTTCAGCTAACTCGATGGTGACGACCGGTACATGCTACGCTTCTTCAGCAGTATTTTATACAACGCAATCCCAAAGTCGCAAGTGTTGATGCTTACAGGGCCGCGTTCGAAATCCGTTGAATTCGTCACACTAGCCGAGGCAGATGAGTTGCTCTTCTTAAGCAACGTATTAAGGAACAAAAAAAAACATCGGAAAGAACAGTGTACGTCATCTGCCTTTAAAAAAAAAAGGCAGGCTAATTGTTTGTCGGGGGAGAAGAGCTCAAAGCTATACAAAAGAGTGTTAGAGCCATAAAGAATCGATAATTCCTCTATGCATGCCCGCCAGATGGCTCACAAAAGATATTACCGAGGTGTCTTGGATCCTCGTGAAAGATATTGCTCTACCACGACCACACTTGAAGAATAATTCATCGCAGATGCAGATGAAGACGGATAGAGTGACAAATATATAGGCTAGTATATATACGTTGATTTAGATGAGATGTATCACTTCGAAGTGATGGAATTGGAAGATGACTTACGAGAGCATTGCTTGGAGGATTTTGATGGTGATGTTTATTTTGACTGAGTTTTAAACATCTTTGATACCAAGTTTTGTCTTCATATCAAACCATGTTGTAGACAATTTGTAGATAATTTTAATGATTAGGGAGTAAAAAGTTATACATCTGTTTTTAGAATACAATTATATATATCTCGTGCGGAGTGCGTTGTGGTATTTGACTTCAGATGACGCCATCTAGTTGATTAGCGAAATCAAAGTCGTCAAAGCTGTCACTGTGGTTATCACTGGGGGTGTCTTTATCGAGGGAGTCAAGGTCGTCGGAGGTGTTGTCGGTTCTATGTCGCTTGGGAGTATCCGAGTTGGATTGGTTGTTAGTGTGACTGTGCAAATCCTGCTCATCTATGCTTGGAGGTGTAGAACTCTTGCGAGATCTTTTCTTAGTGTTCTCTTTAACCTCCTCTCCTTTCTCTTCCTCGGCGCTGTCCTCATTAAGGAAATCTTCGAGCTCCTGATCGGCGGTATCCCAATCGACATGATCGGTAGTAGGTTTATCATTGAAACTTTGCACCTGTTTTGGCCATTTAGGTCGAGAGTGTGAATCGAGATAGTAAGAATCCTCTTTACGACATTCCCACAAATTACACGAATCGATGAGCCACTGAGGGGTAACGACATGAGCGACATCCTCCCGTCTCGCTTCGTCTACTTTAGCAGTACCCTTTTTAGCAGCGACGACGTGTGTGATGGCGGAGGAGTAGGTAGTGTGTACTTGTGCGCCATATCGCACGGCGAGGTGGTACAGAGGGCTGTGTTCGATGTGTGCACCGAGTGGGACGACTGCGCTGAATAACAAATGCACTCCGCGTAGCACTAGACGTTGCATGTGGGGGATTATCTCGGCGACGTCTGGATCATCGCCCGCGTTACGGTATGTGTAGTATGTAGAATGGATTTGGCGGAGAATGCGTAAAAGACGAGGGAGTTCAGCGTCGGGAGTGCGAGAGAGGAGTTGACGATGCTCCCTTTGTCGCTGGGCGAGTGGACGTTGATTGGCTTGTTGGGAGAGAGAGAGGTTGTGGTGATCACGATGGTCACTATCCTCACCCCCCTTCTCGCCAACCTCTTCATCAAAGTGAACCTCCTCCTCACCGGCGTTTATATCACCTATACCAACGAAGAATTCAAAAGGGTTGCATTTGACAAGGTTTGGAGAATCAGACCAGACATCAGCGCGGTCATCGATAATGACACACATGGAAGTGTCGGTGGGGAAGAGGCGGAGGAGGGATTTAGAGGTGAAGCTACCAGAGTCATCGCGGGTGAGGATACGTTCAGAGAATAAGGAGCCGGTGGGGTCAATAAGTTGACATACTGCAGCAGCGTAAGACTTGGTTCCCATAGTGTAGACGTGTAGTTCGTATAGGTGGTTGAGTTCATGTAGGAAATCGATCAAACCGGGTCTGAATTTGACAAAGTAGGAGCAGCTTTGATTGAGAGGAGTGAAGTCATCTAATTTGAACTTGTGAATGTCGTCTAAGGCACCAGGATAGACCAAGGAAGGATCATCCAACCAGGATTGAACAGTTGGGTCAACAGTGGCGTGAATTACAGTCTGATCGAGATCGACGATTAAGCTGAGCTTGGATGATTTTAATAGGGAATGCTTTGAGCGTGTGGAAATCCGTTTAGCTTCGTCGTAGGTGACGGTGAGATTTGCGGTGGAGTGGGAGATGTGAAGAGAGTTGTTTACAGTGGAAGTAATATCTATACCACAGACAGCACATAAACCAGCTAATTGTACAGGATGTGTACATGGATCAGACATGGTTGTTGGTTAAATAGGAACATTCAAGTAAAATTGAAGGAAATGGAGAAATTAGAAGTCAATGATGGCCAAGAGAGGGTTGGTGGGTGGGTGGTATTAGAAATATTCTAATCTCACCAACCACAGCAAATCTCCTCAATAATCTCGATAAGGATAAGAAGCAGGAGGAGTTTAGGAGAGGTGGTGGTTTGCCTGAATCTAGTGCATTAGACAGGGTGAAGGAGTTTCTGCCTGAGATGAAAAAATCCAATGAAAGTACGTTAAAGAGTATGGAGGATGTGGGTGAAGAGGATAAGCATATAGAGATGAATATATATAAACCATCTATTTGAATTTGTGTATCAAGTATTTAGATTTAAGTAGGTTGTAAACGAGGCTGTTGAGTGGGTGTGGCTGGTTGAGTTCATTGGCAATGTCCACTATGAAACCACTGAGGAAGTTGATGTCTGGATATCGGTGTTGTTTAATTTGCAAGTCAAGGTGGTTGTGAGCGTGTTTATTGGTGAATATACAGTCACTCCCCAGTCTTCTATTTGTGGAATGGATTAGATTGTTAGTTAGTAATTTTGAAGGGAATGTTAAACTCCTATTGAGGTAATAGTGGTGGAATATATTCGAAGATTCCTGTATTATGTCGTGCAGTAGCACCTTTGAAGGGATAGTCGTTGTTAGACTGGGTAGACTGGTGTTTAGTAGAGTGGATATGGACTGAATAGCTGAGTGGATGATTATATTCTCAATAGACGTTGCCTCTAGTTGATCTATATTGGTTGAAGGGATCGCCAAATCCAACTGATTATCACCGTGTATCCGTGTAAGTGTGTTGTTGTACTCAATGAATAGCGTATAATTGATATTACTACTTCTCAATAAATTGTAATAGACTCCCAAGTAATTTATACTGTTAACCACCACGCTACTCCCATCCACCCTACTATTCCCATCCAATGCCTTGTAAATGCTAGTCAAACTTGAATTTAAATAGAGTACATCAATTCTATTGTAATTCATTAGCGATGACTTGTAATTTACCCCTGTTAAATTCATTTTTTTAAAATTCTTGGATAACCTTCCAATCCTATGTAAATTCATCTTGGTCGTTGTCCACTATGTCGATGCACAAGGATAGATTTGAGGCTATTAGAGATGGCAGGGATATTGACAATCCTGTCATTTCTAATGTGCTGGGAAGTGCCAACCCTTCAACCACCTTGAAATCCCTCCACCTCCAATCCAACCAAAGGATTTCAACTAAATTTCTAACTTGCCCTTCAAATTTAATAGCCTGGTCTATTAACGGGGAGTATCTATTTATTGCCAATGAATCCTCTATTGATATCTTTAACCACTCCACTTTAATCCATTCCATCAACAACGCACACAACTCAAAGATCACCTCCATTCAAACACTCCACTACGATCCACACAAGATTATCACCGCTGGCTTAGACGGTGCTATCATCCTCTGGGATATCCTTGAATCCACTCCCATCAAGCACATCACCTACCACTCCCCAATCACTCACCTACTCGTCCACCAGAATTCCTCCGGCAGACGCCAATCTACCATATTTATCACCCTAAACAAGCTGGCTGCCAGGTCCAAGGCCGCCGACGGCTCTGATCGTCCCCCTGTCATCAATTCCATCTACTACAAGCTCATTTGGCCCCACTCGGCTTCTTCCAACTCTAAACTCCATTCCACTCTCCTCGGCCAATCCCGCCCTCCTACTTCCATCTCAGTCGATGACAACCTCCTCATCGCCCAGTGCGCCAGGAAGACCAATGTCTCACACCACAACGTGCATTCCTCCCACAGGAACGCTTTTGTTAAATTTATAAGTGGTGAAAAGCACAATTTGTGTACTGTCGATCCTTTGAAGCAGTTTTTTGTCACCTCGGAAGCAAATTCCGGTAAAATTCACCTCTGGCCCTACAACAAGCTAGATGAGATGAAGGCGATGAAACCACAGACGGCGCCAGACTGGCACGGAGGGTACCAGAACAACTGTCCGACCGAGATTCTTCACTGGCACGCCAACGCTGTCCGAGCGCTTACATTCACCCCTCAAGGCTCTTTCCTCCTCTCTGGCGGTGAAGAGGGAGTACTGGTTCGCTGGCACATCCGTCAGCAAGGGGGGAGGTTAACGAAGCGCGACTATCTCCCTCGTCTTGGCGCTCCTATCGTCTCCATCACCTGCCACGACGAATCGCGCTGGGTGGTCGGGCTCGCTGATTCCACCAAGCTCTTCGTTGACGGTGCGCAATGGCGCGTAGAGCATGCTATACGTGGCGTACTTGTACCAAATGTGGACACAAGCTCTGATACTCCCCTTACCGTCACTCCCTCTCCTCACAACGTCATCCTCCCCTCCTCGAACCCCGCCGTGCTGCAGGTGTACGATATGGCGTCGAATAGCACAAACGAGCTTGAGGTCTCCCCTACTAATAGGATTCAGGGTAGATATGCTGATGGTGATGCTCCGCGCGTTCTCCAGGCCATTACTGCGAGTGGGTGGCTCGCGACGCGCGATGAAGCTGCCGTTAAAATTTGGCAAGTCGTTGATGGACGTTACACGCTCAACACTCGCATTGATAAGCCGCACGGGGGCTATGCTGTGACTGGAATTGCCTGGAGTGGGAGTGGGAGTGGGAGCGTCAGTGAAAGTAACACCAACACACCACCCACCCTCGCCACCGTCGGCACCGACCGTAAATGTCGTCTATGGCTTGCCGAGCCGCTCGAGCATCGTCCGCGAGCTTTGGGAAAGATCAAGAGTGTAATCCGGGAAGGCCAAGGTGAGTGGGGTGTTTTAGATGCGTGCAGAGCTTATCACTTACTTGCCCATGCGTAACCACACAGTCTCATACTCTCTTTTCGCCACTGTGCACTACAAAGATGAATGTATCAAACAGATACTCTTCTCACCCGACAGCTCACTCATGGTGCTCGTCCATGAAGGAGCTCTATCGCTGTGGGATCCTACAGCCGTGCATAGTGGTCGTAATGCCCCGTCTTTCCTTAAAGTACTCCCAGGTGAAGGCCTCGCACTTGACGAGGCTGTCTTTGCAGGTGCTAGCCATATCGCTGTGCGCGCTACGGCTGGTAAGAGAGATGCCAGTCATGGTGTGTGTGTGGTGTACGATTTGACTAGTTGTGAATGTGAGTTGGATTTGGATTACAAGTTGGAGTTAGCGGTTTCACTCATTCTAACACATTCATACTCACAGGTATCTACTCCCACTCATTCGTCTACTCCACTCCGCAAATACTCGCTCATCCTTCCCTCCCCGCCTTCGCTGTTATGTCAGGTGCTACACGCCCACGCATGCATAGCGAGCACGATTCTGCGGCACTCGAGCGCGAGAAAGTGATCAGTAGAAGTGCAGTATGTACGCAAATGACGACGTTTAGTGTGGGCGTCGGTGAGGGTGTTGTTAAACGACACGTTGCAGAATTCGATAACACCTACTTTAAGTATGCCGTCTTGCCTGAAGAGGTGGTGAGCAATTTGACCAACAACCACAACACTGACAAAGACACCAACACACACACACACTCACCAGCATTCAACCTCATCGGCCTCGCTACCACTCACGACCAGGGCACGCGCGGTGAGCGCGACTCCTCCACACCGGCGCTGGGTAGTAGGGGAGCAGTGCTGATTGGTGCGGATGCAGCCAAGATGGATCTGCGTAGGGGAGATGGTGGATCTAAAGACAAGAAAAAGACACCAACGAGCAGCATGTTCGAAGAAATCTTTGGCCGTTTCGATGAACATGTCTTGCAGGCTGAGAAGAGGGCAGCGGGTGAATCTGACGCTGACACACACGCAAATACCTTGGTCAGCTCCTCTAACACCCCCTCTAACTCAGTCAAACACCTCTTTGACGGCCCTGCTCACCTCCTTCCTGGACCGCAGATGATGTATGGAGACTTTTTGAGCACGTGCCTGCCCAAACGTGCGCGGGACGGCGGCGACAGCGATACTGCCACATCCACCTCTGTACTGTGGGATGCGCATGGGATGGACAGTGAAAGCAAAGAGGGAGTTGATGTGGATATGCACACGGGTAATCAAGCTACCAACACTCATCCACCACCTTCCAACCGCCAGATCGGAAGCGCGGAGGTAAAAGCGATGAGTGAAATGTTCAAGGAGGTTGTATAGAGTGTCAGATAAGTTAAACTTGTGAATTAAATGAATAAAAATGTATAGATGCTGGTAAATTATTCGATTACCTTGAATATTCCTTGTCTTCTCACTGTCATCGTCATCATGGCCAATACGACTCACGACGATCTCGCCACTAAGCTGCTGACGCTTATCAACGTCTCTGCTAGTCGCTCAGACACTCCCAAGCGCATACGTTTAGATGCCCCCGCGGGTGAAAAACTCGGTAAGAAGAAGAGATTATCCACTGGCAGCGAAGGCGATGCACAGCAAGTGGATGCAGAGCTAGCAAGTGAGGACATGGATAAAGATAACAGCCTTGAAAATGCACCTGAGAATCCCCCCGATAATGCACCCGACGACGACGACGACGAAGAGAGCAAAGACACCCTCTACACGCACTTCGGCGTCTCACCTACAAGACTCACCGATGAGAATATCTCCAAAGCTACAGAGAAGCAGTGGTCCTTGAAGCACTCCACCAACACCCTAGGCAGGTGCACTGAGTACTGCGTCGATGACACAGGCAAGGACAACCAGAATGTTTTTGTCAGTCCCAAGTTTGCTAATAAGGGCGACACACACCTCCTCAACCTCCTCGGCAGCTACAAGGATGTCTTTGCGAACCACCTCAGCCATTCTGAGAACGAGAGCATGCGCGGTTCCCTGACGCTGCATATGCACAACCATCTCCTCAGGTGGGTGATATTCGATACGTCTTAACTCAGCTAATCTCCCCCAAGAACTCGCCGTCGTGTGCTCAAGAACAATGAGAAACTTGCGCACTTCCATGCACAAGAGAACGATAAACAAGACCCACAAGACCAGCAAGATGCTCCCGAATGCCTCGACCAAGGATTCACCCGTCCAAAAGTCCTCATCCTCACCCCTTTCCGCAACACGGCGCTTGCTTGGCTCAAGGACCTCATAGCACACTCCCCAACTTCCCAGACAGACAACAAAGCGAGACTTTTCCAGGAGTTCTCCCTGCCTAAAGATGCAATTGACAAGATCGCCCAAGCACCTCCAGGCACCTACCCAGAAGACCATGTGAAAACTTTCGTCGGAAACATTGACGATAATTTTAAAATTGGTTTGAAACTCACACGTAAGTCGTTCAAGCCGTATGCGGATTTTTACTCTTCGGATATCATCCTCGCTTCTCCACTAGGTCTGAAGCTGGCGATGGAGAAGACGAGCGACACGGACTACCTGTCGTCGATAGAGATGGTTGTTGGTGATCAGCTGGATGTAATAGCGATGCAGAACTGGCAACATCTCACGGATATCTTTGCCTCCCTCAACGCCATCCCGAGAGATGGTCATGGGTGCGATTTCGCTAGAGTCAAACCGTGGTATCTCGACAATAAAGCCAAGTTCCTTCGTCAGTCTGTTTTCTTGTCGGCTTATGAAATACCAGAAATGCGCAGCTTGTTTGGTAGACATTGTCATAACGTAGAGGGGAAAGTGCGCACTGAGACACGCTACGGAGGTGTCTTAGGTGGAGTTAGTGGTGGTATAAAGCAATCATTCTACAGATTTGACGTAGATTCTCTCCTAGATGAACCTGATAATCGTTTTGCAATGTTCATCAACAAATCCCTTCCCGCTTTGCAAAAGTCGGCAGTATCGTCCTCTCACACACTTGTCTTCGTAAGCTCCTACTTTGATTTCGTGCGCGTGCGCAACCATCTCAAGGCGACTGGTGTCAATTACGCTGCTTTGAGTGAATACTCAACTAACAAGGAGATATCACGTGTGCGTGGTGCTTTCTTTAGGAATGAAGTCTCTTTCCTCCTCCTCACTGAACGGTTTCACTTCTTTAGACGGTACAGAATCAGAGGTGCGTTGACATCCTTCTTCTACAGCCTCCCGGACCATGCTGCGTTTTATCCAGAGATTGTCAATATGGGACTCGACGAGAGCAAGGGAATCGATGAGAGTGATTTGCAGTCTATCGCTCTATACTCTAACTCTGATTTTCTCAAGTTGCAGCGCATCGTTGGTTCTACTGACGCTGCTTTGATGGTTAAGCAGGGTACGGATGATAGATATTCGTATAATTAGATTATGTACAGGCTATTATTTATCGTATAGACTAATATTCATTTTATACTTTTACTATTTAAATTACTCCATATATCCCTCCAAAACCCTCTCAATATGCGTATAGAGAAGACCATCTGTGATATCATGCAATTGCTCCGGTGAGAGATTAGAAAGGACATATCTAGCAACATCGCGCTTATCACCTGGTCTACCAATACCAATTCGTAGTCTATCAAAGTCGAGGGATTGTTTGAGATACTGTGAGAGTGATTTGATGCCGTTATGACCGTTGGCCGATCCGCCATGTTTGATGGAGAGCTGTTAACAGTTTGTGAGTGTGTGCGTATATGTATTCTCACCACACTACGCACCTTCCCCCATTCCCGCTGCAGGTCATCATGCAAGACGAGTACACGGCGTGCGTTGACATGCTCGCAGTAGCGTGCCAGGCTTTTTCCACAGACGTTCATCAGCTGGTGGCTGTATATGAGGTCTGTGTGGCTGTTTATATGCGTGTAGCTGACTCCGTGCTTGGTGTTGCTGTTCCACTGCAGATGTCGCCGCTGGGCTAAGTGCTTAAGGACGAGCTGGCCCACTGAGTGGAATGTGCGCGGGTGCGTCGCATTGCCTAAGCCTGCAATTACGGTTTTCTCGGCTGTGGGCATATTCACCGTCTTCACCGCCAACACCCACCACCAATATGGCAGCGCTCGATGCTGACTTTATAAGATTTGACGGGAGCGACGGGAGCGACGAGGAGATCAGCGGGAATAAGAGGACTTATGAAGATGTGGAGGGTGGTGTCGGCAATTCAGCCACTCCAGCGACCACTTCCACCACTTGCACACCTTCCAAACACCCAAAAGGCGAAAATGGGAAATCTAGGAAAGAAATCGAAAAACAGCGTTCAAAGAAAGCGCCCTGGATGGCAGACGTTGATTGGGAAGGCTGTCGAACAGCACCAGAGATGTGAGTTTCAAGTTGAAGTTTTTCAGGTTGAAACTCACCACTTACATCACTCCCACTCCCCCAGGCTACACAGAGAAGTAGACGCTTTCACTCGCTTTATCAGCCCTTCGGTTATCGAACACAAGACACGCGAGTACACCATAGAGTGCATACGCAGGTGCATCACCTCTAGATGGTCCGATGCCCATGTCTTTGCTTTCGGCAGCTTCGAAACTCGTCTCTACCTCCCCGATGGCGATATAGATCTTGTCGTTATGCGCAAATCAGTCAACCAATACAACAAACAGTCAATGCTACACACCATGGCCAGTATTCTCCGCCAAGCAAACCTCGCACAGAGTATACAAGTCATTTCTAAAGCCAGAGTGCCTATTATTAAGTTCCAGTCATCATTCGGTGGTTATCCCATTGATATCTCACTTAATCAGACAAACGGTGTGGATGCGGGGAGGATGGTGAACGATATCCTCGACAAGTACCCCGCTGCTAGACCCCTTTCCATTCTCCTCAAATGCTTCCTCGCTCAACGCAGCATGAACGAGGTCTATACCGGCGGCGTCAGCTCGTATGCTGTCATATGTCTCGTCGTCAGCTTTTTACAGATGCATCCTAAAGTGAGGCGAGGTGACATCGACCCTCTCAACAATCTCGGTGTACTTATTGTCGATCTGCTCGAACTTTATGGAAGGAATTTTAACTACGATAACACCGGCATCGCTATTGAGGGATCTGGCTACTACTTCTCCAAGTCAAGTAGAGGTTGGCATCAGTATGGCCAGCCGTACCTCCTTTGCATACAGGATCCACAGGATGTCGGCAATGACATCAGCAAAGGCTCGTTCAATATACTCAACGTGCGCAAGGTGATCGCCGGTGCATACGATATGCTCACCAATAAACTTTACGCTCAGGCAAGTGAAATTGACGCTAAGAAGACCGGCCGCCATCTCAGTCTTAGAGATGAAGTGGAAGTGAAGGATGAAGAGAAGAGTTTGCTGTTGAGTTTTATGGGTATTTCTCAACTCGTGCTGAATAAGAGGAGAGTTACAATTGATCTCTATCAGAAGGGTATCCTCCAGCGCTATCTGAATCTACCACCCCCTGAAAAAGACGTGGATTTGAGCGTGAAGAGCGTGCCGAATAGAGTGTCGAATGGAACTAGTGCGGTAAATGATAGTAGCCCAATTAAACCCAAACATAAGGTATTCCCTGAGGACGACGAGGGTGAAGGTGACAACAGCGTAATTGACATACTCGATAAGGATAGAGAGGATGATGACTCGCGCTATTTACACGTACAAGCCAGTAGATCGGGATCTAACAAGCGTCCGCGCAGCAAAATCAGTAAGACGGATAAAGCACCGACGTCTCAACTCCATTTCGTTGATTCATCGGAAGACTCCGATGTGGAGATTGTAGAGAAGACAGATAAACAGGCAGGCACACGTGGCACGCGGGAGCAAAGCAAGCAAACCAAAAAAAGTCAACCAGAACGACCAGTGAAAAAACAGAGACGTGAATCAAACGAACAAAGAAACTCAAGGTACGAGTACTGGGGGAAAAAAGGCAAGTCTATAGATATATCAGACAGTAACTAGGCTTGTGATATAGATATTGTTATTTATCTTTATATTTATATTTGTTGTAAAAATTATTATCTTTCGTTCATCCCGCACGACATTCAACCATACGACGCCAAGTGTGTTGTATGCTAAATAGGGCCTGTAGACTTATACTACGAATGAGCACGTCACCCGCATACAAGAAACAGAAAGTTGAAGTTGCATTGGAGAAGCCGGAGATAGCAACGGCAGCAACGCCGGCAATATCGCCAGCAACAACGCAAATAACCCAACAGCCAAACCACCCACCAAATAAACCCCCTAAAAAGGACAAGGCTGTAAAACAACAGGAGAAATACACAAAGCTTCAGCGCAAAGCCAAGAAGCAGGCAGTCGCATCCGGTGGACCTGAGGAAAATATATTTCTCGATGTCAAAGCAATGCTTGGTGAAAGCGTGGTAGATGAGCTCATAAAGAGCGATCAGTGTTTAGATGGTGGCTTTGAATTCGGTACGCAGCTACAGGTTGAAATTTCCTCAATCTCAAGCTCAGGCGATGGATTAGCTATCGTACCAGAAAATAATTGGGTTATTGCCGTTCCATTCTGTCTCCCAGGAGAGAAGGTACTCGCTAGAGTATACAGAAACTCATTCTGTCACTCATACGCTGATCTTGTTAGTGTACTCGATAAGAGGGAGAGCTGGAGAGACGAATCGAATATCAGCTGCAAGTATTTCGGCAGCTGCTCTGGATGTCAGTATCAAATGATTCCTTACCAGAGACAGCTCCTACTCAAACAACGCGTCGTTGAAAAGGCTTACCAGAGGTTCTCACAACTTCCTTCACCCGCCATACCGACTATACTGCCTACAATCGCATCACCCAAGCAATACAATTACAGAACAAAGATTACTCCACATTTTCAAGCTGCCCCGAAAAGCGCTGGTAATGATTTTAATCCAGATATTGGTTTCGATATGAAAGGTCGTCGTGTAACACTGGATATCGAGGAGTGCCCTATCGCTACTGAAACTCTCAATGTAGGTATGCAACCTGCGAGAGCTAAAGTGAAGGAAACGATAAAGTCTTACAAAAGAGGAGCTACGTTGTTGTTGCGTGATTCTATGACACGTCCTGAAAATGCTGCGGATGCTACAAAAACTGATATCCCACCCGCTGATATGAGCACAATCAACCCCGACGATAGAGAGTGTATTACGGATCACAAGCGCATCACGAGGGAGATTGTCGGCGACAAGTTGTTTGAATTCACTGCTGGCTCTTTCTTCCAGAACAACTCTAGCATACTCGTGCCCCTCACGCAGTACGTGTTGGATGCACTCCCGGAGAAAGGAGAGGAACCGATGTACCTAGTCGATACGTACTGTGGAGCCGGTCTGTTTTCTATATGTCTACATGAACGGTTTGATAAGGTTGCCGGTATTGAGATTTCGCAGCAATCAATACAATACGCCAAGCATAACGTCAAGTTGAATGGACTAGATGAAAACAAGATTTCATTCAGGGTTGGAAAATCGGAAGCTATTTTTGACGTCGTGGGTGATTTACCACCTGCTAACACATCAGTCATTATCGATCCACCTCGTAAAGGATGTGACGATGCTTTCATAACTCAGCTGAAAGACTTCAAACCTCATCGCGTCGTTTATGTGTCGTGTAACGTTCACACACAGGCTAGGGATGTGGGTAAATTGTGCGGTGATGATGGCCCATATTCCATTGAGAGTTTGAGAGGGTGCGTGGGGTATTTAATGGCTGCTCTTTCTCATAATAACTATACAGATTTGATCTTTTCCCTCAAACAAGTCATGTCGAGGGTGTTGCCGTTCTTAAGCTCAAGTAGATTGTAATACCATTGCACAGCACACGGAAGCATACGACTAGCGCTTATTTATTGAAAAAAAGAGTGACAATAGTTTGATATACTGAACTTAGTGAGAGAATAGCTGGTCCTGGACTTGTGGTAAAAGAGTGATTGCTGCTACCATCCTGCAGCAGACAAAGACAATCAAAGCAGGTTGCTCAACTTGAACGTTATGCTGGAGTCCAAGTCAAGTCACACAAACCCTGAGCCATATTCCCATTGGTGAGTTCGCTGAAGAGACCTCTGCTCAAGTCGATCTGGTTGTCTTGGCAGGTAGGGCCTGAAGGGGGAAGTTAGAAGCTGTGCGCGCATCAAGCTACCAACCCACACAAATCTACAGCAGTCGCGTCCATCACTTTTCCAGTGTTGGTGTTGGTCACCGTGTAGTGCTTCCAGCAGTTGGCACCACCTGCGTAATGGGCGGTTGGGAGAGCAATGACCATGTCCGATGGCTGCGACCACGCACCACACGCGCCTAGGCCGACAGCGAAGAAGGATCCAATGCCGTTAACGAGCCCGCGTTGTGAAATTTCGTGCACCTCTGCATCCGTCTTTGCGACGGGTGCTGCAGTGGCCAGGCAGAGGATTGCGGAGAGCGAGAGGAGTGCCATGTGTATGATGTGTGCTTGTGAGATGTTCATGTTGTGTAGTATTGTGCAAAGAGTGTGGTGGCTGCTCAGCAGTGTTTGTATTGTGTTTGTTGTGTGTGGTGGCAGAAGTCGAAAAAGCACCGCCAGCTTATATAAAACTCAGGCGTGTTCTCGACTACAGGCACATATGTCACCACGCGCGAACGCTGTGACATTCCTGTCTGAACTTTCTAGCTGAGCACGAGATAAAAGACAAAAGACCGAGATCGAAATAAGATGTTTGGAGTGTAGATGGATGTACCAGTACTTACATTCACTGATTTATGCATTTGATAAGCGTGTGTCCACTCTCCCTAGCCGTTGAAATGGACCGTGCGTCTGAGCCAGGAAAGCAACGGATGGAGGAATAAAGAGGGACTTGTATTTCAATGAGCACACAAAATAACCTACTCTACTCAAACTGCAGAAACATGCATTCTGAAAGATGTACTTGAAAAATATCAGGCTTTAGAGAAGAATAAGCAGCAGCGAGAGCCAAACCAACAACCACACTCCCACATAAAAACAGAAACGCCTTGAATAAAATTTATATTTCAACTCGAATTCTGCTGCCTACCCGCCTACCTCACTCAACCCCGAACGACAAAACCTTTATACCTAAAAATGTCGCTTGATGTCGGAGACGTTGACGCGTGGATAGACACTTTATCGCAGTGTAAACAACTATCAGAATCTGACGTTAAATTGCTTTGTGACAAGGTGGGCGTCCTGCCAACACACACAGCAATTTCTAAGCAGATACACAGGCCAGAGAAATCCTTATCGAAGAGTCTAACGTACAGCCCGTTAGATGCCCAGTCACTGTCTGTGGTGATATCCACGGCCAATTCGTGCGTGTACCGCTTCCGTAGTCGTCTAGTCCCGCTTATCGACGTCTAGCACGATTTAATCGAGTTGTTTAGAATCGGTGGCAATTCCCCTTCCACTAACTATCTTTTCATGGGCGATTACGTTGATAGAGGTTACTACTCAGTGGAGACAGTCACCCTCCTCGTTGCTTTGAAACTCCGCTATAGAGAGAGAATCACTATCTTGCGCGGTAATCACGAGTCAAGACAGATTACTCAGGTCTATGGCTTCTACGATGAGTGTCTCAGGAAATATGGAAACGCAAATGTTTGGAAATTCTTCACCGATCTATTTGATTACCTCCCACTCACCGCTTTGATTGATAACCAGATCTTCTGTCTCCACGGCGGTCTATCCCCTTCAATTGACACCCTCGACCACATACGCTCCATTGACCGCATCCAAGAAGTTCCTCACGAGGGCCCGATGTGTGACCTCCTCTGGTCCGATCCAGACGACCGCTGTGGCTGGGGTATCTCCCCTCGTGGTGCTGGTTATACTTTCGGCCAAGACATTTCTGAAGCTTTTAACCATTCAAACGGCCTCACCCTCGTAGCACGTGCTCACCAACTCGTCATGGAAGGTTACAACTGGTCCCAAGACAGAAACGTCGTCACTTTGTTCTCTGCACCAAATTACTGTTATAGATGTGGTAACCAAGCTGCGATTATGGAGATTGATGAGAATCTCAAGTACACTTTCTTACAATTTGACCCAGCACCAAGAGCTGGTGAACCAATGGTGTCTCGAAGAGTTCCGGACTACGTGAGTTGAGTGTCTTTCGTCTCACTTTCATGCTGACTCTCTCTTGCAGTTCTTATAGGCTATTACTCACTGTATTTATGTTTGCACTGGGTATTTTACTTGTACAATGTGTAACTACGAAGAAAATGTAACGACGAAAACAATATCAACAGTTCATATATTATTAGCGATATATCAATCTATTTCGATTACTTCTTTGTGTTTTTCTAGGTGGGTGGTTTGAGTATGGAGGGATTTGATGAGGGATATACTCACTCTTATTTCTGCTACTACTACTACTACTACTTCCAAAACCTTCTTCCTTAATTTTTGGCTTGCAATCTACAATCTTATCGAGCGTAGATTGTTTGGTATCGAACGGCTCAACATCGTGACCAAGAAAAGCCTGCTTTAGGTGTTAGTATGTTGTGATTTGTCTAAGCCAACCCACATCCCACGCACTGCCCGTTTCTTCCCTATTTATGTGTCAATCTACAGTTGAAACAACTTCAACCAACTCACAGCTTCATATCACCCATCAGTTGTCTTCTGTCAGTGTCTGTTTCGGTAAAATCAAGTTCGTCTTCTGTTGTAGAACCTGAATCTTCGTTTTCCGGTTTTGTCTTTGTCTGAGACTTGTTAGGGATAACAATTGATATTCAAGCCAGCATCACCCACCATAGCTGCTAAGCGCTTTTCAGTTGCTTCGAGGCGCAACGCGCGCGCACTCTTAGACGTAGCACGTTTTCTATAGGTTGAATTAGGATCTTGACCTTTTTCCAAGCCAAGAGAGGCACCATCGACGCGATTACCAGCACCAATAGTCATGCCTTTTCGTGTTAGTGGTTTCTTGCGTTTTTTTGGTTTCCAGACGCTAGACTTTGAGCGCGATTGAGCACCACCTAGTAAGTGTGCGAATGTTAGCTGGCGAGTAGGCCTACAGACAAATCTCACCGCAAATATAGTCGGCAAAATCACCAGCCGCGAGTGCAGTCTGACCTTGAACAGTTGCGTTATCTGCCAAGCGCGTCCCAGAGGACCAGTAGCCGTCACCAAAGTAGCCTTTCTGCCTGAGAGCTGTAGCCTGTGATCGGAGGTCTTCGTTGTACTGCGTTTGTGTGAGAGTGGCTTTTTTTATGACTGTGGCACACACTTTGTGAAAAAATTTTGAGTGATTCATGTCTGTGATAGGTGAGTTTGAGTGATTTTTCTGGGTAGCTCATCAAAAACTCACGTTTTATGTGCTAGTGGCTTTATCAGTCGAATCGATGCCTAAAGACAGCCTCACTCACCGCGAGCTCATGGCAAAGGACATTACTGGGGCGTCTGTGAGTGCTGTTTGGGATGCTTGAAAGATTAAAATTCTCACAGCAAGAAAGGGAAGGGATAGAATTGGCCGCTTGGTCTTCTGAGGACGAGTTCTGTGATGTCGTCATAAATTGATATTGGCAGACGATGAGCTTGGGCATACCAACAACCTAATCAGAGTGTTGGATGGTTTTTATGCTACTAATTCCACCCACATCCCCTGCATTCCAATTTCTGCCTACAAATACTTGGTTGAACTGGTATTCCTCCAAGCTATTCACCTTAAGCCCCTCAGACTTCATCACTGGCCTAACCTGGGCAGCTAAAGAGCGTAGCAGACTAGGCAACTCATTAGCAACTCCTCCACTCGCGCTGATCCGCTTCACTCAACTCCCTAGCCTCCTTCTGATTGCTGGCTGGCAATGCCGTAGTAAAATTAATTTCTGGGTTTGGATTCGCCTCCTTCTCGTTTATCCTGCGTGCATCACAATGAGCTATTATCTACACCCTGAAATTTCCACACCTCAGCACCATGAAGTAGAATGAAATAAAGTGAAGTTGATACATTGTGCTGAGTAATCCAATCTCAAATATTTTCAAATCGTTCACCGATTACGCCATCTCTGCGATGCCTAGAAGTGGAGCTTGATAGGCATGCTTTATAGTCACATATCTGGAAATTGGCCGCGGGGATGACATGAAGGCTGTGTAAATTCAATATATACTGCACGTGGAGTCGCTCGCCTTTACTTGGTTGCCCGGTGCCCGAGTGCCCGGGTGTCTGTCGCAGCAAACACACAGGGAGTTCAGTAGACCAATGTAAGGGGCAAGTATACTCAAATATACGTTTATTATTCCATATGACACCCTCAATGCTATCGCAAAACCGTGTTTTACCCTTGTTTCAATTTTTACTCCGCTTTGCCTTTAAAAGCGCACTAATTCACTCTTCTTTGTTATCAGCTATCAACTCGAAAGCAGCAGAGCTTCTTTCAAGAATAAAACATCTTTAAGTCTTCACAATCTCTTAATCTCACAGCAAGATCTATGTTATTAACATCAACACTCCTTGCAATCGTAGCAACTGTCACAGCTCACGGGACTGTCAACCGTATCGACGTTGAAGGCGGACAGTCATTCTCTGGCCCACTAATCGGCTCAAACGACAACAGCGGCCCAATCTGGCATGTCTCAACTAGCAGTCCAGTCACGGACCTCCAAAGCAATTCAATGTTCTGTGGTGTTGACGCTATCCCTGGTCAGCAATCACCTAATATCGGTGCTGGCTCGACTTTAACCATCCACTGGGGACAAGGTTACGCAGACAGTGGTGACCAATGGCCTCATAACACAGGCCCAATCATGACCTACATGGCTAAATGTAATGGTGACTGCAGTAACGCAGACTCTGCCAGCTCCAACTTTTTCAAGATCTCCGAGCTCGGTATTGAGAATGGTGAATGGGTTCAAGCTCAACTCAAGAATGGTCAACCATACTCTGTTCAAATCCCAAATGATGTCCAACCTGGTAAGTGCATTGTGTGACTACTTAATATGGCTAAGACTGTGACAGGTAATTACCTAATTAGAACGGAGATCGTTGCACTCCATTCAGGCGTTGAGAGTTACCCATCATGCTCACAGTTCACTGTGACTGGTGATGGCTCAAACTCATACGCAAGCGCTACAGCTAAATTCCCTGGTGCCTACTTAGCTTCTGATCCTGGTCTTCAAATTGCCGGTGGATCCGTATACAATATTCAATCGAGTGTTGAATACCAATTTCCTGGTCCAGCACCCGTTACTGGAGTTCACTTGGGTGTACCTGTTGGTAGAAACGGAGGCAGCAAAAAGTTTGCTGCTCAACAGCCAAGCTCGGATTCATCACACTCAAGTTACAGCTCGGATAGCCAATCATTTAGCCAGCAATCGCAACAAAATGAATCAAAGTCGCAATCACAATCAAATGGACCAGACTCAGAATCTGGTAACTCTGGTTGCAACAACCAATACGAACAATGCCTTCAAGCATATGTTCCAGGCAGCGGAGACTTTGATTGTCAGACTCAATTTGTCTCATGTCAACAACAGTCACTAGGAAGACGTTGGTCTACCATTCAAAGACCAACCAAACGCTCAAAATCGTTGAAGCGCACTCAACAACGCAACGCTAGAATGATGTATCGTACCGTTCATTTGTAAACGGAGATAACTTCAACGCGGCTTTCATTCTCGAATAAAACAATAAGGAACCGGATTCCTTCAAATTGATTATAGCACATATCTCCCTCTCTTTACATACCTTGACGGTGCCATGTATTCTAACTAACGCTCGCTTATCTTATAACAGATCTGGAGGTCTTACGAAATCACATCAATGTAAACAATACATATTTAACACGATTGTTGATCAATCTGTTTTCTTCTACGATAATTCCTTTTGGTGTAATGTGTGATGTCTTAGCAGTTGACGAGCTCTGGCACTTATTGCAAAATAAATTGTAGAAAATGGACCATGTATTTAAACAATGATATCATGTATTGAGTTTAAGTCTATTAAATATTTGCCCTTTTATCCTAAAAAAACAATTTACTGACAAGTGTTCCGATCTATATGTACTTGAGATTTATAACGCGAAGGAATTAGTTAGTGAAAAATTATTTCCGTGATGCTACATAGCTGAGCGTCCAGCGGCTTTTTGTTTGATTAGAGTTGTCAAATACGAACAATCAACTACTTACTTTCGATTGGCAAAAATATTTGTGAAAGTCCACAGAATATTAAAAGTGCTCCAGAAACATACAGTGGTGTGGGTGATCCCGCTTTAGCCCCAAATGCGTGAATGATTGGTGCGAGTAAACCGAAAATTCTGTTCAAGCTGCTGCAAAGCGCGTCACCGGTAGCGCGATGTGGTCCAGGGAATGCTTCTGGTGTGTACTTTGGAAAATATCAGTAAGTTGAGGCTAATAAATCAACCAACTTACAGCAAAGAGAATACCATACATAGCATTTTGTGCGAAGGAGGCAACACATTGGAATGCGAGAATAGAGTCAGGTTGCTTCGTTGATGAGAACAAGAAGATGAAGATACCGGTTAAGATGGAGAAAATAGACAGTGCACCACGTCTACCAAACCAGCGACCTTTGACTTCAACGAGACCAGCAGCTATTAATGAACCTGGAATACCCAATACTGCTTGGATGGTGTAATCACGATATGTGTGATAAGTGTCCGAGTTGGTTTTTCCGTTCAAATAAGTTGGCAAGAATGAGTTGTATAAGGGGTAAGCAAGTCCGATGAGTGCCCAAGACATCATAAGTAAAATTGTGTTGATTGCAAGCTTTTTGGTGGCGAAAAGAGGCTGCAAAAATCTTAAATGATCTGAAGAGCGAAAGAGCGAGGAAATTACGCACCTTAATATGATTCAAGTTCATATGAGCCAAGTTCATTTTTATGAGCTCTTTAGTGGAGAATTTCTGTGGCTTTTGATCGAATTCCAGGCCCTGAGCACGAATGGCATCCTTCATCTTCTCCAAAGTGAGTGGGCATTCGACTCTGTTTTTCTTTGCAATATGCTCAATAACAGCAACAGCAGCCTCATCCTTTCCTTGGCTGAGGTAAAACTATACATAGTCAATACCGTACCTATAATTATGATTAAACCAACCTTTGGAGATTCCTTGATCGGCAAAATGAAAGAACGAGTAAGGAACATCAAGAAAGTGAATCCGCCAACAACAAATAGACCATAACGCCATCCAGCATTAGTGTCCCAATTACAATTGCCGGCATCTGCCATAGCCTGATCACAAGCCCACTGCGGTTGACTGACGAAACCCCAAACAGCGACAGAACTTATTACGAGACCGAGTGACCAGAAAGAGGAGAGCAAAGTAAGCAGCCATTGCTGTTTGGCTGGCAGGAATTCAAGCAGAAGCGCTCCATCGACTGGGAGATTACCGCCCAATCCTAGTCCAACACCAGCTGCCATGGCAGAAAAAGAAACGAAGCTGTTGGCTGATCCGATAGCAGTACCAAATGCACCACAAAGAAAAAGTGATGCATTGAACGATAGGAGCTTTTGACTGTTATGATGTATAGGTGAAGACAGATTGTACTCACACGACCAAATATGTCAGCTGAAAAGCCGAAGAAAGTAGCACCAATAACCAAACCGACATAAAGTGCGAGCTGTGTATGATTAGTAAAAAACTTTTCAGTGTGATTTACTTTAACGTACAGTTGCCATCTCAAAATTTTCTGGTTGGAATTCATAGGTTATCCAGGTCAAAGAGACGGCAATTGCTCTGGGTGGTGGAAGTGTTAAGTTGGTTCAAATGCGTATGCAGGTGTACTCACTGAATCCTGCATAAGTGTGAGTTTTTATGTGAGACCTAGTCAAATTAACGCACCACATGTTATCAGCTGAAAAGATTTAGTTAGGCTATTCGAATGCATGACCTCACTCACCAAGCCTGCCGCAGAGATTTAGAAGCTGTAAATATCAGAATGAACGACTCACCATCCCATTCCTAGTCATGAGTGAGCAAATATGCAAATCAACGCTAACGAAGAAGGCTCACCTGCAACAAAGAAGAGTTGAATCTGATATCTCCCGAAGCCCATTTGATTCAGCGCATCGTTCACCTTAAACCTTGTCAGCCTTAGCTAATTTTTAATTAAGCAATCTACCATTTGGCATTTTATCTAGTAAATGACTTAATCAGCTCTGATAAAAAGCTTAGGCTTGGTGCTTACAGTATAAGAATGCTCCAACCCATATGCTGAGCTGTTATCCAAACTCGATTCCGACTCGCTCACTTGTTTTGTATCGTAGAGAACCTTCTTCTCAGGTGATTGGTCTGAATGGTTAGACTGCGTCTGTAGCTGCTGTTCCATGTCTTTATTGTTCATTTCAATTTAATTTAAACTCGCTCCTGATCAAGGATTGCGCTCCGCTCACAAGTTTGACGATCTTGAGGATTCTCCCATTAATATAAAATGAATATGGGAGCATCGTTATTTTTATAAAAATAAGCAAGTCAATCACTGACCTGAGAGCAAAGCGCACGTATTTTCCTCGGCTTTGTACGCTCATTCAACGAAGAGATTTAGCCAATTTCACCATCATCTGATATCATCATCAGTTACATAACAATTGTGATGTGCATTAAGAAATCTATCACGCTTTACAACTTTTAAATTAACTCTTTTATATTCCATGTTCTTTTCTTTCTATCCGCATCCGTAAATCTTTCTCCGCCGTTTCACACCCTGCCGATAAGCGGTACCCAAATTGAGTCTTGTTAGCACCGATGAGCTTCTTGAGTTATTCTGCATTCCACAATACTTTAAACTAAACGTTTTACATTCATGCCAAATGCCAATTAATTCCGAATCAAATTTTTGAGCTTCACGCCCTTCAAATTTCCAAGTCAAATCAAATTTTTAAAGGCGCTCATTTTGAATACTAAAGGGGAACTTTCACGACTCACCTCAAATTAAAAAATCGCACATATCTCCGGCAAATGACGAAAAAATCGTGATTGAATCACACTGGCATGCAAAAAAAGAATCTACGCATGAATTAATATAATTTTTATGCCGTAACTCCAGATTCCATTTCGCTGATATCGTACCTTGATCATCTCGCGCCACTGATCCAGTTACAGACATCTGAGAAGACATTTGACTCCAAATTACGTAAGTCTATTCAAATCGGTACAATACTGATAGAATCATTACAAACAACTTGTAAACCGACTTTAAGCGAATCAGCCAAGTTGCTATCGAATTTTTGTATAGTCTTGGCGGGCTCCTCGCCGATACTCTCGCACGGGACATCCCGCTCCATTCTATTGAGCACCTCATTGGTCGACTGTGATAAAAATGTTCTGACGGCGAGTGGATCAGATCTCAGTGCTGCGGGCGGCAGGGTATTCTTCAGGTTTGTGTGCGTCGCTTGAAGCGCGCCTAAAGCTTGTGACGCTGGCAAAGTTGTGATATTACCCTGTGTAAGCGTCGTCATGCGCACGACTGGAAGCTTTTAATGAGGTCAGCGGGTGTGCACGTTATCTAACGGTAAGCTCACAAGGAGATAGTGATACGAGGAGGCATTGGGTAAGTAGCTGTGCCCGAGTCTGATTGCAGATACCAGAGTGAAAGCAATGTCATTCAATAGTGTCTCTTTGAAAGAAGACGCGGAGATTGACTTCCAGTTCTTGATCAATAGTTCCAGAGTGTTAGATAGAGTAGACCATAATTCATACCAATGGTATTCTGTGGAGCGCGTTAGAATGTGGTACACTAATACTCAATAACCACCCACGTAAGCTCGCCTGCAATCGCTGAATATGCCAGAGCGCACGATTAATGATATGTACTGCAATTAATGAGTTCTCAATGTTAAACTCCTCCTTCTCTGCAGGCTTGGGTATATTGAATCTCAAGTATATTGTACAGCAATCCAACACTGACTCCATCATTGGTCTATATGCTTTCGGTACTGGTAGTTGAGGCTTCCGCTGCCTACATATGTCTATGCGTCTATTGTCTATAACTGGTGCTGCGGAATTTGGTGTTAACGGTGTGTTAGTACCGTTGGATTGTAAAGGCTGACTCTTTGGTGATTGTGGCACTGAAGATGGCGCGCTCTTACCTGAAGAGTTTGAGGAGGTTGGTTTGAGAAGTACCTCTGCGCATTCATCTGCCTCTACTAAGGCTGAGACGGTGTACAAACCTAACGAAGCATATGCTTGTGCACGCTTATTGGCGGATGCATGTGTGAAGATGTACGAAAGTGCGGAAAGTAGAGTTACTGGAGCGTTAGGTTCACCTGGCGGTTGACTGTAAATCAAAACCTCGCATAGCAAACCTGAAAATATTGAGTTGGCATTAATGAACTCGAAAAATGGCAGTAGAATGGCTGTCACGTTGGCAGGTCTAGAGAATCGCGTTAGCTTTGTCCTAAGCACCACTGAAAACGACCCACAAATCACCATACACTTCTTTTGATATATTGGAATCATCATGATTGTTTGAAAAGGGCAATATTGACATTATTGAGTTGGAGATAGACTTAGCAGGTAGTCTGGTGTGATATTCACTGATGCATTTTTCCATTGCAGTGCTCGTTATCAAGATAATCTTTTTCATGACGTCTGTCTCAACAAAATCACGCACACGACGTAGGTATCTGTTGAGATTTTGAGCTTGAGCTTTGTGATAGTTGGATAAAACGCCTATCAAGAGAGTGGCCTCAAAAGTGAAACCAGTAGTCGGAGGGGAGGAAATGATTCTGATGAGTGAGTTGAAGAGATCACGTCTTTGAAAGAAGGCACCTATAGCACCTTGATTAACACCACAAACAAAAAGAATTGTCAAGTGTAAAGTGCGATGAATTGTGGCAGAGTTAGCTTCGGGGTATTTAAGGGTGTTGTCGATTGCTGCGACTAAGTCAGATATTGTTTTGTCGCTATGTCCATTGCCGCAAAGAGCTTGGGTGATGTTTGTAGATATCTTAAGCTTTGAGATAACAGTTTTTGAGAGTAAAACCATTGTCTACGAATTTGTATTAGCTGTGCAGAAAGCAAAAAACACAAGCAACGTACGTGTAAAGCGTTGAGCTTTCTAGGATCATCGAAGGAACTCTTTTGATAGAACTCCAAGGACATAGTAAAGAATAGAGTGATTATAGGCTGAAGATCCTTTTCAATCCTCGTTGATTCAAACTGATCGAATTGAGTTGCGAACCAGAGACGGTGACTGGGCAGCCAATCAAGGCAGAATAAATCGGTGAAGAACCTCTTTTGATCAGATTCGGCGTCCTTTGGTAGTTTTCCCTGGTGTGGATAAGAATGAGTGCGATAAGGAGGGTATAGCGTACATCAAAGAATTGCTGGTAAATAGAAATGAGCTTTGGTTGTCGTTGAACAGCGCTGTGCATTTTGAGTGTACAAATCGAATTTGACCACGTCGCAGAGAGACGAGAAGGTAACTCGGTTCGGAACGACCAAGTTGAGGATATTATGAGTGAGAAAGCGAGGGAAATGATTGAGATTCCACAGCAATTCTTGAAGGAAGGATCTCAAGTGGGTTTGAATGTTTTCAACTGCATTATCACTGATGAGCTGTAGTTCATGAACAGGTGTACCAAGCCAAACCAGCGCGGTTAGTAGATTTCCTGGGGAAATTGGCTTTACTAACGTACAAGGAAGAATACATACAAATCTGTAAGGCAGTTGCCATAGGATTTGCTATAATGGGATTCATTGGTTACTTTGTGAAGCTGATACACATTCCAATGTGAGTTTGGTGATATATGAATGTAATAATCTAATGCAACCTCCAGCAACAACATTCTCGTGTAAGAAACCAAAACTCATCGATGACGTATAAGCTAACAGAAGCATACAGCGCTGGTCAATAGAATGTAAAGGTTAAAAAGGGGAATCGTAAACTGAATGAATTTGTGTACTAAATAATCTCATATCATTAGTCTCTTTCCGGGATATTTGTGTGATGCTTATGTGAAAATTGATGTTTGAGGCTATAACGGTGTAATCTGAAGCGATCTGAGTACTCTAAACCTTTTACCAAGTCAATTAAATGTCAAGTTTAAATTCAAAATTATTTTCCAAAAAGCAAACACAGCCTCGACTTCCCACGCCATACCTACGACCCTCTGAAATGGGAAACAAGCAGCCTTCAGCGAAACCAACGAAACCAGCGACGCTTCTGTCACCTGCGAATATATTAAAGATAGCTATCACTCAATTAACATACCCTTTCTCACTGGTCAACAAGAAAACGAAATCGACTAAAAATAGATTAATCGATCACAACCAGAGCAGGCTGAACAGATTACTTCATTTGATAATGACTGTTTCAATGCTTATTATCGTCGTTATCACATTTTATATATTTCAAACCAAGATTTCGCGACAAATTCAATCTCAAACTCAGTCATATCCGCATCAACAGCCAAGGAGAATGTGCAGGCGGCGCATTCCGAGTAAGTGTGGTGCTGCTGATGATATTCAGCTACTGATTTTGCATTCAGATGGATAAATAAATCAAATTACTCAGCAGTTGTTTTCTTTCTTCTTCTGTCTTGGAATATTGTGTCGCATTTCAAATATTTAATTATACAACTGTACAAATATACAACTGTACAATTATACATGATAATTTATTCGTTTAATCATTCATTCCAGCGCTACGCCAACGCGAGTGATACATATCTAGACATAGACACAAAGCTTTAGCGTCAAATATTGATCACCATAAAACTTAACTCACCCCAATATCATACTCAGACCACCTAAAGGTGTTACCGGTCCTAAAAACTTAAATCTAACTAACGTTAATGAAAATTTTGTCATTGAAACACAATCACTAACTTATCTCTGTTCAGCACCAGTGCATATATTGATCCAGAGAACAAAATTGATCCAGTAAGTATAGCAGGTGCAGCAAATTTAGACTTTGACGCACGAGGATGCAGACTCGTTGCCATCAGCGCTAAACCGTTGAAGACGGCATAGTGTGACCCTGTCATCCAACTCTCAATCTGCCTTGGCTGAATACCCGCTCTTGCACGTAATCCTGCTTATCAATTAGCTGTGCGATTGTCCATCGAAAAATAGCGCACCATGTGCTCCAAATGCTCCAAAGCCAATACCAGTAGCTGCCAATAAAGCCCCAGATTTCCAAATCACAGTTTCGTTCATTTTCCCTTTAGCGATGATGGCTGTCTTCTTCCATCTAACCTCTAAACACCCAACATCCACAGAAATGACTTTGAGCGTGGCTGAAGCTAGTGATCCAAAGAAGAACCCCCTCAATCCAGAAGGCATAAAACCGTAAGTCTCTTCACCGAACACCGATAAGCCACTAAGATTTCCTTAGTTGCTGTGTATGTCCACAGACCAAGAAAGCAAGAGATGAATGCTTCCTTTTCAATGGCTCAAATGCAGACTCTTCCAACGGCTCATCCGATGCTTGCAAGGGCGTTTTAGAAGCTCATCAAGCGTGTATGCGTTCATTTGGATTCCCAGTTTGATCTACCTTTCAACTCTAGACGTCTCTTTAAATTATTAACATTAAGTGTACAAACATTCACTACTTCTTTCCTTGCCTCACTGATAACTTTATCTGATCGCCATCATCGAGATTGTAACTCGCTATAGTTTTTGAATTGGATAAAGTTATGTTTCCAAAATCTAACTTCATTCTACCAATCGGTGGCCCGCGTTTGCCCGCTCCATTCTTGTCCTCCAATGCCTCAGATATGTGCTCACGTATCACACCGCTCATTGCTGTCAGTGGAGTTGGAGATAGCTGAACAATCGATCCATCTAGTCCCCATTCTGAGTTGCTTTGATCCAGCGGAAGTTGGACTTTTAGTGTTACTTGACCTGCTGGATGATAATCCATCCACCTATGGATTGCTCATCAATAAGAGACACTAACAACAGAAAGTCAACATACTCATCCTCGGTATAATACTGTCCTTCTGGTAGCTTTTGCACTTTAGCGCGCTTAGATTTAACTGCAAATGGTTCCATTTCAGCTTCATCAGCCGTCCGCACATTGCCAGAATGTGGCATATGAAATTTGGGAACAGAAGGTCCCGATGGTGCTGCTGACATTGTTGCACCCGATGGATCGTACATGTTTCCATATGAGTTGATTTGCGGACCAGCTGTTGTGGCTTGTGGCGCTTGACTGCTGAGCTGTTAGAAATTTCAACGTTTAATCGAGACAACCCACTTTATTCCGAGCGTCTGGTTAATTCTTTCAGCTTGGACCTCTGAGTCCGCTTGCGCTTGGTAGCGTTGTGATATACTGTCAGCACTAGCCGTGTGACCATCCCAGACTCCAGCCTCTTTCCTTCTCTTGACATCTTGAGCTGCTGCTTCAGCCTCCTTCCTTCTAAGCTCGGCTTTCTCTCTATCTTGTCCGAATATATCTGTACGCCCTTGCGCAAGATTCTTGAGTGAGGAAGCAACGTCTGCACCTTGCTGCAATAGCACTGAAGCTTGACGCCTGCTTTCTGCATACTCCTTCTTCTCTTGCCACTTTGGATCTAAAAGCTCTATACGCAAGTGATTGGCGAATTCCTCGTTCGGCACAAGTGCACCGGAGATTGGTGAGCGTGAGAAGCCTTGCGGTATCTGTTGCTGTTGCTTTTGTGCTGAAGAAGAAGTAAGTATGTTATAATGGTGTAACAAATACACTCACACTTTGGTACATAATTGGTCTTGATCTTCATTCCCTCTGGTGCAATTGGAGCTTGAGCAGTCGGTTGTGGAGTATATTGTTGCGGTACATGTCCTTGTCCTTGCTGTGGTGCTGCTTCCATATTTACATCTTGTGTTGATGTGGATGGTTCGGTGATAATCTCTTCCTCGAGGAGGGACGTCATTCGCTTTTGTGCCATTGCAAGGTTCCTGACTTCCTTGATAGAGAGAGGAGCAGGCAATTCAAGGACGCTATCAGCTGGAGTGATCTCAATAGTCTCACAAACGACAAAGTCCTGCCAATCAATACTTTGAAATGCCGCTAAATTGAAATTAGCTCAAGTTGGGGCATATAAACGAGATAAAACCCACCTAACTCCTTTTCAGACTCCTGCTCACGCTTCTTCAAACCATCTCTCTTATAACTCTCCCATTCAGCACGTAAATTTGCGTTATCAACGAGCTGCTTCTTCTTTTCTGATAGGCTAAGCCTATCAAAGTCATCATCTAAAGGTGCAGAAGTACCCTTGATAACTTTCATGTACTGTTCAACATAATTGTTAAATAAACCGAATAGACTGTGATTTGGACGCAGGAAATCGAATTGAGGATTACGATTCTCACGACCACCAAGCATAGAAATAAAAGATTTCCCACGACGAGCAGTGAATAGTGCAGTGAGTCGTATAATATCCCTTAATGCACGTATTAGATTATGATTTGATGGGTATCAGGCAGATGATACTCACAAATCAACAGCCAAAGCGTTGTCAGGAATATCAGCACTGAATTCATGCGCTAATGGTTCCTTTGGGATTGGCTTTGAAGGGTAAGTTGATGGCACTTGTGATATTGAAGGAGTGCTAGCTGCTGATCTACCAAAGGTATCTGAACGAATTTTAGCTCTCTGAATAGCCCTCCAGCTTCTTAGTTACCTTCTTTATCTCCTGCCTTTACTCTGTCGCACTTCCATTTGTAATAACCGTGATAAGCGTCTGCTGAGTTCAAAAATGCAAATTTCGCGTTAGATCTTTCTTTCTCTCTAATCTTCTCTTCCAAAAGAGCACCGTGTGGGGAATTTGCGACGTAATTTGCAGTTTTATCAACTATGCCTGGAGAAGGTGTGAGTGGATGGAGGTTGAGAGGCAATGAGGCGCACTTCTAATATCTGGTGGTGGATATATCATTCCCTCGGGCGGAGGAATTTTTGTAATTTGTGGATTGCCGTTCATCTGTTGGTGGTGGTGGTGAGAGATGGCAAGAGAGATGGTAAGAGATGGAACACAAGGGGAAATAAATGATATAATTATTAATGCGATAGTTACAAATATTCGAATACAATTAATTTTAGTCATTAACTCAACACGCTGGCATCTTTGAAACATCAATCACTGCCAATCCTTCATTCTTTGTTCCAAATATTATTCTGTTTCCTTCAGGTGCTTGCCATCTTAGATCATATAAGCCATTGCTAGTTATCCAATCTTTCTGTATTTGACCTGTGATTGATTGCCATAACGTTATTCTACCATCTGCTCCTCCCACTGCTAACATACGTCCATCCGGGCTGAAATCCGCAGTGAAAACGTGATTCTTTGAGTGTTTACACTTCCAAATTAATTCTCCTGATTCTGCATTCCAAAGTCGTACATGTCCATCCATTCCACCTGATAGCAGTAATGGCTTATCTAAGAAGTTGGATTGTGGTGCCCATATTAGGCATCCTATTTCACGTTCATGTCCCCGCATAACTCTTATGCAATCTGCATCTGGCTGCGGTCTACGATCGTATGGTTCTTCTTTGCTAAACTTCCACACCCTGATCGTTGCATCATCAGAACCTGAAGCTAGATACTCTCCCGATGGATCCCATCTGACTTGATTTACTTCACGAGTATGCCCATAAAGTGCTTTTATTGGTTCCGGATCGCCACATTTGAAAACGTAGATGATTCTGTCACCACCAGCGCTATTCCACGTTAACGACGCTTCAATTTTAAGAAACTCACTCACGTTGCTAATATATCGTTGTCAAGCCAGTCGGCATCAAGTATCGAACCCATGTGGTATTGCCATTGGTGTTCAATATCAAATGTTTGGATGTCCCATACTATCGTGCGTTTGTCCAATCCAGCACTGGTATATGATATAAGCTTTTATAGGCCATAAATTTGTCAACTTACGTTAAAGCTCGAGTTCCGTCTTTATTAAACTTGACTGAGAATACTGGGCCTTTGTGCACGCGTTTTTCCATAAGAATATCACCGTTTCTGGTCCATATCCATACGCTACCGTCGTATGCACCAGTCATAATCATTTCACCGTCCGACTATATGTTGTTAGAATAAACTCAATTTGAAACCGATAACTCACACTCCATGCAATAGTTGTAATATCACGACCATCACCCTTACGAGGTGGTCCCTTTAACTGCGAACAGTCGATAACTTCAAGGGTCTTTCCCTTCATCTCTCTTCCAACTGCTGGTAGAGTCCATATTTTGAGAATACCGTCAGCACCGCTAAATAAAATTAGATCATGATCTGCAATTAAACGTTACTCACCTGCTTGCAGAGACATTGCTATATTTTGGATTAAAAGCTGTTGCGTAAACCTGGACTGATTAGATTGATTGTGGTAATAAAGTGATAAACACACATTGCCCATGTGACCCTCCAACCAAATAGCTTCCGCTTTTGTAAGTTTCTTCATCTGTTCACGTGGTGCTTCACCTGGTTTAAATTTAGGCTTTGGTGGGGTAGGAACAGGGCCATTGTTAGATGATCTAACTTTGACCTTGTTAACATCTCTAGCTGTTCTTCTGTATTTGTCATTAGCTTTTTCGGTATCCATTGATGCAGAAGAATCATCGTCAGCTTCATCGGAAGAGTCAGCATGTTTTCTCTTTGAGTTGGCAATTTGAGTAGAAGGGTCAACTATAATTTGAGCGTTTGCAGGTCTATCACTAGCCATAGGAGCAATGAGTGCAGGTGGAGGAGGTTGAGGGATTGAAGCATCTGCAATTGAAAAGTCTTGAACGTCGACATCCTTGAGAAGCCTGAGAGGTCTTTCATAAGGAACAATGGTGCCATCCTATTGTTTGAAAATAAAGTGAAAATTTGCAAGACTATGGTTAGTAACGATAGCGAGAAAGAAAAGGCGAAACTAACGGTACGAACAGATCTTTCAATTTCATCGTATAATAAACCTTTTTGAAGGTATTTAATAAGTAAACCACGTTCCAAAGGGCCATTAGGTTTAGTGAGGGGTAGACTAGCTTCGGTATTGAGGGTGAAAGCTGTGTGATTAAAGCCTTAAAGCCTGTTAAATAATAAATATTTAAAAGAACTAAAATTTACCAGAATCCTGCAAGTAAGATAATATTAAAAGGTTCATCTCTTGTGAGGAAATTGCAGGTGCTCTAAGTGAATCCTTTTGATTTGAGTAGGTGGGTGGTAGATCACCATTGAAATTAGAATCCATTCTTATATTTTATCGATTTTTGTATTTTATTTTAAACTTAAATTGATCAAGTTGATGATGATGATGTATAAGAATCTCTCCCGGTGAATCTATGCTAAAATTTTCACTTAGTTTCTTTAGTTCAAATTACTAAAAAATATACAATATTCTAAACGCCATAGCTCATCTTTGACCCTTGCATATTACCAAAAAAAAAACTTCATAAATTATCAATCACTTAAACGCGTTGATAAAGGTGTAGATATGATAAATTAATGTAATTCTTACCAATGATGAATTTATCTTACGCAAATTTACAACATTGAGGGTCAGACATATATCGGCATGTACGACAGTTACGTGCGAGTATTTGTTTATCTAGCAAAATACCAAGCAGGTCTATAAAATTCTAAGGAAAAATGTTTATTGTGTTTAAATTTTGTAAACCAATCTAAATACTGGTTTTAGCATGTTAAATATCACCATCATATTTATACCCAAATGGAAAGGCGTACAAGGCTGCAGAATTCTAATACTATCAACTTAAACGCGGAGGACGTCGAAGCTGTAATATCTCATGGCACACACGAGCAGATTACGGCTTGTCTGCGTGTACTCCTTGAGAATAGAGATACCGTGAGCTATACTTTGATTTACTGCAAAATCTAACAACCAATCACAGACTATCACTGATAACAAAGACTTGAATGATCAATTATCAGATTATCAATACCAACTCGATACCAGTACCCAAGCTTTTGTTCAGTCTCAATCACAGCTGAATGATGCTCTCGCCGATCAAGCTGCTATCGAAGAAGATGCGCTTTCTAGACAAGTTCAACTAGAACTTTTATCTTCAAAAGTTGAAGCTTTTCAGCGTAAAGAGAATGAACTGCACAGGTCTCATCAGATTCAACTTGATAAGTTCGATAACGATAGAAAGTCTTGGTTTGAATTGGAGTCTGGCCTTCGAGGTAAAGTTACTTCCCTCAGTGCTAAAATTCTGGCTGCAAATAGAAGCGCCAAATATGATGCTACTCCCCCAACTTCCCCTTCTAGTCCTAATTCTTCCAATTCCGCTCCTATTATCAAGTCTATGAGTATTGAGAGTGCTTCAGAGAGGTCTGCTAGAGAGGCTACTCTAGAAAAGCTTCAACACTCACTCGACATGGAGAAGCAAAGAAGATCTATCATTGAACGCAGCGAGCATTCCCTAAAGTTTGAGCTAGATCAATCAAAGCGCTCCGTTGAAGAACTAAGATCTGAGAACTCTAGTTACATGTTGCTTTTACAAGAGCGTACATTCTCCGGTGACCTCCTCGGCTCAAGTGTGTTCGACACGATGCGTGACTTTGACGATACCGGTATTGCTGTCATAGCTGAAGAGCCAGAGAATGACTCTATTGATCACAGTGATGATGAAAATAGTGAGCAATTCACTCCGAATCGCAGAAGAGCCCGTAGACGCGGTCCTGTTGATTCACGCAGGAAGCCCCAGCCAAGCCAGTCACCTAAGCCACTCAGTGAAGAGAATGGTGGTAACATTGGTGTGAGTGAGATCTATTCTTTGTCAATTGTGCTGACTAATGCAGGTCACCGGCCCCGGATATGATCTCGCTGCGGAATTGGGTAGGGCCAAGCTCGATACAAGCGACAGAGAGGAAACTTTAGATTGTGAGTGTGTCATGCTGGAAAGGTCTCATCTAACACCCCTAAAGCCCTTAAGAATGACAATAAAACACTCAAAGAAGCGAACAAGGCGCTGACGACATATGTCTCAAAAATTATCGAAAAGATTATCAATCAAGAAGGTTTTGAACATATTCTTGCAAGTGACTACCGCGATCCTGAGCAACGTGAAAGTATCAGATTGAAGCGTTCTCAAACCATGTCATCTAGTGCGGGGAGATCTAGCTTAGGTGGAGTTTCGGATACATTACTCAACTCACGCAAGAAAACTACGGATAGCAACACTTCGACTGTTCGTACTAGAACTCATCATAGGGGAAGTAATGATAAGCGGAAAAGTTTGTCCATAGATTGGTCAAACATAGGAGGATTCTTCAAAGGAAATCCAAATCCAAATGAAAGCACAGCGCAGAAGCTGCCAAAGCAGGAAGAAGATGAAGATGACCGTAAAGAAAGGGACAAAGTGCGAGCAACGATGAAAAAGATATCATCAGAATCATTAAAGACTGATGGTCAGTTCACAAGATTTGATAACGAAGGAAGGGCAGATGTAAGAACAAGATCAGGCTCCGTTGGTACTGGAGCATTAGCAAACTGGCGTAAGAAGAGAGCTGAACGTGCCGAACTTGTTTCAAAGAGTTCTGGTAGCGCTTTAACAGACATGACTAACGGCAGCGCACAGTGAGGATGAGATCACAATAAAAAGATAATTTGTATACCCATTGGATTCATTTAAATATAAACCTATCTTTATCAAGTACGGTGATGTTGCGATCGACGTCGAGGCTGCTCAATGCCACACAAGGCGTATCTGGGAGGTATATTTGCACAAGTAGAATAGTAACTCAATTAAATCAGGATGAGGAGTTACAGAAGCTTTATCGGGACATTGAGCTCCATAATAATACATCCACAGATCTTTCCAATGTTATACATCCTGGGCTTTGGGAGAGTGAAGAAAGGATCGAGACTAACTCACCTGCTTACAAGTTTGGCAAGTACGGCGCTGGTCAGGTAGTCATCCCAGATTCAGTTGATAGCACCATGTCCGAAAGACTGGCGAATACTAATAAGGCTGAGCTAAGGCAGCAAACAAGGAGTATTTACAAGCTACTTGAAGTAAACAAGAACCTGTCTCCAAAGCAAATCCCAAGATTTATCGCATATACACGTCCTGATCAGCCATTAGCATATGCATTGGCTATCGGACCTGGTGTTTATGCGGCTGTTTATAGCGTAATGAGGGAGATTCGAAGAAGAGCATCCAGTGAAATAGATGGTTGGCTTCCTCACAGGGTAATCGAGTTGGGTTCAGGTGCTGGAATATCTGCTTGGTGAGTCCATCTCATCCAATGAGATACAATCGATTTATAAAGGCATACAGGGCAACTATGGATGCCTTCAAGTATGGCGGTAACTCTCACTCGATAGCGGCAGAAGATTTCCAAGATAATGATGAGACTGCAGTTGTGAATGGTAGTAACGCAGACGAACCTGAGCTTCATCCAGTGCAACAGTATGATGCATTTGACCCTAGCGAGATGATGAACGATTTCAATAGGCAGCTATGGAAAGACGCTCAACGGAAGGCTCAGCTGAATGTCACAAGAAAGTTCATCTCATCTAGATTCAAATCAGAGGATCCAGTGGAGGTGAGTTGTTAGTATGCTGCATCGCAATCTACTAAATTAAGGCAGTCATCGAAAACCCTCGCCCTATCAACTTTCACGCTCTCAGAATTGGGTAATCCTGCAGACAGACGGGAGGTAATACACAGAATGTGGAAGTCAAATGCAGACATGATGGTAATAATAGATAGGGGAACGCGCGGAGGATATGAGCGTGTAATGGAAGCTCGCCAACAGCTATTAGATCTCGGAGGCACATCTGAAACTTCAAGTCACGTATTGGCGCCATGTCCACACGATGGCAATTGCCCATTGCTCAATACCAAGGACTTCTGTCACTTCAGTCAACGCTTACAAAGACCTGCTTATCAGCGTTATATCAAGAAGGCCAAGTTGGGTACAGAAGACCAAAAGTACTCGTATGTTGTGGTTAGACGAGGTCAGAGACCATCGTCAGAGAGCAGTAAAGCACTTAATCAATTGTCAAAGTACAGTCCAAGCGAGTTGATAAAGTTGCAGAAACTGGAAGCACGCAAGAATCTTGAAGTTGTTGGTGAGATTGAGAATGTTAATGAGATGATGATGTCGACAGCGGAATCTACACCAAATCCAGAATTGTTGGACAGCTCGTCAACACCAATAGTAGAAACAGCATCAAATGCTCAAATAGATACAGATGTTGCTCTGCAAGAAGACCTCACAAACAATCCTACATATGATAACAGAGATCTGCTATTAAAGGATAGTTTCAACTGGTCTAGAGTAATTTATCAGCCAATGAAACGTAAAGGACACGTGATATTCGACACATGCTCTCAAAGAGAACGTATAGAAAGATTCGTCATAACTAAGCGAGACGGCGATAGTGCTTATAGAGATTCTCGCAAAGCAAAATGGGGTGACTTATTTCCACACGATCCATCAGGCACTGTTCAAGTCAAGAATGGTGGCATAAAGCGTACAATGCCAACACTACCTGAAGGAGTAATTGATGAAAATCAACTGAAACCAGAACATAAAGATGCTGCATATACTGATGATAATGGCAAAGTTGTTATAGATTCGTATGATCATGATCATGCTCACAATGAACGCACTCATAAGCGTAGAGTTAGAGGTATAGGATCAGCTAGGAAGTTGCGTAAAGGAAAGGGTGCACGTATGGCTGATTTGATGGAGAAGAAGATGGTGGATGAGCGATTGGAGGGTATAGCGAGAGACGCTACTGATGAGATTATGAGGAATCGTTACTGATGGGTCTGAATTTCATACCAGTGTTTTTATAGCATTGCATTATTGTCTAATAATCACGCATTTACTCGAACTCAATGCGTATATAGTCGATTTACAAGATTATGAGAAATATGAATGATAATGCAACATAAGAATTAGTCGAAAATGATGGTAGAGTTCCAAGATGATAGGAAAAGTGAAAGGTTTTGTCTATAAATAAGATAAGAAGTAAAATTATTCTTGTTTAATACCCAAGCCAATAAGTTCTTCCTTTGAATCAACGTTCTTCAAAGGTGGAAGAACGTTATGAGATTCAGAGTTACTCTCATCGTATTCCTTGTTCTGACGCGGACCAGCTTCACCGCCACATAAGTCAAGAATAGACTGTCTCCTTGAAGCATTGGTATCTGGTCTTTCTTCATACTCTTCATAATCTTCATCTTCCTCTTCAACTTCTTCACCGTCAGCTCTAGTGATTGCATCGAATTTGAAAACATTTGAAGCTTGCTGTGATTGATTAAATTGATTTTGATTCATAATCGATGATGATTCGTTGTTCGCAGAAGATAACGGTCTCAAAGCTTCAGAAGAAGACACTGGTCTTGACGAACCGAATGGTACGTGAATACCAGCCGAAGAAGGTGGTGGTAGATATGGAACGCTATCATTGAAACCTACATTACTCTTCCTTGATGATCTAGGTCTGATTGAATATTCATCCCATGTTGTACCACCATTATTGTTACTTTGTTGAGCAGGCTCAGATTGGTTTGGTTGATTATCTGATGGTGGTTGATAACCAAACATTCCATTGGATTGGAAGCTATTCTTGCGGAAGGGTAGTGGTTGAAGGTTTGAAGGAATTTGATAAGTTGGATCAAAGTAGCTAGTTGCAGTAAAGTACTCAGAAGTAGATGGCCTATGACCTTGGCTGGAATGTGGCTTATAGGTTGTAGTTTGAGTTGGAGATGGTAACAGGGGAGCCTGATAGATTTCTTGCTGCTGTTGTTGTTGTTGCTGTTGCATTTGATGATGATGTTGCAGTTGATGTTGACGCTGCAATTGCTGTTGATGATGCATTTGTTGATGCTGGTGCTGTTCAACAACTGAAGCTATTGAAGGAAGCCTTCCTGCTTCTTGTGTACTTTGAATACTTTCAGGGGTATCTCTAACTAAAGGAATCGGGGTAGAAGTTGGCGTTGGTCTCAAAGCATGAGGAATAGCAGGAGTTTGATTATGCGGTGACCATTCTTCTAAAACAGGCGGAGCAGCGGAAGAAGCTGAAGTTGAAGAATTTGAAGGATGAGCATCCATTATTGGAGCTGAAGATGAAGCATAAGCTGTGTGTGGATGTGATTTTGTAGGCATTGAAGCTGAATGCAACATTGGATGAGACTGATGAGGTTGTTGAATTGAGGCAGCAGGAGAAGGAATTAGCGGTTGAGCACTTTGAGGTTGATACATATTAGATGACCAATTGAAACCGTTCCCTTGTAGAACTATATGTTGATTTGGGAAAGTTGGACGGTGTTGAATGTGATCAGTTGGTGGAGTGTGTGTCATATGAGCTTGTGGTAGAGGAGGTTGAGCAGAGGTAGTTGGTATAGGAGAGCTACTTGGCGTTGAAGACATCGTTGCTAGTTTCTTAGTTGTTTGACGCTTTCTACCTCTTTGAGATTCAGTTGGAACGGCGGAGCCATCACGACGATCAACGACTTGAGCATCAGCAACTTGCTTTTCTGAAGCGTTTGCAGCAAGTTGGGAATGTAAGTTAGACATTCCCTTTAATAAGCTATCATTCATTTCTGGTTGATCAGCGTGTACCTGTGCCTTGAATCAGGATACGTAACTGTAAAGAGAAAGTGTGTACCTACAGTGCCTGCGTGTTGTCGAAGGTTATCTAATCTAGAAAATGCTTTACCGCAATGGCATTTCTAAAAAATTTAGTTAGTAATTCGACTTCCTTTTTTTTTTAAAAAAAAAAGAAATATAGAACGTACGAATGGGCGTTCACCCGTGTGCTTTCTAACGTGTCTAGCCAAGTGTTCAGAGCGAGTGAATTGCATACTGCAGTTACCATAACCAGTACATTGGAATAATTTTGAAGGCTGGCTGCGAGGTTTGCGCTGTGGACCCACGTGATTTGTATCAGCTTTTCGTCTGCGACCTTGAGCCTTTGGAGGGGAAGGATCTTGAAGGGGTTCTTGGATAGAAAGTGGAGGTTGTGAGGGTTGTTGTAATGGTGGTGTTTGGTGGTTAATGAGTTGTTGGGTTTGTTGGGGTTGTGGAGGTTGTGGAGGTTGTTGTGCACGTTGAGCTTGTTGCTGTTGTTGCTGTTGTTGAGCTTCAAATTGCTGCGGGTTATAATAGAAAGGATGCTGCTGATTATCTACGTAGTATCCCCTAGGATAATACTGGAACTGATGATTCATTGTACTTTGTTTAATGAAATTCCTTTATAGAAGCTAAAGCTTTTAAATTTCAAGTCAAATTCAATAATTTACTGCTAAATAAGCAAATACAGGTTGTGCCTGCCTTTATTGCTTATGGTTGAACAGAAAGAATGGCTGACCTGAGTTAGTTACCCAAGGTACATAAAAAATGATTAGAAATTTATTGTTATGTGTTAGTATTTATGAAGAGTAGGTGTCGCTTCTTATTCATATCTATTCTTAAAAACTTTATTCTTCATTCGTCCAACTCTCAGCCAATCAGCTCAATTGTTCAGGACACAAGGGCGATTCAAAGTTAGCCACTCTTGAGTACATATTTAATCATATCCACCTGTGATAATACAATTTATTAATTCAATAAGCATAAAACTCATTTTAGCTTATGGTCGAACGAATTATAACTTCAAGTCATTGAGAATGTTGATCAAATCATTATTACCACCTAGCTTAATAATCTCATCAATTGCTTGCTGATGAAGGTGGTTTATAACAGATAAAGTAAAATCAGCAGATTTAGTTTTGGTATTGAGGTAGTTGATAAGGTATAGCTTTAAATCATCATCTTTAGTGCGTTGTTTGAGTATATTTATAATTTGATTAGATTTATTATCTGTTAGAATTCCATGTATTATGGGATAACTGAACTTTCCTTCAGATATATCTTCAGCGAATCCTTTGTTCTTGGTGTAAGATGATTCGAATAGGTTGCAATAATCATCACGTATTTGAAACAGAACACCAATAATGTTAATCAAAGGGATTAGATTGAGATTTGATGGAGATTTTGATAACATCAATCTCACTGCGAGTCTTAGTAAACCACCAGTTTTATTATTAACCATTTCCAAGTATTCCTTTGTAGATGGGCAAATGTGATTATCTCTAAAGTATAGATCCATACCTTGACCTCTGTGTAAATTGATAAGTTCTTGATTAACGATATTGATCAGATTGAAATCTTCAAGGGAGTGTAAATCGGAGAGTGCTTGGAAGTAGATGTAGTTTGCGGTATTAATTGTGGAAGGTATGCCATATATTCTATGAGCAACAGGTAAACCTCTCCTCTTATCGGAGTCATCTTCAATGTCATCAATCAATAGACTAGCGTTGTGAAGCTTATCAATGACATTTGTGATAATTGAAAGATGAGTCTTATCCAAATTTAACCAAATATTGAAAGCATCTATCAATTTCAATCTAAATTGTTTGCCTTGATTGCTATTTAAATAAACAAAAGGCTCTAAAAGCTTATTCTCATTATGTCTACTCCAATTAAAGTCTAAATTTTTATTCAAATTATCAAATTCGTGCAAATTGACCATAACCTTGGTTGTAAATACAATGAGTGGATTGAGATTGTTAATAGAAAAGAGATCCACAATATTTAATCAAAATTTAAACCCTTTGAATATTAGGAATGGCTTCAAGTACCTCAATAAAAGATTGATTGGTCCAAAGGCCTTGGAGTATTACCCACCTGCGATTGATATTAGATTATTCAAGCAACTCAACAATCTTCCTTCTACTTTCGTTACAAATAAAGAGAAGCAGAGATTGTTAGACGTTGATGCAAGGAAGAGAAGGGGTAAATCTCCACCAAAGAAGGGTGAGTGGGCTATTATCTAGCGTAACCATGTCTAACAGTAATTGCACTACAGGACAAGGCAGAAGATCAAGTATGAAGAAGAAGTAATTATAACATTAAATTAATATCTTATCTTAGCTTAGTATTTCAAAATGATGTAAAGCGCGTGAATGATCTGATATAGGTGTGAGCGCGGGAGAGCGAATTCAAAGGAATAAAAAAGCCGCTTACACCAGGAATGTATCCCAAAATGGTCAATAAGATGTTGATCCAGAAATCTGCGGCACATCCACGTTCTAAGAACACACCAATTGGTGGTATAAAGATTGCGAAAATAATTCTATAATGTGTGAAATTTGGTAGTCATAGTGGCTCATAACTCACTTAATGATATCCTGCGTATAGGTCAGCGATCGTCAGCGTAAGAATACTCCCCCACTCACTCTTTAAAATTCATTAGGCTGTGTACTCTAACCAACGCTATTGAAAACTTACGAGCAAGTAAAAGGCATTCTATAGCCTTAATTAGAAAATAAGCCGTATAAGCCCCTTTGAAACTTACTCTTATTTATAAAAGCTGATCAACGTAGCACTATAAGCCAAGGCCGCCCGAACTAATTCAAATTCCAACAACTCCATTTAAACGTCATCTACAATTAAAAATAGAATTTAAAGCTTATCATCTCCGAATAGTAAGCTAATAGACTCTCCATTATGTTGTCTCCTGATTGCCTCTCCAATCGTCGCGCTAACATCCATCACGTCAAGTTTTTCACCCAATTTCTCTTTATTCTCCACTTGGGGAATTGTGTTTGTCACTGCGATCTTTTTTATTGGTAGACTTGGAATTATTTCCATCGCTGATTCTGACATTAATCCTATAAATATCATTTCCTCAGCTTGGCATTAGCTACGCATAACGTTCTTCTCACCATGTGATACTATAGCGTACACCGCAGTAGCACCCTTCTTGGCTAACTCAGTTGAAGCCAACTTCATCGTTTGGGCTGAGACTACCATATCATCAACCAACAGAGCCACCTTGCCTTGTACGTTTCCAACGACTACGTCCATATGGTCCTCCTCTTTGTCATCGCCATTACGGACTCTTGATCTATGAATCAATCCAAAGTTGACATTCAATCTGTCTGCTAACGCTGTGGCTCTGTATTTAAATTGATATTGAGATTCCAATCCCAAAACACCAAACACACCTCTTAGCACCACCTGCATCAGGTGAAAACACCACTGCATTCTCCCAATCTGGAACGGATGTCTTGATGTAGTTGATCATAATTGGTTCAGTGTACCTGTACGTGTATCAACTTGAACCCCACATCACAGCTATTATCACTAACAAGTTGTCAACTGGGATATCAAAGAATCCCTGAGCAATATTAGCCAATTGAATGATAGAAGTCTTTACCCACTTGAATTTGTGATGCGTGGAGATCCAAAGTGATGACGTGATCACATCCAGCAGTGGTGAGCATGTTAGCGACCAATTTAGCAGTCTGATTTGTTAGAAATGTGAATGCCGTAACAATTCACTCACTATTGGTGCTCTTGATTTATCCTTTCTGTCTTGTCTAGCGTATGGATAATTTGGGATAACTGCCGTAATACGTCTAGCGGAGGCAGTTTTACAGGCTGAGATGGGAGATCAGGGCTAGCTGATGGCCTCAATGTCAACCTACCATTTGCCAATATAAGCAACTCCATTAAGCTATCGTTTATATCCCCACATCCAGATTGTATGATGAAAACGTCTTCCTCTCTAACACTCTCACCGATTCTCACGTTAATCTCTTGATTTGAGAATTTATTTACAACGCAAGGCGATAAATTCAATCCAAGTCTGCGGCTATCAGATTTTACGCTGATTGCTATTAGCTCATAGCCCACCTCTCAGAGACTTCTTTAGCCAATTCTGGGTGACTGTTGCCTGTAAATTCATCTTCTTAGATTTCTCACGCTCTATTTTCCTCTACCAGATTAATCTCACCAGTTAATATCTTGATTGTATCAGGCCTCATTGCTTAAGATAGTGGTCGTTGTGATCAAGCGGATGACACAGACCAAAGTAGAATACTTAGAAATTAAATTTATAAATTAAGTTATAACAATTCCTCTGCTAATTATTACTTTCTTCTTATTTTTTAAGCTTCTTTTTTTTCTTGTCTTCCTTAACCGGCGATTCATCGATTGACTTACGCTTTCTGTCTTTCGTGTTTTTCTTGTCTGACTTGTCCTTCTTTTCCTTCTTATCCTTATTTGGTGATGCTTGCTCGTTTACTGTGCCATCTATTCCACCGGTATCAAAACCTGGTGGTCTGAATCTCCACTTGAGCTTATCGGTTGGCTGTTCACGCTTAATTGCACCATCTGAAGATGTGTGTTTCTCAAATTTGGGCGCTTTAAGCATTGGTATGTTGTCAGACAATTGTAATCTATGGTGGATTGGCTTATCCACTAATTCATGTCATTATAACAGACACTATGAGCAGACAAGACACTCACCAGTAACCAGTTGACCTTGTTTATTTGGTAGCAACAACTTGAATTGATCCATTTCATCATTTATCGATGCAGATTCAAATTTGTTCCTTGATTCTTTTGAGTTTGAAGTTAACTGTGAGTGTATACTCATCTCACTGCCTTTGACATCGATTGTACCTAATTTATTGTCTTTACTATCGAAATCCAGTTTCATTCCTTTCAAATGCTTTGTCTTTATCTATTCCTGCGTGAGTCTTAACACGGAATAGCGATAAAACGCACATTCTCTGGTACTCTTAAGCATACGATTTCATAATCATCATCTTTAGCCAGCTTTAACCAATCAACGCTGCTAGATTGATCGACTCCTTTCAATTTGAAGCCTTTTGGTGGTTTGTATCTACTTGCATTAGAATACAATGACTGTTTGTCGAAATATAACTAACTCATTTAATTGCCTGCTCGTTTCCTCCTCTCCGACACTCTCACTTGGGCTTCTCTCTGGAGAAGACATGATAGTAAATTTAAAAGAATACATTTAAATGGCGGCAATTAAAACGTTTCAAAATAATTGAAAGATATTTACAGTGTCCTTATTCCATTCCGCTGGGCTCAGCGCTCACGTTTAGAGCAAGTAGACTGCTGCACCGAGGATGATTGCACCCATAGCAGCAAAAGCCTTGCTCTTTGATGCAGATGAGTCATCATCTTTATCACCGCTGCCATTGTCGTTACTGGTGCTTTTGTTGGTGCTGCTGTCACCATTCTCGTCAATGATGTTCTTCTCGCTGTTGCTGATGTTGTTATCGGTGTTGTTGTAAGATTCGCTGTTATCGTCATAGTCAGCCTTTCCAGTATTAGTTGCGTTGAGAAGCGTCTCATTGAATGTTCCGGTCATACCAGTGAGCTATTCGAGCTGTCAACTACGCAATAAAGATTCAATAATTATCACTCACTCCAAATATTCCTGTGTATGCGATGTAAGGGTAACCATAATTTGACGCTTCTTCGGTCTGAGCTGGGAGACTGTCTGAAACAATGCGAAGAGAGCTGTTTGCTTCTTAGAGATAGTGTCTTCTAAATAAGCTTTATACTCACTAGAATATTCCATCTTGACCGACGTCTGGATCGATCGTTGTGGTGAATTCTTTTTCAGTCGCGTCGACGGTACCAAGTTGGCTCAATGGTACCATAGCCAACTATAAATTCGTCAGAACGCTCCCATTTCTGACTTAAACCAACTCACAGACTCATTTCCTGCGAAGAGGTAAATATGTGATTGACCAATATCGCTCAAAGTAACATTATCTCCTTTTTGAGTCCATTTCACCGTGTATTCATTGCCTGCCTCAACCTTATCTCCAGAAAGTGGTTGAGTGATAGCCTGCTTCAAGTCGGCCTCAATGCGTTCGAGTATACATTCAACCCACAAGGTTAGCGAGAGTTTTTGATGCGATTGCAGATAAAGCGAAAATTGATTTCAACATTTTAAACGCAAAAGTTCTGTAACCGTGGTAATCTTGTTGAAAAGAGCGTCTTCGTTGCTTAAATTGTGGTAGGTCCGTGCCAAGTGTAAGCCCGTGCAGTTAGGTACGCAGGACAAAAAAGCTATCGCATTATACAGTCTCTTTTATCTTTTGTAATACAATTTGCTTCTTTTCTGGCTTGCCATCAAGATATTTTGCGCGCGGCCCTGCCAAAGCATGATAAGCCTGAGACATGTTGAGGGTACTTGACAATCACGACGGTTGCAAGCGAATTTTGCAAGGCTTCATCTAAGTCAATTATGCAGAATGGATTGGCGGAACCATTGAATAGTAAGACTTCCAAGGGGTATAAGCTCCTTAGAGACGGATATCTGTGGCGAGTGAAAGTAAGTGTCGAGCAGTTCTATTGTGGGCTACCGTCATCGCAAAGGCGCCTCCAGCAGATAAATACGTTGCGCATCTGTTACGCATGGATACCGACATTCGTGCTTGTGGTAACACATGCATGGCAAGCTTATACACGCTGAAATAGAGCTAGATCTTTTCAGGTGACTCTGAAAGCCGCAAAACTCCTTCAAGCGCGAAAATGAGGACGATCTATCTGCCGTCTCGAAACAAAAGAAAGTCACGCTTCGAGACAAGTGTTTATAGCACAGTCTTATGTAAGCACATACTCTAAAGCATGTAATGACAGACCTAAGCCTGATCAGAACGACTTCTTGGTCTATTTAGATGGGATGCCTGTGTCAGTCTCTCAAAAACAAATATGTTCACAGCGTCATCGTCATGAATGTTTAAGCTAATCTGAATATGTATATCATGTACATAAAATAGTTTACTCGGCCTTTGGAGCTGGCAATGGGGCTTGTGCCTTCTTGCCACGGACCTTCTTGGCTGGAGCATCCTTCTTTTGGCCTTTAGAAGCGTAAATGGCTGAAACAATGGCAACAACGGTCATCGATATACAACTTACACGATGAGCTGCCTGCTCGTCCTACTCACCGGCAATGTCACTTTAGCTTCTCTCCGAACAAGATATGATGATATTTCAAAATGTATTACTTGTATATAAATGGTTACAATTAAAACCGCTTAAAAGGATAAAAAGATATTTACAGTGTCCTTCTACATTCCGCTATTCTCAACGCTCACGTTTAGAGCAAGTAGACTGCTGCACCGAGGATGGTTGCACCCATAGCAGCGAAAGCCTTGCTCTTTGATGCAGATGAGTCATCATCTTCATCACCGTTGTCACCATTGTCACCGTTGCTGTTGTTGTTGTTGTTGTTTTTGTCACCGCCTGACTCACCGTTGTTGTCCGAATCGCTATCATCTTCGTTGTCCGAATCGCTATCACCGTCGTTGTTAGCCTTTTCAGCACCAGTTGCGTTGAGGAGTGTTTCATTGAATGTTCCGGTCATACCAGTGAGCTATTCAAGCTGTTAGTTACACAATAAAACCCTAACGCTCATCAACTTACTTCGAAAATATCAGAGTACGCAATGTAAGGGTAGTCGTATTGCGCCATTTCTGGCTTTTGAGATTGGAGATTGTCTGAAACGACACGGATCGTGCTATTTTTTGGTTAGAGGTATTTTGCTCCAAATAGGATATTTACCCACTAGTATGTTCCGTTTTGACCGATTTCTGGATCGATCGTAGTGTTGAATTCTTTCTCAGTAGCGTCGACGGTACCAAGTTGGGTCAATGGAACCATAGAGTCCTATTCATGTGTCAACAAGCTCTCATTCTTCACTGTACCTAGCTCACAGAGTCATTCCCTGCGTAGAGGTAGACATGTGATTGGCCAATGTCGCTCAAGGTCACATCCTCTCCTCTTTCTACCCATTCCACTGTATATTCTTCACCTCCTTCAATCGTATCACCAGAGATTGGTTGGGTGATAGACTGCTTCAAGTAAGCGTCGATGCGTTTCAGTAAACAATACACCCACAAGTCTAGCGAGAGTTGTTGATGCGATTGCAGATAAAGCGAAAATTGATTCAAACATTTTAAACGCCAAACTTTTGTATCGGTGGTAGTCCTGTCGCAAGGAATGTCTTCGTTCGTTAGTAATTCCTGAAAAGGCCAGTGCGTGGGGTAGACCTTCACTTAGGTACGCAATGTAAAAGACGTTGCCACATTCGTGCAGTCTCTTCCTTTCTATTGCGATGCAGCTTGCATCTCTTCTAGCCTGTTATTAAAATTTTCTGTGCACGTCCCTAGAAAAGAATGATAGGCCGCCTCTAAAACAAATTGAGTAACTAAGGTGGCAATCGCTTAAGCAGCCTGCAGGTCGATATAGCTTGCTTCGATCTGAGTCAACTATGTTGAGTCGATTGTCGAGCCTCAGAGTTGGTGATCATTATTGCTTCCGAAGGATAAAAGCTGCTCAGTATTCTGTGGCAAGTATATTCGCCGTCAAGCTGTTGTCTGGGGCACTGTTCTCATCGCACACGAACCTCCAGCAGATGAGTAAATTACCATGAATACAGACTTTCGTGCTTATAATGGAGATATTGCACATGCATGGCAGACTTGTATAGACTAAAATAGTGCTGGATCTTTCAAGTGACTCTAAAGCCGCATTCCCCTTTAAGCACGAAAATGAGGGCGATTCGTCTGCCATCCCAAATCGAAGCAAGGTTACGTTACCATTCGAGACAAGTATTTATAGCACAGTCTTAGATTAGCACGTCGTCTAAATCAGTCTGCTGTATTCACTGATGCGTTGTTAAACCGACTGACTAGCATCGGTACTGGATCTTGCTTCATAATCGCAGATTTGCTCTCTCAACAAATTGAAAGGTTGATCGTTTGTTGCAATGGCAAAACTTAGCCAAGGCAGAAGAAGGTCTCATTCTACATAAATTGTTGTATGCCTGTGTCATAGAGTCTCTCAAAAGCAAATATGTTCACAGCGTCGTCGTCATAAATGTTTAGGTGAATCTGCATATGTAAATCATGTACATAAAATAGTTTACTCGGCCTTTGGAGCTGGCAATGGGGCTTGTGCCTTCTTGCCACGGACCTTCTTGGCTGGAGCATCCTTCTTTTGGCCTTTAGAAGCGTAAATGGCTGAAACCTTAGCAACAGCTGGCTGAAATTGCAAGTTAATACGCAATATAGGAGTCTCAATCGAGAGTATAAACTGAGGTTTAGTTTTATCAATGTCATTCGCTTGAATGGCCAGAGAGGTACGATGAAGTCTTGAAGACAACACCAATCTGGTAAAGTGATGCGAATATTTTAATATAGCAACACAAATACGCCTGACCTTTCAAAAAGTATTTCGAGGGGGTTCTAGCGTGTTGCGATCGCAGTTTATACTCTCGATTGGATTGAGGTTTATCACTCACCTTGACAAGATCTGGGCGAGTAGTAGCAACAACATTGGCAGTTGACTTGTAAGCACGACGCTTTCCTCCAGTGACTTGGGTCTTAGCGAAGCCCTTGTTCCATTGGTTGACTGGGGCCTTGGTCTTACGAGCAACGATTACAGCACCCTTGTCGTGTGGGTTGACACCAAGAGCCTTTTGACCATTGATGGTTGAAGAGTACTTGTAAGAGTGGTTTGCGAGCAAGTTACCAGGCTCAGAAGACAACTTGTGGGAACCTGGTGCACTTGGGCGAATGAAAGAGGAAGATTTACGCAACAAGAGCCATTGGAGATCACCTGACACTGGAGAATCGTTGTTAATACGTTAAAGCACATTAAATTCTAATTCTAACTTTTTTCAAGAGTGCTGTATCGCAAGAGGTTTAGACCAAGCACAAAAACCTTCACGAGTGAATTTTTTTATTTTAAATATATTCGAATGCTATTTCTTGCTAATCTGCGTGTGTATATATCCTGGCCTCGTCCATCACGCACTCTAAACGAGGTCTACGCTGTCGTTTGGTCTTCTATTCGACGTCGAGCAGCGCGATCTTATAATCTGCGCCCAAGTATATCGAGTTAAACTTCAAATGATGTCTAGTACTCTTTGGGCTGGACGTTCTCTTTCTTAACCAGATGCTAGATGCCAGATGCCAGATGCGAAGATGCGCAACCTCTAAAGGCAAAATGTTCTTGTCTGGTTTGGCTACGAAGAGCATCCATCTTGAAATCCATTTCTCGTTTTTATCTCAAATGTAAAGGTAATAGCACTATACTATTATAAGCGATTCCGACATCTTCCAACTTTCGCACAAAATACTTGTTGAAAATCGTTCTAGGTCAGAGCTTTGTGGCTAATTAAGAAGTCCAGTTTCGTTCTCGAACTGCATTGCTTGCATTTCTGAATTTCCAACTTCGGCAGTGCCTTAGATTCGGCAAAAGATGTAAAGATTTGAGGATATATTTCGGTGTTTATCTCTCTTTATTCATTTGGTGATAGTGTGAAATGATCTATACTATGTCAGTTTACATAATGCACTTTACAGCTTCGCAGACAATCATTACAGCTCCAAGATAGCCGATAATCACAATGCTCGAAAATTGTTACAATTATTACTAACAATGCAGCAATGCACTAATCACCATGTTTGTAAAGCCAGCTGCACATTCCAAGCAAAGCAGGGTAGACTTTTCATCAGTAATCTTAATATTATTCAAAAATAGGTCAATACAATAAAGCGTTCGAGTTCGTAACTTAAGGAGTGTATTCATAGTCTACATCTTCATTTGGTCTTCCGTCAGACATCAGAATGACAGAGTAACGACCGGATAATCTCCAATCCTTCTCTTCCTTGTCCAACTTCTCCGCAACACCTGGTGGTAAACCGACGACGACATCCGACTTGATAGTCCTCATGGAGCAGACAGGTGGTGCTCCAGGTGCCGATGCTAAAGTACCGATGGCCTCACTGAATGGTGTTGTTGGTGGAGCGCGACAGTCGTAGGTCAATTTGCGGTGGTTGAGATCACCCTTGAAGAAGACCAACTTGGATTGGTGAAGATCCAAGAACAGATCAGGGCTGACCTCAAGCAAGTGATAGAAAGTGTAACCAGAGATCCAGAATGGGTGTTGCTCGTATATAATCTTTCCTTGCTGTTCGTATCTCTTCCAACGATTACCCAAAGCACGTAATGAGTTCAGTTCCTCTGCAGTACCCTTGAACAATCTACCATAGCATGCAGAGTTAATTAACCATTCCCAGTCCTTCTTAGTTACGTCAGAAACGAACCAAGCAAATCTCTTTCCATGAAATTTGACTTGATCAGCTAAGCCAGCTTGGATAAGGAAGTCAGCCAATACCAAATCAGTAAACAACTCGAAACCGGCATTGTCGAGGACAAAGTCGATTCTACCGTTTTTGTTGTTCTTCAACTGATTCCAGACTCTTTCTATGTCGTTACCGAGGATGTTTTTCTGCGTGGCAGCGAGTTGATCTCCGCCAGTTGATTGCAAGTTTTTAATATCTTCCTCAGTCATGTCGATCAGGAGGGAAAGATCGGTAGAGTTTCCCCATAAACAAACTTGGAACAATTCCATGAAAATGAGTTTTTTGGCATCGTCATTTGGAATGTGGAAGGGCTCAGCAAAACGCGTAGCTAATTCAAAGACGGCGTGAGATGAGCGGGCGAAAGTGTCACACTTTTGTCTGAAGAATACGTCGTAGTCCTGGAAGTACTTGGAGAAGGAGAAACAAGAGTGAAGACGACGGTACTTGTAAGCTTCAGCAAAGATCCATGGAGCGCTCATAAAGTCCTTTCCTTGGAAGTACTTCGCGATTTCCTTGTTCCAGATAGCGATATCACCAGAGCCATCGTCAGGGATAGGTGTGAGCTTCTTGTTTGATTTGAGATCGTCCATGAGTGTATCCATTCTGAGACAGGATGATTAGAAAGGAACAAACGAAAGGAGAGATCGTACCTTTCAATACAGGAAAGTAAGTCAAGAATCTCATCTTCCTTTGAAAGTCCATTTAAAGTGATGATTGTGTCTTCGATGGCTTTGCCGAGGATGGTAGGCAAACGACGGCCCATGACATCGTTTGCGAAGGAGAACGTGTGATAGCCTCGGAAGGCAGGGAATGGAGGAGATTCAGGGTTAACGTACTTTGCGTCGATCTTGTTAGGTTCGGCCATGTAGGAGCGGGATCTTGGAGGCATGTTCTTCAATCTGAGCTGCACAGAAGAAGGAACAGAGGCGTTAGGAATGTCTACGCTGCCATTTGGTGTTTGTGGTTGAGCCATATTTGAAAAATTGAAGATGACAGTAAAGGGTTAAGGAGGATGATGAAGAATGTGTGGATTGCACTTAGCCAAAGCGACGTCATCGAGGATAATTGGAGTGCGGGGAGAGTGGAGAAGATTGGATGATATAAAGTAATGTAAGTGTGAGAGTGTTTATTCAGTGGCTACAAATCCTTGTATATCCAAATCATATATGGTCACTCTACCGTAAAAATCCGTCGAACTGTTGAAAAGCAATTTAATATTGTTGGATATCGTCTTATTGTGATTTATACTGAAAGACTGCATTTTGTTGTTATCCTCAGGATAAAAGCCATCCTGACCAAGCTGGTTGCTGTTGTGATAATACACAATCTGGCAGCTCTTTCCTGAGAATCCACCTTGAAATGTCAATATCAACTTATCTATTATATAGTTTTGACCAAATTTTAGCTGGACAGACTGTGGACTGCCCTGTGCGCTTGACCAGCAAGTGTCACTCGATCCATCGATCAGATTAGACTTGTTTGAGAACTTATCGATGTTTGATGAAACCCTGCGTTGATTTGTAAGTTGAACTGCGTAGATACATGCACATACTTGACTTTTGTCTCTTTGTTGATAACGCTCATCTGCACGCTCTTGGTAATATCATCGTATGAGTAGACTGGAAATTTTAAACGGCGATAATTTTAGATTTGATGGTAGGAAGCCACTCGAGTTTAGGTCTTTAAATTATAAGTTGGATGATAACAACGTTTACTTCAATCAAGGCCTGACTAAGTTGAAAGTTAACATAAGCGGTTATCACAACTTCAATAAGCAAGATATCAATATATCCGTCAACAACGTCAACTCGAACCTCTCTAAATCAAAAATTGAAAACCTTATCCAGCAATTGAAGTCCACATTCCTCTCCGTCATCAGATTCCACTCAAAGTCATCAATACAAATCAATATAGACATATTGAACTTTGATGGTAGCTTACTATCAACCGCCATAAACGCATTATCACTTTCTTTATCTTTAAACGGCATCGAACTACTCGATATAGTCACTTCAACAAATATTGGTGTTTTCAACAATAACCTTTTAATAGACTTGAATAATTTCGAAGAACTAGATTGCCCTTCAATAACTCTAGCCTCTTTATCTAATTTTGAAAGTTTATCTTTAATTAATCTTGATTCAAAGCTACATTCCTCCTTCTTATCTGACATCATTTCTCTATCTACTTCGAGTAATCAAGTATTGAGAGATGATTTGTCCAGTATTTTGTTGTCAAATGCTGTTTAAGAACTCCGTTAATGCATTCATCGTTCTATTCACATCATTGTCCTGCCAAACATTAACTCTCATCCCACCCTTGAATACGATGAACATGGTCGGTTGATACTCATTAACACCTAATATACCTCCAATTTCCTTATTCATCATCACATCCAACCTCATGAACCCGTTGTTCATTCCAGGAATTCCTCTTTGAGCAGCTAAATGGTAGAATGCTTGTGATAATTCAACGCTATTCGATGAATATGTCGTCAATGGTGATACCTTTATTCCCTTTCAATTTCATAATACTCTATACCACGCAACTCACCGTCATCAGAATGGCTTTGTAATTACTCATGATTATATTCTGCATCATCTCCTTTGAGATTACATTCAGCGTCGGCCATTGTGGTAAAACATCTGCTGATTGATATTGCGAATTGGGTATCATGGGTAGATTCATTCGAATGTTATTTCTGGCATGATCATTTCCCACTCCTCCACCAAGTGCAGCCTGCGTCCCTACCATTCCTGTACCCCCAATTCCCCCGAAAGACCCCACACTTCCTGCATTGATGAATTCTGGAAACTTAGCTCCACAAAGAAAGTCGATTGCTTTGTCTGTGAACGTATTTCCATTCCTGTACGCCACGTTGTAGCTTCCTGCGTTGAACTCACTACAAAGACCATCTAAAAAGTCCTTATATGTGTCCTCGTCTATTTCTGTAATCCCAGTATTGATGACTCTAGATGGCGTCCCTTTGTAAGAGCTGCCCGGTGGTGCCAAGGACCTGATGCCTTCATAACTAAACTCAAACTCTCTATTGAATACCACAACGGTTGTGTGACTTCTCCCGTTACTGCTCAAGTACCTTATTGCCTCGTTGCTCCAATCATAAATGGCTATTTCGACCTTATTTCCCATGATGGTATTAATTGTGATATTAAGTGGTTAATTGTATTTGATTATTGGGTTGTACAAATTAAATGAGCAACGTCGCGATCGCGCTATCGCTGGCGTGTTGATTGTTCAAACAAGAGTACGATAATCGTCATTAGTCCAGTTTCTTGCTGAATTTTCTCCCTGTTGATCCCTGTTGAATATAACTTGTTTTGTGTACTCGTGTGTACAACCACAATGGCTCTTTTTCATTGCCTCCGCTTGGTCACAAGTACCAAAAAAATGAATACGTAATTTGAATGGCTACTTAATTTTGTTTAGTTGTCAAACGACTGTAGGGATGCAACATAAAGTGGAGGTCACCTCAGCTTATTATACGATGGCTTACATTTTCAAACTTTCCTAGCTGTTAATTACAAGACAACACCATATTCATCCATACATGAAACTTATTGGGGGTTGTCATGTACGTATCTGTAACATAAGATTCTCGGCGTGAAGATTCGAAGACTTTTCAGCGTGAATAAGATCGGCATGGATAGCGACGTGGATAAATTAAATTGTAGAATGCTAAAATTCACTAAAAATTTGGACAGCTCAAATAATCGAAGTCACACTGCGATGGATCTGATTGGCAGTACTCTAAGCAAACATCGAACTCGATTAGTGAGCTAGTTTAGGTCCACAAGGAGAAGTTTTAATAAATTGTATAATTAAAACCATTTCAGGCTGATGTTTAAGCAGCATATTATACGTCTTTGTAAGAGAAAAGAAGTAAATAAACTGAGTGACGGATGACAAAGTGATTATATGGAATTTTGATTAGAGGCGGCCTAAACGAGATCGGTTAGCAATCTATGGGTGAGTAAATACTATTAGATGGTATGATATTCTTCAAACGTTGATGATAGATCAAAGCAGCCTCAATGAGTGCTCGTGATGTCATCCGAAAACTCCGAAGAGTGACTGGAAGTGAGAACCTACTGTATATACTGTACTTTTGAAATCAAGGACGGAATGAATTTACATTTCAAAATGCATGCATTCAGTTAATTTGTACTGGAAATGACCGAGAGGGAAAACAGTATGGGTTCAGCACAATCATACAGCATTGAGATTTATATTACAAAAAGTAAGCAAGGATAACATGCTTAAAACTAAGCGCATTAACGATGTAAAAGCACGGTGGACGACATCCTACTTGCTCTGAGGCTGTTGGGACGCCATACGCGCTCTATCTCCATATCGCCCTTCCACCAGACTAAACTGCTAAATAGAAACTGCAACTTTCATTTACAATTTAATTTGATTTATTTACATATTCGCTATACTAAACATTCTCTTAATCCATCAGCCTGACACTTACAAGACTAGCTAAAATCTTCAGTGTTCAATGGAGAAGAATTGTTAGAGTGTACTATGGGCAATCAAAATCGAAATTAAAGGATTTAGTAGTGAACGGTATAACTTAAGAAGTCATATGGCTATACACATGCTGGATAATCTCTAAACGATGCAAATGAAATCTGAAATGCAGGCGGAAGAGCAAACACTGAAATTGTTTTTGATCAAAAGTCTCGGATCACCATACATAAATCAGTGAATAAATGAAAACTTTCGATAATGCGTGAAATACGTAAGTATGATATTAAATAACGCCAATGCTAAGGTTCGTTTGTGTACTTTGCAATCTAAAACAAGGGAAACATCATTTACAAATCAGAAGTACGATAGATATAAAATAAGATAGTATAATTAGGTAGAGTTAAAATGTAAACGGCCGAAACCAAAAGTAAGTCAAGCCTGTTGATTTCTAGGAAATAGAAAGTCGTCATACACTAGCCAGAATCGTAATAGCACCGCTATGAATATCACAAAATGAGTACAAAAGGTTAGGTCACTATAAAAGGCAAATGAAAAGTGACCTGACTCGACATCTATGTGGCCCTTTCGTCTTGTATAAAGTCGAAAATCGCATTACACTGATTAAGAGTGTAATTATCAAACTTTTCAGTAATTTGGAATGTAATATTTCAGGATAGATAAGGCCCGAATGGGAAATAATCTGATTCAACATGAGTATTAACCAGGCCCTAACAAAACTCGCAGATCCTTATGAAATTGTATGTGATGAGATTAATTTGATATTTGTCTTGTTTTGAGTTGAGCGTGTTTATTTGGCTTGTGCATAGATAGATTAGCCAGATTGAAGGGCCAAATTGTAGAAAAGAGCCAAATAACAAGCCGTTAAGGTATCTGACACAGCTACTGCTGGATCTATTGATCCTTAGCTCGTCGCTAGTTTATAATCACCACCGAATTAATGATCGAAAGAGGAAGCTAAGTGTAACACAGGTTTAAAAGTAGTTTACTCTCAACAGAAGAGATCGGTTTGTATTTGAAAGACTATCACTGCGATTGAAACATACGGGGAATTGTCTTTTCTGGGCGAGATGCTTCCTCATCACAGTTATAAGAATTACTTAATGATAAACAGATGAACAAAATGTACTCTTGCCATATGTAACCACAAACGTATGCAAATATACACATTAGAGATCAAGTCGTTACGTAGAACCTTTGAGGGCGAGTCACGATTGAATTTCAGGTCCAATTATAGAGAATATCAAAAGAAACTGACTATAATATTTTAAAACTGACTTATTCATTGTTCAATTTGGGAGATGCACACTAGTAGACTTTAAGGGTGCAACATTGGAAAACGTTGGGGTTGCTCAACATAACATTTCTAATTTGGCTAACCGCTAGATAAAAAGCTAGACCAACCCAATAGCAATTACAAAGTGTAGCCCACCGAGTTTTAATTCAGAAAAGCTCATGATTAAATACAAATTCTGATAGTATCATACATCGTTTCAAAGTAAAAACGGTTGGAAGGCTAGCTTACGGTACAATTACAGCTGAAGATAAAATGATTACATCTAATAAAACTACAGATCGCAAATCACCTGAGACCAACAAAATACAGAAACATTAAGCAATAGTACTTGTAGCGTGATTAGTAAAACCGTAAACGTTCATGCTTCAGCCCACTACAGGTAATCACTAAAAAGGTGGCCTTCAACGAAATGAGACACGAAAGTAAGAAATATAAAGTTTTCAAAACCATTGTAAGTTTCCAAATAAAGTGAAGGTCGTATTCAAAGCTACATTATTAATGATCAAACGATCACTATACCGAGATGAGCAGGTGTGAAAACTCTCATTTTCTGAATGAGACATAATTACGAAATAAACTGCTATAACTTCCATCAAACAACTTCATGTTGGAAAGAAAAGCTACGCGAAAGCAGCATTATTTGCCAGACGTTCCCTATGGGATTTTAAGAACGTTAGTGTTGAGCTAAGACTTCATTCGAAAGATAGTGTTAAGAACCATTCGTTGATGTGAATCTTTTGCACATAAACTGTACATTTTAGGACCATTATCGCAAGTCATCATAGAGATCCAGTTATCTTTAGATTCTTTGCATAATGTCATTTCGAAACTAAATCAGACGCGAGATAGATAATTTTCGGCTCGTTATATGTCATTGTCATAACGGCACAAGACTTTTTTCACATTACCTTTCTATATCTATATAAGATATTCAGAATAGAAAAAGTTAAAAGTTGAAATGTCAAGTAATATAAGACAATTAAGTTTAACAGCTACTCCTAAAGTACGCGATTTAAATTCTAGTAACAACTTTCATCTCCCCTTGATTAACGACATTTGGATTGAGGCATGGTTGAAGTAACACTTACAATGTCGAGATAATGAATTAAAAATTCAAAGTTGAGTTTATCGATTAACTCAGAATTGCATCATTTCAAGAATTTTTAAAAGAGATATGCACCTTTTTTTTTTCAACTTATAGACTTACAAATCAATAATCTTCAAACACACATATTAGAAGGAGGCAGGATCTAGCTATATACTTACCATATAATCGTTACTGGATGCCCTCAGCCTTTGAGAGAAACAAACAAAATCATTTATTTTTTGGGCTTGAGTGATCAATTGTTTTTAACTTTATTGACATTAATAGCCTGAATTTATCACAGGAAGTTGTTTCCTCTTCCTTTTGTTGTAAAAGAAAGACCAGGTTATTTTAAACGCAAACAGGTTTTTGTCGAAAATGTTCCCTATTTTTGAAAACACAGGCTTATTTAAGCATTTGATTGAGAATTTCTTTCAATCATCCTTCGATCAATAACTCAATTTAAAGCAGATCAACGCCAAATCCCCACTCACTAACAATCTGACTGTTAGCATTGAATTGTGAAATTTTGATGTCAGAACAGATTTCTGTTACAAATGAAGTACAGATCACCATTTCACATTTAAATTCTAGCAAAAGCACGAAATTAATAACGAAGTTAGGTCCAAAGCAGTGCAAATCATTTACATTTATCAGATGATGTAAATGTGATTGAAATATATATTTTTTTGCTAATGTCTTCCTCACATCACATTAGCACTATTCGTGCCGATGGAAAAAAATAACGGAGTCCAATGATTCGTGGAGATTCAAAATGGCTTGCGATAATGGTCGTAAAATGTACAGTTTATGTGCAAAAGATTCACATCAACGAATGGTTCTTAACACTATCTTTCGAATGAAGTCTTAGCTCAACACTAACGTTGTTGAAATCCCATAGGGAACGTCTGGCAAATAATGCTGCTTTCGCGTAGCTTTTCTTTCCAACATGAAGTTGTTTGATGGAAGTTATAGCAGTTTATTTCGTAATTATGTCTCATTCAGAAAATGAGAGTTTTCACACCTGCTCATCTCGGTATAGTGATCGTTTGATCATTAATAATGTAGCTTTGAATACGACCTTCACTTTATTTGGAAACTTACAATGGTTTTGAAAACTTTATATTTCTTACTTTCGTGTCTCATTTCGTTGAAGGCCACCTTTTTAGTGATTACCTGTAGTGGGCTGAAGCATGAACGTTTACGGTTTTACTAATCACGCTACAAGTACTATTGCTTAATGTTTCTGTATTTTGTTGGTCTCAGGTGATTTGCGATCTGTAGTTTTATTAGATGTAATCATTTTATCTTCAGCTGTAATTGTACCGTAAGCTAGCCTTCCAACCGTTTTTACTTTGAAACGATGTATGATACTATCAGAATTTGTATTTAATCATGAGCTTTTCTGAATTAAAACTCGGTGGGCTACACTTTGTAATTGCTATTGGGTTGGTCTAGCTTTTTATCTAGCGGTTAGCCAAATTAGAAATGTTATGTTGAGCAACCCCAACGTTTTCCAATGTTGCACCCTTAAAGTCTACTAGTGTGCATCTCCCAAATTGAACAATGAATAAGTCAGTTTTAAAATATTATAGTCAGTTTCTTTTGATATTCTCTATAATTGGACCTGAAATTCAATCGTGACTCGCCCTCAAAGGTTCTACGTAACGACTTGATCTCTAATGTGTATATTTGCATACGTTTGTGGTTACATATGGCAAGAGTACATTTTGTTCATCTGTTTATCATTAAGTAATTCTTATAACTGTGATGAGGAAGCATCTCGCCCAGAAAAGACAATTCCCCGTATGTTTCAATCGCAGTGATAGTCTTTCAAATACAAACCGATCTCTTCTGTTGAGAGTAAACTACTTTTAAACCTGTGTTACACTTAGCTTCCTCTTTCGATCATTAATTCGGTGGTGATTATAAACTAGCGACGAGCTAAGGATCAATAGATCCAGCAGTAGCTGTGTCAGATACCTTAACGGCTTGTTATTTGGCTCTTTTCTACAATTTGGCCCTTCAATCTGGCTAATCTATCTATGCACAAGCCAAATAAACACGCTCAACTCAAAACAAGACAAATATCAAATTAATCTCATCACATACAATTTCATAAGGATCTGCGAGTTTTGTTAGGGCCTGGTTAATACTCATGTTGAATCAGATTATTTCCCATTCGGGCCTTATCTATCCTGAAATATTACATTCCAAATTACTGAAAAGTTTGATAATTACACTCTTTATCAGTGTAATGCGATTTTCGACTTTATACAAGACGAAAGGGCCACATAGATGTCGAGTCAGGTCACTTTTCATTTGCCTTTTATAGTGACCTAACCTTTTGTACTCATTTTGTGATATTCATAGCGGTGTAATTTTCCTACTGATGAATGCTTAATGTGACTTTAGTTCACACAAAGACCTCTTGTTACACTCTTCCTGTTGCTAAAATCTTAACTAACTCTTTCTTCAGACATGAAACATTAATGCCATCATGCATTAGGGGGTTCCTTACCTGAGAGATTTCTGTAACTCTTTAGTAGGGCTATCACTCCCTGAACCCCAATCGCGTTCGAAGTTGTAGAAGTAAGTTCGTACTTTTCGATCTTTTCTTTGTACGTGTTGTTTGGTACCAGTTCTTGGTATGATTACGATACGTGTACAAAAGTTATGAATTTCAAAATGTCATTTTCGTACGCCGTAAAATATATCGAAGGTATTCGACCTGACAAAATATAAAGTGGATACCGATTGATAGTTTCATTTAAATGAATTTTTATTCGATAATAATTATAATTCTCATTGTATTCCAGGGAGCACAGCACGATATAGTACCCGTACTTTTCGTACAGTGAGATCGAAATGCGTACAAAGTTAACGTCTACGGTATGAGTACAAAATTAAATAATCTGTATGAGTGCAACATTACAGAATGTTTATTAATTTGTACAATTCAATTAAAGCCAATGATGAGCTGCACCAGAGTCGAACTTGCTTCACGTACGAAATTACGTTTAGTGATAGCACTACTGTTCAGTAGCACTGTATTGCAGTTCCCTAAACTCTTTGAAAATGCTTGTAAGGATTCTAAACGTAGTCTGTGTATCAATAAGAAGCTTCGATGTTTGAAGTCAATGCCTCGTCGAGATTACTTAGGGTGTAAAACTGCAGATTGCTGCGCCAAATAATTTACGTATTGGACTTAAAGTTCTAAGTTATTGATCTTCGTAATGTAATCTAATGCCTTGTCCCTTTCCTACTACCTATGAAGAGCAAAACCCGGGTTTCACGTACAAATTTCGCTGTCAAGCCTGTGCTTTTTAAGTTACTGTGTTAACTGAGCTGTTCAACGAAGGTTAATGTATCTGCTGATTCGTCAGCTATAAGCTTGTATGCATGCGTAGCTTGTTCGCGCAAGTGGCGTCTTTTTTTTCTCTTGTTCCGATTTGTTTAAGCGTTCTTTGCGAGTGATATCACTAGGCGTGTCTGGAACTTTCTGCGTAATTTCGCCCAACAGTCTAATCCATGTAATCGAAACAAGTCTCAGATTTCTATTCGTATCGGGTTTCTTGCACGATTATCCTCTGTTTATGAGAATAAAACATCAGGCCCAAAGCCATTCTCTTCTTCCCACTTTTCAGTTTACCTTAGCCTACAATTTTTAGTACTTTTTAACAAGTGCATGTCTGTAAGGTTCTAGGAAAGTCTTGACATGTTTTCAAGTTAACTCTCTTTTCTGTGCATGACTTGGTCTGGACATATTTTAGTAGCACGCTGCTGCTTTGGATGCTTTGAAGGTCTTACGTTAGTACCTATAGCTAGATATAGTATTACATTGATGGGTGGTGGGGACACATTTTAATGCAATGATTATTTCCTACACCATGCTTTCTTCAGACATAGCACCCACTACTATAATTCATGTAATTCTTAAGTTTTTGTTGGTATCACTTAATGTTTTGATTCCATTACACAGAAACGATTTAACAAATTGTCTAAGTTCCATATTGCTGTGTTGAGGAATTGCTTGTACAGCGATAAAACAGATAGAACAAATTTAATAAGTGAGATTAATCTGAAGTATGTCATGAGGAAAGGCGTGTTTGTACAGTAAATGTGAATTGTAGAACTCCATGCTTCAGTTTAGACTGGTGGAAGGGTAATATGAAGAAAGTTAGACGTGAGGTGGCGCATGTGGAGTGCCAAAAGCCTAGCAGCAAGAGGAATACCATCCATCGTGCTTCTTTTTGTTACCGCGTCTTATAATATATTTTTGACTCTTGCTTAGTTTGTATAAAATACATCTCAACAATTTGCAGAATGTGTCGGGCCCAGCGGTGTTCCCTTCCGGTCGGTTTTCAGTACACCCTGACCTAATGCACGCATCTCAAAATGTGGTCTTTTGCTGATTCCTGATTTCAGAGAATGCAACAGGCGCAATCGGCTCTCACTTTTGGTCACGTTCTAGTTTTTCTAAGTACCGGTTTCATGAATATCATGATAGATTACCTTTAGCGCAATCTTGGACGGCACAAACAAGCCTAAATGAGATAACTACCTTGATGACAACATAATGCAGAGAAAGATATGTTCAATATCAGTACTCTCATATTAATTCGCAACCTTTATGCTTGTCGTATCGAGACTGTTGAGCAATTGAATAGGCTTGAATTGAGATTTTATCTTATTTTATAAATTCGTTAGTAATTATGCGATGGGTGGGTGGGTGTAGCGATCAATACCAGCTGCGGACGGTCGTATAGTCTAGAAATTTTTTAGGATGAGACAATGAATCATATCTCGATAACTATCTATTTAAAATAATCCGGTAATATGTAGGACAGTTTCTCTTTCGACTCCTTCGTGAATTTGTCTTTGGATGTAACAATGCTAAATTGCATGGAGCCATTCTGGGAAGGAATCTTGTTGGCTGATATTGCATCATGAACATGTTGCAAAACATTTTGGGCCACGAATTTTGAGTTTTCAGCGTTAGTGGTTAAAGTTTTGATCACTTCAGCGACTGTTACAGGCTCTTCATTCATTCTCCATGCATCATAGTCTGTTGATGTGCAGATGAGCGAGTACCCTAATTCTGCCTCTTTAGCCAATTTGGCTTCAGGAATAACGGACATATTAATAATATCAGCTCCTAATTGTCTGTACATCCTAGATTCGGCACGAGTAGAGAACTGAGGACCCTCCATACAAACTAGTGTAGAGTCGCGATCACCATGGTTAGTATGCAGATTCAAACCTGATGGTAAAACTTGCTTGACAAGTGGGGCAATAAAAGACGATAGCTCAGTAGTAAAGGGTTCACCAAACATAGCATGGGCAACTACTCCCTGATTCAATCCAAAGTAAGTATGCTGTCTAATGGACTTTGTGCGATCGATGACCTGGTTCGGAATAATGAAGTCACCTGGCTTGATCTCCTCTCTGAGAGAACCCACAGCAGAAAAGGCAACAATGGCCTTAACGCCTACGTGTTTCAAAGCAGCAATGTTAGCTTGACCATTAACTTCAGATGGAGTAATGGAGTGATTGATGCCATGCCTAGCGATGAAAGCAATCTGAGCTCCTGACGGAAGAGCAAGAATCATTACATTTGAGCTTGGTCTACCCCAAGGCTAGGAGAGAAATAAGAAGGCTGGAGAAAGGAGAAGAAGAGACTAACTGTTTGAACACCGACATCCTTGACATGCTTCAAACTGTCAAGCTTGTAGAATCCGCTGTAATCTTGGTTAGAAAATTATGGAGTATAACGGGACAAACCTTCCACCTGTAAGAGAAATGCTTGAGTACAGGCAGAAACATAAGCAGAAGTAGGGAATTACCAATAACACCAATTAAAGGATCTAAAATATGTAAGCTTAGCTTAGTTTCCAAACACCGCCAACTCACTCGTCATCGTCGTTTTGATACGGTCACGCTCAGGATGGATAAGAAAATAGATATTTCAACAGATAGCAAAAATCAGAGTAAACTTTCGTCTGCAGGTGAGCAGCACCACAATAAACAATTTATAGCGACTAACTTATCTAAGGTCTATCCGTTGTAAGCTATTGTCTTGCGTCGATAGCGATGACAGTAAGTAGAGGTGTACCTCAATCACGGCCTTGTTGAAGCACATTGATATTAGGTAATAAACAGTAAGCTGGTTATCCTGTGTCTTCCTAACTGACCTTGGATAGAATATATTGTGTCTGGCAGAGGCTTTGACATGAATTTATTGTTATTAGCTATACAGTCTATAGTTTCGATATCATTAGTGTCTGGTTTGAAGTCGTTGAATGTCATCAACTTCCGAAACTTCAATTGGTCAGATACCAAGTCCTGGTTTCCAGTTAGCTTTCTTTTAGCTGTCGTCATTTACACCGGCTCCAAGTCACTGCAGCATCTTCAAATACCAGTTTATACCATTTTCAAGAACCTAACAATCATCCTCATTGCATACGGTGAAACTTTGTGGTTTGGCGGTTCGATCTCGAAGCTAACCTTCTTTTCATTTCTTTTGATGGTCCTATCTTCTCTGGTAGCTGCATCGGATGATATTGTCAGCGCCTTTTCACATGTCGAGTCACCTGGTTCGGCCAATGGATACTGCTGGATGCTTACAAATTGTCTCTCTAGCGCTGCATATGTGAGCATCCAGATTTCAACTCTGTATCAGCTGACGGATGCCTTAAGGTCCTCTTGATGAGGAAGAGAATAAAAGTTACCGCTTTCAAAGATTGGGATTCAATGGCGTGGGTTTGAATGGAAACTGATTCATTGTTGCTAATAGTTTTAAGATACAATAACGCTCTCTCAGTTCCTTTGCTCGTATTTGCGTCGCTGGTCAAAGAAGACTGGTCGTTAGAGTCGCTAGAGAAAAATTTCCCACCTTCAAACAGACACTTATTGTTGTCGACGATAGTATTTTCTGGAGCAGCAGCAGTTAGTTAAGACTACGATCTACTTGAAGCGAGCTAAAAATATCTACAGGTAGGGATTAGTTATACAACAGCTTGGTGCGTGCGTACAACGTCCTCAACAACTTACTCGTTCGTGAAGCTTTTGACGTTTAACTTTTCTGATAAGTTGTATAGCATGGTAGGAGCATTGAACAAATTGCCAGTCGCGGCATCTGGGTTGATATTCTTGTGTGTTTTACGTTTTACAAGAAGGATAATAAGCTAACATAAACATTCAGTAACGATCCAGCTACACCGAAGTCCATATCAGCCATAGCGATTGGATTCGTTGCCGGGGTAATGTATACAATAGCGAAGCAAAATCAAACGAGGATAGGAGCGCAAAAGCAAAACAGTTATATACCTCTAACGAGCAATAACAACAAATAAATTGAAATAGCATCGATAAATTTTTTTTAATGCACTTGAATAATTTCGCGGATTGAAGGCTGCCATTACAAAACCAAATAAAGTGAGTAGAGAGGATTGAAGAGTAATCATCTGACGAAAGTAAGGATGTCAATTGAGGAAATCCAAGAAAACGTAGAGAACCTTAACTTCAGCGAACCAGGTCCTTCAAACGCAGCTACACAGAGTCGTGCAGAGAAGAAGGCCAGACAAGCGCTTCAAGGTCATGGATTGAAAAAGGTCCCAGGTGTCACCAGAGTCGTTCTCAGACGCTCACGTAATGTCATGCTCGTAGCATCGAACCCAGAAGTGCACACGGCACCAGGCTCAGGTATCCACATAGTGAGTTGCTGTCAAAATGAAGTAAAAAAAGATTACTGACGAGGATTAGGTCTTTGGTGAATTTAAGGTGGAAGACCCAAGCCAATTACAAGCCGCACAAGGAGAAGCTCCAGAAGGCCAAGACAAGTCAGAATCAAAGAAGCCAGAAGAGATCATGTCAGAAATGGACACCCAAGCGGCAAACATTTCTGAAGCAAAGGGCAAAGACGTTGAAGACGAAGGAGAAGTAGATGAAACTGGCGTCGACGCTAAAGATATCGAGCTCGTTACTGCACAAGTAGGCTGCACACGCGCTAAAGCAGTAAAGTCGCTCAAGGAGAAGAATGGGGATTTGATTAACGCCATAATGGCAGCCTCCGACTAAGGACAAAATTTTGACAGTACATATCGAAAAACAATGTTTATTTAGAAATAAATGAATTTAAAATAAAAAGAAGAGAGTGTGAATATTTGAATAGATATGCATTCCAAACTAAATAATTCAACATTCATAACTCCGTACTGACATGAGGCGGTCAGTGCTTGACGTTCTTGGACCAAATCATCATGGTGCAATCCATCTCAGAAGCTGAATCTATTGGCATACTCAACCTGCCAAATCAGCGCCATAAGAGTAATTCCTTTCTCTGTGTCCGTCATGCCCAGCTAACGCTCTCTAGTTGGTTAGTTGCCAGGTCATCACGCTAACAAACCAATTAACTGTACCGTAGTCGCAAAGCGTGGTGGACATTTCACTATAATGGTCGTCGGTGAATCTGGCCTCGGAAAGGTTAGTAGAATTGTACGTGACACGCTTTTCTAATCACGACTATCAGTCTACACTCATCAACACACTCTTTTCCACTGAGCTTTCCGCTAAGAAGGATTACCGTCGCCGCCACGCCAAGCAGCTCGACAAAACTACTGAGATTGAGATTATCAAAGCGTACGTTTATTTATGTCTTAGATATGTCTCTGACGTGCTTTAGTGAATTGGAAGAGAAGCAATTTAAGGTTAAGCTCACTGTCATCGATACCCCTGGCTTCGGTGATTACGTTAACAACCGTGATAGCTGGTCTCCAATTATTGATTTCATTGATGATCAGCATGAGTCTTATATGCGTCAAGAGCAACAGCCAAACCGTCAGGAAAAATCTGATATGAGGGTACACGCTTGTTTGTACTTTGTTCGTCCAACTGGCCACACACTTAAGCCACTGGACATCGAAATCATGAAGAGACTTGGTACGCGTGTCAACCTTGTTCCAGTAATCGCAAAGGCAGATACCCTTACTCAGGCTGATTTACAGTCATTTAAGAAGCGCATCTGGGAGGTCATTCACGCTCAAGGTATCAAGATATATCAACCACCTGTTGAATCTGACGATGAAGGCAACCAACAACACGTTCAAGACCTCATTGACTCTTTGCCATTCTCAATCATTGGCTCAACTGAGGATGTGAAGAATGGTGAAGGAAAGCTTGTGAAAGGAAGACAATACTTATGGGGTGTGGCTGAGGTTGAGAACGAGCAGCACTGTGACTTTAGAAAGTTAAGACAGCTCCTCGTTAGGACGCACATGCTTGATCTGATCAATACCACTGAAGAAACGCACTATGAGCACTACAGACAAGCACAAATGGAAACGAGGAAATTTGGAGAACCAAAACCAAAGAAGCTTGACAACCCAAAGTTCAAAGAAGAAGAGGAAGCTCTCAGAAAGAGATTTACTGAACAAGTTAAGTTGGAGGAAGGCAGATTTAGGCAGTGGGAGCATCACTTGATGGCTGAGAGAGACAGATTGAACAAGGATCTCGAAACTTCTCATGGACAAATCAAATCAATTGAGTCAGAGTTGGATGCAATACAAATTGGCTATGGCCGCTCACAACGCCGTTAACGATTGACTTGAATACCCATTTACACTGATGAACAATCAAGATGAATATAATTTTACATTTCTTAATAAATTTATAAGTAATACATGATATGGGTTTATGTTTAGTTTTCTTTGGGTTTTGGTATATCGCTGTGCCTGTCACGCTGATAGCAGTCTTAGCCCTATCTAGACAGAGGAATGGAGGGAAAACTGTTAATAAATCACAATCAAATAAATTTAGATTTTAGTAATTAAACTGCTATAAAAAAAGTTACCCAATTCGACTCGCACTCTTTCGTCAGTACCACCACCGAGCGAGCTAAAATGGAGGAATAGTGAGTGTATCGGCTTGTGATTCTTATTCTAATAAATTCATAGTGCACCGCTTACACCAACATCAATCCCTTCGCCCACAACTTCCTCAAAGGAGTTATACAACTACGGCTTACAGTACCCTCCCACTCCCAAACAACACAAGTCAAATTGCTTGCCAGAATCCTCTAATCATGCTGCCACCTTAAATTCATCTAATCCACCTTTGTTGAAGCTCCTTGGTATTCCACAAACAGGTGCTAAATCTAGAGTCGAGACTCAAATCAAGATCATTCTCCAGCTTGAGAACATTCCCAATAATCAATGGAACTTTATCAGACTTCCCTATGGCTCAGCTTCGAAAAAGAGATCTAAGAGAGGTGCACCAATGCCTTACGATGTACCTAGGCACAATACCCTCTATCTGGAAACCCAAGTCAACTGTGCAACTGCTCCTTATTGTCCCGTCTATGCTTGTTCTCCTTGCAAAGAACGTGAAAAGAAGCGTTTCCAGCGTAAACGTGATGCTAGAAGACGTCCAAGATCGAAATCTGATGATGAAGGTCAAGACGACGCTCTACTCAATTCCGCTCCCTTACCCGTTAAAGATCAATGGGAGCGTAATAAGATTACACTCTTCAATTGTGGTGAACTTGTCCCTCTCAGTGAGGATATCGCTTATGAAGGTGCTCAACCATTGCCAACCGCTGTTCTTCCAACGCGCGTCACTTGTTACTGTAGGCATCACCGTGAAAAGACCGGTTTTACAATAGGCTTTACCCTCAAGCAACACGATGGCAGCGTTGTTGCATCAAACAAATCACCACCGATTATGATCACGGATGATCACAAGACCTCAACAGGTAAAACGTCTAATTACGGTGAGCAAAGCTCAATCAAATGTCGCAACCCATTGAAATCTACAAGAGGTATCAAAGATGACGCTCTACTTGCTCAATCCGATACCAATGACAGAAAACCTTATACGAGAAATACTAGAAGGCAAAACTCACCTTTGGAGATAAATCTCGCCAATAGTTCTAGTCAATCATTCGTATCACCATCTGATTACTCAATGAAGAATGCCCTCAACACCACTCCCTCAACAACCCCCAGTCCACCCAGGAGCATCAAAAAGTCTTTGATAGGAGACCTTGAAGGCTCAGCAGGCTTACCCAAAACCTTGGAAGAGTCTCTCGTCAAGTTTGAACATACTGATGAGCTCGAGACGTATTTGACGTCTAGCTTGAGTGTGCAATCACCTATACAGTTGAATGATTCAGCTAATACGTTAGATGAATCCAATTCGAAAGGCAACAATCCAACGTTTGATTCAGAAGTAGATAAATACATCGAAAGTTCTTGGGTGGATGATGGTATTAGCAGAAACGAAAGCATTAATATATACAATGGTCCGAAAATTTCTAGAGTTGTACCATTTGAGGGACCTACAAGGGGTGGTACAGAGATTACAATCCTCGGTCAACACTTTCCCGATGGGTTGACTGTATACTTCGGTTCAAATGCTGCATCTAGGGTCACGAGATGGGGAGAATGTACACTAGTATGTTTGTTGCCGCCTTCGTCCAAGCCTGGGACTGTAAGCGTCTCATTAAGAGGATATAATACGAGCGATGAACAACATGGAGACAATCCATTGACTTTCACGTACATCGATGAATCGGATAAAGCTTTAGTTAGTCCCTTCTCTTTCACGTATTTCAAAGCTGACAATCACCTAGATGGAGCTCGCCTTAAAAGTTCTTGGTTACAATCTCACAGGTAAATATGAGGATGCAAGAAACGTTGCAATGAGAATCGTGGGAACCGAGAATGGCGAAGGGCAAGTGGATGATAAAGCAAGCAATACTTTGAGTGCCACCAACTTTGATCTTGAAGCATTCACAATTAATGCGCTACGATTGCTCGATTACAGACAGAACGTCGATAGTTTAAACCTTCTCAATAAACAAAGACAGACGATACTACATTTATCCTGTCAATTGTCAATGGTGGAACTGACTCAAAGCCTGATTGAATGTGGTGCAGATGTAAACGCAAGGGACATCAATGGATTCACACCGTTGCATTTCGCTTACATCAGTAAATCTGAGAATTGCGCAAGAATGTTGTATAATAGCGGCGCAGATGTTGAGGTTGTAAACGCTTGCGGTATTTCTGCAAAGGAGCTTGGTGAACTTACGTACTCGAATAAGCTCTCGATACAAGACAGTGAAGACGCTGATGACGAAATCAACTTCTCAAGCGCTGAGGACGACTCGTCATTAGATGATAGAGTAAGTAAAAGCAACTTACTGCAATCAAATGACAGAGGGACGATTAAAGATCTTGAAAAGAAGGATAATGAGGAAGAGATTGGCTACCAAGAGAAGGCACTTGAAGTGTTTTTAACAAATCTTAGTACAAAGCTAAGTGAAAAGACCGGTTGGAATCCCGCTGGCACCACATCTCGCTTTACTAAAGTGGAAATGGAAGCAAATGGAGAAAGTCTCGTCGATGAGGAGGATTGGTCAACGAGAGCAAAGAAAAGAGCGCAAAGCGTCGTTGAGGACGTCCGCCTAATGTTGTTTTGGGCACCGGTGCTGCTTTTATCCTTGGTTTTCTCGTTCATCTCAATAGCACCGTTCATTAATAGGGTCGGTAACCAACTAGCACCACTACTAGGACTACAAGCAAATTCTGAATAACTTTTCCTGAATTTAATCTGAACATTTTTGTTTTGTTTTTCTTATTTGTTGAATAATGATATATGTACTTTTGTCAAGGATCATCATGAGAGTTGCTGTGGTTGGATCCGGTATCAGCGGGCTTAGTGCTACATGGGTTAGTTCTATCGGCTGTGACATGAATACAGATTAAATTTGGTATAAAGCTCCTTAATGAGTATAGTGACGTTGAAGAGGTACACATCTTCGAAGCCAACAACTACTTTGGAGGACACACGAAGTGAGTGCATCGAAAGACGTGTGAGTTTTAATCATATTGTGGAATACAGTACCGTGGAATTCAGCAAAGGCGACAACGATAAGAGTGTTGATGTAGATACGTAAGCTTTGCCACAGTGAGGAAAACAAATCTAAAGCAGATCATCACAGGGGATTCATAGTATTTAAGTGAGAATAGTCACTTAACTTGGTTTCGTATAATAATGGTTGATAGTGAAGTGACGTATCCGAATATGATCAAGATGTTAAACTTGAAGGGAGTCCCGATCATTGATTCCGATATGTCATTCTCAGTATCGAGGAACTCCGGCTCTTTTGAATGGTCAGGGTCAGGTTTGAATGGCTTATTTGCTCAAAAGTCAAACATCTTCAACCTTGATCATTATGCCATGATTTTGTAGGTCCGATGATTATCGATAGCCTTAATTTTGACGTCATAAAAGTGATATAGTTCGATTCAATGCGCTGTCTTTGGACTTGCTAGATGAAAAAAACAGTATGTCCGATATTACGATCGGCGATTACCTTAGGAAGGAGAAGTATTCGGCAGCATTCATTAACAATTACCTCATAGTAAGCTTCTTTTCTCACAACATGCCATTCCCATTAAACATAATTCGTAGCCAATGAGTGCAGCTATTTGGAGCACACCACCTGATTCTGTAGCTTTAGATGTCGGTGGTGCTTTATCTCTCGTGCTTCCAAGCTAACGATTATCTTAGTTCCCAGCCAGTACTCTTATTAGATTCATGTTAGTGGCTTTTCAACGGTGAAATCAACTAAATGACGTCAACAGGCACAACCACCATTTACTTCAAATAGCGGACAGAACACAGTGGTTGACGATAAAAGGAGGATCGTAGGTTTGTTTTCATTGTTTTTCAAATAGTTTTAATTAAACGGTTAGTAAATACTACGTTAATGAGATCATCAAGAATATGAAGGAAGGAACAACACATTTGTCAACACCTATAAGTAGTCTCAGACGTCTACATAATGGGACAGTTGAGCTTTCAACCGCAAACGAAGATACATGGTTTTTCGATCACGTCATTCTCGCTACACATGCTGATACTTCTATGTCAATTATCAATGAAGACTTGAGTGAAAAGGAAAAGGGTCTTTTGAGCAACTTTAAGTTTTCTAGTAACGAGGCTGTACTTCATTACGATGAGAAGGTGTGCTAATTAGCTCACAGCATACACTTTAACCAAATACTCACAGCTCATGCCGACAAGAAGAGAAGCATGGACTAGCTGGAACTTTTTGAGCAATGCTGACGAGAAATCTAACGTTAATAATCAAGTTTCATTGTGAGTTGATACTTTTATAAAGAAATTAGACAATGACAACATTCCAAGAACGTATTGGATGAACTTATTACAAAGTTTGAGTGAAGAGAATTATGGAAATGTTCTAGTAACACTGAATCCACCACTCGAACCAAGAGAAGATTGTGTTATTGGTAGATGGAGCTATGAACACCCTTTGATAAGCGCTGATGCGGTTCAAGCTCAAGGTCCGATGAATGAAATACAAGGTAAAGATGGGTTAAGCTTCGCAGGTGCATGGTTGAAATATGGGTTCCATGAGGATGGCTTTATATCAGGTTATAATGCCGTAAAGACAATAAATGGCTTGACAGTAGCGGCACCATTTGATTTAATTTCACCTGAAAGACAGGTAGATCAGGTTAATGCACAAGTACGATTTATGCTCTACATACTGCAATATCTGAGAATGAACAAGGTGTTGATATCATTTGTAGTGATTATCGCGTCTGTTTACTTGTCAATTGATTAGATAGTCTATTATTATAGTGTTCAATATTGCTTGATAGTCTCGATAAACCGTTTTCAGATAGACTCAGCCGATTGTCCTCTAATTGAGAAGTGATTTGATGATAATTCAATGAGTTCCCACCACTAATTCGTGTCAAACAGTCCAATAAGGCAATCTTGTTGTTGTATTCGGAAAACAGTGCAACGAAGGCGACCATGGTCTCTAGATTTTCATTGGGTATCTTATGACTGAAAAGATTTTCAACAATGTTCAAAAGTGGTCTATTGAATAGATTAGATTTGTCGAGTAAATTATGTGATATAGTCAGATGCAGGAGAATTGAATGCCGTCTATAAATAGTGAGGTGATTGTATTTAGCTAGAAGGTAAAGTTGATAATTTAATTGTGCAAGGTTGATGGTTTTACTGTTTATTGTGTGATCTAAACATCTTAATATTATGGACTTTGATGGTTTATGATGACGCGACTTATCTAATTTGATTAATAAATTAGCCACAGGACGATCGACTAATATGTGAAATTTGATGATGATTTCTAGGAAAGGCAAAGGATCGATACTTCTTTCATTGAGATCGATCAAAATTTTATCGATCAAGTCAAAGGACTGGGTATTCAATAATTGATTAATCAAAGTGCCATACGTTTCACTAGTAGGATGTAGACCTCTATCTAAAGCGTAATTGAATAGTTGAAAGGCTTGAGAAGGAGAGTTTTGAGCTATTGATAATAAAGATAAATTGATATCCTTCAAGTCAGGCATGATAGATCTGGATAGTAGATGACGAAAGACGGCCAATGAAGCGCTAGAGTTGCCTAAATATAGACACATTCTTGATAGAGCGTTTAATTGGATGTGATTATAATCTGAAGGTTTAGAATCCTTCAAGTAATTATCAAAGATAAGATTAGCTAGTTTGAAATTATCAGAGTTACCCTTTTGGTTTGTTAGAAGCCTTATGATTGATAAAGTGAGATTTGAAGAATGTGTTGGAGATAATTGAGATGATGGTAAGTTAGGATAAGCGAGTTTGATGATGTCAGATTGATTTAATTTACAGCAATTAATGAGAATTGAAGATTGAATGGATGGTTCCAGTAGATTGAATTTATTAGTCTCTAATAATGATAGGGTGAAAGCTTTGTGATTAGATTTTAGATTCTGGGAGGATAGATGGTTGGATATTGTTAAAAGAGATAGTTGCGGAGGTGTGTAAGTATCTTTAACTTTTAAATAAAGCTTGTATAAGTTGTTGTTGTTGTTATTGTCCTGTAATTCCACCAATAAACGGAATAAACCATCAAAATGAGTTGTAGGGAGTTGATAATCTAACTTGATCAAGTACTTTAATAGTAGATTGATAGCTGATTTATCGCCATCCATGATAAAATGACTCATAATAGTATTTAATAAGTTATCTTTGTAGTCAGTGGATGATGAACATTTTAGTAGTGAAGATGAGTATCGTAATGCTAGATCGCCTTTACCATAACGTAAAGAGATTAAGCAGGAATAGTTGAGAATGATAAATTTAATGTTATTCAGGTTATTCGAATCGTTAATATTATTGATATGGTTAGTGAAACCAGAGTCGTTTAGATGATTAAATAGAGATTGTGCTATTGTCAAAGAGTTTTTATCATCAGAGTTAATAAGCCATAGAATAACATTTAAGCAATCATAGAGTGAATCATAATTCTGATAATTGATTGTGAAAGGTGTGGATGGAACCGATGAAGTCAAGAATGGTTTAAATCTATCCAAATTTTGATTTATAGTTTCCAATTTTTCATGCAATTGATTGTAATTTGATAGACTGATAGATTTATCACCAAAAACCAACGTTCTGAATGATCTATTGATACTAAATTTAAACTTCTTATCGATTAGTCTATTCAAAATTCTCATTTGCTGATTTATTCGTTAACATCAACTCCTCTGTATCCGCCTTATCAACTCACGATCCCCTATATCAATTTAGCTCATGGGCAAATCTGCTAAATTCACAAAGAAACCTTTAAATAAAAAATTATCAAAAAACAAAAATATAAATGCATCGTCTAGCTCTAATACTACAAGCCAGAAACATCCCACAACGAATCCTCCGCCACCTTCACACTCCGCAAAGCGTAGAAACAGAATTGTACAGCTATCAAATCAAGCAAAGGAAGCTAAATCAAAGGGCAGAACTGTGTTAGACGATAAAGATTATTTGAAATTATATGAAAAGTGAAATATTTGTAAAATTATTTTGGTTTTGCAGAGAAAATGAGAATACATATTATATTTTACACATAAGGATTATTATACATCAAAGAATATCATCTATGGAGTCATCTGCTGCTCACGTTTGCGCGATTGAGTTTGGTTGGTTCCCTACAATCTAAATAAGTAAGTAATTAATTCTGATATTAAACCATCTTATCAATATATGCACCTCAGTATGACTGCTTATCTACCCCGTCAACAGTCTCAGCCCGCTTCCTCCTCCCCTATCGAATCTGAGTTTCCGCCAATCTATCTCAATACTCCAAACACTTCCCCTAAAATCAAAGATCAAGATATCGACGAAGAAGCTCTAGCCGACGTGTCTTTCGCGTCTTCAATCTCCATAACAACGAACTCTCCTTCACCTCACAAATCTCAACCGAATTCAAACTTACCTTTGAATGATCTAAGTTTAAATGAGAATCAGACTATTAAGTCTAACAATCCTTACAATACCACCTCAAGAGGTAAAAAGCGCGTTGGCTTACCTGCAATGTGGTCCGTCACAAAGCAATCTATATCCCCACCCAACTCTTCTAAAAACAAAAGAAATGCTGTTATGTTTGAGCCTAAATCTGTTAGTTTTCACCTCTTTAAATGCGTTTTTGACTTATTCATTCCCTACAGACTATTATCCCTTCCTCGCCTCCATCCTCTCACCACCATTCTGGTAGCTTAGATAAAGCTGATGAAAGTTCACAATATGTCTCTCAAAACAGTTATCAGGACTCGTCTCCAGAGTCTAAGTCTTCAATTAGACCTAGAGCTCCTTCTGAACCTTCAAAACCCGACATCTATTATCATAACCCATCCTCTCCGGAAAGAGTAAAGAAACCAAGACTTTCTCCTTTGAAACCCCCTTTCATGTCTATCAAGACCTTAGGTAGAGCTTATTCTGCACCAGACAACTACGTTGGTCAATCAAAAACTATCTCAGGCACTCTCTCTCCTTATCAATCATCTCAATCTCCTAATTATTCAAAGTATAAGTCTGCCCCAATACGCGAGCGTAGACAAAACAAAAAGAGCAGACCTCCAATGCCCTCATTCGAACAACAATCACCTTCATTGTTCAATAATGACCATCAATCTGAAAACCAACCTGATAAATCAAACAAAAAACCCTTCGCTAAACCCGCATTCAGAAGAGCTTTCTCTTTAGTTGCTCCAAATCCAATGAACAATGTCCCATCACCGGGTGATATTGACTCTTCACCATGTGCTGATGCTTCTCCGTCAATAAGACCTTTATCACAACAAATTCAACAAAAAAACACTTTTAATAGACCTTCAGGTCCTTTGAGAGCTCTATCTTCTTTACAAGGTCCTGCGATTTCTCCTAGAGGTGTTCAAATTCCTGGTTTCGGTCATAGTGAAAAGGAGGGTAAACTTTTACCTTGTTTCAACGTTAAGGATGATGGCTTAATGAGAGTAAACCCTGATGTCGTTGATGACTTGATATCCAACCCTCTGCCAAACAATATTAGTGATTTACACATCGTTGATTGTAGATTCCCATTCGAATATGCAGGTGGTCATATTCCAGGTGCTGTTAATCTTGGTACTCTTCAAGCTGTTGAGAATCATTTCTTAATACCAAACTCTGGTATTAATCAATCATCTTTCTCTTTACCTACACCCTCAACTTCTGCATCTAATAATGAAAATAGTCGAAAAGTTATTATTTTCCACTGCGAATTCTCAAACATGAGAGCACCTACACTCGCAAAGCACCTTAGATCTTTAGACAGAAGTCGCAATGAACATCCTAACCTAAATTTTCCGGAACTCTATATTTTATCAGGAGGTTACGCGGAATATTACAAACAATATAATTTTAAAAAACCTTACTTGAGATATACACCGATGGATGCACCAAACTTCCATCCAGAACGAGAAGCTCATCTAGCTGCATTCAGAGCCTCATCAAAACCATCTTCCATGGGTGGCGGACCAAATATGGGATTAAGGTCAAAATCGTTTACATTTGCAACTAACAGCTCTAGATTGACAAATGTTTCAAAACTACTACAAGATCAGACAGTACATGAGGAGTGTAGTGAGATTTCAATGGATGCCTCACCTTGCGCGCCTTCACAGAAAAGTAACAGACCTCCATTACTTAATAGACACAAATCACTCGCTAAGTTGCAAAGCTCGCCTCTTAAATTAGACAGCGACAACGATTCACCAATGAAGATAAAAAGGGACTTGACTTTTGTTGATCGGTCATAATCATCAAAACGTCTCAAACACTCTTTCTCAAACACACTCTCTCAAACATTCTTTCTATTCAGTATTTTGTTTATAGTTGTATATGTTTATATAAATACACGGTATTATTCAAGCTCAAACTCAAAATCAAATACCCAATCGCTCTTCTAACTCCTTGTTTTGAAGTTTCAGTGTTTCTATAGTGTTCATATCTGACTTTTGCTGTGTTATATGCCCAAGATATTCCTTGCGTAGATCTTCATATTGAGATTGTAATTCTGTATACATTCCTGCACGCTCTTTGACATTTGAGAGTGTTGAACGATGTTCATTGTCTAATTCGAGCTGCCTTTCTTGTTGTAATACATATAATCTCTTTGATAATTCGTTAACGGTGGTATCCTGGAATGTCTTTCTAGCCGCAAGTCCAACACTCAGTTGATTCTCCAGCAAACTTATCTTTGATAGTAACTCCTGATTCTCCTTACTCAACGCAAAGGCTGCTTCAGATGATTGCTGGTATTGTTGCCTTAGGAAGTCATTATCCTCTACTAAACCGTTTATACGTCTGTCATTATCTTCAACTTGTGCGCCTAATCTGACATTCTCGCCAACATTCCTTTCGTGATCCCCTTGGAGGGCATGAGCAAACTTTGTGAATTGATCGAATGGATTGAGCGGCTAATAATGTTAGATGATTTTTCACTTTAACTTACTACCTTACTGTTTCTGGTGCTTCTTCGACATTGACGTCCTTTGACTCGTTATCTTTGACTCTCACATCATCCTCATTTGGCTGCTCAATAATTACCGCTTCAACTACTGCATCATCTTGCATCGGTACATTATCCTCCATTTCTTGTGTACTGGCAGAATAACTTGATGATGACCGTTGGTTCTTATCCGTTAACTCATAAGACTTGTAATAAGAATAATAAATTCACTTTACAATTATATAATGCTAATTTGTAATCGTACAATGCGAAATAGTTATGCAATGAAGTGATTGCCGTTACGGAAATCAAAGCTGATCGTCATCAACAACAAAACCATCCTCATACTAAAGAAATCAAAGTTAGAAATATTTTAGTGTATAAGTTTACCCAAACTCACATCATATGTATCATCTGGATCAGCTACGTTTGGACTACTAGAAAGCAACATCGGCCTATGGGCTGCCTCTTTCGAACCAAGCATAAACCCTACAGGATTCCTTATAGGTCCTGCATTAAATTGTGGTCCACCTCCGTTTGGTACCTGAGTTGCTAAACCCATTACATAAGCTGCTTGCTGATTATAATCAATGTCATTATTAATGAGCTGACTTTGATCACCAGCAACAAAATCAATATCACTTTCCGATAGTGCTTCTACGTCACTTGATCTCTCATCTCCAGAAGCATCTTCATTTTCAGAGACTTGAGCATCCAGATCTAAATATTCACCATGCGTCATCATCGTTCTACTACGCTTTGTTGTTGGCTGAGGAGGCATTGGTGATGTATTCGATGATGATCTCTGTCTTAATCGTTTGAATGGATGATAGGGTGTACCACGGGGTGAGGATGAGATGAGTGATTTGCCTGTTGTGCGAGGTGCAATAAGACTCTGACCAGGTTTACGGACAACCTGTGATTGATCGGGCGATCCATTACTCAATATTGATTTCGGTTCATAATGAAATGGCTTGATATATGTGTTCTCCTGAACATTCATTCGTGTGTTGTTGACAACAAGCGGAGATGAGTCAACTGACATGCAGCTGTTGTTTGCATTTTTACCACCCAATGGTCTTGCTGGCGTTTTAAATGTTTCATCTTTACGCTTAGCGTTGTCATTCTTTCCGGGAACGACCACGGGACTGTCAACTTGATCAGAATCAAGGTCAATGACTGGTGAATCTTGAAATAGTAGTCTAGGTGCTTTAAACCCTTTTTTACTTCTCTTCTTGCTTCCAAATGGTGGCTCTGACGGTGACTTTAAGATCGGTGGTTTGTTCAGGACCAAGACTGGTGAAGATGTTGGTGACATTGGCGTTGGTGATCTCGTACGCTGTCTTTTTGTACTCTGTGTAGGCTTGGGAGACTCTACCTCTTCTTCGTCATCATGGAGAGTGATTGAATGAGTTCGCAATGACAACGTCTTTGATAAAGCGGCCACTGATTGATTGGATTTACTTGCTTGACTTGCTTGCCGTCTTACAGCATGACTTGGCTGCCTTTGTAATTGGCTGGGTTTATTCTTCAACTTCTCGTTTCGCTTCGACGAAGGACCTGAGGGCTCAAGCTTCAAGGGCTGCACTTCCTTCTGTGACTGAAAGTCATCTATGCCCTTTTTTAGTGCTTCATCTTCAGAATCTGATTCGACGTTCATAGCAGCAGTGTCTGTTTTCTTTTCAACGAGATCACTAGCATTAACAAACCCCGAGGTAGCTTGTTCTGGGACGTTACGAAGAGGATTTTCATTTCTTTTCCGCTTTGGCTTTGAAGCCTTCGTGAAGTTACGGATGTTTGAACTAGAAGAGTCTTTCTTGATGTTTTTCTTAGTTAAGCTTTCCCATTCTTCAACCTGAACATGTCTCTTCTCACATTCAGGTTCAACGTCATGTGGAATTAACCGTTCAACATCGTTGTATAATGCCACTTGATCTCCCGAAACAATATATGCTTGAACATCCTGGTGCCTAGCTTGTGCTTCATCCCAATTTTTATCTTCAAGGTCTTCAGCCATGAGTGTGTGAACGTGTCCCTGACGCTTTCTGCCAGTACGACCAATCTTTTGTAACATACTGATAGAGCTTCTTCCAGGATCATAGGTTATAGTAAGATCGATATCACCAATGTCCAAACCTTCTTCACCGATAGATGTTGAGACTAACACATTAAAAGTCCCATCTTTATATTCATTCATGACTTTCTGTTGTTGTTTTTGATTTAAACCCTTTTTACCATTAGATGCTGCTTGTCCGACGAATGCCGCCGCCTATTATGAATCTTGTCAGATATATACTTTTGCATTATTTCCTAACCCACTCTAAGAATAGGAGAATGGGTATTGATTTGTTCCACTACTTCGTCCACTGTCTCTCTAAGTGCTGTATGAGTGTGAGATACTGATCTTAAGACAAAGAAAAAACGCACATGCAAAGACTATGGCTCTAGTTTCAGTCTTTTCCGTTGAAAAGTTGGTAAAGTGATCCAATAACAGTGATTCTACTTTCTCCATCTTTGGATGACTGAGTCTGCCATTGCGTCTGGATCGTTCAGACTCTATTGATAACATAAGTTTTTCTATAGTCTTTTTGGTATCTGGATCTTGCTTTTTGCCGCTCAGCTCTTGCAAATTTTGATAGAATATCTCAATGCTCTGGATTTGCTGTAAATTGGTTAGCCTTTTTTCTAGCGCAATTAATTGTGAGCTCACCAAGTTCCTCATAGCACGCGTGGCATCTCCTGCTTTATTCAAACTACCAAACAAATATTTTTGATGTGGTAATATCCTGCTACGAAGAGCAGTGATCGAATATGGATGAAGCTTCCTCAATTTGTTGATTGTGTACTCTGGAAGAAGATCTTTTGCAATGAGTGGATCGACTGTACGCTGGTCGAACGCTTTAGTCGATTATCAATCGTTTTAAGTTGACTTACTTTTACGACATCCTCCCATTGCATACACAACTCATCTATGAAGTAGTCCATTTTTATAATATGCTCTTCAAAGATCTTCTTATGGGTGTACTGTTTAATATCTGGTGATGAGTCATTGCGAATGGCGATATTACTTATATGCAAGTTATCTATAATTGGTTGTACTTGTTCAGGAGTATTACCAGGAGTAGCCGTCAAAGCCAATACTCTGAAATGAGGGTTCGTTTTCATCATGTGCCGCACCACTGAGCAGTAGCTATCAAAGTGTAAATATGATGTCATCTAAGAATGCATGACGCACGAATAATCTCCTTGTCCTTTGTGAGCTTCATCTGGATAAAAAATGTAAGATTTTTATGTAAGCTGCAAATGTCTTGAACTACCTATCACTATCAAGACAACATCTTGAGGATCACACACTCCCTTTTGAAGGTCGTTGTTTAGAGTTTGAGGAGTCATATACAAAACCCTCTTTTCCCTTATCTGATAACTGTGAGCGCTGATTGTTTTTTTAAAGGACAGCTTACGATAGCTTCACGTTTTTGTTGTGAGACATCACCATACAAGACACTGACATCAGATTGCGGGATACCACAAACGTCGTGACAAGCTTTGGCCTGTTGATCGACAAGCGGTTCTAATCTCATTCATTTTAATGTTCTTGTAATCTGAGTCAACTTACTCGTTGGTGCTAAGAAGACTACTTTGGCAGTAGGGAACCACTTATAGTAGTTCATAATAACTACTCCAGCTATTAGTGTCTAAATCGTTGTCAATTTGGAAAGAAGGGATTTCAAAGCAACTCACTTTACCAAGACCAGTTGGAAGCGCGACCAATGTGTTTTGGAAGAGACACTGTGTTGTGATATTGATCTGGTAGTCTCTGATAGGATAGTTTGTAGGATAAATCCAGCTCTTGACAGCTTGAGGATCGTATCTATGCTTCATCGGTTGTAGCTATAGTTGTTTAGTAGTTGTAGAGGTTCTATACTCGACTTACAGAGCTAAAAGCGGTTTGGTGAGACAGTGTTACAGGAAAATAAAAAACCACCTACCCTAAGCAAATGTAAGAAAGTTGCAGATAAATTGTGTTAACTTACCTGTTGATAGCGAGGGGAATTGCTCGAATTCAATTAAATCGTCTTCGATAATCATATCGCCGTCCTCTTCAGCTCTCGCCTTCTGCTTTCTCTGCTTGTTTGATTTAGACATAGCCTTGTAGTCCCATTGCTTTTTTGCTCCACTGTGCTCTTTCTGAACCATAACAGGTCGCGGTGGAGGTCGCGACGCGGGAGGTGGCGGTGCACCCCAAAGTCTCTGCTGAACCAGCCCTTGGGATGATGCTGGGTTATTGTATGAGTTATTTTCAATGCGATCTAATTGCTCCATAGCGTCGTCGTCGATGATGATAGGTGAGTTGAAATCCTCACCATAATCGATCGTGCTGTCTATCCCAGCGGTCTGTTCCTCTCTAATTCGATAGTCTTGTATTTGTGGCCGCTGTTGGTTGAATTGCGATTCAATCAAGTCAGCCTGCTCTAATAGATCGGCATCGTCGAAAGAATCGGAGAAGTCTGAGTTGTCCACTAGACGTAAGATGTTAGCCTCTTCCATATTGCGGGATATTCGCGCTTACTCTGTGCTATCTTGAGGAGCACAAGCACGCGTAGTGGTGGTTCGATTCAACACGCGATTAGGATGGGATTTGATCAAGTGGAGTAGATTTTGAATCATTTTTGTGTACCTGCAGCAAGTATAAGCTAAATCAATTTATATCGACTCAAATTACTCTCCACCTCTTGCTCATCTCTCGCATCCAAAAGCGGAGCAATTAATAACAAGGTACGAATGACGTTGGTGTTTACGCGTAGCATGGTCATGAGCCGATAGCATTGAAGCATCATCTTACATAAAATCTAATAAATATCGCGTCAAATCCTTCAACGCTCTGAGCACATCTGTGACGTCAGTTTATCGAATCATTTATAAGTTTACAATTATTTCTTTGAATCAAGAAACTGTCCTTGATATGATTATTCAGGTACAAGAATCTTGAATGTTTGAGTGTATGTACTAATCGATGCATTCTTTATTTCATCAAATCAACTAAATCGTCAAACGGTGACTTTTGTTGAGGTTGTTGAGGTGGATGAGGTTGGGGATTTGTAAATTGTGCATTAGATGTTGTGGTATTATTGATATTGGCGGGTGTGTTCAGTCCTGGTGTTATAGGGCTTTGGGCAGCAGGAGTGTATGGTTGGGAATAGCTGACTGGTGTGCCTGTTGCTGGCCTCATTGCATAGAGACTCTTTAAAGCTTCATTTGAGCTCAAGTTCATCGCTGGTGGTGATGATACTTGAGCAGGTTGCGTTTGGGATTGCACATCTGCAGATCCTGTAGGGCCAGGGGATGGTGCAGAAAATAAATCTACTGGAAGTTCACTGCTTGCACCTCCTCCTAGTTGTACTCCAGCATCATTACCTTCGTCGCGTTCAACGTGTTCGTACTGCAAAGGATCATCGAAGTCAATCAAATTCTGACCTTCACTTCGGTCGTTTGAATTTCCAGATGTGATACCCTTAGATTGAAAGCTTGACTCGTTAGATTCAACTCTGTGCGTTTCATTATAACTTACTTTTCATTCATTTCAAACTTGGCATCGTAATCACCATTCTTAAAAGCTGTGTATCTGTTTACGACGTTGTTTATCAAGTCGTTAATCTGCAATAAGCGTTCTGAAGGTAAATTTGTCAAACAGGGGTTTGCACTGACGATATATACTCACCTAGCAAGTCTGGGTCCGATTCAGATGCATCAGATATCCATTTTTGTAGTTTCGGACTTGCTTGCTTGCAAAGTGATGCTACTTGCTAAGCTGGGGTAAGCTTTATGTGCTTTTGTATATAAGTCCTACTCACATCATATGCATCACCACGCACGAGCTTTTCCTGAGTCTGTGCAGCTTGGTCTAGCATATCGTTAAGAAGTATAGCTTTGTGCTGAACTTTGTCGAGTTCTTTCAATGTTTGTGCGCGATAGTCTGGCTTGCGTTCGTCCTTCAGAGCATTAGCGGTGTATATTTTGTGTTTAAGTGACTCACAAATCCAGAAAGCTTTTTCATGAGATCTTGAGCAGCAGCTAAATCTCTTGGTGTACCACGCCTGATAAGTTCTTGCAATTTCTACCAGCCGTCAGGGCGTATATACGCAGAATAATCTATACCTACCGCGGATTGCGCTTCTCTATCTTCCTCTTCTAATTCTTCGGGTGATTTGAGGTTCTAATGCAACGTTAGATATCATCGTGCGATACGACTCTTCTTACATCAGTCGCAACGGTTATAGCAGCATTTCTACTCAATTCTGGGAATCTGTAACCTTTATAACCAAGCAATCTCCACATGTCTCTAACGTGAACAAGGTCCTCCTTGTGTTTTGAAGTAGTCGCTACGCCATTCTTCCACTCATTGATAAGCTCGAGCGTTTTGCCCATGATTGGACCTGGATAGGCGGGTGGACGCTCTGGGAACCTACGCACAAGCTCATTGAGGAAGTCTTTTGTCGCTATTTGGAGATGGAAAGGGTAACCACAGTTCTTGACCAGCACATCAAGTAGCTTGACAAGTGTCAGTCCAATGAAGCTATAAGAGAGCACAAACTCACATGAAGAGCTAGTAGCGCTGATCTAGGGCTTCCCTGATTGACATGCCTTAATATCTCAAACGCAGCTTCTCGTGGACTAAGAGGAGCGTGAGATTGACCTACTAATAAGCAACAACTAACCAATTGGATTTTTTGGTATTGATGTACTCAGCTATTTCCATTTCTAGTTCTTGATTTGGCTGGAAAAGCGTCGTTTCACATGCCATAGCTGAGATTGAACTGAGATTGAGGACGCCGTTTGATCCGAATCTTACCTATATACGAGGACAGCACATCAGAGGTTCTTGAATTTCTGCCCCAAGGGCTCCCCAGACGACCGAGCGTATTTGGATTAAGCATCTTGATGGTGGTAGCGGAGTTGCATGTAAATAAATAAATTACTATCAGGTATACAATCAGAGGTGGTGACCCGGCACCAACGCGAATATGAGTGTGAACACTGCAGTAGATAGTGCAACGAGTGCGGCTACTAATCTGCATTACTGTGAGATTGATAATGATATCACGACGCAATAACCTACGCGGTGCGAATGAGTAGGAGCTTCTTAACATAGGGCTCTTCAATTTCGATAGTCCTGAATGGCGTCGTTTCGCTATGCTTTGTCAGTATTGCTATCGATGACACAACAACGCACCTCTTGTTAAACAAGACCATAAGAGGGTCGATATTATACTTGAAAGACCAGATGAGAAAGAAAGATATTAAAAAGGGTAAAAGCACCTGTATTCGCATTCGATTAGCTGGGTAATGAGGCGTAATTGTTGCACACACCCAAACTCGCGTCTTCTGGGGCTTGTAGTCGATGAATATAAAGCAAAAGCCAAGTGCAAAAGCAAACCAAAGAAGGAAAAGTCCTAAACCGAGTCTTACTAATGATGACATCGGTGTTAAGTTACCAAAACCTTTGGCACGTAAAAATCTGTTCCTAGTTAGCAGTGGAAAAGCAATATATTACACCACAAACCTGGGAAACACACCACCCTCAAGTGCCCTGAAAATATACTCCTTCTGAGGGTAGAAGAGATCTGGTATATCAGTCAGCGGCGTATTATGACCAAAGTTTTGTATTCTAAGAGCAGGTGGTAGATAGATTTCCTTGTCACTGCCAGGAGCGAGGTATCTAAAGTAAATGCGCTCAGCTGAGTCGAACAAATCACCATGGCTAATGACAGCATTTCTAGGTATCGTCGTTGGATTCCTCTTTGAGTCCTTGCGTTTAGAAACCAAAGTATTGACAGACTTCTCCGGGTCAAAGTCAGATGTCGATAAGTTCTGCTTGTTTGAGTTGTTTGAGGCGTCGAGTAAGAAATTGTCTAGTGCAACTGGTTGCTCACGGTGACCTGATTGAAGGGAAGTTGAGGAACGCGACTGATTGTTGATTGGAGAAGGACTTAGGCGATTGCGATCGAAGTTGTTTGAGGGTTCTGCGAGACCGATGAGGTTTGAGTATATGGAACCCTTGCTACGCGCGCTACTAAGATATTCCGGCCAGACGTCCTGTATCAGTCTTCCAGATTTCCTGATATCCTTAAAGTAAGCGCGGCACAGATTCTCGTGTTGCTGTGTGTCTAGCCAGAAATCAAGTGCGTCCTCAGAGCCCTCGCGTTGGAGGAAAAGATAGAGACAGAAAAGATCGACGGGTGGTTTAGTTTTCCGAGAAAGGACCTCTGCTAGCGTGGGTAGACGCGTCAGTCCAGAGGAGTTCTCTGTGAATTTCATATGATGAAGTAAGTTGAAGAGATGTGCATAACATTCCAGTGGAAATGTAAATAAATTTTGGAGGCAATAAGTCGCACAAGATTACCAGCAGTATCACGCACGAATTCTGTACTTGGGATACTCACTCATCTCTCCGTCCTCGTTCTCAGAAACGTCCAAGATGTCAGCATTCAGCAGAGCACTCCCAACGGCGGTAAAAGAAATCAGACTAATTGGATGCCAAACTGGAAACAGATCAGAGGGATTCAGGTGGGTAATGTATTTATCTCTGCGTAGAATAATCCCAACCGCAACCAGGCAATTCGTACAATCATCCTACCCTAATCTCAAGCAATCGAATCCACATCTACCAATCCTCGTTCGTGAGGCTGCCGGTGTACCAGCACGTGCATTCGCTAGATTTGGTGGGTAGCCGTGTCCAAGCACAGGACAGCACTGACAATGACAGAATACGGCTTGGAGAAGAACGTTAGCTTAGATGGATTGTCTGCAGGTGAGGTGACAAAGCAGGTCGAGACGCTGCTGTCCAAGACCAATTAGACTGTACTTTTCTTTTGAATATAATGACTTGTTCATTTCTTAGATCCCTAACTGCGGTGATTAGTCTGATACAGATTTCAATTTAGTTAATGAAAACAATTTGACAATAGCCCTTATCTTCTCGCTCAGACCCTTTTTGAGAGATAACAAAGGAAACGTAGCAGTAAACAAACCTTTATTATTAAAATTTACAGCCCTATCCACCTGTAGAACTCAAATAAATATGATTAACACCCATTTCTTATGTTCGTAAAAGTTTTCATCGCTGTATCTGTCGGTAGGTGTACTGTTGGAGGTGTTTTATTGACTACAAAACACCTACTAAAGCCTCAACCGTCTTCGCTGCTCCAATTGCATGCTCTGCCTCCTTCAATTCGATCGTCCAAGGAATCGGCTAGAACCCAGACTTCTACTTCGGCTCTCAACCCTTAAGTGCGAATACTCAAGACTTACAGCTAAAAGCTGATCATATTTCTCAAGTTGCGTTTACAATCGCGCGTTTAATCACGCGTTTCACTGACAAACGACGCGACTCTGGTGATCAAACAATTGACTTGGTTCTTCAAGTAAACTAACGAGCAAATCTCTGCTCATGGTACTGAAACTTGTGGTGTTACCCAAAGATGCTTAAAAGTACTTTTCTGAAGATATTTAGGTATTTTCGACCACCTCACACTAAAACTCAAGATTGTGGTCGGTGAAGATCTAGTTTTGCCATCCGTGTTCTAGCCAATGGATAACGAAATCGAAGCGACGATTTTTGGTGTATAGTCAGACGTTACCAACATTCAACAAATCATAAATGGCGCTCTGAACGACCTGGGTTTTGGTGATGTTGCCAGCCCACTGGAGAAGACGCTGAACGACAAATTTCCAGGGCTTCTAAACTTAAATGGCAATAAGCTCAACAAGGTTCTTGAAGGCGTGTCCTTTGTTGGTGACCATTTGTTATCGATTGAATTGTGGATAGTCGGGATGACTGGGGCAAAATCAGTCACGCTAATGTAATTAATTGAATGACATGTAACGATAACCGCCAATTTACTTGGCAAATTGTGACACTTGATCAGCACCGATGGTCGTGTCTAGGTACGAGGCCTGACATTTTGAGGATTGCACGTCGATCAAGTTGAAGATAATGGAAGGCAATGACTGATAGCTGCAGTCTATGCTTATTTTTATTAGCCTGCAGATAAAAGTGGAGGTCTGTCATAGTCTCAGGCGTGTGGGTGTCATTAAGGGATGTCCGCGGGTGCTTTCAGGGAGCAGTATAAATGAAAAGCGGCTAAATGTGTCAAAGAAAAGACTTTAGCTTCTTAAAATTCTCTGTAAAACCTATGGACGATGTTGAGCAAAGCCACACTCAGCCAAAAGAAGGAATGTGGATGAGATTTAATATGTGTGCCAATCGAATCAAATGTATAATCACTCACAATACATCTCCACCCTTACTGCTCTTTATCGTAATTTCCCGACTTCGTCTTCTCGCCCGTTCATCACTATGATAAAGAACTTGCGCTGCTTTGGTACATCTTGCAGGACGCAGGCTGTGCTTGGTCCGAAAGGAGCGCAAAATCAAGTTTATCGCTGGGAGAGCTCCAAGCCAGACGATAGCGCAACTCCAAAGCTTGAGATTGAGAGTAAGCGGAGATGGCTGGCATATATGCGCATGGAAGAGTTTGAGCTGCCAAAGCTAGAGAGTGCGTTGTTTCATGTTATAGAATACCTCTGACATGCATTAGAATACAAAAAGGAATTCGTACCGCCAGCCGACGACCAAGTTGTAAAGGTGAGGACACTCGAATATCTCAATCAAAAGCCACACCCAGCATCCGTGAAATCTGTCATTTCCGTTAAAATCAAAGATCTTCCTCTCACGGATGGATCGTGTAAGCACAAGGCTAAACTTCTCGCAGGCCCTCGCTGGTCAGGGCCACAATCAAGCATATTAAATGGCAAACTTATAGAAGATATTGACGGTGAGGTTAAGATAAGCTCAGAAAATTTCCCACATAGGGCACAGAATGTCAGATGGTGCTCTGACAAGCTGCAGTTACTGATAAAGGAGTCAAACGTGAGCAGCCAGTTCGAAGGCGTCCACTCGCTAACAAGACTTTTACAGGATAAAAGCTACAACTTTGATGACATTCCTTTAGATACTCGTCACGTTATTCGCAGAATCCGCAAGTCAAGGCGTGGTGGACATAAGATGGAGAACTTGGCAGGTGCGCAGCAGGGGCGTAGGCCGACAAAGTATGATATGCCGGAGGAGTGGATTGAAGAGGCCAAATTAGCGTTATCACAAAAGTGATGTCGTAGAGAATGTGATATGTTTTTACCAAAAAAAAAGATCACGAGAAAGAGAGCTGTGTTAATGATCATATCTATACTGGTATTCCTATAATGAAGAGTTCCTAAAACATTTAATGTGTATGCATGTCCGAAAATGTCTCCAAGGTGACATTTCTGTCTTTGAATGCTTTGAAGATGGGGATTGAGTATGGAATGCAGATTCCGATCTTTATTCAATTTAAAGAATTGTAAGTAGCAGTGCTCTTAAACAACAATTACAATGACCAACATGATTCTCTCACCTCCAGCAACGCCTATGTTCACCGAGATGAAGGACACTCCAGAGAACTTGTCTTCGTTTGTGCAGACATTCGTTGCATCAACGTTCCCTCCATCCAAGAAGCAGATGCAGACAAACATATACACACCACCCGCCTCTCCAATGTCACCGCAATTCAACCAAGGTCCACACTCTGAGCTTCAAGACTTTGCATACTATATAATAACGCGTGCTGAGCTCTGCACAGAAGCAGCGCTATGCGCATTGGCTCTGTTAGCACGTCTTCGCAGAAGATTGCCTCGCGCAAGAGCTGAATCAGGTCCAAGACTCTTCCTTGCCGCTATGATTGTCGCATCCAAGGGACTCTTCGATATCGCATACAATAACCCTGGATGGTATGAAATAGCTGCAGGCTGTCCTGCTATTGAAGCAGACTTTGCCTTGGCAGACATTAACTTGAGTAAGTTAAATTTTTACAAATTGCGACTAAATTGACGAATCATTAGTGGAGCGCCAGCTGCTAGCACACTTGGATTATCGTGTTGCCGTATTTGGTGATGAAATTCTCGCTTTACGTAGAATATACACCACTGGATCAGTACAGCAACCATTGGTGAAATCGCAATCTACCAACACGTCAATCAACAGCCTCATCACGCCACCACCATCACCGCTAGATATGCCATTCTTAGATCAATCACAGTCACAATCGCAATCGCAGTCACAATCATTCAATGAACCAGTGCCACCACCACGCCCATACAAGTCACGCGTCAGAAATTCAATTGGAGGTACACAAGATATTCAGCAATATCAAACATTCGCTGAGCCAATGACAATTTATGCGAGAAGACCGCGTGCAGTACCACTGCCACCACTGTTGCCTGTTCAATCGAGCGCATGTTCAATGGAGACAGGACCATTCACAGCACCTATTAATAGCCAAGCACCACAGTATCCTCAGTCATTTGAGAATACAACACGCTCACACCGTCGCTGGCTCTAAATGAGACACGAGAACAACAACGACATTCACGGACACTCAGCTTTCTTAAATTATCAAATGACATACCCACGGCAAATACTGTAAATCAATTTTAATCGGATTCCAAAAAGTAGAATACATTCTTTTTAATAATTTCTATATAAAATAACGCTTGTGTGTTTACAATCAACTCGACGCGACGTGAACAAATGAAATGTCGAAGTCGCTGCAAGATCTAGACGTTCTCTCGCATGTTCTTAAGCAGAGATTGCTAAAAGGTTGATCCCTTCTCATCGCGTTTCGGTGGCAATCGATTAACGTCATTTGCAGCTGATCTAATTGACCCTTTTGAAGTTTTGGTTATGGACACTGGCAATTTATCAAAGAGGCTAAATATGTCTGCTTCAGAATGTCAAAAACTCATCGACGTCGTTGCGCTTGGTGCTTTTCCTGATGTAGAGGATTGGACAAGTCGATTTAATTCGATGGACAGTTTCACGAGCGGTGACAGCGCGATAGATGATGTACTTGGTGGTGGTATACGCGAGCAGTCTCTACTTGAGATAGTTGGAGCATCGTAAGTGGATTTGGTGTAATTGCACACACCCACTTAAATACCGTCTACAGCTCCGTTGGCAAGTCGCAGCTAACAATGCAATCTCTCGTTACAGTTCAGCTGCCTTTCGAAGAAGGTGGTTTGGACGCACGCGCAATACTGATACACGCAAGTAAGGCACCGCCAACAGAACGGCTGAGTACAATCGCGCGTACATATTTTCCAGAATCGCATCCGAACGATATTCTATCAAACATATCTCTTCTCCATGTGAGGGATTTTCAGTGTTTGCAGCACGCGTTAGATTTTTTCATACCGCGATTTTTGGTAGACGGAACAAAAAGCAAACCAGTCAGATTGATTGCAGTAGATTCTCTCGGAGAGCTTAGTAGGCAATTTGATTCGAATGCGCATGGACTCGCGCAGAGGAATGCATCGCTGTTGCGAGTAGTTGATAGCTGTAAGCGACTTATACACAAGTACAGACTATCGCTCGTTGTTGTGAATGGAGTCAGTGAGGCTATACAAGAAAATCAGATAGCGACGATGAATAGCTATGGTGTTCAGTCGCGTGCTTTCTCTGGACAGTCTGTACATAGCACCAAACAAGCCCAATTGGGATTAATATGGGCACACAACGTTCAAACGCGCTTGATGCTGGTAAGGACGCTGCGAAAAGTCCATGTGAAGGTAACGGAGTCAGAGATAAGGATGAGTTCAACAGCAAATGGCGAAGCTGAAGCACGACTACCTATGCCACCAAAGGTAGAAGAAAGTGTAATGAATATTGATAGGCGGTTCAAGAAACCTCGCAAAGATGAAACATTTGCTGTGCACAAGCGCAGAGCTCACGTCGTATACTCAACATACCTGAGTGGAGGAAAGTGCGAGTTTTATATACTCCCAATTGGAGTAAGGTCGGTAGAAATGACAAGACCAGATAGAAGAAAAGGATCACCAGTTCCAACATGCGCTCTCACACCGGCAATCAGTCAGTCGCATACGCAATCGATAGATGACGATGAAGCAAAGATCTGGGCATCGATATCGTTCAGTGATGGGGACGAGGAGGATCTTTAGCATAGATTAATATAAAAATGTAAATTATTGAGCATTGTTGATAACACTCAGTCATCATCATGTATAAACTGAAAAACACGCTAGCGGGGCATAAGAGGAGTGTAAATAGGGCAAGATTTAGTAACAGTGGCAAATATCTCGCGTCAGCGGGTGTGTAAAAGGTTTAAGTATCACCTACCAACCTAATGCTCAACAAGGCGCAGATAAAACTGTGAAAGTTTGGAATATAGAGAAAGGGTTTTTACTAGAGAATTTTGAAGAACACGAGGATGGGGTGAATGACGTTTGCTGGTCATCGAATGATAGATATATCGCTAGTGGATCTGATGATAGATCAATAATACTGTGGTCGATAGAAGGCGTAAGAAACAAGGATCACGCCGTAAAAGTACTCAAAGGACACACAAATTATGTCTTGTGCGTTTGTTACAATCCACAGTGCAATCTATTAGCAAGTGGATCTTTTGACGAGACAGTGAGAATTTGGGATGTGCTGAGAGGTATGCTAACTGTTATTAACGTGTTAATTTAAATTATAAGCAGGAAAATGTTTGAGAACTATATCAGCACATTCAGATCCAGTAACATCGATAGACTTTAGCAATGATAGCTCGTATATAGCTAGCTGCTCGATGGATGGACTGATGTAGGGGTTTGCTAGTGTCTCGTGGCATAGCTCGTGACGTGGGTAGCTAACACATTCTGTCAGACGTATATGGGATATTTGGTCAGGACAATGCTTGAAGACATTAGTCGATGAGTCAAACAAACAAGCGACATTTTTAAAATTCTCACCCAACTCTCAATACCTCTTAAGCGCATCATTAGATCATATGGTGAAACTATGGGCATATGCTAGTAAAGAACGACCTATTCGAACATACACAGGACACGATAATAGCATTTACGCACAGTCGATTGATTTCGGCTACTTTAAGGAGAAGAGGTGTGTCATTGCTGGTTCTGAGGATGGCAAGGTGTTTGTTTGGGATTTGCAGACAAAGGAGGTTTTGCACAGTTTTACTGCACATAAAGGTGGGTGTGATATAATATAGTGATCAAGGCATTATTGACAAAGTAGACGCCGTTATTAACGTTGATTCACATTCACGATTACCACTGATATGCAGCTGCTCATTGGAAAAAGAGTGAGTGGGTATTCAACGTTAATCAAAACTAACTTGAACCAGTCTGACAATAAAGATTTGGGAGTATGTACCAGGTGATACTGAAATGATTGAAGATAGTAATGTACCATCGAATGAAGTTATGAATGATGATTGAAATGGTATCACATTGAGAATACAATTGAGTCAAATGAAATGCAAGTTGAGCTAATCATTTCTAGGACAATCCAAAGCGAAGAGTGGGAAGGGATAGATATCTTGATCGAGTAGACCGGCATACTCACCACTAATATTGACATCGCCAGATTTATCATTGACTTTGTTAGCTAGTGATGGAGATAGATGAGCAAAATGTTGGATGAGGGGAGGTAAAAGCTTGTTGGAAGACTTTTCGTCTAAATCTATGACAACATATAAGTAGTCTGTTGGTAAACCATATCTCAGGACAGATTCGATGTATAATCTGAGGAATTTAATATGAGCCAGAGCTTGGAATGTTTCAGAGAAGACGACTTTTAGTAGTTGAGTGAACTTTTTGTATTGGAATTTTTCTTTATCGCGGGCGTCTTGAAGTTGTTTTGATGACTCTTGTCCTAATGAGGGGTCGAATTGAAATTCACGAACAATGAACCTGTTTTCGCGACAAGCTTGAGAGAAGTCTTGCTTATACTTGCGGAAAACAGAAACATTAACAAGGGCAAATTCACTGTCTGTCGTAATAACGCTGTGGGGGAGGGTGTAAGAAGGTGAGAGTGAATTGAAGATGGTAGAACCTACTTGGATGATCTGGGTACAACCATCTTGCCCATTCTTTCATAAGAATTAAACCAATCTTTGAGGTTATTTCTGTTATTGACGTTAGAAAGTGGATAGGCACGGCAACGCAGCAACTTGCAAAGGGACAGCAATGAATAGAGATTGTAGAAATTCAGAATCAACGACATGAGATTGAGAAATGATACCAGCTAAGGATTTAGTTGAGAGATTGCCTAATTGTTTACGTTCAAGTTGGTTGAGAGAGCCTTTCGCGATTTGATAGTCTTGTTGATGATTTTTAAAGTCTAAATTATGAGAGTTGACGTTGTTTACGATGGCATGAGAAATATCAAATAGATTAGAATTATTGCGTTTGTATTTATAGTTATTCCATTTGAAATCGTTTAGGTATTCCTTCGGAGGGATTTGATCAATGGATAAAGAACTTGTGACGTTTAAGCTATCGGAAGACTCCAAGTAATTTTGAAGGAAAGAAGAAATGTGATGATCGAGTTGATCAAGCTGTTCAGACAAAGAAATGGAAGCAGCTAAAGAGCTATATTTGAATGCAGGTAACTCAATCGTATGGATTGAAGTCGAAGGGTTTTGAATAGAGTTTGATTTTATAATGGCAGCCTTTAAATTTGAAATTAAATTAAATTTGTTTTCGTTCTTGATTGGAATTGAAATTAAATAAAATAAATCCTTCATGGTGGTTGTGGATGTGGTGGGTGTGCATGATACAAGGTTCACAAGTACAATCAAGGGGTAATATAAAATGTAATTAATACTGCTATACGCATACACACACACCAACTAAACTCACAGGGCTAAACTCACAATGAAAAAGATTAAAAACCGCGAATCAATCCACCCAGGTTCACGTAAGGCTGAGCAAGTTACAAGGGTAAACCTGCGTTTGAATAAGCTGGATCAGAAGAAAAAGGCTTTGAATACTGATAAGAGTAACAAGATGGCTAGGTATCATTACTTGGCAAATAGAATATCACAGCTAGAACCACAGCCTACAAGGATAAGCCTGGAAGATCTTCACAGTCTAGTTATACAATACATTGATAGAGATGATGATATTTATAATCAACTTAAATCTGATAGGGAGATTAGAGATAGTAAGTTAAAGAGATACTCAGGCAAAACAGCTAGAGAGGGTGAAATTGAATCTAGAAAGGAGAGAGAGTTATCAGAGTTTAATAGTGGATTCGTAGTACCAGATTTAACTGATAATATCACAATGGATTTGTTCAAACAATTTCCAAGTGCTCGTAAAATATCAAAGAAAACAAAGGGGAAAACTCATTCAAGTCAAGTGAACCAGGATAATTCTGATAATCAACAGCTAGATGAAGATGAATTATCAAAGCATGGATTAGATTTCAATTACCTCCCCCAGCTAAAGTTGATAAGAGTTTATTCAAATGATAATTCTAGATCTGATTTATTCCAATCTGGCCAGAATCCTATCTATAATAAATAGCTTATTTTGTATTTTAATTTTTATCCCTCTTAAACATCTTCAATCATCAAGTCAATATGCCCATCAGACAGCTTGAATCTTTCATAAATGAAAAGAAATTAAGTAAATCCACTTCGCTTTCTTCTTTAAGGGATACAAGATTAGGCATTGAAATGCAAACTTATTTGAATAGGCTGTTTGTAGATCCAAATTCAAAGGAACCTTTAGTCGCTGCTATGGGTGGTCATCCACTCGCTTTAATGGCTCACATCGAATCCGATCTAAGACTCCTCGAAAAATGGCACATCAAACCAATTTTCATCTTTAACGGTTTACAGCCTTCCAGAAAAATGAGATCTGGTTATACCGACTCTAGATCAACAATACGCTCAAATGGTTGGTCGGCTTATGAACAAGGTAGAATCGATGACTCAATAAATAGCTTCGGTCAAAGGCAAAACATATTTCAACCCGATCTATTACGCCTTATTCATAAACTATTCAGACAACGTCACGTTGACTTTATCACTGCCCCTTACGTTTCTTGGCCTCAATCTGTATACCTCCTTACTCACCCAAATTCTTACATTCACGCTATTTTTGGTGCAACTGAACACCTCCTTTACCCACAAACTGATAAATTAATTACCTCCATCGATTTGAAGAGAGGTTTCTTCAATTGGATTTCAAAGAAATCCTTATTAAACGAGTTAAGATTATCCGATGATCAATTCTTTGACGTTGGTTTACTAGCTGGCATTGATATTTGCCCCACTTTCCCTCCTGCAAATCAGCAATTCGATTTCAAGCAAATCGTTGAAACTGTCAGGCAAGCAAAATCCGGTTGGGTCGCTGTACAAAACTTTATTCAATCTCAACAATCAAATGGTCACGAATCTTCCTATTACGTTGATTCCTATCAAAAAGCTGTCATCATCTTGAACTTTTCCTTCGTCTTATCAGCTGAGGAAGGTCGCGTTTTACCTTTACCTTTGGCAATTCCCCCTCCATCTCCACAACCTGCTCTCTCTTCTGCTGATATTCCTTCCGATTTAGCTGACGTTTTCTCACCTCGTCTACCTGATGAGGTTTACTTTCATTTGTGTAGAGGTTTGATCGGTCCTTGGCCTATTAACACTCTCGCACAAGGTGGCTTCCAAGAAATGCCTCCATTATGCAATGGCGAGACTCAGGAATACAAAAGCTTCGTTAAGGATTACATTACAGAGTCTAACTTTGGTCCAAGAGCTGTTGCTATTGCTTTGATTGCTTCTGCTTTACATCCATTTTGGCGTAACAGACAGGTTCATGCTCACTATTACTTCCATAACCACTCCACACTCGTACCACACAACTCTTCAACAACTACCGATCTTATAAAGAGAATTGAACATTGGAATGTTCCTTCTCGTGTCATTGAGGATGAATTGAGGAGACAGAATTCTTCAACTATCGATTTTGCCCTTTGTCTTGGTGCTACAAGTGGTGACAAATTTGCTGAAAGAACTATAACAATCAAGCCATCAAATGGTCCTGTTTTACATAAGAAGGATGAAATTGTTGCAAATACCATATGGCGGTTTTTGGAATTAAGATCGTACGTATGCACGCTGTTCTAATAGCTAACAACCTAACCCGAATGATAGCTTCCTCACACCTCAACACACTCACACACCCTTCGGACGTGCGATGCATAATGCACTCACAGTGTCAAGACTTAATGACAAGTTCCAAGAGCCACTTGTACTTCTTGTCGAGCTTTTGCGTGCTCGTGTTCTCCATGATCGTCACTTTTCAAATATACAATTCTCAGGTGGTCCATCACTTGGTAGTGAAGATGATAAGAGAAGTATGCTGTTGATATACCGTACACTCTCCATTGTTCCACTTCATTTCAAAGTCAGTTGAGTGTTAAGTGCGAGTACACACCCATCTAATACCCTCAATCAGGCAGAGCATTGGTCAGGACCATTATCTAGGGAGCTGCTCGTCTTCAACTCTTTCCACAAGTCACTTTCAAGGTCTTTAAGAACGCTCGTCGAATCTATCACCATCAACGCCTTCCTCAAGAACAACGCAAAGAGAGCACGTGAAGATTATCTTGATATTGCGCTCTCATTACCATTCCAAAATGATACCAACACTGGATTTGGTATATTTATTAAGGTGAGTTTGGCTTGGATGTTTTAGTGGAGTGTTATTGACTAAGAATCACAGATTTACTTAGATGCATTGACAACATTCGCAGAAGGCAGCATTACAGAAGAAAACAAAGACAGTGACTTTGTAAATGAAGCCAAACAGTCAGCTATTGAGGTTTTGGGTGACGCCATACCCAACGTGAAGAACCCAGAGTCAGAACTTATGCGAGGATTTAGATTTTGGGATGCTGTAGGTGCTTAGATGCTTGCACAACTAACCAACTGACAAAAAACAGGTTCTTGTTTGTGTGCGCACTCTCAAAGCAGACAAAGCGATTGATATAAAACTGGCTGAATCATTCGAAGGAGCCAACAGCTACCTTGACATGATGAGACCAAATTGATCAACCAGTTTTATGCAGTTTATACATATGATTGAAATGAAATGAAATTTATTGTGAAAATGTCTCTAATTTTCTTTTGATTTGGCTTCAAGGAACTTTTCAAGGTCAAATGATGGATTCTCAGGGTCAGTGATTACTGTTGAGCTTTAGTGTGTAAATCACATAACTAGGGCAGATTACTCACATCCATTGCTACTCTTTGATGGCTTCTTCTCGATCCAAGCTTTACGTGCCTTCTCAATGACTTGTTGGTGGTGCTTCTCAGCCAAGTGCTCCTCCTCTTGTGCTTGAATCTTATGCACAGAACGCAGGTGTACTGCACCGTATACAACACCCGTGGCAAGTGCTGTCCAGCGAACAACCTAGTAGCGAATTAATGAGCTAAATCAACCAAACTAAAACCACAGCGCCCACGTTTTGTGTAACCGATGCCATCGTCGTTGATCGTTTGAGTTTAAGTGAGTCGATTTAAACGTTGACGCCGGGAAACTTTTTTCAATCTTGATAAATGCATAAAGAGTAATTAAAATGAGTTTAAAAAATAATTTAAATTAAAAGTTAGTACTCTCTCTAAACATGACGGCTTTGAAACTGTGTGGTGGGGTTAGTTGGCGTGAGCTGGTTTCTAGAATATACAGCGCAAGACTCACAATTCGTAAGATAACCAACATAAAGCATTCGATGGCATATGGGTGAGCATACGTGGTGCCCACCCTCTAAAGAATCCCTTGGCACCATTGCGCTCATACACAATCGACCATGCCTCCATTATACCAGATGCATTTCTTACGCGCATATCTTCAACTGGTGCATTACCACGTGTCTGAAGCACTGTCTTGGCTACGTCTAGTGGCGTTGTGAGGAGTGCTGCAACGGCTCCGGCTGCTGCACCCGACACACCGTGCGATACTGGTGAGTAGTTGTTCTGTGGATTGAGTATCTTTTTTGTGGATTCATAGGTGGAGAACTGCACGGCTGTGAACGGAACAGTCATCATGCTATGGGTGGGGGATGAATATAGGATTGTCTCAGCACTCCATACTCACAGTGTCGTTGGATATGAGACGTAGAAAGCCGAGAGTCCTTCTGTCTTGAGAAGTGTTCTAGCACACGAGCGCACTGTTTTAAATTTCGAGTCCTCGACCTGCATTCTCTGCTTAATCACTGTGATGCGGTGTTAAAAAAATAGTGTAACTAGACTGACGCACCATCGAATGGGTTCATCAAAGCATCAGCAGCTATCGTCGCCGAAGCACCGGCCAACGCTATAAACAACGCTCGTCAGCACTGGAAAACGTTCGCGCTGTGTACCTTACCGGTAGGCAGCACCTGGTGACCCTCTCTGTTGCCTCCCGACAGATCCTTCATAGCCTCGTAAACGCCGAAATAAACAGCGTGTGCTGGACCAGCGCCAATAACAACTGAACTGACACCTCTCCACAACGATCTGAGTCCTTCGGTCGAAGAAACCCTATTGAAAGCCGAATTTACAGACGAGTAAGCGAGTGCTTTGGATGAAGTTGGTGATGTCTGTATTACTTGCATACGTGTCTGTTGAATGAATAGCATAAGCAGGATACATCGTTGGTGGATAGACTAAACGACTAACTTTGATACTGTCGACGGGATACATGAATGCATGCTCCGATATACCTGCCAACGCTCCTGCGAATGCATGTATACCCCAAGAAGCAGTCTCTGGCAATGCTTCGTAATCAGGCTCTTCAACGACGGGAGCGGCTTCCTGAGGCTGTCAAATTTGTTATTCTGTGATGCTTTTGGTGGTGCTCTATGCTAACATTGGCAATTGACATTTCTTCCCGCTTATTTGCTTGTCTTTGTACGACCTGCGAAGACAAGATGTCGTTGGGCGCGGTTGAGTTGATGGATGATCAAAGATCAATTTTAAATTTCGTGGCGGCGTCGTTGTGCACTTTATGTATTGGCAATGTGTCGTTTTACTGTAACGCCCTTCACAGCTTCGTGCGCGGTGAATGCTGGAATCACTCAGTGAACGCCAACGTCACGATGACGCAGGTGTTGCGTTGATCAGAAATGAATGGCTGGAAATATGCGCAGGTACTGGGAAAGACTAAGAGTCACTCAAAGCCACAGCTATCGCTCTGTATGCGTCCCAGGCGACACTTGCTCACAAAACGCGGACGGCGTACAGCCAGTCTGTCTTGTAGGTGTAAATGTGGATAACACCTCTTGAACCCCTTCAATCATGGTCCTCGCTGCAATCGTCCAGTTCTGTGCACGTCACAACGTGAAAGACAACACATTGCGCTGCGTGGATGCGATAAAATGTGCTGCCGGTAAAGGTGCCAAAGTGGGTTGTTTGCGTCGAAATACACGTGACGCTCATTCCGCAGGCAATCTTTCTGCCTGAAGCCAGCGATTTTATTGGCCAAGGTGACGCCTACAACAGGCTGTCTGAGCCATTAGAGAGTGGCTACTTCATGAGTGCAGTCAGAGACGCCGCGAAAGCGTCAGAGCTTTGGGTGTCTGTGTGTGTCCACGAAGCCGGTGGCTCGGACGGTCGCTGCTTCAACACCCAAGTACTCATCAGCGACAAAGGTTCTATCGAATCTTCTTATAGGAAGGTGGGTCTATGTATTGATGTTGGTGTATACTCGCTGATTCCGCCAGATACACCTCTTTGACGTGAAGGATGTTGGGCCTGGCAATACGCCAGTGCTTGAAAGCGCTTCCACAGAGCCTGGTAGGCGTGTCGAGCAGCCGCGTCACACGCCATTCGGGAGAAGTGTGTATGTTCTTTGCGGCTGGCAACACTGACAAGTATGCATGCAGCCGGCATGCTCACCTGCTATGATCTGAGGTGGGCGACGTTTTGATAAAGCAACGAGACGATTAAACCAGTGGCAGATTCCCAGAGGTCAGCTTGATGCTGAGGGAGAAGGGTGCCGACGTCATCACATACCCCAGCAGCTTCGCAGTGAAGACGGTAAGTAGACGTTTTGCGCTGTTCAGGAACTGGAGCTACGACTTCAAATACTGATCCAAGATAGGGCAGGGCGCACTGGGGTATGTAAAGCACTCTCAACTCTGACACACTCACCGATACGTGCAGAAACACTTCTCAGAGCCAGAGCTATCGAGACACAATGCTATGTGATAGCAGCAGCACAGGCGTGAGTTTGATCTTGCACTAAAACACCCTCTAATGATGCAGTGGCGTGCACACCCACGCCGGTAGAACATCCTATGGTAGATCCATGGTTGTTAATCCCTGGGGTGGGATTGTTACGCAGCTGGGCGCTTGCAATACAGATCCCAAGCCATACGATGATACCCAACCTCTTCCTGACACACCTACTGAAATCGCTTACTTTGACATCGATCTAGAGGAAATACAGAAAGTACGCGCTGCAATGCCACTCCAGCAACAGCGTAGACATGACATTTATGCTGCTTGATGGATTCCTCAAGAGAAAGGTGTATACACGCTGCAGCACACAAATCTAAGCGTTTGAGAGGAGATGCGGCATAATGTTAATAACGAGTCAGATTAAAACCATATTGATGCCTTTTTCTTGTCGTTATATTGGCTGTAGAAGTACCAAAACTGATATATTTAAAGCAACAATTACGTCCTTCTACACATCTTATGCTGCTGTCTAGTGTTGTGTTCACGTGCGCCTATAGTGATATCTGGATGTTATTTCCATCGCCATACATACTGTCGAAACTGTATAAGTTTGGAAATTGACAATTTTGTTGAAAATTTTTGTATTTAGTGTCTCGATTTTTATAGTCTTACTTTTGACTTTCAAATAAGCAAGCTCTTTCACGATAAATCGGACAATCTAGTTCTCAACGAAATTACTAACGCGTCTGCGTGGTTGCTCGTTCTGCGCGTTCTGCGCGTTTCGCTCTCCTCTTTACGACACCATGTACATTTCATGTATACTAGTCCCAGCTCTGAGTTACTCCTAACATAGGCTCAACCTCCCTCAACTGGATTGTTTGCCTTCTCGAACAATGTCTTCCCGCTCGTTGAATCAACTGCTCCACTTGCCTTTGTTGTCTTCTCTGTCCTCTTCTATTTCCCTTTATTGTCTACTGGCTGAACACAATCCTCAATTGATGTTGTCCCCTGCTTCACCTCGCTGCGCGCGTCCTATATCTCAATGCAACCGCGTCACGCAACGAACACAATCGAATGGAGATGGCAATCCAATTATCAAGTTGGGAGCCATCCCATATACTTTTTTTCTGCCATGACGTAGCTGAATTTCATAGAAAACGACTGTATTGTGCGAAGTAAAAAAATCCCAAATGATGTCGGCATAATTATTGGCAAGAATAAACTGAATGACTTCTTTTTTAAGCCATCATTCATTTGCACCTTGTAAGCAAACAGTCTTTCGGAGATAATGACAGTTAGGAAATGCACTACAGGGATTTTTCAGGGTGCTTGTATCGTATCTGAGAATGGGTACAATGATATAGTCGCTCAAGCTCAAGTCTATTGGAGGGAGTAACAAAATTGATAGCCATAGAGCAACGGTAGCATATTTAAAAACAGGGTTTTTGGATTCAGTTGTTCAGCTCTTGCGGGTGTATTAGGAAATATCAAGGATAGAACCTTCTAATAGAATACACTAAGAGTATGAGTAAAGCTAGGCTCCATACAACGCCAAGCAAAAGCCCAGGACTGTTCTCAAAGTTAACATTGATCTTAATGTTGTTACTACTTTGAAGGTATGAATTGCGACTTTTACTGAATTTACCGAAAGCAAATCTTAATTCACGAATCGCATTATTTTCCCAAAAACTGTGACCATGTCCATGGTTTAAGTCATGACTGCCGAGTTCGGGGACTCAGCTCGAGCGAGTGTGGAGTTAAAATAAATTCAACCGTAAGCGGTTGCGTTTGAAAGCATTCATCACGATATATTTCCAGATATTATGATACTTAGTGCCTACGTTTGCTGCCATGTGCTTTTGGGCTCTAGCGGGACGCTAGCTAGAGGTAACGGGGTATGCGTATATAACTACAGTACTTTAGCTTGTGTGCTGTGCGCTGTTTACATAGCTCGGAGTTAGGGTGGGGTGAGCTAGGTGAATGTGGAAAGTTCCAAATTAATACGCCAAATAATTCCGCAGGCTGCTATACTCCTCGCAAGCACCCTGATGCCACTGGTTTGAGCTGTTTGTTGCACAAAGAATTTGCTGGCGATAGCGCTGTTCTTCCTACGAAGGCCGAGTCCACTAAGATGCTCACTGCACTCATCAGACACCTTAGCCAGGTAGGTCACTCTGTACTCGATTGGCTGCTTGTACTTGACAACACTATAATGTCAAGGAGTATTCCAGCAAGAAAGTGTCTTGCGGGAAAAAGCAGGAAGTGGTGATCAAATATCTTGACTGGGTTCTCTTCATTGTCATTCTCAACGAAGATCACGCTGGTGTTGCTCCCTTCGCTAAGTTTTGTGCCAGCTGTGAGTACTCAAGAGCCAAGGGTCCGACCATCTTAATTTCTGTGGATGGTTTGGTGTGTATGGGGCGATGGCAGTGTGGTTGGTGCAGTAAGCACGTGTTATCTTGATTGCTGCGCTGTCGTGTACCTATATGTCTGCGCGTGTCCTGCCGGCGTGTGCTTTACGTATTATAATTTTGCTGACAACTCATTTTATGAATAGGCAGGATGGCCGAGTGGTCTAAGGCGCACGGTTAAGGCGACAGCATCCGTGTTCGAAAGAGCGAGGGTTCGAATCCCTCTCCTGTCATATCTTTTGCTATCTGTGATAGCATTGCAGGACTCAGATATCGTCATTATTTTGCCGAATGCACTCTCACTATTACTTTGTGTCAGCTGCACTGTTCCCTTGCACTTTACCTCCACGCGGAGGTCTATTCAAATGGTATGGGTGCGCGGAAGACTGCCAACTTGAGCAATCTAGGTACCAGTTGAGGTGATTGGTGGTGCAAGTAGTTCGGGGGCGGGTTTGTCGTGTATAGCGCAGTGAAGTGCTATGTTTTAGTCAAGCTGGATGTGGCAAGTTTTAAGGAGTGTTATTTGGTATCTAAACATATGAATACCCACTTTAATGGCTTCTACGATTCCAAAGCAGACTTAATCTCCTCATACCCTCAATATTTGAAATTTCGAAATGCACCAGGTGAAGCCAAAGTCGTGATTTCAAAGTTGGGCTGACCCCCTCTTTTATATACGCAAAACTAATCTTCCGAGTGCGAAATGAGGCATAATAGCAATATTTTTCCCTGGGGCCAACATTAAGTCCTATAGACGCCATCCAAAGTAAGACGTTTTACGCGTTTATAGACCCGAATAATTCATATTTTTGGGTAATTATAGTCTCTATAAATTAAAAGACTTTGTTTTTTTTTCGATAAAGCGCGTGAAGTTCTCCACATTTATCCTATAGCGTGCTCTAGACAGATTTCGGATCATTGCTTCCGATCAGCGTGCAGGGCGCAATCTGGAGCGCCAGGAATATAAATCTGGCAAATCTATATTCAATCTATCCAAAGCTACCAACCAAGCCTTTTTATTTCGAGATCATCAGAACACAATCACCCATCTGAGATGAGATGGATGGTAGTCGAGAAATGCAACTCGGTGGATATTGAACGGTTGGTTAACATTGGGATGTATTTGGAATGCTGAAGATACCAGAGAAATCGACGGTCTTGCTAAATTGTTCAAATCGTCAATATATGATATCGCTGCATTCCTCTCATTCTCTTGTTCGTTTTCAGGATGAACTGAGCAAATGATCCAATCGTTCAAGCCGCCCAGAGTACAAGATTCAAGCTCAATTCACCTTGCTACCACCAGTTTTTGGAACGCAGCGATCGATATCTATGCATACACATAATAATACAACAGAAAAAGCAACATTCTAAGAAGTGCAAGTAAGTTTGAAAGCATGATCGAACAAGCCGTACGATCTCAAATGAGGAATGGTGTGCCGTTCTACGGCTACCATTTCTTCATCGCTGAGTGAATTCTGCGATACTAAGCGAACATCCTTAGTGAGGTTAATAATCTGTAGCAACTTCCCACTTCTCTTCTGCCTCACTTCGATGAATCGCTCGCAAAACAGTATCAGATATTCACCGTCGACTGCAGCACTATTAACTGTTCCGTTCCATCTCAAAACGTTTGCATTCTTCAGTGGGACGCCCTTTTCGTTCACGTAGAGACCCATCGAATCGAACACTAGCACGTACTCTCCACTCTTGGTGGTGAAAAGTTCAATCGGTTTCAGCTTCCCTCTGTGAGACATCTCGGTGATATTGGCGAGGTTCGACTGGTACTGTTTGGCCTGCTGGCGGTCTCTGAATATGTTTGAATTGCTTCCATACAGCCTCGGAAGAACGAGGATGCGTCTACTGTCTGTAGGATCTAGTACACGCAACGAGCCCTCATCAACAACTGCGACATGCTTGCTACTCGGGAATGGAAAGAGCACCCTAGCTGTTCCGGTAGTCTGCAAACCAATTGAAGGCATTGTCTCGCGTATCCACACCTCCCGCTTTGGTTTTTTTACCCTGTTCCTATCCTGATAAGCCTGTGTACGTGTGTTGATAGGCAAAGGCTCATAAAATTGCACCGTAGATTTATGCAGAGTCTTGTTTGAAACGTAAGTAATGAGCACCTTCTTCCCCACAGAGCTGCCGACTCTGTAGTACGTCACCCTTTCACTGGAGCTGCACAAGCGTATTCTCCCAAACTTGCGTCTCGGTCCGTGCGAGCTAGTCGGGCATATCTCCTCGAGATCGTAGCCGTACAGCTGCTCATCAACATGCAGAATGAGGAGACTGTATTGCGAAAGCACAGTGACGCCCTCGACGCCGTTCAAACCAATCACCTTCCTGTAGCTGTCCTTGTCATCTTCAAATCCCATGTACACGCCTTCGGGTGTGGCGAGCGTGACGTACTTCCTCGCTCCCCATTGAAAAATGCTCGCCGAGTTGATGCGGTGCGGACTTGCCTTGTTGTATTTGTCAGTATTTGCTAGGACCGACTGCTGGAAGATGTTGTCTGTGAGTGTGTGCGAGACCAATAGCTTGTTTGTTTCAACAAAGGCACGCCGTATCACAATAGCCTCGCTGATCTGGGAGCCATGTGAGTAAGAACTGTCAGAGATATCACCTATCTCACCCTCGATTTCCACGTTTGTCTCTCTTCTGGCGTGGAGGCATATAACTTGTACTCCTTCCCATTGCCAATATTCTTCAGTATGAACCCATGTACCTCTCTCTCTGGTTCAGTGTGAGTGAAGAGAATTCTAGATCCTGGATAAAGTCAGTTAAATCTATCTCTACACGCACTACCACACACCATCGGATCTCCTCTCATCTGCAAGCAAGCAATTTGTGCGGTGTGTGGGTGATGGATTCTCATTGTCGATGTGGCATACCTCGAGCGGAATCGGCCTCGATGTGAGAGAATATCTGATAGGATCCGTCTTCTTCTTCTGGCCAGGTTCAGTGATGAGAATGTAGTTATCCAAAATAAACACCTTCTTAGCACGCCATCCATGTAAGTCAGTGGCTGCTCTCTCGCGTTTAAAGAGTAATCCTTCATACAAGAGCGTGCGCAGATCGTTTAGCAAGTCAATATCATGCAACTCGCCGAGTTTAAAGTCTAGCGCAGATGCCATCTCCCAAAACTTAACTTTATTATTTGACTGCTCAATACCAGGCTGTGTAGATTTGGCAATATCTGAAATAGCTCGCGCTGCAATGGGTAGATTCTCCCTATCGCTGTGATCTTCAGGTGTATAGTCGAGCATTCTATTGAGCAGAAGTGGGTATCGAGGTAGTCTAAAAACAGGTCTTTGTAACAGAGCGATTATATTCTGTCTTTGGGCTTTTGGATGTCTCGAGCAAGCTTCGCAATGAGCTGCAAATGCTTTGTTCGACTGCATCTCACTCTTTAGTGTGGCTTCTTGAATTGGCCAGTGCTTAATATAAGCTTCGTAGTCGTCTTGCCAGATGATGCAGGCTCTCAAAATTAGATCAGCAACTGATTCAATTAGAGGGTGCTCTTCATTCTGGCGATCGAAAATCCTCATCAGACCTCGTTTGTGGTTTGCAACCAAGTTGCTCAGATTGAAGACAGCATCTCTGAGAAACTGCTGGCGACGTTGCTGGGGAATCATGTTTGTGTCTCTGATGGGCGGAACAAAGACGTCCTCCAAGAAATGCAGATCATTGTAATACATCTTCTCGGTGCGCATGAACTCAAAGAGAACGCTGAATGTAGTGTCAGTAGGAGGATTCACCATACCATTACACTTTCACGCCCACCTCTGTCTGGCTATCTCAGCCTTATCAAAGGCGTGTAAAGTCTCTTGGTTAACGAGATTGTGCCACTCTGACGTCACATCCTCCATCTCCGTCTGCCACTTTTTCAAATTGTGATTTTCGACGTACTGTCTCATCCTCTCCTTTTTAACAAAAGTAGACTCGTTTTGCGGGATGCTGGAGACGGAAGTAGCGGGGGTAGCAGGAGTGATGGGAGTGATTTCAGACGGATTAACAAAGCTCCAATTCGAAGGGCCTGCACTGGGAGTATAAGCTGAGGATGAGGATTCTGCGGTACTGTCGTGATCGACGTCGTCAGAAGCGAAAGCAAAGGGCTGGGACACTTCTGTCTTGGATATCTCAATCGCCTGTGCCAGATCCTGATCCTCCTGCTCGTCGAGCGTAAGTTTGTTGTGCATAGCATCTAGCTCGTCGTCTGTCTGTCTGCTATAGAAGGGCTCAACGCGCGATTCTGTGGAGAAGACGGAGGATGTTCTAGAGTGGGTGTGAGGTTGCTGGACTGGATGTAGTGATTGATTGTCGGATATCGCTGGTGAGAGTGGAGTAGGCGGCTGCGGTCTGAATGATTCGCGCTTGTTGATACGCAGTGGCTGTACGTTGCGCTGCAGGATTGAGTCTGTGTACCTGTCGTTGGTGCTGGTGCTGGCGCTGCCACTACTGCTACTGCCATACTGGTTGATGTGACTTATAGAGTGATATTGGTGAGGCCTGGTTGGAACTGGCGGAGGAAGATGAGAGGCGGAGTGTCTGAACGATTTAGCAGGACGCATTAATCTTCTAGTGCGAGCAGTACCAGCAGTACCAGCAGTGCTGGTTGCGCCATTTGTATCGCCAATCTCTGCGCGGTGATCTACCGCTTCTTCATACGACGGCGGCTGTCTGTTGCTTTCGACGTCGCTCAGCCGCCTGGAATTATTATCCTGTGGGACTGGAAATGCAATAAACCGGTTATCCATCTCCTGGCTGTTCTGACAATAGATGACTTAAGGGTAGACTGAGTCATTTGAATGTAAATTTAAATTTGTACAGAAACAGAGCTACTCAAGCTACTCCTACTAATTGTAAATCCTTGGTTCATCTCCAGCAATCCCCCGTCGACGCAGACGTGTTTTGGCTGATTGCGCTGATTGCGCCCCTCGAATGACACCATGCCCTGAACAGCAAAGTACTCTACGACATGCTCATCGTTGTCATAGTGCATATCCACGTGTCTGCCATTATCGTAAGCCGCGTACATGACATCAGTGAGCACATGCGAAGCTATCTGTCTAGCTTTGTCGTGTTCGCGGTTGTCGAGAAGGTCTCTAACGCGGGAATCACGCGCAGGGCGAACGACGACGACGCGCAGTATGTCATTATCTGCCGCGACATGGTTACGCTTTGGCGCAACAACAAAGCCGTCCTCCAATCTGTCGATATGCGTTGCTAGAAGGTAAGTAAAGGGGCCTTCTAGCGAGAAAGGATGCATTTGAGGGGTGAATGAGCCGTTCTGGTACCTGCTAGCACGCTCAAAGTGGACAGTACCCTCTGTCCAACGCGTACGTACGTCCATGAAGGCTGTCTTGAATCGCTCGACGGATGTGTCTGCACTGCGTAACTCTTCGCTGCGGTGGAGTAATGCAGCGTGGACGGCTGTAGATACGACCACATGCGCCAGTCTGCTCGTCTGTTGGTCGACGACTACCTCACTTATGCGCAGTTGTCGGTAATTTTCCGAGTTTTGCACGTGTGCATGCAGCGCGAGCAGCCTATACGCCACAGTGTGCCTGTTTAGATGGGAGTGGGAGTGCAGTGAGTGATATAGTGCGTTCGCAGTGCCCAGAGGTACAATAATCAGCTTAATCGTGACTTCTGTGAGCGCACCTGCACTTGCACTGGAGAGCCCACTGAGCAACTCATGCGTGGTGCTATCGCCTTGTGTTTGCTTAGAAAATATAAACAAACCCACAAACACCCTACCCACCTCCCATCAGGCAAATATCGAAATGGCCGCTTCTGTGCGCTAATCCCAAACTCCTGCCAATCACCTCGGCGTGACCAGCGTACTGAGTTCGAATCACCTCGCAATCGCTAGATAGCTGTGGTAGCACGTGATTTATGAGATATTCCTCCGCTAATTTATCGCCTGCGTGTGGGTTACACAATACAATCATCGTGACAGAGAACAGCCATGTCCTCTGCCAAGGTGAGTGGATTGCAGGAGACGTAAGGCGTAAGGCGCATAGTAAATCTCACACGCCTCTCAGCTTGGACAGGATGTGTAAGTCGTTTTCTGACTTGTAGCAGTATTAATCATTACTCGCAGCAATCGCATCCTCTACATCAAGAATCTGCCTTATACAATCACTGGGGAGGATCTTTACGATTTGTTCGGCAAATACGGTGCTATTCGCCAAATTAGGCTGGGAACCACGAAAGAAACTCGAGGCACTGGTGGGTTGATTAGTAGACGTGAACAGATACACTCACACAGTCAGCTTACGTCGTGTACGAAGTAGTCAACGACTCGAAGCAGGCATTCGACAATCTCAACGGATTCCACCTCAATGAGCGCTATATTGTGGTTATGTATCACCAGCCAGAGAAGCAGGCACAGATTGCAATCAAGCAGGCAGAGTTGGTGAAGCGGGAGGAAGAGCTCGTTGCGTTTAAGCGAGCCAATGATATTTCGTAGATTCACATTTATTGTACTATTAATCCTTACTATCATACACGATTGAGAATTGAAAAATGAAAGCAGACTGGAGATTACGGCAGCGATATGAGATCTTTGTTAATCGCAGGAGCAATGTTCTCTATCTCAGTAGAGAACCGCACGAGTTACTATTTGTAGGTTAGTTGATTCTTCCCCCATAAACCAGCTCAAAACTCACTTTGCGGGTAGATTTACGCCTGTTAGTGGTGGAATTTGCCTTGATCGGAGTAGGCTTGTTAGCATCTGACTTTCTTGCTGGTTTATTTGAAGTATTCGATTTGATTGCAGCAGCCACTTTGTTTGCACCAGCCACCTTCTTCGTCGCCGCAGCCTTCTTCGCAGCAGGCACCTTATTTGCACCAGCTGGATCCTTTTTCGCAGCCAATTTACGAGTAGTAGCCGATTTAGTTTTCTTGTCCTGCACCCTGTTAACATCGTTGGAGTGATTAGTGGAGACTATGTTTCTACCCGAGGCAGTCTTCCCTGTGACGACCTTCTTAGGAACTTGCGTGGAAGTGTGTGTACGTGAGCGTGTCGGTGCCTTCTCGCGCTTTGTCTTAACGGGCACTTTATCGTCATCAGATTCCTCCGAATCTGAGACAGGGCGCTTTCTAACGCCCGCAGGAGCGAGTTTAACCTTTCCAGTGATACCTGTGAGTGGTTGTATGAGATGAGGCTATTTATGCACACCAAACCAAGATTTACCGTTTGGTGTAACGAATACCTTGTTATCAATACCCCTCTTAAGGGATTGTGAGATGTGGTGGGATGTCAACTTGGATTCTGGATCGATGCTGTAGTTGTCCGAGAGAAACCTAATCGTGTGTCTGCGTGTCAGCGTCTCTCCCTGACATCATCATCGTTGCTCACTTCTTAATCGTTGGGCGTGAAACTCCGCCTCTGTCCTTGGTTTCTGTGATACATTCTCTACAGGTACAGCGTTAGTAGGCGTGTTTGTGATGTTTGAGGGTGTGACAGGGGTGAGGTTTGAAGCGGCATCGGGTGAATGCGGCATCGGAAGTATTGGCATAACACACACCCCACTAATCCACTAAATATACACACCCACATTAACATATCCTCGTAGCGTGGGTTTGTTTTACTAGGCATGGTGACGGTAATAATCCAACCCAGCGCGTGACTATTGTTTTACAATCCACACTTCCGAATTTAGAAATAATAAAAATGTAAATAAATAGAAGCAATTGTTCTGATATATGCAATTCTGAATTCTACCTTTCTCCTATCTCCCATACTCCCGCCCATTATACACCGCCGGATCTACCCAGTGATGAGGTACATCTTCTTGCATCGGTGACTGCTGTGGTGGCGGTGCTGGTGGTGGCGGATAGTATGGTCCCCCACCGTATCCAGAAGGTGGTGGGTAGTATGGTGCCTCCCCGTACCCATACCCACCAGGAGGTGGATACGAAGGTGGTGAGTAATTATTGTATCCACTCCCACCACCACCCATTCCCGGTGATCCTCTCGAGAATAGTTTGTTCCTTCTCCGTTTGGTTGGAAGTGGTGCTGCTGCCATATATCCAGGTCTTCTACGACGACAGCATCCACCAAAGATGCAGCTAAATATTCCATACACCACCAATATCACCACAATTGCAATAATGATTGTTACCGGTATAGCTATTTGCAGATTTTGCCTGTACCAATTCTTGAAGATATCCTGCCAACTACCTTGCTTACAGTCACCTTTCTCGCAAGTCCCTCCATATCCACACTGCGAGCCATCTCTAAGTGGTGTTTGAATCCTTACGCATCCACCACCTGATGGATTCTCGCATGTCACCAGACACGTAGTGTCACCTCCCATATCGCATGAGCTAGTGAGACCCATAGATGATCCAGCCGATTTGCACTGATCGTCTTCTGAAGTGCACAATCCTGTAGCGCAATGCTTACCGTCACCGCAATCCTTTCCATTCTCTTTATACTCATCATCGGGACATTTACCAGAGTCGCCCGTACACTTCTCCTCCATGTCGCACTTATCGTCTATCGACGGCCTGCATACTTGACTAGATGAAGCGAATTGGCAGTTATCATTACAGCAACCGTCAGTACTAGAGTCACAAACCGCGCCATTCTTGAATTTACACTGATCTGTGCAGCAATTAGTTTCACCACCTCCGTCGCACTCTTCGTCGTCCTCTAAGATGCCATTCCCACACTGCTTTAGACTCTTTATTTCGCGATCCGCGCTGGAAGGGTCGAGGAGGCAGGATGTGCTAGTCTGGCCACTCCCCAGAGCCGAGCAGATGTTGCCAATGGAGCAGTCACTGAATCCCGTTGCACTGTCCGATTTGGTCGCGGACATGATGTAGTTATTGTTCGCATTGCACGTGTCACTGTTTAGTGGGCAGCACGACTGCTGAAAACTGCACCCATCGTCGCAGTCGTGGATCGCACCGACTGTGTGAGAGTGTTAGCGGAAAAATGAATCAACACAGAAAACAAGTGCATACGTACAGTTATGCCCGATTTCGTGCGCAGCTACAGCCCACTGGTTGCGCGTTATCGTCGTCACTGCCGTGCCAGAAACAGACTGCGAGCTCTGAGAGCGCACATCCTGCTGGCAAAGTGTGCCTAACCACGCAACGCCGACCTTGCTGCCCGTATTGCAATTCGTCTGTATCACATAATCAGATTTATCACATTAGTGCATTATCCATCCAACCCACCATTAGATGCCACAACCCTATCCCGTCATCTCCCTTCTGGCCTCGCCAAGCAGAAAATAGTGAGAGACGATCATTGAGCTCTACATCACCACCGCACGCCTGATTCCATGGGACGGTATCGTTGCGAGTATCAGGACATTCAGGCTCCTGTACATTAAGCTCTACAACGCCCAATGATATTTTGAAACTATCCTTGTATAGTCCCGATATCTGGTTGACATCTTGCAGGATCTGCGTGCGAGCCTTCTCGGCATTATCGTAGTTCTCGACATAGGTGCAATCAGCAGCGAAACCCATATAGAGCAGGCGCTGTTCGGTAGGACAGCCCTCTGTGCTGCCGATAGTATCGACGTAGCTCGACGCAGGCTCGTCATTACCACCGCTGACATCACCGGTGCCCTGTCTCTTTGCACGCTTGCTGTAGCGGTCTCTGGCTTGCGTGATTGCGCGATCAAGTGTGTGGTCGTCGATTGGAGCGAAGCGTACGTATGGCTTGGCTGTCTCTGTACCGAATAAGACGTCGAGCCATTTCTTTAAAGACAATGTCCAGCTGGGCTGCTCCTCTACCATAGTGAATGGTGTTAGTGGTTCGATTGGTTCGAGTGAAGGGTAGTGTGTACTGTCAGTACCGCAAGTCGCGGTGAGTGTGGTATTTGTGCGCTCAACAGTATCACTCTCTTTAAATATTATCAGCCTGGATGGATGGTAGGATGGCGAGGGGTCATCGTCGCCCTTGCTAGCAAGGTAAGACGAAGGTGTCTTGATGTGATAAAGCTCGCTATCGAAAGTGAATGAACCTTCAAATTGCGGCGAGCTGCCAGAATCAACGCCGTCATCGTGAATCATAATATTAGCACGCCCACGTATGCTATAAAAAGAGTCAGCCTAACCAAACACATTGTTGAGAGGCGACATACATATCATCTTGGGTGAAAATATTACCAAAATCATAATTCCTTATAATTCTAGCTGCGTCTTCAGCAACGCGTCTATCGGAGTGCTCTGAGGAGACAGTGTAACCGTGATAGACTCTAAAATTTTCCTTTTGGAGGAGTTCAGAGTGATGGACATGGCCGGACTTGTTGAGGTAGTTGACGCGTGCGTGTGGGTGAAATAAGTCTTCATTTGGGTGCAAATGGAGATTGAAATGCTCGCCGTCGAGAAGAAAAGAGATGCGGAGGTTATCGGTGGACTTTACTGCGGGGGAGGTATCAACGTGTCTGCTGGCTAGCGACGGCCACGTGTGGGGATCTCTGGGTAAAACGTCAATGGCGACGTCATTTGGGTTTGAGAGGCGTGTTAGTGGAGATGGCTTGTGAGAGTGAGATGAAGCTGGGAGATGGGAAATGGACAACTGTAAGCGTGTACACTACGATAACAAGATAAATACCCACAAAATGCGATTAAATTAAGGTATAAAATCAAAATAAATAATTTCATCTCATTCGCTCCTCAACGTCGGTTGATAACACACGCTGGGTGCTAAAACACGTAAATAAAGTTAGTTTATCTGCGTTTAATTAAAAATTGAAAATTATATAAATTATATTTCAATTTGCTCATGACATCTCCCACTCCCCAGAATCCTTTCATCGACGACGACGGTGATAATCCTTTCAGCGAGACTCACGCACTCAACAAGCAATTCGACGATGACGACAATCTCGAAACCCCCACTCAGTCGCACACTTTCACCTACCCCACCACATCCGCAGACCACCGAGAGGAGGATTTGGCGAGGAGAGAGGCTGATATCCATCTCCGAGAGAGCCGCATGAAGCAATTCGGCAGGAACAATTGGCCCCGATTCTATCCCCTCATATACTGGGATATCCGCGAAGAAATCCCCTTGGAACACCGTTCAACTACTCTTCTTGCTTACAGGCTTTGGCTGTTCCTAATTGCTGTATTCGCTATCAACTGGGTTGGCTGCCTCCTCCTTATCCAGGGCGACGGCTTTGAAAGTCTGGCTGCTGCCAGCGGTTATCTCTTCATTATACCCATCTCCTTCTTGCTCTGGTTGAGACCTCTCTACAATGCCCTGATGAAAGGCCACGCTTTTTACTACCTCGTCTACCTCTTTTTCGGCGGCTGTCATCTCGCTTTCTCCGTCTACGTCCTGATCGGTATACCAAACACAGGCGGTTTTGGCATCGTCAACACTATACGCGCCTTGGCGTCCGGAAAGATAGCCTCTGGTGTTTTGGGCGTCGTCAGCAGTGTTGGATGGGCAATACAAGGTCTCGGTTTCTGCTGGGTGTACTTGCAAGTCTACAAGCAGTACAAGCAGAAAGGATTGACTATCGACGCTGCCAAGTCGGAAGTCACCGCTCATGGCTTTAGAGCGTATTTCTCGCGCAATTCCAACATATAAAAGGTTTAAAGTAGTGTACACGACGCAGAAGAAAGTGAAATGGTAAATGGTACATGAACTAAGTCTAGTGCTGTTCGATGAATCTCCAATTGTATTTGCTGGCGCCTCTGATAAGCTCGTCTGGCTGTTTGCTTACTGTCTTGCCTGGGTTGAGTGGGTGTTAGTGTTAGGGAGAAGACACAGACAAACAAACCCTTCCAAGTGAGTCTGCCGTACACAGACCCATGGCCGCCACCACGCAGCTTGCACCTGGTGACTGTCCAGAAGGTATCCTCATCGGAGACCCCCTTCCACCTGTGCTGTGCCACTCTAGTTCCGCCTACCCCATGCGGGAGCTTTGAAAGAAGCAGCGGCAATTTGTGGGCGCTGGCGGATTTGAGAGTATTGAGCTGCGCCTGCTTGGCAGATTCGACGACACTCTTTGGTAACATGGTGGTCGCGGTGCGAGAAGACTTTGATCCGCAACCATCATGAGGCAGATAATTCCTCGCAGCGTAGTTAGTAGATTTCCAAAGGTACATTTGGCAGTAGAGCGCAAGTCGAGGCACTCTGTCTTCTCGAATCGAGTATTTAGCCCAGGCCAGTTCGTACACCCACACGACAGAATCAAGTACTGGAATATCGTACCCAAGGACAGCATAAGGATACTGAAAGGACGTGAGGATATCAAGAGAGATGACAGCGGCAACGACGTTATCACGCCTGTCCTCCAGGTGGACCAGTTCAAGAACAGAATCTTCCCAGAATCTGGCGTGAAGGTGGGTTTAGTGTAGCTGCAGTGTGCTGATTGCTGATTGACATACAGCAAAAAAGAAGTGTGCCACTCTCTGCAAGCAATCCAGACATCAGATTCCAATCGAAAGTGAAGCCAGTCCATTATTCCAATGTACAGCTCTATTTGGGTCATCTGCCACCTAAGAATGATCCACAGGGCGAGCAATTACCGTGAGAGTTATATTATTCAACTCGAGCAAACACTTACACACCCACAGCACATACGCTGTTGGATTGAGGCGTTCCAAAGCCTTTGTCAGGTCGAAACTCAGACTAGACGGCACCAAACACCAGCACAGGCTGGTGTGGAAAAGGTACGCCACCAAGATATCGCCTCCGGACCGTGACTACGACATGAGCAAGTCGATTCCATGGCCGACATATGAGAAGACGCAGCGCAAGGACTACACAAACAAGGAGACACCGGAGGATGTGCTCAACAGGGTGACATACACGCCATCCCCGCCCACCAAAGCAAACAGTCGTACTGCGTACAATTACATACTCGGCAAGAAGGACGCAGGACCGATCGAGGTGGCTATCGCACACGAGCTCGCTAACCCTCACTCCAAGCATAAGAGAGCTCACCGTTATGCGCAGAAACAGCGTAAATGGGCTTACAGACTTGAGGAACTGGAGAAGACGGAGAAGGTGTCAGGCGTTTGGAATAGCGCGGCGAAAGCTCAAAATGAAGCTCGTAGATTGTGGCTTATTGAAAGAGCTCTTGCCAAGTCGGAGCAGTACATGGTCGACACACAGGGCACTCCCGCCAAGAGAGAGAACAAGAGAATCGTGAGAGAGGCTAAGAAGACAGCTAAGGAGGCGAGAAGAACTGCGCTACTCAACAACCTCGTCCTCAACAAAGATGGAAAGATTGTACATAAGCGCGATTTGTAGATAATTTGATGGAGATACACACACCTTTAGACAAGTTTTCATATCGAATAGGATATGACAATGGCTTTCTATTAACGGTCATGTCAAAGAAGCGTGATGGTGATGATAGTGGCGACGATGAGATAACGATTACAAACAAGAAGCCCAAAAACGAGCTCATCATTGAGGAGATAAGCGATTCCGGCTTCCTCGCAGAGCACAGAATTGATGGGATGGACGGTGGCGACATGCAATACAAAGCAGATCTCTTTCCCGTAGAGGAGGCTGACGAGCTGTACGCTCAAGTGCTTAATCTCGAGCGTTACAGACCGACGCTCAAGATATTTGGTAAAGACGTCATCCAATCGAGACAAGTGGCTGTCTTCGCGATAGAGCGCGAGCGCGCACAGATGAAATATAGCAACCACGACGCTAAAGTAGATTATCCATTTCCTGCGGTAATCAATCGGATAGCAAAACGGTTGAGAGAGGTGTGTGGTGTTGATTTCACCCACTGCATGGTCAATTACTACGCTGATGGCGATACATACATCGGCAAGCACTCGGATAATCTCAACAATCAGGTTATTGCGACTGTTAGCCTGGGCGCAGTGAGAACTATGCACCTCTCCCCCCAGACAACAAAAGCAGCACTCAAAGTTTACCCACATGTAGACGTCCCTGGTCGCCAGAAGCTCGCTCTCAAGTTGGCACACGGTTCTTTGTTCGGTAGGTTGACATTTTTCGTATCGTTGAAGGTATGCTTAGTGTACAAATCAGTCATGCAGGGAGAAACCCAAAGATTTTGGAAACACGAGATCAGAAAAGAGCAGAAAATCAAGACAGGTCGCATCAGTTTGACATTTCGACAGATTGTCGACTAGCCTGCAGCGATTCCATCTAATCCAATCTGTCGTCGGGCGTCTCCTCTCTGAAAATTGGTGTGCTCGGTTTTCTCCTGATTGCACCGTACACTGATAGCACTAGAGCTAATATACACGAGATTGTAGTCAGGTGCAGTGCGGATATGTAGCATCCACGTCCTTCGAGACACGTTGATGCAGTTGCTGGCATGTTCAACACACCTTCCAATGCAGAGTATCTTAGTACATCACCTTCAGTTGGTGCGTGATGATCGTAAATCGCACCAAAAACTAGGTTGAGAATTGGGCCCGCGATAGCCGGTGCCAAACTCATAACACCCCAATTTGATGAGAAATAGTGCAGTCCGAACATTTCTAAAGTGAGTACCGGTCCGATAGCGAACAAACTACCGTAAGACAAACCGATGAGCGCCGTAGCCCAGCTGAGATGTACAGGGAGCTGGATAGACTGAGCGACTACCTGAGAGATGAAGAAGAGGGCAGAAATAATGGCAGCCCACCAAGCTCTATCCAGTTTGTACTTTTTGTACATAAAGTCGGAAGACAAACCAATGAGTATCCTGCCTGCGCAGTTCATCAGACTTAGCAGACTCACTTGTCTAGCTTGAGCCTGTTCAACGACGACAGAGTCGTAGTGAGGGTGGTGGTAAGCGAAGAGTGCCTGTACTACAGCACCGACGTTATTGATCCACATGAGTCCTGTTCCGGCCAACAGGGCGATGATAGAGAAGAGAAGCCAGAAGTCGACAGTTTTGATGACTGTGATTGGTGATTGTGAGGTCAGAATATCGTCTTGGAGGGAAGATTCCTCGAAGAGTGGTTGTCCCTCGTCGTCATACTGTGTAGACATCTTTTCTGACTCTGGAGGGACGATCTTGATGAAGAAAGCCCCAAGGAGTACTGAAATGGAGGTTCCAAATGCCAAAGTGAGTAGGAAACCATCTACGTTGCCGGGGAAAGCCTCGTGGCTGATGAACGAGTAGAAGAAGGCGCTCAGTCCGAATCCAGACAGGACAATCCCAGAAGCCGTTGCTCGGAAGTTTTTGCTGAATGATCGGGTAGTTGCATTGAGGGATGAGAGGAGTGAACCACTTCCGCCCATACCGGCAGCAATTGAAAGAAGTGAGACATAAACGACAGCAGAATCAGACTGCACGTGACCAGTATAGAAAGCGTGTATGCCAAAGTAGCCCGTAAAGAGGAAGACTGAGCTAATCAGAAGAGGAATTCTAAGAGGAAGCCTGTCGATCACGTGACCCCAGGCAGGCGCGGAGAAATACACGCCAGCATTACCGCAGCTGGCAATCAAACTGATCTGGGTGTGATTTAAGTCGAGTACCTTTGCCAGCTGCTCGCCGTAAGCGCTGAAAACGTAATTTGTACCAGCGCCGAGAGCAGTTATGAAGCAGAAAGCGAGAGTGATACAGCGAGAAAAATCTGAAGTGAAGAATGAAACCATGTGATAATTTATGTTTATAATTCAGATCCCAATTGTAATTTCCCTTGAATCTGTTCGAAGGAAACGATCACCCAGATGATGCGCGATGTCAGCATAAATATCAGCGTAAAATTCACTCAGCCGCGATTAGATGCGCGCGGTCAGCAATTGCCCCCGATTCTCCTAGACGATGGCAATCTCGAGCCGAATATCAACATCTCACTCGATGTTCCACACCAAGATGAGGTTTTGGCTAGGAGTGGTACACCTACGCGTGTCCTACAGATGGATGGTGACGATGAGCAGCCTCATTTCCCCGGTGCTCTGCTGCGTAGTGGGGGAAATGCTCGCACTCTGCAGTATAACAGACACAGCTTCAAATCCAGGGATTTCAAATCAGAGACTGCGCCTTCTTCTTCTAAGCATATACGTAGCAGTGGCAGTGGCAGTGGCAGCGGCAGCGGGCGCGATAATTCACTCGCAGAGAATGAGATTAAGGATGAAAGTAGGTTCTGCGCGGTGTGGAGGGTGTATTCATCTCACACGCCTCACCAGACGATAGTAGCTCTAAAGATGATGCTGATGGCTACAGCGACGGCAGCTTGACCCCCATACCCGACTCACCACCGCGTAAGAAAGGCAAAGCACGGGTGTCGCACGTGAAACCACTTTCAGATAACGAGGCAGACCAGGGTGGGTATTTGAGAGTCGCTGGCTTTGCTGGTACGAAAGACACGGTACAGAGCAACTCGAGATCAGATGGCGCTGTACATCGCGCTCCACAGTCACAGTCGCGATCGCAAAGGTCTAAACCAGTCCATATTCAACCAACTGAATTACAACCAACTGGTCCCTTATACCAAACTCAGCCTCCCAGCGAAACGTCTGGCATTAAGTCCAAGTACATCACCCCTTCTCGCTTTGAGGAAATATACCTCCAGCGGGCTGAAGAAATGAGATTGGCTCAGCTCGAGCATGTTCGCTTGCAGAAAGCACACGTACAAGCAGATCATTTGGTTGGGTCGCACAATGGCAACGGCGAAGCTGGTCCATCGCAAAGCAAGAAAGCTAAATTGTCTCAGCCACAGAAGTCTACGCTCAGTTCAAGCAGTAAAACTCCAATCAATCAATCACCACTGGTGTCTGATGAGATAGACGCGTCAGCTACCTCGAGGCGATCTTCTCTACCTCCACCTGCACATACATCAGAAAACTCTACTCTCAACTCAAAGGGAAGGGATGATTCGTTGCAACCAAAGGAGGCACCAGCTTCAGAGTCGCGGAGTTCGAACGTCGCCAACGTTGCTCAAACTACAGACGCATTAGCTAGACAACCTTCTCCGAATCGATCAGCAAGCTCTTTCAACAGAATATCCGTCCATTCTCCTCTTGCTGACAGTGAAAAAGACCCTTCAGCTCCTCAATCAGCTTCTCAATTAAATCCCCATCCGGCTCTTAATTCTACTCTTCCCTCAGCTCCTCCAGACAAAAGCTCTGATTATGGTAAGAGATCATCGAGTCGCTTGAAGTCAACCGGAATGGATCTCCAGAGTTTGTCAAGCAAAAGAGACTCGATTTATCGCGAAAGATCTCCCGAGACTGAGTCTGCATCAAAGCCCAAGTCGAAGCCCAAGCCTAAGCCTAAATCGAAGTCTAAAACACCCTCCGGCACACCTAACTCAAATAAGTCGTCGTCGAATGATTCAACGTCGAATGATCTACCTAATAAACCACCGAGTGATCTTTCAAATAATGTTTCAAAGCCATCGAATAAAGGTCCTTCTGCTTCATTCGAGAAGATCACACTTCGACTTCCTGGTCCGTCAAAGAATGGCGAGATGAACGAATCACTGAAAATTCTTAGTAACTCCAACTCGCCGCCAGGACTCTTCGAAAGTAGACCCGAACCTCCTTCATCTAGCGTAAACGCGCAGAATCAGGCGTCTGCAGGTCCTGCAGATCCCAATCAACCTTCCACCAGCTCAGAGCCACCCAGAACAGACTTTTTGAACCGCAAGACTTTTATGTTCAAAACCCAGACTCCAGAATCATATCTTTCACAGACACTGAAGAAGCGCAAGCGGAAATCTGATAAGTTGGCATTGGCGCAGTCGAAATTTGCAATTGATGATGGTGCTAATAAGCACGTAAATGATCCAAACAAGCCAGTAAAAGCATTCGAAATGAGCGAGGTGTTCAAGGAAGCCCAAATACTTCACCTCTTCGATCCTATACCAAAGCCTTCACTGGAGGAAAATCGTCAGTCATTTCACAATTCTAAACCGGCTCCGAGTCCCATCGAAGAGAATGGATACTCTCTCCCCGATTATAACTCGTCTTCAATTATACCACCAAGATATGACGGTCGCTTTGCAAACGACTTCAAAGAACAAATAGATCGTAGACTCGAGATATTGGATATAGCAAGATACTATCCGAATTTGGTTCCAGTGGCTAATAATCCAATAACGAAAATGGACCTAGTTACATACTTTGATAATATCAGTGTTGAAGGTCTACACAGAAACGCAATTACTGTACCCATCTACAAATGTTTCTTTGGTGATGGACGTATGGTTGAAAAGGCACTACACAAGAAGATATTACTCACAGTGACTGACAGTTGTATGCTCCTGATGGACACTGCGACCACTTTGGCCAAAATATGGAGAGTGATTCCGTTCTACTTGATTAGTGATCTGAAGGTAAGGAAAAATGAAGATCGTCTTTGAATCGACTAATAATATTCCAGTTACGCGATGACCCTCGTGACTTGCCTTTAATAACGTTCAAGATCGACCCTAGAGATGAGATATCGCATCACATGAGTACAGCCGAGATATCTTTCGATCCGGGTGAGCTGGGTGGGAGTATGGTGAGCACCAACTAACAACTAAACAGTGCATGAATGGATTTCATTCTTTGTTGACAACAAACACCCTTATTTTCATGAAGTTTCGCTCAAAAATTGGGCATACAACATGCGAAGAGTGATAACATTGAAGAACAGACCAATCGAACCCTATCCTTTGATAGATGCTGTTAAGTTGTTCGGCAGATGGAGGAATGGCGAGCTGAAAGGAGCGATCAAAAGGATCCACAGTCCAGCAAATAGAGCATTCTATACTGGTGCAAAATACGATAGCACTACTCAGGGAATTGATTTTTCAGCGAACAGAGACGAGTACAAGAGGTTTAGGAACACTCAAGCTGCTCAAGAAGCTGAGATGCAACCAGATAGAACAAGTAGACATTCAATATCTACTGAAAAGTCTGATACGAAGAAGGAAATGGAAATAGAGTGGACAGAACCAGCACGCTCACAGCCGCCTAGGACACACGATTCACGCAATACGTATTTGAATGAGATGCTTAATATTAGCGATTCAGAAAGCAACGATCCGACAGTGCAAAAAGCATTACCACCAAAGCATAGCAGACATAGTGTAATATAGACTTTGTAACAAGAGAATTGTAGTACTTTGAGTGGTTTATTTTCAAATCATTAAGATATATGTAGTTCGTACCCCTTTAACAAAATCACTCATGTCGTCTGAAGTAGACCTAAACGAGCTGCAGGCGCAAATAAGTTTGTCGCTGGGTACAATACGTGAAATGACATCTGGATGGCAGAAGCCGTCGCGCTCAGCTGGCAGTACGTCCATTGCAGCCAGTGCGCCCAAGCAGGACGACTTGACGGAGTGGATGTCGAGGCCCAGTAGGCTAGGACTAGGAGCGGCACCAGCGCAGACAAGTGTTCCTACTGTTGATGCAAAGCTGCAGCGTAAATTGACACAGAAAACGCCCAAGGATGGCAGTAAATCTACTAAGAGTGATGGCGAAGACGCCAAAGACAACGCCAACGACGATGAGGACGAGGGATCTAGATATACAAATACATCCGCATCAATGGCCAACAAGAAAAAGAGCAGCATCAAGTCTTATCTCGACAAACCACATTCTGCTAAGAAGGCGGTTGTCGGTGTCGATCCCAACGTGCAACTATCTAAGAAACAGCGTAAGAAGCTCAACAAGAAGCTCAGAGAGCAGCAGCAAAAGTAGTAGCGCTAGTAGCATTAGCAATACCAAGGATATTTATTATAGACTCACTTAACGAGAATGTACAATACAAGTGATGCAGAATGTACAGTAGATGCATGCATAATTTAGTTACAGAACCATGAATAAATCACAGATAGGTGCTTTCGTCATCTTCCATCAACTCCTCTTGGGATTGTTGGAGGTCTTCATTAGGAATTCCGCCCGCTGTAATATCGTCCCTGCGCTCCCTCTGCACTTTCTTGTCGTCAACATCGATGGAGTAATCGTCCGGGTTTATTTGTCCGTCATTGACTTGATTTTGTTCGTGATGATCTTGGGGAATAGCTGGTGGCTCTGGCGCGTAGTTAAACACAGATCCAAGGGCTACAAAGGGCCAGAAAAGACCAGAGCTATGACTGCTATGTCGTGAGAAGTAGTCGACATCAATACTGATTGCATTTGCGAGAACGACTGCTCTTTCGTCTAGTGTGAGTGCCCTGCTTCGCTCAGAGTGTCTTACGTGGTTCTGTGAAGAATCAAACTTAACTATATATTGACCGGTATCGGTGAATAGCTCTCTACCCAAGCCTCCAAAGTTTCTACTGATTGAGGCGCTTACTCGGGAGTTTATGTCGAGAACGCTAAAATCCCATGCCAAGAAAGGTGAGTCAATTGCGCCAAACTGCTCAAAGTCGCCATTGCGCTGAAGAAACTGGTTGTATCTCCTTCTCAACAAATGCCAGCTCTGTTGAGCCTCGCCAACTAGGACATGATTTTCCACAGAATACACCCCAATGATAGAATTTATCAAGCTGAAAGGGCGGTGTATACGCAAAACGTGCTGACCATCTTTATCCATGATGAGAAAGTTGAATGGTCTGTGTGTTCTGAAGAGTTGCCTTCCCAGTTGTCCAAGCAGACTGTCATCCTGTTCGACAAGATATCCGATAGGATTTCCGTGGATATCAAGCATAGCGTACTTGTTGGACTGTTCGAATCCCACGAATATATTCATCTGAACATTTATTCAGATACACCGCATTGTTATCGTGATGACGAACGACTCACCATTTCCAATTGCCGGATAACGACAAGAGAAGGCTGCTCTAAGAGTTTAGAAACACTATTACGCTTATTTAGAATAGCATCAGCATCGTCAGGCACGTTGACGTCTGCTTTCAGTTCTTGCAGCGTTTCCATCGGCGCAGATCTGTGTTCTTTTGTATAGGAATTGTCTAGTGGAAAATATTCCCTGAAATCGTTCTGCCTGTGTGTTCTTCCTCGCCTGGCTGGTCGTGCTTGGACAGTGTGAGATGGTAGAGCGTGTGGCATGGGCGAGAGACTCACGCAGCTGCTTGCCATATCTTGAGTAAGCCATAGACCTGCGCCCACCGAGTGCCCATTTATTCCACATGATGGTCGTTTGCGTCGAAAGAGCTCTTATCTCTGTACCACCATCACCTATTAATGACAGATCCCCGAATCACAAGTAACGAGTGAGCTGCAATTATTCATATAAGAATGCTCAATTTACCTGATTTTTCAATTCAGGGCTTTCGATTTGAACGCCAAAGCCGCCACGAAAGAATACCAAGTCGATCCTAGATTGGGTGCGTTGAATGTACACCAGCCAATCACATATCTCACACAGTATCTAGACTACAGAACGGTCTCTGCAGTCAATGGGTTCGTCGTCGTGCCTTTCCTCTCTCTCCGCTCACACAGCGCAGTCCACTCGTCATCCTCGATAACGTCAAGCTCGGCCAGTACAACGAAATCGTTCAGCTCACTCTCCCAGATGGCTCGAAACGTCGTGGCCAGGTCTTGGAGGTCTCTGGTAAGAAGGCCGTCGTACAAGTTTTCGAAGGTACCTCTGGTGTTGATACTAGAGACACCCATATTGAATTCACTGGCTCGTCGATGAAACTCCCCGTCAGCGAGGACATGCTTGGTAGAATATTCAACGGCTCTGGTCAGCCTATTGACAATGGACCAAAGGTGTTTGCTGAGGACTATCTTGATATCAATGGTGAGAATGACACGTGAGTTGCTGTATGCGCTTCTTACCTTTTACTTTACAGGTTCGCCGATTGTATGCTTCCCTTATACTCAACCTGGCTCTTTCACTCACTGCTTCTCACAAACAGAACCCGTACTCACGTATTTATCCGGAAGAAATGATTCAAACTGGTATCTCAACTGTATGTCGGGGCTCTTTTTGTGAATCTCCAACTCACAAATCCACTACAGATTGATACTATGAGTGCGATGCTGCATTATTGCGTCATCATCACACTCACCCTATCCCCACAGATTCAATCGCCCGTGGACAAAAAATACCTATATTCTCAGCAGCTGGTTTACCTCACAATGAGATTGCTGCTCAAATCTGTAGACAAGCAGGTCTCGTCAGTGGTCCCGCCAAAGGTCCTTCTAAGGGTATACACGATGATCACGAAGAAAACTTCTCTATAGTTTTCGCCGCTATGGGTGTGAACATGGAAACTGCAAGATTCTTCAAGCAAGACTTTGAAGAGAATGGTAGTCTTGACAGAGTCACTCTCTTCCTCAACCTTGCTAATGATCCAACGTGCGTGATAGTGTTGTTAGTTGGTTGGTTTTCAGAAATTAACAAAGGTTTAATAGGATTGAGAGAATTATTACTCCACGTCTCGCACTCACCACTGCTGAATATTATGCTTATCAGTGTGAGAAGCACGTCCTTACCATCTTGACAGACATGTCTTCATACGCTGATGCTTTGAGAGAAGTTTCAGCTGCTAGAGAAGAAGTTCCAGGTCGTAGAGGTTACCCAGGTTTCATGTATACTGATTTGTAGGCTTGAGTTTGCGAGTAAAGATACCACGTCTAACAGAATATAGGGCAACAATATATGAAAGAGCAGGTCGTGTAGAGGGTAGAAGCGGATCTATCACTCAAATTCCAATTCTCACTATGCCTAATAACGATATCACTCACCCAATTCCTGATTTGACAGGATATATTACGGAAGGACAGGTATTCATCGATCAACAACTCAATAACAAGCAAATTTACCCACCGATTAACGTGTTACCATCGTTATCTAGGTTAATGAAGTCCGCAATCGGTGAGGGTCTTACACGTAAGGATCATGGAGATGTTTCAAATCAGTTGTATGCAAAATACGCTGTTGGTAAAGATGCAGCAGCAATGAAGGCAGTAGTTGGTGAGGAGTCGCTTAGTACAGAAGACAAGCTCGCATTGGACTTTTTAGATAAGTTTGAGAGTCAATTCGTCAACCAAGGAGCATATGAGGATAGAACAATCTTTGAATCGCTGGATCTTGCATGGGATTTACTGCGTTCATTCCCTAAGGAGCAATTGAACAGAATATCACCAAAGATACTGAATGAATACTACGAGAAAAAGGAGAAGCAGGAAACACAAGATGAAAAGAAGCATAAAGGTGTTGTTGATAGCGTCAAGAATGATCAAGACCTGATTGACGTTTAAGAAGGTTGTAAAGCTTTGAATGAATCTAAATCTGATTTGATAAGAAAGTATAAAGACATGAAATTAGTTTGAGTTTGAAGGTGTGTACTTTGGGAGTTCTCCTCTCTGCTCCATTCTACTCTTTGCTTCGTTTGAAGCCCAAGTTTGTATGCTATAGGGAGTGTTAGGTTGTTTAGTGATGCACATAATACCCACGTTGAATCTGGCTTGTAATAATAACCAATTCCAGCTGCAGCGATGGCTGCATAGAATCCAAAGTAGTAAATTGGCTCCCAGTTTTCCCATTTTCTTTTCTGGCCATTTGGGAGTGGCTATAGGTGTGTGTTAAGGTTGTTTGTACTATAATACCTTCTACCCACCTTCTCAGCAAATAGATGGCCAGTCGGTTCGTGCAAGTGTGGACCGCCACCAGCAAATCTAAGCTGCTGTGACTTGGCCAAAGATTTAAATTGAGTGGATCTTAATCTCAGCATTTTAGTTGTCGTCGTCGTCGCCTTTGTCGCCGTTGAGGTGTAAGAGATCTCTTGTCCTGAACCACGAAATTCAATGAGAGATGAACCTTGAAATTTCAAAGCAATTCAAAGATTTTCTAGAGCCATTTGACAGGCTTGTAAATTTGAATGAAAATAATCCCACGGCTAGTGCGTGAACTTTGGAAATATGGGAATCCCACAACAACTCACACGCATCACAGGTACAAGCTCTTTACATAGCACAGACGCATCTTCTAGTTCATCCAATCGCAAGAACAAGGAAACTGTCGAAGAAAGATTAGACGCGTTGATGAAGAAAGCCAATCACAATCAGTCACACTCACAGCCGTCACCGAGTCCTCCACTTGAAACTCCCCCTATCATCACCACAGAATCCTTTAATAGTTCTTCCACTTGCCTCAAAGACTCCAAATCTACTCACAGCGGCGATAAGTCCGCTATTAAAGTTAAGACCGTCTCCTGGAATATGGCCGATTCCCTCGTTAAAGGCGATTTAGAAGTTTTATTAGGTCATGTTCCCCCTTTTGTGCCAAATTCTTCCTCCAATCCACACCCTGATCGTCTACCTCAACTTGATTGCGATGATGCCCATCCTTATCATCTCGTCGTCGTCGCCGGTCAGGAGTGCCCAACCACCTCAAATATCCTCCCGCGTGGCTTCAGCGTTGCTTTACGCGATAAGAATAAGCGCGATACCAACAATGAATCGAATCTGGATTTGTCTCAGCCACTAGTACAATCTCCTAACATCTCTTCTAATTCTCAGTTTACCCCTAATGAGCAACATAACTCCTCTATACAATCTGGCTGGTCTGGTATTCTCGAGCAGTGGTTTTGTCACGGTGCTGGTACTTGTCAGAATCCCGAAATTCCTCCAACTCCCGGCGAACTAACCAATAATGAATCCCTTTTAGCCCCTCCTCCTATGGCTGATAAGAAATCTAACACAAGTAATCAATCTTCAAATAGTTCTGTCGGAATGCAGCCTTCCACTTCCGCTAACTCACAATCTCAACAATCTCAGCAAACTACCCGACCACCAATGATAAAACGTCATTTCTCCAAGTCATCCAGGTTCGAAAAAGACCTATCTAAGCAGACAAGCTACGGCTCTGGTCCATATGAGTTATTGGTGAAAGAGCGCTTAATGGGCATATACATTGCCGTGTTTGTCTATAAAGGTGCTAAGCATCTCATTGAAGGGTCTTCAACAGCAGTCGTCACTGCCGGTTTATTAGGCGGTAGACTTGGTAATAAAGGAGCCGTTGGTGCCAGTGTGAAGATTGCTGATACAAGATTACTCTTTATCAACTCTCATTTGGCAGCACATGAGCATAGACTCGCGGAGCGGTTAGAAAATATGCAAAAGATTCAGCGTAGCTTGGCTGTTGATACTTTCCTGTCTCCAAATGATCCAAAGAATTCCAAGGAGGACGTCACTGAAAGATTCGACTTTACGTGGATCATGGGTGATCTCAATATGAGAGTGGATATCACTCGAAAACACGCAGACTGGCTTATAATGAACAAAGACTACAAAGCTGCGTTGGAGTTTGATCAATTGCGCTCTGTTATGAAGGATGGACAGGGATTTAAAGGATTCAATGAAGCTGAGATTAAATTCCCCCCTACATTCAAATACGATGTTGCAAAGCGTACACGGACATTGCGTCGGAGGTCATGGGATAATCGTTCGATGAACAGAACATCAACCCCGGATATGTCAAGACCATCATTGGATTCGACCGCAGAGTTTGTTGAAATTAATGACGATGATCTTTCTTCAATTGCTTCTACTTCTAGAAGCGGTCATTCATCTTCAAATACTGCTAAATCTCCATCAATTGCATCTTCTCGCCTGACGTCTGACGCTGATGATGGCAGTGATGATGAGGATGACGAAGCTTTGCGTATTGCTGCAATTAATGCATCCCAGCTGGAAGACTCAAAGCTATTTGCCGGTGTTGATGTTGATAAAGCCGTGGAGAATGTTAAAGACGCTTTTAGATCGCTTGTGAAACCTATATCTACACCTTCAAATGACAATAATAGTAGCAGAAAAAGTATCGATTCCCGCCAGTCAAGTAACAGGCTTAGTGTTGACTTTTCCAAAAGAAGTAGTGTCGTTAGTGATACGGATTCGAGGAGTAATAGTTTAGCTGAATCTAGCATGGAATCATCTCTCAACAAGCGTAGAAGTAGTAGTAGCGTTGCGCATGAATCAAAATCTAGTCACAAGCCTCGTAATTTAAGTTTGGATGTCAGTAACTTAAGTGGTTACAGCGGCGGACCACTTAGTGCTGGTGCATCACCATATAGTCGTCTCTCATTCTCCAGAAAGTTGAGGCATAGTCTAAGAAAATCGTCTCATTCATCTAGTAGCAAGCACGATGATGACTTGCGCAATTCAGCAATTGACGAGACTGCTTCGAATGATCCAGAAGAGGATTTGAAGTCGACGTACGACTCATCACCCAAGCAACGTGTACCATCGTGGTGTGATCGTATTCTTTGGAGATCTGTGAGTGAATTGTGTCTTGTTCACAAGCGTATGATATTTAACTAACACTTACTCATCTCAGATGCTGACATACGAGACTGAGGATATGGACCGGTTACGTAATCGAAAATTCTCAAAATTGGGGAATGCAATCTCTCATGTTCTCCGTCGTCGTTCTTCTTCAAAAGGGAGCTTGAAAGAGATAGGTAGCAGTCTCAGTATTAGTAATCTCTCAAATCACAACCGTCATAGCCATAGTCACAGCACATCTCAAACACAAGCGCAACATTTGCAACCACCACCACCTTCAGAGGAAACAGAAATAGCAAGACCAAAGCTTCAAGCTTCGAGATCTGCCGAAGAGTTGCCCAAGTTTAGTCCGACTAACAAAGTAAGCTTTTTGGCAGGCTCATCAAACATTTCTCCAATTAAGAATGAAAGAAAGGAGAAGGAAAAGAACGAGAAGAAGAAGTTTTTCGCTCGTTTCAGATCAAATTCACTTGGTAATTCCAAGGGAGACGATGTAATAGATCATCCTAGACCGCTCAAAGATATGAAGTCAAGGAAGAGTTTCTCATGGTTGGAAACAACAGCTGGAAGATCTTCACCAGAACTACTATCGCCGGACGAAATGACGGGATCACCATCAATATCACCCAAGAATTTGTCGTTGACGACGAACCTCAGCGAGCCAAATACAAGTAGTACGAAGGCTAATCAACCACCACCTTCTCATTCTAACGATGGCATGCAAGTATCCAAATGGCTTGTGCATTCTTTTCCTTCGCTATTCGGAAGTGGAAGCGGTAAACAGCCATCCGGTTTGCTATTCGACAGTGGAATGGATAAAACCAACAGTGATGCTTCAACAGCAGCCCATCAGACACCCGTGGAGGTAGAGCCACCAAAGCAGAGGGGACAGGTTGATTGTATCAATTATAGCTCCCTCACTGATTACGAAATGAGGAAATTGGAAGGCAGATCAGACCACAGACCAGTCTTAGGATCATTCTTAGCGTGGATATAATAGGTTTTACTTATCTACATTATTTATATGTTGTATGTCGATTAATGTATTTTAACCAGCCTTATGCTTAGACCGTCAAGTGTGCTATCGAACAGAATGCGTAACTTCAAACTATCACTCATTCAATTAGGTGCAACGACTGCTGATAAGACAAGCAATTTGAACAGAGCCAGAAACCAAATTCTCGAGGCTTCGAAAGACAACAAGTCTGACGTAGTCGTATTGCCAGTGAGGATACATTGCCCTAGACAGCAGTTTCTGAGTGGTACTGCAGGAATGTTTCAACAGTCCTTATGGTGTAAAGTACTTTGAGAAATATGCCGAACCAATCCCTCAGCCAGGTCACGCTCACGCTCGGGGTGAGCTGAGTGAGTCGATAAAGATGCTTAGCGAAGCAGCCAAAGAGGCTAAGGTATTTTTGATTGGTGGATCAATCCCAGAGCGTGAAGAGAGCACTGGTCGCATATTCAACACGCTCACTGTATACGATGATCATGGTAACCTCGTTGGAAAGCATAGGAAATTACATCTGTTCGATATCAACATTCCTGGCAAAGTATCTTTCAAGGTGGGTTTATACACTCCAACCATCGAACCATCCCTCCTAATGAAGTAATCACGTTATCAGGAAAGTGAGACGCTCACCGCTGGCTCCGATATTACTATCGTTGATAGTCGTGAGTATATCCTCAAATTTGAATCTCAGCTTTGACTTTCTGTAGCATTCGGAAAGATTGGTTTGGGTATCTGCTACGATGTCAGATTTCCAGAGTGGGTAGTAGTAATATTTCGGTGGCATGACTAACAACTCGACAGAATGGCTATGATAGCAGCGCGCAAAGGTATCAATATGCCTATAACAATCATAGTCACACTAACATGGTACTGCTTTGTTTAGGATGCGTTGCAATGATCTACCCTGGTGCTTTCAACACCACAACAGGCCCGTTGCATTGGGAATTACTTCAAAGAGCTCGGTAGGTTTTGCCGCAATGTGAAAAGCTATCTCATTTATGTACTCTCAGCGCTGTTGATAACCAAGTTGGTCGATAACACTCACGTTATACGCTCTCACACTTCCTAGTTCTACGTCGCTATGTGCAGTCCAGCCCGAGACGAAACAGCAGAGTATCATGCAGTGAGTGTAACTATACACGCGTTACCCAAATTAATAGGAAATAGTGGGGACACTCAACTGTTGTCAACCCCTCAGGCCAAGTGATAGCAAAGACTGACGAGAATGAATCAATAGTATATGCAGATATCGGTTGGTGTTGCTACAATTAAGTGATTCTATGCTAATGATCGATTTCAAATGCAGATGTGGAGCTTCTTGCGAGTATCAGGAGTGGAATTCCATTATATTCCCAACGTAGATTCGACGTCTATGATGATATCAGTAAATGAATGTCGTTTTCATGTTCTGCGTTGCTTCTTTTGTGTTGATTTCTTGGTATATGTTTTTCTTTTTGCTGGGGGTTTGCCTTCGTTGGGACAGTTGCTAGCCCAGTGTCCCTTCTTGTTACACTTGTAACATGTGTCACCTTTCTTTGTATTATTAACACCGACACCGCTGGACGATGACTTCTTGGATTTTACAGTGGATGTGGATTTAGGTGCAGGTCCTGTTGTCGGATTGGTACATCTTGCCGGCCAATGTCCGTTCCTACTGCAAAGATCGCAGTAGGGGATCTCACCATCATCATCTGCGATCAATTCATCACCCAACAAATCTTCCTCACTATCATCAACAACTTGAGCAGATGTATTTGGACTATCCATTGAATCCTCCCATGACCAGAAACCACATTGCGCAGTCTTTGAAGTATTGGGACATTTCCAAAATGCCCTGCCTTTATTTGCACCTTGTGAGGTGACGAATCGTTTAGCTGAGAGGTCACATTTGCAGCGCACTTGACCCTCTTTTGGCGGTTGAGCTTTGTGATTAGAGTTGGACTTTGTTGGTGGTTCATACATCTGCGTTACTCTGAATTCAGATGCGTTACCATTGCTCCGACTTGTTCTGCTTGCACCTGTCGTGCGTTGACTAGTCGTTCCGCGCGGTCGCCCTCTGCCGCGAGGAGGCGGAGGTGCATCATCCATATCGCTATCGCTATTGTCGTTGTTGTTGTTATTATTGAATCCACCAAACCCGCCACCGCCTTCGTCTTCGCCTCGGGCATTTTGATCATTCTCCGCAATGACATTGTCATCAAATGCATCAGCATTCTGTAGGTAGTGCTTCACACTATTCACCAGAGTTGCAAATTGAAGGGCTGATCTGTTGTATATATCTCTATACTGATTAATCGATTCGAGCAAAACGTCACTCTTCTGGGCTATACCTTCACCTATCATGTTCATCTTTTCCTCGTTCTCCCGCCTGAGTTGAGGTTTAGCGAAACTCTTGTCGAAATTCATCTTATTGTATCCTTCAACTAGTGCAACGCCGAGCGTAGAAGGTACAAGGTACTTGGTAGATCCCAATTTGTGCTCCATGACATATTCTCTGTCGATAATTTTGTGTATATGTTCAGCAATAGTGGCATCAGTGCCTATACCATTCTTGTCCATCAAAGAGACGAGATCAGCTTCAGTGAGCAATGTCGGTGGTGTAGTTTTACCCTCTCTTAATTCGCAAATAGACGGCTGAAATACCTCACCCTGTTCAAAATTAGGTATGGTTTGATTTGACCATTTCTCGTAGATGTATACCTCTAAATAGTTCTTCTCAATCAGGACAGACCCCGACGCTTTAAATATCTCTCCAGCCATCTCTAACTCAGCGGTTGTGTTCTTTCCTTTAGCATCTTTGGAGCAACTAGCAAGAAATCTGCGTGTAATTAACTCATATACTCGCTTCTCATTTCCAGATAATGACGGTGCATGGGCGGTAGGATGGATCGGTGGATGCGCCTTGTCGTTCTTCTTTCCGTTACGTGGTCTATCAAATCTATCAAATTGAAGTGACTGTGCATATTCTCCCCATGTTGAGTTGGCTGTCTGCTTTTCTATCAGCGATTCGAAGTTGAACGATGGATCGTATTGGTCTGTTTCTGTACGTGGATATGAAAGAAAGCCCTGTTGATATAATTTTTCAGCTATCTGTTCTGTCATCAGCTTAGCTTTTTACTTGTTTTTTTACCACTCACATCCAAGACTTGTTTCGGAGAAAGTTTTAGCAACCGAGATCCAGATTTCTGTAGCTCAACTGTAGTCAAAGGGTAGGGCTTGTATTTAGTGTGTGGCTTGGTCTCCACTTTGGTCACTCTTGCTGTGGGATTAGTGATGCATCTCTCATACAGCAAGAAGGCAATCTGAGCATCAAACAGTCGATCACGTTTCCAGTTGAATGTCACAGCTTTCTTTCTGCCATTTTCTTCACGATGGTTGATAGAGAGGAAGATGTACCAGAAATTTTCCGTAATAAAATCCTTTATACGCTGGTATTGATCGACTACGAAACCCAAAGTTGGAAATTGACAAGGTCCTGATAATCAGATGAGCAGAGCAAGCTGGTGGAAATAGAGCTCCCTTACCGTATGATATCAGCTTCCCGTCGAGCTCCGCCACCTGTTTTGATAAATTGAGAGTCATTAGTCTAGTAAAAGCGGCACCGATGCGTAAATCCAATTCAATACGCGTCTCAACAGCGCGAACCTGCTTCATATCCAACATAACAGGATTACGAGCAGCGTGATGAATCTGATTGGGTATGATAGCTGAAAACTTCGCCCGAATCACTTCAATTCTCGGATTGGCCTGTCTGCATACATTCACAATCTCTGATCCAATATGTTCACCTTCACGATCGCAATCTGTCCATATCATCAGATGACTCGCGCGTCTAGCTTCACTTTTGAGATTATTCTCTATAGCAGACATGCTGCTTGATGTGCTTATCTCCACTCTCCCATTAAATAATTGGACAGGATCGCAACTGTGCCATTTGCGCATCTCTTTGGGGAATTCAGCCGTGGTGAGATGACCAGCAACGGCAGTGACAGTGAAATCTACCTGGCGACCGTTATACCCAGACATTTTATAACTGAAGTCATAGTTTTTTATGAATTTGCTCGAAGTGCTGCGTGTATTGAAGCTGCCCGATGAGAGGATCTGGGTGATTGATTTCGATATCGAAGGTTTTTCAGCAACGCATAAATATTTTACTGTCATCTCTTCATCGCCTTGCCGCCGCTAGTGGTGGTGGTCGATGGCCGTTTGAGATAACAAGCAAGACGCGTAAAGATGAGCAGAAAGGTTCTTGTGAATGAGAAAACGATTGGCGGGCTTCTGAGTACGCTGAATGAGAATAAGCCATCTGCTATTAAAACTGTTACGCGACGATTGAATCAAAATACTCTCAATTCACGCCCTATACCGGCAGAAATTGGCGCAAAGATTGATGAGCTGTACGACAAGTATAAGGTGGTTGGATGTGATGAGACTGCTATTGCTATTCGAAGAATAATGACAAACATCAAGGGCATCCTTGATGCTGTCGATTCGGAGAGAGTGGGTTTGGTGGTGGTGAAGGGCTAGTAAAACTCACAATTCACAGAAAGATCAGATCTTAATGAGCTTATGGCTGGTTGTACGTCGTTATTCGCGTATTACTTTTTTATACACTGACGTACGTCTAGATACTGCTTAGCAGAAAATCAGACAGCAACTCAGAGCAAGCAGCAGCAGAGCTTAACAACAGCGCCGCAAATCCGCTCAAAATGCCGTCGGAGCTGACTTGGTACACCATTCTATCACAAGATCCATTGCTTGGGGATCACTGGCGGGAGGACAGCTACGCCCAGAGTGACAATCTGTCTGAATGGAGTGATAGTGAGAGTGAGAAGGGAGAGGAGTATATGTAGAATTGTACATTATAAGACTTTGTAAAAATGTCGTAATCGTAATCGTAATCGTAATCGTAACTGGAAGATAAATAAAGGCTATTGGTTGGATTGAGTCAAGCGATCGGACTGCGCTCGTGCGTGCGCTCCTCTGACTGTACGAGATCTTTGGCAGCTCTCTTAATATCCTGTGGAGCTTGATTGTTATTTTTCCTAACCATATCAATATATTTGAGCACGATGTCAGCTTCAACTTGACCGCTTAGAGTATCCCAGAATTCAAAACTGACTGTACCATTGGACTGGTTATGCCTGGTGTTAGATGGATCGTGCACCTCAATTTCAATCGTTGCTGGTTTGCTCGCAATTTTACGTGATCCCTCCGATGGTATAGATTTTTCATGCGCTTTCTCTTTCTCATTTAATGGTGTCTCTGGTTGCTCGAATGCCACACTCGCTTTGCGCGAGTTTGGAGAACCAGGTGGTGTGATTGTCGTTGATTTGTCTCTCTTCAATTGCGTAGTGTGGATTGACGTTATCTTACTGAATGGAACGTTTATACTCGTTAGCGCTTGATCGTTGATATAGAGAGGAAAGGGTTTGTGTTGAGCAAGGTCGGTATCCTGCGTAGACCATCTGCGTGGTTTTTGTGTGCCTTGATGCTCGTCATCTTTGTGAGTCTCATCACCAGTCTCATACCAATTGAGGTTGAATGTTGGACCTTTCTCTTCCTCTTGCTGTTGAGCTTGTTCTCCCAGTCCCTCCACTTGCTCCGATTCTTCGTCCACCGCAGTAGTATGGCTATCATTACTAGAAGAAGAACGTCTCTTGATAGCTTCAAGAATGCTACCTCTTCTTCTAACGTTCTGCTGCTCTGTACTTGCAGGCTCATCGAGGAGAGACAAGAGTGAAGATTTGCGTTTATGATCCACAGAAGCATCTGCCGGAATACCGCCTTTACCCAGAGCTCTGAGTACAGAAGAGCGTCTTCTTTGATGTTTTTTAGAAACCTCTCGTGGACGGTTGAGTGGATCCAAAACAAGAGTGAGCTGGTCCTAACGAGACAGTCAATGTAGCTCGTATTTCATTAAGTGTTACCCAATTCTACCCACATTCCAAAACCACAATTTGGCTGATAGGTTGAAGATATTTCCGCAGCTTTCTTTCTTGTGTGAATTGAATTTCTCTTGTTCTGCTAGCTGCGTAGCTTCACTCTTCTTACTAAACTTACGTTTTGGAGAGTGCGGTGGATTGAGCGGAACATCTAACTCATTTCCACTCAATGTAAGTTGTACTGGCAGTGGTTCTCGTGATGTATACGTTGGCTTTGATATTTGAGATGTGTAAAAGCTTCTGTCTCGTGGCCAAGGCATTCTTGGTGCCAGATTGTTTGGGTTCTCTTCAAATGCTACCTTTGTAGTGACAAACTGCATCAGCTGTGTTGTTTAAAGTTGATGGTAAGTAATGTGGGGTAAATGTGGGGCGATGAAGAGCCAATTTTCACAATTAAGTCAACGGAATTTACACGCCAATAATTATTAAAATCTGAAACATTTCGTCATACATGAAATGACAATGGGAAATACAAATTATTTAAACGATAGATTGTGTAAAATGTTCAATTATCTTCAAGTCCGGTTTTATTCGCAATTAGATAGATACTATCTAGAGTCGTCTACCACGCTCTTCAGAGGGTCCAGGTCCAACTGAGGTTGAAGGTACTGCAGCTGCTGATGCAATATTCTTATCAAAGCTTGGTGTCTTTTTCAATACACCTTTACGTACTGTCGGTTGCTGATGAGCGCTTTGTGTGCTTTGTGTGCTTTGTGTGCTTGGTGGTTGTTGGCTTATATCTTCAATCTCCTTGTCATCATCATCATCATCATCAAAGTCATCAAATCTTCCAGTAAAATAATCGAATTCGTCATTATCCTCCCATGCACCCGGATGAAAACCATGGGCAGGTGAGGCTAAAGGAGGTTCAGCTCGAAGTGCGGCTGATGGTTGTGAAACAGGGCTGTCTTCATCTGAGGAGTTGTTGTAGAAAGAAGACCTGCGAGCAGTTGGAACATAATCTGGATTGCTATCACCTGGAGCCTCTGGAACTACATCATATTCATTATCCTCATCATCTGAACCATGTGGATTCGTTTTCAATTGAGTAGGTTCAATTTCCGCAATGGTAATGTGATCAGGTGCAGGTATCGAGGATAAGTCGGAGGCTACGCTAGATGACCTTGTCCTGGATTTGGAAGATATATTGTTTGACGTAGATCTGCTCCTAAAAGTTAAACCTTCATCCTCACTTGAAAAATTTTCTTCGTTGGGGGAAGCGATGGGATCTTCTGCAACACGTTCTGGTTCGTCCAAGGAAATTCTCTGTTCAACAAAGTTGTTAAAAGTGATATGTCTCTTGCTGGCACCAGAGCTGTTGCTGGCGTCACCGTCGGAGGTAGTAGGATTAGGTGTCATGTGCTTTGAAGATTCAGATTCATTGTACTGTTGATTGACAGAGTCACTGTTGTGTAAAGCAGCTTTTATCAAAGGTTCAGAGTGAGACACTTGGAATTTTGGTCTCTTGGGCTCAGTAGGGGAAGCAGCGACGGAGGAACCAGGGCTAGTATCAGACTGAAAGTCAGAAGGAACATCAGACTGATCATCATCAGGTATAGCATCAATTGAAGGGGATTGTTGGGAAGGCATCGTTAGTAACTCAGATATAGTGCGATGCTTCAAGATGGGTTTTGTACCATGACCTTGATCTAAATCGATGTGATCCTCTAAAGTGGATGCTTTTGGTTTTGGAACTGGATCGACAGCGGTGTGTAGTGGACCATATAGCCAAGTAACGTCACTATCTTTGAGCCTACATACGTGTGAGAAATGGCTCGAACTAACCAATAAAAACCCTACCAATTCAAAGTCTCAGGGCTAATAGTCTTCAGTTTATTCCGTTGCTTCCACCAAGTTCTCCAACTAGCGTTCTCTAATCGAATACCATTTGAAATATCATTCTTATGCTTTGTCATTGATCTCCAGCTTGTCCAAACATCCTCCTCATCCCATTCGTGGCTGAGATAATCAACGCATATTGAAGGCAGCCTCGTTTGAGCGTCTGCATCGTCTGGAGCGTGGCCAGTCGTTTCTGCTGACACAGTCTAAACAAGGGAATATTAGCGTGAGCTGTTTAAACAATTCTCAAGCGTACTGCCGGAGATGGAACGAATTGGGCCATTTAATTTGTTGATCGTTGTATACTGAGATGTGTGTATATCTCCTCAATGGCTCAAGTGGCTAAGCCTAATTTTCATAAAACCATAAAAAGTATTTTTAAATTTAAATTTATTTACCTTATTATTTATTCATTTAAATTATTATTCACCTCTTCCCTTTCCTCTTAACCATGGCACCTGCTCGTAAAAAGCAAAAATCTACGAAGCCAACACAGTCAATACAGCCAACCCAACCAAATCAACCAATCAAATCAATCCAACCAAGGCTATTTGCTCCATTCAGAGCTCTAGGATTCGTTACCAATGATATTCCCTTCAATATCCTATCTAGATCCACTAGAGACGCAAATAAATTATCTGCTCAGATTGTAACGTGCTTAGGAAATAGCTGGGCTATGTGGGATCTTTCTACCATGCGCCTTCTCTTTGTTTCCCCAGATTGTGAAAATCCAATCAACTCTATTGCAAATGATGGTACATACGTTTATGTCTCTGCCGGTCCTCATTTGATCAAGTATAGTAGGGGTAAACAAATTTCTAAATTTGAATACCCTGAGCCTTCAGAACTGGGCACTATCACGCTCTTCGGTAGTCAATTACTCGCACTCAGAGCTAATGGAAATGGTCTAATCGTTTTTGATAATCATTCAAATGCTAAATCAGAATTCTCACACGAGATTCAATTCCCTTTCAATTTCACTGCCACTCAGATCCTCCATCCATCCACTTATCTCAATAAAATCGTTGTAGCATCTGCTCAAGGTGATTTACAGTTGTGGAATATAAGAACAAGATCACTCATTCACTCCTTCCAATCAACTCACCTTCGAAGAAGTCTTCCAAGGCCTTCTACAGAGGCTATTACTTCCCTCGAGCAATCTCCTGCAATTGATGTTCTCGCCATTGGTTACTCTGACGGTCTAATTTCACTCTACGATATCAAATCTGATGAAGAACTCCTAAGAATGCGTATGGATGGCGATCTCTCCATCAATAGCATCACTTTCAGGACTGATGGTGAACATATCATGGCTACAGCCGCATCTAACGGTTACATAGCATTCTGGAATCTCAATGAAGGTGGTAGATTAGTCAATGTGTTAAGAGACGCACACAGTGAATCTACATCCAAGATAGAGTTCCTACCAAATCAGCCAGTATTGATATCTTCCAGTGGCGACAACAGCGTGAAAGTAGGTAACGTGCATATAATCCAACACAATTCTAACGACTATCCAAGCAATGGCTATTCGACTCGCCCAGCGTTCTCCCAAGACTGCTCAAGTTCAGAGCTGGTCATACTGCCCCACCACACCACATACGCTATTACGGTGAAGACGGAAAAACAATTCTCAGTGCTGGCAGAGATAACAGCTTGAGATACATGAGTGTAGTAAGAGATTCGCGCAGTTTCGAAATGTCTCAGGGCTCACTCGCTAGAAAAGCTGCTCAACTCGCTCTACCAATGGCTGCGTTGAGGTTACCGCCCATTACATCACTCGCATTTGCGACGCAGAGATCTAAAGACTGGGATGACGTTCTTACCTCACATGCCGACAGTGCTGACTCCTACACTTGGCATGTCCAAGATAAGAAACTTGGTAAGCACAAGCTGGTGATGGATGACGGCGTCGCTCGATCAGTCACTGTATCCGTGTGCGGTAATTACGGTCTCATCGGTACAGATAAAGGTAAGATTAATCAATTCAATATGCAGTCGGGCATCAAGAGACGTGTACTGTCTATACAGAACAAGTACGAGAATAAAGATGCACTGGCTATTTCAGGTGTCATCAGTGACGCTCTCAACACTACCATCGTCGCTAGTACATTGGATGGATTCCTCTATTTCTTCGATTTCCACAACGGCGCTCTCATCGATACGCTGCAACTGCGTGGTGGTGTACACCAGTTGATTCTGCAGCGAGACAACGGAATAATGGCCGCCATATGCGCCGACAATGTCGTACGATTAGTAGATATCGAAACAAGACGTGTCGTTCGTGAATTTAGAGGATTCACAAAGAGGGTGTCTGACATCGTAAGTATGAGTTTGCATAATAGCTTATCTAACAAGACACACAAAGGCATTCTCCCCAGACTCTAAATGGCTCGTTGCATCATCGTATGACTGTATTATACGGACATACGATATTCCAACGGGGACGTTGGTTGATGCATTCCGAGTGACCAGTCTGCCCACCTCCCTCACCTTCTCTCCTACAGGAGATTTCGTAGCGACGACGCACACTGATTCCGTCGGTATCTATCTATGGGCGAACAAGACACAGCTGGTGGAGGTTCCACTGCGACCCATCTCCCAAACTGATGTCATCGACGTTGGACTCCCAACTATGCAAGGCGAAGTTGAGGATGAGGAGCTTGGTCAGTTGGAGAGTGAACCTATTGTGCAACATGCGCTCGGCGGTATCAAAGACCAATTAAGTGATGGATTGGTTACGCTGTCGACTATGCCTCGCACTCGCTGGCAAACGTTGCTCAATTTAGATACAATTAGAGAGCGTAATAAACCAGCTGAACCAGTCAAGGCTCCTGAACAAGCACCTTTCTTCCTTCCGTCGCTTATGGATACGCAGAACAACACTTCTGGCGATAAGATGAGTATGGATGTGGATAAACAGGATACTCATCGCCTGGTTGAAGGTGCTCTCGGTATTGAGACCCAGCTGTCGAAAATGTTACACTCCGCTCAATCTGATAAATGTGAGTTTAAATCGCGCCTTGTCGTTGATTCAGAATTTGATGACTAACCTAATCTAACTTATCGCAGTGGATCAACTCTTCACCTACTTGCATGGAATAACACCCGCCAACAATGACGCAGATGTTAGATCATTGATGCCTGCAGATCTCGAACTCTTCTTGAAAGCATTGAGCGAGAGACTTGGTCAGCAGAAAGATTTCGATACTGTACAAGCACAGATGGGATTAGCTTTGAGAGTTCACGCGGATATCTTGTCATCTGACAGCTCACTCAGAGAAAGTCTATCAAACTTAGCTCAGGCTCAGCGCAAAGAGTGTCACAGATTGTTCGATCTGACTAATTACTCACTTGGTGTGCTCAGCTTCGTTAGAGACATCCCACTGCAGTAGAACCAGGCATTTGGCATTAGACAACGCGCAATAAACAAACAATAGACAAAAGACTTATTTATTCTGTAGCAGAAAAATATATGTTATAATTATTCGGGTAAACAATAGTAAATAAAATGCAATGTGTAACATGTCAACTTGGTTGCTGTTGTGTCGCCTTCCCCTCTTCTTCCTCATCCGACTCACTGTGAATATCTTCATCGTCATCTTCATCAAACAGCTTGCCCTGCTTCTTCCATCTACCATCTCCCTGTACTCTGTTGAATTGTTGTATGCTTGAATTCTTAATACGGCCTTGATTATCAACAGAATCTAACTCTTTCTGAGATGTCGGTCTCATTCTCAGCCATTGCATACGAGGTCCTGATCTACTCTTTTCTGATATTCTGAAACCATATATCTTTGGTGTATATATCTTTGTAGCAGCTGGCTTGTAATGAGATTCAGCGATTGCTTGATAATCCACTGTGTCATCGTCGTTAACTGGTAGTACGATCGATGGTTGAAGATCCTTGTAGGTATGAAAAAGCAGATGAGGGAATGTAGTTCCGAAGAAAGAACCTTGGTGGGGCTGTGAGTGAAGTATTTAAGGACGCAATTAGCTCACCATCGACGCCTTGAAATCTAGAGCTTGGAGGTACGTAAATGTCCATGCAATTTGGACAGTATAGCTTCACTGTATCAACTCCTGGTGTATCTGACCTTCCGCATGGAACAACAGGACAAGACTGACAGCAGAACCGAGGGCAGAATCCAAAGTGACCATTTTCGTATTTTTCAACCTGTCTGGAGTTAGGATTGTTAGGGCGTAGCTGCTTCTAGTGGCATACCATTTGCTGCAAACCAACTCTTGTAAGTATGAATCTGGCGTGGATGAGTCCGTAAAGCATTTCAGCGCTGTGTTCGACTATGGATACATCTGGTATTTTTAAAGATTCTTCTAAAGTGGATTAGTATTGAGAAGAGAGCAGGTTTTATCACGCTCACCTGGTTCAACGTCCAGTATCATCTCTAGAGCTTCCTAGTATGGATTTAGATGTGTAGCAATACGTAAGAACCTGTATCACCTTATAAAATCCAACTATACCCGCTAATCCTGTCAAATTGAATTCGTCTTCGATAAAGTCCTCGGAAACTTCTGCAAAGTACTCGTGGCCAGCTGCTAAAGCATGAGGACTAGTACACCACACCGACGAACAATCTACGCACGTAATGAACAGAACCAGCTTATCCACGTTAAAGATGAAGTGCTCGTTGATTGCGGTGATGATGAATCTATGGCCATTTAGCTTGTTTTAACGTACCTGAATAGCGCTCCCACCATAAACAATGGATTCAGGATTATTCTCCTCTAAGATTTCCATCTCTTCATCTGCTCTCTCGCCGGCCATAGATATACCTAATCAAGGTGATAGTCGACGCGTACAAGAATTTTTAAAATATTCAAAACGACATTTAAAATAAATCACAGGCTTAAAATGAAGTATTTATGTGTAAATAAGTCTGCAATTAGTCATACACGCTTAGAACTTGAGCTAGAAAGGGTTCATGTTAGTAAGGCACTCTTTACCACCAAAAAAAAAACCTACTTCGTGTGGGAATTCACCACGTGAGAGACCGAATGAAGCGTTGAGGTACTTGGTGAGACCGTCGACCTTCTTGATCTCAGCAAGGATGGCCTTGTCGACATTCTTTTGCTCTTGGGCCTTCTCAGCAGGGTACTGCTTCTTCTCAACCTTGTCACCGAAGAATGCCTCTTCCTTGGTGGCGTTCTTGACGGCTGGCTTAGCGAAGTAAGCGTCGTTGAGCTTTGATGACTGTAATCTTGTAAGCGAGTGAGAATTTTATACCAACATCAACTCACGTCAACAGCACCAACGTTGACCTTGGTAGAGGTAGCGATAACGTAGGCTTGGTTAACGCGACGGAGAGGGACACCGTTGACCTTGAAAGGACCAGTGACGAGCAAGAGACCAGAGTTGAGTTGCTTGAGGAAGACGACTCTCTTTCCTCTGAAGCGACCAGCCAATAAGATCAAGACGGTTCCCGGGGTGATAGATTCACGCAGCTTGGTTGGACGTTGGGCCTTACGTGCCTTGGTTGGAACGGCAACATCCTCAGATGGGTAGAAAGCGCGAGCCTTGGTGGTTGGGACTTGACGTTGACCACCGTTCTTCGCGCCACCAACGGTCTTGGTCTTGGACTCAGCTTGAGCCTCCTTTTGAGGAGCAACACCCTTCTTTTGACCCTTGAAGAGACCACGCTTGGTGTAGAGTTGGGTGCGGGTGAGACGACCAACGTTCTTAGCGATAGGTCTTGATCTTTGTTGCAAGGAAACCATTTGGGTCGAAGATGAATGTAAGCCTACAAGCCACTTGTCGCCTCTTCTCATCTGATCAAATTTACTCAAAATTACAAAAAATTCCATAAACTTCAATATTCCCTATTTTATTGTGTTTATTTATTAATCACAGCCTATGCCCTCTATTGGCTGTGTTTTTTATCTACTTTCTGCTGTCTTCTGTGTCGTTGCAGATATGTACACGATACACACACTGCAACTACACAGATATCTATGTAAATTATAGCATACTTATATTCACAGCCGTAATATTAAGCTTATTTGGTACTTCTCCCTCTCTATCCACCTATTTTGTATGTCTTCTCTAATCTAACAGCGACGGTATAGCTTATGCAAAAGCGTGCATTCAAAACTTAATACAACTACAAGAGAGTTTTAAATGTATTTTACTACCCCAGGATCCTTTCGCCAGAAGTCAAACCATTTCTGACATGCTATCATAATCTGGCTAGAAACGACCAAAAATGTTAAAAATACTTTTCTAAAGCTAATCGGTGTAATGTGCAAATAAAAAAAGTTGACACTGATGCCAAAGTCAAAAATCTATGCTTCGGGGCGGAATCGAACCACCATTTCGGGATTTCGCCAATGTAGATTGGCTCATAGCGATAAACTATGAGACCCATGTACTAACCGTTATACTACCGAAGCTCTTAATTCTTCATCTGCAAGTACAAAGTCATATCTTATCGCTTATAAGAGCCAACTTACAATCTAACTAGGACTGTCTGATTCTTGAGAACAAAAGAAGGTATGTCTCCTTTTTTTGGCTGTCGTAGAGCTCTAACAGACAATGATCTCACAAATTGAGTCATTGGCGCACCACAATCTGGAAATAAGGACAGCCTTCGATAATTTGAAGAAATTTATTTCTGTGATAACATTGCTGCATGCATATTCCCTTTGGGAATGTCCTTCCTAAGCCTTCACAGCACGAACGTTCAGCAGCTTTAAAGGCGCCTTATTTTAATGAGAAGTATGATAAAGTCGTTTTAAGCATGCTAAACTATTTGGCTGGCTATTCTACCTCATAACAGCCAAAGTGACTACTCGGTTTACTCATCGACTCTCAAACACGCAACAACAGTGCGTGTTTCGGAAACAAAATACGTTTGGTAGTGGTATAATATTTATGCAGAATACACGAAACTTGAATGATTAATTAAGTAGTTTAACGAAGGAGTGGCGTGTCTTGTAGGTCGTGGGCCGTGAGTTGTGTTTCGATTTTAGTGTTTAACGTTCAGGGCTAGTCCAAGTGTCAGTTGATGAATTATATGCAAAAAAAAAAAAAAAAAGATCAGGTGGAAACGGTTGGTATGTTGTAAGTGTCTTGAGAAGCTTGCTGTTACGCAGCAACTCAACGTTATTAAACCCGAGCGCTAGTGTAACAGTGAAAAAAAAAGTCAAAATATCCAAATTTAAGATGAGCGGGGAGGTGCCTCAGGTTTAGGCGAAGTGGGAGACTTGGGTGAAGTCGATGGCAGCTCAGTCTCGAGTATTTCCTTCCTGAGTGCCTCACCATCTTCTTCACTCTCGATGCGCTCCTCGTTGAGAAAAGCAATACCTTTCCTGAATATCTCACCCTCTTCAAACAACTGACTGCGACCAAGATCTGACGTCGGACTCTTCACTTCTTCGCCATTCAAAGCAGGTTTCGGCGTCGACTCATCATCCTGCTTATCTATTTCAGTGCTAATTTCTAGCTTAGGCTTTGGTGGTAATTGCTTCAAACTCCCACCTTCACCACCGATGGATGTAGACTCTGGGTCAGCGTCGGTCTCAACATCCGAGTCATCAGATCCCATAATTTGAAATTGGGGATTAGACATCTCATCATTGAGACTCAAACTTCTAGCTCTGTTGTGATTTGACTTTTTCGGCTGCAAAAATGCTGCACCCTGAGCCTGTTGACGTGCCAATATTGCATTCTGCTCTGACAACTTCACAGAATCCTCGATACGTCCGTTTAAGCCGGCAAGCTGATCATTCAGACTGAGAGCAAGGTTAATTTCATTCTCGTTCTCAATCAACTCCTCTCCGATCAACTCCATCAACCGATCTTTCAATGCCTTCACTTCGAGACGACGTTCGTGAATGTAGGTCTGAAGCGCTGCCAGCTTGTCTTCATTTCCAGGCTCTTTTTCCCGTTCATCGAATATCTCTGTGAAGATTTTGAGTATTTCTTGCGATACGACTAGCGTCTCCTGCGGTGTCTGGTTCCACACACGTGCTCGCGCTATACCTTCCGGACTCTCGGCTGCTGCTACGACTGCTGCCGTGGACTGCTGTACCTCAGCCTCTTGCAGTTTCTTCGCTAAGACTGAGCGCTGGATTGGTCCGAAAAGATTCTTTGATTTGCCCGATTTCTCCTGCGCTGCTTCCGTGTTACGGATGCATGACTGCAGTATATCTTGACTGAGGTTCGCCATGTCAGGGTCGTTGATTGGTATGCTAATGTCGAGACATCTGATTGAGTTATTCATTTTCACGGCGACAGAGAGTGCGAGCAAGCCCGACATAGTGAGATTATTGTCGGTGAGATCCTTTACACGGTCAGTAACATACTCAGCCGTACAAAGAAAGCTACCCACCACATGTAGCAGTGTTTTGGCTTCAGGGAGAAACTCGGCTAAAGCGATTGCACCTTCAGATTGCAACTGTGTGTCTGCAAGGAACAACCTCTTCATGTTCGAGTTGACCGCGAAGGATGTCCGCAGTGATGTGATCTAGGCGACGTTAGTTTTTTTTTTTTTTTGGTAAAAGTAGGTCCCTTACGCCATCTGCCTCAGGACCACAGCAAGGATTTTTGCTCAAATCGAGTGTTTCTAGAGTTGTATTATGTTTCTAGGCTTCAATTAGCATAATCTAACACCAACATTCGTTGCTCACCAATGCTTCAGAAATTGATAAGAGACCCCTATAATCAATCCTGTTCTCGCTCAGGTTGAGCACCTTGAGTGTCTTGTTACGCTTCAGTACAGTAGCAATATAATTGACGCTGGAGCGAATATCATTCCCTTTAAGATCAAGGGTGATCAAACCACTGCCAATATCAACTCTCGGCTGTGGGGGTACTTCCACCTTGTCTTGTGAATCTTCAAGACGTCGTGAGATGAAGTGGCTCTCGATATTTCCGTCTTGACTGTCCTCCTTCTGACCTGTCTGCTCATTATGCTGAATACTTGGAATTATGCGCGTGGTCACACTGCCAGATGGACTTGATATGACAGGTGTCTCCTTCTCATCGTCCTCTAGTTTACTGCGCTGCCTGAAGTTGAAATTCTGGAGGAATGACATGCTATTTCTGTAACTGTTGTTCCTATTCGTGGCAAGGTCAGGTCGCCGTGGTGCTTGGGGAGGAGATGATTTGCTGAAAGGGTCACTGCTTAGCGATTCAGTGGTCGAAGGGTCGACGTAGTCTTTGAGCATCAATGCGAGCGAGACGACGCCGTTGCTGGATATCTTATTGCGTCGGAGCGAAAGATGCATTAATGCAGAGTTCTTCATCCCCTGCGCTGTTATGTAATTGGTTAAATTGAGCTAGACTCTCCAACGCAAACCCACCTATGGCTTCTAATGCACCAGATTTAAACGTACACCCCTCCAAACGGACGGTGCTGATATTGCTATGGGTGTATTGACTGTATCGCAAGAGCGCGGGCGAGGGGATGAGAGGTTGGTCTTGGGCGTGTGAGCTATGAGCTATTAAGGCTATCATATCATGCCCACCTTTATCATGCTCCTGATGCTGATCCTGCACCCGCTGCTGGCGTTCTTCATCTTTCAGTTCCTCTTTTTCGGGTCTAGCAAGAGCAGACATGAGCATTTCGGCGCTCTTCTTATCAAATATATTCTCCGACAAGTCAATATAAGTGAGGTGTTGTGCCTATGCATCAAATCAGCAAGTGTGAACCATCTAATAACTAACCCACCCTCTTCATAAACATAGACAGTAATTTCCACCCCTTCTCCTTGATCATCTTGTTATTGGCAATACTAAGCCAGGGCAGTTCTGCCGAGATAAGAAGAGCATGCAGCACCGGCTTCAACGACTCATCAACCAACCCTATATCTTCGAGAATGAGCCGTTGGAGTCCCCACCGTATGCTGAGAACATCAGCAAGCGGCTCTAAGTTCTCCTTGAACAGATGCACACCTGAGAGATCGAGTGTACGGCCTGATTCGCGCATAAGCGCGGCTGAACGCAGCTGTTCAATGATCTCGGCGCGTGGAATCTCCTCGCGCAATCTGCAGGCATCCCTGTAAATTTGAATGAGTTGCGCGCCTTCGTCTGCGGTCCAATAGGAGAAGTCGTGAACACTATCGGTGTGTCTGTATTCGGCCTCGACTTGGGCGCGATGGGCGCGAGAGTCAGCAGGAGGAAGTGCCGCGTGAATGGGGTATGTAACAGACATGCTTGGGACGTGGAAGCTAACTCGCTTAATTGATTCGTGGGGTGGATGATGAGTAGCTGTGGGCTGTGAGGCATGTGTGGGTGGTGCGCTTGTATTTTCTGTAGGCGTAACCTGCTGCTGCAGCTTATTAGGGATAGACTTTGCAGTGTCTATCGCCTCTGCTGGTCCTTCAGATAGGAGCTTCTTGAAACCGCCCCAGAAAGTGCTGTCCTGTGAATTATGGTGGCTCTGTTGCGGCTGCGGTTTTGGCTGTGGCTGTTGCTGCAAATGCTCATCGTCGCCTGCTCTGCTCAACTTCTCGAACAAGTCGTTGATGGGATTCAAGGTGAAGGGGAAACGCGACGACGGTGGTGGTGGGCTCTTGAGGATACCTTTCTTTGGAATTTGCTTATTCGCCGGAGTATTTTCATTATTTATCCCGCTCATATCTGCATTCGGCGCTGCTTTAAACCTTCTCAATCGATGATCCTCGCTGTGTTTCATCAAAAGACATTTCATGACAACTATTCAAAAAATTCTAACAAATACATCAAACGTATGCTATCCTGTTCTCCCAGGCATATCGCATAGTGAACGGCTCCTTGGCGAACTCTGCGCTGGACACTGGCAGCACCGTTGGACACACTCCACTTATTGACTTATATGTGGAGTGTGTCTAACGACAAAGGTACCTTAAGTTTTCTTCCGTCTTAATTTGTACAAGGACTCGCTATCAACGTCGTAGGCTCTCGAAAAGCTCAAATATCTAAGCTTTCGTTTGGTTGGCGGAGTATAGCGAGAATGATAGCAATTAGATCATTGCAACAAATTGTCTCTCAACTTGGCTGATTTCTCGTGCTTTTTTTATCGTAATTGGTGATGTCAGCGAACATGAGCGAGATTTAATCAGGGCTGAACGTCCAAAAGATTATACAACCACAACATTAATATTGTCTTCAAATCTGCGCTCATTTCTACCACCGACGCGTACCTTATGTTCTCGAAACATAATCTACACCTACAGAGCTGATGAAGATAGTTACGATGATACAAATGAGGTGGGTAAAGATAGCTCGCGATACACCGGTAAGAACGAATATGAGTATTATGATTGAATGGGTCTCTTCATCTACTTGTCTTTATGTTTCTTAAAAACTTTTCTCGCTCTTCGATAAGCATTAATTGTAGCCACGTCGCACTATAAAACTGTGTACCTTTGATATCTCATCGAGTTCATGTCTCTCTAGCAGCGTGTGCGAATTTATCAAAATGAGATATGCCGATACACTGTCTCAGTATCTCAAACATCAGCTTGAAATGAGTCCAAGTAATATATGCTAAAATTCATGCAAATGATACTCCAACGACTCCTGTGAAACAATGTCCGAATTTGAAATCTGAAATTGATCGTCACTTGGGCCTCGGAGAATTAAGCATGATCCATGCTCATTCCCTTTCTTATAGCAGCTGTTGCTGCTTTTAGTGCTACGAACAGCCCAATGAGTCATTTATATCTCTGTATCAGTTTTTGAGGTGATCAACGCAGCTCAGCAATTACTCAATTACTCAATTACTTTGATTTCAGCGCTTGTGCATGTATAATGTACACAACAATGCTTTATCTCTCACTGTCATCTTTCTATGGCGTGCTCAGCACAGAAGCTCTTCGATCTTTGGGCCGAAGATGTCACGCTCAAGAACGAGTGCGTCATTCTACCTCGAGGACGTCAAAGTGTGTAGTGATGAATCTTTCGGTAGATAATAGCTAGCTAACAGTTATGTCGATATGCTCGCAATTATTAGTCTTTTACAGCGCGCTATATCGTTTAAATAGTTTTGGTCTGTTGCAGAAAGAATAATTTGATATTTCTTAGGTTACTTTCATACTATTCTGATTTCTGCGATTCTTAGCGCAGCTTTATCAACATCTAAACCCCATTAATTGAATTCTCGTAATTCACTGGTCACAACTCAAACCCCTGATTTCACAGTTGGGCTGACCCCTACTTTTCTTTGCATGAATTGTCTTCAATAGTGTTTCAATTACTCGTAATGACAACAATTTTTCCCTGGAGCCAGCATCGAGTCCTGTGGACGCCAAGTGTCGGAAAACGTAAATCGCGTCTCGAAGCGTGGATACTTGAGATATCTGGGTGCTTGTGGTCTCTATAAGTCAGCATTACTTACTTCTATCATTGAAGCGTGTCAAATCATCCGCTTCTATCCTAAAACGTGCTCTCTCTAAAGTAATGTCGATTGCAACTTCCGAACACCTACAAGGCGCAATTGGAAGCTCAGGGATGTAGTTATGTCAAAATATTGTTGAGCTCATTTAGGGCTAATTATCAACCTTTTTTATTTGGACATCATCAAAACTCGTAAATCAGCCATCTGAGATGGAGATAGGTGGGAGCGGAGAAATTCAACTCTGTGGATATTGGGCGGAGAGTTGAGATGGGAATATGACTAGAATGATAAAGATGCTATGAAATGTATGATGTCGTTACATTGTTCAAATTGTCACTATATGGTATCCCTGCGTTCGTCTTCTCACTTACTTGGTTATTTGCAGGGTTCCTTGAGCAGATTTAATTCAAAAAAATGATTCATGCTACTGCAAGCACTTATTAGTCTTCAAAGAAGTATTCAAATCATCCTGTCTTTTCACAATCACATCTTGAAGTCATCAGATGCAGAGACGAGTTCCGGATCGAGCGTTTTGGAGGTGCAACCGGGTTAATGAATTTGTTATCATACCCAAGCACTCAGCAATGTACCAAAACTACTTAAAAGTTGCTACTATATATTAAATATTATATACAAATACAGTCAAAACGTTTATAAACAAGAAACAACTTCAATCAAGCATTGTGCAATAAGTCAAGCAATTTCTGCTAAGTACGTGGCTTTTTCGGAGGCTTCGCATCACCAGAATCACCACTGCCATCAATACCACTATCAGGTAAAAGGCCCTTCAGGCTGTCCTTCCACTTGTCGGCGCCTTGTTGAAAAGACTGCAAGTTGGTAGATCTAAAGTGACTAGCGGCCTTGTCGAGAATTTCAACATCTGGATCTGTCTTGTACCTCTTCATGCTGTTGCCACTGGCTTCCACCTCAGCTTTCACTTCTTTACTGGCTGGTGCTGGTGGTACTGCTGGACGTGGTGGATTGAATGGCTTAATGTCTGAGTGCACCTTTCTTCTTGTTGTTGCAGTTCTATTGCTGCCGCCAGCACCACCACTAGCAATACTACCACCACTACCAGTTTTGAATGGATTATTTAATGTCTCGTGGGAAAGTTGTTGGACCAAATTATTCGACTTGGGCGCCCTGAATCTCTGGTAAGAATTGTTGTATCCCTTTCCTCTTCCATACCTCGATCTATAATCATATCTGTCGTAGCCATCAGGATCATATTCATGATAGCCGTTGTAGTCATTTCCTTCACCATCAATATTCCTCAGCCTTTCATTCTGCTTCATCTGCTGCTCCCTCAATTTGTCGACTTTGAATGCTTCCTCAAATTCATTTATAGCAGCTTTGAGATCCTCCTTGTTTGGATAATCGAGGTTGAGTATGGAGAGCAATTGACTGCGCAGCTTATCATCAATTAGCATAATATCATCTTGATAGCACTGTAAAGTTGGTATGTGAGCGTAGATAACATGAAAATAAACAATCAAACCCACTTCAAGATTTCTGGCAAACTTAAGGAAATCTGAGAGGCATCTATCTTTCATTGATCCTGCTACCAATCTAGAACGAGCGTGCGAAATGTTCAGCACGGCCTGTGCACGAGTCATTCCAACATAGAGCAGTCGTCTCTCTTCTCTAACTTGATCTTCCGTGTCTGCTTTAAAGAAGGGTATTACGCCTGATTCTACAGCTGGCATAAATACCACAGGCCACTCCAAACCTTTTGCGCTGTGGATTGTTGATATTGTCACTTTTCCCTTTAAATTACATTAGAATACGCCATCTGAAATTCCGCCACACTCACCAAAGCCTCATCAACATCCGCCTCAGTGTTGAAACTGACATCTAAAGAAGAGACCTCCAAAAATTTACCCAGTCTAGCAAAGTTTTGATCCTTGACTGAATCAAACTCTTCATCTGGTTTGAATAGTGTGCCTTGATTGAAGTCATCATCAATGGTGGCAGCGAACGACAAAAGTTCCTTGAGGTTCTCCACTCTCGAGTTTACTTCTCTCTCACTCGAACAGGACACCTTCAAGTAACTTTCGTACTCAATATCAGCTATCAACTTCTCTACTATACTTTTGAGTGGTTTACCATTGCGTAGTGCTTGACGGCTTTCATCTAGTGGATAAACGAACGCATCAAGCTTTTTCCAAGATGCCTTCCAGCCTTTGACTTTTTCCTCATTTATTAAACCGTCGAGAAGCATTGTGAATGGCGGCAATATTGCCTTTGATGATATATCTACTATGTCTTCAACACTCTTTGGACCCATTCCACGCTTTGGTACGTTGATCGATCTTTTTAGAGCTGGGGTATGACTTGGGTTTATCAGCAACGTCAGATAGGACATTATGTCTTTGATTTCAGAACGGTCAAAGAATTTTGTACCTGCAAGAACTCTGACCGGGATGCGCATTTTGTTTAGTTGTGATTCTATCGTACGAGATAAGGCATTGAAGCGTACTTTTGCTAGTTAGTGATGGTATAAAGCATTTCCTTATCTACTCACGCAGGATTACGAAGTCTTCATATCTCAGCTTGTTTCCTGAGTATGCAATTTGTCTCTTGATCTCTTTGGCAATCCAGTACGCTTCACTGTCTCCATCAAAGAACTCCTTGAGCGTCACCGGGGATCCTTCTGGATGATCAGTTTTAAGTTCCTTCTCTGGTCTTGTCTTATCTGTTATCATGTTAAAAAAAGTAATAACTCACGTATACTTCTTACCTTGAGACATTACAGACATTGCAGCCTTGACAATAGCACCAGAAGATCTGTAAGTCTGTTCCAAGTAAATTTCGGATGTGTTTTGGAAATCTTAAGTGGTGTTATGGTTGAGTGTATTAGTGGCTTGCAGCGATACTCACCTTTCTTCATTTTCTGCAAATTGCCAATCTCTGCAGCTCTCCACCCATAGACTGGTTATGATGTTAGAGGAGGCGTGACGCATGGAATACAAACGCACTACTCTGATCTGGATCACCAACGATACTGACATAGTCATTGCGAGACATCAACCTCATCAAATCGTATTGTACTGTGTTGGTGTCCTTTTTTTTTGATATGAGCGAAAACAAGACAGCTCATCAACAACGCACTTGAAATTCATCAACGAGCATGACACGTATGTTGCTTTTGGCGTTAGGGACTTGCTCGAAAACGCGACAACCTTCAATCAAGAGATCATCAAAGTCGAGACAATTGAATTTATCGAGCTTCTTCTGATATTCCTCGTAAACCTGAGCGAAATGAGTTAGCGGGTGGTGTTAGAAAAAGGTAAAGACGCACATAAGCAACTTGTTTGAGCTGCTTTTTCTCAAACTTATCAGTTGTTGCTTCGGCTATATCCTCTAGGTCATCTGGACCGATACGCTTAGCTTTATACCAAGATATTTTGTTGCGGGAGTAGTCAGCGAGACCTTTGAGCCCACTATCCTCTTTACAAACTTGAGCAACGACATCCTTGCTGTGTTTGTGAGAGACTGAAAACGTTTCAGACAAAATCAAGACGCACGAATCACTTGCATCGATGATGGACCAATCTTTGGTCATTGGAGGGTCGAGAAACTTGCCATAGATCTTTATATACCTGATGCAGACAGAGTGAAATGTTCCTTTGTATTTGTGAGCGGTGTAATAGCTGCATATGATCCAAACAAACCCATTATCAGGCCTTCTACTTTCTTTGGATCGATGAGCTTCTTCAGGCGCTCTTTCATTTCCTTTGCCGCTTTGTTTGTGAAAGTGACTGCAACGATGTTGCTAGGAAGGATATTGTGCTCGAGGATCATGTGCGCGACTATCGCCTGTTAGCTGGTATAATTTTAGCTGAATCCCACCTACTCCTCGTCGTCAGCACGCGAGTTTTACCTGAACCGGGTCCTGCAAGGATCTGGAGTGATGAATACGGCTCGTGAAGCACGGCTGGTGAAGTATTTAATGTAGAATTAAGATATAAATCTCATTCACACCTTGGCATTGTGCTGCATTTAATCCATTCAAGTAGTTTGGCTTTGTGTCCTTAACATCCTTTGTATCGCCGCCACCCATGGATGATAAGAGGTAAGAAGGAAGAAACAGCAAATAAATTATGCATTAATATAATTCTAATCAAGTTTATCAAGTTTCTCTAACAGAACCCCATTCCCTTTAGCTTCAGAATGTTTGATTTCATCGCGTTGAGGACCATCAAACTCATTCACTATTTCCTCTTTAATACTATCCAATCCGTTAGCAACAACAGCCTCAACAAGTTCAGCGATAATGAATGTACCCGATGACTTGGCCAGCTTCACTGCGTGCGATTGAATAGCCTTCCACAACTTCTCAGCCGATTGCTTGGACAGTTCCGGATCAGTTACCACGACTTTCTTTTCATTCTTGTCGAATTTTCCACCTTGTAATAGAGTCTTGTAAACTCTAGAAGCAGGGGTGAAATCCAAGACGTCGTTGCTGGTTTCAATCAACCCAGCTAATGCATCCAATGCTCTACTTTTATCTAGTCAATGTGATTAGCTGCAGTGTAAGCAATATCACTACACTCACCTCCTATAGTGTAGAGCATTATGTCAGTCAAGATCAAACTACCACCAGCATCCATGATCAACTTTCTTGGCAACTCCTCAACGACCTTCAATAGATCACCACTCGATGCTTTGATAATTTCACCTCTTCTAGTGTTGAAATCCTTCTTGGAAGTCTTCTTCAACGCTTCATCTGTCTCTGCAATTGTGGCGATGAATGCCGGTGTGAAATGTTTCGTTGATCTTGGTGTGGTGAGGTAATGTAATGATCTCCTGCCATTTTTATCGAATGCAATTTCTTCAGCAGCTTTCGTTATTGGAGAAATAATAGACTGGCTCAATGCTTTGGTATCGTCTACAGCATCTAATGCGGTGAAGAGCACAAATTGAGCTTGATCATCCGTAGCCATCTTTCCTATGTGTGGTCTCATGATTCTAAGTATCATTTTACGTTCTTTTGCTGATGTTGTTGCAATAAACTCTCTAACAGCTCTCGATCCATCTCTTGTGTGTACTATTTCTGGAAGGACTTCATTGCAATCTTCCAGCAAAGACTTGCGCTTCTTGTCGGCTTCAACTTGGTCGTAAACCAGGTCTAATGCACTCATGTATTCCCATAGTGCTCTATGAACGATGGAATGAGACACTGCACCTTTGTCTGAGTGCTCGAAAATGGATTGCAGAGTGTTGCGCACGTTATCCATCATCATTTCACGCTTAGATTGGTTTTGTTCTGTGAGAAGATCCTTAAGAACTTTACCTTTCTTGCTTTCGTCATCGTTGAAGAGTGAGAACTCTTTGCCGTAGAAATCACGAACGAGAGCTTGACGATCTACTGCATTAGCGTAGAGAGCGAAAGCATCCTCAATCACGCCAGATGCGTACTTGTGGAGTAATAGCTTGGGGACGTTACCGTGGAAGGAAGCAAGAATCTTTGGTCTGAATGTAGGGCAGTATCTGATGAGCTTAGTGAGAAGGAAATTAGCGTATTTGTCTTGTGCTAGCTTTAAGTAGCTTCCTTCTAGTTCATGTGCTACCAATTCCCTCTCCTTGCGACCACCGTGCTTTACGATAGACTGGATAATGCGGCTAGCGTCGTGTTTAAAGATGACATCCTTTACATGACCAGTAACCACATCAACCAGAGAATCAAGGTGCTTCTTGCGCTCTTCTTTTGTTAAATTCTTGCTCTGCCTGACCATTTCCCAATGAACTTTAGCCTGTGCGACGATTTCTGAGTGTGGCTTGTGCGCTTTTCTCATTGCAGCCTTCTCCTTTGACTCTGCGTGCATTTTTTTATTGCCTGAGAATGGCTGTGAGAGGATTAGTGGTGTGTACAGGTTCTACTCACTGGCAGCCTTGTCAGCGTCTGGTAAAGGCTCTTCACGGTCCATTTCTTCATCCTCCTCTCCTTCAGACGCAGCTGGAACTTCCTCATATCCATCCTCTTCCTCCTCCTCGTCTTGGTCGTCGCTGTCGTCCTTGACTGGAGCTGAGCCTGTAATTGGCGCCTTCCTTTTAGCAGGAGCTTCTTCAGCCTTGTTAAAGCTTGGTTTACTGCGCTTGTTTTTGTTTTCGCTGCGCTCGTTCGCTGCTCGCTTCACCATTTAGTTGAGTGTGTTTTGTGATAAGAGAGGTGCACACGGTGAAGTGAATTCATCATACAAATTTTATCTTAACGGGATTATTTTGTGGGTTGTGTGGGGGGGGAGCTAGCTATACTCAACAAGTTCTAATTACGCTTGCTCTGGGTCAATATGATTTTAAGTCTATCAAAATTTTCATCAAAGACTTTACTGAGATTTGAAGATGGTTTAACAATCGCTTAGACTCAATAAATGGAGTCAGTACAATTTTCAGGCAAAACCGTTAAAATAATGAGGGAATCAACCGAGACATATATTAATCAGTACATTAAAGTTCACGGGGAATACAAGTAACACCTTAGATAAGTGGGATTGGGGTGCAGTTGATACCAACGAGACCATCATCCTCTACATCCTCACAACAGGTTGGAGTGTTCTTGCACTCATCTACGGGATGTCAATTGTGATATAAAACAAACGCGTTTACTCACCTTCGATAGCAACACCGATTAACAATGGGATCTGAGTACATTGAATGGCAACTTGGTCGAGGATATCGCCAGTGTGGAGGAGGCCAGATTCTTCACCGGTTGACTTTTGAACCTTCTTGTTAGTGTCGCCTTGGCAGGGTGAGTTGGTGGAAAGCTATAGATTTCTTATACGTACAACATGAGAGCTTGCCGGTGTTACATGAGCCAGTCTTTGAAGTCCAGCCAGCGGAGGCGGTGGCAGCGAGGGCGGTAGCGAAGATGGTTTGAGCGATCATTGTGAAAACTGGAGAAGAAGAGTTGTAAGGAGCATAGGAGAAAGAGGGGGAGTATTTATAGTATAAATTTAGTCTGCATTCCAAGTTTAGTGGGGTTTTGAATGAAAATATTCAAATATTCAAAACATTCCAAATTGGCAGAGGAATGAATGGGGAGAGATACACAAACATATGAGATACACGAAATTATACAGATAAAGATACGCGCAGGTATACAGATTGGTATGAATGAAATATAATGTGCAAACACGCTCACACTCCCCTTACACCGCAACTAATAACGTCAGAATGTCACTCGTGGTTTTGAGAGCAGGCAGAGGATTTAGAGTGGGAGAATCGCAGAGAGTTGAATTTATGCCAGATAAGGGACAGATAGAGGTGGATGTACAAGACGGTTTAGCTAGATTCTGTAGGTGGTGGTGTATTAAATGATATAAAGGGCTAGACTGACGCGATATACCAAGGCTGGAGAACACGCGCTACTGCGAGCTTAGAAGAGGAGCTGATGCTTTTCCCGCACGACAGCAAACTCGAGCGTGTCCACGAGGAGCCAACAGGAAGAACATTCAAGCTGACGTTTGAATCGAGCCAGGCGGTGCATTTCTTCTACCTCCAGAGTGAGCGCAGTGATGTGTACAAGGATAAGCTGGTAGACACGGTGAACGCCATCATCAATGACCCAGAAAACGCTGCTAGTCTCCCAAAGCTGCCGACGGAAGCGTCAATCAGGGAGAACAGCGCACAGCCCCAATCCATGGAGACCGATTGAATTGTAAAGGAAATGAATTTGAATTGATTGTTCGCTTGTAGCCTCCATCATGTCGCTCATACGCTCTGGACAAACGCTCGACGAGTTCCTGTCCAGCTTCTGGACAAGCCACCTCCGCGAAATCGAGAACGAAGACAGCGATTTCAAGAAGCACGACTTGCCGCTGGCGAGGATAAAGAAGGTGATGAAGTCTGATCCCTGTGAGTTGAGTGGTTTGCTGTTGAAAGTATTTAAACCATTTGAAAGCGGTGAAAGTGAGTTTGTTTGGTTGGCGTGGATAAGCTGATCCGTTGTGCTGCCAGATGATTTCTGGTGAAGGTGGGGGATGTCGTCCGTGTATTGAGCACACTCTAACGCCCAATCAGCTCCAATACTCTTCTCCAAGGCTTGTGAGAGTGCGTCGATCAATCTCATCGGCCTTGCTCACTCACGCACCCGCAGTCTTCATCTCAGAGCTCACTTGCAGAGCGTGGCTTGTCGCCGAATCAAACAAGCGCAGAACTCTCCAGAGATCTGACGTCGCTGGCGCCGTTGAGCTCTCTGATCAGTTCGATTTCCTTATCGACATACTACCACGCGGCGAAGAGGCCAACAAGAGGAGTAAAAGTAAGGCTGCAGAGGCGGATGTGGAGCGGGAGCACGAAGAGCAAGAGCAGGAGCAGGATCAGGAGCAAGAGCGAGACCAAGAACAGGAATATGAGCAAAATCAGCCGCAACACCAGGAACACAATCAAAATGACGTCACTTTGAGCGTGAGTTATCATCTATACATGCAAATAAATACTCAGACACAGCATTATATTACACTAACTTCAGTACTCGGACCATTCCAATGATCCAGCTCCTTCTGGCTACTTGCAATACGATACTGATTTCCTACTCGACATGATAGGCAGCTCACCCAACAACGCCCAGCAAACAGAGCAGAGATGAGTTTGCTTCGCCATTTGCCATCTACTACCTGCCGCCTGTACAACTAATGTATCTCACGCTCCAAACTCTCGAAATCCTCTTTGTGTATCTCTGCAGCCGACACCCTAACAGCGCTGCGAGGGGGGTTGGTTAGCCATCTGAGAGTGATACAATCGCTGCGCCACTCACCCTGCCAAGCTACCGCCGACCCAAGCATAGCAAGCCGGATTCCAAGCGGGAGCTTTGTTTGCTTTGCCACCTTTGCCACCTTTGCCTGCTTTGCCAGTTGGCTGGCTACCACGCGGCATCGGGTCGTTGATGACCTCGAACGACGTACTCAGACTGCTGAGATCATTGAGATGAGTGGCTGTGCGTGTTGTGCGTTGCAACAGAGCGCGTGTCTCATCGCCAAGTCGCCGCCTGAAGCCGACTATGGACGCTGTACCCCCGACGACTAGACAGCTCGCGCTCAGCTCTCTTCGCAGATCAATCGGTAGCGCTTGCATGCACTTCACCACGCACTCAGGTATGCTTGGCTCGTCTATGTCGCCACGACTCTCAAGCAACTCCTCTACCGCCCTCGCTCTCACCCAGCCCGGTATAAATACCACTCCGCGCCCGTGGCTTGTTTGGATCTTGACTGCTATCTGATTAGCGTTTTTGTTATCATTATCATTAGCATTAGATGGTTTATCCGTCTCGCTATCAATTCCACTTTCATTTTCAGTTCCCGACTCAGCCAAGAGTGCCCGACACTTAACATCCTCAATCCAGGCATCAGTGACTGCCTCGTGCGGCACATTGCCTGGTGGGGGCTGGCCGGCAGCGTTAGAGAGCTGGTTGGTGGAAAGGGCAGGGTAGTAAACACCATGAGCGAGCACGAGGTTACGCAAGTGGTTCGTTAGCCGCTTTCCCGCGAGTGGGGAAGAGACAGTGAGGGGTAGCATAGGTCTAGCCGCGTACACAGCCGACACGACAGTCTGCAGATAGCCCACATCCACGACCAGACCTGTCGTCCTCCCCGCCGCCATAAGCGCCGCGAGTGTGGCTGGTGTGAATGACACGGCTGTTACTTGCATGCTAGTGAAGAGTGCACCCATTATAGCCCGCCGCACTGGTGTGCTGAGCAAGTCATTCTCGAGTATTATAACCCGACGTTGCTTGGGATCGACTTGAAGGTGGGTGTAGTAGATTTCGCGGAAGGCGTCGAGAAGCCCTAGCTCATTCTGCACCCCATTCAAATCCCAAAGCCCTCCTTCCACCTCTACCGTTATACTCTCGCGCGGACTGGCTTCCCCGCTGAAACCAACCTTTATCACCCTCGAGCCTGGGTCAATCACTATCTTTGATTCCGTCCCGTAGACTGAATGGCGGGTTGACTTGTTGCGTATATCCCCCGTCAGCGCGTACTTGGCTGTGGCTTTCACTCACGGTGAGATACGCGGGACTGTGCCCCATCGGCGTCGCTGGCTGCTTCAATGAAATTGGCGTAGAGAACCCGAACGGCAGCCCTGCACCACTGCCAGTCGATCTGTGTTTCACCGGCGTCAACGGCGGTCTGGGAGTGCTCATGAGCGTAGATGGAAGACAAGTAGAAATGAAAATAAAGAAATGAAAATATAGATTACAATCGTTAGCAGCGTAATCAACGCTAATGTCTACCCGTCAAAGCATCGTATTTGCTCAAGCACGAGTACCATTGGTAGTCTGTCTCAGGTTAGCGTGTTGAGGAATAGACTAAATACTCCACTCACCAATATTATCACTTGGATCACAATAGCAGCGTCCTAAAGAAGCGTCGCCTTGTGGGCAGTGTTGGAATGGCTGGTGGCGGTATCTGCAAATATTAAGACACGCAGCTTCGCGTAAGCTAACTCACCCAAAATCTTCGAAAAAGTGAATTTGATCTGGTCTAGAGAATAAAGCAGCAGCTATAGAGTGCACCGGTGCATCCCCCCAGCGCTAAAAGCTAATGTCAGCTCATTTTCTCGCTGAGGAACACCACTGACCTCATAGTAGAAACCACCTGCTTGATCGAGGTAGTCGAAGAAGGCCTTATATGCAGGTGATCTCCACAGATTAAGATTGGCTATCTCAAAGTTGCTCCAGAAGTGGCAGCGGTTGTATGACTCTCCAGAGTCATCCGAGAGGAATTTCATAGCGTTATCCTTTGGAATGTGCTCGGGATGATCGCGGATAAAGTCTGGTGTGTGTCAGTTGAGTAGTTAAACAGCCACATTACACCCACCCTTCACAGTCTGCCAAAGTGAAGGTATGGTTTCTTCATATTCCAAGAGAGAGACAGTGAAGCCTAAGAGTGCTGTGAGTGGAAATGAGCATGAGTCTTTGGATACCCACCGTAGTTAATATCGTTTTCTGCAACGAATTTGAATGCTATTGAGGTGATAAGAACTGGTTTAAACCACCACTCAGCAACTCACGGTCATAATCAACGTCGCAGTAGAGCTAAAACGTGTCAACAATGCTTAAAGAAACCTCTAAAGACCTGTACGAACACTAATATCTGGTCTGATAGTTTTCTGTAAGCAAAGGGCCATATTAAACACGCGTAACCCACTCAACGCGCCAATAATAATCAAAGTTATTAAGCAGAGGATGTCTCCAGAAGAAACCAGAGTTGAATCTGCACATGTTTCTATAAGGTACTGAATTAGCGTAAGGCACGACGCCAAGTTTCTCCATATTGTGTCTGTTCTCAGCAGCTAAAGTCTCGTTGATGAAGCTAGGCTGATTCCAGTGATCACTGGGGATAGTACCGTAGTGACAATGTGAACTAGCGAGTGCCTGTGTGTGACTGTGCTGTTTGTAAGCCACAAATGGGCACATTTACGCTGTAGTACTTTAACACACGCTTTGAATTCATCGTTGAAAGGTTTATCATTGAGGAATACCCATTCGTCTAAGAAGCACGTGAGCTGGACAGCCTCATCACCACGCACTCCACTCACAGCCAAACTTGCTATTGAATCTGTCCTCGCTTTGGGTGGCGTTAGATGCCTTTTCGAAGCAGCTGTAAAAACGCACACCGCTCTCATTGATGGCAGGAACGAATAGAGATCTGAATTCCTCGCTAAAACGACAAACGCAGCTTTTTGAAGATCTTTGGGATCCAAACCGTTGGTGTTGCTCAGTGGGGGGCGGTGATAAGAAGATTTGTGATCCTTGTTGTTTAATCGAAGTATTCTTGGTGTGTATTGCGTAGGCTGGGTGATGGACAGCAGCAGCACCAGCGAAATCTAAAGCTGTTTCAATGAAATACACAGCGCATACGCTCCCCCTACCACTCCTGTAACTATCAGCAATCCCGCTCTCCAAAGGCGGTGCATTATGATGACGGTGGTTAAGGAACGTTGAATTTCCGCGTGAAAATATTCATCTATTTTTTTATTTTTTTATTCATTTATTCACAGTTTGATTTATGAAACCATAAAGCGCATTCCCCTGATCTACTCCCAATATATCCCTCATATCTTTGTTTGTCATGTCCACCAAATGACGTATTGAGTTTACTTTGTTGGGTATATATTGGTAATTCTTCCCTGAAACTCCAGGCATGCTCTTCATCACTTCCACTGGCGTCATTGTCCAATTCTCTTCAATCAGATCCTCCAGTCCCGCTTCATCCGTACCCACACCGCTCGCTTTCTCCACATCCGGCTCTTCCCTCTGTACCTTAAGATCGCTAAATATCTCTGCTGTCTGTCTCGGCGACGACGACCATATGATCCGAAGCCGAGGAAACGATATCGTCAGCATTACTAGTCTTGATTGGAATATCTCTGTGGGTGATGTACCCGTTATACGCGTCTTTTGAGCTGCAGCGGGGTGTAAATTCTTTTTAGATTCCGCTATTGTCTGTATTTATCGTCAGTCACGTGTCTGCCCGCACACCTCATTCCCTACCTCTAGTGAGAACGACCGGTTTTCCTCAAATTCGATCAGTAGTATAGGTGTCTTATAGTATGTGCTCATGTATTCACACTGTGTGAACAGTCTACCCGATTGGAATGACTGGTTCAGATCTGTTAAACTCTTGCGCTCGACTACCATCGTAGGATCCAAGACATAGTCTCCAACTGTAAGCGTTGTAGGCTGCACGTCAAAGTTAGCTGAATGAAGTATACCTGGCAGCGATGATCTGAACTCTCGAACATCAACCACTACCTGTGTGTGTGTAAGCAGTGGAAAGCTGGTGCATTATCTCTCGCCGCGCGCTTACTATTGGCTGCTTATCGCCGACTACTTGCTGGCCACCCGCTACACGCGCCGACAGAGCACTCAAGTAGTGGTCAGTCCCTGCCCGCGTCGACTCCTTCTCAAACAGAGGCAGGAGCATTGTCTGCAGTTGAAAAATTTAGTTATCGAAAACCCACTCATTCCAAAACCCACAGATTTCTCGCGGATCAGTCTCTCAAAAGCATCCTTTTCTTTACGCAACCCAGATAAATACCTCTGCTCCTCCACCGACGCATTGTACAGCAAGAAGTACAGTCTAATGTCGATGTGAGGGTTGGATGATTTGTAAACCTAAACCAAGTAAGCTAAATTACCCCACTATACCCCTTCAACTCACCTCAACTCTCCTAACGAATGCCGGATCAGGATCATACATAACGATGAACTTTGGTTTGATTTCATCCAGGAGCGCATCGTCATCATCACCTCTATAAGCCCTGATGAGCAAAGTATCCTCCTCCTCCATCAATCCGTACTCGTCATTATCATCATGCGGCCATATTTCATTAACATCTGTTGTAAGAAGCCATTGAGGGAGGTTATCGAAAAAATCGTAATCTTCATCGTCATCCTCGTCTGAGAGCTCTATCACTTCCTTATCTTTGCCAGACCTCTGAGATTGACTGTGAGAATGTGTTAGATGAAGATAACGCTGAGAAATGCCAATTCACCTACAACTGTGCAATTTGCTTTGCTTCTGCTTCAAGCGGCGATTCAGCATTCGCGTCTAAATTGTTGTGTGTCTTGCGCGATGACGCGACGGATGCCATAACAGATCCTCCACGCACGCGTCGTCTGTTGTGACCATACGCGGTAGCTCCTTCATTTCTCCTAAATTGCTCCTTCCTCTGCAAGGCGGCAGAAGTGGCCTGAGAATTGCCTTGCTCAACTGCATTCTTGTCGCTAGACGATGAATTTTTGGACGGACTGCCAGCATTTGTGTTAGCAACATTGCTCTGCGCATTAAACTTCATATTGGTTGACATTATTCCCACATTTGCCTTGAATTTCTCGAGGTGATCTCTCAGCAACCTCTTCATCATCTTAGGTGCCTTTTTCTTTAAATGTGTTGAATGTGTTTTGCTATTATCATCTTCGCATTGACTGAGGTACTCTGTTAGCTGTATGACTGTCCTATTAGTCCCGCACATGATCAGAGTCATGTTATTCTCGCTCTGCGTTAGACCCTTGTTAAATTGTATGTTGTTGTCTATCTCTGCCAGTATCTCTGTCAACACTCCCCATTTCGGCTGTTCTTCTAGGACCGGAACTATGTTGGGCGGCAGCCACGACGCTCCACCTCCACGACCGTTCTCGACCACTTTGTATGTCCGCTCTTTAGCTACACTGAAGATAGCATCGGCTGGGTCGAGATACAGCCAATGTGACGGAGTTTTGTTACCTGTACTCGAACTCTTATATTCATTCAGGTTGGATTGATAGATAGATTCGAGCAATTCTTCAAACTCGACACACGAATAGTTGAGCAGGAATGAGAGAAGATTGCGCAGTGTGCTAAGATCTTCAATCAGTCGCTTAGTTTTTGGTTTGATGAGGTGCCAGACGGGCAGTAGCTGCATCTTTATAATCTTGTCAAAACTCCTGAACAGGGCGTTATCAACGGTGAAGTCATCAATATCGAGATTTGCGACATTGCCCTTCTTGATTTCCTGTATTGTAGCATCCATACACTGCAGGATAGAGTGCTGTAAGTTGAGCATAGACTTTGTCAGCGATGGGTATAGTTCTACGACGTCAGCCTTGCGTTTGTCGAGATCTTCCTGGATAGTTTCGTGGAAACGCGGCCATATCCAGACCTTCCTGAGACCCAAAGAACGTAAAACAGTCTGCAGTGGCGAGACGCCGCTAGCAAAGAGCTCAGGGTTGTCTGAGAATGCCTTAAGAAAGCCCTCCTGGAAGTTGCAGGTGAGATAAGGAGTTTTTCACAGTGAAACCGCTCACCTTGTTATACTTGCGGTAAATTCTAGTAATGAAGGTCTCGAGCGAGGTTGGTGTGACTCTGGGAGGGTTGAGTGATAGTTCCACACAGTCCAGCATAATACCCACTGTTCTGCGTGTAAAATCACCATACCAGAAATAAGATGTACGGGTATGGTTCCATTGAGCATGTCGACGACGAGGATTCGCGAGGTGACAGACACTAAGCCACCCTCCTTATACAACTCCTCCCTCTGCTTACTGATCATATCAAAATTGACAACTCTGAGGCCTGGTTTGGCCACGCCCATCGTGCCGAGTAGATCGCCAATGCCGTCTTCCTCTGGTGAATCTGCGTTAAGCAAGAGAACCAATCTGCGTGGATCAGATTGGAGAGTGAGGAACGAGCACACGACACGCCTCAGTCCCAAGCCTCTAGCGAGGATCAACAGACCAGATTCGCAGGGATCGAGGTCCTGGGTGGAAGTGTCTGATGGATCTGGTGTTGCCGTGTCTGGTGTTCCTGGAATTAGCTGCCGCAGAATCTCCCGGTGAAATCTCAATGGGAGTTCCATCAATGATGACGTAACGAGACCAAGTCCAGTGGCGATAAGAAATTTATTTTTTGCGCGCACGCCACCATGCCACCAAAATTCCCAAATAAATCTGTGCACTATCTGCGGCTGAATGGGAATGCTGTGATGCAGTGTATCGTTTACTTGGACAATAAGCACCTCGAATGGTTCAGCCGCAGAATCCTCGAGTGCGTCATACGCGATATCCGGAAGCTGTACATGCCCAAGCTGTTGGCAGAGTTGCAAAGTGGCAAGGCTGAGCTAGACACGTACAGGAACCAGGGCTATCAATTTGCCTACTACTTCAAACCCACGCGCGACAAGCAGGGCGTTGTGAGCAAGGCCCACCAAATGACGTACATTCCTTCGTCTAAGCGTACAGTGCGACAGAAGCCTGAGCCAAGGCGTAATCAATCTGGTGAGACTGCAGAAGAGCTATTTGTCGATGACGACGGTGACGACTATGACGACGCTCAATTCGAAGAGAAACCAAAACCCAAGGTCAACACAAGCTACAAAATGAACAAACTCTTCTCAAAGACACTTTGCGTGAGTGAAGTGGCTAGCAATACAGCGCACAATATCTGACACGCGCTATCCAGATTATCATAGAACCATTCCCTTCGCTGGAAGAGTCGCATGTGGAGGGGACGATGCATCCACCCATTATGCCATCGCCATCGTCTCCTCCGCAGGGTGATATGCCAGGCGACACACATATACCAGACTCACTCGCAGATCCAGAAGATATCAAACCAGACATCAACACAATCAGCAACAGCAGTCCTCAACTCCCCTCTTCTACTCAGGCACTTTTCAACGACTTCAACTTGAACAATCCTGGCAGCTCCCTCTCCTTTTCGCAGATGGTCCAGAATGACCATTTCGGCGATAGGGTTGCTGAAATTGATGAGGAGAATGATGTAATGTATGAGTGATTCTACTACTTCAGGCTTTGTCTCGACGAAGACTTGGCCAGCAGCTTCTCATGTCTCCGGCTAGTCTGGTTGAGGTCTTTGAGGAGCGCGTCGTGCCTCTTCTTGAGACTGTCCATACGCCAATTGAGTGTTTTTGGAGGGGGTGACTTGATGGCGTTTTCTGGATGCGCTTTGTTCCCATCAGCTCTCTCAATCTTCTCTATATTCTCACTCTTCTCCATCTCCGGCAGATCGCCCAGCGCGCTGAACCTGGACGATGATTTGGTCAACCTCGACGAGCTGGCCCTGCTAGAGAGGGTATGAGTTGGGCGAGAGGGAGCGTCTTTGAGTGTGTTGAGAGTATTCTGTGTAGAGTGTGTACCAGTAGAGCGGATATTAGGCGAGGATTTGTACTGTTTACTGAGCAACGGGCTGGCATTGGTAGTGGCGGTGGTAGTTGTTGTAGTGGTAGTAGTAGCACCACCATTAGCACTTACACCGCCCGCACTCAACCTAGACAAACTAATTTGCGAGTTCATCCTCCCCAGACTGGACCTACTCTCGACTCTCTTGAGCGGCGATTCGCGGTAGCCACCCGCATCAGCCTGGGTGTTGTCATCCACTGACGAAAGATCGCTGCTGTACGACACAGTGCGCGGTATACCTTCCACCATGTCTACCTTCTCCACATTCTCCACGCCCGCCAAATCGACTGTCCAGTCCAGTCGCTTTTTCGCTGAGAGTCCGACACATTGCTGCATCTCCAAGAAAGCCTGCTCTTCAGAAACATTCCGACTACGCGGGTTGGTTGATGTGTGGATGTTGTGGAAAGACAGTTTGAATGGTGTCTCTGGGGCGTGTAGGGGGGTGTCTCCCATACTTGCAAATGTGTTAGCATTTGCTTTGTTACTAGTGTGTGTGTCGCTGCTGCTGTGAGGGAATAAATTTTCAACTGTTGGTATATAATCAAAGTCCATCCATTCGTTAGATGGCGTGAATGTGAAAGGGCTGCTTGAACTCTTGTCGCGCGTGTCGTCCACACTCGCACTCCAACTCCCACTGACAGAGTTAGCAGCCTGGAAGAGAGCGCTGAAGTCGAAAGCGTTCTGAGGAGTCTTTTGGTGGTGGTCTTGGGGCGGCGTATTATTCCCCTCGCTTTCGCTCCCCTCCACCAGCTCATTTAGAGTGTGATCGTAGTATGTCGAGGGCACGGCGCGTTGCTCAACGCCATTCCAGTCGACGCCACGGAAAAAGACATGGTGCTTAACCTGCTCCGTGCCACTATACCCCAATCGTTCCGTCTGTGGTTTGAATAGGCCCACGAGCAATGCGCGGAGATCGTCGTCTGAGCGACAGTGAATTTGGTCATCACCCAGCGCATACTGATGCATCTTGATGCGGTTGTACGTCTCCCCGACGCTCTCTGCGAAAAAAGGTGTAATTCCGAATGCGAGTTCGTAGAGCACAACGCCGAAGCTCCACCAGTCGCTCTCTGGGCCGTATAAACCTGGGGAATTATCGCTGTCTTTCTCCTTGTCCTTCTCGTTATCATTCACGTTATCATTCTCATTCGCCTGCTCAGCTACCAGGTATTCTTCCGCTGCGAGAAGTATCTCTGGCGAGACATAGTCGGGCGTACCCACCAAGCCGACGCTGTCAATTTTGCGTGCGCGCTGCACACCAGCGTAATCGAGGAGCGCGGTAGCCGCTCCAAAGTCAGTAAGGAGAAGGTGATCGTCAGAGGCGATGAGCATGTTTTGCGGCTTGAGGTCGCGGTGCAGCCAGTGCACGTCATCATGTAGCCATTGTAGGGCGGCGAGAAGCTGAGCGCCGTAGTTGCGTATGGTCTGGGCAGGCAGCGTCTTCTCGTCTTGCATTTCGAGCAGCTCGAGGAGAGTGCCGTTGCTGGCGAGTGGGAGTTGCAGTAAGAGGTCCGTATCCGTTTGGAACGCAGAGATCATCGGCATACAATGGCTGCTTTTGTGTGTCAACGCTAGCAGATGCACGCTGCGCTCGTTGTGTGGATTGCTGTACTGCAAGTATGCGTGAATAGCAGCGTTAATGAGAGAAATACTAACGCACACTAATATGTCTCCTGCTAAAACCTTTATTCATCACCTTCAACGCGTAAAATGACCCATTCAGTCGGCATTTGGCTAGCTGAATTGTGCCGAACTGCCCTTTGCTGATCAACTTGAGCGTCTTGAAATCTGTGCTGTTTATATGCAATTGATTATATTTTACATCATTTCCCTTAATATTTCTTAGCTCCTTGCGACGTTTCAACCATTCTTCCATCATGTCGATGATGATGGCATCGGTTCAAGCGACGTACCGGTAAATCATCCGATTTTCAGTACGTTCGAGGTATTCTCGCTGTTTGTCCCGTTAAAATGTCCTCATTATCTACTCCACACTTACCTCTATCAACGCCTCTATCCGCTTCTTGATCGCTTGCGGCGTGGGGGCGAACCGCGAGCCTAGCATCTTTGAAGCTTCAATTACTATCTCGTTATGAGATGCTTGTTTCCTTGACTTCATTATCCTCACAACACACGCCTGTTTTATTTTTGTCAAATTTTCACTTTCTCACTTTCCACTAATCACACTCACGTCAGTCTGGTGCTTGCGCTCCTCCTCAACCTTTTCATCTGTTTCTTTTCGCTCTTCGCTCGTCTCTACGCGGTTTGCTATCGTCGCTATCTTGATCTTGGCCAGTGGGGAGCTGAAGTTAAGATTGACGCGGAAGCTATCTGACGCGCGTACCTCCTTCCCTTTAGGATCCTTCTCTAGCAGTTTATACTTACCGCATGCCAGCGTCTGCAGATTCCGCTTTAGTTCATTCTCGGGTATGTTAGTCGTCGACAGTATGTCACTGTACTTCAGCCACTTTCCATCCTCGACATCATCAAACAGCAGCAAAACGATGGCGCCGAGAGTCGACACATTCACATCGTATTTCCTCTCTTGGTACTCCACCTTCATGTCCACGGTCCCCTGCGTCACTTGCCATAGCATCCGTCTACCGCTGTGGCGCTGGAGGTAGAAACGCTCGTACTGCTGCTGCATCCTCGTCATTACATCAGGCAGAGTTGCTGTGTTTACCTGTGCCGGCATTGGCCAGTACGAAGCGGTGAGAACATTTACATTCAGTTCGGCCTTGTCGGAGGGCTGTGAGGTGTATGAGAAGCGTGAAGCACAAGACATAAAGTCATCCCACCTTTTCTTTAATACTCAAGTGATTTTTATACGCTCTCATATTGTCTGCAGATGTGCGCATGTCTGTGTACAGTCATAGTTAGCATGAGTATCTCGCAAAAACCTCCACCAACCATTGAACATTCCCTCCATCTTTTGCGTAAACTGAACTCCACATTCCACTTTCAGCTTGGCCAGCATTCCACGCTCGGCATCGTCAGACACTGACCTGCCCTGAATCAATCTGCGTGCAAGATGTCTCTTATAAAACACCTCAAAGACATCCTTGTCAACGAGGAATCTAAACAAAACTATTGTCTGATCGAGCACCTCGTCTGCCTCATCTTCACTCTTTCCCTTGAGACCTTTCTTGAGGTTATCGTCGATGAAAAGGGAGATGAATTCTGAAGCTTTGGTGTTCATGTTGACAAAGTTTTCAAATCCTTCATTTATATATGTTTGGACATCCTCGTCGTGTTTAAAAGCCTTCTGCCAGAGATTGTCAAACTTTAGCTTGAGTTGGAGTGTCTGTTTGACCCATTGGAGGGCGAGATTGAGGGTGGAAACGTCACTGGATGGAGGCTTCTTCGAGTCGTTTTTGGGTTCGTGTATGAGCGAGAAGACATCCGAGTTGATCGCCTGGCCGCGTCTAATGACGTCTTCTTTGATTGCTTTCCGCAGAGCAGGTGGACCGTGAGTGGGTATGAGATGAAAAAGGTTGTGAAGTCTTGAGAGGTCTTGAATAGCATCATTTTCAATCAAATCAACCAATTGAGAGAGTATGTCAGGTATTTTGTTAGTCAGGAGTTCATTTTCGAGGACGTGCTGGTAAATGGGAGCTGTGTGGAGACTCAAGTAGTGCGAACAGCGATTACTCTCCTCAATCAGCCTATCCTCGACCCTCCTGAGATAAGAAGGGATGTCATTCGACGCGAGGAAGTTGGAGGCTTCTTGGTTGTAGTACTTGACACACTCCAATTCAAGTTGTGGCTCTAGTGACAAATTGTAAAGTGAAGAAAGTGAGTCAGAAGGCGGAACATAGCTGGATGGAGTGTTTGGAGGAGTCAATGACAAACCTAATAGGATATCACAGCAGGATTTCAATACTGATCTGTTTATAACACAACCATCCCTTTCGAGATGTATTTGAGAGTGGATCGCGTTGAAAAGGGATGGTTGTATATCAGGGCATGTCTCAGAGTTGAAAAGGACGTGATCTCTGAACAAATTGAGACCGAGCTCCCAAGTATTGGCGACGTTGTTAGATGGGGTGTAAACTTTATCCATATACTTAAGCACATCGCGTAGCTTGCTCAATGCAGCGATGTGATCGTTCCAAAGGAGAAGAAGGGACTTCAAGAAGGATTCGCCCGAGTGGAGAGTGTGAGAGAGGGTAATGTCATGTGCCATGTAGCGCCTAGTGAGAGACCTGAGGAAGGAGACAGTGAGCTTGGACAGACCATCGTAGAGCTTATCGCCGTTCTTGTGGAGTACAAGGGTGTAGGCACTGCGATAGGTCTCCTCAAAAGACAGATTGGAAGCATTGTGGTTTTGGATTTCCTTGATAGCCACCGAAAGCCTCTGCCAGGAATCCTCGAAAGATCTCCCGGCGTCGATCTGAGTAATTACGAGATGAATAAAGAAATAATAAATCAAATGTAAAATACCTTCTTTGGTGGTTTTATCTTTGGTTTCACTGGTCTTCTCGTCGACATGATGATGGCTGTTCTGTTGAAGACTTACTATCGTCATGACTGTAGCACCAGGCACTCAAATACCACCAGCTTCCTTCAATTACATCCCCCACTCCAAAGACTCGGAATCAATCCAAGCCTGTGGAATTCCAATATCCCTCAACGCCCATGAGGAGTGGAAGGGCAAGCGAGTCGTCGTCATCAGCGTACCGGGCGCATTCACTCCGACTTGCCACGCCAACCACCTCCCCCCATTCGTCGCCAAGGCCTCTGAGATCCACGATAAGGGCGCAGACGTCATTGCGTTTCTCAGCTCAAACGACCCGTTCGTGTTAAGTGCCTGGGCCAAGTCCGCGGGCGTGAAAGACAACTCTATCATCTTCATCAGCGACGGCAACGCGGAGTGGTCAAAGCAATTGGGCCTCGACGTCGACCTCACTAGCAAGGGCATGGGCATGAGGTCCTCCCGCTACGCACTCATTATCGACGACCTTAAATTGAGCTACGTTGCACAGGAAGAGCCAGGCAAATTACAAGTGAGCTCTGCAGATGCTATCCTCGCTAACCTGTAAAGTGATATAGCTGTGTATATCCATGTGAAATTTTTCAAAAAGCAATGGTAAACAAAACGGATATGTGAGCGGGATTGCGGGAGATAGCGCCAAATTGATTGACTGAGAATTACTCATAATACCCGAATTATGATACAGTTTATGATATCATGTGACGCCATTAGGGCTAGATTTTGTTCGATGATCAAGTCCTATTTTTGCGCATTCACTTGGAAATCACTTTGAAATGCAATTGTTTGTTGAGCAAGCAAAAAAATCGGCCGAAATCGACTCAAATTCCGTTATTCAAAGCGTGAGTGTCTTGTGTCTGTTGGGATTGAAGGTGCTCACAGAATCGCCAAAAGCACCCACGCCCACCAAATGAAGCAGCAGCCTTCTCCAAATATCACGAATCCCATCATCTAGCCACTTGCCGTGAGTTTCGAGGTTCACCTCAGTGGCATCACTCACTAATCCCGCTCAGCTTACTATCCTGAATCGAAAAATCTTACAGGAAATGAAGAAATTGATTACAGCCCGATAAGCCCGAGAGCAACAACCTACGACCAGCTCACCCGTAAGCTCAGGAGTACCTCTATCAGTAGACGTGGGTCCCAGATAAAAAGTCTCAGTTTCGGAAAGGCGCCGCAGAGGAGAAATTCGGTGCACTCGACAACATCGTCGACTGTAATATCTCCGACGTTAGGCTATAAGGAGGACTACGGATGTGCGGATGGATATAGTGGCAAGCTGTATAAGTAACTTTCTGCTGACGTTCAGGTGTATAAGTTTTTGTGTATCTGTATATATGTTTGTATATGTTTGTATATGTGTTTAACAGCCACGCCAACTATCTCTAACTGCTTTTCCTATTCCATTCCACTAGCTGATCGAACTTGACCTGAGTGCCGCCAAAGATATCAAGTGCGCTGTGGCTAGTGAGTTTACTTATATCGCAGTAAACATAGCCTACCTTCCATACGTAAGATCCACTTTGCCATGTGATAGGGTGTTCACTAGGTCCAAATCGTCAATGTCTGAGCAGTAAAAGTGAGAAACAAGACGAAAAGCACCATCAAAACCTACGCTTAGCACCGCCAGCGTATGTAGTTGGTATACTAACCCACTCGCCGAGCTTCTGCACCAAATCCTCATCGATCCCATTACACAAACCCTCTACATCGGCAGCGTGGATGAGGAATTCTGAGCAAAACTGGCTAATCAAGCTGATAGAATCCTGTGTGACCTCCATATCGGTGAGGGTCTGCCATTTGTTCATGGCTACCACCCAGCGATTATCACGACGTCTGCAACTGAGATCCACGACGAGTCTGTGCCTTCCAACAGACTGGGATACACTGCGCAGCCTCTCTAAGCTGAAAGAAGCGTCTGGGAAGAGGAAGCTAGTTACGATAACCTGAAATGGGTCTTGTGAGTTAAGCAAATGACGTGCAATCACGATAAGCCACCTTCTCTGCACCGGCCACAATCCACTGCTCTGCATTAGCGTCATTAATCCCACCGCCTACATGCATCGCGTCTGCATAAACAGCTTTAGTGCTTTGATAACGGCTATGTGGTGCAATCTACACACCGGGCCACGCTGCGACGGCGGAGAGGGCTGCATCGTCATTTCCTGCGCCTAATTTTATTATGTGTCCGCCGATAAGCCCGTTATCGTGGTAAAGTCGCGCGTACTCTGCTGGAGCCATCTCTGCGACAAAGTTGGTGTGTAACGCCGCGGGATCGTTCGATAGAGTACCGCCAACGATCTGCTTGACGACGCCGCTGTGTAGATCGATGCACGGTCTGAATTTTGTCATCAAAGGTTTTGCGTGTTGGGTGTTTTGAGCAAACCACCAACAGCAGCTATAGCACCATGTTCAGGGCATTCCCCAATTCGGCAGTTAGAGTTGCCGGTGTTAGAGTTGCCGGCGTCTCGGCTCGGCGTATCAGTACACAGCCAGGCTCGGGCTCAGGCTTAGGCTCGCGCACACGCAACACACAACATCCCCACACTCACCACTCACGCTCACACTCACACCCACGCCCACGCAAACCCACTTACGACGGCACTGGGAAGTTGCAGGCGAATGACTCGTACTTGCTCAGCCAGCGCGTCCGGGAGCTCAGCCAGCGTAGCAAATTCGACGAGGCACTTAAATTGGTCCTTAGTGAGAGCAGGGGCGAGGGGCTAGCGAATGTTGTTGTGTGGAACCAGCTTCTACAGGAATCCCGCGTGGCTCAAAACTCAAATCCCACAGAGACATACAAACTTTTTATGGACATGAAAAAAAGAGGTATCACCCCTAATTCCCGCAGCTATACTATTCTTTTTAGAGCTTTTAGCGGCGGCGAGAAAGATCGTCCGTCAAAGAAGACTCTCGAGGCTGCATTGACCGTCTTCCGCCAGTTAGGCAGCTACCACGCTTACCTGCGCGAGGAAATGGATGAAGAAATTATCCAAGAGGAAAGCAGTGTTCTTCCTATCAACGCTTACCTCGCTCTTCTCGCTAAAGTGGCCCATTCTTACGAAATGATGAAAATTTTCGACGATATGGCTCAATCTGGCCCTAGCTCACCCGACCTGTACACCTACACCACCATCTTCCAGGGTCTACTACGCGCTGGCCAGGCAGAGGATGTGGAGCGTGGCCATGAGTTGTGGCGGGTGTATATCGCGCGTCTGAAACAGGCCAGTATTGATGCAGATAACGGCGCAGATAATGCCACACAATCGCTCCAACGCCTCACCCCAGACACAGCACTCATCTCGAATGTCCTCCGTCTGTTCACAAAAGGCACGCCGAAAGACTGCAAAGCGGGTTTAATGATAGCCCACACCTTCCTCTCCGTCCCGGCCCCATCACCGTTTATAGAGAGACAAAAAGGGTATCTACCGCGAGTCGAACTGAACGACCGCGTCATAGATTCTCTATTCCACCTCGGTCTGGCTGCTGGGCGGCCGTCACTGGTGATACGTCATGCAGATCACCTCCTCAACCAGGAAAAGGTGCGCTCGTTTCTTCGCACGCGCAGCATGTTCTTCGCCCTCCTCGCCTGTGCGCGGGAAGGAGATGCGGGGAAGGCAATTGAGTATCTGCGGGTGATGCGTTCGCTCAAGCATGGACAGCCAGATGCACAGTCATTCGAGCAGGCCATGGCTGCTGCTATGAGGGCGCAAAATGCGTCGTACAAGAAGGCCTGCGAGGTGTGGGAGATGGTGCAGGCTACCAAGACACCCGTAGACATACGCATTATGAGCTCACTCATGAAGGCGTCGCTTAATGAGAGGGATGTGGATGTGTGGGATGCGCTGGAGAAGCTGAGCGGATTCCCACTCTCAGCTTTCTTCAATGCGAAAACACATGCAGCACACCCCAATGACTCTCGCGGCCAGCTCAAACATCAGCAATTCTGGGAACATAGACTCGCTAAGAGCCTTTTGCAGGCTGTAGATAGAGTGGGGCGGGGTGAACACGTGAATATCCCTGGTAAAACGCGTAGACATGACGAGATGCTGGATGAATACGCCGACATGGCGAGAACGGTGTTAGGAGTGGAGCAGAGAGCACCCCGCAAGCAACACAAGCAATAACATTTGAATGTATTCATGTATTCATGTATTCATATATTCATATATTCATTATTTATTTTCTCTACGGGAATTTCCGGTTCGACGCGGCATCTCTCCGGCTTACGGCTTAGATCAACACACTGAGGATGAAAATAACAGGCGCAACAAATATCCACAAATTAGGAGGCACTCAGGGGACACATGCAGCGCGGAACCTGATGCAGCTGACGCACTCTCCGTCGTGTGGCTGCTCGGCGTGTGGCAGTGGCAGTCGCAGTCTCAATTCTCAGAATGGGCCCGTCGGCGACAATGCATTTGAGGTGGGAGGCTAATTCTGCAGCGTAGAGAATCACCTCACACCGCACTCTACACTCTACTCCAGATGCAATCGGCGGCTATCCGATTCGGTCATAACGTCACGAGAGAAGTCGGCCAAGATCTCGCGTCGATGCGGGCGCGGATGGTGGGCGTGTACACGGATCCCACAGTAGCGCGACTGAGGCCAGTTAGAGCGGTGGGTGTGTGTCAGGTAGGTGTGCACCGCTAACGCGCGTGCGCGTGCGCGTTTAGGTACTCGAGAGCCTCGAAGAGAACATGGTCCCACACAAGTTGTTCGAGCAGGTCAAATGTGAACCCAACGAAGACAGTTTGCAGGCAGCTATCGACTTTGCACGCCTGCACAACTTTTCCCATTTCGTTGCGTGAGCTAGGCCTAACTACTATCCGGACCACAAGCACTGACTATGGATTCACAGCGTCGGCGGCGGCTCTACAATAGACACTACCAAAGTAGCCAACCTCTTCAGCGTTTACAAGAACGATCCTCTGCTCACCTTTGTCAATGCGCCCGTTGGGAAGGGGCAATTAGTGACGCAGCCGCTCAACCCGCTCATAGCGATTCCTACGACGGCCGGTACGGGCTCGGAGACGACTGGGCAGGCCATTTACGATCATCAGAGCTTAGGCGCCAAGACGGGGATAGCGTCGCGCATGCTTAGACCCACTATGGGCATAGTGGATGCTTGGAATATCGACACATGTCCTGTGGAAGTGCATATAAGCGCTGGATTAGATACGCTATTTCACGCTCTCGAATCATACACCGCTATACCCTACACACAACGCTCACCACGCCCCCAGCACCCGTCGGAAAGACCCGCTTATCAGGGCGCGAACCCCATGTCGGATGTGTTTTCCCTCTGGGCACTCAAAACGACGGTCAAGAATCTGCCCAAGGTCGCAGCGGACCCAACGGACAAACGCGCTAAAGAACAGATGCTCCTCGCTTCCACTTTCGCCGGCTACGGGTTCGGTACGGCTGGAGTGCACTGTGAGTCTTGAGGTTGTAAAAGTATGTGTTCTAACTGTGTCTTAGTATGTCACGCTTCTTCATACCCTGTAAGAAGGATTTTGATCATTAGAAACGAGAGAAGTCCTGACACTTTCACAGATATCCGGCCTCAATAAGAAAGGTCCTCAGTATTGTCATCCGGGATATGAGGATGTAGGAGAAGCAATAATTCCACATGGCATCAGCGTCGCGTTGACGGGACCAGCTGTGTTCAAGTTCACCACACCATCTAACCCCGCACGGCACCGCGAGGCTGCGGCTATCTTCGCTGGAATGGATATGGAACCGGCTGAGTGGGCCAGGCTTCCCGACAGCGATATCGGCCAGCTGCTCTAGTGAGTTGTGTGATTTTGTGGGGTGTATTGCTGACGTGAACTTTTCAGCGACCAGATTGTTGCTTTCTTGGGTAAGCTCGGCGTGCCAATGGGATTGAGCCGTGTGGGGTACACGCATTCGCATATTCCAGCACTGTGAGTCGGGTATCGGAGCGGGTAGATGACTTTCTAATACAAACACTCTCAGCGTCGATGGCACGCTCCCGCAGAGGAGAGTCCTCAGTCTGGCGCCTAACTTTGACCCAGGTGTGGATGTGGCTAGGGAACATCTCGCTGGGATTCTCGAGTCGTCAATGAGGTATTGAGGGTAGTAATATTCAATGTCGCCACGATTATCATAATGCATAAAGCAGTCTAATGTACATCTATAAATCCAACATGACATATGTCTTAAATCTATTCAAACAAATCGGCTCTCAGTACTTATTGGTAAAGTCAGTGAAGTGAGTTGCAATATGGTGGAGCGTGTCAATAGGTTTGATATTGAAGTTTTTTGTCTGACCTTTTGTGGCGTATTTAGCACGCATTTGACGCGTAGATGACGCGTAGATGACGCTTGCCGATACGATTCCATCTGATAATGGATCAAATTTCGTTGAAAACCTCTCTACGATACGCTACTCTGCGGATGTCATCGAGGGTTCATTGGATGCACATTTTTCTTTTTAAATCTTACAAGAACGAAGAAAGTAGTAATATTGCAAGCCATTGTGATGATTACAACGTCAAGTATTATGATCTGTGTGACGTCACCTTGATCAATCTGATATTACCATGGATAGAAGAGAGAGCAGAGGAAGAGGAATGGTGTGGATTTGATAGGGCTTTCCAAGGATATCAACATCTACGTCATAAATATCTATCTGCTCATTAAAATTTATTTCAAGTCGTGGGGCCAAGGGATCCTAAGCGAAACGTCTTTTTCGTTCACAACGACAAACCAAAATGAAGAGCACAACACAAGTATTCTACAAGCCATCACCTACCGAACACGAGACCTTCTCAGTGGTTGTAAACCCAGACGAGTACAAGAAGTGGTCACAAGGCGACAGGACGATCCCATTGGTTGAAGTTGTCGACTCATTTGATATCTTCTACTCTGAACAAGGCTTCCAAGGCAAGTTGGGCAGAGCTTCAAAGCAGCAATTGGACAATGTTTTCGGTACTCACACTGATGACGTCGTCGTCGCAAAGATATTGGAAGCTGGTACTGATCAACCAACTGAATTGAGTGGTGGTAGCGCAATCAAGCATCGTTAAAGGAATTTCATTTTGATCCTACGAAACGAATCTAACGAGAAAATTTGACGCATGTTTTACATTTGAATAATGAATTGATTTGGATGCATTTGTTTAACATGCTTGGGTATATGTGCGTGTACAATATACAAAGACTTAATTTGATTTCTTAGTGTTGCCGTTATCATTCCACTTGACGGGATTCTTATTGTAACATGGCCAAGCTGGACCAACCACCTATCAAGAGTTAATTAGAGTGATATTATACTTGAAATTCACCCACAATCGCCGCAATTACGCATCCAGCCACGAAGATTATTCCCGTCACTTCAATTCTCTGCATAGCCCATCCAATGACGAATGCTATAATCTACATAACAAATAAGCACGCCTCTCACACTCCACATATACTCACCGTCGTTGTGGATATAATGTACTTCTGCAGACGCTCTGCTTTCAGTTGACCGATGTAGTCCTGGGGAGTTGGTGTAAGCGTGTTTACTGCAGCGTGCACTAAACAGCAACATGAAACCCCAATCAACGTACAATTTCACCCGCCAAAAACCTCTGAATACGCTCCATCGATGTTAGAACTCAACGATGAAATTGGGATATTTGGGACCAGTTGGGAGTTATTCGAATATATTAACAGAGAAATACTTTGCTCACTCCACATACACTCTCCACCCGCACTCGCAGATACAGCAGCTCTTTGAAAATCTCGACAGCGACGCAATTGAGTTGGCGATTGTACCGATCAGGAATTCAACGTTTGGGGAGGTACGCGAGAGTGCTGAGGAGAGAGCAATACGGCCGAAGCTGCGAAAGCTAAGAGAATATTCACTCAAAGTGGAGCATTGTCTTGTGGGAAGGCAGGGAAGTAAGGTGGAAGACGTACAATTGGTCAGCTCACACGAGCAAGCGCTGGGACAGTGTAGGGAGTATTTAGCAGGCAGAGGCATAGCCAAACACCTCAAAGCATCTTCTACCGCTAACGCTACGCATTCTTTGTCAACACAAAACTCAATTGAAGGCGTGGATGTGGGGAAATGTGCGAGTATCTGCTCAGAGAGTTGCGCAGGTTTGTTCGATAATCTTGCTATACTGGATAAAGGTATACAAGATAACAAAGGTGGGCTAGATTAGCGGGGCTTTGATGGCTTTGAGTTGACTCGAATTTGCAGACAACACTACAACATTCTATCTCATGTCTTATAGAGATATTGATGGGCATTCACAGTCACCAATCACCACTCAACAGAATAACCTTTTTGGTCTGTAGGATTCACCGCTGTACTTGAAAGGCGCCAATTTCAACGGCAAGAAGGCGAAAAAGGTTAAATTGCGTAGAATTTATTGCTCATTATGTATTTCACATCCAAATCCCTTTTGCCGTATTCAAATTACTCCAATATACATGAATTAGATTTATTTACGACCAGCTAGCTTTAGTAAGATTGAATGAACATCGTAGTAAACCTTCCCTCTGCCAAGCTGCCGACTTGAATCACTCCTTCTCAGTCCCTCTAACCCCAACCACCAACACTGCCGAATGAACTCATTGAAGCTGATAGACAGAATTCTAACAGCGCCGTTGAGAAGATCGCGGAGGAGTAGATATAGGAGAGCTTATGCAAGTGCAGGTGGGTGGCCTTCCTGCCTTGTGTACGCCATTCTAACACGCATGCGTGATACAGACATACATCTACAATTCAATACACCTAGAGTGCGCAGCAATAGCCTAAATAGATCCATCTTCCAATATTTATACACTTTCTTTTCAAAAGCCGAGAAGCCGACGCATACGCAGCCAATCAACGACGAATCCAATCTACACAAGGAGAAGGATCAATTGGATGAGTTCTTGAGCGTCGATAGTAGCAGTGGCAGTGGTACTGTCAAGAAGCGCCCATCGTATCATGATTTACTCACAAACCCACCAAAACAAAAACAATCAAACAAAACCAAAGACCAGCAAAATCCATTTGCGCGTGTGTTTTTTGCTTACATTACATGAAACCATCTTACAAGTCCCAACAGCGCCCTTTAATAGGCGACGAACAACCTCTAGTGACGGTTTACTTCCGAATCCATTGCCTTCGCGAAATTTGTTGGCTGTGAGTGGTGGCAGTACAACTACAACACCTTCAACATCTTCATCGCCTTCTCATACCCCTTCAATCGTTGAGCAACAAAAGAAGTTGACAAGCAAGTCAACAGGCGTGCACATGCCAAAAACTTTGGTACTTGACTTGGATGAAACACTGATTCACTCTACTAGCAAAGCACCCGCACGTATCGCCAATTCTTTCAGTCTTGGTTTGAGAGGTGTTTTGCAGGGAGGCAGTAATGATGGCGGTGCACATATGGTTGAAGTAGTTTTAGGTGGTAGATCGGTACTCTATCATGTCTATAAACGACCTCACTTAGATTTCTTTTTAAAAAAAGTGGCTAGTTGGTATACACTTGTGATATTCACCGCATCAATGCAAGAATACGCAGATCCTGTTATTGATTGGATAGACGGTGGCAGGGGGGTGTTTGCAAAGAGGTTATTCAGGGAATCATGCACACAAGCCTCGAATGGATCTTATATGAAAGATCTAGATGTTATAGATAAGGACAACGATTTGAGTAGAGTAGCTCTAGTCGATAATTCACCTATCAGCTACTCGATAAATCCAGCCAATGGGATACCAATATCTGGGTGGATATCAGATCCCAACGATGAAGCGTTGCTCGATCTGCTACCATTTCTAGACAGTCTGCGCTTCACAACGGACGTTCGACGTGTTTTAGGAGTTAGAGGGTTTACGTGAGTGTATATATAAATTACAAGTTATCAGACTTCCACGATTGAAGCCATGTAATAAATCTATCAGTATTGCTTTCTAAGTTGTCGAGATTTTCACTGTCAAGCTCAACGACTTGGCCGGGGTTGGGGAAGGCTTCAAGAGCTTCATGAAGACATTCACCGAATATTTCAGCGTCGTTATTTTCGTTGATTTTCTCTGGGGTGTAATTCCTGAGTGGGGTTTGAGTGTGAGTGAAAAACTTCAAAAACCAAAAGACGCGAGTACACACCGATCTTCAAGTCTCTTGAACAAAATCTGATGATCGCATCGCAATACAATGATCAAATCGAGAGAAGATTCTGGGAATATCTCAGAACAATGCCAGTCTAGGATGCAACCACCGAGGTCTAAAAGGGGTTCGAGCTCGTCAAGGATTTTGTCATCGTCAACGTCGTAGCATTGGAATTGTTGATTATAACCGATATGAAGATCCTTGTGCTTGACCAAGTCGCCTACGCAAATATGGCTAAATTTGTTATCGGACTGCGAGTTGAGTGATTCCAGGAGACTCAAGGCCAGCGTAGATTTGCCAGTACCTGGAGTACCTGTGATGAGAATATTTGGCAATTTTCTAGATGCCATGGATGTAACCTCTTCAAACGCGTCATCATGAGTGCAGCTGAAATTAATCAATTAAAAGGAATTTTGAGTGGCTGTAAGAGTTATTTGGTGGTGTAAACGCTAGCTTATTATATATCACAGCATCTGCCACTGCTACCTCCTCCGATGACCTCTTACGCCAGCAAGAATCAGCGCTTATTAGGCTCGGTGAAATCTACAGGGATCAGCAGAACTCCGCGGAGCTTAGCGGCGTTATTAACTCATCCAGATCGTTCATGTCTTCCACCGCCAAAGCTAAAACTGCGAAACTGATACGCACTCTCATCGATTTCTTCGACCAAATTGAAAATAGCAGACAGGCACAGCTTAATTGCCTCGTTGACAATATCACCTGGGCTAAATCTGAGAAGAGAGTCTTCCTCCGCCAGTCCCTCGAGATCAGATTGGCTGGATTGTACTACGAATCCAAAGAATATAAGGCTGCGCTTGATTTACTTGATGGCCTCCTTAAAGAGCTCAAGAAGCTTGATGACAAGATTATTCTCACCCAGGTTCACAATTTGGAGTCAAAGATATACTACAGCACCGCGAACTATGTAAAGTCAAAAGCTGCGCTCACCTCAGCTAGAACTGCCGGAAACGCTATTTACTGCCCTCCTATCTTACAGGCTCAGCTTGACTTACAGTCTGGTATCCTTCACGCCAACGACAGAGATTGGAAGACTGCTTTCTCGTACTTTTTCGAGACTCTTGAGGCTTTTTCTTCTCAGGACGATGATAGAGCTGTTAGCGCACTCAAGTATATGCTTTTGTGTAAAATTATGCTCAACTTGGTACGTGTTTTGTGTATACGTATTCCGTCACTAACACACTCCAGTCCGACGACGTCGACTCCATCATACAGAACAAAATGTCTCAGCGTTACGCAGGCGCAAACGTTGAAGCTATGAAGGCAGTCGCACAGGCGCACAAGAAGAGATCATTGACAGACTTTGAGAAGGCTTTGAAGGACTACAAGCAGGAACTATCAGCTGATCCAATCATCAAGTCACACTTGAGCAGTCTCTACGACACTCTTCTCGAAAGCAACCTCCTCAAAATCATCGAACCCTACAGTAGAGTCGAGATTGATTATATGGCTTCTCTCCTCTCACAGCCAGTCAACGCGATTGAGGGGAAGCTTTCACAGATGATTCTCGATAAGGTCTTCTATGGTATTATAGATCAGGGTAACAACTGCCTCATTGTTTTCGATCCGCCTCACCAAGATCACCTCTACGACGCTACTTTGAAAACTCTCGGTAATGTCGGTCAGGTGGTTAATGGATTGTTTGAAAAGACGGCAAGCTTGCAGTCAGTGTAAAGTGTAGTGTGATCAAATGTATTTTATTTTCATGTGTCTTGTTGCAATCAGGTCTTGGATATTGAATGGGGTCTATGAAAATAACAAATGGTATGCGCTGCGTGCTATGGGATTTGTGATAAGTACTTAAAGGACATTGCTTAAACTGTTCTCTTATGCGCTATGCGTCCACCTCTTTCCTCAAAAACTGCCATCATCCGGGTGCACGGACAGGAAGACTCGAAGCTGTTTACTAGGATAGTTATAGACTACGTGCTGCTTGACTACACCACCCAATTCACCCAACTCACACCGGATTTGGTTCTATCGAAGGACACCCACGGAAATAGAAGGACATGTCACCTAAACGCGTGTAAGTTGTGTTGATATCGTCTGCAATCAACTCACCATGGTAATCGGTTTGGGTTTGTCCCTTCATTCTCTCCCTCGCAGACGATTTGGACCACGAGATCCAAGTGGTAACGATGGCAATTTAGGCGCACCAAAATCCAGCCCTGCAGCTTCTGTCTCTCCGCTACTCTTCTTCCCCGAGCCTGAGAACGCGGACGCGAACTCAAACGGGCCGCCAGCACTGGCATCACCACCACCGCCCGCACCGCCAGCAGCTGAGACCAAGGGGAAAAAGGAGAGGAAGAAGAGCATCAAGCGGAAGCCTTTACCTAAAGACAAAGACAAACACAAGGATAATGACAAGGACAAAAAGGCAAATCAGGAAAAACCAGAAGCAGAGCACGAGGGAGAGAATAAAGGTACAGTCGCTTTTATAAACACACCAACACTGGTAGCTGAAGATTTCTATTCTGAAGATGGCCACGGTTCGCCCATGTCTGTGCCGATGGCCAATGCAGACGACGAGCCGATTATAGAGGACTTGTTTCACGAGATCGAACGTGACTCGAGGCTGCTCAAAGCTGAGCATGATAAGGAGAACGATAAGAGAGATTATAAGGAGGTTGACGCCGAGAAGGAAGATGAGACACCTGCTATTCCGGACACTAGCGCGAGCGAAGCTGAGACAAGCAATACAAGCAATACAGGTGGTGGCTCAGGCTCAGGCAAAAAGAAGAAGAAGAAGAAGGGTAAAGGTGGTGGTGCCGGTGGTGCTGGTGGTGGCGAGAAACCCGCGGACAAGCCAACAGACGAAGCAGCGCCTAAATCAGAAGAAAATGTAGAAGATAAACCTACAGAAGACAAGCCAGCACAAGATAAATCACCCCTCCCACCAACGCCAGATGCGCCGCCTGCACCACCCAAAGACGAGATAGAAATGAAAGACAATGCTCCACCAACAGAGGCAGGAGAATCGGCAGAACAATCACTCCCAATACCACCAGTAGATATAAAGATAGATGGACCAGCTGAAATAAAGATAGATCCACCGATAGACGGGCCAGCTGAAATAAAGATCGAACCGCCTGAAAGCGATAAGCAAGGCCAAGATAATCCAGCCATGAACCCACCAAAGGCGCCAACAACAGCAGTAAGCTCATCCTTTGGTGACATGGACTCAACAGCACCACCACTCTCAACACCACCGACATCGCCTCCAGCGTCTCGTCCTGGGACACCACCGCCTGCAACTACGCCAAATATGCAAAATATGCCCCCTGCGCACAGTCAATACGATCCACAGACCATGTTTGAAGACGGGAGACCATCACTCCTATCAGTCGCATTTCACGCTATTGCTTTCAACAAAGACAGTCTAGCTATACCGCCCCATCCTGGAAATGATGTGCTCATGAACTCAACTATTAATATGGTGGATAGAGATGTCGACCTCTTGCCACAGACTGAGAGAACTGGGTTTACAGGTGAGGTGTCTGAGATGGCCAAACAGCTTATTGCGGCTAGTAACGAGTTAAGGAAAGCGTGGCATGGATCTATGTGAATCTTGGGTCAATGTTAATATGGCACTGTGTATTTAGACTATAAATTGTTGTATCATTAGCACATTTGATTAAATTACGGCGATTACTCATTCTTTATCACTTAAAGTCTTCATTAATTGGGACTTGATATGGATGATCTTTTAATTAATGGTTAATTACTCCTTCCTGATTTGGTAGGTCCGCAAATGAAAGGTTGTGAAAGTTTTCATATCTTTGGGCTTATGTAAAGGGGAAATAGGTATTGAAATAAATTGAAGAAACCTTGAGTACAGAAAAAGCCTTTTCAATTTGAATAAAGCTTCAATCACTCCATCTCTCAGAAAATCGCAATTACTGAAAATTTTGATAATCGCCGAACCCAAGAAACATTGACCAAATAAGGATAAATTTAATCTTACAGTATAAATAGCTAGAAATATTTCTTCACACACTCTAACTTGATCCATACCATTCACGAAACACCTTACAGCAAGATATGCGCAACAACAACATCAAGAGAAGCAGCCTTTTAGCAGCTGCATCGCTCCTCGCTGCAGGCCAAGCAGCTAACCCTGGTGGTTATGAGTTGGTAAGGCTGATCCCTATGTTCATGCCCGCCCGCTCTAACAAGGTTCAGGTCGGTGATTCACTCGTCAGTGCACAGATGGCATTCTTGGGCCGTGACGGCAATGTTTGGATCGTTGACAAGACTGAGAACAATCCAGCTCAGATAAACGGTCATCCTGTCAGTTGCTTCTCTTTCCGCTATCACCATCTTCTTACAATTCTCAAAAGGCATGGGCGGCTGTCTATAATCCTAAAGATAACACAGCCGAGCCAAAAGATATCATAACAAATTCCTTCTGCGCCGGCGGTGCTGTTCTCGGTGATGGCAGATGGCTCAACGTCGGCGGCAATCAGGCAGTTACCCACGGAGGTGTGAGTTTGGCTTATAAATACGCGTCTGAACGATCTCATCTTACACTCTAATTAGGCTGCGGTCAACAGCTTCCCAGACCATCCAAATCCATACCAAAACGAAGACGGTGGTGCGGCTATCCGTCTCCTCGATCTCGCAGGATCCAAGGAATGGTCAGATAACAACCAGTTCATGACGGGCAGAAGATGGTACCCAACCGTCGAGACTCTCGGAGGCGGTGACGCTGTTATTATGGGTGGTGATCAATGGGGTGGATACATCAACGGCGAAGCGCAAAACAATCCAACGTGAGTTCATCTCAATAACTGAGTTAGATGATGTGTTTACACGGTTTCTAGTTACGAGTTCTTCCCTCCACGCGAAGGCGATCCAGTTGATTTTGATTTCCTCGGCGAGCGCACAATGCCAATCAACTTATATCCACTCGCTTACCTCCTCCCATCTGGTAGACTCTTCGTGCAAGCCATGTACGCCGCGATCGTATGGGATCTTGATGACAAGTACGAAGCCAAGACTTTACCAGATATTCCACACGCCGCTAGAGCTTATCCAGCTAGTGGTGCTACTGCAGTATTACCCTTGACTCCAGAAAATGATTATAACCCCTCATTCCTCTTCTGTGGTGGCCAAGATATTCCTCAAGACGGTTGGGGTGACGCTGGCGGACCAGGATTCGACATTACAAAGAAATTGGCTGACACTTCCTGCGTTAAGATCCAACCAGAAGGCAGTGAGAATCCAGAGTGGGAAGAAGATGATGAACTTCCAGAGCCACGCACAATGGGTAACTTTGTCTACCTCCCTAATGGTAAAATGGTCCTTTTGAACGGTGGTGCCACAGGTTCAGCTGGATATGGTAATAAAACTTGGGCTGTTGGACAGTCTTACGCCGATGAACCAACCTATACGCCTCTGATCTTCGATCCTTCAGCCCCACAAGGCGAGCGCATTTCTCGCGATGGTTTGGGGAGCTCCGACATTGCAAGATTGTACCACAGTGTAGCAACACTTTTGGAAGATGGTTCTGTATGGGTCTCAGGATCGAATCCAAACGTCGATGTGATCCAGACACCACATCGTCAATGGAACACAGATTACAGAGTCGAGAGATGGTACCCAACTTGGTTCAACGAACCTAGACCACAACCTCAAGGATTGCCAGATGTCTTATCATACGGTGGCGATTCATTTGACATACAACTTTCATCCTCAGATCTCAAAGGAAATTCGGATAATCTTGAGAATGTCAAGGCGGTTGTTATCAGACCTGGATTTTCGACACACGCTATGAACTTTGGACAGAGATATCTCGAGTTGCGCACATCATATACGGCAACTTCGGAAGAGGAGGGAGTGTTGCATGTGGGACAGATGCCAAACAACCCTAACATATTCCAGCCAGGACCTGCACTTATCTTTGTCACTGTCGATGGTATTCCTAGCTACGGCCATTGGGTAACGATTGGATCGGGAGAAATCGGGCAGCAACCAACCAAGGAGAACTCGCAATTGCCAGAGTCTAGTAGAGCGGAGAAGTCAAGCTCAAACGCACAAGACAGTTCAAGCATTCGTCACTACAGCGGATCAGTCGTTGGTGCTGTGGCTATCGGAGCACTTGGACTTGTGGCATTGGTTTGTGTTTAGATGATTGAGTTATAACATACCACGGACAATTTTGCTCTTATTTCTACTCACGCTGTACATATTTTCTTTCTCCTCATTGTATATATTTATTCATTATGTGCTTATCGATCAATGACGTTATTATGTGAATTTGTAACTGAGTAGTCGCAGTAAATTGAGAATTTTTCACCCAGGTAGAACTGTGAATTAGGCTTAGCCTAATACTCCCACTGACTCGGAATAAAAAATTCTACAAAAATTCACCAAATTCGTCAATTCGCCACGCTAAAGTCACACAAGCGCAACGACGACGAGGAAGGAAGCGAGAAATTAAATAAAAATACAAAGAAAGCAAAAGAAGCAAAGAAAGCAAGACAAAGAACGTTTCTATCTGGATTTCTATCTCGATTCCCTGGACAGGCTGTCAATCGACGTCAAATCTTAATTAATCCTACTGGCTTTATCGATTACAACGATGCCGATTCTCTATCCGGCACTTTTAGACAGCATACAGCTCACAAGGAGAGCAGGCGTTTTCCAAGGCGGGAAGCCTAACGAGGTCAGCTCATCCGATCCACTATCCTTATTCGTTATTCAAGCATCTTTCATTATCATTTTCACAAGGGCTATCGGTTACCTACTGGCCAAAATGAGACAGCCGAGAGTTATCGCTGAACTCATCGGCGGTATCATTCTCGGACCCAGTATATTCGGCCAGATACCCAACTACATGGATGATATCTTTCCAGAAGACTCCTTACCTTATCTGAATCTCATTGGTACACTCGGCATTATTCTCTTCTTATTTATTATTGGCATGGAGATTGATTTCACTGTTTTGAGAAAACGCGTCAAATCTGGCTTGGCTGTAGCTTCAACTACCCTTGCAATCCCGTTAGGCGCTGGTATAGCTTTGGGCGTTGGTTTATGGAAGCAATTTAGCCACAATCAAGACGTTTACTTTTCTCATTACATTCTTTTCATCGGTATAGCTATTTCTGTCAGTGTCTCATTTCCTATCCACCCTTACATCTAACTTCTACACAGATTACAGCTTTCCCCGTTCTTTGTCGTATACAGGTGGAGCACAAGCTCACACACACACCTGTAGGTGCTGTCACCATGTCAGCCGGTGTCATCAACGACGTCGTAGGATGGATCCTACTCTCCATCATTGTCGCACTAATTAACGCAGATGGTAGCATCATCACTTTGTGGATTCTATTAGTAATCCTCGGTTGGACACTACTCATGGTTTTCGCAATCAGACCTCTTTTCTACGCCTTTGCAAGACGTAATGGCAGTTTAGACGGTAGTGGTCCAAGTGAATTTGTTATCATGTTGTCGCTCTTACTCGTCTTCATATCTTCATTCCTCACTGACATTGTCGGTGTGCATCCAATCTTTGGTGCTTTCTTAGTCGGTTTGATTATGCCCAAAGAAGGTAGATTCAATGTTATCATTACTGAGAAGATTGAAGATGTCGTTATGATCATTTTCGTACCAATATTCTTCGGTTTGGTCGGTATACAAACTGATCTCTCTTTACTCAACTCTGGAACTATCTGGGGATATACAATATTGGTTATAGCTGTAGCCTTCTTCTCAAAGTTCCTCTCTGGCGCTGTCACAGCTAAGCTCTGTAGATTTAATGTCAGAGAAAGCGGTGCGATTGGTACACTCATGTCTTGCAAGGGACTGGTAGAGATCATCGTCCTGAATGTTGGACTTCAAACTTCGATCTTAGATAGGAGAGTGTTTTCAATGATGATTTTTATGGCAGTTATCACAACGTTCATCACAACCCCAATGGCACGCATCATGTACCCATCTAAACACCGTCCAATGAAGATGGATGAAGATGGCGAAGAGGATGAAAAACCGAGGCCATCGACAGAAAAAGGTCAATTGGATAGATACCTAATGGTAATGCAAAAAATGGAACATGTATCGACTCTACTCCACTTCACCAAACTCCTCGAATCGGATAAACAGCAGCATCATATAGATGCACTGAGATTAGTTGAACTCACAGAGAGAACTTCTGATGCACTTCGATCTGAAACTCAAGAGATGAAATCAGATCCATTGTTGGGAATATTTACGACGTTCGCACATCTGCGCAATATGATCTGCCACCCACTGTTGAGTCTGACGCTGCAGGATAACTTTGCAGAAACTGTAGCTGAACAGGCAAATGAGAGTGATCTCGTCGTTTTGCCATGGAAGAGTCACAGAGAGGCTATTGAGAAGGAGCAGCAAGCAGGACATCAGAATCCATTCGACACGTTATTCAACCTTCAAAGTGCTTCACAAAGATATATACAATTCGTAAGGAAAGTACAGTCGCAATCGATGGCATCTACAGCGATTTACCTCGATCAAGGTAGTGTGGATGACGGGGACAGTTGGAATGGAATGACGATATTCATGCCATTTTTCGGTGGATCAGATGATAGAACGGCATTAAAATTGGTCCAGCAACTGTGTAATAGACAGGATGTTAATGCAATAGTTGTTCGGATCAAGAAGGAGTTGGAAACCAAGGCATCTAATGATACGACGACGGGACAATTAACCGAGTATTCACCACACGCTCTCCCAGATACAATTTATGCGGCACAGAATACGCAGCAAATGTTAGAATCTGAAACAGCTGATGATCTTTGTTGGATGGAGTGTATTAGAGTAGCTGGTGGACTTGGAATGGAAATGAGGGAGAGTATGTCTTCTAAGCCACTCTATGAGGCTACAGGAGTAGCAAAGCAAGTTAAGGAAGGGTGTAGTGGACAAATGTTAGTAGTTTGCGGAAGAAGTCGGAATAAAGAGAACCATAGGCAGGAATTGGCAACGATATTGGAATCTGAAGGGATACAGAATCAGCCATCAGCACTCGCGGCTAACAGGTTTAATCATTTATTCCAAGTTAGTGCACCGCCCTCACCATCGACGCATCAGCAAATTGGACAAGAGGAACGCAAGACGCTAGGGGAACTGGCGACAGCATTGATAATAAAGTTAGTAGACGTTTCAGCAATAATTGTACAATCATCTAAATCTGTTTAAATCTGTTTGAATAAATTTTCCTTCTTCTTAGACAGTCAACAAGCGTACTTGGAGAATGCCAAAAATAAGGAAGAGTGAGAATACATTTAGTGATAAAGAGTAAAGGCTAAGATGTACACCCCCAGAAACATCAAAGAGAACGGGATTGTTCGAGCGTGCAAAGATAAAGCAGAAAGCTAAAGAGACACGGAGGAAAAGGTCTAGGGATGAAAGGAGGGATCCGACATGGAGAAATAACAAGAAGAAGAAGGCTGATCCAGGTATACCGAACAGTTTACCCTTCAAGGAAGAAGTTTTGGCGGAAATTGAAGAGAAACGTACAAATGCTCTTGAAGCAAGAGAAGCTGCAAAGGCCGCTAAAGCTGCTGGTGAAGACGTAGAATTGAGCGAGAGCGATGAGGAAGATGAAGTGGGCGACGATGTGGACGATGACCACCCAGACTCAATCCCTCAACTCATCGACTCATCAATCACCACAGAAGCACCAAGCAACTTTGGTGAAAGCGTTGATGCAGCGGATGTCATTCTTCAAGTACTCGACGCTAGAGACCCACAAGGATTCAGAGTTGAAGCGTTGGAGAAGCTTTCAAAGCAGAAGAAAGTAGTCGTTATTCTCAATAAAGTTGATTTGGTTCCGAAAGAGACTGTTAGAAGTTGGTTCAACACTCTCAACAGCCTCCTTCCTACCATTGTTTTCGCTTCTTCTGCTCATATTAATCCAATTGAAGGCTTAGAAGGGTGTCTTACAGCAGATACTGGCGTTGATGCACTCAAAAACCTACTTAGCTCATACTCAAAGGATAAGAAGGGCAAAAACCCTCTCAAAGTTCTCGTCGCTGGATTGCCAAACGTTGGAAAATCTGCACTCTTAAACACTCTGATTAAGCAACCATACTTTAAGACAGCTTCAGTTTCAACAAACTCCTTAATCGGCGCTAAGAACCCAACGACGACAACGACATCCATCTCTGCTGTCAATGTCGATGGCATTGTCTACATTGATTCACCTGGTTTATACTTTATTGGTCAATCTGGGCATTACGCTGCAGATATCCTCAGAAGGAACCTCGGCAGACCTGATAAAGTTAGAGAACCTCAACTTTTAGCAGACTGGATATTAAACAGATCAAATGAGGAAGATTTGATGATGTTCTTCAAATTGCCTGCATTTGCTTCAGGCGATTATGAAGCTTTCTTTAAATCATTCGCCAATGTCGTAGGTCGTGTGAAGAAGAGGGGTGTTTTGGATGTTAATGGTGCTATGAGGGACTTTATTCTCAAGTACGTCAAGTATGATATGCCTTACTACACTGTTGCACCTGCAAATGACAAGCAGGAGAAGCAGAAGAAGGTGAAACAGATCAAAGGTGTCACTGATGTCGTTGCTCGGGATATCGATCGACTGCCTTCGAGAAAGCCAATGAGGAAGGCCAGAGGAGAGGTCAGACTCGTGGCTGCTCCTTCCGATGCTACAATCGAGAGCCGCGAATATGTCCCTACTGTTGGTGGTCCCGTCGAAGAAGAGAGTGAAGAAGAGCAAGCCGAAGACGATGAGGATGATGAAGAGGAGGACGACGACGAAGATGAGGATAATCAGGATATCGATGTACTTGGCGCTGTTGAGGATATGGAAGAACATGACATGACTGTGGGTGACATGTTAGACCTTAACCCCCAACTACTAACCTTTTTGAATAGCCCGACGCCAACATTGAACCAGAAGCTCCATCTTCACCTCCACCGAAACACTCTAAGAAGAGGAAGGAGAGAGCACCCAAGGTGAAGTTTGCCAAGGAAGTGGAGACTTCGGATGCACCAAAGTCTAACAACAAGGCCACTGTCAGCAAAATTAAGACGAACAAGGAAATTGAGAAGCCAAAGCCAGCCAAGAAGGCAAAGGTTGAAGAAGGTGTATCAGCCAAGCAAGGACTCAAAGGGAAGAAGTCGGACAAGGTGGAAGGAGAAGCATTCGACTTTAACGAGTTCTTCTGATGATTTGTTTTAGAATGAATTGAGTGTAATACAACATCATGAATATATTAACTTATTAGGGGATGAATACGGTAAAATGTGAGATGATGAGATAAAGGAATTAAGTGAAACTACCAACTGAAGCTCTCCTCGAATGCCACAGTCTTGGTTTTTGATTTGGAAACCAAGTTTTTCATCGTAAGGTTTAGCGCATCAGGGCCGCAGGTAGCAACGAGCAGAGCGTTATCATCGACCAGCTCCGACTCCTGACTGAATATAGTGTCCAATTTAGGTCTACCGCTTCGAGCAAACTCTGCAATGGAGAAGAGGTCACCTTCCTCAATAGCGTCGAGGACGATGTTATCAGGATCAGGCATTTTCAATTGAGATGTGTGTGATGTGTGTGGTGTATGTGAAGCTTGAGGGTCTGAATTAGATTGATCGATGGTGTGAACCTTGGGTGTCTCAGCGAATGTTATATTAGGTGCATGTGTTGGTTTGTCAGGATGCGTGAGGGTTGTTTGAGTTGGATGCATATGAACGCTATGACCCATATTTGACCTCGCTCTAGCTATATCACCCTCTGCACTGATCAGTATGCTCAACTCTCTCTCGACGGCCGGAGCAGGCTCGTTATCTTCACCGTCGAAGTCGACGAAATCGTTAATACTCGACCGTTTGTTAATATCGTCTATGTCTTCTTCTGCGAACTGGTTGGACGCTGCAGTGGTGAAATCTGATTCTGCCACGTGATCCTGGTACTGCTGCTGCTGTTGCTGTTGCTTTTGCTTTTGCTCTCGCTCTCGCACTGGAGGCAAGTTCTTGTCGATTTGCGGCGAGCTCCGCGCTGACCGGAACGAGGGCTGTATACGACTAGCAGAGTGCGTCGCATTGACAGCAACTGGAGGTACTTGTAGAGTTGGAGTGATGGAAGCTGCCGCTGTCTGCATGCTGAGGTCACTATGAGAGCGACCCAAGTCACCCGCATCGCCCGAATCCTCACCCAGATTGGTTGCAGGTGTGTAGAAGCGCTGCACAGGCGAGCGTGGCGGCGAGTACGGCGATCCACCCGCGTCTCCTGCGTAAGGAGCTGCTGGCGTCGGCGGGAAAGGCGAATCAGGTGATGGGAAAAAGGAGCTTATAGTATTAGGTGCGTCGATTGTGGGCTGCGATGTGACGAATATCTCGAGCTGGAATGCGTCTTGCGGGAGAAGTGTGGCACATCTGCGCAACGCACTGGCAACCCATTGTACATGCGCAAACTCCTTGACGAGCCACACGAGCCTCACGCGTCGCAGTGGTCCCGCGCCGAGGCTGATAACGTTAGTGACATGCTGCAAGATCGACACGCCGAACTGTGAACGTTGTCAGGATGGCTGTAATAAAAGATAACCGTCCACACTCACACTTATTCCGCTCCCACCACAGACGAGTAGAATGGAGGAGTAGTTGGACCATCGCACCCGCCCCGCACTGCCGAAGGGGCCGTCGATAAGAGCACGGATGTACACAGGCGGTGCTGCGCAGGGGAGGTAGCTGTGCGCATCGTTCCTATGCTCAGTGCCATTCCCATTCCCGTTCCCGTCGCTCCGCTGCTGCTGCTCGCTCGTAATGAACTTGGGCTGGCGCATCAATCTCACCTTCTCCCACAGCTTGCGCGTCCAGCCGCTCTTGGCACGCACAATTACCACCACTTTATAAGGATCGTCTTCTGAGACATTTGCAATAGTGAATGGATGCGCACCGAAGCGGGAAATCTCCGGGATGATGATAGATGCGTGCTGGCCAGGCTGCCAGTGGAGTGGCGACGACAGACACAGCGTCAGCCGTACGCTCTTGCCAGGCAACAGCTGTGCATGTGTGAACCCAGTCGGATGCGAACGTCTAATCGGGAAAGACAGGCTGCTGGGTGGGGGAACGAGAGATGGTGTGGAGGTATCCTTCTTCGCACCATCCTTTTCCTTGTTCACTACTGCTGTAGGTGAGAGATACTTCTCGACGCTGTCGTTGGATTTGTTTACTGTTGTCTTGCTTTGGCTTTGGCTGTTGGTGTTGCTCCGGGTGCTACTCTCGTCAGCCACCGCTTCCCGGCTCTTTTCGAGCTCCTCCCAGCCGAGCAGCGTGAGGTTTGCGGGCTTGTCCATCTGCGGAGAGACAAGAGACCTGATCGTTTGGGCGGGGCGCATGACCGTCGACCAGTGCACACCAGCGCCTGTACCTGATCCTGGTCCTGCATTCCCCTTGCCCTTCTTCATTTCACCCGCAAATCGTCCAGCGCCGGCATTGAGCCAGAGCACACGGAGACCGCGCCAGACGCGCTCAGCGAGCCAGAACGCCAGCGGGGTCCAAATAAACGGTGCAAGTGGCTTGTAGTGTATCCCTGCTGCGACGAGAAAAGCGAAGACAAGAACTATGTGCACAATGTGAAACAGTGCGTAGAATTTGTTACGGATGGGTGGGATAGAGAGGACAAGGATGAATGATAGAAAAAGGAGAGCCTGTAAAGAGTGTAAGAGCGTATCTCATAATCCGCAAACACACAACCACCCACCATAAACCCAGAAGAGTTAGTGCGCGATGACCATATCTCATTCCAAACACCTGTCTCATCCCTCTCTGGCCATGTGTGCTTAATCCAGAGAACCGTATGAGCGAAACTAAACGCCCACACCCCGACTCCACTCACGAAATGGAACAGAACGGCCTTGTCGAAATGGAGATTGGTGAAAAACTTCCAAGCGAATATAGCAAATGGTGGCATCTTTAGTCCGAGTATTACGACGAGCGGTGTGAGTATAAATGCCATCACACCTGTCCTATCAAAGGCATTCCTCTCCATTGAGTCGTGTATGTCGGAGCTAGTTCTCGAGAGTACCATTGAAGGTGACTCAGGGCCAGTCAAGACGAGCATCGTGGGGAATGCACACAACGCCAGTATTCCAATCATGTGCGCTGTTGATGGGAGTGTGATGTATGACCGGTGATTGGCTGTGTAGCGCAGCGTTGGAGTGTAGAGCGACCAACGCGTAAATTTGTTGTAGATGCCATTCTTATGCGTTAGGCCAGTTTGCGTCACTAATGCTGTTACACACGCAATCACTGCGAATACTAGAATGAGAAGATATCCGTAGAAAATCGCTGGACTGCCGTGCTCATGATCGTGATCGCCGTGTTCACCGTGATCTGCGTCCGCGCCACCTTGCTCTGCTTGAGCTTGTGCTATTGACAAGAACGCAGAAACTGCTAAAAACGCCTTTATCATTTTTGTTTTGCCCTCTTAAACCTACGTTAACGATGAAAATTACGTTGAAAAAGCTAAATTGATGGCGTTGATGATTGATTAAACGAAAGATCTAGATCCACAGTAGCCAAATTGCTTATAATTAATCAATTATTTCCGTATTTGGAAGGTTGATGACGGCATAATTTCATCTGAAACAGACAGGAGAATTTTCCAAAATTCCATTTAATAGTTAAGTTATATTTAAGATATATTAAGAATAGGGTTTTAAATTTTCATTTTACTCATTTTAAACTGGAGGTTGTGGTACAGATTGCATAGCGGCGTTCATTTCTTCAGGAGTCATTGTGGTTGATTCTAACATGATACCGACACCAAATTTGGAAGCATTCTTGAGATGATCAATTTCGCCTGCGACCAAGAAAGCGAATGCAGGAGTGAATCTTTGCTCGAGCAAGGCTGAAACTTTTCCGGTTGAATCAAGTTGACCTCTGAAAGAAGCCATTCTGAAGTCATACTTTGCACCTAAGCTAGCATTTGCTTCCTTGCCTTGAGGTCTGTTGATAACTTGTAAAGTGGCAGCAGCGTCAACTTTATCGGACAATTTGTGGTGGTAAGTAGCTTCGAGCATTCCAGAGGGGTTAATTTGAGCGGTAGCCAACCAGTCCCTGTTTGAGCCATTCAATCTAACCAAATAAGAAGTCAAGGATTCAGAGACGCCCGGTTGAGGTCTTTGGAGGAGGGTTTCGAGGCCGAGGGCGATGTTTGGAGTGAGAGATTGGAGGTAGCTACCAATGTAAATACCAGTACCATCAATCATGGAAGGATTCATAGCTTTACCGTTGAGGGAATAGTCTAAACCTTGATAGTCATGCTCTAATTGGATCATGGATTGACCAGGAACTTCAGAAAGCTGAGCTTGAACCTTTCCAGTACCGAGGTTAGCGAAGGATTGATTGGCGCGTCCAGTGAGGGTACCTGTGTGATCAACAGCACCTTGTAAGAAAGACTTTGCGTCTGCGTAGACTGCGCCGAAAGAGTAGTTTGGAGGGGATTGTTGAGAGCCCAGAGCGAAAGAGTGGGTGACTTGGAAAGCGGGGTTTAAGGAAATACCCTTTGTAAGATCAGCTCTAGCGCCGTCAAAGATGAAATTAGAGAGGAGCGTAGTTTTGGCTTCTCTGCCCATAGCTTCAGCGGTACCAGGGTTACCTAAGCTAAGGGATTTCCTCCAATTCATGAATCTATTGTAGGTGGATGAGATAGGGCTGAGTGCGGCGGCAGCAGCAGATTTCTGTGGCTGCTGTTGCTGTGTATCGTGGTGGACCTCTGACTGGGTAAGAACCGGGGCTGCTTCACCTGGAGCGACTTGTTGGACTGGCGTGGTCATATTCGTAATAAAATCTAAATTTTTATATTCCTCGTCGCCGTTTATTGTGAAGGCGATTAAGCTGTGGTGGTTTTCTGCAATTTTTAAAATATCAGACAAGGCTATTAAATTACTAGTGTAAGCTGCAAATTACTAGGAATATGTCTGCGTGTCTATCTTTCGTTAGAAATGTACTTGAATCGAGTTTGAAAAATATGGGACATGATTGGAGTGTGTTTGGTACACGCAATGGCACACACTCTGTAATCTCTGCAAAGCCTGGATTCGTGCACCTGCGATTTATCGTCGATAAGCATAACTTGAATAGGCAGGGCTCTCTAAACGGCGGCTGTATTGCTTCTTTGATCGACAGCGCTGGCTCGTTGGCTGTGTCCTCTCATGGTCTCTACTTCACCGGTGTATCCACTGACATGAGCCAAACATTCGTCAAGCCAATCCCATATGATCAACCCGTTGAGATATACGCAACTGCTGCTAGCCTCGGTAGGACAATGGCCTTTACTAGAGTTGAGTTTTGCGATTCAAGTGATTCGCGTCGAGTTATGGCTTTTGGAGGGAAGTAATTAGTATACTAGTACAAACGCCTAACACTCACCACAGGCCACACAAAATACATTGCAAACAGTCAAGGCCAAGAGGTATGCAAATTTTCATCATTACAAATGTCTGCTCACATGACACGACAGGGTAACGTAAAGTTTAGTGAGGATGGTGAGAGTACTTTGTAAGAGTTTATAATCAAGAAATAATCATCAGTCCTTTCGAAGCCTATCTAATCTGGCTTGTAAGCTGTCTTCGTCGGTTTTAGTTTGAGTTGAAGTGGTGGCTTGGGTGGTTGTAGTGGGGTTAGCAGCGCCAGCACCAGCACCAGCACCAGCACTGCCGCTCAATCCCTCAGCCATCGGCGTCTTTTTGTTTTTATCTGCGCCAGTATCGACGTCCAAAGTATCAGGCGTATTTGCGAGTTGTTGATTGAGAGTAACGCCAATGTCATCGAGTACCTGGCCAACGATCTTCTCCTCCTCCTCTTCACCTTGATCATCCTCCATAACGTCGTCAACAGCGTCAGACATAATTTCCTCTTTCATGTCCATTGAGGATGATTCACGTTCGAAATCGTTCATGATACGGGTAATTTGAGGGAGGTTGAGACTTCTATTCATCATAGCCATGCTCTGGTGGTGTGATAAGAAAGATGACGACATGAAAGCTATCAACACACCTTTGTTGCACCTTTCATAGCCTCAGACATTTGCTGATTCGATCTGAGTGTTTGGATACGCAGACTAACAGCTTGTAACTGAGTGCGCATCTGATAAAACTTCTGGATGTATTTCCTAGTCCGAACGAGATCCTTGGCCATGAGTTTGGTTGGTGCCTGGAGGATGTGTTGAGTGAGTGTCTACAGGGGATAAACAAGTACCTACCATTTGACCATTCTTGGCGCTCTTCTTAATATCGCTGATCAATTTGCTCTCCTGTCCCTCCAGCTTGCCACGCTCTCTGTCCAACTCGCGCTGAGCTTTCTCCAGTGCACGCTGATGCCGTCTCAGCCGTTCTTGGGGAGTGAGTGATTTACCAAATAAACTTTCCTATAGGTTTTATGAGTTTTTCCATTTTTACTTTTTATTTCAACCTACGATTATATTCATTGTGGTTGTTGATTGATAACGAGTGTCATGACTGCTATTTGCATTTATTCCGGCAGCTCAGACGGTTCTACTCCGATATACAAAGACGTTGCCCGGCAAATTGGTTCTACGCTTGCCGCACACAACATTCCACTCGTTTACGGCGGCGGTGACGGTGGTCTGATGGGTCAAGTAGCCCGTAGTGCGCTGAGCAGCGGTGGACACGTCACGGGCATCATACCGCGCGCGATGGTGGCTGTGGGCGAGAAGGGTGAGCGCGGCAGCACCAGCCATACCACTCTCCCCTCCCACCCAAACCTCGACTCTATCGTCGTCGATAGCATGCACGAGCGCAAACTGGCCATGGCTCACCGTTCCTCCTCTTTCATCGCCCTTCCTGGTGGTTTCGGCACTTTCGAAGAACTCCTCGAGGTGACCACGTGGTCTCAATTGAATATCCACGCCAAGGCGGTCATCGCCGTCAATGTAGATGGCTTCTTCAACCCCCTCAAGCACCTCATCGCTTCCGCTGTTGACGCCGGTTTCATAAGCAGCAAGAACGCTCATCTCATCCACTTTCTGGATCATCCCCTCGATGGTGACTGGGGCTTGGCTGCTATAGACGCTTGCAAAAACTACTCACCCACTGGCGAAGAGTATGCCTTTGATTGGTCGCGGGTGTGAGGTTGAGACATTTTTTTTTTTCTAAGACATAACATGTATTCTAAGATAAATAGATATTCATTTGGTCACTTGGGTGAACACCAGAAAATACTACACTACGTCGTCGTTGTCTTGAACACCCGGCTCACCTTGTTCGTCGTCACAGCAGCACCGACGCCGACAGCGAGGAGGAGAGCGCCATCCGAGGCGAGTAGGGCGACGGCCGCGAGCATAAAGCGAGGAGCGAAGACCTGCGACAAGTTACAGTTAGGTAAAGTTATTCCGCAAAATCGAGCAGCCATCGCCACCACATCTACCCACCTTCCACACCATAAGATGTCTACGGAAGTATCCCGCTGCCCCCATGGCCGCGAGAGCTATAGCTGAGTGATAAGCCAGGAAAGCGCAAGCGGTGCGCAAGAGATGTGTATCCAACGGCGCGCTCCCATTCACTCTCGGCGCCCTCTTCCAGTAGATGAGCAGAGGGAGGAAGGTAGCCGGCAAGACGAATCCAGCGAGGGTGTTCGCACCAACGAGGAGAGGCGCATAAGGATAAGACAGTGTAGGGAAACCCACAAACGCCGCCTTCCACTGCAGTGTGCTCAGTACAGCCTGGTGGCCGGTAGCGTAGAAAACGAGATGACCAAGTTGAGCCAGCCAAGCCGCACGCCAGAATGGCGGTGAAGGGGTGGGTGGTGTGCTCATTGCACCGTTTGCTCCCTTTTTGTAGCGCTGTGGACGTCGGATTAGCTTCGCTAGGGCCCCAGCATCATTTTGCGCATCACTTAGCTCCAGGAAGGCGAGCAGTGCAAGCAACGCTACACATAGCGATATCTGCCCAGTTGGGAGAGTTGGTATGTACAGCAACGCGAACATTACCAGCGCGTATTGCAGGTAGTACGCCCCGTAGCTGTTGCTGAATCCTAACACACTCACTTGGCGCGTGGTGGGGCGAGGTTGTGATGATGGTTGTGAGTGTGAGTGCGACTCTGTCTCTGTCTTTGTCTCCGTCTGCCCCTCCTCGCGTACCTCCACGCATAAAGCGGAGAAGAACCAGAAAGATACACCGGCTATAGCGACGAAACACATATTAGAGCGAGCGAGGGTAGTTTTGAGTGTGGTGAGAGTAGAGTAAGGGATGTACTTGGACAGTTGGGGCAAAACAGCAAACTCCACGGCGTCCACTAGCCAATAAAGCGAGGCGGCAGCGAGAGAGGCAGCGAACGCCGCGACAAACAGCTGAGCGCTGCGGGTAAAGGAGGCTGTTGCAGATAGTGCGGCGCGCACGATGCCATACATGGTGAGTGCAGCGGGGAGGAGGGCAGCGTACACCCAGCGTGGAGCGAGTGAGCTAGAAGCAGTTGCGTAGAACGTCACCGCACACCATCCGCCTAACTCCTCGCGACACACAGTCGAGCTGGCGAGAGCGCGCAGTGCAACCGCACTCACTAACGCACTCCCCCCAAGCACCTTCTGCAGACGCGCTTGCGGAGCATTCACACACCCCACCAGCGAGAGCAGAATGGGCGTCTGGAGCAGCACTAGCACCACTCGGTCCTCCCATAGGATGTATGAGTTGGAGAGGAACGCGGCGAGGTGGGCGAGGAGAGTGGCGGAGGTGTAGAGGGCGTGGAGGATTGTGCGCAGCGTGGGACGCTCGAGTGAGAAACTAAGGGGGGAAGAGAGTGGGAGAGGGATGGCCCAGCATACGCACCCCTCCACTGCCAGACACAGCGCTAGAACGACACTCTCCCATCGGCCGCGCAACAGCGCCAACGAGAAGACAAATGCAGCTGCAGTGTACGCCGGTAATACGCGCGCAGCTTCCCGCGCCGCACTGCTCATCCATACGCAGCTGTCCGCTCTGCCCGTCCTGCTGTACACTCCCAGCAGCAGCACGAGCGAGAGACCTACGACTAATACACCTGCCGCCATAAGCGTCTTGTCGAACTGAGCCCAGATTCCGCGGCAGCTGGAGAGCGTGGAGGCGAACAAGTCAGCGTAGAGCGCGTGCGAGTGGGTGTGAGTGTTGGCCTTGTCGTGCCTGCTGCTTCTCCAGAAACGTGAGCGCTCCTGCTGCGCCAAGTCTACTTGCGCGTCCCCTGCACCCCGCTTAGCCGCGTCCAGCTTCTCCCTGAGGGTAGACAGGAAAGGTTCTATTTCGTGGCCGCTGCTGCTCTGCGCATATGCGCACAGATAGCTCCAGATCTGGTCAGCGGTGGTGTCGAGCGCGCTGAGGAGCCATGTTGGAAACAGCTCCGGGATCACCCCGCCCAGGCTGTTGAAGGGGATCGGCAGACCGAGACGGAGAGCGAGCGAGGGGAGGATATCGATCTGTTGAGTGGTGCGTACGGAGCCGTGGTGGGGGAGAGCGGCAGCGTTAGCGCGTGCGTTTGCGCTCGTCAGCGGGGTGCGCCCACTGTACATCCAGAGAGCAGCGCTGGTCTCCAGCAGCGAGTCGCCGCCGTGGTCGCCGCGGCTGTCCATGCCGTGATCGCCCATTACGACGAGAAGAGTGTCGTCGTCGAGAGTATCGACAACACGGCGCAACACCGCGTCCATTTCCTCCAATTTCATCCGCATCACGGCATGCGCCGGCCCAACGCGATGGCCGACATGATCGACACCGAGGAAATGGCCGAATATCGCGTCGTACCCGTGCGCCATGAGGCGGGGGAGATGCTCTTTAACGCCAGCATCAACTGAGTGGAGATCCTCGACGTTGAAGCTGTCGTACGGGAGCTGCTCGTCGAATGACCCCGGGAAGACGGTCATCCAGGTGTCGTCGCCGACGAAGGCTGTCGACTTGTGCGCGCGCTTCAACTGCCCCAGCAGAGAATCCTCGGATATCGATTCCCCGCTAAACGCATTGCCTACGTCGATAAAGGTCGGCAGGCTGCCAGTCATGACGCCTTTGATGCGCTGGAGAGTGGTCGTAGGTGGATCGGCGTACGTGTGGAGGATAATCGAGTGGTCCGGGTGCTGCTGGGATAGTTGTGCAGGGAGTTTGAGGATGTTGTGGTAGTATTCGCTGTATTCGGGCGAATCCAGCGGCTGTGGGACGACGAAATCAGCCCGCAACGCGTCTATAATCAGAATAATGGCCTTGGAGTGTGTCGCTGGCGGTGCGGCTGCGTTTGGCACCCCCACTTGCTCAAGCGTCACCCGGTTCAACAGGAAGCCGCGACTAAAGAGCCAGAGCCCGGCCACATGCAGCACAGTCACCAAAGCAAGTATCCCTGTGACAGCTCTCATCCGATACTCAACTGTCTTTCTATTGTGAAGCCTACGTGAGTGTACTGCACAAGTGATAAGACACGTTACAAAAACACAAATGAATCAAAATTTATCGCCTCTTATGGTTTATGGACATTTGCTGCCTTGGCTTGCGGTAGTAGCTTCTCTCCCTCATTGGAATCCAGCGCTCTGGGTCGATTGGAGTGTTTTTGTTGGCGTGTTTGCTGTGCATTGCGTGAATTCTCTTCTTCTTCTGCTTGTTCAGCTTGGTGCTTTTGCCATGGCTCACAGTAACGCTGGATATATCCACAGCTGGTGCTTTGTAGTTTTCCGGGAAAGGACCGGGGTTCTTCTCGAGGACATCGAGTGGAGGGATATCGAGAGTTTCCATAGCATCAATGTAGCCATGCTTATGGAAGTCCAAGCATTCTTTGGATGCCTTGAGATTGGTTGAGATGTCTGCGTATTCCTCGCTGTCCTGTGAACTGTGTGAGCCTGACAGCCCTACCAACCAAACCAACTCACACCACTCAAATCAGACAACAGAGACTGGTACAGATCCACTGCGCCTTGATAATCACCTTGCCTGTAGAGCTGAATTGGTTTGTGAGTGAGGGTAATGAGACGCACACACACAAACCAGCTGGGCCTTGAGGATGAGCCACTTTCTAGAGGTGTTAGAAGGGTTCTCGACAACGTTCTCGGCCGCCTTCTCATTCTTACGCCTGTACTCTGAATACGCCCATTCGAAGCTGAATTTCGACTGCTGAAGAGAGTCCAAAGCTAAATCAAAGCAATCCAATTGCAGTAGTAGGAATATCCTCGTCTTAATAAGCTCATCACTGCGATTATCCAATCTCAACAGCTTATTCGTCGTTTTCAGTGCGTTTTGATAGTGTGAGTTGAGGATTTGCTGGTAAAGTGATTTGAACAGCGCTGGAATCCTCACACTGGAATCATTTTCAGGCTTTGGTGCTGATTTTTTGTATTTAACTGTCTTCTCGATCATCGACGTTGATTTAGAGATGAATACAATACCCGAGTGGAATTTGAGCAATTTATTCGACAAGACGGAGAAATGTCTTATTATTCTAAACTGCCCGATACAGCATTGGAAATTGTTTAAAAGCATTTGGGATGCAGGTGGGTTACATCATTATATCTGGAACGCAAACACACACACACACAGCCACCCTCAGAATCTGCGTCGATGGCGGTGCAAATAGGCTACTAGACGCTGCTTCTAAGCACGCTGATCCAGTCTCCTTCACTCCCCACCTCTTAGTCGGCGATTTCGACAGTTTAACAGCCCAAACCAGGCAGTTCTACACACATCTCAACGTCGACATGCATTTTAATCCAGATCAACACTCAACGGACTACATGAAAGCTTTCAACTACGTTCCCCGCCATCACATCGTCAGTGGCTCCATTTGAGCCAATTTTCACCCCCTTTAACACACCATCCAGGCTATAACATTCGGTGGCTTGAGTGGGAGGCTTGACCAGACTGTCCATACCCTCAGTTATACACGCTCTCAACAGAACAAACGCGATAGAGCCGTCTACGTTATCTCAGAGAACAACATCGCTTGGTCTTTATCACCAGGCACACACCATATACGCGCTGAGCTCGACAAATTCGGCGAATGCTGTGGAATCCTCCCCATTGCCACAAAGTGGGCAAGAGTGACCACCCAAGGCCTGGAATGGGATTTGGGCGGACCTGGATTAGAAGTCACCGGCTTTGATGGGATTGTGAGCTCATCAAACCATCTCAAGAGTGAGCTGGTACAGCTTACCACCGACGAGCACATATACTTCAACGTTGAAATACGTGACTCACTTTTGTCTTAAGCTGGCCACAAAGCATCGGTCATTCATACTCAATACACCCTTTCCCATTGTATTCAAAGCAAGTATTCCTTCATTCACTTGATCATCACCATGTCTACTCATTTTCACTGCAAAATTCCGTAAGCTGGGCTTGTACATAACTTGTGTGTTATGTACTCCCCATACAAGCTATCTCACCTTGTTGCAGTCACTCAAAACTCGCTAAAGTCACCCTATTCGACGGCAAAGCACAGGTTCACAGGGAATTTAAACCGCACACGCGCATTTACGCAGACACTCTCTACACTCTCAAGCTCTCCAGCCTCCCTGAAACTCTCGACGCTGAGTCTCTGCATGTCAGCGTAGGTGGCCACGAAATCCAGGTACTTCAACAGGACCAATCGGAAGACAGAGAAGAAAGCGAGACAACGTTAAATATAAGAGACATCGCAAGAGAAATAGAAGCCAAAGAGCTAGGCAAGAGCGTTGTGCACCATCAGATGGAAACGTTGCGCAGTTTTGGGCAGAAACCGGCGTCGACGGATGATTTGGACAAGTATCTATCGATGGTGTACACGAAAATGAGTCGTTATCATGCACATATCAAACAACTCGAAGATGACATCGCTAGCTCCATCGACCACAAGCGTGCATTGGAGCAGTCGGCTGGTATATACGGGAATGGATATGGAGATGGAGTGAGGAAGAGCAAAGTATGCACCCTCTCCTTCAAGCCACTTGCGAATATAGACAAGGTTACATTCACTATCTCGTACTGCGTCTTCAACGCGAGCTGGCGGAATTTCTACCGCGTCAAAGCAGATAATGCGGCGATTCAAGTTGATTATATTGCGAAAGTATACAATGATACGGGGGAGAATTGGGAGGATACGACGCTCGTGCTGTCGACATCTACGCCCAATCTCAGCGCCGAGATACCAGAATTGAGACCAATCAACGCGCAAATCAGATCGCCTTACGTGATTGGGAAGGAGAGTCTAGCTGCAGAGAATATGGTATACCGTGCTATGCCAGCAATGGTAGCTACGTCTAGTGTACAGAACAACACTATCAGCACTGCATTTACAATCAACGGTCTCACAACAATCCTGTCTAACAGTCACGTCCATAAAACTGTCAAAATCGATACAATTTCCCTGCAGGCTGATTTGAATTGGGTGTTCGTGCCTTCCCTCTCGGATAGAGCTTATCTGGAAGCAGAAGTCACCAATACCACCGACATGCCTCTTTTGGGTGGTGAAGCGCTTATTTTTATGGATGGAGAGTTGGTCTCTCGCAGTTACATCCCCGAAGCGCCATCCGCAACTAAATTCCAACTGAGCCTGGGTGTCGATAGGAATATGAAAACGCACAAGAAACACAACGTCGATCGCTACAACGGTATTATCAATAAGGGATTACTTGATAGATTCAACACTGACACGAAAATGCAATCTAGATCTATCAGCACAGTGTACGAAGTGCACAACATGAGACAACAAATCGATTGTCCACCTGCTCAAGTTGTTATTAGAGATCAGGTGCCTGTCAGTGTCGATGAGCGTGTGCGCGTCCTTTTAAACACACCAAAGGAGCTGGCGAGAGATAAGGATGACGATAACGATTGCAATATGTCTGAAAATGTTGAGTGGATTGATAAACAGGATGGCTTCTTCACCTGGCGCTTCCCTCTTGAAAACACTTACGTACACGACGTGTGTCTGGATTATGAAATACAATGGCCTGCTAATGAAGAATTGGAGGTTTAATGAGAAAAGGAAATGAGACATGTAAATTTTCATTTTATAACAAAAAGTATAAAGGGAGTGATTAGTGGTGAAGTTCGTCAAGGGGAGCGCCTTGGTAGTCTAGTTTGTAGACAACGCCAGATTCAGGACAGCGGCCGATACCGTCGTTCTTAGTGATGTCAAGGGTGAGCCAGACGGTGTCATTCGAGTCAGCGGGGACTGTAGGTGGCGTGAGTAGGGTGAAATATTTCACAAGCCAAACTAACATCCAGTAGAGCCAACAATGCGAATTGGAGTGAGAGAAGGAACCATGATTGGGTCTTTCATAGTACCCATTCTATCAACCACTAAAGGAGACATATCGAACATTTCATTGCCTTGAGCTTTGGTCAATAATTCAATTCTCTCAATTCCAGTTGCTTGGGCTTCATCCGTAGGCACAGTACCAGATTCAGCGCCTGGACCGTAAACAGAAGGTGGCTGAGCAGAGTAAAAGCGTGAAGCCAATTGAGTACGTGGAGCGCGTTGAATAGCTGGGAATGACTTTGAGAATATTCTGAGCATTTTATTTAGATTTTGGTTGTCGGCGTTGAACCTTGGAAAGAGGGAAATATTTTATTATTCAAGACGGCCATCATGGGACAGACAATTTCATCTGCTTTATCTGGTGGTATTTCATCAAATAAGAGAGCTAGAGACGAGGATTCCAATGATACTTTTCCCAGCTCAAACGACTCAAAGAGAGTTAAAGTGGACGATGACGGCGACGACGATAGCAATGGAGCAGTAGATAACGTGAATTATAAGGCTGATAAAGATGACAAGGAAGACGGCGAAATTTCTGAGTCTGAGGATGCTAAGCCTGTTAATATATTACAAGAACGATTAGATAAATTGAAATGGCAGTCAAAGCAAGCTTCACAGCATTCAGTTGGACATAATCCACAGGTGCAGTTGGGCGTACAGGTAGGGGCAGACGCAGGGGCACAGGCAGTAGCACAACCACAACCATATGTACAGCCACAGCCACTTCCAAATCCTCAACACCTCCCACACTCTCACTCTCACTCTACGAGATATCCTTACAATACCAATCTCCCTAATGTACCTTTCAGTGAGTTTTTACCGTGTAAATTGGCCACTCTAATCCAATTTCAGCAAATTACGACGTAGAACTGGTTAAAAGTGGTCTAATTAATGGCTTGTCTTTTGAATTTCTACAACAAGAAGGCGTTGATATCAATTTACTCAACTACTCTGCATCTTTGATCCATTCAACCCCTTCAAACACCCTAGAAGCAGGCCAAAGCACGCGTAAACCTCCAAAGAAAGGTGTAAATTTGGAAATATTCAACCAGAACAAGCAACTCTTCCAAAGAGATCCAAAGACCCTTACGAAAGCTGAGAGGAAGGAGAGAAAGAGAATTGCAAGGTTAACAAAGAACAAAGTAAAAGACGAGAGCGACAAGAGGAAGAATAAAAGGCAAACTCAGGCAAAACCATCGACTTCAAAATCATCAGCTGATGAATTTTTGAATAGCCTCGCACTCTCACCTCACAGCCAATCTGCCACATCTGCCACATCTGCCAGCTTAGTTGAACCTCCTTCACAAACGTTTAACGCATCACAGAAACCGCACAATATACAAACACACACACACTCAAGCAAAACACCATATTTGAGATCTAAACCAACTGAAATAATAATCACCCCAAGTGATGATGATGATGATGATGATGATGAGTTTGAGAATGTTGATGACACTTCCAAAAATCTCGACTCAACACGCTCCATGGAAAAGATTCCTGAGTGGGTTGTTGGTAGATTAGCTCCTATTGCTTCAACTAGCACTCCTACACCTCCACCTCCACCCATGTCTCTATCTCAAAGAGCAGCACAGGGCGATGTTAAAGCTCAAAATGAACTCAAGAGGAAGGAGAATGAAATATACGAAATGCAATTAAAGATCAAGCAGATGGAAATCAAGAGAGAGAAGCAGAAACTGGAAGCTATGATGATGGGAAGGATGAAAGGAGGTGTTGGCAGTAGTATCAGTACAAAGAATACATCAAGTAATACTGGGAACAATTTCAACGATGATACCACGATAACTACGAGCACATACACTCAAGTGGAAAGTTTTGCGCAAGAAAAACTGATTGAGACTAAGAAAACCAAGGAAACCAAGGAAACTATTGAGGTTGAGCGTTTGGGGGGTGCTGAGGATGTCGTTGAAGAGCCAACTGACGATGCTGGTGACGATACTCTTAATATTAAGAACCTCGAGGATGCCCCAGACGCTCAAGAAGCCTTTGAAATGTCAAGTAGTTTCCAAGACGGTGGTAATAAACCTGTTTAACTAGCAAATAAGGTCACCTGCTAACATTCAATCAAGATACAGGTACTAATTTTGCATCTACTAACAACGTAAGTGAATATAGGCTACTAGGGTGAGTTAATAGAGTTGATAGACTGAATTTGAAAGTGTTTTTGAAAAGAATCCATCGCTACTGCAGTATGTGGAGGATTTTGATGACGATGACTTACGAAAGACGGTACGTTCGCAAAGTAAGATGTTTAGTGAGAGGAGAATGTGTAAGTATGAGTTGCCATTAGGTGGGAAATGTAAAGATAGAGAGTGAGTCTGTCTTTATCGCCAACCGAAAGCAAAAATTCATAGCGGAACACTTTATAGTTGTAATAATATACATTTACATGAATTATAAGAGATGAATTGATCTACTGGGGTTGTTGTTGTAGCTTTTGCAGCTGCTCTGTAACAAGTTTCGAAGTCTCAAAATATTTTCCAACGCAGCGATCCAAGCAGACGCCTTCAGCTTTATTAAGATCACTGTCCTTGTAGTTGGATTCAATGCACTTTTTATGACAGCTGTTTACGAGTTTTGACTGTTAAGTCGTGTTAGCTATGTGCGTATGTATCACCACCACGAACGCACGAATAAGTCTGTAATCATTTCAATCTCAGTGGTGGCTGAGTTAACGACCTCTGATTGGCCAATTTGAGCTGATGGATTCGCAGCGCTGCCGCCGCCGCCGCCGCCGAATAAAAAGGACATGACTGAGAAGAGAAATCCGTGTCTTCTTGGTTACGAACGCCATGGACCAAAAAATTAATTCAGCGAGTAATTCAAATCCTAGCATACCAATTCATAGAAATAGATTCTTAGACTTGAATCCGCACTCAATTTCTGCTTTGGCGTTTCCACCACCGCCCAAACACGCCAAAGATAGTGAATGGCTTGGATTTGGATTGTTAGCCGTTGGAAAGAGCAATGGGGATATTGAATTGAAGCATTACGTAAACACAGCCACACACTCTCAGCTTAGCGTTAAGAAGCAGCCACCGGGCAAAGGCTGGGTTCTTGATAAGGTGGGAGAGTAGTTTAATTAACCTTACTCTACTAAATGCTCCACCTTTAGATACTCCCCGCTCACTTACCTTCGGGTAAAATTCATTCGTTATTCTTCACGAGAAGACACCCAGCACCCCCACACGCAGGCACATACACACACGCTATTTCATCACTCAACCCATACACTTCAAAGCACCTCAGATTATTCTCTAGCAGTGGTACAAATACCGTTATTGAATGGGATATAAACACTGGTAAAATTTTAAACAAACTATCCTCCGATGGTGGAGCTATTTGGTCAATGTGCTCATCACCATCCACCAACTCACTCGCTCTAGGCTGCGCTGATGGTCGTATTAGGTTGGTTGACCTTCAAAACAACCAATTGCAAGTTTCAAGAGTACTCGCTCATGTACCCACTCGATTATTATCCATTGCTTGGTGTAGATCCTCACAAGATAACGATGAACAGAAGAATGGCTGGGTCGTTGCTGGTTGCTCTGATTCCAGTTTAAGAGTCTATAATCTCGAAAATGGTCGCGTAAATGACCGACTCTCCGTCGATAAAACTAACCATGAACACACGTTGATCTGGTCTGTTAACGTCCTCGAAGATAACACCATCATCAGTGGTGATAGTCTCGGTAATGTGATTTTCTGGGATAAACAATCATCTTCCCAGATATCCTCCTTTAAATCTCATGAGGCTGATGTTCTTACAACTTCTGTCTCATCTGACGGCAAAACTGTTTTTAGCGGTGGTATAGATCAAAGAGTCTCTCAATTTACAAAGGTGTCCATTTCTGACGATCGCCTCGATACGAAGTTCTTCCAATCTGGTTCGAGGCGTATACACACTCACGATATCAACGCTATCTCGGTTTGGCCTCCTCAAGGTACCCCTGACAACTTTGCCTTAAGCAGCCAAGTACCTGTAGTAGTCAGTGGTGGTATCGATCCCCACATGAATCTTACACCGGGTGGTATACCTCTCAACCGTAAAGTTAAAGAAAAGCAGCTTGAAATCTCACTCGTCAACCCTGTCTCTTCATCCAAAGCTGTAACTTTCGCAGATAGCTGGCATAAACGCTCGCCTTACGTCCCTCTTAATGGTAGAGGTAGTGTTAGCGTTTGTAGAGCAAGACGGTGGGTGATAGCCAGACGTGATATGGGTCTTAGTGTTTGGAGGATCAAGTCTGCCGATGAAGACTTCGGAGAGGGTGGTTATGACAAGGTATTAGATACCGAATTTAAGGTTTGTTTGCTGCATTTTTACTTGCTTCGCTAACTCTGCTGCTATAGTTCCGCACCCATCTCATATCTCATTCTGTCTCCCCAGATGGTCACATGCTGGCTGTCAGTGATGCGTACGAAACCAAACTGTTTACGCTCGCTCAAAATGGTCCTCCAATTCCTAAAAAGGTGAAGCTGGACAGCTCACTTCCAGGAGCTAATTACATAGAGTTCACACCAGATTCCAGAAGAATCATCATGGCCTTATCAGGCGCATCGTCAGTAGTCGTTTATGACTTGGAAGACGGAATACCTAAGCTTCTCAAGGAGTGGAGTAACAAATCATCGTCTGTGCGCAACATTCGTAGAATGCCTGACAGGAAGTCGACAGCCTCAATGGACGTAGATATGAGTGAAAGTGATGATGAAACAGATAACGATAACAAGCTCGAATCCTCAGTGCACACATTGGCTTGCTCTAGGGATGGCCAGTGGTTGGTAATAGCTGATTATGCCTGCAATATCCAGATATACAACCTGGATTCAATGCAACACCATGCCACTTTACCAAGCCTGAGCGATTTACCAGCAGCTATCAAATTTCATCCATTGCATCAGTCGCTGCTGATTATCGCACTTCCTAACTGTTTAATTAGTTTCTATGATGTGGAGAAAAAGTCAACTCCAGCTTGGTCTAAGCAGCTTAATGAGTCTACCATGCCGGAGAGCTACGTACAGATAGTTGACCCGCTGCAGGGTATCATACTTAATCCTGATCCTTCAACCCTTCCACCGCAATTCCACGGCGTCGACTCGAATGCCAGCACGCTGGACTCACATAGCGATAGCAAGCTCATCGCTTACGGTGCTACGTGGATGTGTGTAATCAAGTATATGGCAAATGACACGGACAGCAATCGCAAAGCACTGTCCAAATCATCCAAATCGAACAAACGCAAGATGAATAAGCAGGATAGGAATAAGATGGCTACCGATTTAGCCAACGTCAAGAAGCAGATGGGCGACGCTGCGAATGGGATCATATTCCAAGAGGATGAAATTCTTCAGCGTGCGGAAGAAGCATCATTCTTTAAGATGGTTAACAGATATCAGCCAATCGCTTGTGCAGACTTTATCGGTCCTTCTGAACTGATGGTGGTGGAGAGACCACAGTCAGACTTTGTCACTGATCTTCCACCTGCATTCTATAAGCACAAGTATGGTCTGTCATGAGGTTGTGTACTGGACTCTAATTGATTATTTATTGTTTATTGTTATAGAGAATAGATGTGTGATTGATAGGTTTACAGTAATTGAGACATTTTTATTGGCTTGCGCACTGCGTTTGAGAATCCTTCAAAGTATTTATAGTGTGGGGGTATGTATGTGCTAGTTGATGCTTTGTTTAAGATATCTGCTTTGGCTGTTGTGAGCTCTCGACCGAAGAAATCTGTCGGGCTTGCGTCATTCACAGCAGCTGCATCAGCAGTAGGCGGAGCACCGTACTTGTCGCTCAGAGACTTCTTCTCCCTCTTCACTTTCTCCGTCTTCCGACGCACCTTCTCACTATTGATTTCCTTAGATAGGAGCTGCTTGGTGGAGAAGGTTGATAGGGAGGTGTTGGAGTAAAGTTGAGAGAGCACGTCAATCGCTGGATCCATTTTGATTAATGTTTTGTTATCTTCATCCCTGTCAATCTTCAATTCAACACCTAGATCGACACATATCTGCACCGCTCGCTCCATTCTCCTCCGATCACCCTCAGTAGAGACCTGCGCATTAGTTAGTTTCAAATTGATAGCCAGGATTTGCATGAGGAGTGGACACAACTCTATAACAAGAGTATTGAGGTCGTAGCATCTATACAACGAATGAGGTAGTGAGAGTTTGAAACTTTTTGCCATATCTGCATTATTAAGACGCTCAACGTACTTGTCATAGTCTGTACTGCCAGCTACGCCTATATGACCATTGTTAATGTTTGCGAACTGAAGGTGAAGCTTGGAGAGGTGGTAAGGTGTGTATGTATCACCCAAACCATTCCGCGTGTCTGCATCAACCAGCGCATCTATGGCTGTGAGATATCTGTCCCATCTACTGTCATTCACTCGCGCTTTAAGGTATGATTCGTAACACGATTGTGAGATCTTGTCGTATTCTCCACACTCCACCATCGTGTCTATCGCAGGCTTAATCGAAGGCGTCTTGCTTTTCTCTAATTTAAATATCTGCTGTATGACACTTGCTACACTTCGACTCGAGTCTTTGGTGTTAATCTGTATAGCCGTTTGGAGTTGCATCGAGTTGTGTTGGATGAACTAGTAGCGTGGTGAGTTACCTCGAACAGGGCACTAACCTAACTTACCTGTAATGTATTTAGACAGTTGCGAATATCTCCACCAGAGGATTCCGCCAACATGTTGAGGGATTTAGTATCAGTTTGGATATTTTCCTCGTTGCAAATGTCCTTGAGACGCGTAACTGTAGCTAGGGTCGATGGTGGCTTGTATCTCACTATTCTCGATATAGGTCTGAGAGAGCGTAAAGAGGGTGTGTATAAATCATTGCATATGCAAATGATCGGCCTGAGAAGTAGACGAGGTTGAGTAGTACCATTTTTACGCTTTTTGGGTACGTAGTCTGTAGCTAGATTGATCAACTGTCTCACGAATCCTCCACTACCTTCTCCAGTTGCACCGTCTATCTCATCTACCAACACTAATGTTGGTCTTTTATCGACAGTGCCATCGAAAGTAATGGGATTAACATCTAATGCCGATTTGAGCTTATCGTCTACAGTTCTAGCTGACCTGTCGTCACTGGCGTTGACTTCAAAGACGCGATAACCGGCGTGTTTGGCTATGATGTATGCTAGAGTAGTTTTACCGAGACCTGGTGGACCGCTGAGGAGAAGAAGACGTTCCTGTGGTCTACCTAAGTTATGTGGATCACGATAAGCGTAAGGTTCAGCATCTCTTTTGCGTTTGTAGGTGGAATCAGCTGTAGTTTTGTTAAATACGCATCTATCCCATTCTTTCAACCAGCTCATTACTTGTCTGTTGAGTCTGTCATCGCCCATTAGATCAGTGAACTTATTGGGCTTGTACTTGTCAGTCCATAGTTGCGTTTCAGATGGATTTTGAGAGTGAGTGGATGAAATAGAGGTGGAAGTGGAAGCTTTAGCGTCTAACTCTGATAATAACTTGTGTACTGGTTTAGCCAAATAGCTTGAACGCGGTTCAACGTCGTTCATTGTACTTGTACCATCAATCTTCTTCTTACGGCCGAATGAGATTGGAGTGCCTGATGTTGAAGTTGCTTGGATTGGTGCGAGTCTGATTGTGTGAGGAGGGAGTGGTGTTTGTCGTGCTGGTGATGTTTGCGGACCTGGATCTGCCGGATCTGCCGGATCTGCTGTCTTAGGATTCAAGAATCTATTGCTCATTTGTACATCATCATCTTCTTCTTCAAGCAAATTAAGTGAATTTGACGCGTCCCAGGACCTTTTATCACCTAAAATGCTCATATTTTACGCGTTTTTAGATTTTTAGATTTTCGAATTGATTAGCGTATAAGATCAAGCTAAGGCTGTTATCTCCAAACGACCAAGTGCACGAATAATTTTAAATGCAGCCTTATTTTACAGGCAGCCACAGGCAACCACGCAGAGTGCAAATCTCTGGCTCCAACGCCACCCAGAAGTCAAGCAGTCGTGTACTCGAAGACGCACGTCATCAACGTCATCAAAGGGAGTTACACAGGCAGAAAGAGGAATACGCCGTGTTTATTCAAGTGGGTTTCTAGTCACCCTCTTTACACCCTATAACACCCCATTCAGTCTCGATGTAGATGTTTCATCACCCAGAAATTGCTTCACAACGAGAATTTCCTTGAATTTCAAAACCTCTCTCTCTCACCTTTTAAAGACTACACCCGTCTGACTAGATTGATGTCTTTTTCTCGCTTTGATAGCCCCGATGTCATTCGCTGGATCGATATAACGAATCACTCTTTAGATAGCTTCGTCGGGGTGGATGATAGTTTGATTCTGTTATCTCTACTCCAAGTTATCAGGCTCGACGTCATTGATCACCCTTCCCTTCGTCCTCTCCTTCTCAATTTGTCTCAAATTCCAAAAATGAAGACTTTTCTCCTTCAAGTCAGGGTTATATCCCGTTTAGTAGAAAAGCTAGAACAAGTGGTGAGTACAGCGGGATCATTTCACCCAGCTTACAATAATTACAGCCACATGACATCAGCAAATCCAATCCCATGGTAAATAACTTGATGGATCAACTATCTCATCTTATCAATCATTTTGCATCCCTCGACGAAATGCTCTACTTCCTGTCCATCCCCCACTTGCCTACAAGAATACCGATAGCCTACATAGCTCGTATCTCTGCTATCTTACCATTCAATCTCTTGTTAGCCCACTCGCTCACCCTGGAAGCTAATAACCTACGTTCACAGTGGTCACTCGAACGACGTATATCATTCGTTGGTAACTTGCTTACGTTTTGTAAAGCAAGAATCACCACATGGACTAAGGATCAAGTCAATAATTGGCTATTACTCCTGTCGAATGAGGTGATTGCACTTCCTGAGCTTAGCGAGTTAAGTAAATCCGAAACTAAACGTACTGTCTTTTTAGACTCGGATGATGAGGATAATGAGGATCTGGTACAATTAAAACATGGAATTCATCCTCGTCTTCTCAAGAGACTGGATTTGCTTACTGATAAATCACACATCACCACACTCATCACTTTATCAAACAAGTTTTCATCCATCAGACAACAGCTCTTTAATTACCTAGCTATCACAATAGAAAAGTATCCTCACAAACGTGATGATCTGATCCACGCCATACTTTACACCCCCTCATCATCGTCGTCATCTCGTAGTGTTGGTGGACCCGGTGTCATACGCGAGCTCTGGAGAGCGTCCGTCCGTGGTAGTCCCTTGGCTAGAGTATCCCTATCTTCGCCAAGAGGGTTTGTCAAGTTTCTCGGTAAACTGTCAGAAAGAAAAGATGATCAAAGCAATTTGCTTAGTTTCATTCTTCTAGTATACTTGTATTCAAGATTGCTGGTCACACTCCCTGATGCAGACTTCCACGCACCAAACTCCCCTAATCAGGCTTTGTCAATCGACGAAGTCATCAGCTTGTCTTCTATACTGCGCAATGTCACATTTGCGCTGTATACTGCAGAGAACATACAAAGCGATACATTACCAGCTTTGGGATTCAGAATGATGTCTGTTAGATCGATACTTACGAAACTTGCTCGACAAATACATCAGCGCGACTCGAGGAAACAGTTCACTACCCCAGGACATTGGCTCATGACGTCTGAGCTCGACTTAAGAGCATTCTGCGATGCTGTCATTGCCGAAGAAAGGAAGCTTGAAGATGAAGATAGCGATGTTGAGATGATGGATGTCGATATGCGCAGAGGTGGTCTAAGAAGGTACAGAAATACAAAGACGCTTTCGAAGCAGCAATTGGCCCAGATTTCTCCAAAGCTAGGTATACTGAACAACATCCCCTTCGTTATTCCCTTCGATTCTCGTGTAAGTGTGTTTAGGGAACTCATCAGATACGACGAAATTCGCAACAACGTCGATAGTATATTTGATAGAGTCAAGGCTGATATCAGGCGTGATAATGTTGCTGAGGATGGATTTAACCAACTCAACATACCAGGAGATCAACTGAAAGGAAAGGTATTTATTCGATTCTTTGATCAGTGGGGTAATTTGGAAGCTGGTGTCGACGGAGGTGGTCTATTTAAGGAATTTTTGACAAGCTTGGCTAAAGAAGTATTTGACACTGATAGAGGGTTATGGCTTTCTAACGAAAAACGTCTGCTGTATCCAAACCCTCACTCATACGCCAAGGAACCCTCGCAGCTAGACTGGTATCGCTTTCTAGGTAAGATTATCGGAAAGGCACTCTATAGTGGTATACTGCTCGATATAGGCTTCGCCGAGTTTTTCCTTGCCAAGTGGAACGGCAGACAGTCTCACCTCGATGACCTTGCGTCACTCGATCCTCAACTCTACGATGGGTTACTGTATCTGAAGAATTACCCCGGCGATTCACAAGATTTGGCATTAACGTTCGCGGCATCTGAAGAAGAGTTTGGAGTAACGCGTACAATGGACCTCATTCCAAATGGACAGAACATCACAGTGACGAGAGACAACAAGATACAGTACATACATCTCGTATCGCACTACCGTCTCAATACACAAATAGAGCCACAGTGCAACGCATTTTTCCAGGGACTGTCTAGTATCATTGATAACAAGTGGTTGAGGATGTTTGATCAGCAGGAGCTAGGTGTATTGATTGGAGGTGCTGAAAGTGATATTGAGTGGGTACTTGGTCTCATTGAAGCATCAACTAACATCCAAAAAACAGCCTCGATGACCTCAAGAAGCATACCGTGTATAACAACTACAGCGAAGCAGATGAGGTAGTAATTAACTTCTGGTCGGTTGTTCGTTCGTTCAATCAGCGTGAGAAGGAGCTGCTGCTTTCGTTTGTTACATCTTGTCCCCGGGCCCCTTTACTTGGATTTAGGGAGTGAGTGAATAATTAGCTAAAAAGAAGGACGCTAATAAAATCGCAGACTGAGGCCGTTCTTCGCTATTTCGAAAGCATCAGAGGATGATTCGTGGCTACCGACAGCTAGTACATGTGTCGTACGTAATGGATTTATTGATAGCACGGGTACTTACGCACGCAGAATTTGCTCAAATTGCCGGCATACTCGAATAAGGAGAAGCTGAGGGATAAGCTATTGGCGGCAATAACATCAGGCTCAAGATTTGAGATTACATAAGAGTTTATTTGTATCCATAAATTGACAGCACAGAGACAGCAAAGTGACAGAATTGAATATTTGCACCAAGCTAAATAAAAGACAGAGCGGTTTGAGCAAAAACATATAATGATCTCGACTCAGATACCGAAATGTGCCTTTGTACCTCAATCACGTCGACCTGAGCGCTGCGCCTAGTATTCGCTGACGTTGAATTTCTTCTCAACCATCAACACCGGCAAGTAGAGGGATTCTATTGCCTTGTAAAATTATTCTTATTCCTATTTCCTTGGATAATGTCAAGTGAAAATATCGCTGGTAATTCAATGCCGGTCGATAAGCCACCAACACAGCAAAGCAAGCAAGAAGACTCTCCGGGCCTAAACACAGGAACAAATGGAGCTGCCGGAACTCCCCAAGACAAACGGGTACAATGGTCTGAAGGTGACCCAATTCCCACGGACACAGAGGGCCCTGGCGACGACGACCCCAACGACGAGACCAAAAAGCAGCAGATTGAGGATTTGAAAATGTAAGTTGGTTGTTTCAATACAAGGACTGTCAGCATCCTGGGATTTCATTCATGCCTTTCACATTCCAGTGATCGGTGCTAGGCCAAAGCCACCGAAGGCAAGGACGGAAGAGTGAATGATGCGTTGAGGCAGTCCTTGCTGTTTCTTTTGAACTGTACTGATGGACTATCCCGAAATTTTCAGGAAGCTCCAGGGAGGCAATAAGAATGCTCAGGTCCCCGCCGGTCGAGAGACGGATCTTCTTCCCCCAGGACAGCAGACGAACACTGCGCGTTTCGACCAGTATTTGAACTTTGAAGGCGCAGATGGCGAGTTTACCATCCCGGAAGGGGAGACGGAGGGACTGCCCTCGCTCGCAGCGAGAAAGAGGATCACTAAGGACAAGTCTAAGGTTGGCAACTGGCTGGGCAAGATCATGAAGCCCAACGAGGGCATTGATCAGAAGGACGTCGAAGCCAATATCGAAGAGAACAGATCGGAGATGTCATCAGACGAAGACGAAATGCCGCCTCCAGCGACAACTGGTCCTACTAGTGTACTGGGTGGTTTGATGGCTTTAAAGGAGGCTGATAAGTCTGGCAGCTCAACTCCTACGACTAGCGAAAAAAGCATGCCATTATCAGACAGTGATAAGGACCTCAACGAGAAAGACGACGAGAAGGACGACTTGAAGCCGCCTCAGGGACCAGCTATTGTAGTTGACGAGGAGAAGCAAGCGCCCCAGATCACGCCAACGCCAAGTCACGCCGATTCAAATTCTGAGACTCCAACCCTCGTTCAAACTCCAGGTGGCTCTACTAAGCCATCGTCATCACTCAGTCATTCGTTCGCCAAGTACAACCCAGCAGCACTCGCCGCAAAGGGTATGCATAAAGGTGTACACAGTGCTATGTCAGTCGCTTCTACACCAGGTAAGATGGCTGAAAAGGTTTTCAATGAAGCCAGAAAGACACCTTCGCAGAAAGCAGAGCGCAGGAGAAGGCGCAAAGAGCAGAAGAAGAATGAGATTATGCTCAATCTGGCTGCTCTTATCGAACGTCAGGAGTTCCTCCTTAAGCTCACACGTGCATTGATGATGTTTGGTTCGCCATCACATCGTCTCGAATCGGTCATCCAAAACACAGGAAAGTTTTTAGAGGCGCCTGTTCAATGTATGTTTACTCCTGGTGTGATGACAATGTCATTTTCGGATCCAAGTACTCGCACTTCAGATACAAAGTTCATCAAACAGGCTTCTGGTCTTGATTTGGCTCGATTGCCAGATACACACGCTCTTTATTCGGATGTTCTTCATGGTAAGATAAGCGTTACTGAGGCATCAGCTAAGCTTGATGAAATTATGCTCTCACCACCAACATACAACGCTTTCACTACTGTTTGTATTGGTATGTTGTGTTCAGCTTCTATCACGCCAATGGCTTTTGATGGATCATTCATCGATGCACTCATGGCGGCTGTACTCGGTGCTGTTCTTGTTATTACGCAAATGCTGGTAGCTAAGAAGGACACGTTTAGTAGCATTTTTGAAATCCTTATCGCATCATTCAACTCTTTCATAGCTGCATGTTTGGCTTACAGTCGTTACTTCTGTTTCAAAGCTGTTGTTTCTGGTTCGATTGTGTTGATCTTGCCTGGATTCATTATTTTATGTGGATCTTTGGAGTTGACTTCACGTAACATTACATCGGGCTCAGTACGAATGTTTTACGCCATTATCTACGCTTTACTCCTTGGATTCGGACTCGGATTTGGTGCACAATTGTGGTACTTGTTTACTGGTCAAGTTATTGACTCTACAGACGACTGCTCTGCAATTCAATCCGTACCTGGTCAAAACTGGTACATGAGACATGCACCAGATGAGTACAATATTCTATTGGCTCCATTGTTCGTATTAGGATTGGCTTTGCGTAATCAGACTCGTATTATCAGCTGGGAATTAATACTCATGATATTGATCGGCTGTACAGGGTACACAGTCAACTACTTCTCTAGTGGGTTTACGTCAATTTAATGGTGTGACTCTAACAACATTTACAGCAAACAACAATCGTTTTGAAGGTAGGGCTGACATATCATCAGCTCTCGCTAGTTTCACTGTTGGTATAATTGGAAATGTTATTGGTAGGCTATCTCCACACTCTGCTTATGTGTTGATGGTTCCTGGTATTCTTTTCGTCCTTCCATCTGGATTCGGACAATTTGGTTTGCTTAGTTTCGCCAACGTTGGAGGTAGTGAAAGCAGCAGTGCGGCACAACAAACGAGCGCAACACAAGCAATTGCGCAGAACTTGATCAGTATCGCTAATGGATTGACTGTTGGACTTTTCCTTAGTTCGGCACTTATCAACCCAGCTAGTTCATCATCTAGACGTAATCAAGCAGCCAACTTTTCATTCTAGACGTGGTGAGGTGGTTGATGATAAAAATTTCACTATCAAGAATAAAGCAAATAAAAATAGAAAACTAAAAAAACAATCTTAGATGGAATACTATACGTTTTATAACTACTGATGACTTTCATTTCCCAAATAATTTGTTCTTTTGCTTATTATCCAAAGTAAATACACATGTTTTGTAAACTGTTTTTAATGTTTTTTGTCTAAAGAACAAGTATTCACTCGATGAAGATTCTCAGACCAACACCGCCAACAATGTCTCTAGTAAATGTGTTCGTTACATCCCCAGATACCCACTCAGAGCGGCGATTTGTTCGAACGATAACGATAAATGAGCTAAAGGGACGTCTAGAGTCGATAGTCGGGATACCTTCACAAAACCAGAAGATAGTGATGGATGGCGTATGGCTTACGAATCCAGCAGCGACATTAGTAGAGGCAGGAGTGAGGGAGTTATCTGAAGTGATTGTGGGTTTGCTTATGGTTTAGTTTGTCATTTTCATTAGAATCCTAGGTCAGTGACTTGACAGATGTTAATAATGAGCGTGCAGGGGAATTTACAGATGTTTCACGAGTAGAAAAGTATGATATGACAGATGAGGAGTATTTAAATCGTGGAGATACAGTTTTAGCGTACAAGAAGGCGAATGAGATTGGTAGATTTAGCAAGGCAGCCGCAGAAGCGGAGAAGGAGCAAGTACCGAGTGACATAAAAGTCGGAGATCGGTGTAGAATACTCCCAGCGACTTTAGATGAAATTATTAAACTTGGTCACGTTAGGTTCATTGGTAAGGTGGGCTTCCAGTATGGGATTTGGATTGGAGTTGAGCTTGATGAGCCAGTGGGGAAGAATGATGGGAGGTAAGTCGATTGAGAGGTGTATTGGATATCTTCTGACATCCATTCAGCGTTCAATGCGTTCGATACTTTGAAACTAAACCGAAGCATGGCAGCTTTGTGAAGAGTGATAGAATAGAAATCGGGGAATTTGAAGAAGAAGAGTTGCTTAGTGACTTGGAAGAGATGTAGAAAGTTTAAATGATGAATCAATCCTGATTATTCTGGAGTTTGTCGAGTTGTTCTCTCCTCGAAAGTTGTCTCTCGTAGTCTGCGACTCTATCTTTCTGTTCTTTCTTGAGCTGAACACGCTGATGATCTTTGATTACGCCTTGGAACATATTCTAAGCGTTGGTTAGAGTGTTTATTGGAATCGTACATAACACCACCTACATCCCTTTCAACTTCCTGTGAGTAATGTACAGCGAATACAGTGACTGCGCTGAAAACTACGCTTCCAATGAAAACGCCTTTAGCTCTCGTTGACATAATTTCAAATTTGGGCTTCAATTGGACCAACGAGGGCTATTACTCTTCAAGTTGAACTACGATGTGAGTTTGGCGTGTTAAAAATGAAAATAAATAAAACTCACGCCAATCAAAGGGCATCACGTTTCATTGCTCAAAGATCTGGTGAATATCGTTGTAATTGAATTTGGACTGTGCTCACTCCACCAATCAGCCTCAATCGCTCGCTTGGGTCAGCAGCCAATCAGAGCGGCAGTTGGTGCACGCCAATACTCTCAAAAGCCATCAGCTCCTGCACCTGCTGAAAAGGCCTCTTCAATCATCGACAGCCTCCCAGGTAACTCACTCGTCTCAAAGACTGGCTCAGTTGTTCTCGGTTCAGGTCTTACAGCTGCAGCTATCTCATCGGAGTTATACGTCGTTAACGAGGAATCCTTGTTAGCCATTGGTTCCCTCATCTTGTTCGCGTACATTGCAAAGATTGCACGTGAACCTTACAACAGCTGGGCTAGCACTCAAATTGAAAAGATGAAATCAGTTCTCAACACTTCCCGTAAAGCTCACACTGACGCTGTTCAATCACGTATCGATAACGTTGGTGAATTGAAGGATGTCGTTAACCTTACAAAGTCTTTATTCGCTTTGTCAAAGGATACGGCTAACACCGAGTCAAAGGTGTTTGAACTCACCCAACAGAACGCTGTAAACACGGAAGTCAAGTCAGTCCTTGACTCGTGGGTTCGCTTCGAATCTCAACAGAGAGAAAAGGAACAAGCTTTACTTAGCGAGACCGTTATCAACAACGTCAACAAGCAAATCTCTGACGAGAAGTTCCAAAAGGATACCGTCGCTCAGGCTGTTGCTGACATTGAGCAACTCGTTAAGGAGAAGAAAATTTAATCTGGCTTTTTAGTTTCTAACAAATATATGAAAATGATCAACTTCTTTGACAGATTGCAAGTGTGGCGGGTTGAGGAAGTAAGCTGTTTCTCTGCAGTTGGGAAAGGTTGATTGGATCCATGAGTGTATCTCTTGAGCGCCGTCTTGAGCGGGGTATTGGTTGTTATTACCCCCCGTGAACCCATAAAAGCCATTGCATAAGGCTTGAGTGTGGTTTGATTCATCTTTGAAGAGATCCTTGTGGATCAAAGGCAATCTCGACCCTATTTGGAGTGTTAGCAAGGGTTGAAAGGGTGCAAATGATGCAATCCAACATACAACAAACCCAATGCTCAACATATTCAATATCATTGTGAGGAATTGCGTATCCCCAATCATTCCTGAGTAATTTGTGATTATGTGTTGTGTTTCTAGTAAAGTATGCTTCTTGTTGTGGTAGCTGTCCAACCCAACCTAGACGTTGAGTGAGTATGAAGGATGCTGTTTTCAAAATTTAGAGTTGTCTCAGAGATAAAAAGCCGAGGAACCCACGTATTGATCCGTACAAAGTGATTATCTTAGTCCTCCAATCATCATAGGCGTGTTGATGAAGGGGATGTCTACGCAAGAGTGATAAATTTCTATACAATTTAGCGTGCGTAAGTGTAAATGAGGCATACTCACCCAGTACCTGTAAGATGCTTATCAGTAAGAAGCTATCAAGAAGATCGCCACCAACTAATAATTCTCTTTATATCTTCCCAATTGAAAAGCTCGGGATAATTCTTGTAATCAGATTTTGACAAGTCTAGTTCCATTCTTAGTTTAGTTTGGAATGCTAACCTCTTGAGCGTGTCCCACCAACAATTATCTTGATATCCACACATAATGCCTAAATCTGGTTTCATGGGTGAGTTAATCCTGTTTAGTGTACAGCTCTCTCACACATATGCTAGGCCTTGATGCTTTCGGCAAAACACTCGAAGAGGGTAGAATCAGACATAGCTTTGGTGGCTACTTGACTATAATCTGTGCCATTCTCATTTCTCTCCTCACTTTCCACGAGTTCCGCGATTACACGTCGATCGACTTGAAACCGCGAATCCAAGTTGATCAATCGAGGTCTGAGCAGCTTCAAATTAACTTCAATATCACTTTCCCAAGAGTTCCCTGCTACCTCCTCTCTATGGACGTTATGGATGTTAGCGGTGAGCAAGTACGTGACCTCAGACATGCGATCGTGCGTACAAGACTTTCTCAATCTGGTGAGCCCTTGGATGGTATGAAGACGGCTGGGATGAGTGGTTACCTCAATGAGAAAGCAAAACCACGCGAGTGTGGTAGCTGTTATGGTGGTGTACCACCCAACGAGGAGGGCTGCTGTTATACTTGCGACCAAGTTCGCGACGCTTATGTTAACCAAGGGTGGTCTTTCGTGAATCCAGACGGTGTTAAACAGTGCGTAGATGAACATTGGGCAGAGCGCGTTAAAGAGCAGAGCAATGAGGGTTGTAATGTTGCTGGTCTGGTTGATGTTAACAAGGTGGTCGGCAACTTCCACATCAGTCCAGGTCGTTCATTCCAATCAAACGCTCATCATATCCATGACCTTGTCCCATACCTCAAAAACACAAACACGCATCACGACTTTGGTCACCAACTTCACCATTTCAGCTTCAAGTCGACAAACGAGCCTGCGAACAGCGAGGAGCTCAAGTCGCTACTTAATATCAACGACCCTCTCAGCAATACCAAAGCACACACCGAAGTGTCCAACTATATGTTCCAGTATTTCGTCAAAGTAGTCTCAACTGACTTTGATTTCTTGAATGGGGATAAGTTCAATTCACATCAGTACTCTGCAACAGCACATGAGCGCAATTTGGATGAGAAGGGGATCTACGCAAAGGATACCCATGGTCAGACTGTGATGCACGGTATCGAGGGATTCCCGGGTGTTTTCTTCAATTACGATATCAGCCCGCTTCGGGTGATATACACGGAGACTCATCGCTCTTTGGCTAGCTTCCTCACGTCGACATGCGCCATTGTCGGTGGGGTGCTCACCGTTGCGTCACTCATTGACGCAGGCGTCTTTGGCGCTAAACAGAGAATGGGTGGAAAGGCGACAAGTCATAGCTCAGCCGATGGCAAATTGCTTTGATAAACATACAAAAAGAGTTGCATTGAGTGATATCATTTGGGTTGTGACTGGTGTCACATATGTGATTTGTGTGATATGAGATGACAAGCGAATTGACAGAAAGAATGACAGTGACAGTATAGCTGCGGAATAGCATAAAAATTCTATTCCACGCGCTCATGCTACCCTTAAATTACCACTTCTTACATATAATTAAGTATTCAAGTTGAGAAAAGGGCTGTGCGTCGTGTGCCCTGTGTTCCCAAAGTGCCCTGATGAGGCATATAGTAAATATTTTGCTGTGATTTACTTTAAGGCCATGCGATCTGGTTTAGTTTATTGCTTTATTTGATCAGCGGCCCCGAATCATGGCCATGGTTATCAGCCCAGTTTGGCTATAAATGGTCGGGCTGATGGATTTGGCAAGTGATCCGCGCGTAAACAAGGCAAAACAGAATATATCTGCAGATGAAAAAGGAAGTCGGCAGGGGCTAAGCCCAATTCTACCCTCTCGCTGCAAGGAAAGGGGTGAAAATATTCAGCCGATAGATTAATGTACCTAAGTAAGATGTCACTTGGATAAACCGATAAAATCAGATCTACGCCTATAACTATCATCAGTAAAAGTATTTTTTAATTACTCTGCTCAAATAGGAAAGTAATTAATCGTGGTGATTCAAAAACGATTTCATTTTTCAACACGCGTTTGACTCAGTTTATAAAGTACAAGCAAAGTACACGTAATACCAGACAATGACTATTGAATCGAATGCACAGAATACACGACCAGAGGATGCACCACCGCCTACCAACAACGGGGACACAGAGCACCCAGAATACACTCAGCCATTAGAGCAAACAGATCGCTCCAGCAACTCACTCTCCCTCTCGAACTCGGACGAATTAGAAAATCTCGCTACACCTCCACCTAGGACTCGGAGAATCGCCTCTGCGAGTCAATCATACGGTCTGCGTAACGATGCACAAGAAACACCAACGCGCGCAACCAGCGATGAAGATGCTGAACAAGCGCTCAACAATAGCACTGTGGACGCTGATACTGTGGCAGTTGCGCGTGGGGAACTCGGCGGTAATCTCGGACCGTATGCGGTGCGTGCAGAATAACAAAAACATCCGATCTCACACACAGCACAGCAAGCAGCAGAAATAGCACCGAGCAGGAGTAATCTCAGTTCTATATTCACTGCGCCCATTATGCAGAATGATGATTCTCGCTATGGACGCTACAGCACCATCTCAACCGATACAGAGTACAAAGACAATCCATATCGCAACTCAATTCCCGTAGAGATACTCCAGCAGAAACAGGATGTCAACCAGAAACAGGATATTAACACCAACGACAACATTACACCACTCAAGAGCAAAATCCCATTCAAGAATGTGCTTTTCTGGGATAATCTTAAAGATGACACTGATATGGAAGACGATAATCTGCACACATTCGATCCGTCATACAACCAGAAAGACGGCAGCGGCTTCTACCCGTTCAGCGGGAGGGGGTGGCTCAACGCGGGTCTGATCACGATACTTATCGCGGCGTTGCTGATGCTTTTTGCCGGATGTGAGTGGGGTGCCGTGGAGCTATGATGTCTTTCTAATTCTTCCCATGCAGACCCAATTCTATCGCGCTTCCGCGACACTGAGCCTGTCAACGACGGCGGGTACAATCTTGGCGGTATCAACGCGACGGGCCAGGTACCCGTCCTACCAGGCGTGCGCGGGCTAGTTGACGAAGACACCCCCGACTCTGTCAAGCACCGCGTCGGAACAGTGAGTCCATGGCTTTTTCACCGCACAACCACTCACCTACCCAACTAGGACGGAAAGGACTACAAGCTTGTTTTCTCCGATGAGTTCGAGCAGGAAGGCCGCTCGTTTTTCCCTGGCGAAGACCCTTATTTCGAAGCTGTCAATTTGTGGTACTGGCCCACGGGCGACATGGAATGGTACACGCCAGAGCAGGTGCGCACGCGCGACGGCAGTCTGCAGCTGACGATGGACGAGCACACGGTCGGCAATCTGAGCTACATAAGCGGCATGGTGCAATCATGGAACAAGCTGTGTTTCACAGGCGGCTATATAGAATTCTCCATTCAGCTGCCTGGCCGTGGTGACGTGTCTGGTTTCTGGCCGGGAGCATGGACGATGGGAAATCTCGGGCGACCAGGCTACGGTGCGACGACGGAAGGCACGTGGCCTTACAGCTACGATAGCTGCGATGTCGGCGTCATGCCGAACCAGACAAACGAGGCAGGCACCGCCCCCCAAGGTGCCCTCACTAGCAACGGCGGCGGCCAGCTCTCCGTGCTTCCAGGGCAGAAAATCAGTAAGTGCACCTGTCCTGGCGAGGACCATCCAGGACCGCGCCATGACGTGGGTCGCGGTTCACCCGAAATCGACGCTCTTGAGGCTCAGACTGATTTCGAGCGTGAGGGTGGTGCTGTGTCACAGTCGAGTCAATTCGCACCGTTCGATTTCGCCTACGACTGGCGCAATGGTTCGGGTTACACGGATATCTACGATCGGTCTGTAACGGAAATGAATAGCTATAAAGGAGGTGTCTACCAAGAGGCTGTCTCAGGTGTCACCTTTCTCGGTAACGACGCATACGAACTCACCGAGCAGGAATTTATGACTTTCGGCTTCGAGTACTCAGCTGATCCCAAAACACGCGATAGCAACTACGTGACGTGGTTCGTGGATGATGAAAAATCATGGACTATGCATGCAGCGTCTGTCGGGCCAGATGAGCGTGTTGACATCGGTCAGCGTCTTGTCAGCGAGGAGCCCATGTCAATCATAATGAACTTTGGTATGGCTGAAGGATTCGCAAACCCTGAAATTGATAAGCTGCAATTTCCAGCGACAATGTCAATTGATTATGTCAGGATATATCAACCTGAGGACAATATTAACATTGGGTGCAATCCGCCGGATTACCCAACAACAGACTATATCAATGATCATTTAGAAGCCTACCAGAACAATAATATTACACAGTGGGAAGATCTTGGGTATAGCTGGCCCAAGTCATCACTGAATGGGGACTGCTAGGATGTTAGAATTCAAAACGTCTGAGCACTACATCGGATCAGCCTTCTTTTCTTTTCTTGGTGGTTACAACATCCAATAATGAACAATAGCAACACCCTAAACAACAACTACACGCTCATTCTACACTACTGTATATTATATAATTCATGTACTGAAATACATAGCTTGCAAAACTCAACTAATACAATTATGATATAAAGAGACAATTTGCTCGTCTGGTAATTTGACAATTTCGACCTTCTCCTTTTTTGCAAGGAGTTTGAGGTTGTAAACCAATTTGCTCTCGTTGTCGGGTAGGAAGAGAGGATGTCTGCTGTCAGGGAATAGAGTGATCCAATCATCGTTGTTGAAGTTGAATTGCTTGAGGTATATTGATACGAGCGAGTTTGGCTTGAGTTTGAAGCCGAACATGGGCTCTTTGCCTTTAGATTCGCGTATTTTGATGGAATCGATGCTGTCAAAGTCTATGATGCGCGCAACGTGCAGTGTCGACGACGTTGGTTCTACGAGGAGAACAAGAGCGTCTTGTTTGTATAGAAGGTGCATATTGCGATTTGTAGCACCTTCTAAGGAAGACTTTCCAAAGAATGACTTGTATAAGGGGATAATATGCTCTGAGAGATAAATCTTGTCTAGATTGGTCTTTACGGAGAACTCCTGCCAGTGTTTAGAGATGATAGGGTTCTTTATAAGTGTGAGGTGGCTGTTTTGCGTTGTTTTCTGGGTTATTGAAGCACTTGTCGGTGTTGTAGTTACAGGGTAAGATTTGGGTGCTGTTGATGGACCTTCACGTGCCATTTCATCGGCCATTTCAGCCGCGATTTCAGGATCCCTCCACTTCCTCTTTCTACCAGGATTCCTAGAATTCCAAGGATTCCAACTAACATCCGAATTCATTCCATTAACGGTAACAGACGTGTTCACTTGGTCATTAGAAACCAAATTAATTCGCGGCTTAAACTTATTTATGATCTCATCATCCGTGTTCTCGTCACTTAGATTAAAATTTAAAGGCAATTGAATTAATTTATTCTTCGTCTTGTTATCACTAGTCGTATACTGAACTTCAACTTGAATTTCTATTGATCGTGCCATTCTTCACTCTCAAGGTACTTGAAAGACAAAAGAAATCATCATAAATAAAATACAATTGTGAATATTTTCACGTGGTCATTCTAAAATCTAGAAGTCTGCGTCGAGCGTAAACTCCTTACCTTTACCTGCTGTTTCGTCCGCTTTAACACCTGCCTTTGCATAATCTGACACTCTCTTCTCAAAGAAGTTGGTCTTGCCTTGAAGTGAGATCATTTCCATAAAGTCGAATGGGTTTGTTGAGTTGTAGTACTTGTCATTACCCAATGACACCAACAGCCTATCAGCGCAGAACTCGATATACTGACACATTAACTTTGCGTTCATACCTATCAGCGCTACAGGGAGGGCATCTGATAAGAACTCCTGCTCAATTCCAACTGCTTCAACGATGATCTTCTCGACGACCTTTGGATGTGGTCGACGGTTGAGATGTCCAAAGAGCAAGCAAGCGAATTCCTGAGAGTGTTTGTTAGATGTGAGTGTTTAAAGTTGATAAAACTCACAGTATGCAAGCCTTCATCACGTGATATTAACTCATTCGAGAATGTCAATCCTGGCATCAAACCTCTCTTTTTTAACCAGAAAATGGATGCAAAGGAGCCACTAAAGAAAATTCCTTCAACAGCAGCAAATGCAATTAACCTTTCACCAAATGTAGCTTTATCGTCATTAATCCACTTGACAGCCCAATCAGCTTTCCTTTTAATGCAAGGGATTGTTTCAATTGCGTTGAACAAGAAATCACGTTGTTCAGGTTCAGGTATGTAAGTATCGATCAGGAGTGAGTAGGTTTCACTGTGAATGTTTTCCATCATGATTTGGAAACCATAGAAACATCTTGCTTCAGCGAGTTGAACTTCACCGGAAAATCTTTCAAGTAAATTTTCATTTACGATGCCATCAGAGGCAGCGAAGAAAGCAAGAACATGACTAATGAAGTGCTTTTCGTCTTTGTTGATCTTGTTTGTCCAGTCAGTGATGTCTTTGGATAAGTCCATTTCCTCTGCAGTCCAGAAGGAAGCCTCAGCCTTCTTATAGAATTGCCAGATTTCAGTGTATTGGATTGGGAAAAGAACGAATCTTCTTGGGTTTTCCTTGAGAAGAGGTTCGTCTTCTTCTTTGCAGTTGACGTCGCCGACAAAGTATTTGCCACGGAGTTCTTCAGCCGAGAGGTTGTCTAGGTTGAGGTTGTTAGCGTCGATTGGTGTGTCTGTGGCGGTGTTTGTGGGTGTTTCAGCGTGATTCTTGTTGGATTGTTCACCAAAAGAGGGTTTTTTAGGATTAGACACGTTCAGCTTTGAATCCATTTGGTTTGATAGTGTGTGGATTGGCTGGTTTTGATCTACGCTTGACATTTCCTTATTATTTTGGTGATGGAAGTACACGTCTAACATGTAACAAGTCGCGCGACGCGTGCTTATGTCAAATTAGATTCGATTATGTCACACTTCTTTGTAATCTATTGTAATTTAATTGCCTGACTTGGTAACCTACACATACTAAATCCAGCTATCTCTTCTGTTATCGGATTTGAATTTTCAGACTCCGATAAGATTTTATAGGGGCTTATTTAAATTTAAATTTGTAGTAGTCTACACTTGAAATTTTGTACTCTGTTTCCATGTAATTGCTTCTATCTGCTCGTTAAGCGTAGCCACCAATGAGTGACCTTGAAATATCCAAAGAGGGCCATGATACACCTGAGAACACTAAAAATAAGACTGGAATGATCTATATCTCTAGAATTCCTCCTGGAATGACTCCTTCCAAAGTTAGGGCTATTATGGCTCAGCATGGTGAATTGGGTAGAATTTACCTGGCACCTGCAGGTGGGTTCGGATTAAAAGCCCTATCCACAGCTCACACGTATGTCAGCCAATTCACACCCAAAGAACCCGCGCTTTAAAGAAGGCTGGGTTGAGTTTAAGAAGCGTAGAGTAGCCAGAAAGGTTGCACAGCTACTCAACGCCCAGCCAATTGGTGGCAAGAAAGGTGATCGTTATAGGGATGATATCTGGACGATGAAATTTTTAGGTGGTTTCAAATGGGAGATGTTGAGTGAGCATATTGGTGGGTTTTTGTTTGTGCGGTGTGCTATATACTGATACGCCCATCAGCCATCGAACAGGCCTCTCATTCGGCTAAACTGCGCAATGAATTGTCTCAATCGAAGCGCGAGCAGGAGGATTATCTGAAGCGCGTCGACCGCGCAAAGAAGCAGTCAGCCATCGATGAACGTCGCTCTGCTAAAAATCTTCCTCCGAAGACTTCCGACAAGCACTACGAATTCAAACAGCGCCAAGTTGTGTCGCGTCACCCCTCCGAGCAAGCATCACAAGAATCAAATGCTAATGTTAATGCAAAGCGGAAGCGCGCGGGATATGATCCCGCAGTGGAACAGCATAAGGCTAAAAAGTTAGAAACCGTACTAGGCAATTTATTTTAATTTATGATGCAATTTTTCACTAGCCTCGGCGAACATGGCGACTCTTCCTAGACATGCTAAATTGACATTCCGAATCGAGCAACGGTTAATATAAACTGTTGGTAAAGGATGAGGAAAGTTACTTACATACGATTACCATCACTGGCTGACGACATCCGATGGATAACAGCAAACTAGCCTCCACCAGTTCCGAGGAGCCATTAACTATAGTGCCACCAGTTGCGCGGCGCTCGTTGATGGCCTCACCACAAGCCTCCATGTCAGCATCCGTGAGCGAGAAGTACATGTCATTCCCCGACGAGCCTTACCTCTTTGAGCGGGTGGCAGAGGAGGATGACGATGACAACGCGGATGATGACCTCCACCGCCCCGACGAGTACGTTAAAGCAACTGACAGAGTGGCTTCCGGCAGGCTATGTACTCGACGTGGAATACTCAATGTCGGTATGCTCGTTCTGCTCACAGCTGCGCTCTTGATGCTTTTCGCCGGATACCCTATATTGGATTATGCGCGAGAAGTGCAACGCACAACGAACGGCGGGTACAATCTAGGCTTCATCAACTCTACAGGCCAGACGGCGGTTATTGGAGGGATGCACACGCGCGGGCTGGTGGATCCCGATACGCCCGCTTCTGCGCGTCATCGCGTAGGTTACGACGGACAGGAGTAGTAAGTGGGCACATTGTTGCGTCTACACACACACTCACACACTCCACCCCACAGCGAGCTGGTGTTCTCGGACGAATTCAACGAGGACGGCCGTACATTTTACCCGGGTGAAGACCCCTACTGGGAAGCAGCCGACCTGCACTACTGGGGAACGAACAACCTGGAGTGGTATTCGCCGCGCCAAGTGAGCACATCTGGCGGGGCGCTGCACCTAACGCTGGACGAGGTGGAGAGTCATGACCTCAATTACGAGGGAGGACTACTGACAAGCTGGAACAAGATGTGTTTCACGGGCGGGTATGTATCTGCATCAGTGAAGCTGCCGGGCGCTTCGGATGTGTGGGGGCTGTGGCCAGCGTTCTGGACAATGGGCAACCTCGGTCGAGCGGGTTATGGAGCGAGTCTCGATGGGCTCTGGCCGTATAGCTACGACAGCTGCGACGTTGGCACACTGCAGAACCAGACACTCGGCACATACCCGCCCGCTGCAGCCACACAAGGTGACGAGTACCACGACTACAAGCTCTCCTTCCTCCCCGGACAGCGTCTATCGCGGTGCACATGCACAGGTGAGGACCACCCCGGACCTTTGCTTGCAGATGGCACGTTCAAAGGTCGTGCTGCACCCGAGATCGATATCCTTGAGGCACAAGTTAGCGAGGCGACTGAAACCGGCCAGCTCTCTATGTCGGGCCAATTCGCACCATTTAATAGCAACTATCGCTACAACAACACAGGCGACAACGTGCACCTCACTCATCCCGACAGAGACATACCCAACTCGTACTTTGGCGCAGTCTTCCAGCAGTCGGTCAGTGGCGTTGTGGAGTCGGACCAGGAATGCTACCAGTTAGGCGCAGATGGGGGATGTTTCGACGAGTACGGGTTTGAATACACGCCTGGACCGGCTGGCGACATCAAGTGGTCTGTCGGCGGCGAGGTGCGGTGGACGATGGAAGCGGCGGCCGTGGGTCCAGACGCCACGACGGATATCAGCCAGCGCACTATCTCGGAAGAACCCATGTACATGCTGCTGAACCAGGGCATATCGGAGAATTTCGGCAACATTGACTGGGAAGAACTAATCTTCCCGTCGGTTATGTCAGTCGATTGGGTGAGAGTGTACCAGCCAGCTGGGAAGCGTAATGTGGGGTGCGATCCGGTGGAGATGCCCACCGCCAGTTATATCGCACGCCATCTGGACGCCTACAGCAACCCGAACCTCACAACCTGGGAGCAGTACGGGGGTGAATGGCCTCTCAACGCCCTCGAGCACCAGGATGAGCAGAGGTGCGAGACCGCTCTAAATCTCGCACCCGATAACCTCATCGGGCTTGTTTAATCGCTTTGTTTTGTTTTGTTTCTCTTTCGCAGCACCAGTAGCTTTACCTGTATACGTCTTAATATAATATGGATATCACATTGTTTCTTTTTACACAGTAGCGAATGCATGTCGTTATGTACAAAGAACGTAAAATGAGAGAGAGGAAGCGTAGAAGAGGCGCGAGAAGGGGCCAGCCAGCGACCCAAGCATTCAGCGCAACCGACGCAACATTACCAGCCGAAAGTCTCACAATGTTGAGACAGACCACCGATTTCCTTGAGATACCTCGGATCGATACCGCCGATGGCAGCTCTGCACGATCTGACCGTGGAGGGAGGACCACAAATACCGACGACCATGCCATACGTGCAGTGTCTATCTTTAGCCATAAAGACAGCATCTTCGATTATAGCGGCGATAGAGGGTCTCTTGGCGAGAATCTCTCCGTCTCTATGGGGGAGGAGGTAAGTGAGGTCATCGCTCGATACGCCGGCGGCGTTACCGTGGCGAGTGATGAAGACCTTAACGGTGAGGTCGAGCGGAACGAGGGAGGCAGCGACGAGGAGCGTCATAAGTTCCTCGTGGAAGACTTGATACGTAGCGACATCCCTGACTATCCAAATGACCTGGCAAGTAGTAGCACGTGCGTGACCGCCTCTGCTCTGCTTAACGAGGTCTTCCGCACACGCAAGCACGAACGCGAGACCTGATCCCGCCGCCACAAAGAGCACATGGCCGTTCTTCCCGAAAGACGTATAGAGCGGACCACCGTAAGGGCCCTCGACGGTAACTGCAGCGGTGGGGACGCTGTCGTGACCTGCTTTCTCAGGCCCTACCTCGTGCGTCCCGTATGTGATTTCGTTCTGCTTGCGCTGCGCTAGTGCCAGCACGCGGCTGCTCCAGTCGCCATTGCTGCGTATGATCAAACGCAGCCCGTCACTGCCACCTATCGCACTTGCTATGGAGATCGGGTGCTTCTCTATCAAATTACCCAATCCAAACAACTTGCCGCCTAGCTCCTGAACGCGCAGGTAGACGTGCTGACCTGCTTCCCAGCCACCGCGCAAGTCGGGGATTGTTATCGTTGTGTAGCCGGCTGCCGGGTGGGGAGTAATCTCCGCGAGACGAGAACGGGATCTGCAGAAACGCATAATGCAGTCAACGCCGTAGAAGACGATGCAAGGGATAATGAATGGCTGCGTCTGCTTCCAGTGGATCATGATGGCGATGAGGTAGATCCAGTAGCCGAGCCAGTGGGAGTGCCAGAAGAGGTTGTAGAAGTTGGTGCGACACCAGGGGACAGACAGAACGGCGGTGAGTAGAAGACCGACCATGGCGAGAATGCCAGATTGGTAGAGGGGCGTTTTGAGAGTGGCTGCGGTAGAACCATTTAGAGTGCTCTTGTGGGCGTAGCCGGCCGTGTGGAGGAGAGCAAACAAGACGCAAAGCCTACCTAATAGCCTGTGGAGCTTGTTGAGCTTCTCGTATCCCCAGCCGCCCATAGTGCCGACAATGGAATTCTTGAAAGAGAGGGCGGTGACAGCGGGTGTTACAGCGACAGCAGCCCAGCCAGCTCTGTTGGGTTCTTTGATGGGGTTCGTTGGGCCATACGCAAAGACAAAGAGAGACGCAGCCGTGGCGAGCGCAAAGACAAAGGCCTGGCCAGCAGTGAGGGATATGCCTGGAAGGGGAGTGTTGGCTGTGGGTGCCAGCCACACAGTGAAACGCTTGAATACGTTGGGTTTTGCGCTCTGGCCTTTGTTGAATGGGGATTTGGTGATGACAGAGAAAGGGTACGCGCCCGGGCCATCAATCTCACCCTTGTGGAGGAAGGTGGCACGCTGGATACCGCGGGCCATCACCCAGTTCACCATCGACGGCAGTCTGGCTATGAACGCCACGCCTAACATTCCACCGAAGAATGCCTGCAAATAAATTGCTTGTTCATGCGATTGACTGATTGGGTGACTCATGTCTTTTATTTGTCTTGGTTGTTTGTGTTTGACTTTCTTTGCGACCGGCGCCTTCTTTGGTATGTAAAAGCCTTCAACGTATCGCCTCGACAAGCCCGCGGACAAAGTCTGGAACGTACGTGTGATGATGTCATTATGCAAATAAAATATGAAAGTTTTACTAAAATTTTTATCTAACTTAATCTGAATCGCTTGAGTCGTTGTCTTGGTTTTCATTATCACTCTCTTCACTCTCACTCTCACTACCACTCTCTTCCTTTTTCACCGACTGCCCACGAAGCTGTGCCATCTGTCCCGCCAATGTGTCTTCCTCAGGCTCGCTAATATCATCCTCCTCCTTCTCCTTAGCCGCACCCTTCTCTACCACCAGCCTCATTGTCCTCGCTGCCTGGAATCCCCACCCTGGCTGCACTTCGGAGCAAACGACTGCCCTGAATGTGTAAACTCCCGGCTGAGGTGGCGCTTGGAATTGCAGGTTGAGACTCTTTGCCACATTCTTAAATTTGGGAGTCTGAACCACGGGTATATTCGTGAAGCGACCCGGCTGCACGATGATCCTCCCCGTCTTGGCATCTGTCAGCATAGCGAGGTAGGTGATAGGGCGTTCATGCGGGAAGCGTGGTGTGTACGCGGCGTGTAATCTACTATCCTTTACCTCCTCCAACACGTCGCTCTCGGGCTTGCTACCGTCGTCGCCGAGTGGGAAACGCGCAGGCACGAGACGCACCTTGGTCTTGAACTGCACTATCGCACCTGGTGTTACTGTCTCTTCGTCGACGACTGTGAGGTATGTGTTAGCTTGCTTTGGTTTCTTCACGTTACACTAATATCTGAAAGTGCATCTTTGACTCCAAACTCACCTTCAAAACTGGCATCAGCGATGTCTACGTGGAGTAGCCTACCGAGAACCTCATTGACACCGTGATAGTCCTCTTGGCGCACACCATCCTTCTCGCCCACTCGGAGCAACTGTCTACGTTCGTTTTCCGACGCTCTGGCGACGGTGAAGGGGGCTTTCTCTGCAAGTTCCTCAGCCAATGATTCCGGTATATTGTAGATACCCTTATACACGCTATCGCCGGGTTTAGTTGCTGTGAGGAGGTGGCCTGAGAGCTGGGCCATTTTGAGTGTGGTTGGAAGCCAATTATGAGCGAGTGAGATAGCCAGTAACGTCCTGTGCACATGCAAAGCCACCGGGAGAATAGCGCGTTGCTGAGACTGCAGTTTTCTTGGCAATTCGATACGCAGCACATGCGCAAACAGCAGGACAGCCGCGCGAACTGATTGTGGGCGTGCATATATACCTGTCGCTGGGAAGACATAGTCAAGCTGCTCTTTCGCAGTCCCCTTGACCATCTTGGCGGTATGCTTGTCGATGGGGGTGGAGGGCAGCACACCAACCATCTCGTCTGCCGTAGCGAGAAGATGGAGGAGGTCGGAAAAGTCAGCGTTTTCATCAACCTTGCGGAAGAATATGGCTGCGGTGGAGTTCTGCACGCGGTCTTTGGTCAGCGAGCGGCTGGCGAACCACCACTTGCCGACGAAATAGGGCAGACCGAGACCGAAGAGAATGCCATAGACACCGAGCACCCAGAGCGAGTTCTGTGAGTCGACGACCCACGTCGGGATAGCCACGCCCATAGCCACCTCCTGCTTGCCGTCGGGATGGCCAAACTGCTCGAGATTCTGCTTGACGACATCGTCAGTGAGCGCCTTGTAAGCCTTTGTGAGGCTGACAAAGTAGTTGTCAGCGTCCTCCGACGTCTGGTTGACAGCGAGTTTGACTTTGTCTGGGTGGAATTGCAGTGACAGCCTCTTGTAGTGCTTCCTGATCTGTTTCTGGGTGGACCCAGAGGCTAGACCAAGTATTTCAAATGGGTCATACACACTAAACTCCAACTTGATGTCCCTGGTCTTGATGGTTATGTAGGCGAACGCAGCCCAGCCCACAGCAAGCACAGCAAGACGCGTCCACGTAGCTTTTGGCTGTTTGGAAGACTTGGGCTTTGGGTGCTGCGCTGGATACGGGAAGGCTGGGAGGTGTAGGCCACCGGGAGAAGTGCTCTCGCGGAAAAAGCCATAGAGCGTGGATACAGACAGCGGGAACAGAATCAGGAATAGAAACGTGAGCGTGAAGTAGCCTGCGAATTGGCCACTCTCGTCGTATTGCGTGCCGGTCATCTGCCGTCTGCCTCGTCTTGGTGGTTGAGTGGAAAGTGATGAGCTGTGATTTGAAGGTGTCAATAAATTCTAATTTTTGGAGATGTGCAGTGAGTGGTGTGTGCTGAGTATGAATATAATATTCATCTCTTGATAAGACGGTTCGTTGGATTACATGATTAAATTGGTTAAATACCACCCAAATACGGTGTGGAGTGTGCTGTGTGTGTGTGGTGATATAGCCTGTATAAATAAACACAAACAAATACAAATATAATTAAAAATATTCAAACAGTCATCCCCACTCACACTAAATATCAGCACACTTGGACCCAAACCACAACGACGACGACGAATTAAAATGATTATATTAAAGGGCGACCAAGCAGATTTTACAGAGAGAGATAGCAGAGGTGATTTGGTGCACGATGAGCCTTACCTACCGAGGTATTCAATTCATGGGATTAGTGGGGCGATAGCGGAGTCCGGGGAGGCAGCGCAGACAGCCCAAACAGCGCAACCACATCAATCAGGGCACACCAATCAAATGGTTCAAACGGGCGATCTCAGGCGTGAGTTTTGATTGGTCCAAGTGATTACACCCACTCACTCCCACTTTCGCAGCGCTCCTCCCTATACACGCTCCTTATCACAATACACGGGACAGAACTACTGCCGCGCCTTACAATCCAGTCGTTGCTGGTGTTGGTTCTGGTTCAGGCACAGGCAACGGCACAGCCACTGCCACCCCCTCATCCACCCACCTAGCTCCCTCTGACAGTCTTATCAACCCATTCGCTCACCCCGACGACGACGACTACGACTCACGCGACTCACGCTCCTTGCTGATTGCTGCTGCTCAGCTACAAAGACCTTCTGCTAAGCGAAGAACGAGGAAGAGGTTCTTCATCGCTCTGGCCTGGGCTTTGTCGGTGTATGTTGCTATCGGCGCTATTCTCGGTCCAATCCTGGAGCACTACCTCAATGACAGCACTCCAACTGTTTCCAACGAATCTGACGCTAGCTACAGTCTCCCATACGGTCTCAGTGCAAATAGGTCATCTGTTTCTTCCAAATTGGCTTTGCAGGGCTTTTCTGAGCTCGTTCTGCTGCCTGCGTCGGGTAAAATTGACATTCAACTGCCACCATCTGTCAACGGCAAGGTTAAGGTCGAACGCTCACCTAAGAATGAAACTGATAAAGACGGTAACCCAACAGCTCCCTCCAAGGAAACTTCCTTTTGGGCTCAGTTTACTCTGCCAAAATCTGTAGACGCTGTCATGTCTAAACATAGTGAATCACTCATAGCACACCTCTTAGTCCCACTCCAGCCACTTCAACTTGTTTTACCTCTCCAACAGCCACCAAGTGGTATTAGCAATACTACTTGGTATAATGGTGGTGATGACAGTGATGATAAAGGTGACGATAAGGGTGATGAGAAGGATGATGATAGGGATGATAGGAATGATAGTCATAATGACTCGGACTCAGACTCAGACTCAGACTTAGACTCACTCCCAATTGCCCCTTCTAATAACACTCACAACTCTACAAACACCTCAAATCAAACCAGGCGTTCGTTACTCCCCCCACACACCCCCATCGACGTCGTCAGCCACCCTTCCGCTCCCACCAAATGGCACCGTGCTCTTTGTCCCCTTATTAGTCCAATTGGCGGTTATATACCCACCTTCCTGCCATGCACCCAGATTAACAATATGCGCGCTCAAATTTGGTCTTCCTATCAAAATGAATGGAGCGAGCGTTACAAGCACAGCAAAGATCTCGATATTGCCTCCACACTCCCATCACACAACTCAAGACGCAGAGCAATCACAAGTGACCAACTCAACGCAACAACCCACAATGTTTCAGATGATGATCATGTAGGACAGATAGAATTCAGTCCTGGTGGTGACGAGACAGAGGAGTGGGCCTCTTTAGTAGTTGAGTCGCTTAACCAAAACGAGACGGGAGGTTTGAATATAACGGTTGATGATCCATTCGGCAATGGCACATCTACAGTGGATGTGGTTCCCGCCTGTGGTGACTGCTACGCTGATGCGGCAATCACGCTCTACCTTCCAGCAAACGTGCCAGCGTTAGACCTGTCAATCAGTACGCACTCGCGCGACATGGGCGTGTTCGTCAGCGATCTCACTGACGTCCTCTTTGACACGGTTCGGGTGGATCTCGACAGCGGTAATGTGGCAGTCGAGGATCTCAACGCTACCACGGCTACCATTGACACGCGTAATGGGACTATCGTTGGTACTTTCTCTACTAACTCGTATCTCACTATGAATAGCACCACTTCAACTAATGCCACAGTCTCTTTATTCGAAAAACCCTCCGTATACGCTAGTGATGCGTACATAAACGCTTACTCGTCTAATGGTTACTCTACCCTCACCATCAATGGTACTGCGCTGAGAGATGATGTCTATGTTAATGCGGATGGTAAACAATCTTCTCAACTTGACTTACCAGTTGATTATACTGGCAATTTTGGCGTTAAGGCGAAGGACGCGGATGGAATGGCCATATTGAATATCCAGAACTCAACCAAAGTGGTGAGAAATGGTATCGGAGAGATTAGAAACACGAACCAGGAACAGGATCCATACGATGGACATATAGACTGGGAGTGGTCGACAACTATCTCCGAAGGCAATTAGTAAGCCAATTAAATTACTTGAATCAATAGCCATAGCCAACTGGCTGTATAAAAAACGACCAATAGAATCCTTAACGTATATAATATAGTACACACACAACGCAAGCATATCATCACTGCATCAATCATTTACCTAAACAATAAAGAGAAATAAAAGAAATCTGCTCTTCACTCAAATGCTAAATCAAAGTAACGCTTTAATATAATTCCACCAGTAATTGTAATAATAGCTCTCATTTCACATCTGCATAATAGCCGTCGCTCCTCATGGCCGCACTAGCACTGCCGATAACTGCGCTCAGTGTGTTTCTGACGCGACAAGAACAACAGCGCGAGCAAGAGGGTGAGCGCAAGAAGCAAGATAGCGATGACTTTCTCACCAAGTACGGTATGCGGGGGGGAGGCGGTGGAGGAGGAGAAGGTACGACCGCCACACCCAACACGCCCACCATGCAGCACAAATCGCCCAGCGACGACTGCGATATACTAATGCTTGGCAGTGGCTGGATATCAAATTTCGCCGTGCCTGTGCTTGTCAGCAAGGGGTATACTCTGAGTGCGACGACGCGGCAACCGGTCCAAGGCGACACGTTTGAGAGGATAGCATTTGATTATGGAGGAGGTGATGGAGACGATGAATCAGACACGACGCTCGATGATCAGATTCGCGCTCTGCCCACAGCACGCACGGTCGTCATAGTGTTCCCGCTGCGCGGCGCTAAGCGGAGTGCGCGGCTAGTGGACAGCTACACGCGACTGAAGGGAGCTGCTCAATGGATCCAGTTAGGCAGCACTGGTATCTGGGGAAGTAGCGGCGTTGGCGAGACGGTGTGGATCGATCGCCATTCTCCTCCTACGCCCACCAACGAGCGTTTCATCGCTGAACAGGAACTCCTCTCCCTCTCAACGCCCTCCTCCCCGACTACCGTCCTCAACCTCGCCGGCCTCTATGGACAGGAACGCAAGCCGTCTAATTTTCTCAAGCGGTTGCAAGATAAACTCGAGATCAAGGGCAGTGTGCATTTCATTCATGGCGTTGACGCCGCTCGAGCTATTCTCCTCCTTCATCAACACTTCACTCCTGGTCAGAGGTGGCTGCTCACTGACGGACGCGTGCACGATTGGTGGGCTGTCGCTCTCGATAAAGCTGAACCAGGCAGTGTCGCACGCGCTAAAGTTAACGCTTTAACTAAACTTCTCGGCATCAAGGCCTTACCTCGCCCTGTTGCTCATGTTGTCCCCGATGACGTCAATGACAGATCGAGGAAACTCGTTAGAGCGTTGGATAGCAGTCACTTCTGGCACCATTTCGATGAAGCCCCTTTGAGTGGTACATTGTCCTAGTCTATGAAATTAAATGTACTTTATAAGTTATTAGATACTACTGCTACTGCATCATACCTATGTAAAAGTCTTCACTTGGTTCTTGGCCTTCCACGACCGTTCAGCTTCGAATTGGCGGTGACTGTTCCTCTTTCAGCTGCGTCAGCACACAAACTACCCACTAACCTTGTATTGTATACAGGAACACCGTTTCTTTCAGCACAATCAAATACATGGTCTATAAAGTCGTCAAACGCTTGAAAGTTGAACTTTCTATTGCTCTTTATCCGCAACGCAAGCGCATCGTGACTACTTCTGAGTGGTGTCTTACCATCGCATTCGTTGATATACTCCACCACACTGCTATTTAGTTTCAAGTGAAACGCCAACACCGTATCCTCTGAGCGATCACTTGTGTAACTTGAAGTAGCTATACTCTTAACCACAGTAATCGGTATCATCCACACAGCCTGCGTCACTCCATTCACCCTCCCATACACAACAAAACAATCGTCTTCAAATCCTAAATATGCTGGCCAGCCGGGAACGCATAGTCCACAGTATATGTGATCATCAAATACCGGAAATAACCTCCCTTTATGTAGGAGATGTTCGAGGTAGTAGTCCTGCGCGGGTCTTAGACGCTTACGGAATAGCGGCGCATAGTCAATAAACGATGGCTTTTGTAGTAGTTTATTGAGCGCTTTTCTCTTTCGTGCTTCTGGCATATATCTTGTCTGTAGATCCATGTCACTTGCTATTTTGTCTGTATTGTTGGTGGTGCTGCTTGTAGTGTCAGTAGTGTTAGTCATGTTAGTAGTAGCTTCTTCAGTAGTATTCGCTGAGTCAGTAGCTGCGTTTTTCGGAGCAACTCCTTTCTCAGTAGTCTTGCTAGCCGTATCTTTGTTGTTGGTAGCTGCATTGTTTGCGACCGTGTTTGTGTTGTTGTTTGTTTTGCTATTTGCTTTTTTCTCATTTGCCTTGGGGCTTACGTTTCCATCAACACTACCGTTTTCGTTTCCATTTGTATCTGTATGATGTGTCTGAGGACGTAAAGTTTGGTCAGAGGCTGCTGGAGGCTGCTGAGCAGCTTTGGCTTGCTTTTGCTGTATTTCATCAGCTATTTTTGAGGTGCTGGCCGTGTTTACTGTCTTCGCAATGCTTGATGTGCCAGCTGTTTTGGCGGTGTTTGCCCTGCTTGACGCAGCAAACGTAGCTGCGTTCGACTGTTCCCTCTTAACAGCAACACTCTTTGCGTGTTCAGACATCTCCAAAGCACGCTGCTGCAGTTGATCTGCGCTAGGTTTGTGCTCCTCTTCATCCAATACCATACTGTCACCATCCAAAACCTGTCTCACCCTGCGCTCTTCGTCTTCAGAATGATTCGAAGCTCTTCTCTTGCGAATTTGATCCGACTTGCTCAATTCTTCATGATGCTGCTCATGTGGCTGGTTGACTTCTTGTGTTGGTAATCTCCTAGCTGAAGCTACAGGAGCTGCGGCTGGTTCCGGTTGTGGAGATATGGATCCCCAGTACGGCTCAGCGGTTGGATCTGGAGCTTTTGATACATTGCGAATGGGTTGGCGAGCTGGTTGCGTTGATTGCCAGTGCAGTACAGGTTGCTGCACCTGCTGCACTTGCTCAACTTGCTCAAAACCTTTAACTGGTTGCGTAATTCCTGCTACAAAGTTGCTATCATTGACGTTGTTGCTATCGAAATTGCTGTACTCGTTGGTCTCGTGATATTCTCCCATTGCAGATTGATCAAGCTGATTATCTTCCATGGGAACTTCAGCCCTATCGTAAATAACGCCATATTGCTGCTCGGGCTGCTCTCTTTGCTCCACGTGCCCAACGCCCTCCACTGGCCCGTACTGCTCCTCGGGGTAATCAAATTGACTCGGAGGGTACGCGTCCTGATATGGTTGAGGCTCCTGCTGCGAGTATCCAGACAAATCTATGTTGATATAGTATGTACAGTTTATCGTGACTCCGTTGCTACTGCTGCTACTGCTGTTTGCTGGGCGAGACGGTTGCATCCCACGAGGGAGCCTCAATGAGAGAGAAATGTCGTGATCGTCTGAGTTCGTTACCACTGTTTGCATTCCTTGAATTAGTCTTTCGGCTATCGGCGATGGAAGTTACAAACAAGACGAAACACGCAGGAACACCAACTCTCCAGTATTTCTAATTCAAATGTAGGTTTCTCATAGGAAGCATTGTTGTCTCGAGCTTTCCGCAGTGCGCGGCTATAGTTTAATGACTCTTCTCCGATATCGCCCAATTGTGTCATAATCAGCATCGGAATACCTGCACAAGATGAGAAATATAAATTACAAATATTATTCCGTCTACTGTTTCTGCTTCGATAAGCCTTGTGATTCTGGTTTTTTTTTTAATAATCGAGTCTGTGTATGTTAGCTCACGTGCCTTACAGACTAAATACTCACGAAGCTTCTTGCCTGGGTATGTTCTATCGCTGTACTGCGTGGTGAAAGTTTCTGTAGTAAATAGTCTACGCGCTTTTGGTAAAAATTTCATGTTGTGGCTTGACGAATAAAATGGCAGTATCATCTTCATGAGTGTGCGCGTTTAGCTACTTTGTTGTTTGTTTTATTACCTGTGACCCAAGGTGTAGTGCGAATTGATTTCGCGAGATTTCGTGGAAAGAGTCATAAGCTGCCTCATACCCATGGCTGCTCCATGTATTGTATCTATGAATGTTTGGTATCACATGAAAAAGAAACAAGATTAACAATTATATAGACGTGAATTATACAGATCTTATTTATACAGGTCTTCCTTTGCGCGTAAATTATCTGCCTAATATGAGGCATATTAAAAAAGTAGGGAACTGCGAAATCTCCAGTTTTTAAGCTGATGAGCCTTCCCCTGGCTTGACTTCCTCATCAAAGACGTAAAGCTCCTCCTTTGGTAATTTCCGACCGAATAAGTACCGGTTGATGAACCACGGAATCTGTCTGAATTGGTAAGCGATGTGGACGCGAGTAGGGGTGCTGAAGACTGCAGAAACCTTAGAATGACTATATGAAACACGGCTCAACTCACCTTGGTCCAACTCTTCTAGCGTCAAGCTCTTTGTTTCAGGAACGAATAAAAAGGCGAGACAGAAGAGAGCAGCGCACCATGCGGCGTACCATCCAAATGCACCTGAAGAAGTAAATGCTTCTTGAAGCGCTGGGAAGGTAATCGAGAGGATGAAGTTGAAGAGCCATAGAATCGCCGTCGCCAGACTCATCCCGAGATTACGATGTGACAGCGGGAATACTTCAGCGCTGTATGTAAATGGAACAGGTCCTGAGGTGTAACTGTACTGAACCGTAAAGAGATATACTCCAATCGCGACTGGAATGATTTGTTTGTCGAATGGAGCCAGGAATCCTAAGGCGACGACCAAAAGCATAGCGCACATGGTAGGATAACCAATCAAAAGCAATGCTCGACGTCCATATCTGTCAATTGTAAAGAATCCCGGGATTGCAAAGAGGAAGTTGATCATACCGAATCCCCAAGATGCTAAGAGTGCATTCAATTCACTGAATCCAGCTCTAACAAAAATGTTAGAGCTATAATAAGCACATACATTAATACCGCAGAACTGTCGATCCCGGTTAGTTTGGACCATGTGCTCCTGGTAGAAAATTTGCACTTACTTGTTGACCAAACATGACGATGGCGGAAGCTGCGGTAGCTCTACGGTTTCTTGGAATGGTAAAGAGCTCTAAAAATCTGAACCACGCTGACTTCCCTTGAATCATTTTCATTTCTTCGGTCATGCAGATGTGAATGTAGTAGATGTCACGCGCAGCTTGAAGATCGCTCGGACGTAAGCGCTTCAAGGCTCTTAAAGCCTTAGGATAATTTTTCTTGCCTTTGCCCATCAGATAACGTGGTGATTCTGGGATGAATGGTATGACGCCCATAACGACTAATGCTGGAATACCAGCGCTACCAAGCATTAATCTCCAGTTTAAACCATCGATGTTAGCTGTGTCTTTGACGTGGTAGAAGATTAAATCAGCGACAAATCTATGATTTAGATGTTAGCTTTAGTTAGTATGAATATTTGCATCATACCCTACTATGATTGAAATCTTAGCTTATTGTTGTTTTTGATGTAAAACACTTACACATAATACCGAAAGCTGTCCAAAATTGCCACATCATAACGAGTGCACCTCTAATGTTGGCTGGGGTTGTTTCAGCAGCAAAAACCGGAACTGTTGCGCTCTTTGGACCGATACCTAATCCTAGCACAAGTCTGGAAACAAAGAGATGTTGCCAGGAATTTGTAACGGCTGACCAAATGCAGGTTGCGAACGACAGGAAGGCAGTGATCATGATAGTACCACGTCTCCCAAAAAATCTGTTAAGAGGGCTAGTAAGCCAGCAGCCAAGAACTGCACATGCTAGGTATGGCGCTGAATTAACCAAACCAAACAGCCAGACATCGACATCGGGGTTGATATTCAAATCCTGTGGATAGAAGAGTTGTGCACCATTTATGACTGTTTCATCCATGCCCTGAACGACAGCACCAACACTGCAACAGGCTACTAGCAGCCAAAGCTCACGTGTCTGATGTAATTTGTGTGTTGACTCCCTTCGGAAAGCCTCTTTGTCGTCGTCGGTGAGCTGAGATAGCATCTCTAATCTTTTTGGATCTTGCGCAACCAAAGCACCCTTTGCAATTTTTTCAGCATCATCCCCAAGCCCATACTCGTGCGCAAAAGCGGTTGCATCCTCATAAAGCTTATCGTGTGGGATGCCCTTGAGAGGATTTTCGAGCTTCTGGGTCAATGTCTTGGGTGGAGGAGCCCTTTGTTCGGGTAGAGAGTCATGGGAGATTTCAGGCTCAAGTTTGTGATCTATTTTCTTTTCCATGTAGTAAATTAAAATTAAAGAAGGGTATAAGGCGTTTGAGGCTATTTAAGTTACCAGATGATGTTTAAGTCATGGGACCTAAATTGAATCTCAGATCGGAGGAACTGGCCGCGGCAGTCTAGATTGGCGTTCATCGGCATTCTAGCGCCTTCCGAATTTGGTTAAAGCGTAAATTACAGAATAATAATGAGCTAATAATGATTTAATAATGCCGAAATTGAGGCGGATGACTCCTCGGGGCGATCTATAAGATATCGTGACAAAAATGTAATCAAAGGTATCATGTCACGCTGGAAGGGATGCAAGACTGTGCATTCATAGATTCATGAACAAGATAAATAGTGTGGCTTGATTAGGAGAGAGCACTGGAAATCACAGGTAGAGAGAATCCTTGTAAAGGTAAATGTCCAAGCTGATTGGCTGATATAACACGGCTTATTTCGCTGGTGATTGAGATTTGCTGCTGAACGCGCCAGTTGCCCAATCGTTGGAGTTTTGAACGTCTGGACCGGCAAGAGATCCACGATGGGGGCCGTTGCTGGTAACTTTAGGTTCACCAACCTAAAATATCTCAATGGGATGAATATAGCGAGATTTCCCACGTACCTCTGAAACATCTGGATCAGCACCTTGGTCTTCCTCAATCGCAGCGTTTGCTTCAGCGCCTTCAATCGGAACGCCCTGAGAAGTACGCAGCTGGGAATTACGCCTTGGCCTCTGAGAAGACTCTCCAGAAGGGATATCAGCCTTAGATTGGTTCAGCGTAGACTCCCTGCGCTGCTTTGGTGCGTTATCATCTGGAGGAGGGCTAACTTCTTCATCATCAGAATCGAATGGATTTCTAAATTTTGTTTCTTGTGCGTTGGCTGAGTTTGATTTGATCATATCTTTTGACAGTTGTAATCAACCTTTGTGCACGACGACAACGACGACGACGACGGCAGCGTTAAAATAGATTTTAAGCTTAAATGGGTTCAGAGGATCCAGCGTGCGTCGCTTTCCTAGGGCTACAATCCACGCTTACCAATACCCAGTCGCAGATCAGAGAGAGGTAAACCACCCATCCATAAGCAGCGCGTGAGTCGTTGTCGTTTGAATACCTGTAAACGCTCTCATACTTTTCCCAGGAATTCAAACTCGGCCTTGGGCGCGATACGCTCAGCATCGGTAGCAACAACCACAACCCAAATAGACGGCCTGTGAAAAGCTGTGAGATAAATCGTTAGCAGTAGCGTATATTTCTCATTCCCCACACAGCTCCTGTCCAGCCAGCTCAAACTTCGGCTTTCTACAGTTCCACCCCACCCGCCGCGAGACAGCTGCAAAGTGATGCTGCCCATTCTTCCAAATCTGGTCCAATAGACATTGAAAGTGACAACGGTGGCTTACCCACTCCTTCCACCTCCAATAGAGTAAAAGGTAAACAAAGGGATCATAGCTATGCTCAGTTATCTGCACAGTGGTCTAAACCCGTTCAGGACGCTCAAATTGACTTAGACTCTGATGATATTCCCATATCCAAAAGCGCTACTGGCGTGGCTGCAAATATGGCTGGGAAGGGTACACAGAAGAAACCCTTGATATCGTCGCGTAAGTCGCAGTCTAAACCATCGCAAGCTTCCCGAAAAGAGCCTTTGGATGTTGAACGAGGTAAACATATTAATCACGACAACAACAATCTTTATACCACCAAAAAAGTCAGTGAAACCCTTCGCCATGGTTACCTGCATTACATCAATCTCAAGGGCTCCAATTCAAATAATGTCCTATATCTAGCTCAGACGAAGATCAACGGATATAACGTCGAAAAGTCAACTCATGGCTTGTATGCCTTGTATTTCGATGACGCCACATTATCGCTCTGTAGACGAGTACCATCGCAAAAATTGATACCATGGCGGGTGATTGACCTCCAGGACTTGTATTCTGTCCAAGCTCGCAGCGAAGATATGTGCAGCGTGTTCTTCTTTGTACTCAAGGAAGATTCACCGACAATAAAGTCCCTTAAGGACCCTAAAAGCGAGTTAGCACTGGAGCATACAGTTGACGACAAAGAACTTACACTCTCAAACCACTTGAAATCGGCAAACAATACCATTACTTTTGTCACCGATCCAAATGCCCTCATCAATAGCAAAGATAAACACCGAAAACTTATTGGAAGTATAGAAAAAACAATGAAAGAAGGCATACGAGAGATGCCTACTCCTCAATTTCAGCAATTCGTGAAATCCATCAATGAGAATGGCAGGGCTTCTGCCGACACAACCAAGTTTCCCGCTGATACAAGTAAGAGTAGGCCTCGGCAGAGCAGTGCAAATGAGACTATCACTATTGATGAAGAAGACAAATCCAATGCTAAATATGATGATGGTACGCCAAAGGCCACTAAGCAAAAAAGAAAATCTTCAGCCAAAGGTCAAAATGACGAGATTGAGTTATTTTCTGAAGATGAAAGGGAGCAAGTCAAGAAAAAACCTAAACCATCCGCAATTCCTAACATGGCGAAAGATAAACCCCCTCCTAAAGCAATCGTACCAGGTCAAGCCAGAGCACAAAGTCAATCAACACCTAAGACTGAAGAAAACGATGAGTACACCTCTCGAAGGAGTATTAAAAACATCCCAATACCCCGCACGAACTCCACACGCAAAGCTAAAACTGATGCTAATAAGGCCAACAATGATGCGAAAACTTTAGCTTGGTGAGTGGTTCTGAGCATTTTAGATAGTCTCTGACAATACCCTTCTATACCAGCCACAAGCCTCAGATGGATTCAGCAATTGCCAATGAGATTTATTTGATAAAGGAGTTTGAAAATGGCTGCCTAACAATACGGAGAGGCGATCGAGCCAGCATTGACCCTTCCGAATTCCTTAACGACTGTATAGTTGAGTATGGAATACGCTCAACGCTTATGAGGCTGCGAAATCGTGATCCGCTTTTAGCTGATCAGGTGCATCTTTTCAGCAGTTTTTTCTACTCATCTCTAGTAAATTCGTACGAAGGGTTGGGAGATCCCTACAAAACCATGTGGAGGTGGACGAAAGGTGTTGATATCTTTGCTAAAAAGTTTATCTTGGTGCCAATATGTGAAAAGTGAGTGAATGTCACCTCCATTACCTACGCAGCTAACGAAGGCAGCTTGCACTGGTATTTGGCAATCATATACAACCCCAAAGGTGTGCTATACGGACCACCAGGAGACGCCAAGGATAAAAAGAAACAACCCAAACCGCGGTCGGCGACTGGAGCTGCTGGTGCGGCCGTCAATTCTGCTGCTGCAAAGAAGAAAGAGACTCAGAAGCGGAGAGAAGCGGCTAAATTAGATAAGAAAGCTGAAGCTGCCAAGCAGAAGAAGAATTATGATATCGTAGAACTCAGCTCTGATTCAGAAGAGGAGCCAGAGCGTCAGAGCCAAGAGAAGGACTTAAAAGATGAAAAGGATGGTAGCAAAGCAAGTTCCAGCGCAACAGGCAACTCACCTGAAGTCGATAAAGATGAAGACGTTGTTATGGCAGAAGCTCCTTTGTTCACACAAGGTTAGTGAATTTCACAGAAATTTCAAAGCTAATGTACAATACTCAGCTGAGCATACCGAGGCTTCTTCACAGCCAGATATACCAGACTCCAGTGCAGTGGAAGTTGTGGGTAGCGCAGATGGGGAATCAAGCAAAGTTGAAGGAGACGTGGACGTTGTGCACGAGATGCGTAGTAAAAATGCGCGCTGCTATATATACACACTCGACAGCTTGAGTGGAACGCACAGAGTTGTAATAGACAACCTTTCCAGGTATCTCCAGATGGAAGCGCAGGGTCGGAAAGAGCTTCCCGAAGAAGAATTCAGTATGCCTGATGGTAAGACGCCGAAAGTACCCAAACAGCCGAATTGGTGCGATTGTGGTGTCTACGTTATACACTACATTGATGTGTTTTTCAAGGATACGACTAAATACCTCAATTTGCTTTACAACTCACATAGAATCAGACGCGAGCAGACTGATCCACAATGGGAGAACAAGGTTGCAACTAGTGCTCGCGAACGCCTGACCAAGGAGTTGGATGAAGAGGCTGCTATATTTGACGCTGAGGAGATTCGCAAAGGAAGGCGGAAGCCCAAACCGATCGAAAAAAATAAGGAGAAAACTACTGAAACTGCTACTGTAACTCCAGCAATTGGTGAAAATGATGGCGAGGATGCCGGTCAAAGTGATGATACAAATGACAAAGCTGTTAAATCTGGAAGTAATGAAAATTCGGATGAAGATAACAAGGAAATTGAAAGCAATCCATCTATTACTGCCACGACGGGTGAAAATGGTGAAGAAAGTACTAAAAATGAGAATGGATCTCACAAAGTTGAGCTACAAGCTAGCACTAGCCAAGCAAAAGAGGAGGGTGTAATCAATATTTCAGATGAAAGGGACGGCTCCGCAGTAGCGCCTACAGATAAATCCTCAAGTCAGCCACCAGCTCATTTATTAGGGGACTTGGGGGTTGTGATGGCATCCAATTTTATGGAAAGCTCAGGGCAGCATAGTGAGCAGCCTCACAGTGACTGTAGAAGGTCTCATGATCTACGAGAGCCTCAGGTATCTCATAGATCCTCAGAGGCCCACGATGAAAGACAGCACACTTCTCACGATCATTCTCTGCGTTGTGCTCAGCAGATTCAATCAGCGTCATCTTCGCAAACATCAAATCTATCTCTTCTTGCTCAACGAATAGAGTCAACCACGGCTTCGCCCGTCTCACCTACAATAATTACAAGTCTACTACAGCGACTCAAGTCAAGCTCAACCTCACCAAAAAGAGAATCAAACTACTTCGATGCTCTTTCTGAGCGAATAGATGAGCACCGATCAGTGGATCCTGAACGTATGCAGCAATTTCAGCAGTTGCAACAGTTTCAGAGAAATTTTGCTTCTATGCAAAGACCACAGGCTACCCCACCACCTCGCATTCCACACCCTTCACAGGTTTCACAATCGTCTTTCCATGCAGCAAAGAAAGCGACTACAGAAATTGTTAATCGGAATATGGCACAGTCGCTTCAATCGCCAAATGATTCACAACTAACTGAGACATTGATGCAAACGCAATCATCAGCTCAATCAGATGATACAGTATTTCCTAAAACTACCAGCAGTAAATCAATAAATTCCACAGCAGATCTACCTTGTTTATCTGTCAAGCCAGACTCAACAGGAGTGATACCAAAGACAGATGTAAATAGTAATTTACCAAATGCCACGGAAATGCATCCGAGAGGGAAAAAAAGCAAGAAAGCAGCAGAAGAAAAACCAACTCGCAATGCTAAGATCAGGGATTTTCTTTCGAAACCTGCTGATGAAGAGAGAAGGGAGAAAACGATGTTTCAGCCACTAAGTTCTCACAGGCAGAACATGGGAATGAAGCCAAACAAAAATGACTATGATGAGTCTGCGAGTAAGCAGCATAGTAGAGAGCCAGGAGATCCGCTTCCTACGTTTGCCATAGGCGCAAACCGAGCAAACCCAGAATATCCACAGTTCCAACGAAGTTCGGAAGATGAAAGGGATGAGAGAGACAGTCAGTTTGAAGGGCTCTCGATTATGGGCAGGAGTGGAACGATTGATTCTGGCCTTGATAGCCAATCACAGCCATCGCCTCGACCAGGGGAAATATCAGCGGCAAACAACACACCGTTACCGTCACATCCAACGCTAGGATCGAGGCGGAGGTAAACTAAACCCAAGAGTGAAATTCGCGCATCGTCAAGAATGATCCAAGGGCATATGTCAAGCAACAAGTGGTTATAATAAAGAGCTATAAAACAAAACAAAGAAATTAATAATTATTTATTTGATAAACACAATTTTATAATTTTCATATCGAGCGAATCATAACTCATATTACAACAACGAGATGTTTAGTAGGGGTGAGATTTGATATTAGAAGCTGTGAGCGCTGGACTGATAGGATTATATAGCCAGAGCGTCAGTACAGCAATTACCAAGAAGACCTGCTTCTGTGGTTAGTATTGGGAGAGAAACGCATCGACACAGCTCACGCCGGTGCACAGGCTGGATACCATGATTTGAATATCACTCCAAAATCCAAATCACCAATCCTTAGACAAGGTCCAGGCGGAAGGAGTTCTGTTACTGGCCATGTCGCTACTGTTTTCGGATGTACTGGATTCTTAGGACGTTATACGGTACAGAAAATTGGTAAGACGGCGTCTACAACCAAATTGAAGAGTTTTTAATTCAATTCAGCTCGTACTGGTGCTCAAGTCGTCACTCCATATAGAGACGAGCTCGAAAGGCGTCATTTGAAGCCAATGGGCGATCTTGGTCAGATTGTACCTATGGTGGGCATTCCTTTTTGAAAGTTTAGTACACGTCTCACTCACCCACTCTAGGAATGGGACGCTCGTAACCACCAACAGATAGCAGAATGCCTTAGACACTCAGACGTAGTCTACAATCTTGTTGGCCGTGATCACGAGACAAAGAATTTCAACTACGACGATGTTCACGTTAAGGCTGCTGCTGATATCGCTTCAATTGCTCAACAGGAGGGCATCGAGAGACTGATCCACGTTTCACACTTCAACGCTGCTCATGACTCTCCTTCCGCTTTCTACAGAGCCAAACAAGCTGGTGAAGATCTTGTTCGTGAAAACTTTGACGGTCCTTCCATCGTCAGACCTACAGTTATGTTTGGTCATGAGGATCGTTTCTTGCAGCAGATGGCTTGTGAGTTTGGGTGTATTGTGGTTTGAAAGTATTACTGATGATATGATTAGTCTGGACTATTGCATACAAGCTCAACAAGGGTCAAACACGCGTAAAGCCGGTGCATGTGCTTGACGTTGCTGAGGCTTTACACAAAATGATGACATTGGATCCAGGTCATGGAGACACATAGTGCGTTTTGCTGTGATTTTGAGCTTCCACACTAACAAACGTTTTCCAGCTCATTACCTGGACCAAAAGAGTACACATATAATGAAGCGATTGACGTTGTTTCAGCATTGACATTGAAGGAGCACAAGGCACCATCAGTACCAAAAGCCCTCGCAAAGGCTGTAGCCAAGGTGATGGACAAGTCATTGTGGTGGCAGACAATGTCGGAGGATGAAGTAGAGAGACGCTACATTGACGATCTCCCAGGAATCCCAGCCGGACACAAGAGCTGGAATGACTTAGAAATGATGCCTGATATAATGGAAGACGTGTCTATCCCTTACGTCAGAAGATTCCGTAGCGCAACGACATCGAACCTTCCCGTTGAATCTGGCGGTAAGCCATACAGACCACCAAGCGCACAAATGTAAAACATTATCAATACATTTCCTTTATTTTGATTACATGTTTAGATTTACGTTCGTCTTTGTTTTCCAACGTCGATCAAATGGGCAAAGCCAAAAAGCTCAGCAAAGAGGAGGAAACGAGAGACAAGAGGAGGTGGATGCGCTGGAGCAGTGCAGCGACTGTAAAAGGAATAGCTTTTAGTGATTTCGCAGGCAGCTACATCAACGCAGGCGCTGAGAGTGAGTTTATCGCAGCAGCTACACCACGTCAGGCTAAGCAAATTGAAAGAACTCGGGGCACAAAGATTCTGGCCTACGTCTGGGTGCGTTTGGTTGGACTACGTGTAGCTACTTGCTCACTCCAAGTCACAGTGATATGCCCCTCGAAATCGATAAGGCAGAGAAAGTCATCAGGGCGTTCACTACCGAGGGTATAGCAGTAGACGAGCCAATCGGTGAAGAAGGAAGGCAAGGTCGTCGTAGAGTTTTCAGGAAAATCGCTCCGAATGTCATGGCCTCCGCCAAAGGTATCGTAGTCTACACAGCTATGCGGTACGTTTGATGTTATTGGCTGCTTTGTACGCTGACAGCCTACCAAGCTCCGGTATGATGCCTTTCGGTGGTGCTGGTGGTAGTGGTATCGTTATCGCTAGATTGCCCGACGGCAGTGAGTGCAAGTTGGTCAAGTTTTTCACCGCTTACTAAGAATTAGACTGGTCTGCACCGTCGTGTATTTGCCCAAACAATGCGACTGTTGGTCTCTTGTTTGGATTGTGGGTTTACCTCTTTTATCCCGCTATTCCACATATTTGCTCACCTGCGATAGGGACGTGTACGATGTTGTGCTCGTGTTGCGTTCACAAAAGGCTCTAGATGGCTTTAAGGGCAAGGCTAATGTTACTCTGGGTGCTGAGCGTGGGTATTTGCCTGGTTTCTCGGTGTTTTGCTAATGTCTACTCAGTTGCCGTGGCTGCTGGGCCTGTTGGTGCTGGTGTATCAGTCGAGTCTGGCGTAGATAAGAGCCCTATTTGGTCTTATATTCGAAGTAAAGGCTTCTACGTCGGTACTGAATTGATGGTGAGTGAGCATTGTCCATTTGATGTCATACCGATAAGCTTCAGGGACAAGTTTTTCTCGACAGATTCGATGAGAATGAGAGGTTTTACTAGTACGTTTAGCTCATTTTATGCGCAAATTTCAGCTCACCATCTTCTTAGCTGGCCTGGACTGAAATCCGGTCAAATTTTGGCCGGTAAGGTGCGACCGCCGCTAGAGGCAGAAAAGTTGTACCGAACACTCTACGAGGCAGAGACAGGTATAGCCCAGGGACAAAGTCTGGAGTATGAGGCGACGATATCTGAAGATGTATTGACTGATCTCGATCTGAATGAGAACGAGACATTGAGATTACCACCTACACCAGAGCAGCTTGATAAGTTTGAGAGACAGGGGTATAAGGACGAGCTTGATATTGAAGCGGAGCAAAAAGAGCGTGAAGAGATACTGGCGTTACCTGCACCACCTAGACATCCATCGATTCTCAACTACCTAGCGAGGAAACAGCAAGGACTAGCACTAACGGAGGTTACAGAAGACGAAGAGAGCGAGAAAGAGGAGAAGGATGAAAGGAGTGGGAAAGGGGAAGATGAAGAGGTGTTTGATTCAAGTCAAGCAACCTCGAAGGAAGATATGCTTTATAGATTGAGGGAAGAAGAGCTTAACAGGGAGCTGGAAGAGTTGGATATGGATTCAGATTCTGATGAAGAAAAGGACAATAAGCAAGACAATCAAGACACGGTCGATAAGGTTGAAACAACGAATATACCACCAGCGTTGCCACCGCGCAGACCAGTTGCTAAGCCAGAGTTACCACGACGCGCTGATAGAAAGTCTTTGAGTGGAAATGAGAAGACAAGCAGGAGTAGCACACCGCCTCCTAGCTATAATCTGCAAGACAAGAAACATACGCCAGTGGATACACGCTCAACGACAGAGTTTTCTGAGATAATGTAATTTTAAATATATTTACTTGATTTTCTTGTTTTACAAAAACATCCATCACCAAGATGGTTAAACAGGTGCACAGTATCGTGAATTCAGCTAAATTTGATGATCGGTGAGTTACTTGTACGTGGTAATGACGCGTATATTCACTCCCTTTAGGCTGTTCTGGGCAACATTCAGACATCCACCGCCAACGCCAAACGAGCTGAACAGCGATCCACAGCCAATTTCCAACAAGCTAGAAGGACCCGCAGATCGCTATTACTTCTTCTCAATCGATAGCGATCTAGTTTGTACGTGTTTTTATAGAAATACTCGTGATTTCGTATCTCAAACGGCACAGATCTCTCTTTCTCCTGCGATTTTGGACCTTTAAATATTGCTCATTTATACAGGTACGATTAGTGCACTGCGATTCGGCGTCTTTCTCATCAATTTGCAGATTCTGCGTTTTGGTCCACGATCTACTCAGGGATCCTGATCTTATTGATAGGAAACTCGTGCTATATACCTCCACCAATCCCCACAATAAAGCTAATTCTGCCCTGCTGATGGCCCTCTACACCGTCTGTCTCCATCGCTAGTTACTCCTCCCGCTTACCCCACTTAGCTTATCGTGCTCAAACGTTCACCTTCAGACGCTTTTCATCCAATTGCAGATGTCAGTCGCCCTTTCCCATGAATTTTTCCCCTCAATTTCCTCCAGATCGAATTCATCCCTTACAGAGATGCCGGTCGCGGCAGGTGCGATTTCCATCTCTCAATATCCGTATGTGTGGTGTTGATGGCTATCGCCTGCTAATTATGCGTAAAGGACTGTCTATGGGGCATTTACAAGTCTATCAATTTTGGCCTGTTGCGTATGGACAAATTCGACTTGGAAGAGTATGAGTGGTCAGAGAAGGTTTTTATCGGTTGTTTTCATTCACAACTATCTCTCATTTTATGCATAGGTAGAAAATGGTGATTGGAATTGGCTTACTCCAAATTTCAGTGAGTCTGACGCGTTTGCTATCTGCTCATCGTACTAAACGCGTGCAAAGTTGCATTTGCATCTCCAGTCGACCCTTCTTATGTGCGCTTGATACAGGCGCGGCAAAAAGTCGGGAAAAGTATCAAGTCTGAGCGTGATGACTTGCCTAGAAAGTTGCCATCTTCGTTCACTCTCCTCCTCGATCACTTCTCTCAGTCTGATGTCAAGCTCATTGTTCGACTAAACAATCCTCTCTATGACCCCAAAGAGTGGCACGAAAGAAGCATCAACCACTCTGATCTCTACTTCGATGACGGCACCAATCCATCGGATGAAATTGTTAAAACTTTCATTCACATGTGCGACCATATCATTTCGAAAGGGGGTGAGTTGATGTGGATTTGATTGATCTTGCTGACGTGCATAGGTGTCATCGCTGTTCATTGCAAAGCTGGTCTTGGTCGTACTGGTACGCTTATCGGTGGTAAGTGTTGGTGTATATGGTGTACATTCTACTCACTCGCACCATCACAGCTTATCTTATCTACAAACATGGTTTTACTGCTAATGAGGTCATTGCGTTTATGCGCATAATGAGACCAGGTAGCGTGGTCGGACCACAGCAGGTAGGTGCTTCCTTGCGTTTCAAATAGCAATCTAACAAAATAAACAGCAATACATGTACCAAAAACAATTTGACTGGGTCCGGTGGGGTGTCATTGATGCGATGCGGAAAGAAGAGGAAGAAAGAAAGATCGAAAGGCAGCTAACAAATACAACAACAGTTACCTCTACACCACCATTAGGATCTAACGATAATGGACCTAGCACGCCATTGCCAGCTGCGTCAACTTCAAAAGCTGGCATGACAGAGACACCTGCTCCTGTTGGACAGCCGAGAAAGACACCAGGTCCTTCGCGTGTCCTTGATAAAAAAACAGTCAGCAGTGGTAGTAGACCGGATGTAAATATCAATCTGAGTAGTTCACCATTGCGCAGACCGCGTGTAGGCAGGAAGCGCTCATCTAGCATGCATTCGGGCATGGTGGGTGCAAAGGTGGCCCAAGAAGCTTCCAACGCGATGAGCAGAGAGAAAGAGCGGGAGAGAGAAAGAGAAGCAGCGAAATCGACACCACCTGATTCTAATTCTTTAAAGATATCATCAACGGCAGTCACTGAGAAGAGTAGTTCAGATGGCTCGACTAAATCTGCATCTATACCACACAACACATCCACATCTGCAGCATCGCCTGCTAAAATTCCTATCAGAGTCACAACAGCATCGCCAGCACGTCAGCATCAGCGCGTAAACACGCAGTCGCAAACATCTGCACAGACATCACTGAGACCACAACCACCTAAGAGGACAACAACAGAGGTCGTAGAAACAACAGCGAATGGCTCAAGGATAGTGCCTGCGAAAAGAGGTCATCTCTCACCTGCTTCGTCGGTTAGCTCGGCGGGTAGCTCTATGGGGCGTGTCGCTAGAGCTGTCGCTGCTGATAGCTGGATAGTCGATTCAAAGAAAAACAGTAGCTGGAAAGTGGAAGCTGGGGGTCCTGTAAGTCCCGTCAAAGGCGGTGGGGCCTCTGGAGGGAATAAATTTGCTAGTACGATAGCTAAAGACTCTCCATCATCAAGCCTTACATCTTTATCATCCAAGTCGTCATCTAATTCACTCCTCTCACCTAACTCAATACATAATGCCAATACTCCTAACTCAACTAAAAGTTCCAATCTTGGTAGAACTAATGCTTTGCGTAGCATTAGGAGACGTAGAAGTAGTCTCGGCGATACAGAAGCAGGTGATAGGTTGTAGAAAACCATTTACTTTAGCTCAAGCTAAGTTATTTATCAGTATTGGATTACTATATCATTCATATTTCATTCTATAAGGCTTACGATGTATGCAAATGGTATTATAGGTAAATTTTATAAAACATCTTCCATCCTCTCTGTGACTTCTTCGACTGGAGGCATGAGCACGGCTTGGATGGTTGGTATGAGTTGTTGTCTCTGCCTCTCGAGGGCGAGACCATTGGCGAAGCGGATGAATGAAATAAGAGTGACATATGCATCATTCCCTGCGTTATGGTAGTAGTCGCGTGTCTCAAATGCACCTTTCGGAGTGTCAACTTTGAGAATTTGGCTAAAGTCACTAAGTGAGACACCTTCGAGATTGTCGCCGATACATGTTAACAACCTGTTCGTATCCAAAACTTCGACCTGGAACTCTTCCTTTGATGATGACTCTGCTGGTATTGAGTAGTGCGTCGCGTTCGCGCTGTGTTTTCTTCCTTTCAGCTGGAACATCGTGTCTAGTGATAGCATGTCATTCTTCACGCCATGCATAACCATCACCACCTTCTCATTGGCAATGGGGGTGAGAAGCTGCTTCAAAAATACCCGCGTTTCTTGTAAATTCAGCTGCTGACTCTTCCCATGTCTGAAATTGAATCTATTATCAGTCACGTAATTGCCATTCTTGTAGCGGGTATGATCAGTGATTATGATATGTCCAGGTGTGATGACTTGATTCTCATTCTCAAAGTGTAGCTGAGAATAGCCAATTTCAGTGATCACCATGTGGTCAAGCTCCCAGCTCTCAACATCGACCGCGACATAACGCACTTTGAGGAAGCCCTTCTTGCCGTCATCAAAATCAGATCTAACACGCTCAAAGTAATATGATGATAGGTCGTGAGTACTAATGTTATCATCTCCTCCACGTTTCTTGGATTTGCCTTGACGGTGAAATCTCCTCATATCGCGGGTTAGTTCAGATGGGATAGTGTACGTCGTAGGAGTTATATGCGAGTATTGCGATAAATCAACGTAAGATGCTGACGATGGCAGTGGTAAACAAGCTGGACTGAGCTCATTCTCTAAGCAGATTCTATAGCGAAGGTATTCAATATGCCGGGAAGGGATCAAGAATCGCCTAGAGCCATCGCCAGACATTGCCAGTTTCAACTCAATCCCTGTCTCTTCGTTGTAAAGATACGAGCTTGGTTCAGATAAGCTCTTTAATGCCGTTTTGAGTAGGGTGCGTGCTTCCTCGTGCTTCACTCGCGGTGCCCACTATAAACCGTATCAGTGGCTTTCTTTGTTTGCGATTATACTAACACTGTAGAGTATATCTGAAGGCGATGTGAGCGGGACTAACAGATAGCTTTATTAATTATTCACCGCTTAATTTATACAAGCCATGCTTTCCGATATCGATGCTCATGACATCCAAGCAACGAAGAAGATCAAAGAATTTGAACAAAATACGCGTTAAAATATATTAGCATAGACTTTTACAACGTCTTGTACATCTTCTTTTTCAATTCCGTTCTCAATTTCATACTTTCACATGCGACTTGATTTCAATAACAGTGAACCAACAGGCTGGGTTACAAATCTTAATGCCCCGTGTTTTACAGGGTTCAGAAAAAATCCCGGTTGATTGTGCAAACTTCATCCACATCGATCTCAGCAATGTCTTAACCGCAAATAACGATAACGTCAACGAGAGCGAGAAAGTACATAAAAAACAAAAACAAAGGGAAGGCACAGAATAGCTGTGCTTCTTCTTCTCATTTCTCCAATAGTTTTTCTGATATATGGAATCATAATCCAATGATGCACCAATTGATGGTCCAATCAACAAAGTTATTAGTAGCCTCCCAAGAAAATGTACCAACGATGAACCCGAAGAGGATCATGACGTCACTTTCCTCGATGCTGAACAGTAAGAGCTACACGATCCTCAACAGAATGATAGTGACGCCTCTGATATTCCACGCATACACAGAAGTAAGCAAGTAGCTTATATTCTAGATGTACCTAACGCATCACAGAAAAAGTCGTATTATCGTAATTGGTGACGATGAAGATGATAATGGTGGCCAAACACAAACCATACCTGCTGCTAGTCCCAATGTTCCTCAAACTGTTAAAACTGAAGAACAACGCCCAGAATAGCATAACGAGAAGCCTCAGTCACAACCAGCCATCGCTCGAGTGAAGCCAGAACCGGATACGAGTCTATCCTATCCTATCGGCCAACATACTACGACTAACTTTCTCGGCAGTCACTTGCCCTCCGTTAAGCCTGTGGTCAATGTCAGTACAAACGCATCTCCTAAGAAATCAAATGAGTCTAAAAGACGCAGCGATTGTCTCGCATTATTTATGTCTGATTAACGCTCATCCACTGCCCAACAGTGAAAACCAAACAGGCCTCAGTTTTCACAATCTAATCAGTCTCAGACGGAAACGCCATCGCGGTGGTTAGCTCTTCAAATGCACAGATGGATTCTGGTCCATAACCATAGACACAGCAATAACGACCTCAGCATATTTGCATATATTATACGTCCCAACAGTATTTTAGACGCTCATAGCTATAGACAGAACAGAAATCTTGTATATATGCGCTTCATAGCAGCAAGGCCGCTTTCAAGTAATCCATGATAATTCTATGACTAAACAATGAATATTAAGTCAAGAAGTATTTCAAATTCTACGAGAAACTCGGCAAAAAATTTCACTGCTAAGATCTAGATCTACAATTCGCTATTTAGTTCTAACATAATTGGTAAATGATCGGAAGCGTATATTTCATAACGAATATCGCAAGCTGATTGCACGTGATTAGTGAACCCCTATGTATAAAGCAATTCACTTACCAGCTACTTTATCGATAAGTCGCTCGTCAACGATAAAAGTATCAAGACGCCAACCTACGCCGGCACCTCTTCCGCCAATTTTCATTGAGTAAAATGTAAACTCGCCCTCTTCCTCCCATCCGTGCAGTTGACGCCAAGCATCAAAATGTTTCCTACGGTCATGGCTTAATTTCGCGTCGACAATGTCCTTCATCACGGTTTCATCGTTGAGAATTTTCTTCAACGACCGCCGCTCGGGCAAAGTCGTTCCAGCACTAAGGCCCCATGTTCCTCCCCCAGAATGCATGTCGCGCGGAACCGGGGTGGTGCTATTTGCGCGTCAGAGGTGTACCTGAAATGACGCAAAGCACATACTTGAGATCACCTCCCCATATCACAGGTTTAGTTTCCTCGAGTTGAGTGATCCACTCGAATAACGCATCATCCCATTGTTGCCTCAATCCCTTATCCTCCATCATGCCAGAATTTGGCACGTATGTTCCGATAAGAAATGATGATTCAAACTCGAGAGTTACAATTCGGCCTTTGGTTGAGGGAGGATCGGGATGCATCGGCAAAGTAAGCCACTTTTTGATCGGCTTAACTTTGGAGAGAATCGCGCACCCGGCATAACCCTTTTTTAGAGAATTGGACCAACTCTGATAAGGGAATTGAGCTCGCAGGAGTAGATTCCCGGGGGCCTCATGAGTCTGTTGACACGTCAGCACCAATGATTGAGATGAACGATAAGACATCTACCTGCGTAGAACGTAAGCCTTGTGGCTTAGTGTTGTATTATACAAAACCAACTTTTGTTTCGCATAAAATGAGTATGTCAGGCTTCTCGGCCTTGATGTACCTATCAAAACCCTTAAAGATTCAGTTGAAAGCGCAAATTGAGTCGCACCTCACCTTCTTTAAGATGCTCTGGTACGAGACGATGTTCCACGCAACAATCTTGACTGATTGGGGATACAAACGATCTGGTATGCAAGGTTTCTGTGGTATAGAGCCATTTTTCGAGTGCTTAGACATGACCGTTTTTGTTGAATAAGAACTGGCGCTACATGCTACAATAGCTTAAATTCTTATCGCGGCTTATCACTTAGCATCTGAGCTCGCTAAGCTTATATCGTGATCTGCAGTACGCTCGTTGCGTCATTCATGCAGCGACTCGCTTCGGCGAACTTTCTGAGGCAAGTTAGTGATATTGAGAGTATTAACAAGCTTAAACGAAAGCTGTCAAAGAAAAAATTCAACTCCGAGAGTCTTGCTTGACAGTATGTCAGTTATGACACTAATTATGTTCTTTCGCCGAAATGTAACTCTCTCACTCGAACAACAAGGATGCCAATTCTGAAATCCACTCAACTCACTATAACCAAATCACATCAGCCCAAGCTACACTCAAACAGCAAAAGACTGAGGCTAAAGCGTCGATCGTCCTCGGAATCAATTCGCGCTGATTTAGACGTAGATTTGGACTTTGGGAGGCTAGTTAAAACACCTAAGGTTGATCATGATGGCGTTGATCCCTTCATCGATATCACTCGCTTACGTATCCCTTCAACTCCTTTGGGCTGTCTTTCCCCAGGCGCTTCCTTCAAGGGTATTCAGCGTTCCGGCTGGCAAAGATACAACGTAAAGGTGGATATACAGGACGTTAGCATCACCAACTCTCAAGCTTCTGGCTACCTCTCTATAGACGGCCTTACTAGAAATCAGCCGACGATTACAACCTTCTTTACGGCTGAAATTATAGGCAATAAATACGGTTTCAGGACAAACAAGTACGATGCGTCTGCATCTGATGATCTAAAGCATTGGTCCAAATTCGACGCCTTCAAGCGCATCACCAAGAAAGATGACAACAGAATGACTTATGATCTCCTCAAAGATTTCACCCACACTAGAGCAATATTCATGAGATGGAAGGAGCACTTTTGTGTTCCTGACTCAGGTATTAAAGACATACCAGGTGCGAGCTTTGATGGTTTCTACTACGTATGCATCGATCTAGACTGCCCTCCATCCTCTTTATCTGGTAGACATCCATCAGTACCTGGATCAGGACCGCACTTATCAGGTTATTACTTCCGTGGGTACTTTATCCTCGAAAGTGGCTTATCTAACCACCTCCACCAGATCCACATTCCGAACCTTACCAGGAACTCAATCTACGTGAACTGCCCAAGACCACTTGTGACACGTTTGAATTTCGCTAGCTTCGCTTAAAACTCCTGCATGTTTTCACCACATTTGCATTATTAGTTTTGTATAACAACCGGAATTATAAATTGTACCATTAAATAATTTACATTAAAAACATCGATTGAAAGCTAAACCAGACCTTCTGATAGAGATGAAGAGTGCTATCGTTGCATAAAACACCGTCGGTAGCCATTCCAGTTAACAGACTATCTGAATCATCACGTGTACGAACAGGCGCGTAGTAGAAACCTGCTGTCAATACTAGATAGCTCAATATGAGGATCGTGCCTCTGTAATAGTTGCTTCTACTTTCCGTGAGCATATACGTGAGTAAGAACACGGCGAATATGATAGCGATAGCGTCCCATCTTGGGAAGATCAAGACAAAAACATTTTGAGGAGGTGTGTTTGCATCTGAAGTCAAGGCCGAGAATAAAACCATAGCTGGAATTTGTAATAAACATACTTGTAAAGCGTATGCCGAGGAGATTTCCATAGATAGCGCTATGTTTCCATTTAGAGCGAATGACATAGCGTTCATAAATTCTGTTGTATTAGGAACGAGTGCAAATAGAGATATACCGAGGAATTTCTCAGGTATGCTGCTACCTTCGAGAACGACATCTACCTCATTGACCAAGATCTCCGCTATTGCAGCATATAATATTGTGCATGCAAGAAGAACGGTAGACGAGGTAGTTCTGCTCCATTCTGGCGCTTCGTGACCACCTTCACCTTGACCATGACCACTATCGTGTCCCGTTTGAGTAGAAGGTGGCGCACCTCCAATTGATCCCTCTGGTACCGATTGTGTTAGGCTTGGTGGACGATCTGTTGGATTTTCTGCCACGATTGCTCTTGAAAAATCCTCGCCTGCCATACTAGGTGGCACCTGGACAAGCGTAGGCTGCGAGCCGCGCATTTGCACACTATTGGAAGATGCTTGTGTTTGTAGTGGTGGTTGCTGTTTCTGCAATGTCGCCGTGGCTGGTCTTACAGGTGCTTGCTTCTTGGGTGTTGTTGGGTCGTTCGTCACTGGCAATCCACCCTTCTTAAAGAAAGAAGCGCGATGCTTTGGTTGCAAAGCTGCTGGATTGGGTTGGGCATTCTGTACACCCTCCATTTGATGCATCAGTTGCTGAGGGTTTTGCCAGATCTGCGATGCGTGCGTGCGGAGTGAGAACCATAGTCCAACCAAGTAGCTCTGTTAATGATGTTAGCTTAAAACTTCTAAAATAAGCCAATGTCAACTCACCAGAACAAGTACAGCTGCGCAGAAGTACATCAAATGCTTAACATTGTCTTGATAGAATGAATCGGTATGTGGATCAACATGCTGGTAGAAGCATCTTTTACAGCTCCATGGTGCGTCCAAAGGTACGTTCTTAGGACAACCCTTACACACTAGCTGAGTAATACCATAGGTCTGGTAGAACAGGGTTGGCGTCAACGTACCAATGATAGCCATGATCAGCATCGTTGAAGTAACACCGGCAGCTTTGGCATTGAACCTAAGCTCCTTTTTACGCAGTGCTCCCGCACACATAGAAGCGCCAGGCATGAGCAACACACCAGCCAGGACAGAACCGACAAGTGAACCTTCGACCAGACTAGACTTGGAGTCCATCAACGCGAATGAATAGATGAGTATCTCGATAAGTGAACCAAATGTAGCGTTGATCACACTACCGACACCTATACTTGATTGCGCAGATATAGACGCGACTGCCATACCAATAAAGTAAGATAATGGGATGACAGATGATAGTGATAGAACGAAAAGTAGGGCTCTAGAAGTTATCAATGCCAATGGGCCTGATGTAATACCCTTCTTCTCAACGTAAGGTTGTAATAAGAAGGCATCCAGGATAACCAAAAACACCAATGGCAAGAGATTGACGAAGAAGATATTCACACCACCAACTGTAAACTTGTAATAACGAGTGCCACCTGCATTGTAAACACATAGTAATACCGTAGAGGTTTCTCCGTGCTTTGTAGGTGGTAATGATTGCCCAGCTTTAAGTTTTGGCACTGTGAACTGATTAGCAGGTAGACTGCCATCATTCTCATCGTTATCGTTGGAAGGAGTAGGTACTAAAACCCTAGGTGCTGGTCTGAAACGAGTCTGCTTAGGTGATGCGTATAGGTATCCAATTAATTCGTAGAGAAGCTTTCCCATCGGGATTGGTATAACTGCAAAAAAACTAAGCAGGGATACTAGACAGAGTGGTGGTGCTAGCAACCCGATCAACAAAGTATAATAAGCGCGTTCTGCTATCTTGGATCTCTTTGGAGATGGTTTGTGTTGATTGATGTTCTCAAGGACGGCACCGTAGCTCGTCTCACGTTGTGATCTTTGTAAAAGCGCACTGTACTCGTCGTTTTGTGAAGTGGATTGCTCGTTGTTATTGATTTCACCGTCTTCATGATGTGATTGCGGATCACGTCCAGCGCCTTCAACGTATTTGCCTCCAAATGGCCAAGAAATATACCAGGCTAGATCGTAAAGCAGCGTTACCCAGAGACTGTCTTTTTTGGTCCACTCAAACAAAAAGAGAAAACCGGATGCCAAGTAGCACAGGAGAGAAAGCCACCAACCAGCTAAGAGAAACCAGGCTATGTTAGCCATTGTAAAGCTGCTTGGATGGGACGTTGGCTCAGAGTGTAGCGCATTATTTGCCGCTTCGGTTGCGCTCCTAGATTTCTTATAAAGAGCAGGTTTCCAGATTGGGAGACCGAATGGATGCTCGATGTTGATAGCCTGGGTGGTGTAAGAGAGAGTAAACAGTCTATACGCAACCCACATTCTGTCTCTCTTTCAAAGTCAGCTCATGCGCTGGAATATCCTCATCTGCATCGCTAGGCTGTCTGAGCTCCTCTGAAGAATTATCTTCGTCTTGGTGATGTACTGAGTGATGCCTAAGGGTAGATTTTGACTGCTTTCGACGTGCTTGGGATTGCTTGTTTGGAGTGCGTGATGCTCTGCCATCCTCAAGGTCATTCGTGTCGTTGTTTTCACCCGCCATACTGGTGCTGTAGCTAGACTGCCTTGAATACCGCGGGGTGACTGAGGACGTTTTCCTATTTAGATGATCCCCCATATCGCCGTTTTAGATAAAGGAGATAACGGACAGCTGTCTAAAATTATAAATTAAAGCAAAAAATACATAAATCGGGCCAAAATTTAAGCTATTCAAGCTAGGCTATGTTCTTTTTGGCACCTCCTCTTCTCTTGGTTCCATTCTGTCTGCGCCTGGCTGCACAATCGTCACATAACCAATTACCGCTTGGAGCCTTGTCAAGACCGACGCAGGCGATGTGGAACCATTCTCTCTGGCACTGCTCATCATCGCATCCAATCATTTGGCCATACGATACGCCATTACAGTAGCAGTACCTGGCTTCATCCCCGTCATTTTCACCACCAGCCTGTCCATTGTCCATATCTTCGTACGAGGGTTCTTGAGCCAGTTCATTTGCATTCGTCGACTCTGCCATTCGAGAAGTATTGTACTGCTGCTGTTGAAAGGGCTGCTGTATGTAGTTTTGCTGGTAGATTGGCTGAGGTATCTGGGAGTACTGGTATGGTGACGGCGGTGGAGAATAGAGTGGTTGACCACCATTAGGACGTCTCTGCTGTGATGATTTTTCGATCTGTCTAACGGTTGTTGCCTTGTTAGCGTATATTTCTGATGGATTTGGTGAGTTGGTGATTGTTGATTCGTTTCTATTGATGTATCAGCTATAATTCTCGGCGTGTGTGTTACCCACCTTCTTTGATTGATGGCTGTGCGTGGACCAGCTCCAGAGATAGTTGGCACTCTCCGAGCTTGGGCCTTAGTTGAGCCCTGCTGATTCATAGACGTGCTCAGAGGGCGCTTGCGAGATTCACCATTGTATATAGCAGGCCGAGGAGGCTGTAGAGCGCGCCGCCGACCGTTAATAGCATTAGGACTGAGACTGAGCATCGCACGAGCGAACAGCCTTTGTAAGTTAGTTCCAGAAGGAGGGAATAGAGGCGCAGGTGGAAATAGACTTGGATCGTGTAGTAAGAAATGTAAGAGTACTTGGTCCATGTACCCGGTATGTGCTAACATAGTTTCACAGGTTGCAGTACCAATTTTTATCTTCTCCTCTTGATTTAGTTTAAATTGCTTTATCGTATCGCTTGCGTCTCTCAACGCTAAGAAACGTTCTTTAGGTGATAGAGAGTCCTCCTCAAGCGATGCAGACAATCTGTTCAAACGTGTGGTGATTTGATCTGCTGAATCTGTATAATCCCATATTAGCATGTTTAAAGTTGTTTGATACGCCTCTTACTCGATAAGTTGGCATCAGCTTCACGTAGCTCGTTGAAGTGCCGACTAAGTTCACGCGGAATAGAGTCTAGCGTGTCCAAATAGGCGTGCAGCAGGTTCAGTGAGTGTAGTTCATGAGGGGTTGTGCCTGCGCTCGTCGAGGCCATTTTGATGGTTTCGGTCAAAGAGTTAATTTAGATGCTCGTGACGGATAAGCGGGGTAATTTGACTTATCAGTTAAGAGAACTATAAGGGAGCTTAAATTCATTCAAATATACAGTACACTTGTATTACTCAATCTCCCAATGCGATATGTTTTGGAGTTTGAAGGCGATATGACTGCTAAAAGTCATTGTAGCACTATTATGTGTTATTTGATAGATTAGCTGCTTTACGCCCGCTACATGAACATTTGGAGATGTGACAGGTACAGACGAGTGGAACAACTGTAGAGAGAAATGACTTGCGAAGACTATAATGTACTGATAACCGATTATAAGATATTCTTTGAGGTACTTTAGTTACTGAATACTAGCCCAATACTTTTGCGCCTAGAATGTTACCCTTGATTCAAGTGACTGGAAATGAGGTATATATCCAGCAGATTTAAATTGATTACTGTGCTAGATTTTAAACGCGTATCGCGGCTATTTCTCAAATTGATAACCCCACTCAAATCCAGTCTGATGAATCCAAACACCGCTAGACATATCGAATGGGCAAAATAAATTGAAATGTAATATAAAAGACCCCTTATTCCATGAAGCAAAACTTAAAACTCAATCCAAACGCAATTTTAAACTAGGCGTATGACGTGTGGTGAAAAACCAACTGATGAAATCTATCAACCAAGGACAACTTTGAATCTTCAATATTACTTCTCCGTATTATTCTGCTCAACTCCGCGGCATTTCCGGCTGAAATTTCTCTTCTCCGCTTCAATGGATTTGAACTCCTCGGATCAGTTTCTTCCTACCAACCCTCAACACTGAAATCAATATGGTCTACACACTTATCGTTCACATGAGAGCAAAGCCAGAAACTGTCGAGGAAGTCAAGGGCAAGCTCCATGAAGCTTCGCGTATCTACCGTAATGACAAAGAGACCATCGACTGGCACGTTATGCAAGATCCAAAGGTGAGTAGAGTGAGGGTTTATATGCTCTGTACTAAGTATTTTCCCAGGATGCAACCAAGTTCGCCGTCGTTGAACGCTACGAGCAGGAATCTAGCCGTGGGTGAATCGATGGTGCTGCGATTGACGCTGACAGACTAAGAACACTACCACTTGACCAACCCATACTGGCAGAGTAAGTTTTATCGTTAATCGCTTATTTATCACTAACAGACATAGCTTTCGACCCATACGTTGGTTAGTGCAAAACTTACAACACTTACAACCCCCAGCTCACATCTAACTCACACCTCACAGTTCCACGTTTAGCCGAGGAGATGCAATTGAGCAGATTTGAGGAGTTCTAAGCTATGCCTCCATCTACAACCAACTCAATGGGATATTGATTGGATCTAATTTACTTTGTATAAAATCCTTGAAATGACATTCATCGAAGTATGCAATGCTTAAATTTATGTGACAAATATAAAAAACTATTTAACTGTTCCAGAAATTGTTCGAAAGGCTATTTACAACTTTAAGTAGCGCCTATTTAGTATGAATTGTTGTTCCACGGCCAGATTCTCGACAGTGATGGTTTTGACCGTCTGTGACTTCTTCTCCTCTCCTCCTTCTCCTTCAATTCATCCTCCTGTACTAATCTCCTGTGCGCATTCTCCCTCGTTACAGCTGTAGTTGCTGATTTGCCCAGTGACCTCACAATTGATGGTTGTCCTTCCATCGTGCTCATCCGACTGTATGGCCGTCTCTCCAACGATGAGCCTGAGCCTGACTCAGATGGCAACTTCTCCGGCGACGACATCCGAGGCGATGGTCGGATAGTATCTACCTCAGCATCGTATGAATTTTTAATAGTGTTGGTCGAGCTGCCTGACACGGACCTGTGGTGGTTAGAGAGGTAAATACTGCGAGGACGGTAACCCAGACGCGATGCGTTTTCGCTATCTGGTGAAGGCGAAGTAGCGTTGGAGTGAAAGCTAGACCGTCTGCTTTCCATAGTGGTGCTATTAGGTCTATGCGAGCGTATATCATCCAGACGACTCCTGTAAGGCTGTTCTTGAGGAACGAAAGCATTAACGCTAGATGCCCGACTGTGGTTTGGTGTCTTGGATGGGCTCTGTGAACCACTTAAATCTCTTACCAGACGTGACATTCCTACAAGAGTGTCTGTCAGGTCGCGCACTAATTCGTCTGCTGCTCTCTGTGCATTCTTTGCGTGGTCGTGCAGAAGGCGACAATCTTCCACATTTTCCGGATTTGAGAAAAGCGTATTCTCAGTTTCCGCTCTTAGTAAAAACTCTAGCGCTTGCGCGTGCAACTTGTGAATGTTCTCGGACGCTTTTGACATGTTCTTCACAGAGAGACTAGCACTGTTGTCTGCCTCATCTGATGATGCTAGATCCAGTCTCGACAATCCCATTTGAAGAGACTTTAATGAGTTGGCTAGTGTCTCAAGTCTTTTAGATGACGCCGGAGTGAGTTTCGTAGGAGAGCGCAAAATTTCATGATTTTCTAACAACGGCGATCTGTTCTTCGATCTTGAAAGCGGAACTGGTCGATCTGGTGAGAAATCTAGCGCAGACTGAGACCGCAAATGATTCGAAGAGCGACTTAAGCCCCTTGTCAATGGAGGTGGACGGTGATTTTGAGGTGACCACTGACTGTCAGCTGAAGAAGAGAAGGCCATCGACGTGGCTGGTCTGAACTCTGATCCGCCGAGGGAAGGTCTGTTGTTGAAACGTGAATTGCGCGATATACCATCTTTCGCACCCTCAAGCGAAGTGGATGTACTGTGTCGGACAGGGCGACTGTTAATTGAAGGAGAGCGACCACTTTCCAAGTCGTTGAGCGACGAGACCACCTGACGTCTGTAGTTTGAGGACGTGGATGGTGGCAGAGGTGTATGTGAAGTATGTGACGTGGTTGAAGCAGGAAAAGGCTGGAACGTATCAGGAGCTGATGTACCCATACTGGTTCTAGTAGTTACCCGACTCGAGGGTCTTACCCTTTCTGGACTATCGAATGAAGTACGTGACGCGATCGAATTCGATCTTGTTCTTGTAATCCTGGACGACGGGGACTCTTGGTCAAAGAAATCGCGCGGAATTCTGCTGCGCCTTTTGAATGAGCTGCTTTTAGAACCTTCATTTTCCTTTGGCGGACTTTGAGCGCGACGCGACTTAGCGTAACTGGAAATACTTAGACGATTGGAAGGCGTAGTCTGTGAAGATGCTTTCGAGCGCATGTCAAAATTAGATCTCGGGGCAGATGATGTTCTCGATGAAGCAACAGAGGCTGATAGCGGTGAAGGAGAGAAAGGGGAAGAAGCGTGATTATTCGATGCTCGTGATGGTGTCCTAGATGGAGTACTGTTCGCAAGCGCCCGCGCTCTCTCCAGTACCTAATTCGAACGCGTCAGTATGTGGGGATAGACGCGTAGACGACACCAACTTGATTATTACGCTCAACGAGGCTATCGATCTTATTTGCAGGGTGACTTTCAGGTGAAATATTTAAATTATTTTTCATTTTGTTTGTAGAATCCACCAATTTTCTATTCATTTCATCGGCAGCTCGTGGTTGCAGATTAAGAGGCAGAAACAAACTTAATCACGTACGATCATCTCGATTTAAAAATATCAGAGATGAGTGCAGCAGGACACAAAATTCTGCTTAATCTTGCAGACTGGCTCGATGAGCGCAGATCTATCGACAGGATCTGCCATCTCTCCTTGGTGCTGCCGGCACATACAGAACTTACACAGTGAGCTATGGATGGTTCAAGGTGGTTGCGATTTTATTAACCAGCGCATCCAGCTTACTTCACATGTACTTGGAGTCGTCGGAATCTCCAATCAATTTTGATAAACTGCAACCCACGGATCAATTACAGGAGGCGTTACTCGCCATTTGGAGATTCACGCAGTGCGATCCATCTCTTGTGAAGCACTGGCAGCTGCTCCCGCTTATCCATCTCATCAGCAGCCACGAAGACGCTGGGATCAGGCTTCTCTCTATATGGATTACAACAAGCGTCTACGAATTATCTATTAAATCCAAGAACACTCTTATCACCAAGTTTGTCGATTTTAGACAGCCTATTTGGCTTAAAGATGGTCAGGTACCCAGAGAAGACGGTCAATCGGTAGATAACATGATCGACGCTAGGAACTTATTAATATTGGAAGAGTCTCGTATTAGCAGCTACAGGCAGTCTATTAGCTGTGCACCCAGCCAGAGTACTCCCTCAACCACCAATCCTAGATTATCAGTCATCGCTTCCAAGGTTATTATCTCTAGACAGTCAACACACACGCCTCTGTCTAATTATATCCCTACTCCCCCACTCGAGTCAGCTCTGGTTGACTTGTCAGTCGCATACTCTACTCGCCTCCCAACAATCCTTTCATCGCCGCCTTCTTCTGGAAAATCCACGCTTATCAACCACCTCTCCTCAATTGTACACCCTCCATCCGCCACCCACCCACACATTCTCACCATCCATGCCGCAGATCCTTCCCTCGATCCAAAGGCTTTGCTCGGCTCGTACATCTCCACTCCCCAAGGTACATTCGCGTACGTGGAAGGTGCACTCGTCAAAGCAGTCAGGAGCGGCATGTGGGTCGTAATAAGGGACATCGATAGAGCGTCACAAGATCTCATGTCCATCATCTCAAAACTTGCTCAATCCCTTGGTCCAACCAAGAAATTGGCCGCAAAAGGTATCCTCTCGATTCCAGGCCGGAATCCAGTCATTGCCCACTCTTCGTTCAGACTGTTAGCCACAAAATCATTTACTACTCAGTCTTCTTTTTTGGGTTATTCACATTGGTTCCAAGTTAGCATACCTGAACCGTCGATCGAGGACGTAGCTACTATTATTGCCGGTACATTTCCAAAGTTGTCCAATGTCGCTATGAATTTCGTCAATGTATGGCAAACAGCAAGGGACGGTGCCAAAATTATGAGAACTGATGTCAAATCAGGTTCAGAAAGGACACTCGTATTGAGAGATTTGTTTAGATGGGTGAGAAGGGTAGAGAGGTTGCTAGAAGATGTCAACATCCACCCAAAGACAATCGACGATCTTACTCGCAATCCTATCGTCCAGGAAGAGATTTTGATAGAAGCATTCGATGTTTTTTATGCCCACAAATCAACGCAGCCAGCCATCTCACTGCTTGAGATGATCGGTGACGAGCTGCATATTAACTCTGAACGCGTGAAATGGATAGCCAACAACAGATCTGCCGAATACAAGCAATCTGATGTTACCTCTAACATCTCCATCGGACGCTCTCAGCTTAACGCCGTTTCAGCTATTTCTCTCGCTAACAAATCCAAGTCGACGTTCGCACTCACCAAGCCATCACTCAATTTGATGGAGAAGATTGCAGTTGGTGTGTCTCACTCAGAGCCTCTATTGCTTGTCGGTGAAACCGGTACGGGTAAGACTACCATGGTGTCTTATCTGGCAAAAAACTTGAACAGAAAACTTATTTCACTTAACCTGTCTCATCAGACAGAGGCAAGCGATTTGCTCGGCTCATTCAGACCTCTTGATCCACGTGCAGCTGCGGTAGATGTTTGGGGTACATACGAAGAGCTTTTTAGCACAACTTTCGACCCTACCAAGAACAAGGCCTTCTCATCAGCCATTAGGAAGAGTTACGTTAATGGCAAATGGGAGAAACTTGCTAGAGGATGGTTGGAAGCGACCAAAATGGCTCGTATCAAGATTAGCAAGGGAATAGCCAAGGAAGACAGCACAGAATCACCACGCAAAAAGCGTAAGACTAATGAAAAGTCTTCCTCCACAGTTATGTCCCAATCATGGGATGGATTTGAATCCAAGGTCAATGATTTCATTGTTCAACACGTAGACAACTTGTCTGGAAAAGCTAGATTTGTGTTCTCGTTTGTCGAAGGTCCTTTAGTGACAGCACTGCGAAGGGGAGATTGGATACTTCTAGATGAGGTCAATTTAGCATCGCCAGAGACTCTAGAATGCCTGTCATCCTTGGTCACCTCCCCTACTTCTTCGATTGTCTTGACGGAACGTGGCGATCTTGAAGAAATTCCGCGCCATCCTGACTTTAGAATTTTCGCTTGCATGTGAGTTTACATCTATATGTCGCGATTTTGAAAGTCTAACAAGCCTCAAGGAACCCAGCTACGGACGTAGGAAAGCGTAATTTGCCTCAAAATCTCCGTGAACGGTTCACAGAGATATATACAGCTCCTCCTGACAACGACAAAGACGCACTCGTATCGATCGTCGACAAATATATTGGTCAGCTAAGTGCTGGTGATAAGGGTGTCGTTATGGATGTGGCAGAACTTTATTACACCACCAAGATGTTGGCAGAGTCTCATGAGATCGCTGACGGTGCCAACCAGCGGCCTCATTACTCCATGCGTACTCTTGCACGTGCACTTTCATTTGCTGCGACAGTCACTCCTATTTATGGTCTGCGGAGATCGCTATGGGAGGGTTGGATTATGGCTTTCACCATGCCCTTGTCAGAGAAGAGCGCAAATGTTGTGAAAGCGCTGGCAGAGAGACACATAGTTAATCGAGCAAAAAATCCTCGTACTGTCCTTAACTCAGCACCACCCAAGCCAACATCCGACCAATATTTGGGACTTGGTCACTTCTGGTTAGAGCGTGGACCACTGCCTTTGGAAGTCGATGAAGGCTACATTCTTACTCCATCAGTGCAGGCAAAGTTGATCGACTTGGCTAGAGTCGTTTTGACTCGTCGCTTCCCAGTCCTCATTCAGGGTCCAACATCAGCTGGTAAAACAAGTGCTGTTGAGTACCTCGCCAAGCGTACTGGTCACTCTTTCGTTCGTATCAACAACCACGAACACACAGATTTGCAAGAATATCTCGGTACATACGTTTCTGATCCTGACACAGGTAAATTTGAATTCCAGGAAGGAGTTCTAGTGCGAGCTTTGAGGAATGGTGACTGGATAGTACTTGATGAGCTTAACCTTGCACCAACTGATGTCCTCGAAGCCTTGAACAGGTTGTTAGATGACAATAGGGAGCTGGTCATTCCAGAGACTGGGGAAGTCGTAAAGCCTCATCCTCACTTTATGTTGTTCGCCACCCAGAATCCTCCTGGTCTGTATGCAGGCCGTAAAGTACTCTCTCGTGCGTTTAGAAATAGATTTTTAGAAGTGCATTTCGACGACGTACCACAAGATGAGTTGGAGACTATATTATGTCAACGTTGCAAAATCGCACCATCCTACGCCAACAAGATTGTTGCTGTTTTTCGTGAACTTCAACGCAGAAGACAAGCGGAGAGAGTGTTTGAGACAAAACAAAGTTTTGCAACACTTAGAGACCTGTTCAGATGGGCAAAGAGAGACGTCATTGGATATCAGCAGTTAGCCGAAAATGGGTATATGCTTTTGGCAGAACGTGCCAGGAGATTGGATGACAAGGTTGTCGTTAAGGAGGTTGTCCAGGATGTAATGAAAGTCACCATTGATACCGAAGGATTGTACAATATGACAGAAGGTGACATGTTGGAGAAGATCGGATGTGTTCTGAAGGATGATACGGGAATGGTATGGACTAAGGCTGCCAAGAGACTGTTTGTTCTGGTCGCTATGGCTTTAAAATACAACGAACCAGTCTTGTTGGTTGGTGATACAGGTACCGGTAAGACCTCAGTCTGTCAAGTGCTCGCAAACACTCTCAACCAGCGTCTTCGAGATATATCTTGCCACGAAAACATCGAGACTGCGGACATTCTCGGTGGTCAGCGTCCTATTCGGAACAGAGCGGCGATGCAATCCCAGATAGTTCTAGAAGCAAATGAGGTGCTTGGTGGTGCTGTTGGTGGGGAAATCGATGGTATTAGCATTGCCCTGAATGAGGCGCTTAGTCAGGAAATGCCTCAAGATAAAATAGAGGTTATCCGGACTATTCAGACTAAAATCAAACATGCTACCGCGCTTTTTGAATGGCACGATGGTCCTTTAGTTGAGGCAATGCGTCATGGCGATCTGCTCTTGATGGATGAGATATCATTGGCAGATGACGCTGTGCTGGAGCGTCTAAATTCGGTTCTAGAGCCATCTCGCTCATTGGTGTTAGCTGAGAGGGGCGGCAAAGACATCGAGCAGCTGCAAGTAACCGCAACACATGGATTCCAAATTATCGCTACTATGAATCCAGGTGGAGATTTCGGCAAAAAGGAGCTGTCTCCTGCTCTTCGTAACCGTTTTACTGAGATTTGGGTGCCGGCTATTGAAGATCGTGAGGATCTCGAAATGATTATCAAGAGTTCTTGGAAGAACACGATTTTGGACAAGTATGCTTCCAAAATGCTTGATTTTGTCGACTGGTTCTCCGCTCACAACTTCGGCGGCGGTGGGATTTCAACGACCAGTGTTGGATTACGTGATTTAATCGCTTGGGCTAAATTCCTTGATTACGTCACAAAGTGGCTAGATCCTCAGCAGGCGTTTATGTGAGTTGATGACTAGGTTTCACTCTCAGTAACTTACTTATCCAACAGTCATGGTGCTGCGTTAGCCATCTTTGATGGGCTTCACTTCCACGCCCAGGAGAAGTGTGCTGAGAAAGCGATTTCCACAGTTGGTGCTACTCAAGAAGTCGTTTCCTTACAATCTACCATCAACGATACCCATGACTCCTTCTCCATAGGCCCATTCGGCGTTGCAAAAGGTGACCTTAGCACTTCAAACAAGTCATTCAGTTTCCATGCCCCCACAACTCGTCTCAATGGTATGAAAGTGTTGCGTGCATTGCAAGTGCCCAAGCCGATTTTGTTGGAGGGCAGTCCAGGTGTTGGTAAGACCAGTTTGGTTGCAGCTCTTGCGAACTCAACGAATCGACACTTGGTTCGTATCAACCTTTCTGACCAGACAGACTTGATGGATCTTTTCGGCTCGGATTTACCAGTTGAAGGAGGAAAGCCTGGAGAATTTGCTTGGCGGGATGCCGCATTCTTAAGCGCTATGCAAGAAGGCCACTGGGTGCTGCTGGATGAAATGAACCTTGCATCGCAGTCTGTTCTCGAGGGTCTTAACGCTGTCCTCGATCACCGTGGCTCGGTATTTCTGCCTGAGCTAGGCAGGCATTTCGAAAAGCACTCATCATTCCGTATATTTGCTGCCCAGAATCCTTTGCAACAAGGTGGTGGTCGTAAGGGTCTTCCACAGTCGTTCTTGAACAGATTTTCGAAAGTTTATGTCCAAGAGCTGTCACCTGAGGATCTTATCATTATCTGCCAACAACTCTACCCATCTTATCCACAAGATACCCTCACCAAAATGATTGAGTTCAACAGACGTCTTGAAATCGAAATCGCTCAAAAGCGCTCATTCGGACGTGATGGCGCTCCTTGGGAGTTCAATTTGAGGGACATTCTCCGCTGGCTTCAACTCTTGCATACTCCTTCAGCCGTCGAGACAGAGGACAGAAAGCCAAGCGATTATCTTTACAGCATCTACCTAAGTCGTTTGAGAACTGAAGTTGACAGGGAGTCAGCAGCAAACCTATACAAGTCCATTTTCGATGAAAAATTCTCGCTTGGGCGTCCACAATACCTCATCTCTGATAGCGAAGTCCAGATAGGTAATGCCCACATTGTTCGCGGTGAAAAGCACCACTCAGCTGTCCTGCCTACTATTACACTTCAATCGCACCTGCACGCACTTCAAACGCTAACAAGAACGTTTGATATGGGATGGCTTGCGATTATTGTCAGTCATGCCGCATCAGGAAAGACAGGTCTAGCTAGGCATTTTGCCGCGCTTTCTGGTCGCAAATTGCATGAGTTCGATATGAACGCTGGTGTGGACACTATGGAGTTGTTAGGGTCGTTTGAGCAAGCTGACGCCACGAGAATAATTCACAATGTCCTTAACTCCTTACTTGAAGACTTGGACAATCACCTCGGTATCAATGTCGACGAGGACCAGTTTGTGGCTATTGATAACAGCAGAACTATTATCAGAGCAGCTCAATCTGACTTTGAAAAGCACGGCAACAAGGCTATTTCTGTTGTCAATGAAAGCGTAGCAAGGGTATTTGAATCACGTGTTGGTGTTAGTTTCGAGACCTTTGAAACAGTCAACAAGCTTTTGGAAGACTACAATGCCCAATTAAGTCAGTCAGAGGCTGGCAGATTCGAATGGGTAGATGGTGTGCTTCTGCGTGCCATGAAGAATGGTGATTGGCTTCTCATCGATGATGCCAATCTCTGTAGTCCTTCTGTACTTGATAGACTGAACTCTCTATTTGAAACTGAAGGCAGTCTTGTCTTGAGCGAGCGTGGCATGGTTAAGAACCAAATTCAAACCATAAAACCACACCCCGATTTCAGAATGATCATGGCTTTAGATCCTCGTCATGGAGAGCTGTCAAGAGCTATGAGAAATCGAGGTATTGAAATATATCTTTCACCACCAACTTCGTTCGACAAAGAATCGATTCTCTCAATGACCAGAATCAGTGGACCATCTGACGCGTCGCTGATGAAGAATGCCGTCGAAACGCAGAAAGCTTCTCGTGGCTTACTGGAGGAAAGAAGAGACGAGCATAATTTGCCTTGGGTCAATATTGGCTTAGAAGATCCTGATGCAGAGGCAATTTCTCAATCCGCTTACATTCTCTCCTGTGGTCTTGACAAGGTCAGTGCTGATGCAGGCTTGCTGCAACTTGTCAGGACACTGAGTGTAGCTCGCTTGAAAACTAGCGCTTCAGCGTTACAGCTGCTCGATAGTCAGAACACCAACAATAGGCTTGTTCAGATTGTTGAACGTGTCGTTCAGTCCTCATTTGCACAAAGCCGTAATGTAAATTCAATGGTTGTGAGTTCATAGTCGTGCATTTAACGCAGACTAACTTTCTTTAGCCTCTCAGCACTCTCATCTTTGACTATGGTCTGTCTAGCGACGACGCCACTTATATTGGATACGTCGTAGATCTTTGTACAAGAATGGTTGTTGCGGGCGTGGACTGGGAAACTCGCAAAAAGACTGCGTCTTGGGTTAATCACAAGGATCTGACAATCCTTGATCGTGCTGCTCTTATCCAAGCGAAGAAGAACGTTCCTTCAAACACACCTGACAATGTTAATGAGCTTGGCATAGCTATCCAGCGTCAGCAAAAGCTTGGAGGAGTCATCGAAGGACTGTTAACAAAACGCGTAGATTTTAGCGTTCTAAAAACATTTGAACGCCTTGTTGATCTTCACGTGGAGCTGGAGAACACTACTAACAACGTCCACTTTGATTACTCCTCCATGCAAGTTGTGCTGGAAATGATGAAAGACGTCCTTACTCAGATTGACGTTCCCAACCAAATGGAGGCTATTGATGCACTTGCCACCACAGTTGAAATGAAGAGTGGACAGGGGTTAAATGAAATTTGGTCTTCACTCCTTCCAGATATTCGCGATAGGCAAGCTGATGAACTAATGAAAGGACTCAAGAAATATAGTAAAAATTTAAAGCCAGAGATGAAAGGATCGTTTATCGAAATCGTTGCCTCCCTTGGACTGTCGAAGATTGCACAAAACGTGTACGGATTAGCAAGCGATCTGCTGAAGGAGCTAGTCGTGGATAAACCAGCTGCTGAAAGTGATGAGCGTAAGGATGCTGCAAATGCTGCATTCGATGTTGCACTTGAGACGTCTATGATAGATTCTCCACAGACCGCCCAAGTTAAAAATGCTGCTTTGGTCCAACGCTTTACCCAGGACAAGCACGTGGATCCTTTATCTGTTGTGGGGTTGAAGCAAGCAATCTGGCTCATGGAAGTGCAGCCTGGGAAAGTTGACTCCACCATTTACTTGACAATGCTCACATCATGGATGGCGCGTACTTGGTCTTTACAAGATGTAAGTTATTAAGCTGACTTGACAAATTATGCTAAAACGTACTAGGGCCATTTCTCCGGTCCAGCAGATTTACTGAGACCACTCACACTTCGTGCTGTTTCTGAAAGATGCTCTCGCAACAAAAAGAGGTCTGTTAGAGATATCAGCACCATTCATGACAATCTTCAAAAGGACGCTAAAGCATTGGTGCTCAACTCTAGCTCGTTTGACAAACCTCGTCAAATGGTTTTGAAAAACGTTATGACAGTAGTGGTGTTGCTGGTGAGTAAATTATGCTTCGATAACAAAATTCTAACTTCGTTTAAGATCTTCAGTGCATTTGCTCCACAAATCGATGCAAGCGAAAATGATAAGGAGATGATTCTTCAACCAAACTCGACAGATGATTTGAATGTTGACAAGTTGAAATTATTGGCAGGAAAATGCCAACATCAAGAATTCAAGAACATCGCTGACACCGTCTTATGCCCTGCTTTAGATGTCGAAGTTTCCGACACACGCAAAATCAGCAGAGCTTGGATCAGTGTGTCAATGGCGTGTTTGAAACTTTACATTCCAAATTTTGCGCTTGACCCATCTGTTCCTGCACAGTCTAGGCGCTTATTCGGAAAGCATCGTGAAGAGAGACTTCTTGCTGAACTTGCGGCTGCGAAGGAGTATGAAAGAATTACAAGTGGAAATCAGACAAGCTCTCTTATACAATTTATCCAAGAGAGGCTTGCCAGTGTTCGTTCAGAGGCAACCTTTTCAACAGGTGTCACGATTAATCGTTCAACAGATCTCTCACTCCTCACGGCGCTGTATCAAGAACTGCATCACTTTGCTCAGCAAACTTATGCATCTGATAGGTTCACCACTTTGCTTAACAAGATAGAGACTTTACTAGATGACGAAGTACTATTCCAAGAACAGACAGTTCAAAGCAACATTGAAGGATTTTTAAGACGTCTCGATGGGGTTTATGCTTTCTACGAAGATCTTATTCATCCTATCAGACTCTTCTTACACATGTTGAGAGTTGGATTGCGTGCGTTTGCTCACACCTGCCGTGTTCAAGATAGAAGGCTTCTTGGTGATGCAGCTCCACTTAACAGCGTAGTTAAGAATATCGGACGCTTCCCTCTTATTTCAGCATTCGAACACCTCCGCTCAATAGATCTTCCTGAAGAATCCACGCCAATTTCTGATAGCACGTCTCCACCAACTAAGCTTCTGTTGCTCGACTTATCAGCACTTGCTTTCGAGGACGGGTTGGGTCTCTCTGCGGATAAAGACGTAGAAAGATACGACCAGGCCTGTGCTGCGTTGTACGAGCGTTGGAAGGTAGATAAAACACGGGAGCAGATTGCAGCTGAAGAAGCAGCTTCACTTTACAAACCTCACAACCATGATGAAGATATACTCGAAGATGCCGAAGCTGAAGAAGCTGACTTCAAGGCCTTATTCCCAGAGTACGAAGATGTTTTGAATGTCGATACTGCAGCTGCCAAAGCCGCTGGTATCGCTACATCTGATACTCAATCACTTGTTACGAAAGACGACACTTTAGCCGTTTATCAGCTTCATTTGGCTATATGCGGCTCAATCAGAGATCCATCATTCGCTACTCGTCGTAATAATCTCGTTCAGGATGCCGCTTTGTCAACATTTGCCACCCTTTCAAGTGAACTTGACCAGCAAACTTACTCAATTCAGGTTGGTGTTCTTGCCGAGCAAATTAAGCAATTTGAAAGCGCTGGCGATATCTCTTCATTTGACTTCTATCATGATGCAGACATCTCTCAAAATAGACGCGCCAGAGACGTCGTTGACAGATTATCTATTCGTTTGCTGCAAATCTATGAGGAGTGGCCTGACCAGTTGATACTTCAACATCTCAATGAGCGCTGTCAGGCTATTTTGCGCATGGACTATAGATGTCCTTTGGCTGCCACACTAAGTGCGCTCGAGACATTGCTGATGCAAACCGAAGATTGGGAAAGCAACGCTAGCAGAGATGTGAGTAAGCCTATAAATTTTAAAACTATTTACTGATTCGAATCAGGTGTCGCTTAGCCTAAATAGGGATGAGATCGTCGGCCTGATTGTGTACTGGCGGCGTATGGAGCTTGGTACATGGGCTACCTTACTGCAACGTCAAGAGTCTATGTTCAAAAATGACTTAAGTATATGGTGGTTTAGATTCTATGAAACTATCGTTCATGGTCTGGAAGCGGCATCGCATACCGAAGATCCTGAAGAACAAGTGACAAAGCATTTGAGCTCCGTTGTTGAACTGCTCGACAAGTTCCTTTACACCAGTTGGACCGGACACTACTCTCCTAAGCTTGCTCTTATCAAGTCGTTTGCAGAATTGCTTGATAGGATTTCTACTCTACGTTCCCGTGAGACTCTCACTCGCGCATCCAAGCTGCTCAACGGTATATATTCATACTACCAACAGTTTGAGCATCGTATTAATGATAGTATGCAGCGCAAGCGTACCGATCTGGAGAGTAAGATACAAGATTGGATCAAAATGGCTAGCTGGAAGGATGTTAATGTCTTTGCGTTACGTTCCAGTGCTCAAAAGACTCATCGTCAACTTCACAAGAGTATCAGAAGTTTCAGAGACATTCTCAATCAGCCTGTAGAGTCTTTCCTGACTCGAGACTCTGATGTTGGTGCTCAGGCTACACTGTTATCAACGCAAAGCTCTGCACTTTCCTCTCAAGACGCTAGTGGCATGGACGATGGCTCAAGAAGACCAATCGCGCCTGCACAGTCCCATCTCCGTACCCTTCCATCTTTGTATGAAAAGCTTAAGCAAAAGCTGTCTACTGAAGTTGGTCAGGATGAATCGGAGGCACTTGATGACCTATCAACGACTATCATCACAAAGACGCAGGAATTCCGCAAAGCAACGCCTATGCATATTACTGAGGAGAACAAGGGTACAGTCAAGTCTCTCACTGCTCAGAAGCACAGAGCTTGGGGAGATTTATTGAAGGAGCTGAAGCGTTTGGGACTCTCCCCTAATCTGAGAGCTGACATGGCTGGTTTACTTAGAGATTCTTCAAAATTATTCCAACTTCCAAATCTCATGATCTTAAACGGCGAAAAGGCTTCTCTAAGTAGCACTTTATGTGAAATGATCCCAAAGGCGGATTCGTATCACTATCGTGTACTCGCTTTACTTCCGCGTTTGAGAGTTTCACTTGCTATGCACGCTGAGGATGTCTCTACGAAAGATTTAACCCGCGCTCTGAATTTTGTTGAGAGTGCTATGGCTGTTACCGTTAAGCAGAGAGAAATGTGAGTGATCGATTGATTTGATTGATTTGACCCTCGCTAATCATCTATAGCTTCTCACGTACTTTGAAGTCACTTCAGGTCGTCACAGGCTTGACAGAAAGACTCATGGAACTAGGTGCTTCGGAGGAACTCTCTGATTCAAGCTTCAGTTGTGATCAGTTAGCTGTATTGAAGAATTTCTTCTTATCAGCAGAGAATGTTTTCAAAGAGGGTTCAATGTGTATCGATGACTACTTGCACCTTACAAAGGCAGCTGGTCAAGCTTCTGATAGCTCGATCAATGATGCGCTTTCCGCCTTTGACAGCTTTGCGATGTCAGCTAGTTCTTTATCCAACAAAGTGGGCGACCTGTATGAAAGTTCATCAGGTTATAGTCTATTTACTCAAGGTATTTTTACTTATCCAGCTTTCGGCTTTACTGACGCAATTTCAGATGATGTTAATTTGATTGAAAAGGCATCTGCTGAGGCTTCAAGCTATCTCACCACCATTCGCGAACTTACTATTAGAGTTCCATCCCTCTCACACATCCTCAAACCAATGTCAGAATGGCTTAGTAAAAAGGTCATTGATACAACCTCATTTGAAGCACCAAAGAAAGACGTTGATGTTAAAGATGTCTGGTTACAAAGTGACGCTCTCATTAACAGTGTTCTTGTGGTTGCTCAATCTGCTCAGAAGACCGAAGAATTAGCCAATGAGGACATGGATCTCGCTGACAACGCATTTGGAATGGCTGAAAATTCACTAAAGCGCTTCACCAGCAACGCTCGCGTTGACAGTGTCAGTGGCGAAGTTGCCAAATTCTTCGAACTCCTCTCACATGCTTCTAATGAACACCGTGTCTCATCTGCCACAGCTCTCAAGCGTTCAGTACCATTCATTAGACATTACGTTCAATGGTCGTCAGGGGAGCTAGACAGGATGATAAGTTGGTATAAAGCCACACTCAAGTTTGCCCTTATACTTGCTTCGACATTTCTATCGGTAGCTGAAAAAGGCTTTTGTAAGCCAGATGAAATGGATGACGGCGAGGATGGTGAGCAAGGTGAAGGAAAACTTGAAGAGGGTACAGGTTTGGGTGAAGGAGAGGGCGCAGAGAACATTTCGAATCAAATTCAAAACGAAGAGCAAGTTGAGGGTCTCAAAGATGAAGGTGGCGATGAAGGAGATGAAAAGAATGACGATGAGAAGCAAAAAACTGAAGCTGAAGATCAAGCTATTGAAATGAATGAGGACTTTGATGGTGATATGGATGATGCGTCTGATAGAGACGGCGAAGAGGGTGAAGAAAGAGATGAAGAAAACATGGACGAACAGATGGGTGATGCAGATCCTCTTGATCCTGGTGCCGTAGATGAGAAGATGTGGAATGATGAAAATGACCAGGAGAGTGGTGAAAAAGATGACCACGTCGACAACGATGCGAAAGGTCAAGGCGAGTCAGAGACCGTTGCCAACGAAGACACGAAGCAATCCAACAAAGAAGATAATCCAGAGCAAGGCGAAGAAGCTGGTGATGAGAAGGAGGAGGGAGGTGATGAGAAGGAAGAGATGGGCGATGAAAAGGAGGAAATGCCAGAAGCACAAAATGATGAGGAGGTTAGTATGAATTGGGTGTTTTGCTGCCACGTTGCTGACATACTTTCAGGGACCTGGTGAAGAGGATGAAGGTGCCGGACAAGATAAAGGTGACCAACTTAATAACGAGTTACCGGAGCCGGAAATGCTTGATCTACCAGCAGGTATGGAATTAGACAACCAACAGAAAGAGAAAGAGGCTGGTGATGATGAAGATGAGGAAGGGTTCGAAAATGATGATATGGGCGGAGACGATATGGATGGAAATGAAGTTGAAGAGAAGGGTGAATCTGAAGAAGGAGGTGATGAGCCACGCCTAGACGAAGCTCAAAAGGAGGGAAGCGATGGCGAGGAGAATGAAGAAGATCCTACAGGAGAGAATGAAGACGCAGATAAACCAGACGTAGAGCGCAATGACGAGGAACAAGCTGCTGAGGGTGAAGAAGGCGAGGGCGAGCAGGAGCAAGAGAAAGACAAAGCTGGTGAGCAGCCTCAAGCTCAGCAACAAGAAACTCCAGCTGCTCCTCAGCAAGCTGACAATGGCGGGGGTATGGATGAAGGCAATCAGGATGACGGTGGTGCTGCTCAGGGCACCACAGGTCAGCAAGCGGATGCGAACAAAAATGACGCTTCAGTTCAAGAGACGCAAGACCAGGCATACGAGTCTCAACCAACGTAAGTCTACTGATGAGATGAAGAATTGTCTAACGCTACCTCAGTGAATTCGACCCAGCATCCCAAGCTCAAGGGCAAATGGCAACTAATGAAAATACTGAAGCCAGCAGAGATCAACCACAAGATCAACAGGTTGATCCAAACCCACTTCGCAGTTTAGGCGATGCGATGCAAGAGTTCAGGCGCAGATTTGATGAAATCGCCGAAGCACAGGAGCGTCCATCCGAGGGCGATGAGAAGGGTGCTGAAGAGCAGATCAAAGATGATCAACCACTTGAGTATGTCAAAGAAGGCGACGAAGATGCCAACGATACACAAGCACTCGGTGCAGCACCCGATGAACACGTCGAGAAGCTGAATGATTTGCAAATCGCAGATGAAAACAAAGAAGCTGAGCAAGACGCGGAAATGGACTTTGACGATGACCACATGAATAACGAGGCAGGATCATCGAACCAAATGAAGCAGATTGATACTGATGCCAATGCTCCTGAAACTGAAGAAGGTCAACCTGATGCTATGAATATCGATGAGGAGACTGAAGAGCGTGTCAAGCAAGAAGAGGAGGAAAAGATTTTGGAGAGTGACACTGAAGAAAAAGAACAGGAGATGGATCAGGCAGCAGAGCTGAAGGTAATGGAATGGACTACCGGCGGAGAGAAGCGTGATTCGAAGGATGTCTGGAAAATTTATGAATCCATGACAAGGGATCTTTCTTTCGGATTATGCGAACAGCTCCGTCTCATCCTTGAACCAACTCTTGCCACTAGACTGAAGGGTGATTACAGGACTGGTAAAAGACTGAACATGAAAAAGATCATTCCTTACATTGCCTCCGAATTTACCAAAGACAAGATTTGGTTGAGACGCACGAGACCTTCCAAGAGAGAGTATCAAGTTCTGCTCGCTCTCGATGACTCTAAATCCATGTCGGACGTACACACCATCCACTTAGCATTCCAGTCTTTGGCACTTATTTCGAAGGCTCTGACAACACTTGAGGTTGGATCTATTGCCATTTCCAAGTTTGGTAAATCAATGGATGTCTTACACAGCTTTGAAGATGGCGTGTTTACAGATGATGAAGGAGCAAAGGTGCTTGACAGCTTTACGTTTGCTCAAACAGAGACGAACGGTGAGTGAAGGAGTTACTTAATGACTATTGCTAATCTGCTCATAGTACACTCGCTGGTTGATACTTCACTCGACATGCTCGGAGATGCAAGGGAAGGACAGCGCGATGAAGAGTTGCACCAGCTGATGTTCGTCCTCTCTGACGGTATCTGCTCGAACCACGAAAAGATGGCTAGACTGCTCAGACGCGCTCAAGAAGACAAAGTTCTGATAGTTTTCGTGGTGCTCGACTCGCTCAAAGAGGATTCGAACTCTGTCCTGAGCATGACCCAAGCCAGCTACAAAATGTTAGAAGGTAGACCTCAGCTGAGTGTGGAGAGATATATGGACACGTTCCCATTCCCATACTACGTCGTAGTAAGAAACATAGACAATTTGCCTGACATTTTGTCATCTACCCTCCGCCAATGGGCTGAGGCATTGACGAACTCAAGCGCTTGAGTAAGCGCATAAAAAAAACTATAGACTTATTTATTATGATGCATTATTTTTGTTACTGTATGAAGATTTGTGTAAGGCGTATGCGTAGGATTGGTGTAATGATATGCTATAGATGGTTCATAAATTATTGAAGAGTTAATGACAACCTAATAACGTGAGTAATAGCATTCAAAGAAGAATAAAATGGCGAAGTAGACAAATTTACCCTAGATGTCTACCTGAAGAAATATAAACTTGGAATTGACTTGCCAAATCATGTATTATATTTAATGCTGCAAGTAAAGAAATTGTAAAAAAAATTGTAAAAAAAATTGATGTCAAACACGAAAGTCCTTTAAAAGGAGGACATAAAAATGCATTAACCCGGAATTGAACCGGGGGCCGATCGAATTCGTTTAGTGGCAACGATCGAGGTTACCACTACCCCATTAATGCTTGATAATATCATCTATTTTTATATTGATATAGTGCTTTTGAAAAGTTTTAGACTTACTTTCAAGTTTTTATCTCAAGATGTTTTAGTGTAATTGAGAAAAACCAACAATTTACAAATTACGAGGCTAGTGAAGGAACGCTTCCAGTAAATTCAGCGCCACCTTTGACTCCTCATGCTTTGAGAAGTATTGATGGACGCAGTTTTCAACATGTAATGTATCAACAATACATTCAGATGCCATCATCAGGATTTTAAAATCTTCCAATCAAATTTAGCTTTGACTTTTCAATCTGAATGAAATTTAGCATATTATATAACAAAAATCCCTTGTCAACACTAGCTAATTTGAAAACCATCAATTGATGTTGTTAGTACATTGATATTGAAAATTTAGTGCAGCTTTTCCGAATAAGCAAGATACTAGAATCTCTGCATTTATTGGTCAAGTAACTTGGATTGAGAAGCCCAATTATCTTCTATACATATATATATAAATACTTTATTTTGGGACAATGGCTTATATACTACTATCTCAACAGGCAAGCTTCAAAAAGCTAGATGAAAATATTAAAATTTGTTGAAGTAATGCAGTTTCCAAGACATATCTTAACTTCTACTTCTTAAGTAAGAAATAACCACGTTTACCGAGACGTAGATAATTTCTTCAATGTGAAAATAGGTGAGAAGATAGCCAAATCAGAGAAGAAAAAAGAAAGTGTGTGTGAACTGTTTTCAGGAGTATCCAGAATAATATAATGCTGCAATACTAAACGGAATACGTTTTAGGACAATCCACCACTGCGCGCTTATTATTTTTATACGGTGTTTCGTAGAAAAGCTGGGCAACATTAATTAGCAGTGTATGGGTATTTATAGAACGAGAAGTTTCCCATTTTACATACACTTATGGAGCCGAGTCGATGTTACTGAGTTATTTAGAAAAATCTGTGATTTTTTGCTTTTCCTAGAGCTTGAAAATCCGCAAACCTTCAAGTTAGCATAAGATAATTCTTGAATTCGTACTTTCGTTTAATTTAATCCCTATTGGTATGATCAGAAATTTGTATGTCTCGCTTAAAATACTACTGAACGATATAATTAGCCTATATAAGCCATGAATCAGTTCACACTATTTCAATCTGAACTAGTAATTCTTCCTAACTCTGTTTGTGCTCTTGCATACTCCTATGTTCTCTCGCTTTTATCGAATGAGCAATTTGAACTGTAAGTTTGTTGAGTGAAATCAGCATCTACTCATACTCAACTCTTGAAAAACAGCTTAAAACGTGCAGTATAAAACTCCGACTACACGCTAACGCATAACTTGCTGCGCCGTGTCATTGTTTTTTTCATCATAAACCATGCCCACACTTTCTAGATTGGGAGCTTGCCATATGAAATTGCTCTGAAATAATTGGGTAATTGGAAATCAACGATCTGTGTGAGCTTTGCTTAGCAAAGAAAGTTTTCCAAGACTATCATAAGTTTTGATTATGTGATTCGTATGTTTAGACCCGAAACATTCACCGCAACTTGGATTCACTGACCTGATACAATAGAAAGTATATGTCTCAGGAATATGATATTGATAAGTGAATCACATCTGATTACGTGTGTACACTACACATTTTGTTTGTAGCCAACTCATACAAGTCTGCTTTCGTCAATTTCAGTAGCTTTCTTTTGCGTCAGTGGATATAAGAGGAAATCCTTCACGTCCTCGAACAATTTTCTATACTACCAAATTCGAAGATATTATTTCGAACTCTCTTAATAATGTGGGTGGGAAGCTTCTTAAGAATGCTAACTTCACAAGGCTCAAAGTAATAAGGGTCTCTACTGGAGATTCAAATATTATGTCAATGATTGACAACATAAATTTCCATGATGGCGAAAAAAAAAGGCCAAGACAAATCTGACATCCACGTCTTCTTTCGAATATCAAGGTATTGGGAATGACGAAGAGGCAGACTTTTACGATAAGTTTCAAATTGTATCTCAAAGTAACATTCCCGCTGAACTCAATGGAGGATTCGAACGAGACATGCTTACAACTGATCATGCCGCTTGCTATACGAGCAAAGTCACTAAACCTATTGCCTTCTGATGACGGACGCACAATTCATGTCATTACGCATAACATGAATTTTGAAGTATATCGTTAGTCATAAATACATGATCTTGAAGCATACAAGATTAGCTAGTAGTGAAACCACCGCCGTTCACGTGAATAGTTTGACCTGAAGAGGTGAGTTAGTAGAAAAAAGGATTTAGAGTCAACACTCACCAGTGATGAAGCTAGAATCGCTTGAACCGAGGAAGACGGCAGCGCAAGCGATCTCTACACTCTCACCGGGGCGACCGAGAGGAGTAGTGAAGCTTTCCTGGGCAGGTTCGAGCATGGTAGACTCTCTCAACGGAGCCTGTATAGGGCCTGGAGCAATAGCGTTGACTCTTATGCCCCTGTTGGTGTATTGATTCGCGAGACCTCTAGTGAAACTGACTACAGCCCCTTTAGTGGAGGTGTAATCGAGCAGATCTGGTCTACCAATGTAGGCATTTACAGAGGCGTTGTTTATGATATTAGCGCCGGAGTGGGGTTTCATGTGTTTCAGTGCAGCTTTGGAGAGGTAGAAGAGGGAGTGGATGTTAGTTGCGAATGTGTTGTGCCACTGTTCGAGAGAGATATCTTGTATATCGTACACCATAGTCTGAGTGCCATGGTTATTGAACAATATGTCAATTTTTCCGAAAGTGGACACGGTCTCGTCGACGGATTTCACACAATCCTGCTCTTCTCTGTGATCAGCAGCGAAGCGATGCACTTTAGCATCTGGTTTGCGCTGTTTGATGAGGTCGATGGTGTCGATTGCGTCCTTTTCTTCCTGGGGAAGGTGCGTAAATACGACAGCAGCGCCTTCGAGAGCGTAGAGTACACAGGTGGAGCGGCCAATACCGCTGTCACCGCCAGTAACGAGTGCCACACGACCGTCCAACTTGCCAGCTGGTTTGTAGGGGCCGTCTGGAAGTCTGTCGATGACAGGCTTCGAAGGCATGTCGGCTTCCAAGCCGGGCTTGTTTTGACGGTTAATTTGAGGGATGTAACCTTGTTCGAATGGCTGTGACATGGTTGATGGAGTGTTAAGGTTTGCAGTTGACCTCGAGTCTCCTCGTGGCTATCCATCGTTTAACGTCATAAAGTGTGAGAATGGGTGATGGCATCTATTTATTGCTTGTGATGTACTTTGTGTGTAAATGTAATGGTAAATTCTCTTTTAACCGCGTTTGACCAAATGCGTGCATCTGCTTGCGGCGTCTCACCGAGCATGCGTCTCAGCGCACCTCTATCATCACAAAGTTTAAAGTTGAAAGAAAAGAATGACGCTGGCGTCTATTTTAGAGAATGTGAGTGGAGGGTGCGTGGATTGGGAGACGTGCGCTAATCCACTCAGTCATCACACGTAGCCGTACTCGCATCAGCTGAGGATTTCGACAGCGCTGAGAGCACAAACACAAGCACCCACTCGCTCACGCTCAACGGGAAGCCCGTAGTCCTCACACGCGCACCTTTCCCGCACGCCGACAGCGTTCTTGAACAGCACTCTACCGCGTCTGACCAAGGCCGCGCGTTGGTAGCCGCAGCATTCACAGACGGTGCAGAAGGCGCAGGCGGTGGCGTGGAGTGCAACACCAACAGCGCCAACAGCGCCATAGACGAGCAACTCCACCGTCTCTCTATAAGGGATGGCGACCAAGGTGCTTTCTCCGAAACACAGAAACCTCAGACACCACCGGCAAACCCACCGGCACACGCCACAGTGCCCTCCACGCGGCGTCCGAGCATACAGCCGCAGCTGAGCAGAGCTGCGATGCTGCGCATGGGCATCACTCCCCCGCCCAAGCGCGAGCAGGGGCGTGCAAACACAAGCGAGAGTGCAAGAGTAGAGAGCAGAGAAGGCAAGCTTGATCGTGATCGTGCAACTCCCAAGCCAAAATCACTCGGCACACCCAAGATCCAGGTACGCCAGTCGCGCTCTTCTCAGCTGCGACGTGGGAGTGAGGGGGTTGAGGGGGGTGAGGAGACTCTAACAGCAGCCAGACGACGCACAAGCAGCACACCAGTGGATTACTCGAGCACACCCGGACATCGTCGCGCGAGTATGGCAGTGGACGTAGCTAGCACACGCCAGCCAGTCTTCACTCCCCGTCAGACGCGCGCTAGTAGGTTGCGATTGGGGGGTGGCGAGGTGGACGAAACCAGCCGGTCGCCGTCTGCCCTCTCACAAAGCAATGGCGCAAATGGCGCAAATAGGGACATATTCGCCAATACACCCGGACATCGTCGCGCGAGTATAATCGTAGACGTAGCTAGTACGCGCCAGCCAGCTTTCACTCCCCGCCAGACGCGCGCTAGCAGATTGAGGATGGGCAGTGAGGCGGATGAGGCGGGTGAGGCTTCTGTGAATGGAGGCAGACCGTCTTCGACCCTTTCGAGACGCTCTTCCACCGACACCTTCACATTTGCTAGCACCCCTGGACATAAACGTGCCCTAAGCATCCCCGTCAAATCCACCAACACCCCTTCCATTGCCGCTCGTGAAAATAAAAGCTCTGCACTCAGAGCTAATCGTATGTCAACAGATGTGCACGACTCAACCAAAAAACCATTCAATCTGTCCACATCAATCGCGAAGGACAAGTTTGTCGAGTTTGACAAGAAGAAGGTGAAGCCGGTTAAGAGAGACAGTGGTGGAGTGTTCTAGGATTTGTTCACTGCTGCTTCTGCTATCTCTCCTTGTAGTTCACTTCTTGCTCAAATTTCCGTTTTTCTTAATTGGAGTCAGGCTATTCCAGATTTGTTATGTAATATTCATGAATCGTAGTATTGTCAAGATCGTTAGCGTTAGTTGATGATATAGTGATACAAATGCCAATCTCGCAACCAAACTAAATCACATATCGCTATACTCCCTCTGGATGAATTTTGCGATAGTAGCGAGCTGGATGTTGGTAGTACCTTCGTAAATAGCGCCGATCTTACTATCGCGCCAGAACTTTTCAATGCCCGTCTCCCTCGTAAACCCAACTCCGCCAGCCCATTCGATTGCGTCACCCGAGACAGCTTGTGCGATGCGCGAAGCGTAGTATTTGGCCATCGCCGCCTCTTTGGTAAATGGTTTACCTTCTTCTTTGAGTCTCGCAGCGTTGTATGTGAGAAGCTTAGCGGCTTCTATTTGGGTGTGGGCGTCTGCGAATGCGAATTGCATGCCCTGTGTGTGGTTGGAGTGTAGTGTAATTATTTCATACCCCTACTCACTTGGAATTCCCCTACAGCCTTGCCGAATTGCTTGCGTTGGTATGTGTACGGTACTGCTTTGGCGAATGCGCCTTGAGCGAGACCAATCATTTGAGCAGCGCTGAGTGGTGAGTGTTGAGTGCGGAGTTGCACAACTAAAAAAAATACAACTCACATTCCAATTCTACCTGTGAATTTTGATGAGTTGTACAGTAAATACTAAACAAAACACCGCCACACACCTTCGTTGAGTATGTCGATGGCTATCTTGCTGTTAATTGATTAGATTCTGCGTAGTAGGCAAATCGAGAACACACTATCCTTTGCCGACTTGGCCCATGACTTGGTCATCGCGGACAAATACATCGTCGAAATTGAGGACACAGGTTGAAGAGGCTCTGATGCCGAGCTGGAAGGAGGTTAAAGGAAGTGAATGAGCGTGAAAGACACCACCTTCTGCTCCTTCTTGGCAATTTGGACACCTTGGTCTTTATCGACGATGAAACACGTGATGCCTTTGTAGCCAAGGGAAGGATCTACATTGGCGAAGACGAGGAATACTTGAGCTTCTGCGGCGTTGGTGATCCACCTAAGAATATGTGTTAGAGTGGGTAGTATTCAACAATTCTCTGACATTTTTGTACCATTGAGGATATAGCCATTGTCAGTCTTTGTGGCTTTGGTTTGGAGAGCGAAAGCGTCAGAGCCGGATGCCGGTTCGGAGAGACAGAAAGAGCCGATCTGAGGGGGTTTAAAGGGGAATACACGACTAATACACGTAGCTGACCTTATCGGTAGTCAACTGGGGCAGATAAAGCTCCTTTTGAGGATCTGTAGCGTATTTGTTGAAAACTGTACAAACAAGGGTGTTGTGTACATCGCATAAGACACTGACAGATGGATCGACCTTTGCAAGTTCTGTGGGATGCTCTAGTGTGATGACGTATTCGATAACATCAAGACAAGTAACGCACCCTCGATGGCCAAAATAACACTCATGAAAGAGGATTCAGAGCCATTGAACTGAGAGTCAACCTCGATACCCATTAGCTGTGATTTGTTGGTAAGACATACGATATAAACACGCCTCTCACGCCTTGATTGAATAGATGAGAGATTACGTCATTGCTCATATGCTCAGATTCATCCATTTCTCTAACTTTGGGGGAGATAGCTGATTGAGCCAGTTTGCGTACTGTGGAGGGTGTTACATGGTGTCATAACCGGCGAGTAGATCTAACCGGAGTCTTGGAGCATTATCTCATCGGCGGAGAGAGATGAGAGAGATGAGAATGGCCTAAATTTATTAGATCTAATAAAGTAACTGCCACGCCTAATAATGTTATTTAACATGATGGTTAGGGATAGAGATGAGTATTTATCTGTTTTATATTTTAAATTAAAAACCAGGTGTAACGACCTAGAGTGGATGTTAGTTGTGGCTCTTGGCTCTAGTATACGCAGCCAGACTCACGCCTTGCTGTTGCTTGTTATCACCCTCAGGAGAGAGCATTTGCTGTGCGCCTGATTGCTGGGCCATCAACGACTTCTCCTCCATTGAGATTCTACTCTCATCTTCAATAGCCAGTGCGAGTGGTAAACCAACTAGTAGTGAAGAAGTTGTAACAACCCAAACGAGGTTTCCAAGTACTTTACTTGAACTTCTTGTAAAATTGAAGGTGGTTGTTACTTTACTTAAAATTGAGTTTCTTGTCTCTAATGGAATTATATCCTTCAATGCTGAAAATCTTTCAAAGTATGTCTCTTGTGATGGATCAAATTCTTCCTCAGCGTCAACTTCCTGCTCAACGTCGCTGTCCTCACTAATCTCCTCATCTGTGTATTCATCCTCGCTTTTTAATTCGTGAATTTGTACCATTTTGGTGGTTGTAGTGGATGTAGTGGTTCTAGCAGTGTACCAAGCAACTTCCATGAAACCCTTCTTCAAGCACACGGACTACAAATTCAGAATCAAGTTTGAATATTACAAGCCTCTTTTACTTGGATCGCCTTCCCACTCGTACACCGCTTACATACGCTCTCAATTCCGTACCTATAAACACACCAAGAAGGCTAACAGGGTGAGGCAGTTGATTGCTAAATTCGACAAGCAACTACAACAGCCACCTGCGATACTAGCCATAATTGGTGATAGATGGTTACGCGTATCTCAATCTCGTCAACAAGAACATGAAAAACGATACACACGGCACCTCTACAACATTCAAGCACACGTAAAGACACGCCTCACTGGCTCTCTTATCTACCCAACCTACCATAATCCACCTCTCCCCCGTCTCAAACCACAGCCACTCGAGATACACTCTATGATTCGTCGAAGAGTGCTCAAACGTTTTAATATTCTCAACCAACTCAAAATCGTTAGTGGTCATATACACGACTACACTATGGAAAAGCACTTTTTTAACTTTCTCGGTTTGTCCTTGGATAGCTCCTACATTGTCAATCTCTTCGCTGCGAAAGATTACCTCACGCGTAAACTCGACGATGATTATCGTAGATCTCAGATGAAATTTGCTAGTAATCATCTCATTCGTTTTAGACGCTTACATGATAAGAGAGTGATGATGCGCAGAAGGAGTATCGAGTGGAGAAAAACTAATCACCCGCGTTTAATTAATCACTGGAGATGCTATCTTGGTGATAGGAGGAGAGCGCGACAGAGAGATGCTGCTCGATTGCGATTGAGTGCGTTGGCAAATGAATCAAATCAATCAAATCAATCATTAAAATCACCAACGTTACCCCCACCAAGTCGCACTAAACATCGCATTAGAAAACACACACAAAACACCCACTCTAAGGCACCCTATCGCGATATATTCCTCAAGCCATTGTCAAAGGTTTATGATCAACTTGACTACAATGATGAACCTGCTCTTAAAGTGGCATACGACTATTCTAAACCCCCTCAGTCTCTTCTTAATTCGTCTTCCTCACCTCAAAATATCAACAAGTGGAGTAAAAAGTAGACTCACAATAGACACTCAAAGACACACTAATAAAAATGCTCATAGAAATACCCTAAACACCCCATCATACCAATATAAACCATGCATAAACTATTACTTGTTTTCCTCTTTGTTATTCTGCATCGACATGGCAATTGCCTTTTGAATCTCATCTTCTTCGTCAGCGTCAGCATCTGCCTCAGCGATAGCACTGTCCTCTTGGTTAGATGGCTTACTCTCCACAGCCATCTCTACATCATCCTCCTTCTTTGCCTCCTTAATCTCGCCCTGCTGGCCTCTATGAGGTGTTTCTGTGTCCTCGTCTATCTGCTCCATATGTTCCACGTTCTCAGGCTGACTAGATGTGGTAGTCTGTCTCGCCTGCTCCTCTTCCATCGACATGCGCAAAGCCATAGCGAGTTCAGGATCGAGGGAGGGGTCAACGCCAAATTCGAATGTGGAGGAGGAGGAAGCCGGAGCGCCAGCGCCAGCACCAGAACCAGAACCGCCTTCATCTGGATCTACGCTACCTCTAATAACCGGGGAGTTGATGAGATAATCGCTCAACACCGTCTGATTGCCGGGAGGAACGCAAAGGAGTCTGTTATTCTCAGCTCCACCTACAGCCTCAATGAAATGGTGCAACTTGTTTGCATTCTCATCCACTTCCCCAAACACAACCAAATCGACAGCGACATTGTTCTTCTTGAGTTTCTTCCCCAGCTTCTCCAACTCGCTCACCTCCTCGCTCACGGGACTGCCAATGAAAGCGACGATGCGCTGTCTCTGCACTTTGTTCTGACGATGTTTGAGGGCTAGCTGAGCGACTTGGACGCCATGGAGGAAATCGAGCTCGCCGGATATCTTAACATCGTGCATCGACGCTATTATCTTGGCATCATCAGCCGTACTAGTTACGAGAACTTCGGGGGAAGGACCAGCGAATGTCATTAAACCAACTGTGTTCTCGGGATTCATGTTCATTTTCGCTTGCGCAAGCAACCCAACGCCGTCAACTTGCGCTTGGAATCTGTTCGGCAGTATATCGCCATTCCTCATGTACTCAGAGTTATCAATCAACACAAATGATGCTTCTAGTACCATATTTTGGTTGCGTTGAGGTGATGAGCGTGGTGGTGAAGTGTGCGCATGCGATGACGCGTTTAGAAAAAAAAAGATAAATGATGTATTGTATATTGTATATTTGTAGAGCTACAACCTCAATTCAAAGGCTTTGCCTTGTGTACTGCTGAGATAGATCTTCTCGACCACCGTCACTGCGAGTTGGAAAGGCAAAAGGTTAGCAAGGATATCTTCAAACACCTTCCACTCACGTCGTCTAGGCTGACCTGGAGCAGCGTCTACAATAGCACCACTCCTCAATCCATCGACAAACTGTCTGATATTCTCCTCCAATTGGCCACCTTGGAATTGTATTCTGCCAACGCCTAGTCTCACCACGCCAACGCGATCACCCCTCCAGCCCACCTTACCTCTGGCCTCGTTGATAGCGGATGGGATATCGGTAGTAACGGTGCCGCGCTTCTCGGCTGGCATCAGTCCCTTTGGACCGAGCATCCTGGCGAGATTCTTTTGTACGTGCGGGAGAATCGATGGGTGAGCTATGGCTTTTGTGGGGAGGGCTTGAGAGCCAGATAGGAGCTGTCGGAGGAAGTGTGTGAGACTGATTGTGCTAATGATACAACCCACTCACATCCTGAACCAATTCCTCACCGCCTACTATATCAGCCCCGGCAGCTCTGGCGTCTTTAGCATCCTGGCCTGTATAACGGGGATATTCAGGTGAGATTGCCGCTGTATCACCTCAGACACCACCCACCCTCTGCGAAAACAAGGACAACCTCTTTGTGTTTACGTGGATCATGGGGCAATTCAACCATCCCCCTTAGTGGAATATGTCCTTTCTCCTTCTTGGTGACGACTGTAAGCTCGAATGCAGACCACGGGCGATTGGCGTCGATGGATTTGAGGTTGGCGGATGCATCGCCCACGCTCACCCTATTAGCAGAAAGCTTGGCCTTTGATTTGGCCTGGAGGGAGAGAGAGCTGCTGATTAATTTTACAAACGTATTGCGCATCGTTGGGTTGGTGTGTTGAAGAGCGGTCTTCTCTCTTCGCCTCGATTCAAGTGACTGAAGGATGAAAATCACCAGCAAAGCACTGCAGCTTTACTCCATCGCCAGGTCTCGCACGAACAACCTGCCCGTCTACACCGAGTACAAACGCGGCAATCAAATTTCAACCATTATCAGAAAAGTAGAGGGTGATGGCAAGGTGGGTTGAGGGAGTTGTTGTATAGCCACTCACACTCCCCCAAGTCCCTCAAGCAGGACATACTCACAGATATCCCGTATCTGGACATCAAGCTCAAGCTCCCAAAGAACCAGCTGTACATAAACGGCGACCACTCACGGCAACTCAGACAGTGGCTTGAGAGCAGGCACTTTTAAAATCCCTTTCAAATGTACTTTTATTCATTTGTGTATCAGATCCGGCAGAATGTTTGTGTTTTGCGATTTAGTACATTGTTAATATAGATTTGATTGCTTAATCCCTTGAGACTCGTTGTCGAGCTTGTTGGACTGCCGGTCGCCACAAGCAAATCTTCTGCGAACAGCTAATACTTGAATAACAGCCAACGTTACACTATTAATTTACGCAGGCCATCTAAACAAACCAACTAAGCTGTGTTTTCCCGCAAAAACATTTCTTAATTGAGCCACTCTACGCTTCCCACTACTTCCTTACATCGGACCACCAAATGACAACAAAAGAGGAAAGTGATTTCGTCGTGGGGGTGAGTGACACGCACTCTCTCTACTCCTCTTACTCCCTCCAAGTCCCACATCGCCCACTCAGGAGAAGACAACGATAAGAAGTCGCTCGAGAAAATGAAGGACGAGGAGGCCGTGTTTGAAGCACATGACGGGGAATTAGAATTCCAAACGCTCAACTGGCCAATGGCTGCTATCGTCATGACTAAGATTCAATTCGGTTTAGGTATCTTATCCGTCCCTTCCGCTTTTGCAACTCTCGGTGCCGTGCCCGGTGTAATCATCCTCCTTGTGATGGCTGCAATGACTACCTGGGGCTCTATTGTCACCTACAACTTCCGCCAGCATCACAAATCCACTCACTCCGTCCCGGATATCGCCATGATCATGGGAGGTGAGACTGCCCGAATCTGTCTCTTTTCTTTCTATATTCTCTATGTTATTTTCGTATTGGGGGCTCAGCTACTCTCTATTTCTATCGCTTTCAACGCAATTACTGCACATGGAACGTGTACAGTTGTATTTACTATCGTCGCTATGGTTCTAGTCGCCTCAGTTGGCTCACTTAGAACATACAGGATGCTTTCTTGGCTTGCCTGGATTGGCGTTTTTTGCATCCTCGCTTCCGTTCTCATTCTCACTATCGCCGTCGCCGTCGGTTCGGATAGACCTGCCGCCGCGCCATCTACTGGTCCTTACGATAAGGAGGTTGCCGCTACTGAAACTGCCACTTTCGCTGATGCTATGCTGGCTATTGTCAATCTGCTTTTCGCTTATGCTGCTAGTCCAATGTGGGTGATTTGCATATAGCATGGAAATCAACTCACTCCACTCTTCAGGTTCGTTTCCATCTTACCGGAGATGCGCAAACCAAAGGATTTCCCTAAGGCTCTTTATATGTGCCAAGGAAGCATTACTGTGGTCTACATCGCACTGGGTGTCACCATTTACTACTATACGGGCCAGGTGAGCTATAGAGGCGGTGCACAGTAATAAACTAACAAATACGCAGTACATTGCCAGTCCTGCACTGGGTAGTGCGACTGAGGTAATCAAGCGTGTTTCATACGGTGTCGCCCTGATCGGTCTCATTGCAGGCGGCTCCAACATCTGCCACTCGCTCGCCATAGCCATATTCGTACAGTCAATGCGCAACAGCCCTCACTTCAAAGCGAATACGTGGGTGTTCTGGGCAGTGTGGCTGGGGTGCGCACTCGGTGTGTCAATTCTCGCATTCATCATCGCATCTGTTATCCCCTTCTTCGATTCACTCCTTGGACTTATCGGATCCGTCTTCTCGAGCTTCTTCTGCATCTGGTTCAACGCTATCGTCTGGTTCTACCTCTACTTCCCCCAGGAGCCTAACAGGAGTTGGCTGGATGGGTTTAAGAAGAAGAGCACGTCGCACTGGATCAAGTCTATCGTCAACGTATCCATCGTCGTCATTGGCGTCTTTGTCACCGTTGGTGGTCTCTACGCTTCCGTTATATCTATCAGAGATCAGTTCGACGCTGGCCTCGTTGGCGAACCCTTCTCTTGCGCAGATACTTCGGCTACCTCGTGATCACACGCGTACTATAGAGGCGCGGTGAAGATAAAGGAAATAAGAAAAAGCCATATTTAACACGGACATCTCTCTCTCTCTCTTCACGACTCTTCAATGCATTGGATTCCTCTATAGACACACACACTCTCTCTTTCGCGTCAAAAAACCCCATATGGATGTAATCTATACTATTCTATCTAATTCATTATTGAAATCGATGTGTGAATGCAAAGAAGACTTGTTGGTACAAACATGAAAAGATTGAGTAGACTTTTTGGTATGGAGATTTTTTTATTTTTTTATTTTTGCTTTTATCTTAGTTTTTATTATTTATGAAGCTATCTACACGGACTATGACCTCAAAAGGAGAAGGTGGAGAGAACTCTGGATTCGAAGAGACAAGACAATCTCAGCACAATAAATTCAACATTTTCAAGCTCTACGAAGATAAGCGTTGGTCTCGGCGTTCATGGTTCAATGAATTAGCTCCGTTCCGAGGGATCCTACTTGATATCAAGGTAAGCAAATGACGCAGTTTCAATCTAAATTTTCATCTTCATTTTAAACAGCAAAGAATTCCTTGGTACTTTTCTGATTGGATGACTGCTTTTCGTCCTCGAAATCTACCCACCGTAGTCCTTTACGTTTTCAGGATGTACTTCATCAAGTAAGTCGAATTACTCTCCACTTTATTTAATCCAACATCCTACAAAGCCTTATGCCAGCGATAGCCTACGTTCTTGATATGTATCATCGAACGAATGCGGCATATGGTATCAATGAAGTCATTCTATCCTCGGCGATGGCTGCCATTATTTTTCCCCTCTTCGCTATACAGCCTTTGACCTTTGTTGGTATCACTGGTTTAATCAATCTTGTCAGTATCAAGATTTTTCTCTTCTTTTCTCTGATATGTCTTTCAAGGTTAATTATACACAATATGACATAGTTGTCGGCTACTATGGCCTTAACCAAATGGATTACTTACGCGTTCAAGCTTGGTCTCTCATTTGGTCAGCAATTTTTCATTTTATCGGTGCAATCTTCAACACATGCGATTTTGTTCGGTTTATTACGGATATGACAAGTGAAACTTTTGGATACTACGTAGGAGTTATCTACATTGAAAAGGGTATTGAGCTCCTTATACTCGAATTTGAGCCAAGTCCTCTAGACAATGCAACGGGCTGGCTAAGTGTTACAATTGCCATTCTTTTTACTGTCTCTGTTTACCTAGCTTCTGCAATTGGTGGAACAACCTATTTACCATTCCGATTACGACACTTGGTTGCATACTTTGCCTTCATCGCTGGAATCCTTTTCTGGACAGGTTTCAGTCATTTCCCTGAAAATAGTCTAAGACGCATTCCCATAGAAAGGTTACCAATTACTAAGAGCTTCTTCCCTACAATGGACCGACCTTGGTTAGTTGATTTTTGGAATATAGAAGTTCGATGGGTATTTGTTGGTTTACCTTTGGGTTTCCTTATCACCCTTTTGTTTTGGTTTGATCACAATGTCTCCGCGGTGATGGCACAAAGTCGCAGTTTTCCTGTCAAGAGACCGGCCGGATTTCATTGGGACTTTTTTGTTCTTGGTATAACAACCTTTATAGCAGGTATCTTGGGACTTCCAGCTCCTAATGGCTTGGTACCTCAATGTCCTTGGAGCACAGAATCTCTTTCGATATTCAAACAAAGGACTGTTAATGAAAATGTAGAGGACCAGCCTTCAAAAAGCAAGCCCTCTACCAAGATAGAAATTACCCGTCTTGTTGAACAACGAGTTGGGTTTTTAGTCGTGGGAGGATTGACTTTGGCAACCATGTCCAGGCCTTTTCTTGTGGCATTAGGCACCATGCCACGAGCTTTATTTTCAGGTGTGTTCATATTGGTAGGTTGGACTAGTATCGAAAAAAATGGAATCACCGTTCGTACGTTGGCGTTATTTAGAGATGCGGCTTTCGTACAAGGCGAAAAATTGCACACTATTCGTCGTGTAAAGATAGCTCTCTATGTCGGTATTCAATGGTTGTTTTTCGCGATGACAATTGCAATTAGTCAAACAATTGGTGAGTAGATTAAGGAAACCAAGTGGTATACGGATTAACGTGGTTTATATCAGCGGGTATCGGATTCCCAGTAATAATTATCCTGCTTATCCCTACGCGACATTATTTGGTACCACTTATGTTCAGTGCAGAGGAACTGGACGTACTTGATGCACCCACTGCCAATGCTGACGTCGTATGGAATTCTATCGGCGGTAAGCCAGAATGAGGATTTCTTACTTGCTTCTTGGAAATTAATAGTAACATTAACATTTGTATATTAAAGCGTTATATGTAATGTATTCTTATAATATTATGCACTGTTTGATACTTGTTACACAAAATCCACGCTAGAAATCACGCTAGAGTCGTTGTTAAAGCATTATTTCTTTATCGCACGGACTTCAAAAGTAACTCTATATTTATTTCAAACAATCTCATTAAATCATTAGTAAACCGAAGCACCGCCGGACTGCAGCGTGGTGAGTGACGCGTTAGAGCACAACGCACAACCTACCTCAATAGCCTCCATCTCGTACTCGCTGTAAGGAGCGAACTTAATCTTGTGGAATCGTTGAGGCAAATCCCAGAAATTAGTGTAAGTGTTGGGTGCGGATGGCGTTGGCTGTGTGTAGTTTTCACGTGCCTGTACAAACGAAGCAAAGTTATCCTTAAAATCCTTTGGCGCATCGGGATGAGGATGTGGTGGTTCTGGTTCTATGGCTTGTGTGAGCTACCAATCTCACTCACTATCATCGATAATCTCCTCACCTTTGCTCCACACTCTCCTTCCCAGGAACTTGATCCTGGGTGTATGCACATGCTCGAGTATTATCCTCGTTGCTCTCATTTTCTATCGCTCTTGGTGACGGTTGTGGACAAGTCGGACAAAAGTCTATCTATCGCCCATATAGTGTGATGGGAATATGTGAGACGAGGCTACTTCTGAACTTGTGTTTCGAAAGCCGTGTGGATTATCATACCTCTTAGCCTCTTTTAATGCTCTGCTATTGTTGAGAATTGCGGCTCGCAATCCTTGCCTACTCTATGCGAGCAGCGTGTAGAAGGATGATGTGTGTTTTATATGTGCTAGAGAGGCTTATTTGCAATTTCAGCGAGTATAGACTAATTCATTTCCTTTCTTTCCAGCTTTTGGCTCAGCTCGCGCAGGAGAAGTGCACGAATAATAACAATTGAAGAACGAGGAGGAGACTTATCTGTAGCTTTTATACCCTCAATATGATCCTTGGCTTTTTTCTAATATCATTATTTTCACAGACACTCCAAAATACCAGCAAGAGACATTTTTGTAGATATATGCGTACTTGCAGATTTATAATTTTACAGATGCGTAGCTTACAACAGTAGCCTCTCATTGAATTTTTATTATACAGCGTTTTACTATTTTTGAAGGACTCATTGTAATTATAAAGCTCATTTGCATTTTACCAAACGCGCATGAAGGCACCCCGCCACAATTCGTTTACTAATGCCCATCGCGGCACACATAATATTGGAACAATACAGAGAAGATTAGCATGGCCCCTGCACAAGGATGACACATTTTCGTCAGAGTGGAGCACGTTTAACGTGCAAATATTTTTGGCTTTTGTTCCAACAACCCGATTGAATTTGAATATGCTGTACTAGTGTGGCCATGTTACTTATCGACCAAGTATGTAACCTGGTGACATCGTTATTGTCATTACGCTTTCTTCAATATCATCCACAGTCTCCCGATTATTAGTACAGGATCAACGCTCAACTTGGTATTGACCAATGCTTTTCAATGATTCAGACAATCTATTTGAAAGTGAAATTCATGATACTATTCAATATTTCATCAACATTTCTACAAAACGTCACAACTAAAGACTTGAAGCTGCGATACCCTTTGGTGGCAGAGGTGACTGATCTGCGTCAAAGTAGATCTGTTCGCCCGATCTAAAGGCCATTTGAAGACCTACGCAAATCTTGCTTGCGATGTAAGCGTCGTCGATGTCGAGTGGGAGAGGGGTATTGTCGAGCACAGCGCTGGTGAATTCCCTCATCTCGTTCGAGAACGCGCCTCTAAATCTGTCGTAGTAGTCTTGAGTGGTGAGGGTGCGGTAACCTTGATTGTCTGCGAGGGTAACACGGTTCATCGCATTATCCATGTTCACTTTGATCATTCCGTTTTCACCAGTCACCTGCGCCCAGCATTCGTGTCCGTGTATTGCAGTTCTTGAGAGATATAAGTTGGCAAGCTTTCCACTTTCGAACACTATAGTAGCCACTGCGTTATCAGCATCCCTGGATTCAACCAGCCTGTGCATGCGCGCGTTATAGCCAGCCGCATGAACCTTCTTAACCTTCTCATTTGGTCCCATGTACCACCTCATCAAGTCAACATCGTGAATCCCACAGTCGACAAGGATAGATCCGCTAGCCTTGGAATATCCGACAAAGAAGTCAGCAATCTCAGCGTTGTACTGGTCATTAGTGACGCCATAGTAGTGAAACACATCACCAAGCTCACCACCCTTAACCCTGTTAAACGCCTCTCTGTAGCTTTCGTCAAAACGACGAGACATTCCCACGAGAACCTTGAGGTCTGGACGCTTCTTCGCTTCCAAGACAACTGGAAGTGCATCATCGACGTTAACAGCGATAGGCTTCTCAAGCAGCAAATGTTTCCCTGCTTTGATGGCCTTCATCGCAAGGAACGGGTGCTGGGTTGTGTCACTAGCAACCAAGATAGCTTGAATAGTTGGATCATTGAGGATGTCTTCTTCGTAAGTGAAACGCTTGACATTCTCACCCAAAATGCCTCTAGATGCTTCGAGGACTTCCTTGCGTGGGTCTGCCACTGCAACTAATTCAGCGCGGGGTTCGTTCACTACCTGTATCGAGATTATGAGCGTGTTGCGTATGATAAGCCATGTCGACTAACATTTAAGGCATGTCTCATTCCCATTCTACCGATGCCTAAAACACCAAAGCGAAGTGTGTTGTTTGAAGTCATCTTGTGAGTTTGTAGATTGTGTGGTTGGTGGATTTTGAGAGCAGCGATATGGAGAGTTTTTATATATCTTGGTCATTCCGATTACCGAAAGAAGCGGTGGAGTCGCATTAGACATTAGTCGAAAAAAATCGTTCGATCAATGGTATGCGCTCATTAACGGTCACCGGAGAAACCGGATACACAAAGCTCGATATGATGTTAGCGCGAAGGTGGGGTAGCCGAATAGCGTTAAAGATTTGTACTTGAGATATCAATAACAGTGAAAAGACTCGCATTTTAACACGCATAATGTTTGTTTTGCGTGCCTCTTGATTTGGGTTTTGTAATGAAGGTGAAAATTTGGATGAAGAAGCGAGTAGCTCCAGTAAGTCTTTCTAAATAAAGGGCAAACTATCATATGATAGGTTCTCAAATTCTTAAAGCAGTGTGGAAAACTTTTACGATCAAATTTGTACATAAATTCACCTACTAATATTGCTTCTAGGATCTACGCTCATCTCCACGACAAACCCTAATTATAGAATGGTATAATCATATAAATACGGGTATCATTGCGTGCTTATACATATTGAAAGAAAATACGGCCAATTCTAACAGCATTTTATCTGCATCTCCGCTCACAAAGCTCGAAGCCTCTTCCTGTCATCTCTGAAGTAAACAATTGAGTTACTGCCCATCCGCTTATGATTCAATGTTCCTCTCCCGGTCTGACTCGGAGCGTAATTTACCAGTTTATGACAAAATTGAACTGAGACACCTTCAATTGCATAATTGACCAGACAGAAGGGTCTAATGTTATAAAAGTAGTTGCGCATGGAGTCTATTAGCCCGCTGGCACTGTAAAATCTAGTGAAAGTCAAGACAAGTTGTTGATATAAGTTGCCAATTAGAGGATCGGTGAGATGAGCAATACCAGCTCCTTGAGCAACAATTTTTAGCTGCAATCTGTTTAAATCTATCATTCGCGATGCGAGGTGGAGGATAGTGATTACAGAATGACTAGTGCATATCGTGAGCTCAGCCAAATCAGGCAGCTTAGAAAGATTATCGAGAATGCTCTCGAGAAGATAAGCATCGGATGTATTGAGGTTGACAACGACATTGCTGGCATCTGTCAGAAGTGCCCAAGACTCGGCTGATGCCTCACCTGAAAGAACCCTGAGTTGGGATTGAAGGTATCGATACTTGACAGCTTGGAATATGAGCTATTTGTGATTTTATGCTTGTCCCAATCCTAGCACCTTCCAGACGACCAGCGTAAAAGGGCGTGATTGAGTTGCGTAAGGTTCTGCTGACTTGAGAGAGCTGTGATATGCCAGCGATATCCAAGTATTTGCTCATGCTTATGATTACATTCAATGGAAGCTGCTCCAATTCGCTGCTCATGGTGATGGTTACCCTTTAAGATATGTTATGTGATGCAGCTATTTCACCAAATCAAAGAATGTCAAAGTTACGCAATTGACAGGTGAATATTGATTTTTTAGTGATATCAAAGGACTTTGAGCTCTTTCTATATACGCTGTGAATGCTCCTGCGCGTTGTGCCAGGTATACTAAAATTTTCCACAATTGATTTTAGATCATTATAGCTGGTAATAACTGAAGTACAATGCAAGTTTCATAGTATTTTATTCTTCGTCACTTGATATTTCAATAGGAGCAACCTCATCATCAGACACATCATCAGACGCATCATCCTCTTTCTCGTCAGATATATCCAGCGCAACTCTTACAGCCTCGTCATTCCTCTTCCTATCTTCTCTTGTGCTATTGTGCGATACTCTCGAACGCGTGATGCGTCTGCTACTCGATGTATTCTCCGACGATGAGTGTCTCGCTCGTTTAGGACGACTGGGACGCATCCGCAGACGACTCTCAGGCACGTGTGTGGTATCAGCATCATGAGCCACTTTCTGCGCACTTGCAGATTTCTCTTGCTCCTGCTGTTCGATCAAGACATCGAGAGCGACAGGATGGCCAACCTTAGCTGGCACGTCTATTTCTAAGGTGTCTTTGTTCTTATTTGCATTGTCCACTCCAACCTCCTCCATATCCTGATCAATGCCACCTTCATCGGTTGCGTCTGCCTCTGAGTCTGCCTCTCGCCCTTCGAACAGCCTGTTGCGCCTTGGTAACGCTCTTTGCGCCTTAGTGATAGTGTCAAGAGATTGTTCGTGTGTACCAGGCTGATACTTTTTGATTTCACCCTGCAGCTCATTTGCGGGTAGTGCATTTTGATGAGATGTCGCATCTGTACCTGGATTAACAGCGCCCCCAGCAACCTCTTCGTGTGGCTGTTGATCATTCCCTCTATATTCCTTGAGACGTTCTCTGATGCGCAACCCCTGTACCACTTTCTGCCACTGCTTGTACACATCTCTGACCATTTTCTCATGCTCCTTCTCGGCCTGCTGCGACTGCCACTCTTCGAAAGCATCCATAACCGTTTCTTTATATGTCGCGTCGATGACGATACCGCTTATAACAGGATTAGCTCTGCGTTGACGGAACTCGAATCCCGTCACAGCCTCGCCATAGTCCACGCCCAGCTTCTTCGCGATTTTCCCCACGCCCTTCTGCGGCAGATGAGCGGCGCCCTCGGGTAGCATTGTTGGTGTGTAGAGGTCTATATTGCCGAATTTATTCTTGGGTACCTTTCCACCCACGACAGGCGGTGCCCTATACAGTTCTGTCTGTGGACGGGAGTAAAGACCCTGCATTATCTCCTCCTCACCCGCCTGAGCAGCTGCCTCTTGCACTCTCCGCCGTCCAATAGTCACGGCACGCTGCTTGACGCGCTTCAGCGGCTGCGCACCCTCGACAACTATACGGCCTTGGCGCAGCCAATTCTCCGAAGTTTTTAACAGCTGTACATTCGCGCGCGGATACACCACCTCACCTTTGAACCGACCGACTTCGCGCGGCGGATTGACTACCTCCTCGCGCTTCAGGTGGCGTTCAAGGACATACCTGTGGGTGTGTGTTGGGTGTTGCTGCGGGAAAAAGAGTTTTTTCTTACACGGGGTGGTCTTTGAAACCTTGCATCGACTGTGGCATTGGTTCGCTGAATTGGGCTTGGTGCAGCTCGGCGTCTTCCACATCATCGCGAGCGAGTCGGTACGGACGCTGGAATGTAGCTGCAACGCTCTCCCACCAGTCTCCGTTCTTGCTTTTTGTAGAGGGTGGACGTTGCTTGACTGTGCGCGTGCCGTACTGTTTCGCATAGCGCGGTGTGACATCTTTCCCATAGCCATCCTCTTCGAATGCCACTACATACGTCATCTTGTTGTACTTGTATGCGCTCTGCGGATCCATCATGTTGCGCGCCTTAGTGCGGATCAGGCTGCGGATGGGGTCCACTACGATCCAGCGTCCGTCCGGTCTAGAAAAAACCTCAGTCCAGAAAATAGGCGGGGATTGCACATCGAATTCATCTTGCTTGCTCCCTTTCTTCGGCTTGCGACGTCGATGACTGCTCAATTTCACCTGGGGTGGTGCGCGGTCCGCTGAGACAGCCTCGCCGCGGATAAAAGCCTCGTCGTCGCCTTTAAAGCCGCTCCGTTGGCGCTCTTTCCACGTCATGAATCTCTCCGTCGGTGGCTGGGTGTCTGAGTCGTCTGAGTCAAGCGAAACGACGGTATTGGTTGGCTGGGATTGCACGCGGTATGGAACTGCTTGGAGGGATGTAACGAGACGTGCTGGAACGTTAAGTGCTCGACAGAGAGCAGTGAAGAGCTGAGCTGACATGTCCCTACTACCCTTCATCTGCAGAGCACGTTTCTGGAGACTTTTTTCTGATCTAATAACCTCGTACTGATCATTATCATCCACAGTACCCTTCGCCTTGCGCTTTTTATTTAGCTCGTCGTTGGTTTGGGCGTAGGGAGTGGTGAGGAGGGTTTTGAGATTGTAGTCAATGTCGAAGCTGCTCCTCCACCAATCCAGCAGTCTCTTCAACGCCTTGTCGAACAGCCGGCTCCTTTCGATTGGGTCAGGCACGTTCGAAGGGGTGAGTGATGAGAAGGCGAGCTGACAGTGCATCGGCACGAGAGACAACATCCGAGCCTGTGGTGGGGGAGTTGAATATCAAAAAAAGCGTCTTGATAGTGACTTACATGTAATAGCTCATCGTTCAGCAGCTTATTTCGGTGTTTAGCGTTTGCAACTAAAGCGATAACGTGAATCTTATGGGAAGCCAATCTAGCGGCGCGCTCTTCGGGAGAAGGGCCAGCTTTCCTGGGTCTGTGAATAGCTGTGAGCTGAGCTGTAGGCGCAGGCGTACGCTTAGGGTAATTGCCACTACGCACTTGGAATCCTTCTTCTCGGGACGCTTTACAGCAGCGTTATCAAGAGTGATTTGAAGACCTGGCTGTGGCTGCTGGGATGTCGTAGGCTGCACGGAAGCGTCAACCTCCTCCCACTCATCTTGGTCGTCGTCGTCGTCGTCGGCGGTATTTTGGTGGTTGAGAGATTCCAAAGTGCTGGCTGTTCTATCGGGATCTATCTCCTCGGCCGGCATATTCTGAGCCGGTTGAGGCACTTGGACCTCCTCCATCTCGAATTCTTCCGATGAGCTCATGAGTGCGCAGATTCAAGTGCGAAGATTGCTGATGATAGGGATAAGATGGCTGCAGAGGTACTTACGTGCGCTTATACAGATTGCGAATATTCATCTCTTAGTCCCGCTAGCCCACGCGATTTTCAGCAGATATTTGGATGACGTTATTGTTTTGCACATTCAAGTGAAAATAGGCACTATTATTTCAAATCGACCACTGAATTTGAAACGCCCACACTTGAGATTCTCGACAGTGGCACTTTTACTCAACAAGAAGAAGACCACGGCCGGTGTCTCAACAGCCGATTGTGGAGTGCGGCTGCATTGCTGCACGCTCCTGACAGTGTCGAGGAGGTACACGCGAAATACCTCGTACACGCAGATATTGTTGAAACCTGCACGTACCAGCACAGGGAGAAAGAATTCCAGAGCGTGGAATTAGCAGTCGAAGCAGCCAACAAAGCAGTCACGTTGGCAAGATCTGCAATGCATACGCATCCCAACAAATTTCTCGCTTACGCGCTGGGACCGTATGCGGTAGCTCAAGCAGTTGGATCCGAGTACACGGGCAGGCATAACCAGCAGCATGAACACAATCATGGCAGTAGCTACAATGAGAATGTTAAGCTATTCCATTTACGTCGGCTGCAAGTGGTGAAAGCAGTTGCAACACTCACAGTGTTGATATACTCCTATTCGAAACCATCCCGCTGCTTTCTGAAGTACGCGCCATTCGTCACCCTATAGCTGCATACGGGGCACATCTGGCAGCATCGCTCCTCTCCGTATATCCCTCGTCTTCCCCGATGGCACCCTCCCAGGAGCTAACATCTTCAGCGAAAGTTGCAGCACCATGGAAGACGTTATTGATACGGTATTTGGATATGATATTGCAGGTGTTGCCGCTGTTGGTATCAACTGCACCAAGCCACGCTATTTGCAAGGCTTAGTGAGGGCCCTCGATGTCGGTCTGCGAAAATTCAACCTCACGCGCAAACCAAAGCTGGTGTATTTGATATTCGCCCAATTCTTACAAATCATAGCTAAACAACTAACCAGACTATACAACCTGACGGTGGCCTGTCTTACAATGCTCAGACACGTGGATGGGAACTGCCTAGCAGTACAGATGATTCTGAGCAGGTGGAAAAATGGGCTAGGCTTGTCGCTGATGCTGCAGCTGTTGTCATAAATGACACTACGTCGCCTTTCTCAGGCATTGTTGCTGGAGGTTGCTTCAAAATTGTTGTGCATCATATTGAGCGGCTCAGAAATGCTTGCTCAGCTCGCGGTTGGTAGTACTGTATTGATCCTCAAAAAGCATTTTCATTGTACCTCAAATTGGATCATCGATGACATCACCGATTTCACGGCTTTCATTACTATCGCGGTTTATTTCAACGCAAAGCAGACGAATGAAGTACTTAACACAAATCGAAGCACAAAATCTGGACCAAGATCTGATGGGCGAGGGTGGATACACGTTGGAGCAGCTAATGGAACTAGCCGGGCTTGCGTGTGCTCAGACAGTTCAGAGGCTATATCCCTCCCACACTCACAAACAAGTTCTTGTGGCAGCTGGGCCAGGCAATCAAGGTGGCGATGGGCTGGTGGCAGCACGCCACCTCTCTCTATTCGGCTACAAAGCGTTGCTATTTTACCCCAAAGTGAGATCATTTGATATCGCATGACGTAGACGTATACTCATCAACGACCAGCCCAGCAAGAATCAATTTGTCCAGCAGCTCGATAAGCAGCTCGACCACTTCTCCGTACAAAGGATCCAGGCCGAGGACTTTGAAGGTGCGCTTCACCAATCAACTGTCGTCCTCGACGCCATTTTCGGTTTCTCTTTCAAGGGCGATCCACGTCCACCATTCGATGGACCAATCGCTGCTCTTAAGGATAGCGACAGGCCCATCGTATCGGTCGATATACCGTCAGCTTGGGATGTGGAGAAGGGTAATGTTAACGGTAAATCATTTACTCCGGCTGCTCTGTTGTCTCTCACGGCACCAAAACTCGGCACGCGGTCTTTTACTGGCACGCACTACCTCGGTGGCCGCTTTGTACCGCAGTATGTCGTCGATAAGTATGACCTGCAGCTACCAGTCTATCCTGGCGCGGATCAGATTGTGGAGATTCCTCCAACATCCTTCTGATGTGTTTTATTTGGTGTATGCATGGTATTTCACGTGATGAGTGAGCATGTTTGTCCAACTTCTACGCGGCAAATACGCGTGAGAAGCCGGAGTGAAGGGCGGGCAATAACGCGTCAATCCGAGTCAGTTGTACGTGCAAACTGAACGGTAAATTTCTAAAGACACGCGGGGGCACTCCTCTCTCCACAACGACCACCGCACACTGCCATGTCGACGGACGACGCGTTATTCCAGCCGCAGCGAACGCGCGCGCGCTATCAACTGGAGGAGCTGCTAGCCAAGGCTGAGCGCAGTGCGACGCATGAAGCCGGCAAGACGACCAACACAAGCACACAGCGACCGCGATACCGTGATTTCTCGAGTCAGCTCAACGACGCAACCATCTACGATCCAGAGCCGCTGGTGTTTCCGAACAGCACGCTCCACTCGCAGAGCCATCTCGGTGGGCTATCAGTGTCTGGTTTCGATGTGGATGAGGATGCGGATGCGGGCGACGAAGCTCAAGCTAGAGATGGACAGAGAGCGGAAATCGACGCAGATGGCGAGGGCAGTGAAGCGGGTACAATTTTCTCAGACTCTGTCGCTACAAATACATCTCCACGTCCCAGTACACCACCACCGCTTACAGCAACAGATAACGAAGAAACTCCGCTCAAAGCCTCTCTGAGCGCCCTCAGTCGCCCGCCCTCTCAGCGTCCATCGCCTGCGCCATTCGGCAGATCACAGAGCGTGCCTGTTGAGACAGAAGCAGAAGCCGAGGCAGATGCCGACACACACATGTACCCACAACCACACTCCCACTCACAGCCAGCGTCGACATCTCCACATAGCAACCACAGTAGCCACAAAACATCACCTATACTCGCTAACGTCTCGACACCTTTTAGAAACAGGATGAGATACAACCGCACCCGGCCGAGCTTCGCACCGCAAACCAAACCGCCCTCACCGCCCGAGACGCAAACGCGGTCCGCTCCCACGCTGCTCTCGTCTACTACGCCCAAAGTATCGCCGCCGCGCAGACGCTCGTACATGCACAACGAGAACTTGAATCACGATCACAATCGCCATCAAGATGACAACTATGACTACGCGGATAGTAGCAGTAGCAGTGGTTCTTCCACATCCCTCCCACAGGTAGATACGGGTTCACTGGAGAACTCGCCAGCTAAAGCTACACCGCCGCCTCCTGTACGCCCACGCTGGTCGTTTGGCGGTCGCAGGAGCTTAAGGAGTGGTATTCGTGAGCAAAACGGGGCGAATAAGTGGAGGGATATAGAGGAACCTATCAAAGGGGAGCATGGTGAGCGTGTTGAACATGATGAGCCAGAGAAATCAGAAAAACCAGAGCATTCACATCAACCATCTCTTATTAAAGACACAGCCAACACCCAGAGTAGTCCCCAAAACCACTCCAAGTCCTTCAAGAGTAGCTTCAAAGCAGGCGCAAACACCGCGTCTAAATCAGTCAGTTTCGTTAATGGGTTGGGTGTACATGACGATATCCTCGACGACTCGGAGGATTTCATCAACGGTGCTCACGACGCTCTCGTACAGCTGGAACATAACGCTGAGAATGAGATGAAGCAGAGCCCGCGAAAGAATTCAGAGAGCTTGAGAGAAATTAAGAAGATACCTCGGAAAGTTACAGAAGAGAGCGACATTATGGGGGTGAGTGCGCCTCAGAGTGCAACCGATAGTGCAACCGATAAACTACCTGATAATTCACCCGACAAGAGCAATTCATTCGACCGATATTTGCAAAAGCATTCAAATAATAACCATGGCAACAGCACGCATCTCAGCGCAGGAGACTTGGCGAGAGACATTCCCAACTACAGCATCATGAAAACACCACAACCCCCTGGCTTTTATCCGATGACACCAGCTCATATACCCCGTAATCGTCAATCTACGCCTGTAAAAGGCGATAGTGGGGCGGAGGAAGGAGCAGATAACTCCAGTGCTGAATTCGATGTAACGAAGCTGGAGGACAATCTCGATTTATCTTTAGCCCGCAACAGTATGCTTAAGACGCCGCAGGTGAGTGGAAGTTTTGTTAAAGTACCTGCACAATTAACATGTGTAGGCACCTGGATTCTATCCCATGACTCCAGCACAAGTCTATAAAACATCACCGATAAGCTCAAACGACAGTTTCGATGTCGTTGATGAAGATGACCAAGTTGATCAGGGGAGCAGAGGAAAAGAGGAGAGGAAAGCAGCACCAGACGCTTCCCTCTTTGTTGCACTGAGTGACATAGAAGAAGCGCTTAAGTCGACAGCTGCAGATGTCGAGCGGAGGAAGAAGGAGCGGCAACCACAGACGCAGACGCAGAACAAGATTCTCGACGTCTTCCGCTCGGACAAGAGTGGAGAGGGTATGGCGAAGAAGGCGCATGTGAGTAGCTGTCAGTGGTTCATTTTAAATGTTAATCTAACGAGCCACTCTAGACGCGGACGAATGATGCTCTCGCTGCCTATAATCAATATACTCATCGCGATACAAATCCACCTAGCGCAGCAAGCAGGAGGCAGATACGCCGAGCTAACGCGGCCAACGTGACAAACCAGAGGTTTAGTCGTGTCAATACTTTCAACCTTATCGTACTTGCTACACAATTAATTGCTGGATACTTAATCTTACAGTAGGTATTATGGTATAGTTTGGTGGATGTGACACTAACAATACTTACCAGACACGTGTATAATACACTCTTCAATTCTTTCCTCACTAATTACTTCGACCCGCTCAATCCGGATATATACGTGAGCGAGTACGCAGACAACCGCGCATTCCGATACCGCGGGCTGCTCGATAGATTCCAGGAACTTATCAGCGTGATATCCAATGAGTATATCTACGGAAGACCGTGGCCGCCGTCATAAAGCCAGTGCAAGTGCGAATGCAAAATTTTTAGAGGATTTTAATAGAAGATGTTGATAGACATTGTTAATGCTAATCGAATGTAATAATAAGATTGTACAGATTTATAAAAATGTCGAGATTCTAACAGATTTTCCGTGTCTCTGCCCTTGTGCTTTAGCCTCTCCGGATCAGACATCAAAAATCCGAAAATCAAAACCAAACCGCCTAAGCGGTAAATGCCCGAATATACATATCTCTGTTGCCAGTGCACACACTGTGGCTTATCGGGTGAGCTCAAGCGTCCGACGACGTGGAAGAAACATTACAGAGATGATGTCAAGAGGAGCGAAAGATATCCCTCGGATCCAAGATACGTAGAAGCTTGCCACCGGAATAAGCATCCTGAGAGATATACGCCAGGCGTCAAAGTCACTCAGAAGGAGAATAAACAACCACATGGCGATGTTGGTAATGTAGGCCATATCAATCCATTAATTCACCCACAACCCAATACTCTTACTACAGCTCCTTCTTGCAAGATAAGGATCTCTCCGCGACGGCACTGGAATGGTCATAAGCAGATTCCAGGACCCTCACAGCTCAGTGAGTATCCCCTGGATAGTACTATTACCGCTGACGCTGAGAATAGACAAGAATCATTCGCGTGAGGATAACCTTGAAGCCCCGTCGCTATTCCCAAATCCCGTAGACGCAATACACAACCAACCAAACTCATACGCATATCCGCCCAACGTCGCCATTGCTCCACCGCCATTCCACTGCGCCCCAATACCTCCACTTCCACCACTAATACACACCCGCTCAAGCACACCGCCCGAGGAGACTCCACGACGAGCGTCCCTATCGCGCATGTATGAGGTGCTCGGACCACTGAAGAGAAACTCAGCACCATTCCTACAAAGCGAGTCTGAAGACGCTCTCGACCCTCTCAATCACGAGAAGGACATAGCGAGGGAGGTGCTAAGGCGGCATGGATTAGAGGATTACGATATCCAGCACGACTGGCCCCGTTGGAGCATGCTTAAATTGCATAAGGCTCATCTTACTACAGTCGTTCACTCCCTCTCTTCCCCAGATACCTCGTCTCGGTTTGTACAGGTGGGTCGGAGTATTTTGTTTCACCATCTCTCAATCTCACGTTGCGACAGTTTGAGAATCTCCGCGAGAACCGCTCTATTGGGTATGCGGAGGTAGTCTGGTTTTCGGAATTCCGCTACGATGAGGGTAACAACGCCTTCAGTAGCAGTCAAAGTCGCATTCCAGATAGCAGAGACTTGCTTAATTGTTACTGCAGGGTTTATAGCGCTATAGAGCTCTTCAAAGCGTATGTCAAAGTGTCTCGTACAGACGCTTTCGTATCTTTCCCGGTTAATTGGATCAGGTGCCTCGTCGATTTTCTACCTGTGCTAGATCCTAGTGCCAACCCAGCGCTCAATCATTTCTGGGTGGAGCGGCACTAAGAGTGTAGGCTTATAATAGTCTTGGATGCGATGGGAGCTGGTCGCCAGCTGCCAAATGCAGATTTTGAGCAATTATCAACATCCCCTTAGGCCTTTATTCTGTTTTCGTTGATGTTCTATCTTTTTGTTTGTTGTATATTAGGATCACCTAACCAAAACTCGCTCCTGCTCGATGCTGCTCTCAATAAAAGCCCCTTGAACCCCAATCACTCCTCATCCACCACCATTTGCCTCCAGTCAAGCACCACCTCTCCCACTCTTCCACGAACTTTAGTTGCACTACATTAGGTTCACCTCTGCCCTAATCTACCCGCGCTTCTAATGCTTCCGAGGCTAGACAAGCTGCCCTCGCCAGTTTGCGCGATGACCCTGGTCTTGGCGGTCTCATTATACACCTCGTTACGTTCGCCGCCGAGAAGGTCTCAACTTGTTTGTCCTACGTCAATAATGACAATGTCTCAAACGCTATAATTGGTTTCGTCCACTCTCTCTTCGAAATTCAAACTCTCTTCACGGGGCCTTGCCAACGCCAGATCTTGCCACTGCTCCTCACTACCCTTTTGAGCTATATTATCGATGTGTCAAGTTTGTCTCGAGTGAAATTCAGGTTTTAATCTATCTTTAAGTTGATGTCGGTTTCACTCGAGATGCGTTCCAAATCGGGGTTGATTTGCCTTGTTTGATTATTTCCTCTTCGCTCCTCTATCCGTCACCATCTCTGCCACAAACGCGATAGTCTCGTTAGTCTTACTAAATTTTTACATGCATTTCTTTTGATTCGTTTCCGATTCGTTGAAAATGCCTCCATCGGTAGATCCTGATAATGAATCAAAGCGGTATGAAAAAGACATTGAGTAGATTTTACAATTTGTTTGAATCTCTTACATGCCTTCTTCAAAAAAGCCAAATGGTTTTTAAATGAACGAAGGTTTTGTCCAAAGGAGAGAGAGACTACACATATCTGGAAAGTTATTGATGCTTCTTCTTCCGTTTGCGAATGTGATTGATGAACCGAATATCTGGGGTTACCATCCGTATCTGTTGAAAGCGACATCGAACGGTTTCAGTTTCGCTTATTGAGGGCTTGGCAAGACTAACTATCCCTCGTCTTGCTCCCTCATGGGGATGGAGAGTAAGCCAGGTGCGAGCTTAGCAGGGACTGGGCTAGCAAGACTACGGTCGATAGGTCTCTCAACATTGGCGAAGGAGACACGTGGAAGATCGGTTTGCTGAATCAAATGAGAGATGACCATTGCGTTAAATCTACGCAAATTGTTCGGTCCTATCTAGCCAAAACCAGGCATTTTTGCTGGGTGGGCTGTTGGATGTTGAGTGCATCAGGACGTCATCCTCTGGCATTGCTAAGGACGCTTTCTTCGCTGACTGCTTCAACATCAGGCTGACGACGCTCATCGCTATAGACATTCGCCAGGATGACTAAGATTTTATGTTGATGATCGTGGTTTTTCTTGCTAGCGCTTCTCTTCTTTATCGTGTTAGAGCCTGCGAAAATTCACTGCCAGATGAAGCACGCAGATCGGTTTCGGAATCTTCAGAGCTCGTGAAGACTTGCCGACTAATCCTCTGTTGAATTTTTTGATATATTCAACAAAGGTTCTTCATGCGGCCACGTTAACAGATGCTGGGTTGGTGAGACAACTACGCACGTTGGACGAGTCTTATGGTTCATTGAACTTACAATAATTCTCAGTGGTCTTTTCCCTGTTGAAGCAAAAATATTCTTTTTCACAGTCAGACTTTTGCAGTGTCACGTTAAAGTAGAGTTTAAGTTTTGTTGGAAAGCAATGAGGGTGTAATACCTCTTTGATGCTAGAATTTTTGTCAGCTGGACAAGGGAATGAGCGAGAATTTTTGGAAGACAATGACACTGACCAGCGTTTTGTCCACATCAAATCCATGAAGATGGCCATTGGATTTACAGCTTGAGTTTGTTAAATTCATTAAAATTAATATTCTCCAACCAGAGCAAACTCTAGGACTGCGTGTTACGAGTTTTGCGCATAGTAACAGCTGATGATCTAAGCCTTATAAGAAATCATAGTGGGCATGTTCTTGACGGTTTGAACACACTACATCTGACGTCTCCATAACAAACATTGTATCGGAATGGGCATTAAATAAGAATGATAAAAAGTCAAGGTCCTAGCCGGATTCGAACCGGCGACTCCGGATGTCTACTTCAGAGACCGATGTGATGACCACTACACTATAGGACCGGCTGAAGCTCCATTTTTTAAAGTGAACTATATTATTCACAAACAAATTAGAAATAAGGTTCAAATCGTGGAACTATAGCTCGTTTTCTCGGCTTAACTTAAAAAAAACCAACCATTTCTGCTTACCAAGCTAGTCAAGAAATGCTTACAGTAGATTCAGCACTTCCCTCAACTTCTCCTGCTTTAAGAAGTATTGATGAATATCTCTATGAAAATCATTCTCAGGCCGGCTCTCTCTGATTTCTTTAGACGTCTGCGTGAGCAACACACTGCTCTCTTGAGAGTAAATGCACGTAGACTGCCAGGACCAACGTCGAAAGACGCAGAGAGAGAAGTGAGTAGGATGACTTTTACTCAGGGGGCTAATATGCTCAACAAGTTTCCTCGTGGTATGTGAATTGTGGCCACCCAGATCCGCTCAGGCCACTTCCCTATTGCCAAGTCTTACCGATTCACTGTCCAAATCAACACTTTGCAGCAAGCTCAGTGAAGTAGACAGTATCACACATAGGCTTTCTAGATGTAGGAAGTTCGATCAAACAAGGTTATCGTTGAGGAGGAAGATCTATGGACTAGGGTTAAGGTTCGAGATAAAACATGCTTTCAAATGAGGAAGCTCTCAAAGCTTTCTATGAGCTCTTTAAAAAGTAGCTCATCACCCACCCGCGCGCCTCCGTTAGCTCCACGTAGTCACCTCCTCTTTTACGGCGCACGTGCCAAGAACCGCATTCATTTGAGTCCTTAAAATTGTCAGCTGCTAATGCACAAGAAACCAAATAGGCGAAAATTATTATTCATTGTAACGCTTTTGACTATATACTATGATTTTTATCTATCTGTCTATCTCGAAGTATTGATGGACGCAGTTTTAAACATGTATCGGCTTAACGATATATTTAGATTTCATCATCATCATCACGGAACGATATGAAGACCCAGATTAGTATGCGTCTGCCGAACTTCTACCTGCCGCTCCCCTCCCACCAACAAGCTTCTGTAGTCTTAGAAGACATATCAAATAAAGTAAAGAACTTTTCCATCACTGAAAGCGGGATGGACTGGCTTTTTCCAATTCTTCGCATGGGTCTATTATGATAAGGCCAGAGCGGACAAACCCAACCTCACCGAGTGGACAGTCAGCGGCAATGTAGACGAAAGCAGGAAGTCATGGCACCTTTTCGACTCAAGTTAACCTATCAAGGCAACACGCGCGCTTTCAAGCACTTGGTAGCCGCCGGCTAACACCTCAAACAGCCCGATTCAATCAAATGCTTTAACCAAAAAAACTTTCCGCCCCTTCATATTACTCTTCAATCTTAGATTTGAGTCAGGCTAAGCCGATCATTACAATGCGTTGAATCCTTCACTTTTCATAATTTGATTTTTAGCACATTTGCGACGAGTCAAAGCTTAGTAATTATACAATTTGTAAACATTAAGTATCCAGGAGTCTACTGATAACCAATGCGTCCTCATTCTTGATCCCTTGAAATCCTCCATCACATACTAGTGGACTAACACACAACTCGTCCCATTCCAGTCACTTACTTTTTTTTATTTCCTGTTTGTGTTGAGCTTCTTGCCAACAAGTATACAGCATCATATTTACCCGCTTAATCACTGCAGCGCGAGCTGATGGATTTTGGGAAGAATTTGCTGACGCCGTTGTTTGACTGCTTGTTGTGCTTGCACTACCAATCACACTCGCACACCCGCTCATGCTGGCTTCAGCCTTGCTCGCCTTGATAAAAGCTTCCACCTCTTTAGCTATTTTAGCCAAATCCATCTCAACGACCTGCTTTTGCGGAAGCTCCACCTTCTGACCGACCTGTTGGGGTGTGATTCCCATGAGTTTTTAGATAAAATTTGTCACTGTACAAATTGCGTCGCATCCTCTTGTCTTAACGCTTGCCCCTACGCTAGCGCTGGACATTGACTTGTCGGAAAGCTGGCATTGAATAAAGTGTGTGGAGGTCCGAACAACTTAAAGCATTTTACTCATATTCTCTCTCCTCATGCAGAGAAGGTTGAAGAGGTTGATGAATACATATCTCCAGCTTAAGCTGAGACATTTGAGACTGAAGAAAGCTATGGACATGATTTGATAATGAGGAGTTGAAAAAGTATTTTGAATACGATATTCTTGAAGAAAACTACCCCAATTCACTCTCAGAGACCACCTCGTTCTCGGTAACAGTCATAACGGAAAGGACATAATGAAATCGATCCAAAGCAGCAAAAAGCTTCGCGTCTATCGGCGAGAAAAGGTAGGATTTCTTTCGATCATCTCATACAGATCACCGCGAATAGGAGGGACCTTTAAAATGAGTCACAAGGCATACTTCACGTTGAGACTGAAGTTATGCAGATCCTTAGAAAGGCTGTGATTAAGACTGACCCTCCCCCAGCCAGTCGCTGGCCGTGATTGGCTTGATGGCGGTAATAGTGGAGAACATGAGAGTATTGAGATCGAAGAAGCAATTCTGTTGCTTGCTCAGAACTTCATTCATTTTCTCTAACGGCTCTTCCGAAAATCCAACATTGCGAAGTGAGAGACGTGTAGCCTTGTTTGTCCAAATAAAAATGGCTGCGTGTTATCTGTCTGATGATTCGTGATACCGCTACATTCCTCGTTCTTCTATTCAGTAATCGCCGCCGCTTCGAACGACATTATGATAGTGGTAGCGCACTGAGAAGCGATAGAGTAACATGTGCGATATTTGAGGTATTCAAGGCAATTCAAATCATATCAAGGTACTTTAAAGAGCAGGAAGTGGATCAGCCATCGGAGCTTATTCTCTAACACACCCCACATCCCCTTTTCAAACTCAATAGCACAATTCCTGTATAAATTGAAATACTTCTCCTTGCAAATAAAATATCTTCAATTGCATTCACATTCTTTGTGTTTACTGAGGTATTTAGCCGATATGAACGCGCGAATGGCTACACTAAAGGTGAAACTAAAAATGAGACTAAAATTATACTAAAAATGGCACTATAAAAGAATTACATGCTCTTGAGATAATACTACAATCAACTATTCGTCCAATCTCACTATGATCGCTCAAACCATCTTCGCTGCTGCTCTCGTCGCCTCTGTCTCAGCTGGCTGGGAATCTAAGACCGGCTCATGTAATACTGGAAAGCTCGCGTGCTGCGATACCAACAAGAAGGTCCAAAAGTCAACCGGTGAAGAATCAGGCCTCCTCCACACCGGTGACGTCCTCGACCAAGTCGCCATCCAATGCACTCAAATCCCTCTCCTCATCGGAGTAGCAATTGAGGGTTAGTGAAAACGCTCGCTTTATATCACAACTAACACCCCACAGACGAGTGCAAGAACACCCCAACCTGTTGTGAAGATGTCAAGGACGATGGTCTCGTCGGTATCAACTGCACTCCAATCCCTCTCATTTAAAGGCTGTTTGCCAGCATTTGTAGAATTCAACATTAGATAATACTTTATAAGCCCTAGTCACCTTGATGTCTCACTATCTCATCCATGCAAATACGCGAAGCACACTTGCGACTACACCACATATATCAAAGGATGCATGAATGACAGCAAACATCCTATACAAAAAAAATCTCTCAAACATTCTTGGTCCACATACTCATCCATTGAGCTGATGAAATATGAGAGTAGTGAGACAGTGCAGATGTCATTCATAATCAATGCTTGAGCGTGTGTCCGGTAGCGGAGGTATGTAGCCGATTAATCAATTATGTGTGTCACAAGTTGATAATAATAGATAATGAATGGGTCTGATTCATGGCAGTAATCAGCTATCCAAGAGTTATAAGCAGAAGCGGCTACTATACCACAGGCACGTAGGCAAGAGTATTTAGCAATGGTTTTACAATGAAATGGTGAGTCTTAGGGCCTAGAAATAGGGTTTTGTCGATATTAATCAGTAAATTTCTGCTGTTTGTATGAAAGTCGGTAGTCCAACATCAGACCAAGATACTTCATAGTTTGAGATGATACTATTACCCGTTCATCCCAGAGAAGTGGATTGCTGTCTATCTTCAAGGGGTGTTTTGTGAATAACACATATTGGGTCTTTTTAATGTCTAACGGTGTCGCATGCGATTCTGACCATTCGTCTGCTTCGTGTGAGTGGCTTTCCAGGAAGGATTTAGCCTCATTCGGTGTAATAGCTGCCGACATTCATAGCAAATCGTCCCAAATGAAGGGAGGATGAGAATTTGATAGCAGATTTAAAAAGCAAATTACATACAATTTGATTTTAAAAGCGTAATATCAAGCATTAATGGGGTAGTGGTAACCTCGATCGTTGCCATCTGGTCATTCACGAAATTTCGATCGGCCCCCGGTTCAATTCCGGGTTAATGCATTTATTTTTATGTTCTTCCATGCTCTTTCATCTTAAAGATGAACTTTTTTCGACCAGCTAGTTTTAATTAGTCATACGTTGGCTATCTCCGTAAGACGACAATGTTCGCTCGCAAGACCCTTTAAATCACAGTCAATTACTATTGCACAATGTGTTACTCACTCTATTGCACCACACCCCTTTCAAACAACATGCGCTAGAGTTTTTTTACCAAGTATTTTTACTGCTTGAGACATCTCAAAATATTACTTCCTACTCATATTACCCAAATTCAACCTCACCCACATTCAAACTCTTTTATCCACTGAACAAAGCGGCGGCGTTCTTGACAAAGTCACCAACCAAGTATGACATTCGGGTTAGTATTTTTAGTGGTGTGCTTTGAGTTGTGTTTAGGAACGAGCAATTGATACAATTTCTAGTCAACATCACTTATTTTACCACACCTTTTCCTGCGTTTTATTCTATTTTTGACGCTTTTGCGCTCAGACATATCGTTTCTTAAACACAGTGGCGCCGACTTGAATGAGATTGAAGCTGGCGGAGGTACGCTTAAACGTCTTTGTTCAAAATTACACACGGTAATGTTAGGAGATGTGTTCAATCTGGACACTAGGTCAGTAGAGTTGTAGACCTGAAGTAGCGGGGTCGGGTGATCCCAGTAGCCGAGGTGATCACTGGATCCCTGAAATTAAGTGTCCTTTAACTTATCGTCATCATAAAAAAAAAGGTGTCAAGAACAACAAGCAAGCACACGCCTTATAAATCTCTGCAATGACTAATAAAATAGAAACCATATATTCAGGAAGATTACTGGCTATTACGTATTTTGGGTTTATTTATAATACGTTAATATGCCTGAAATAATACGATGTTTCATACCTGATTTTGACGGAGAAATAATAAACGGCAATTGTTTCACAAGATATAACAGTTGTCCATTCGGTTACCCTAATCTTTGCAATGGAACACATCTGTTAAATGTCAATCTAGCAAATAATTGCACAGAGCCATGTGATGTTAATGACTGAGGTAACGTATTTGGTTACAGGGAGAATACAGTTGGGACAAATCGTGGTGTGAATCAACGTCCAGCAACATTCTCAGTACAAAGCCTGGAAACCTGGTCTAAAGGAGAGAGAGCAAGTACTAAGATGAACCTATTAATTGTTGCGTTGGTCGCAAGCTTAATGTTAACAGAAGTGGTTGCTGCTTTCGAGTAGTAGCTGGAAAAAACCCTGTGTGCTATCGTATCGTCCACTCTACACGTTCCTTTCTTATAGCTTTTTTCGCTATCTTTCACCATCTCCTATTCGAGCTGATAGACCTTCTGTTTGTCTTCAGCATAAGGCTCGCGTCTCTTCACACTTACCGGTAGCGAATTGAATGAGGTTGAGGCTGGCAGAGGTAAGTCTACATGTTTCAGGGGGCTAAAGGCATACACGGGAGCCATAAGAGGTTAGCCTGCATTTATCACTTAAAGACATCATCATCGAATCCCTTTTTTATACCTAATAAATCGAAATGAAATAAAGTGTTAGCTGCTCACTGAGTCTCAAAGTTTTCACCAAGCTTGTCTTTGCTCCCAAATATTCAATCACTACCGATTTGAGTTAAAAACATTATATTGATTGATGATCTTAAAAAAAAAGACAGATCTGACTTATATCCAGAATCTAAAATTAATGATAGTGCAAGTAAATTAAAAAGGGTACTCTAATCCAAAATTATGATGATGAAATATGAATATGTTGTTAAGACGATAGATGTTTAAACTGCGTCCATAAATAATTCTTAAAGCATGAGGAGTCAAAGGGGTGCTGAATTTACTGGAAGCTTTTCTTGACTAGCGTCGTAATTTCTAAGTTGTTGGTGGTTCTCAATTACATTAAACAACCTGATATCCTGCTGTGACTAATTACCACTGCGCTAATTGTTGTTAAACTGCCTCCCTTGCCTCGGCTGATATAATTAGCCGAGGCAGTTATGAGATTATAATAATTACATCAAGCCCGATTACAACAGCGTGGTTGGTCTAATGGTTATGATTCTCGCCTTCCATTAGTGATAGCGAGAGGCTATGGGTTCGATTCCCATACCTCGCAACCTTTTTGCTTTTGTATTGGCTTTTCCAAATTTTTTCTATTCCAAGATGACACAAATCAAAAGCGTCTAATTAAGTAAAAATATAGTGCATGTAAACATGTATAAGTAAATTTGTGTATACAAAAACTAAAGAGAGTAAATTTTCGAAACAAATGAAACAAATAAAAATGTCCATATTTGTATGATCGTCCATCAATTCTGGGGCGAATGAGTGTAGAAGCTTTGGTATGATTGGGAGTGCATATCAGGGCTTCCAAACTGGTTGTGGTGGTTGTGATTATGATTTTGAGGCGAAGGTGTTAGATGGTGGGGGTACGAAGACTGGGGCGACATTTGTGAATACTGTGAGTACGGTGATTGAGGGGACATGGCCATAGGTTGCGAAGGGGACATTGTCATGTTCATGCTCATACTCTGAGAAGGACTGCGATGAACGCCTGCACCTGCAACTGCACCGCCTTGCTGCTGCTGGTGGTACTGCCACATGGACTGCTGGAAGGCTTGCTGCGCAGCCATCATCGCCTGGAAGAAGGCAGTCTAGGGGTGGAGTTAGAAAAATGAGAGGGAAGTGGTACGATACTTGCCTGATTACCCATTGCGCTTGGATCCATTGGTGGCATGCCCTGCATACCTTGCATACCTTGCATACTACCAGGCGCACTTTGCGTGTTACTAGGGACACCCATCCCCATCGGCATCTGCATTCCCATTCCCATTGGCATCTGCATGCTCGGCATCATGTTCGGTATGCCCGGCGCGCTCTGCGTGTTTTGCATGTTTTGCATAGGAGGAGACATCTGCGGCGGAGGAGACATTTGACGCGTATGCGAGCGTGAATGTGAGTGTGCGTAAGGGTTAGGGTGAGGGTTAAATTGAGAGTGAGAGTGAGAGTGCGAATGGGAAGACGAGAGTGAGCTAGGGTGGGGATACGCGCGATTATCCTGCACCCCATACACACTCCCCTCCCGGCCGAGCGGCGAATGAGGGAGTTGAGAGCCAGTGTGGGAAAGCGTGCGCGTGTGGCCTTGAGCGTGAGAGTGAGAGTGGGAGTGGCGGAGCGAAGGTGGTCTGCTGTACGACACGTGCGACGTATTGCTTCTAGCTATGGGCGACACAGGCGAGCCTGCCTGAAGACTGGCTGGCTTAGGTGCGGGAGGAGCCGGAGGCGAGGGGGGAACTGGTGAGGAGAGAATTGGTGGTGGTCGCGAGGGCATGTGCGGCGTCCTTTCGTTATCTTCCACCTCCAATGGCTGAGTGCGGTTAAGGTACTGGTCTGATGTTGAGGCGTTTGCAGATGCGTTTAGTGACGTCGGGTTGACATTCAGATCAAAATCAACATCTGTGTTTGCTTCGCCTCTACGTTTGCCACCTCCACCTTCGTCGTCGCTGTCGTAATCATCGTAATCCGAGTAGTCGTTGTATGTGTTCTGTGAGTACTTGGATGCAATAGAGCCGTCGTTATAAGCACTTTGCACGCTTTGTACGCTCGGCAAGCCTTCTGAATAGGGTGTATTGGGGATGGAGTAGTTTGTGTGGTTTTCGTAAGGCTGATGATTTGAGTAGCCTGAGTGATTCGTGTGGATTGGGTAAGGGATTACGTGTTGATCGAAAGCCGCGCTATTGATGCTCTGGCGGGAGTGAGGGGCGTGTGAGTGTGAAACTGAGTGTGAGTGTGAAGGTGGAAGTAAACCACCGCCGTCATCAAGCTCATCACTATCACTCCCTCCTAGAGACAATTTGCGACGTAGCTCCTGTGCAGCGCGCGCAGTCTGTTCTTCTACACTTCCCGTGCCATTAGTCCCAGTACTGGCAGGCGTTTGGAGCGATCCTGTTGAGATGGAACTGAAGGGTGTTCTGACGCCAGCCTCACGATCGTGAGCTCCCGCGCCCGTGTCCACTACTTGAGCAAATTGACCAGATTGACCAACGTCACCCTCAAGTTCATCCCTCTCAATTTCACCCCCGTTCTCGCTCTCGCTCTCGCTCACCCGATCGCGCGCAAAGACACCATGGAAACTGGGAATGGCTGTGGAGGCGGTTGATTTGCTGCCTGTGTTGTGCATATTTCCTGCTTCTGCACTGCCCACGTCGCCATAAACTTGTCCACCTTCACCCATGCCAATTGGCCCGAGGGGCTCAATCCGTGGGAGGCTGGGGGAGGTGTCCGTATGCAAGGTATTGTTGTGTGTGTTACGTTTGTTGCTTGTGTAGCTTCTGTAGCTATGATAGCTCCTATTTTCTGGTAAGAGCGTGTCATTTTCGCTATCCCTAGTGTGCTCCTTGAGGCTGTGTTCGCTCGCACCGCTGTGTCCAGCCAGCAGGGGTTCACTGAATGCATTGACACCGTCAACGCCGTTACCGCCTGCGCCAATAGAGGGAATGCTAGGTGGGCGGGCCAACCTAGTCTTCATCTTATCCGGCGACACTTGCCCGCCTGGTTGCAGTGAGACAGGGCGGGTAGATGGAACGCCGTCGCTGCTGTCGTCGCTGGCCGCTTTGCCCCTGTTTCCTTGCTGCGATGGCGGCAGCATGCGATCGTGCAGGATCGCGAGCAGGTTCGAACGTACCTTGAACCCCCTCTTCTCATGCACATCCGCCCCACGCGCCAGATCCATGTCGAGAAACAGCCGTCCACGCTGTGGGCCGATTGGGTAGGCGAAAAAGAGCGAGCGCGGATCGCGCGGGTCGAAGCTGTACGCCTTAGGTCGGCCGTACAAGTGGAAGCTGTCGTGTATCCCGACCAGCCAGTTCAACATCTCGCTCCAGGTGTGCGAGGAGGACATGCTTGAGGTGGCACTAGAGTTGGTGTTGGTTAAACTGCTCCCCGTGCTGCTGCGCGCTTTGCTCTTGCGCTTTTCACCGACATCCGGCATGAGCAGACACCACCCATCTTCGCGCTGCACTGACTGGCCTAGCTGGTCTACGTAGCCATTCTCCTCTCCATTTTCCAATCTGCCGTCTATCTTCATCAGCCCCGAGTGCGAAATTAGCTCCGTGCGTTCGGGAAATATCGCATAGGCTTGCGTGGCGAGAGTCATGGTGTAGATGGGTCTTGTGCTGCTCTTAACGTTCTTCTGGGCGTAAAAGGATGCGATGGCGCTGTAGTTAGGCGGTGAGGGAAAAGCGTGTCTGTGTGAGTGAGACTGTGAGCTGGTGGCAGTGTTTGAATTTGATCCACCGAAGAAGGATTTCTTCCGCTCAGAGGGACGGTAATTGGTTAACACAAGCCAGTATCGCTGCCACTTGGCTGTGCCACTGAAACGAACCTTGACCCACCCCTCCATCTTGCCCTTTACGAGCGGGGAGTGAGGTTCTATGAAGGGCTGTCTGCCGGAGTTGCCGGGCAAGTTGCTTCTCTGGAGGATGCGCAGGAGGTGTCCTGTGTAGAGCTCTTCCAACCGCTTCTTCTCCCAGGCCGAGAGACGAATAGCAGTGACGACTGTGTGCAGCGTGTGCTTGTCCTGCGCCACGTACTCCTGTCTGTTCAGACCGGCGTAGTTGAGCGCAAAGACGTGATCGACGGTGCGCTGGTACTCGGGGGGCGGCACGGCGACGAGAATGCTTCCGACGAGTTCAGTGTGGCTGTCTGAGATGTTGATGTCTATATAGATGTTAGATGTGCTATTGAACTGCCTAAAAATCAAATAAAGCACCCACAATTCGGCGGAATCGCTTGACCTGCAGCGGCAGCCGACTCCATACCCTTGCGCATCCACACATTGAGGACATTACCAATCAACTTGACGAACACTCCCTGCAGCTCACCGCGGCTGTCGCCCGTCTTGAGTGGCTTCCCGTCGGCGTTCTGCACCGTACGCTGGGCGAGATAGCCACTGAAATACACCTTGCGCGAGTGGGCGTGTACTAGCGTTAGCAGCGGCTGTAGCTCGCCCGTTGGTGCATTACGCGATTCAACATCGAGATGACTTCCAAACGATTCGTTGGGCTCTGCGTCTGCGGATGCTACACGTCGATGGTGCGTGTCTGGCGCGTCTGTTATATCGGCAGATGTCGTTTTCGTCGGCATCAGCGAGAACCGTTTCGATTTATCCATCTCGCCGTGGTGAGTGTGAGCGCGTAAGAGGGGAGATGGGAGATGGCGCGTTGAGAAGGGTTGAGATGTTGGAAGAGCAGTGCAAAGTATTTGGCGGTTATTGTGAGAATATTAAGAGCAGTTTATAGGCGTGGTGGTTTGTGGTGGCTTGGGGTGATCTGCACAGCATATTTACAGACTGACAGCGTGGGCCGAAATTGAGTTTGGATTGTGCTCCAGAAAAGCTGCCGAGAATGGAGGAAGTCTGTCGCTCGGACCCAATTCCAGGCACGGCAGGTGAAACAATGAGTATATTGAATGACTCTATAAGTACTGCAATCAAGCCGATAACAATGCGTCCGAGTATTCATCTATGCGCCATACATCTAAACATACACCTGCTAGAGGTGAATGTATCGGTGGATGATGATTACCGAACAATTGTCTTGTGAGCGATAGACACGGCAAAGGCGCAGAAGGAGCACAAGTAAGTTAACTTGGAGGAAAATGGGAAACACTGGGCACGAGGAGCACAAGTATCACAAGAATCAAAGGTATCACGCACTGCTACGCCCTCTCTAGCAAGAAAGCTACGTGATGTAACTGCCCGTAATCCTACTCGCCTTCAACAAACATGGCATGGGCGTACACGGGGTGATAACGACTAGATTCTTCGTCAGCATCACACTCCTAGCTACCGCGTTCGTCGTGCTTGTACACCATGTAAAGATGAACAAGGCAGCAATCTCAGCCTCAGTTTTAATTCCATATGTCTAGATATGTAGATGTCTTGCAGTCTTGTGACATGAGCTGCGAGCTTTGACTTGATTTGACCTGATTTGACCTGATTTGAGATGATTTGAGATGATTTGCCAGGCTATTTATACCTGAGATGCACACTACTATGCATCACATAATGTGATCACGTAATTTAGTAATTTGATTGCTTACTTAGTTGCAGACGATCGACGACCACCGATCACCCATCACGCACGCCAGAAACGGGGTACGTCAACCTCACCACGCTCTCCCTACTCACAAGGACACCATCAAGAGAATGCGCTTCAAGGTACCACTCTGCTTTGTGGATCTGGTGGTTGTGCTTTGTGAGAGACGCAGAGATGCCCCATACTCAATCACGGTCTTCTACGTCGGCTACATCGACCCTAAAGGTGATCTGTATGGATGGCAAGTGCAGGAGTCTCCAAGATGGGATGGGAAACACAGCGATACGCAGCGAGATGAGCGAGTGTAATGATGGCTTGGATTAATGCTACATGGGCTTCTATATAGTAGTAGTTGTAGTGTTGATGGTGATTTTGATGATTTTGGTAAGACAACGCCGTCACGACCGTTGATAGCAAGCGTAGGCGACTGTGCATGAAGAGAATGAGCGTGATTGTCCAACAAATTGCCTCCCACTCACGATCATAACCCGAGAATTCATAATTGATGCGATCAGTGCGGGTGTAATTCTCGAGGAGGCTGTTGGAGAATTCGTTTGAGGGCTTGATATCGATTTCCTCGTTCTCGCCCACACCCACGAACAGGGTAGAAGAGAGCTTACCCGGGTTGAAAATATGCACGACGCGCTGAATGAGATGGCGCAATTCATTGCTGCTCGCATAGCTGGCATTAGTTTCAAAAGATGCATAGCTGATGCCGTCTTCGGGCGTGACGTGTATCGTGAAATAACGATCACTGCTGTGTGAGTCGGACCAGGTAGCGTTGGCTGAGTAACCACACGGGGTGAATAAAAACGCGTCGAGCGCTATATTGGGAAAGAGAGTGGAGATACCCAGACTGTCTGAGAGACGTTTACCCGCTTCGTGGCCAGTTATGTTCAAGTCGCTGAGAAAGAAAGCGCGACAATTGTCTGGATGGAGGTTTGTCATAAGAATTTCGAGGGTTATGTCAGGAGAAGACAAGTGTGGGGTTCTGCTAAGAGCCTTTTCATCGTGCTCATCATGCTTGCTGGACATATAGAGCAGCCAGTGATCACCATTCATTCTGCCAACAGTGTAGGCAGAGCCAGGGCCAAAGAACTTGTCGAGAACTTGGACCTCCTGCTGCCAGTGTCTGTGAGGGCCTCTCTGGCGCTCGGGGAACATGAAAGCCTTGCGAGAGTAAAAGACATGTTTTGGGTTCAGGCCACAGCGATCCTTGGCAATATCAAGAATTCTCTCCAAACCAAGCAGCAGAGTGGTTGTGCCGCATGTCTTGAGGATAAGGCGATGAGGAGCGATGAAGAGGGAAGACTCGGAGAGGAGATAAGCGTCGATGGAGTCACCGATAATAACGCTGAGAATCTGACAGTTGACTAGCTGCAGCATATTCTCCCACTCGCTTCTGCTGACTTTACGCAAGCCACCGTCACCACGGAAAGCCCCACAATCAAACCAAATCTCTAGCAGCTTCTCTGGTCCTTCGAATGGCCCACTGGCATCATCTTCCTGCTCATGAATTATTTTCGTCGTCGTCGTCGTCATTTACTGAGTCGAGTGAATTTCTATTTAAACGACTTTGGCGGGATTTCTCCTCACACAACAACCACCACCACCAAACGCGCGGATACACGCGTTTTAAATATAAAATGGGTTTGGCAAGGACACCGCCCAAGATGCAATTCGGGAATAAGCTCGAGGATATCCAGGAGGTGGATGGTGTGGATGAGGGGGGTGTGGTTGCAGGTGCTGTTAATGACATTGCCGCGGATGCCATTGCTGCTGACGCCATTGCCGCCGATCCAATCACCGTTGAGCCCATTGCTCATGATTCTGCTCAATCAGACACCATCTCCCATCTCAACCGCCAAATCGCAATGCTGTCGACGCGCAACCGCGAACTTCATCAATCAAAACAACAGCTGCAAATTAGAGTAGAAGACATGCTCACGCAGCACGACCAAGAACGCGTCGCAATGGTTGCACACGTGACGCGTCAGAGAGAAGCACACAAGAGCACTCTCTCGAAATGGAAGGAGGAGCTAGCAATCCAGACTGCGAACCGGGAAGAAATGGAGAGACGCTATCTTGCCTCAGAAGATGACCTAGACAAGGCGTACGAGCAGATAGATGGTTTGATTGAGAGAGTCACTCAAGCTGAGAATGCGCTGAATAATGCACACAGTACGCATGCACGTGCCATTGAAAAACACACATCAGAATACAATGCACTCGCCGATAAACGCAAACATGATAAAGAGAAAGAGAGAGAAAATGAGCGTCGCTCCCTCCGCTATGAGGCCAAGATAGATACTCTTAATGCAGATATTGCCAGTCTGAAGAGGGAAGCGGACGCGGCGAGAGAAGACCAGGTTGAGCTGGAGCAGGCGGACGAGACCATTTCCGAGCTCAGACGCTCTCTCGACAAGGCCCAGAAGGAAATGCGCGAATTGAAGGCGAGCAAGTCGACTAAATCGAGCAAAGTGGAGAGAGCTCTCGAACGTAAACTGGACGCATCCGAGAGCGAGCTCGATGCACTCCGTTCTGAGCTAAAGAGTGTGGAAAGGAGCGTGGAGAAACGCGTCAAGAAGGAGATGGCGGAGCTTAGTGAAACTAGCGAAGGCGAGGTGAAGACACTTCAAAAACAACTCAGCAAGCACAAGGAGAAAACTACAATCATCCTTGCTGATCTGAAAGAGTCAGAGCGGAATCGTACCCGCGTCGAGAAGGAGCTCCTACATTTGCAGGACGGAGCTCAGCTTGCGGAAATGCACTCCGAACGCGCCGATAAAGCCGAGCGACGCGTTAAAAAACTCGAGAATGCACTAGACGAGATGAAACGTGCTTCAAAGAAACCAAGACGTGCATCTTCGTCGGGTGATGAAAACGACCACAACGGTCACTCTAAACCCGTTCCCAAACTTAGGAAACGCAAGGCGGAGAGTGAGAACGAAGACGACGACGCACCCAAGCCACAGCGCAGCGCAAAGAATGTCGAGAAAAAGACTAAAAAGAAGATTAACATATTCGGTAACGGACCTGCACAGCCGCAGAAAGGTAGCGATGGAGGTGTATTTGGTATACCGGATGTACTCTCGCCGGTGAAGGGTAAGTCATCGGGTGGGAGGAGCGTTGGAGGCGTCGGAAGAGGTCCATTTGGATGAGCGAATCACACCAATTAATATATATATATAGTTTAATTCTGTTGTATCTTGTGTATCAATATTAGTGCGTTAGATGTTTTGTGAAAATTTGTACAGGCAGCAAAGAAAGGTAGCAAAACAAGGCGAAAAGAAGGCAAATATTGCTTATCTATAGAAAAAACTTATAAGTACTAACTCTCATCGACTTTAACACCCTTCCAGACAGAAGCAACACCAAGAGTGAGATCTCTATAACCGCGTTTGTTAGGAAGATGAAAACCAGCGTCCCGGAGCATGTTAGCGAACGTAGGCTGATCAGGAAAGCGTTCAATAGATTCAACGAGGTATTGGTACGATTCTCTATCGCCAGCGACGAGGTGGCCAATAGCAGGGATCAAGTTGAACGAGTAAGTGGAGTAGAGGGAAGCGAGGAGAGGCTGAGACACTTTACCAAATTCTAACACAGCGAAAACACCGCCTGGTTTGAGCACACGATGGGCTTCGCGTATGACAGTGTCAATGTGTGTGCAATTCCTTATACCAAAAGCGATAGTGTAAAGGTCGACAGAGTTGGAGGGGATGTTCTCGAGACACTCTGCATTGGCTAGCTTGAACTTTATCTGGTCAGTGTTGAAGTAGAAGGATTTACGAGCACGTTTTTCACCCTCAGCGAGCATCTGTGGATTAACATCCATCACTGTGACATTTACACTCCTGTCAGCGTGCTTGTCTTTGGCATGGTCGAGTATTCTGTGGGCAATGTCGCCAGTACCGCCAGCCATATCGATGCAGTTGAGACCGGTGCCGCCGAATTTACGGGCGTATTCCTCAGTAACGCCGGCTTCGGAGATAGTCTTTATAGAGTGGGGGTTGAGTGAGCCGACAAAGTCATCCTTCCAAAGCCTGTGAATGCCAAAGGACATGACGTCGTTCATAATATCATAAGCAGGCGCAACGGAGGAGAAGACATTTGAGACTAAATCCTCCTTCTTATCCTGATCAACGGATTTAAATCCGAAATGAGTTTTGTTTGAGTGGTTTCTGATCTGTGTGGTGACTGCTATTGGCGTGTAGATTGACTTATTCAATAATTTTAATTTTGAAATTCCACGCGTCATTGAGGACATGATGGTTGTCGTGGTTCAGGCGTATAACATTCTTGAACCAGAACGTCCACCATCTAATATGTCATCTTGGTCTTCAAAGCCTGTTAACAAGAATGAGCAGATCTCAGTTCCACCTGCGAGTGACTTGAAATCTACTTGGGCGTTTCTACAAGATGGAATTGAGCAGATAATGACTAGACTGAGAGATGGAATGACGTATTCCAAGTATATGAGCTTATATACGACATCATATAACTACTGTACAAGCTCAAGAATGAATACAGCCACTGAACCACTTGGTACCGGTAGAACTGCAGGTGCCAATCTAATGGGCTCTGATTTATACTCAAATCTAATAAAATACTTGACAAGCCACCTGAAGCAAGTCAAGGAGCTCTCAGATCCTCTTTATGACTTGCAGCTTCTCCAATTCTATGCCGCTGAATGGGATAGATTCACGACCGCTGCTTCTTACGTCGATCGCTTATTCTCTTACCTCAACAAACACTGGGTTAAACGTGAGAAGGATGAAGGTAGAAAGAACGTTTATAACGTCTACACTTTAGCCCTCGTTCAGTGGAGATCTTGCTTCTTTTTACCCATTCAAGACCAGCACTCTAAGCTCATTTCCGCACTCTTAAAGCAAATTGAAAAACAAAGAAACGGTGAGACTGTCGAAACCACGCTCATAAAAAAGGTTATCGAATCTTTAGTCTCTCTCGGCCTAGATGAGGTTGACAGTAGCAAGCAAAATTTAGATATATACCAAGATCATTTTGAATCGCCTTTCATTCAATCCACTCTTCTTTACTATAAATCTCTTTCTGACGCTTTCGTTGCTGCTAATAGCGTCACAGATTACCTTAAAATGTCTCAAGATAGGCTAGCTGAGGAGGAAGCACGCGTTGATGTCTACCTCCACGCTTCATCAAGGAAATCTCTCATCGGTGCATGTGAAAAAGCTCTCGTTTCCGATCACATTGATATTATCAAACATGAATTTGTTCATCTCCTAGAATTCGATAAGGAGGATGACCTTTATCGCATCTACACCCTCCTAGCACGTGTAGACGCTCTCGATTTCCTTCGTAAGAAGTTCGAAGATCACGTCAAGCGTACTGGCTTGGCTGCTATTGAAAAGGTTTATGGTAATGCCGAGGCTTCCAAACAAGGCCCTAAGAAGGAGTCCGACAAGGGTGACCTCGATCCTAAAGCTTACGTTGATGCTTTACTCGACGTACATACAAAGTGTTCTCTTACCGTCAAGAATGCTTTTAAAGCCGAGTCTGGTTTTTCTGCTGCACTCGATAAGGCTTGCAGAGAGGTCGTTAACAGAAACGCTGCTACTGGTACATCCACCACTAAATCTCCCGAGCTTATCGCTAAACACTCCGACTCTCTTCTTAAGAAGGGTAACAAGCAAACTGAAGAGGCTGAGCTTGAAGATGCCCTCAACCAGGTCATGACCCTGTTCAAGTATATAGAAGACAAGGATGTATTCCAGAAATTCTACACCAAAATGCTCGCCAAGCGATTGGTCAGTGGACTTTCAGCATCCGATGATGGTGAGTCATCTATGATAGGCAAGCTGAAAGATGCATGTGGATTCGAATACACGAATAAGCTGCAGAGGATGTTCACGGACATCAGTATATCAAAAGAGCTGACAAATTCGTTCAACGAGCGCATGACGCAGACACACGACGCGTCTGAACTAGCAGTCGATTTTGATGTTAAAGTGCTAGCAACCAATTTCTGGCCGATGAACCCACCCAACACGCAATTCAACATGCCAGCGGAGCTCCAACCGACGTACGAGCGGTTCAACAAGTACTACAACAGCCAGCACTCTGGCCGGAAGCTGACGTGGCTATACAATACATCTAAGAACGAGCTCAAGACAACACACCTCAGCCAGCCATATATTTTCCTCTGCTCTACATTCCAGCTCGCGATACTGGTGCAGTACAACGAACACGACTCGCTCCGCTACGATGAACTCAAGGCCGCTACTAACTTGAACGACAACTTGCTCAAACAGACGCTGGCTACACTCGTCAAATCTAAAGTCCTCCTGCAGGACGAAGACACTTACGATCTCAACTTTAACTTTAAGAGTAAGAAAATTCGCGTGCAGCTCAACCAACCTATCAAGGCGGACGTTAAGCAGGAGTCGAGCGATGTGCTAAAGACGGTGGACGAGGACCGCAAATTTGAAATTCAAGCTGCGGTAGTGAGAATTATGAAGGCGAGAAAGACGCTTAAATACCAGAATCTCATCCAAGAAGTCATTTCCATTGTTCAGTCGAGATTCTCTCCCAAGGTGTCTGATATAAAGAAGGTGAGACGTGGTGTGGTATGTGAGTAAAATTAGCTAACACGATCTCAGGCTATTGAAGCATTGCTCGAAAAAGATTACCTCGAGCGGAATCTCGAAGCTGGACGAGACGTCTTCAACTATGTGGCCTGATGGGATGGTGATCGTGATTGGCGTGGTACTGTTGTTAGTGGTGATTACATGTTGATCATTGTTGTTATCGTTTTCGTCTTTTCACTGACACTAGCGCTCGAACTTAATCAAATTAAGGTCACACTCACATCTGTACTCCCCTGCATCGTCAACTCATGCCTACCACACCCACAGCCACTCCAACTCTAACTCTCAACCATCTTTCTCTCCTTGTAACTCCTCAATGAAATAAAATTGCATTAATCTGGGTTTAAAAAGGGGGTTCATTGTTTACTCCCGTACGCACCTTGATTGACGTCATTTTCCCACCCTTTGATTTCAAAGCTTGAAGGTACGATAATCGCTGGACGATGAGCGAGGCAGCCAAAGAAGGAAGCGTAGAGAAGATAGCTACCTACAGCACACGCACAGACAAACGCAAACGTAAACGTGCTTCTCTGTCTAGCGAATACGAGGCTGCGTCTGCTGGTACAGACGGCAAGCCCATGCCCGTGTCCATCCCTGCGGTGTCGAGTGCAGTTTCGAGTGCGCAAGTAGCGAGAGAATGGTGAGTGTGGTGTGCTTTACAAGCTGAAGCCGGAGCTGGAGCTGACAATTAGGCTGACAGGCTGCTTGACAACTTCGCGGAATGTGAGGGATGTGAGGATTGTAGGTGGTGTACAGCGCAGTGCACAACTCAAAACCCAATCAACACACCCCAGCTTCCGTCCCCCGCCAGCAGGTCTACGCGTCGTACACATCCTTCTGTGTCTCCCATAATACTCCACCCGCCGCCTGCAGGATTTTCGGCAAGGTGGGGGAGGTATTACGTGATTTTGTGAAAATATCTCACAATGGACGCATGACGCTTCTGGCAGATCGTACGCAAACTCTTTCCCCATGTCTTTATTAGGCGATTGGGTAGTCGAGCTGTTAGCATTTACCATTGTAGGTGGAAGTTTTACACAGCGACTAAGCGATTAGTTACTGACGCGGTAATTACACCTTGCAGACTGCGGCATCACTCACAGGTCGCCTTCTGAGCGAAAACGCATCGAGATGCTCGATTTGCAGAGGGAACGCGCTATACTTGCGTATGCAGATTCGCTGGAGGGAATTATGCAGGAGCAGAAGCAAATTCATTCTCATTCTCCCTCCCACATCTTACCGCCGCTTATCACAGATTCTGACATTATGACTGAGTACACACTGTGGCTCCATTCCTCTCACTGCGAACTGATCGTACATTCGATGCGCGTCGAGAAGCTCACAGCTATACTAGACGAGTTGGAACATTTTTGGGTCTCCGGTCGCACGAATCTCAACTGCAACAGCTTTTACACGCTCAACACGCTCAACATCCCTAACAACCCCGCGGCAAATGCACTTTCCAGTACTTTTATTAGGGCTGAAACGAGAGCTTATCAGGTGTGTACGCGTTGACATCCCTTCAATGCTCGCTCACACGCCCTAGGATGCCGTCGCTCTCCTCCACTCCCGGCTTATATACCCTTTGTCGGCTCAGGGACTGGACACGTTCATTGATTTTATCAAGTGTCTCAAATTGATGCATCGGAACTCCAATGTGAGTTTGTCTTTGATATGAGTAAGACATTTTCAGATACCTAGATTTACAGTGTCTTGATGATAATATGAGAGGATCTCTCGGCTACTTTATCCACCTAATGACTGGATGTGAGTGGAACAATGCGCTGATTCACCCGCTCATCCATCCCTCTCAGACATCGAGCTGGCAAAGAGAACTGGTATAATGAACGATGTTTTCAGCGACAGCTCACTCACATCTGCCATGGCTACTACATGGTCCAACTCCTACTCCCTCAACAGCCTTCTGTGCGGTCAATTGTGTGACTTGCAAGCCCCAACAGTACAATGCACCCCTAGTGACTGCAATAACGCATTCATAATAGCTTACTTGTACAGCTTTAGTGGAGTGCTCTCTTCGTTGCACGAAAGCCCCACCAGTTGTCTTGTCGCATTCATCGATACTCTCCTCGACAGCCTTCCCGAGAGCCTCACGTGCGTCTGTTCTTTTACTCCATCTTTTTAGCGACGCTAATACAGTGCGGAGCAGAACTCCGCTAAAGTGCTCGGTTGTTTCACAGACGCTGGCAAATTTGGTATGTGCACAATCGGTTCATTTCCATCTCACCCACCACTGCAGACATTCGACGATGACGCTTATTTACAGTATTTCACCCTTCTGAAGATTTGGTTCAAGTGAGTTTTTGGGTCACGTGGGGTGATCAACTTTTACCCACTACATCACAGCGAATATGTCGGAATGATCGCTTTGAGATATTTTGATGCGTAGGATTATATTTAATCTCAGCTGTTTTATTACCATGATATTTGAGACATTCATGTCGTTTTTTATAACCGTGCACGCATCCGTCTCATGACCTCACCGGGACCATCGCCGGACTGAGCACTGGCCGCGTGTTCACAAAGGCTAGGAGCTGCGTGGAGCTACATGGAGCTAGCGGGCGAGTAATCGGGTGCTCGGGTTGTACAGCCAATCGCGCTGGCACTCTCGTGGCCTTCTCACGGATACTTAATTGACACTTTCCAATCCCGATTGAACTCTGATTGATATCATCTAAGTTACGCAGGCACACTCGCCGCTAAAAAGATTAAAGTGATTACGTTGATTGATTTCTCAAGTCAGGTGGTGTTTTTTTTTCATCGCTTAAATATCCGATTCACCTTGCTTCTCTCTTTCTTTATATACAACAGTAATCAATGAAACTCTCAGCCTTACTCACAACCGCCGTCGCGCTGACGGTCGTCAATGCTCGCGCTGTCGAGACAAGAGATGACAACGACAAGATGGAAAAGATGAACAACACGAAAGAAATGGACGGTAATAACGCAGATATCTACCCAGCTCCAATGGCCAATGGAGGCAAGTCGTGGGGTGACGCCTACAAGAAAGCTTCTGATATTGTCGGCCAAATGACGGTCGAGGAGAAGACAGCAATTATCACAAGTGCGCCAGGTAGGTGTGTTGGAACGACTCAGGCAGTTGAGAGACTTGGAATACCGCGCTTATGTATGATGTCAGTAATGGTTGTCTCATCTGGTGAAAATTCTAACTTAATATATTTAGGGATGGCCCAACAGGTCCGCGTCCAGTCAAAGGTATCTCTCAATCAACTAGTGGTCAAACAGCTGCTGCAACTTGGGATAGAGATCTCATTTACCAGCGCTCTAAGGATATGGTGGGTTTGCACGAGCACCTCAACAACTCATTTCATTTTTTGCACAGGGTCAGGAGTTCTTTGATCTCGGCGTAAATGTAGCATTGGCTCCAGTCGCATCAGGCCCAATAGGGCGTAGTCCATTAGGAGGACGCAATTGGGAAGGCAGCTACCCCGACCCATACGCCAACGGACAATTCTCCCGTCTCTCAGTTCAGGGATTGCAGGATAGCCATGTCGCAGCGACTACGAAGCATTGGATAATGTACGAGCAGGAGACATTCAGACACCCATACAACACGTCCCAACCCGATAACATCTACCCGCTACTCACACAAGAACCAGTCTCATCCAACGTCGACGATTACACTACGCACATGCTTTATATGCCGCCATTCGCCGAGGCGATTAGAGCAGGAAGTGGACACGTGATGTGTGAGTTTGGTTTAAGCGTGGTGTATTCTTTCTAACGTCTTGCAGGTTCTTACAACCAAATTAATGGCACTCAAGCCTGTAACGACGCTCACTCTCAAAACCACCTCCTTAAGACGGAGCTTGGATTCCAAGGCAGTGTAATCAGTGACTGGGGTGGTGTTCACGATACCGCTGCCTCGATCAGGAGTGGCATGGATGTTTCTACACCAGGTGTTGATGATGTCGGATACAGCATGGGTACTTTCTACAAGGACCTCGACAAGTTGGTGAACAACGGCACAGTTGCAGAGGATCGTCTTTCAGATGCTGCAATCAGATTCCTCACCCCATACTACTGGCTTGGTCAGGACAGCGAACATACCCCACCGGAAGTTACTTTCGACGCTGCATCTGGATTAGATTTGGAGAGCGAGTACAAAAACGTCAGGAAAGAGGGTACAGCAGAGCTGATCCGCAAGATTGGCACTGATTCAACGACGCTGCTCAAGAACACGGGCGGTCTTCCTCTCAACCGACCACAGCGTCTAGTGTTGTTGGGCTCTGACATTGGCTCAAACGTACTGGGACCAGATGGATGCGGTGACGATCGCACGAAATGTCCAATGGGTAACTTCAACGGCACAATCTCCGTCGGCGGTGGAAGTGGATCTACCATCCCGCCATATGTCGTCTCGCCTCTCGAAGCCATCAGGGAACGCGTCGAGAAGGACGGCACGGAGATTTCGTACGCTATGAAGTATGACGAAGATCACATCAACAAAATCTCTTCGAGAGCCGATGCTACTGTTGTATTTGTCAACAACTGGGCTGAGGAAAGTAAAGATCGCCACAACATCGATCTCGATGAGGAGCAAGCCATGATTTTGGACGCGGCTGTGAAGGCGTCGTCTAACGTTATCATCGTTATGCACACACCAGGCGTTGTCAATATGGAGAAATGGGCTGATAATGACAATGTTACTGCCATTGTCGAGGCTTACTACCCTGGTCAGGAGACAGGAGATGCCGTTGTGCCGATCCTCTACGGCGAGCGCTCCCCTAGTGGCAAGTTGCCATTCACTTGGGGCAAATCATTGAGCGACTACCCACCAAACACTATCTCAACAGACGACTCCATGACACCTCAAGCTGACTTCAGCGAGGGCGTATACATCGACTACAGATGGTTCGACAAGAAGGAAATCGAACCTCGCTGGGAATTTGGTTTTGGTCTTTCTTACACTACTTTCGAATTCTCAGATATCAGCGTCGAAGAGAACTACAAGAAGGACGAGAATGAGGTCCAGGCAACTAACGAGCCATTCGAGGGATCGGACGGCACGAATAGTCTCTATGACACGATCAAGACTGTTAAAGCGACTGTTACCAACACTGGTGATGTAGAAGGCTGCGAAGTTGTGCAGCTTTACGTAACCTTCCCTGGAGATAACATGCCGGTACGCGAATTGAGAGGTTTCGAGAAAGTAAAAGACTTGAAGAGCAATGAGAGCAAGCAGGTTGAGATGGATCTCCGCCTCAAGGACCTTTCAGTGTGGGATGTCGAGCGTCAGACTTGGGTGATGCCTTCGGGAGAGTTCAAGCTGTCCGTCGGCTCAAGCTCTCGTCAACTTCCACTTCACACTACCTGTACCAACTAATATGTGTAATCAATTGAAATAAATGTACTTTGAACGTAGATTGAGCTAGGTTGAGAATTTTCATAAATTGATATGCATTATGCATTGATTGATATTGGTATACATAGCAAAGTCAAGTCGTTAGTATTCTTCCTGTGTGGTGAGTGCGATAAGAGCAAAGTTGATAGAATCAGGATTGAGCTTCATAAAGTGATTTTTAACCACGTTTGCAGAGTCTTTGAGGAGATCGCTGCTACTTCCATGATCGACTGGTGCAATCTTACGTCCATCGAGTTCAACAAGGCGAGTACCGTCGGTGAGCTGCGCAGGAGCGTGAACGAAAGCGACGAAATGGAGATCAACGTCATCGTTAGCGTCAGGCACGCTACTCTGACCAGTGGAAGCGGAAGAAGCGTGAGCAGATCTAAGGAAAGACGCGTCAACGACCGACTGAGCGCGCTGATCGTTGTTTTGACCAGCAGCCTTATCGAAAAACTTGGCTAAATCCGAAAAAGGGGTTACGGTAACGGGTGAGTTTGCCATAGCGTGGAGTAAAGCCATCGTTCCACACGCATTACCGACTTTTTGAGGAAAGAAGACGAGCGTGTCGTCGAGTTGTGATTGGCCGTGTTGAGCAATACGCTGCGATTCAGCCTCGCGGTGCTGCTCGTATTGCTTGCTGAGGGGGAAGAGAAGCAGGACGGCTTTGACTGGTTGTGGAACCATCTGCAATAACTCATCATCAAGACCGAAAACATCAACGAATTGCTCGCATTCAGCTAGACCGAGTTTGTGGGACCAGTCGTTGAAAACATCTGAGTTGGCTTCGAGTGGCACCCAATTTGAATTTACATTTGAATTGATTTGATTGGCTGATTCGATGTTGAGTGAAGTCATGGTTGTGTGGATCCAAGGAATATCTCTTCCACTTGAACCACCATCATGATTTAATTATTTAAATTGTCTCGCTTTATTTCAATTGCCCATCTTGCTATCGTTATCTCGTTATCACATGATTCCTTATCTCGGTGGATCATTCCCGTCGTGCAGATGAGATAAGAATGCGATAAGATCTTGGTTTTAAACAGCGATGAGCAAACACACAAAGTACACAGAAATCACGCAGCCATATTCCGAAGCGACCATACACCACCACAAGTTGGTTGAGGTGACTTCATCTAATCTCAACAGCCAAATACTTAGCGTTTCTGATGACTTCTTCAGCCCAGCCACTGATCTCATCAACCCTGAACCTCCAGTGTCCAAGAAGGGTCAATTCGGTCCAAATGGCGCTCTGTATGATGGCTGGGAGAGTAGGAGGCATAATCCTGCATTTGATTGGTGGGTGGAGTATTACCAAAAAAACACCTCACTAAAGCAACCAGGGTTATAATCAAACTTGGTGCTCAATCAGCCTCATTGAAGCTCCTCGATATTGACACGACCCACTTCAACGGCAACGAGGGTCCATTTGCATCCGTGATGGCATTATTCGCTCCAAACGCCACCGAAGTATCTCATGACGACAGCCGCTGGGAAGAAGTTCTTCCCACTGTCCCACTCGGGCCATCCCAGCCTCACCTCTTCGAACTGTGCGAATGGACGGCGCAATACACCCATATCCAATTGCGAATGATACCCGACGGCGGTATTGCCCGCTTCAGAGCATACGGAGTCCTCACCCCCGTCTGGCCCAACGACCCATCGAGCGTGCTCGACCTAGCCTCAGTCTTGGTCGGCGGCAGGGTGCTGTTCACTTCCGATCATCATTTCGGAAAGGGAGAGAACATCATTCTACCCGGCCGAGGTAAGGATATGGGTGACGGGTGGGAGACGAAACGCAGTCGCTCACCCGGACATAGAGACTGGGTGGTCATTCAGCTAGGGTCGCCTGGATATCTGCAGTATTGCGAAGTGGATACGTGCCATTTCAAGGGTAATTTCCCAGCAGGTGTGATGTTGGAGGGGTGTTCTAGTCCTCCCAACGGTAGCGAGGTTGGTGGTGGTAGCCAGGTGTGGACTCCGTTGCTACCTGCCCCGCTCAAGGTTGGCCCTCATGCGCAGCAATTTGCTGAGATGATGGCGCAAGACACACTCTTTACCCACGTTCGCGTCACTATATTCCCAGATGGCGGTCTCAAGAGGGTGAGAGTGATGGGCAGTCGCGCAAAAGCCCCGTTTCGGGGAGTGCCTGGAGGGATTGCTCCTCCCAGCGTAAAGGGAGAGAGTAAAGAGAAGGAAGAAAAAATCCAAAGTAAACAAATCACAGCACTCCCATTGACGCAGAATGGTTTCAGGGCATACGGGGATGTAGTCAGCAGCGAAACCGCCAACCTCCAGACAAAGAGAGTAAACGGGGGAACGGCTACTAAGCTGTGCAATGTTTCAGGCGTCGTGAATAATTACCCTGTTCAACACCCCGCCGAGCTAAACTTCTGCGTGTATAAGTGCGACCCCTATCACACACAAGACACTGCAGGTACTCCAGGCACTCAAATTGTCAAGGCGGGATTGCTTGAAAGACACAAGTACACTTCACAGTCATTCATTCCAATGGGAGGAGGTGGTAGTCACTATCTAGTCGTCGTAGCGCTGAGTGGGGCGGATGAGAAGGCAGACATGAGCACATTGAAGGCATTCACCGCATCATCAAGTCAAGGAATTACTTATATGGCGGGTGTTTGGCACGCACCAATGATTGCGCTCGAAGCGGTGACAGATTTCTGCTGTTTGGTGCATGAGAGTGGGGAAGCGGGAGAAGATTGCGAGGAAGAGGAGTTGGAGTGTGTATATGAGATATCGGTGTAAAAGTGTTTAATAAAATAATTGTTGGTCCGTGCGCTGTGCGCTGAAGGAGATATTGATGTTGATATTGAAGGTATGTTGAGCTGAGTGGCAGTAGAGGTGTACTGTGTGTGTATGCAGTGAGCAGCCACAATAACTCCCCGGCACATGCCATAGCTGCAGTGAATTTTTTACTCAGACGCGTCAAACGGATTTCTGGCTTCTCTCTTTTCAAATACCGTGAAAAAGATATCAGATATCAGAGTATGGAAGATAGACGCGCAGGTGGGATTGGCAGTGCAGCGGCGTTCACACAGCTCACGGGAATCACCAGCATACAAGAACAAGGGAGCATTCCGTCAAGACGAGCTCAGAAGACGCAGGGAGGAGCAGCAAGTAGAAATCCGCAGACAGAAGAGAGAAGAGTCCGTGGCTAAGAGGCGCAACTTCAACGTCTCAAATGGTCCAGATTCTGACGACGAGTTTGTCGCTACAGAGATCGATACAAAGGTGGGTGGATTTGGCTGGCTGCACCCAGAAACACTGGCTTATAAGTATCAGCTGGCTGAGGAGCTCCCAATCATGATTCAGAATGTTTTCTCGGATGATTACCAGGCACAGCTCGAGTCTACGCAGAGATTCAGAAAGCTGCTGTCGAAGGAACGCAATCCACCAATCGAGAAGGTTATCGAGTGCAACGTCGTACCACGCTTCGTTGAATTCCTGTCTTCCCCACATGGCATGATTCAGGTGTGTTTTTGTTGCAGCGTATACAAACACCTAATAATCCCAACAGTTCGAAGCTGCCTGGGCACTCACAAACATTGCTTCAGGCACCTCACAACACACTCAAGTCGTTATTCAGGCTGGCGCTGTGCCTTATTTCATCCAGCTCTTGTCTTCTCCAGTTCTCGACGTCAAGGAGCAGGCCGTGTGGGCATTGGGCAATATTGCGGGTGATTCACCCAAGTGTCGTGACTACGTGTTGCAACAACAAGCTTTACCTCCTTTGTTGGGATTGCTTGGTGAAAACCACAAACTGTCGATGCTCAGAAACGCAACGTGGACACTTTCAAACTTCTGCAGAGGCAAGAACCCTCAACCAGACTGGGAGCTTATTAGCCCTGCACTGACTGTTCTCACCAAGCTTATTTACTCAATGGATGATGAGGTACTCATCGACGCTTGCTGGGCAATCTCATACCTTTCCGATGGATCAAACGACAAGATACAGGCTGTGATAGAGTCTGGTGTGTGTAGAAGACTGGTTGATCTACTGATGCACAACTCAACCGCTGTGCAAACACCAGCGCTGCGTTCAGTTGGTAACATAGTCACTGGTGATGATTTGCAGACTCAAGTCGTCATCGCATCCGGTTCGCTCCCCGCTCTCCTCTCCCTCCTCTCCTCACCAAAGGACGGAATTAGAAAGGAGGCTTGCTGGACGATATCCAATGTCACAGCAGGATCACCACATCAAATCCAATCAGTCATCGACGCTAACATTATCCCACCACTGCTTAATATCCTCCAGCACGCTGACTTCAAGACTAAGAAGGAGGCATGTTGGGCAATATCGAATGCCACATCGGGTGGTCTGCAGGAACCTTCTCAAATACGCTATCTGGTTCAGCAGGGGTGTATAAAGCCATTGTGTGACTTATTGAAGAGCATGGACAATAAGATTATTCAAGTAGCACTCGATGGGTTGGAGAATGTGCTCAAGGTGGGTGAGCTCGACAAGGAGTCAAACGGACCTGGAAGTGTGAACCAGTATGCTCAATACGTTGAAGAAGCTGGTGGAATGGTTACAATCCATAACCTTCAACACCACGAGAATCTAGACATATACAAAAAATGCTTCTTCCTTATGGACAAGTATTTCCCAGAGGACGATGACGAGGATGTGGCTGCTACGGGTATGTCAGGTACTAGTGGTCCACAGGTGGATGCACAGGGCTCTTATGCTTTCAATGTTGAGCCTCAGGCTCCGATGGGTGGCTTCAACTTTGGCGGTAACTGAGTGCTGTGATGATGATAAATTTCATTTGATTTGATTAATATGCATGATTTGGTATGATTCTTGTCTTTGGCCGTGTATATGGCGAACGCGCAAGTACACGCGTTAGGATGGTTGGTGCAAATAAAGGAGGAAAGTGAGCGTGTTCGGGTGAGTACAGAGTGGTGTATGTTGTGCGTGCACGCTAACACGGCTCCTAGAAGCGACTGGGGCGGAATGCGAGTGTGGTGCAGCAGGATAAGAAGCGGTTGGTGGGAGTGGGAATAGATACAGATATGGACATGGACATGTCACCACACACACACCTACACACAGACAGATACACAGACATATACACCAACACGCCGCTCACTCCACTAGCACAGGCACGCGACAAGCATCTTGCAGCCACGACAGCGCGCCCATTCCACGCGGCAGACACACGCAAGCTCGTCCAGCTCGTGCGTCTCGAAGGCGGGCTAGCGCTGAGTCTGAACGCGGGAAATAGTCCGAGTCTAAATGCACCCGAGATTGACGCGCGCATTCACCACTCACACGTCGACTGGCTCAGAGTGGCAGAAGGGGTGAGTGGCTAACTAATCATATAATGCGTAATGCCTGACGCGCACTGCTTGCTGACTCCCAGTTCAACCTTAACAGATCTCCGATCGAGTGCTGGATCCGCTGGGTAAATGTGGATAACCCCCGGCTGGATAACGGCGCCTTGAGCGGTGCGGATGTCGATAGGCTGCGCGGGTGCTACGAGAGGCAGAAACGTACACACAGTACACAAATCCCGCTCCACAGCTACACCTTCTGGTCTGCTGTCGCCGATGACTTCTCCTCCCCACTCTCCCAACGTTCCCCCCACTTCTGCATGAAACAGATGGGTATCCTTTTCGCAGCGCATATACAGGACAATACTAGACGCAGGAAACGTCGGCGTTAAATATCTCAACGGTGAAAAGAGCGGTTAGAACGGTGCGATGGTACGGGCTACTTGTACAAATTGTCATGCTATAATGTGAGATCATAATCCAATAATACTATTATGCCCTCATCACACCTGCCGTATGTCATACTTGGAGACATCTATTTTCTCATGTGCGGTGCGATCCACAAAGACGCGTCTGGCCTCGGCATAGAGCAACTCGGTGAGGACCAACCCATTGCTAAAAGTCCAGAGAAGTGTGCTAGCGTAGTAGAAATTGGCATTTCCCGTGACGACGCGCAGCCAGAGGTATCTGAACAGGGGCAGCAGGCCTGCCGCAGTGGCGGTGAGCGCGACGACGAAGACGGGGTGGCGGGCGTCTGAGAGTGGGGTGTTGAGTAAGACGCAAATAGAACTAGAAACACAGAAGCACCAACTCACGTTGAAAGAGGTCGCTGAAGAGCGGAAGCAACGTGACAAATACCCCCACATCCCCGATACACGGATATGACTTGAAGATGGCGAGAGTGCCGGCAAGGAAGGTGTAAGCGAGCAGAGGTCTGTGGCTGTGTTGTGTGTTGGGTGTGCAGTAATTTGTCAGTGTTACTCTGTTCTGACATCTCAGACACCGACTCACCTCAGAAAAATACACACGGGCAGTACATACACCACAGTATGCAGCTGCAGGACCAGCGTGAAGAACCCCTTGAATTGCTCAAACATTTCCACAAGCAGGTACCAGAAGACACCCGTGTTAGGTGTAAGGTCGTCGACACGTACGAGTGAGGTGTAAAGCGAGAGGAACGTCCAGTCAGCGGCGATGTAGCGACTGAGCGAGACAGCAGCGGTGGTCGTAGCGAGGAAGATCGAGAGCAGCCGTGCGGTACCAAGCACACACTCACGCCTCAGCAATACCATTATGAGGGGAGGCAGGAGAGCAGCGGGGTACATGAACAATGCACCCGCAAGCGAGAGGAAAGTTAGTGCCGGTAGTGCTCTGCCACGGTGAGCCAGCGAGACAGCACAAAGAACGAGCGCATTCTGCAGCGAGACGGAGGAGCGGGCAACTGTGGTGAGCAGCGTGAGCGGGTTGTGCATGTACACCGCCGCACATGGCCTCGACAGTTTCGAAACGGCATATGCAGTGGTTGCGTCGAGCGATATCCAGAAGAGCGGATGGTCGAGGTGGTGCAGGAGAGCGAGGAGAAGCGGCGAGTGCTTCTCGTAGCTCCCAATGGCCAGCGCCTCCTTGACTATTGGTTGTCAGAAGGATACTGCGTCATCACAACACACACCAACCTCCGACGATTGAAGTGAAGGGCGTAGACAGCTCCAAGCGGAACTCCAGCAGCGATGGCAGAGAAGTAGCGTAGAAGAGAAACAACCGCAGAGCAACGCCAGCAGCTATATGCAGCGAGAGTGAGGGTGGCATCATGGTTCAGAAATAGAAATACAAGTCGGGTGTGCAGTACAAAACAAATAAATCACGCTATCCTTCTCTCCATCTGTGTAGGAGTGTTAGTAGGGCACTTGTAAAGCCACGCACACCCACTGATTCGCGCATTTCGCATTCGTGCATCTGTAAAACGTCGTCATCGGCTCGTCCGCACTTCTGATCTGAATCTGCATGAAGAAAGCTCTGAGGTTCGAGCATTTCGGGCATTCGGCTGTGTAGAGTTTTCGTTAGCGGTGTCAATGCTAGCACCCATACACACCATCGGTCTGGTCGACATTCTTCCATGTCTCCTCTCCACCTAGCACATCATCAACCTCCTTACGTCTGAGCTTATGGCGCGTATTGAACTGCATAGCGTCAGCTAGCAGCCACACTACAACGTCCACCCACCTGCTTGGTCATCGGGAATTGGTACGGGCAAATGGAACACGTCCACTTGTTGTTGGTCGTCTCCTCGTCCATTGCGCTGATAAGCATATTCGAGCATGTCGGGCAGAACAGCATTCTTGTCGTTTTTCGGTGGTGTTTGAAGAGAGAAGTCGCTTTTTCGAGCATCCCAACGACCATGTCGAATATATTCAGAAGAGGTTTATGTAGCGCAAGGGTTTTGTTAGAGGAGGCCTCGAGCAATTCCAAGGCAATGGCGTCTGCACATGCTGCACCAGATGCACAAACCACACCAACTGCACAATCCACCAAGGAAAGCCTCGAGAAGAAATACACTCCCAGACCAAAGCAGCTGCCGAGTATTTTCACCAACAAGACACCCGTCGACCAGCGCGTACAGGTAAATCCCAACCACGGTCTCTACGCCTTCTTCGAGAGGAGGCCGGTCGACACTACACGCGGGGAGGTGAGCGACGGGACGGGCGACGGCAAGCAGATATCGTCTACGCTGCCAACATGGACTGAGTCGCAGAGTTTGTCGAGTAGGGCTTGGAGAGCCTCTGAATTACGCCTCAAGAGCTTCGAAGATCTCCACACACTCTGGTTCGTCCTCCTCAAAGAACGTAACCTCCTCGCCACCCAACTCGAAGAGGCGAGACGTCTTGGCGTCGATATCCAGCAGTCGACCAGAGTCAATGAGAGAAGATGGCGCGTACGCAAGGCCATGTCGAGGATCAAGGGTGTCTTGAGCGAGCGTCGCCATGCCATCCCTGTGGAGTAGCTTCTAATTGTGTGTGTATTGATAAATTTCTATTTCATTTTCATTTCTCCGAGTCGGTGCAAATCTCTGTTTGTGCCTCTTGGACTGCAACCACGACCATCTGCACGCGCACACACCACACAATGTCCTCATCGCACCCTCTCAAGCTAGATGTTGTCGACGATGAGCTGCGACGCGAGAAACGGGGGAAGCAGCTGGCGACAGCGGCCGTGGACACGATGAACGATGTACGGGCGATTGAGCGGGCGAAAAAGGCGCAGGATCTGGTGGAATTGAAGCTCACAATGAAAATGACCGATGGCGCTTTATCACTTAGTGAATTCAAACGCTCCCTCCCACTCCTCTCAGCGGCATCTCTCGCGCGCATCGAACATGAGAGGCATCTCGCTGATTTGTGCGCTTATCCAACTTGCAGTAACCGACCACGCGGGGCTTATGGCAGTGCGCGTGACACACTACGCATCGATAGAATATCTCTCTCCGTTTACTCGCAGAATAGCAGTACAGATATCGCATTCTGTGGCTCGGTCTGCCAACAGCGCGCTCAATGGGCTCGCACGCGCTGTGTAGGCAAGGTCGAAAGCGATACCAGTCTGCTCGTTGATCGAAACCCTCATCAGCGTGTCAAACTGTTGGAGGAGTGGGGTGTGGATGGGGCTATGGATGAGGATACCAACAATACAGACACATACACACAGACAAACACCGACACAGTTTATACACCCGGCGATATCGTCGAACACCCCCCTTCTTCCAGCACCACCAACACCACCAACACCGCCAACACCGCCAACACCGCGAATAACCATGCTCATGCACGCGTTCGATGGAGTGATGAAGCACACCAATAAAATTGTCACCGCAGCATGTATCCTCACCCTCATCACTCACCCTTGCTTCTCCTCGATCTACGCCATGGCTGGTGCCGGTATAGCAGCGTTGATTGCTAAAACACTCAAACGGTTCATCATCCACCCGCGCCCCTACCCTTCCTGTAAACACAACGGTATGCCAAGCACACACTCAACGGTAGCCGGGTGGCTATTCGTTAACCTCCTCAGTAGTGGTAGTGCTGTACACCCAGCCTTGAGGGTAGCGGGACTGCTCTACCTCATTGCCATACCCATCTCACGCATCACTTTAGGCCTACACAGTTGTGTGCAGGTGTCGTGCGGTGCGGCGCTAGGTGTTGTGCTCGCTCTAGGCGCTATCTACTTTCGGCAATTTGTCTTGAGTGTTTACTAGTTGTCTATGAATCATCATCTTACAATTAGCCGTGTGTGCTAGGTGTGTTGGGTGTTTTGTGTGCTGATTGTTGTGTGCTATGTGCTGTGCTTTGTTCAAGTGTGTTATGCGTTAATTAAATATACTATGCTCTCCTCAAATATGCTATGGGCTGCCTTAGCCTATACACCACCACATCACATCTTGCTATGTCTTGGCGGATGGCCGAAGCCGTCATCGAGCCCAACATGCAATTCACCGGCAGCGATCGCGCGAATTAGAGCGTAATGGTGTATAGCATGCACGATAACGAAATGCAGCTATTAGTCATGGAAGTTGAGTGATTAGTTATGTTTGTCTGCCTGCGCACACGCGCCAACGACACGCACCTCTCTAGCATACGTAGAATTCAAAATGACAGGAGTGGGCGTATGTATGGTGAGCCGCACCTGTCTATACAGCCTCTGCCTCACCAAGCCATTATCGAAGAAGGTGATGAGGTTAGAGAGGACATACCTCGCTGCGTCGATATCCCACTCTATAGCCCGGTTTTTCTCCACTACGTCAAAATCCAGTAGTGTATCTACGTTTGCTTCATCACTCTTGACACCTCCGACAAATACTTGGAACCGCTCAAGGGTGTGTCGGACATGCTTGCTGATCGTCGAGTGCGGTGGCTGCGTTGAGCGCTGAATGTACTGCGCTTGAGTAATCCTCTCAAGTAATCCTTGGCATTGCTGTAGCGTTCTCACTGCTAAAACTTCGAGTACGTGCATGTGATGGTAGTGAATTAAGGTTTTGTTAGCACATAAGCACATTAGTACATTATCGCATTACAATGATTGTCAGCGATTCAACAGGCAGATTGCAGTTACGCGTGCATCTCCTCAGCTCGTGGTCGCTACAACTCCACCTTGCCCACACAAACAAAGCAATTTACAGAATTTTAGTGGCAGAACACGCTACATAAAGCACACAACCACTTTGCAGCTAATTTTAAATTCTTTAACTGCTGTTTGTTACGCTGTTTGCGCGGCGTGTGTAATTGAAACGTAAACAGAATTCGATCCAGCTACAGTGACGCTATCATGGCCCAGGCATGTTAATTGAGTTGATGGATTAGCCGCGCGTATCCGCATGACCCATTCACGTGCGTCATCGAGGTAGATAATCCCCCGCAAGTCCTTTAGACCACCACCACCACCACCAACCTCTACGGCCCACACTCTTTACTTGTTGATCACAGCAGATGTCCTCTCTTTCAGCGCCGTCGCATGGCCCCGCTTCGACTCCGCCTCTCGCCAGACTTGCGAAACTCGCTCGAGCTGTGAAATACCGTGGTGAGTGGGTTATTGCGTGGTGGGTGCATGCAAACACTAATGATTAGAGCTCTCCACAGCGGCTGCTCTATCCAATTTATTTTCACGGGGCAAAAAAACACAAACACACACCACCCACCACTCTGCTCAACCCCCACTCGCACCCCACCAAGGAACGGGTACGTCATCTTCCCCGTTCTTTCTCACTCACTCAATTACTCACAGACAGGCGGGGTAGACAGCTCCAGCGCAAGCGCCAGCGCGTCAACTCCCTCCCACCTTCGCTCATACTCGACGGATTGGGCAGTGGGCTCGAGGAGAGCATCAAAGAAGGACTCGAAATGCACAGCAAAGAAGGCGGTATCGGGCTATTGAAGTTGCCCAATATGCGCCTTGACAGTTACGCTATTAGTCACGGTAATCACGTCGGCCATGCCAGCCACACCAACCACACCAACAATACCAGCAAAAGCAAACATCCAGTGAGAACTTCAGCCACAACCAACACCACCTCAAATACCGCAAACACTATGCTCGAATCGACCACCCTTTCTGCTTCCACCCTCACCGCTGACTCGTCAATCATCAAACTTGTCGATTTCGCGGGTGTGGATGAGGATCTAAAGTTGTTCACAAAGGGTCAGAGCCACTCCTCTCCCAATGTTCTTCTCTTTCGCGATGTAGCGGATGAGATTCACAACGCTCGCCTCACCCACCACTCCCAAGGTAGAAGCGGTGTCGCTGAGAGCCACTACACCAGCTGTGGCACTTGCAGTGAACCGGAGATTGGCTGCGATGAGGCTGTGCTCGGTGATGGCTTTGGTATGAATACCATTCTGCGTCGTGATACTGTTAAGGCTATGTATGGTGTCGATGCGGCCTAGTTGCTTTATTCTTCAACTATCTCTAATTGTCCCTAGCAATCTTCAAGTATCTTTCATCTCTGCAATATCTCAAACGCCTTCACATTCTTTCAAGCAGGTTGTTCATTAGTCTGTTTCACACTCGTTATTCCTCTCACTTCTATCTCATCTGCTCACTCCCACTTGTTGTCTCCATAGCAAACATGTTGTATTGAAATACAAAATGTATCTATAGCTTGTATAAACGCTGCTCAATTCATGTCGTCTTTGCATTCTCTGTACCAAGGTGGAAAGTCAAGATAAGATTTGAAAATGTAAAACACTCTCAAGAAATATCATGACACGTTTTGCTATTATTACTTTCAAAATGACGAAAAATCTATCTGTGTAGTTTACGGATCGAATTGGCTGCAGAGTCTATCGATTAAAGCATATAAATGATATTTCTGGAACAATATTTCACGCTTCATATACGGCACTGAATCACTTTTTCCCTATTATCACAACACGGCTTCGGTAGATCACAATATAGAAAAGTCCACGACCTTCAGAAAATCATCTTTCAAATTCATATTGCTGATTTATTAGCTTATTATTTCCTTTGATCTCGTTCTTCTTGTCGCTTAGAACTTTATTTGAAAGGATATATTTCATCTCGAGCCTAAATCGTAAACCATATATCCTCCTCCTCAACGATAATCTTGCTTGATCGAGCTTAATACGTGTTAAAATCTTGTGTGTGATACTGTCCACTTCACCGCACTTGCTGCAAAGTGTTGAGTCTGAAAATTTGAGTCGGAATCGGGAAGACTTGGAAGTAGAGAATTGTCTTGAGCAGATCTGTGTGGTCACACTTCACGTAGCACGCGCAAGCTTGTTGAGCATCCTGGCCGCCTGAGTAGAAGTCATTGATGAACTCTTTTAAAAGCTTCTTAAAGCAAATCAGCACAGCGAATAACAAGGACACCGCAAAAGTCTCAGAAGAACATAAAAAACAATAAGAAGTGTAAATTTGATGATAATGATGATGATATCTGAATACATTGTTAAGACGATACATGTTTAAACTGCGGCCATCAATAATTCGTAAGGAAACGGGAGTCAAAGGGGTTGCCGAATTTCCTGGAAGCGTTTCTAGACTAGCGTCTTAATTTATATATTTCAATGGTCCTCAAATTCTTTGAACAACCGGACTGTATTTGGTTAATAAAATTGAAATTTTTAGCAGCAGATTTGAAACATCATGTCACCCAAAGTTATATTACTTTCACATGAAGACATCATCAAGCATTAATGGGGTAGTGGTAACCTCGATCGTTGCCATCTAACAACGTTTGATAAATTCGATCGGCCCCCGGTTCAATTCCGGGTTAATGCAAGAAAATTTCTAATTTTAGAATTTTTAGTTTCTCTGTAAATTCAATTTTATCAGATTTTGTTTTACGTAGTCAGCCGCTAACTTATACCAACGAATGTATATTCAATCTTTCTAGAGCCTTCGAGTCACACTCAATCACCACCTCACAATTTGTTTCTCATTCATTTGCACTACTCGCCTCTTAAAAATCCCGTTCTAGTCCTTTCTATCAAATATTTGTTCTGCTTTGGCCTTCTCAACGCACTCATATCTGCAAATCTGGACCAAAAGTGAACCTCACCCACCTTCACATTCTTGTGTCTGCTGAATATCCGGTATGACCGCGCGCGTGCCTTCACCAAAGGTAAAACTAAAAGTGAGACTAAAATTCAAACTAAAAATTGCGATATATAAAAGGAGAACAGACTCTTGAAATAATACTACAATCAACTATTCGTCCAATCTCACTATGATCGCTCAAACCATCTTCGCTGCTGCTCTCGTCGCCTCTGTCTCAGCTGGCTGGGAATCTAAGACCGGCTCATGTAATACTGGAAAGCTCGCGTGCTGCGATACCAACAAGAAGGTCCAAAAGTCAACCGGTGAAGAATCAGGCCTCCTCCACACCGGTGACGTCCTCGACCAAGTCGCCATCCAATGCACTCAAATCCCTCTCCTCATCGGAGTAGCAATTGAGGGTTAGTGAAAACGCTCGCTTTATATCACAACTAACACCCCACAGACGAGTGCAAGAACACCCCAACCTGTTGTGAAGATGTCAAGGACGATGGTCTCGTCGGTATCAACTGCACTCCAATCCCTCTCATTTAAAGGCTGTTTGCCAGCATTTGTAGAATTCAACATTAGATAATACTTTATAAGCCCTAGTCACCTTGATGTCTCACTATCTCATCCATGCAAATACGCGAAGCACACTTGCGACTACGCCACATCTATAAGAAGATGCATGTCCGAAAGCAAATATCCAATACAAAAAAAAAAAAAAAAAACTCAAACATTCTTTATCCACCTACCCATCCATTGAGAGTTGATCTGTTTAGCCTCATCGACCAGTCCCATGTGTAATAAAAGCTGCACAGATCCTCTGACAGCCGACTCTAGTGCACTGAATGTCCAAGCATGCGTGATAGATGTGTGTTCGCCGACGAAGATGACATTGTCGTGTGTCTTGTGATATGATGGAATGAACATGGTGTGTTGGTCTTGCGTTGGAGATGCCCAGCTTCCGGCGTAGTTCTCATCTTTAATCCAGCATCTGTAAGCTGAGTTGCCCGCATACTGCTCGTATACCTGGTCGCCGTGGAGGTACGCCAGAGACTCCATGGCTTGTTGGACATACCTATCTTCAGACCACGAAGCTAATCTGGTCGCTGGGTCACCTGAGACGTACGATGAGAGCACCACAGCTGGACCATCTGATCCGAGGTTATAAGGAGGGTAGCATGAGCGGCTGACTCCGTAGTATTTGTCCGTGTCGTCGCATCCACCATAGATCGGCTTGTCACCTTCTTCCCAGAATCGCTTCTTGAATTGTAAAGCCGTTTTGCAGGCACTATTGTACGTGAGCGTATCGATAGCGTGGGAGATGATAGGGTCCTCAAACACAGGCAAGTCCCATTGCCTGACGACGGAAAATGGCGATGAAACAACCGTGTAATCGAATGTTTTGTTCTCTCTTTTATATCCGTTGCCTTCGTCTGTCCACTCCAGAGTCACCTTTCCATCATCCGTCTTAATGGTGTCGACGCGCTTCTTAAAGCTGACTTTGTCATCGACAAGTGGATGAAAAGCGTTTGGAAGTTGTGAAAGACCTGTTTGTTGACTGTTAGCATAGCATACCACTCAATAGAAGAACTACACACCTCTATCGATTGTCTTCCAGGTAGTAGCACCGAAGTAGTTGTTGGAGTCGTAGATCATATCCCAAACAGATGTAAAGTCAAATCCTTGTGCCTCTTGAGCAGTGATGAGGTCGTAACCATACTTCTGCAGCAGTCCTGCTTCACTGACATCGTCATATCCCAGGTCGATTTGCATTTTGTGTGCCTTGAAAACATTTTCCGCTGTGAGTTCGAGGAGCTCCGTATTGTCCGTGATATTTGAAATAAAGACGCTCGCTTCCTTCGCCTTGTCTGAAATTCTCGTCTTTGATAATGATGGGTTCGCGTTTATGTCTGAAACACGCGGGATGGATCCATCTGTCAATCTCACTCCATTAGAGTCTCTGAAGTTATTCTTCATCGACTGGACCCAAGGTATGAAGCCAACTTTCCATTCTTCAGCGTTGTCGTTGAGTTTGTTCAAGTAGTCACCGAGCTGGAAGACGAGCTTGTGATCGTTGATTTCAACAGTCTCCCCATCTCTAACCCACGAAACAGGGAAGCGCATGGCGCCCATTTCTTGATATTGGTACTCGTCTGGCTGAGTGTTGTTGAGGTATTGCGTGTATAGACGTCCACCAATCCTGTCACTTGACTCTATGATTTCCCAGTTGTGCATTCCAACGCTGTCAAGCAGCAGTGCCGTCATAAGACCACTCATACCAGCGCCGACAATACCAACAGCTGTATTTTGTTAGTTTATGTGCGTGTAGAGAGTAGCAACTGGCTCACCTGATTCCTTCGACTGAACATCAATCAACTGTGAGTCAAAATGCTCATTCACGTAGTTTACACCGTCAAACCAAGTACCCAGTGAGTCAAAATCTTCCATCTGCGCTACAACGCTATCAGATCTCTTTCTTGATTCATTTTCCGTTAAAAATACCGGGTCTGAGCGCGCAATAACTTGACTGCCATGATATGCATTGATACAGAAGTCATTGAGGTGGTGACTAGCAGGTGATATCCACAGTAGCTTCGAGGTGTCTCTTCCAATAAAGTTGATAGCATCCTCCTTAGAGAATGATCTCAACACTTCCTCTTCACTGAATGATGACTGAGAGCATGGCGAAATAGTGAAAGTGACACCATGTTCGCGATCACTGAGGTATTGAGGAAGATGATGGTGTGAGTCTATATGAATGTTATTAAGCGACAATGCTGGTACAGCAGAAGGTGCCACGATCTGAAGAAGGTTAGATGACGAAAGCGGGGAGGCTGGAAACGCGAGTGTCGCGCCGGTGTATAAGAGAATCGAGAGGGCTTTGAGTGATGTTGACATTGTCATTATAAGAAAATGAAACAGTGCAAGTCTCATTTATAGTCAATGCTTGAGCGTGTACCTGATTGCGGAGAGATCTAAACTTACGCTGATAAGATGAGTCTCGAGTTCAGAATAGTTGATAGCGGGTCTAATTCCGTAGCCTGTAAGAGATAGCGCGAGGCTTATCAGCCTAAGCGGCGACTTTACCAAAGGCACACAAGCGCAGATAAGGTTAAAGTATGTAGCGATAAGACTCCAAGACAGTGTAGCGGAACGTATGAAAGAAGATATTTCGATGTAATACGACCTATATAGCTAGCAAACTTCATCCATTGCATTCTTCTCTACTTTTCTCGTTTAAAGTTCCTGCTTCCTCATTCTTATCTGTTCAATTGCGGAGGTCCTTGATAAGACGATTGAGGTCATCTGAAAATTTCGCCTTTAATTTTATATTACCCGGATTGATCAATTGAGATTAGGCAACTAGGCTTATCGACCTTGGTGGTTTGGGTTAATGTGGGCTAGACTTTGTCGAGAGATAAATAACGATATGCATCTACATATACAGCCGGATAAGTTAGAAGCATGGAGAGGTGATAAACACCGAGCTGTAGTAGTACTTAATATAAACACCTGCTTACCTTTATCTCCTATTGTACTTTTGTCGCGTCAAGACGCGCGACTTAAGTCGAAGTTTAAGCGTATCTATCAGAGATTCAATCACTAGCTGCTGTAATGAAAACTTAGATCTGGTTAGCATTTTGATCGAAGCATCTTGATCTCATATCACATATCAGTTTATGTTTTATTTACTTTGCAATATAATGATATATTTCACTTCGCAGAGCTGCCCATGTGCGAAAGTTATCGTCAGTCCAAGTTCTTACTCGACGAGTTTTGTAGATTAGACACTCAGTGTTGGCACCTTTACAAAGTGACTTACACTATGGAAGTAGAATTTACCTTATATGATTGAAATTACTCCCAAAATTTATGTATCATGCGATTTTTGAGAAGGTCCTGGCGATGTTGTAGATTGTATAGTGCTATTCCGAACGCACTAGCTATCGATGGTGTGTCAAGGCTACTTAAAGGTCATTTATGGTGAACAGTCACTAGAAGTTAACCATTATCCACTCTCATCATCAAGAAACAACAACCCAAAGTGAATCTTGAAAATTGCTTTATGCCAAACCTTAAACATTTGAGTTGCTTATAGGGAGGAAGAATAGAAGGCTTGACGAGCTTGTCAGACAAATTGAAACTGTTTAACTCGAGAAATTTAATTATTTTTGTCAAATCGCGATATGTTTGACCTTGAGAATGGAGCAAAATTGAAAAACATAAAGGTTCTAAATGCCAATGATCTAATTGCCTACGAATTCTACGGCAGTAACCTAGGACATTTCAAGGATCTAATGTCAATGCCCGAAGACCTCAACATCTGTACTACTATGTTTGAAGTAGATATGTGGCATTGAACAAATTCATCGATACATACCCAAGGCTTCACTTTGTTATTGCGCATGGATACACAAATATAAGTCCTTTCGAAGTCTCTAACAAAATGGAACACTTCACACGAAATACTTGCGTTCCTCTCATCCATAAAAGGAGCGTTCTCATGGAGACTTTTGTTTAGAAATATCGGAAGAATTCCGAAAATTCGACAAATAAGTTTAAGCAGACTTGAACGATGAATTTTTCGGCTGAGTTTCTCGGCAAAAGTACCATCTCATTTCACTTCGGAACTTTAAGCTTTATATTACCACCTCAGTTTCGTATTTACGGATAATGAACTGATTTTACGCATTTCTTTCATTTAATAAAATGCTACATAATATTTACTATGCTAGTTGTCCTCTTCCTCAGATATAAACATCGGGGAGCTAGTGAGACCGTATGAAATCGATGAGCTGCCGTCATCAAATATTTCATTTGCATTCTTAGCATCATCAAACTGGTTCGAATCAATCTTATCTTCCACGTCCTCCTCAATGGCATCACTTTCATCCACATCTTCATTGTCTACAGCTTCGCTATCACCCAAGCCAGTACTCTCAAGAGTAAGAACCAGTTCACGCTGCAGTCTTGCTATGAAAGCCATCAAATCTTCGTAGCTCAGAGAACAATTGCTGCAAATCTGGCGCAATTTGGCTGTAATCTGCAAATTGAGCAGTCAGTAAAGCAAACAAGGCGCAGCCCAAGTCCTACAGAGAGAATAGTCTGTTTGCGAGTAGCAATTTTACGTGCTTGAACGATCACCCTGCAACTATCTTGTGCATTGTCTTCATTTGACAATTCGCCAACAATCCTACGCGCCTCATTCAGAACCTCGACAGGCAGTCCTGCAGTCTTGGCGAGTTGCAGTCCATAGTGCTGCTCATTAGACCTACCCTCGACAACTTTGTATTGGAAGTCCATTTCATTCGCTGGGTTTACCTCAGTAGTCAAATGCAAGGTGACGACTCCAGGCATGAATTGAAGATAGGTGGAAAGCTGTCTGAAGTGCGTAGCAAATAAAGCAAATGACTTGCGACGAATAAGCTCTTCGGCGATCGCGTAAGCTATGCCAAAGCCCTCGGATGGAGTCGTTCCTCGTCCTATTTCGTCTAGTATTACTAGAGTGTTGCAGGTCGAGGCGCTGAGTATAAGCGATACTGTGGCCATCTCGTGTGCGAATGTTGATAGATTTTGTTCGAGTATGTCGTTGTTGGTTTGACGCGATAGTATGCTATCCATCAACTTTATGCTTGCGTAATCTGCGGGTACGTAGCTACCGAGACCAGCCATAACGAGGATCAAAGCCACCATGCGCAGAAACGATGATTTACCTATATTGTAATTAGATAAGCACTAAGTGCACCCAGAAAATAGTTTACCTGACATGTTTGGACCCTTTTGTGTATTTTTAGACTTAGACTTATCTAGCATCTACACCTACTTCAATGATTTGGAAGTGACCAAAGTCGCTAAGAAACACATCATTGGAGACCAGCTTTTCTGACTCGATCTTCTCGAGCAGTGGGTGTCGTGCTGACTTGATCGCCAAGGTGTCGGTCTGATCGGGTTTAGCGTGAGGTCTCTCGTATGAACCATCTACCTACAAATTTAGGCTTGACTGAATTACAGCATAAGTAGAGAATTGGTTAGGTTAGCATACGCACCATAATCATGAACTAAGTTCTGTCAGCAAAGGATATTGACATGGTATAACACACACCTATAGCAGCGCTGGCGAGCGACAACAGCAAGTCGAGCATAGCGACAGCATCGCTCGCTATATATACTGACGATAGAGCCTCAACGACCACATCTCTGATGCTCAAAACACATTCCCTCGAAAGCATGTAAACCTCCTTGAGACAATCGTTTATCCTTGAATTGCGTTTCAGGAGATCGATAGAGGTGAATCTAATCCTACTTGCGTTGTTCTCTGACGGGTTTTTGGCTTTGACTTTCGCGCCGTACTTTGCAATATTGATAAACTCTTTCGGCAGATCGGCATCACCAAGATCGGATGTCTTGAGTGTCATGCTGAATGAGTTGTTGATGTAGATACATGTGATTGGAAGATCATAAGTTTCTTTTGTGATCTCAGAGGTGCGTGCATAAATACTTATTATGCCTACGCGCGTATTGACCCGTTACGTCAAACAAATCGTCTAAGTTCTCTCTGTATGTTTCTCTGGCAACATCAAGCAGCTCACATTGTTTGGCCTGGAAATTTAGTTACAGTTTCGAATTTTCAACATTAAACCCACCTTAATGGCATAAATTTTAGCATTGCGAGCTAACAGACCACCACATCGACCCATATTAACGTCTTCATGGATGTTTCTATCAATAGCAGCGACTACTTGACCAAAAGCATCGTCATAAAGATCCTGAAAAATATGTCGGATCGGGTAGATAGACACCGATGAGCTGACGTCTCGCAATTTTTTCAATAGTAATGACGTCGCGCCATCCAGTGCTGCGTGAACATTTGCGAGAGCATGTATGATAGAACGCATAGTCAAAAGCTGGCTGATGCGCTTTTCGATGTTTTGATCTTGTGAGACTGTCTTACTATCATTCTTCGAAACCTGAGTGCTGTTGGAAAAAGAAAATGTGACAGAGGTTACCAACTGCCATCAGCACCTTATCAACATCAATATTTTTGAGCGATTTGAGGGATGTTTGAATGGAATATAGAATGTCCTAGACGTGTCAACATACATTAATCAGCCTAGAAAAACCCACTTCATTCTCGACCAATTCTTTCACTGCACTTAAGCGGTTCTCGATGATGACTCTGTCTTAAGTGTGAAGTTGGCAATTTTCTGGAGATAAATGGCTATCACCCACCAGAAAGCGGTTGCAGAATTGAAGATTTGAGCAGGCGTTTACCCATTGGAGTATGGCAGCTGTCAAGAAGGCCTAGTAGGATTGAATTGATTGGAAGTTGCACCCTATTCTGACCGCTCACTCAGCATTGTGACGCCATTAGTGTTTGTAGCGCTCATAGTCAGCTCCAAGTCTTTTGCGGTCTGTGATTCGATGAACATTGTGCCTTCATGTTCTTGGTAGGTGATGCTGAGCGAGTGCGGAGAGTATATGACTGCCTGTACAGACTCGAGATAGCTTGTAAAACCATTAGGTGATATTTTGCAAGAGTTAAGGCATATTACCTAAATAGTGCGGATGCAGCGGCTATAGCATAGTACCTTGGGTGCGATGTTTATAGAAATTCACTTAGTCATAACATCAACACCCACTTCGCTCTTAAAATCATTAGCGCAGCATCTTTATGGGCGTCTTCCACAATGAATCGCTCAATGTCTTCCAAACCCTTGACATCATTGAATTGCTTTCTCTGAATGATATTAGATAGATATGTTTTGTGAAAATCACCCACCTGCATGCTTTTGATGTTAACAGGCTTGTGAGTCTCCAGCAGCTCTGCGACAAGGAGGCTCTTTGACGACTGGTCTGTAGAAGTCTTCCCGACAGACGTATTGCACACCAAAATAGTGCAAGGCGTGTCTGCCAGATTGTAAGCAAGTCATAAGATATACCAACAGCACACCCGCGTAAGCTGATATGATGCAAAGTCTTGAGATAAGTCACCGAGTCAGCGATCTACCATCTGTCAGTGGCGAATGTCGCAGAGGAGATAGTTGACTTGTGTGAGCGTAATTCGACCGGTGTGGTTGTTGATGGCCGCCAATCCAACCTGGTGGGTAACGTCTCTGCTTTCGAGCAGGGCTATCGACCACTCGTTGGAGATAGCAGATATTGCGTCATCGTCGTCCATGGCGAGGGAATGCGTGTGATTCTTGACAGATATGGCTCTGATAGAATGTGAGGGATCTGGTTGGGCGTTCATCTCTGATAATTTCGTTGATTTCCTGTCCATCTCTGCGAGTTGCTGATTTGAGATGGACGTCGTGAAGCAAGAAGGGAGTAGACTTAAAGTTGCAATAGCTAGATATTACATTGAAAACTTATTTGAAATACACTTCTAATACTGACGTCATACGCGGCATCGACGCAGGAGCCGGGAGCCGGAAGCAGCGAAAAGACTAAAGCGTTCAGAAGGGCGGGAACTGACTTGTCACTCGAATCGTCTTCAATTTCTACCTGGAAAAGGAGGACAACAATTGGTGTAGCCTTAGCGACTTGCACTAAACTAAAACGATTTCAGCAGCAATAGAATGCGCGCTTATAACTTTGCTTATAAAGACTAAGTCTTTTTATTCAATGTTCCAGAACCTCTGTAACGCGTGTTGGCCAAATATCGCTAACAGGATATCGCTCATAGCGCACAGACTTCGCAATCCATATTATCCGAGACTTATTTGTGTAGGCAGATTAGCTTAGAGGTGCAATTGCCGCAGACTAATCCGAGGGATATAGGATCGAATGCTGATAGCGTGATCAAGCGTGGTATGCTCAGACGAAGAATCCTAGACAGACGACACTTCGGATAAAAGATGGGAATCATGTGATACTTCGATAGAGATCGATGCATAATCAGTTCCAGACGAAGCCGCTGTGCAGCGACTGATGAATTCGAACGGATGCCGTGCAGCGGCGCGGCGCTAACTAAGGTTGGCCGTGGCCATAGCAAAATTTCAAAGGAGAAAAGAGTAAAGGTAATGCTTGGATGGCCGGGTGCGTCTCAAAGCCTTAGGATTTATTGGCTGCCTTTTCCATAAATTTGACGGAATTACTTGTTAAGGTTGATTCAGCTTCTTAGGCTTGATCTTCGGAGACCAAGTGGTTAGATCGCTGAAATTTCAAAAAAAAAAACCCAAAGCGTGGCTCTTGTTTACCGGACAAGCTACAAGATTTTTATTTGATTACTGCTTCTGGTTGAGATACGCACTCTTCTGAACAAGATAGTCTGCCGGACAGGCTTTGAATTACAGCTTTATGAATAATATCGAACAGCCTATAAAACCACCAAGGACTTCTTCTTTGTCTTACGATATGGTCAGCAGGTCAGGCAAGTCGACGCCTGATTCCAACTCGCTGGCTTCATACACTCAGTCGTTGAATTTATCAAGTAATACTCCAACTAGAACCCATCCTTACGCTTCAGAGGACTATTACTCTGGTGATACTATCAGTGCCAGCGATGGGTGCGTCTCTGCTATCTCTATATACTTTCTCTCACTCCCGCTACAGTCTAGCTTCCATTGACTGTACCCAGACTGATTTCTTTTATAACCAAGACATGCTTGGCATTCCCCAGCCAGATAGCGTCCACGTTCCTCTTAATACGCAGCACCCGTACCAGATTTCAAGACCTCCAAGCTTGACTTCTCTTTCTACCTCTGATAAAACCTCTATTAGCTCCACCAAGCGATTCGAACCTCCTTCTCCCAACTACCCAAATCAGTCCTTTGAACCTCCTCCAAAGTTTTCGAGGCTCGCTCAGTTCAATAAGGCTGCAAATGACGTAGTCAATCTCAACGGTGATACAAGCTCTGTTTACTCCAGAGCTTTGCCTCAATATTCTCATCACCCATCTCCCTTGTCTTACACCACCACCGCTCCGTCTGATCAGGATTTATTGGGTTTGCCTCAGCAATACCAGTCAAACATGCCCTGCTATCCTCCAGTTCCTTCTCCTCAGTATAGTAGCAACATACCTGACTACTACAACAGCTCGTACTACCCAATGTCGACTCCCATGTCTCAGACTCCAGGTCCTCAAAACCGCAAGTCTAGGTCATCGAGTGTGTCACAAAATTCATGCTATTCGCAGCATTCGAATGTCTCAAACATGTCAAATCACTCAACCAATTCCAGAGTCTACGGCGGTTGGGGAGCTCATCAACCACAGCTCGCCATGACCGGTATTCGACAATCCCATGTCCCAGCACCGACCCGGATATCTTCTCTAGATCATACCCAGCTGTTTGCTCCAGATGTTACTCAGATAGAGTCAGATGTAATGTCCTCGACTCCTATGTCGGGCGTTCTCAGTCCTGATATGGCTTATGCGAGCAGCATTGCAAGCGATGGCGCAAGCCTGTCTGACAGCATGTCAGGTAGTATGTCTGGCAGCGTTGCTCCAAGTATTGCGACAAGCATGTCTGCCGCATCAGATACCGGTCCCATGTCGATACGTCCTATGCCGATCAGGAAGAGAGCACAAACACTCGCTACATCTAATCATCCAATGCCTCCTTACCTGCGGCAATCAAAAAACCACCACCCTTCGATACTTGAGACTATGGACAGCAGCAAACCACGACCCCGGTCGCGTTCTTCGACGATGAGCAGTGGCGATGACGGTAGCCAGATGACTTCGTTCAATCCGGAATTGAAGGATGTGCTAGATGATATTTTCTTCCAATTTATGAACGATCTCTGCTCAGACTGTGAGTTTTGATTTTGTTTATTTTTGTTTTACTGACACGAAACTAGTGGGAGCCACGGATTCGCGAGGAGAGCTAATACACCAGACGCTCATGGCAAAGAAGATGGAAAAGCTAGATCAGCTGGATGAGTTCCGGCCTTTCAAATTCCGTATTCAAGCATTTACGTCAGCGTTCCAAGATCGCTTGCTCCAGCACAATATTGATGAAGGTATCATGCCGTCAAAGCGCGTAAAAGTATACCTATGGTCATCGCCTTTTATATCTCGGTTCAACGAGGATGGAAAGAAAGCCAAGAGCAAGGGTAATCATATATGGAACATAAGTGCGAAAAAAGACCGGCATAACAATTGCTGGGTATTTGAAGAATTCTCGCCTAGGATCACTGGTGAACCGCCCAAGGTAGCGTATATTGGAGTGCCTTGGTCGTTCACGCCGCGATTGTGGGATCCACGGAACTCATTTGCTCAAATCAAGCCAACATTTAGCTCTCCCGCACTACCACCTTGGCTCAGTTGGGTATCTAGACCAAGCACGCGAGGAAGTACGCGGGGAGAGATAGTCCACACACTCACAGGTATTCCCGACGTGACAGCAACAACATCCGAAATAGTAATTGAGGCCACATACGTCTACAATGGCTTACCACACAAATTAAGCAAGACATTCATTCTTTACACAGCGAATCAGACCTCGTTGCCACTGCAAACACAGCCAACGGGACTGCCAACCATAAAAAGTTCTCCTATCGACACATCAGCACAGGGTCTAACGTATTCACCGTCACCTGAGCATGATGAAATGCAATAGGTAGTGATAGCGGGAAGCGTTCACGATGCCTGACACTTTCTTTAATTTGTAATTTTTAAATCTTGTTTCCTGAATAATGCATACATAAAATTGATAGTAAATCACATAAGCTGTTGAGATATCATTGAAATCGCGTCTCGGCTGAACATTGGTCGCGCAACGCTCCTTGATAATAACCACCGTATGCAAGTGCGCAACAATTTGGAGGATTTGAGACGCAGACTGGGGCGTCCAGAGGCGTCATCCACGCCACTGTCTTCGTCGAAAGTGCCTATCAAAATCGACGACGACGAGCCCGTGGCGAGCAGCGGGAGCGGGAGCGTGAGCAGCAAAATAAACAAGGCGAACAAGGTTTGTATAGGCAGGAGCTAAGAACAATTACACTAATATTCATCATAGTTCAAGCCAGCAGCAGTTACATCTCCCGCAAGTTCCGGCGATCACCATCCAGTTGCGTCGACATCGAGGGCAGTGCCCGACTCGCAACAGAAGCGTGCACCGTCTTCGACGCCAGCGCAAGAGCCATCTAATAAGCGTTCACGCCAACAAACCCAACAAATCCAGCACTCCCAGCCGTATCTGCCCAAAGCCTCGAATGGAACTATCACCTACGCTGACGACTCGGATGATCTTATAAATGATACCTTTACAGGAGATGTCCTGAATGGCTTGGACAGTCAGGAGCCGCTGCCCAAACCCGTGGAGAAGCTGGAGAAACAAGAGGCGCCTATGAGGAAGGTCCGGCAGTATAATACAGACCTCGATTCGCTCGAGATGCCCGTAATACAAAACATGCTTTGCACAACGCTAAAGAAGAAGGACGCGGTTATGCAGGAGCTGCTGTCGTTCTATGAAGATGATATTGTTGATGGCACTGTCGATCGCGATTATCTGCGCAGTGAGCAGCAGCGACTGCAAGACCGAATTGAAAGTCTAGAGAATGCACTCGGCCGAGTGAAGAAAGTAAACGGTGTAAGCAGTACGGCAGCGAGTATGCATGGAAGCTCACAAAGCAATGCACCTTCAAAGCAAGTACGGCAAGAATGGCAAGTACGGCAAGAAAGACAAGAAGAACAAGAGCCGGTGGACGTAGACTCATCACCCGTCGCAACCAAGCGTCCAGCAATGTCTCTGCGGAGAGAGCCCCTTGGAAGTGTAACAAACGAAGATCCACCAGCTTTGAGTAGGTCAAAATCTTCTATCATGCCCTTTGCAGACAATATGATGGACCTCGATGGCGTCGACCTGCAAAGCCCAATACTGTCAGACGAAGATGTGGCAACTTCCAAACATATGCAAGTTTTGCGGAATGCACCGCAGATACAAGAATGTAGCGATATACCCGACGAAGACGATGTCAGTATCATGGAGCCATCTCCAAAGCCAACTAACCCACCGCCACCTGCTCCGAAGGCGGAAGATTATCCTAGATATACATGGTCCAGAGACGTAGAGAAGGTTATGCATGATATGTTCAAACTGAATGCATTCCGTAAAAACCAACGAGAGGCTATAGATGCGACGCTTGATGGTAGAGACGTGTTCGTTCTGATGCCAACGGGTGGTGGTAAGTCTGTCTGCTACCAAATACCTGCATGTGTCGATTTAGGAAAAACGCGTGGTGTCTCGATAATTGTATCACCGTTATTGTCTCTTATTCAGGACCAGGTGCAGCACTTGGTCTCAAGAGACATTCCGTCATACGCCTACTCTGGTGCGACAGCGCTTCCCGACAAGAGAGCCATCCAGGATGACTTGCGGCGACCTAAACCAGTAACGAGACTGCTGTACGTCACACCTGAAATGCTTGGACAGAGTGGCGCTTTCAAGGATATTCTTCAGCAGCTGCACGCCAAGAGCCAACTTGCTAGGTTTGTCGTAGACGAAGCTCACTGTGTCAGTCAATGGGGTCATGATTTCAGGCCGGACTACACGAATCTCGGACAACTGAGAGACGAGTTCCCAGGAGTGCCGTTTATGGCTCTCACAGCGACTGCCAACGAGCGCGTTAAGACAGACATCAAGAGCAGTCTCAAGATGAGGGGCTGCGTCGAGCTGAAATCATCCTTCAACCGCAAGAATCTCTTTTACGAAATAAAACCGAAGCACGGAAAGCAAGTCTACGCTGATATACAAAAACTCATCAACAGTAAGTTCAAAGGACAGACGGGAATCATATATTGCTCGTCCAAACGCTCATGTGAAGATGTAGCAAGCAAGCTAAAGCAAGAGTACGGTTTACCTGCTCAACACTACCATGCAGGACTGAGTCGTGAAGATCGCACTAAAATACAATTGAACTGGCAAAAAAATAGGTTTTTGATCATTTGTGCGACTGTTGCCTTTGGTATGGGTATTGACAAGCCAGATGTCAGATTCGTGATTCACTTTTCACTGCCTCAGTCATTGGAGGGTTACTATCAAGAGACTGGAAGAGCTGGAAGAGATGGCGAACACAGTCATTGTGTGCTTTACTTTGCGTACAAAGATACGACGACAATCAACTTTCTGATCGACAACGGCGACGGTACACACGAGCAGAAGGCAACACAGAGATCAAACCTCAGACAAGTCGTACAATTCTGCCTGAACAAGACAGACTGCAGAAGAACACAAGTGCTTAACTACTTTGGTGAACAGTTTGATCCGAGGAAGTGCCACAAGACGTGTGATAACTGCTTTGAAGGCGTTGGTACAGAGAAGCAAGATGTTACAGAAGAGTCCAAGAATGCGGTGTCTTTAGTGAAGGAGGTGTTTAAAGATGGCGTGACGATGCTGCACTGCGTTGATGCGTTCAAAGGATCAGGCGCTGCCAGAATCAGAGACAAGGGGCACGACAAGATACCTTCATTCGCCAAAGGCTCACACATGGAGAAGGGAGATGTGGAGCGGCTTTTTCAGCTTCTGTGGACTGAGCAGGTGCTTGGTGAACGCTACGAGCAGAACAAGCAAGGCTTCACCAATGCATACATCAAGCTCGGCTCGCAGTACCAGCAAGTGTTGAATGGGAAAAAGAAAATCTTCATGACAGTTGGGAAAATGAGCCAGCGCAAGACGAATGGTGGTAGTGGTGTCGGAGCAAGAACGTCGAGGAAATCTCGCCAAGAGGAAACTGATGAGGAGGAGATTGATTCAGACGATGACCACGACGAGAGCTTCGTGCAAAGCACTGCGAAAAATGGAGGATTCACGACGTTCAAGCATCGGTCTAGACAGAACCAGCAGAATCGCATCGATGTTGCTGACTCTGATGAAGAGATTGACTTGACGGGTGGGGATACAGCTATCCACAGTAATTGCTTGGAGGATCTAATGCAGTTGAAGATGAAGGTGGGTTAGTGGAGCTTTAGTGTGAGGAGACTAACAACTATCAGCTTATCAGAAATGGCAAGCCACAGCCGTCGGATGATACGCTCGAGACACTATCATTGACGCTGCCAAATTGTAAGTGGTTGTGGTTGGTTGTCAAATAACTAACTTCATTCAAGCTTTGAAAGAGATATTCAATACTGAAGGTATTGATGATGACAATTACGATGTGGGGTATCTTGAGGTCACGAAGAAGTACAACAAGACGAAACCAATGAGTCGTAAACCATCGACGTATGCAGAGTGAGTGGGATGTGCACAATGCATTCAACTTGTTTAGTTGTAGTGCGTCTTGGGTACCCCTTCTTACACAAACAACAGCACGTCATCGTCAGCTATAACACCTGGATCACTTGCATCAAAATTCTCATACAAAGTGCCAGACACGAGCTACAACAACAGCATGACATCAAGCAAAAGCACCACGAGCAAATATAATAAGTCAGACAACAGGAAGTCATCTGGAGGGTCTGGCGGTGGAATCAGAGCAATGGTTCCAGGGAGGAGGTGAGATGGTGGAATGAGATAAATTATTGCGCATAAAGAAAGAGAATAAAATTATATCATGTATTTGTAGATATGTATAGAAATTTGTAACGATTGTGTTGGAGTTAAAATACGAATTAGTCAGGGTTATATTGTGTATGGTGTATTGAGTAAATGTATGTTACAGATTGAGAAAAAATGATGTGGTATGAAGTTTTGAACCTTTGTAGTTGAGATTAGAATTTAATACGCGAAATCAAGACAAGAGCGCGTGTCTTTAGTTGAAAATGCTTGAGACGACACCAGCACCAGCACCGAATCCAACCTGTTTAATATGAAGTGGTTAATAAGGATAAAATGCCAAACAACAAGACTCACACCACCAGCAAACGAGTTACCCATAGTAGAGCCCAATTTCTTGAACTTGTTGTTTTTCTTTGGATCTTCAGGCTGCTGGACGTAAGTAGAAGGACCAGCGGCAGGTGGAGCAGGAGGTTGAGGGTATTGCTGGCCAGGTTGAGGATAGCTTTCCGCGTAAGTAGAAGCGCCGTAAGATATACCAGGAGGGCCATTGTAGGAAGGAGGTTGAGCATCCTTCTCCTTCTCACCGCCAAATGTAGAGGATGGAGGAGCAGCTGGAGGGAGACTGCGCAGCTGAGGGTTCGCACCAATTCTCTCTACTCTGTTGCTAGGGAAGAGACCCTCTGCGCCGGTAGATTCACTGCGACCTTTCCACCAATCAGCGTTAACCTCCTCGATAATGTTGATAGTGTCGCCCTTCATAAGACGCAGATCAGAAGCCTCACCTGAGTAATCCCAGCGCGCAACACACTTTTTCAAAGCTGGGATTGGGGCGGGCATAGGAGCTTGTGGAGGTGGTGGTGGTGGTGGATGGCTGATTTGCTGTGGCTGGTGGGCGTTGTGGTGGGTGGCTGGGGTTGGATAGACTTGGGGTGGACCTGGTGGACTTGGTAGAGGAGATTCTTTGTTGTTCTTTTGGCTGAGACTGCCTCGTCTGCTCATCGTTGGTAAGCTCGCCTGGCTGTTAAACGGAGCCGGCTGGACAGCTAGGCCAGAGGAGGGAACGCCTGATCTTTCAGAGTTAGCGGTGTTGCTGGATGGATTGGACAGCTTGAGCTTGATCAGCCTGGCGTCGGACGCGTTGAGGACACCTTGAGTCAGCAGGAAATCGACTTGTGCGGATATGTTGTTGATAATGAAATCGAGGTAGGCGTTTTCAGACATATTCTAATTTACTGTGTGTGTATGCGTAAGCCTATGAAAAGCTGTTGGTCGTCGTAGTAAAGAATGCATATGCGGCTAGGCTAGCTTCATTCCTACCCGGCACTTAATTTGAAGGCAGAAATATCGAGGACAGTGATAATGGAGAAGCTAATGAACAAATATTCAGAACGCAGGGAAGAGCTACTGGGATTTGAAAATAAATTTAAACTCGATTACAGTGAGCAGGATAACATCAAATTTCATCCCGATTACAGTTTCGCCGTGGAATTCGTGGACCGCGTTAGGTGCTATGAGTGGTACAATCTCTGGTTTAAAGCTCAGCATACAGAAGTAGGGGCCCCATTCCTTGACAGTGAGAATGGCGTTGCGATGGCCGTTCGGCGCTGATATCAGCCTTTAGCCAAAAACATAATCGCGAAAACGAAGCTGTTTGAATTAATCAAGAAAATGCCCAAAGGCGGTCTCTTGCACGCCCACACTGATGCATGTGAGTGATGCACTTGCTATAGTCACATGTCTGACCTTTGGATTACTTTGCAATACAGCCGTGCCATTGGGCGATGTATTCAAAATAGCTCATAAGTACGGTGCATTTATACAAATCAAGTCCACACATCCTCTCACTCAACACAACATACATTTTGGATTGGCTAAGATTTCGTTCAGGCCAGCTAATCAAGACAAACTGCCTTCTATAGATGCTAGTGTTATGCTGACTGAAAGCTACGAAACCGGAACTTGGTGCAACTACAATCAACTCGCTCAACTCGCTCAACACCCCGACAATAACAATATAATACCGTTTATTGAGAAACAGATGCTGATTACTGCAGAAGAAAGCTACATCACGCACAATACAATGGGCAAGATATGGTCAAAGTTTGGCAGTTGCTTTGGTGTTCTCTCTGGTCTTATAGCATTCGAACCCATCTGGGAAGAATATATAAAGCGACTTGTGCTGAGATGCGTTGAAGATGGTGTTGGGTATGTAGAAACCAGGTTGCTCTTGATCAACGAGTTGTCTTACGACGTTAACTGCAACCTCCGTTTAACGCGTCGTGACTCTATCTTGATTTTCTTACGCGGCGTCGAATCAGCGAAAGATGTACTTCGGGAGGAAGGAAGACTGGATAAATTCTATGGCATAAATATTATATACTGCACACTGCGATTCGTCAGTGAAGATGAGTTGTGGAATGCTATGTTAACATGCTTAGACATATACAAGGAGTTCCCAACGCTTATCAAAGGTGGGCGAAGTGTGATGAGGCGAAACATAAACTCATACTGCTTTGCTTATTAGGATTTGATTTGGTTGGGCATGAGGAGTCACCCTCCGGACACACACTCAACGACTACCTTGAAACTCTGCTACGCTTCCAGCAAAAGCAAATTGAGGAATTTGGAGATATCAAGATACCTTATGTCTTTCATGCAGGAGAGACACTGCACGATGGGAGTATCGTAGATGACAATCTCTATGACGCGCTGTTATTAGGAACGCGAAGGATAGGACACGGTTATAGTCTATACAAGCATCCAACTCTTATGCAGATGTGCAAAGAGAAAGGAGTTTGTGTAGAGAGCTGTCCAATCTCAAACGAGGTATTGAGATTGACGGGAGGGATTGGAAACCATCCAATCACATGCCTGATAAATCATGGAGTACCGGTGACACTATCCAGTGATGATCCTGCGATATTCCAGAACGCCATCTTATCTTATGATTTCTATATGCTAATCAACCACTCAAACAAGACAAATCTTGGGACACTCAAGGTACTGGCAAGGAATTCAATAGAGTACTCGCTGATGGATGAGGAAGATAAAAGCAGAGTCAAAGGAAAGTGGGAACAAGATTGGGAGGAGTATGTTCGCTGGTTGAGAAGACAGGGAGAAGAGTGGAAATGAGAGGACAACAAGGAATAAAGAGGCCTACATTCATGTACAGCTGGATTGTAAATATTTCATTTTGTAAATACACTCAAACGTATCTTGGTTCAAACAGTCAAGATAATGTCAGTGGCAGCAGCACCACCACCACAGCCAGCGGGCGTGGATGTAAACAGCAGCTCCTTCAAGGATAAGGTGGGATTTCATTTGCTACCAGCGTGTACATTTCTCATGATCAACTCCAGGGCAAGCCAATGGAAGGTTAGCGAAGGGAGTTTAGATTGGTTGTAAATTGCTGACGGTGAATTTAGTACGCTTGTCTAATATGACAGCAGCGAAGAGTGTGTACTAGCCAATTGAATCCACTTAACTCTAACACCTCCCAGCAATTTCCTCAGTCGTTAGATCTTCACTCGGTCCAAGAGGTCTTGATAAGATGGTGAGCTTAGCTTCTGCTTATTAGCATACTCTTGCTAATTCGCCCACTCAGATTCAAACTTCAAACGGCGAAGTCATTGTCACAAATGACGGTGCAACCATTCTCAACCACATGGCAGTTCTCCACCCAGCAGCGCGTATGCTCGTTGAACTCTCAAAAGCTCAAGATGTCGAAGCAGGTGATGGTACAACATCAGTCGTTGTTTTGGCAGGCAGCTTGTTAGGCGCGGCTGAGAAGATGTTGGGTAAAGGTATACACCCAACTATCATTGCAGAATCATTTCAATCAGCTGCTGCAAAAGCTGTTCAAGTTTTAGAAGAAATTTCCATACCAGTTCAGTTAGATGACAGAGACGCGTTGTTGAGAGCTGCTACTACCTCTCTTAACTCGAAGATTGTCTCTCAGTACTCCAACGTACTCGCTCCAATCGCTGTCGATGCTGTCAGGAAATTAGCTTCCGAGGAGTCCACTAACGTTGATTTGCGCAACATTCGCACCGTAAAGAAGGTCGGTGGTACTATCGATGACACTGAACTCGTTGATGGTCTCGCTCTTGAGCAACCTGTTGTTACTTCTGCAGGTGGTCCAACTAGAGTAGAAAAAGCAAAAATTGGTTTGATTCAGTTCCAGTTGTCGTCACCAAAACCAGATATGGATAACAAGATTGTTGTCAACGATTACAGACAGATGGACAAGATTCTCAAGGAGGAGCGTCAATATTTGTTGAACATGTGCAAGAAGATTAAGAAGACAGGTTGTAATGTCTTGTTAGTGCAAAAGTCTATTCTGAGAGATGCTGTCAATGATCTCTCCCTGCACTTCCTCTCAAAGTTGAAAATTATGGTTGTCAAGGACGTTGAAAGGGATGAGATTGACTTTATTTCAAAGTCTACTGGATGTAAACCAATTGCAGACATTGAACACTTTAGTGAAGATAAATTAGGACAGGCAGATTTGATTGACGAAGTGCACAAGAATGGTGCTAAATTTGTCAAGATTTCAGGTCTCAAGAATCCAGGTAAGACAGTATCGATACTTTGCACTGGTGCAAACAACCTCGTACTTGAAGAGTCACAACGTTCATTACACGACGCTTTGTGTGTTGTTAGATGTTTAGTCAAAAAGAGATTCCTCATAGCCGGAGGTGGTGCACCAGAGATCCACATTAACAGAAAACTAAGTGAAATCGCCCAGACGCTCAAAGGGATGGAAGCATACTGCTACCATGCTTTTGCTGAGGCTTTGGAGGTTATACCAACAACACTGGCTGAAAACGCTGGTCTGAACCCTATAGCTATAGTAACGGAATTGAGAAACCGTCAAGCAAAGGGTGAGATTACGACTGGTATTAATGTAAGAAAGGGTATGGTTAGCGACATTAAGCAGGAAAACGTACTTCAACCACTCTTGGTCACTACAAATGCACTTGAGCAAGCTACTGAGACTGTTTCACTTTTGTTGCGTATTGATGACTATAGCATTAGTCGTTAGATGGTGTTTTTAAGATTTACATTTTGTTATACATTCTATTCAATAAACAAAAAGCAAATTATATTATTACATAATTATCATTACATGAGTTAATCTGATAAATAAGCAAGTCTGCGAGGAGGTGGAGATTGACTGGAGGTGGGTGATGCGACGGATGAAGGCGATGAAAAGGAGATTGAGTGGGCTTGTGAGGGTGGAGAGCCATTTGATTGGCTGCCTGCATCGGCATCGCTCTCATCACTTTCCTGTTCACTTTCTTCCTGCGGTGGATCATATAACCTTGCTTTGGTGGTAGCGGCGTTGGCACTGGTATTAGTAACAACTTTGGAATTACCCTCGACTGGCTCAGGTATGCGTATCTGAGTGAAAAAGAGCTTAAGGTGTGAGTTACCGATATTGCGTATCTTGTACTGATTCATGCGCGGTATGTAGAAACTACCACCAAGACTAATATTAAATTCATGGCTTTGATTCAATCCTACTCTTGCAGCACCATCAATAATGTAGAAAACGTAGCAGTTATCATTAGATTCCTTATATGGCTTCTCCTTACCTTTATCAATGACCATCACACCAGAGGCCATATGCTCAGGTTCTTGGAATATCTTCTTGAACTCGTATTCTTTTTTCAAATCGTCAATCTTTAAGTGTTTTTCCCTATATGCAATATCCCTTTTGATAGTCTTGCCTGATTTATTCTTGACGGGGTAGGATGTGGTTGTGTATTTTTCTAGTGTCTTGTGCAGCTCTATCTCCTTTTGTTTGTTGTTCCTAGCGGCAGATTGTGCAGCACGCTTCTTACGCTCTTTTAGTGATGTTTGGGTTTGCTGTGTTGATTGTACTACTGGTGGTGGTGCGATAATATTCCCAGCAAAGTCAGTCCGCTCGAGCGCCCATTCTGCCAGTGGTCGGTGACGGGGACGAGAGGAGCGACGTAGAGCATCTGCTTCATCGTTGGTTTTATTTGAGGTGGTCTTGGTGACGTTTTTGGAAGTTTCACGAGTGTCAATCTGCCTCCGTTTCTTTTTGTCTATTTTTGCATCTTCTTTTTTCCTGCTTTCCTCCTGGATGTTATTTTCAGAGTCAGATTCGAGCATATTATCCACGCCATTAGCATATCCGAGTTCAGGTTCAGGTTCAGGCTGATATTCCTGATCGAGAATGATAGAATCGTCATCGCCACCATCATTGATGTGGATAGGGGCGCGTGGGGGTGATGGGGAATATTGCTGGTCGTATTGATCAAGTTGCTCGGGTTGCATAGGGTGTTCAGGCTGTTCAACAGTACTTTCATCACCTTGCTTTCTTTTACCCTTGCTGTGTCTACGTATACGATCTAAATATTCTTTCTCGTGGTCTTCATGATCAGATGGATCCATGGGGGTTGGTCTGCGCTCTCTAATTTTTTCACCACTCGTCCTTCTATCCTTGCGTTGGTCGGTGGGAGAGTTTTCAGAGTGAGGTTTCCGTTTCTTGGAGGAGGAAGTGGCACTTTTATCTTTTTTGTCTGTTTTATCTGATTTGTCTTTTTTATCCTTTTTGACTTTTTTATTAGCAGTACTTGTATCAAAGTTCCTTTTGCGAGACTTTTCAACCTCTCTACGCTCCTCATCAGCTGCATGTTCTTCATCCTGCTGCTGCTGAATGATCCGATCGTGTTCCATTCTGCGTACGCGCTGGCGACGTTCATTGAGCTCATTGTCTTGATCTTGGTGAGAGAGCTGTCTACTATCTCTGTCCCTTATCGGTGGTTGGAGGGGCTGTGAAGAGGGAATTTTGTTGTAAAATTGGTAAGTATGAAACTCAGAATCAGAATCAGCATCTTGAGCATCTTGTGCCTCACGAAGAAGACGTGAAGTGAGGAGAGAGTGTCTGGGTTTGCGATTGGAGTGTTTCATTAACGATCTTGGAGTGACTTGTTCGCTGTTGACGATATCCATGGTGGAGTTATTGTTGTTGTTGCTACCACTAGCACTAGCACTATCAGCACCACCACTACCACCACCGCCATTGAAACCCTCTGAAAAGAATTCATCTAGGTTCTCCAATCCATCGTCATCCTTTGTGACGCTGCCAACGCGAATACCAGTCTTTCTGTAGGTGAATGATTAGACGGATATAGATATATTTATTAGGGAGTACACACCTCCCAACAACACCGATATCATCATATTTAAATTTAGACATGATAAAAATAAATTTAAATTTATTTTATTTATTTATTTATTTATTCTCAGTTGATGGTTTATATTCAAGTTGGTTGATAATCTACACACGCTATGTTGGGTAGACTGAGCAGCGCAACCAATCAAAATAAGCGAGGTGGATATTGATTGATTATCTGGAATAATCCACTCACAACCCACTCACAGCCATTATTGCAATGTCTGGTGGCGTTGATTCTTCCGTGGCTGCTGCTCTACTATCCCAGCAATCTAGCTACACTGTACAACCAGTATTCATGCGTAATTGGGATACACGCGATGAATACACACACTCCACTCCCGGTGGTGTTAAAGGTTGTGAATGGGAGATTGACTATGCCAATGCAAAAGCTGTATGCACTCATCTAAATCTCCCTCAACCCCAGCTAGTTGATTTATCTAGCGAATATTGGCTTCGTGTTTTCTCTCCCAGTCTCGATATTTGGCGTAATGGTCAAACTCCAAATCCTGATATCGCATGCAATCGTCATATTAAATTTGATGCTTTGGCACATAAAGTTTTGAAAGGCGATGATGACGTACTTGTTACTGGTCATTACGCACAGGTGGACACACTTACTGGCACTCTAAGCAGAGCCGTTGATAGAAATAAAGATCAAAGTTACTACCTTTCTGCCGTCAACAAAAACATACTAAATAGGGTCCTTCTCCCACTCGGATCACTTCATAAACAACACACGCGCTTTTTAGCTCACTCACTCAACCTCCCTAATGCCAATAGAGATGAGAGTATGGGTATTTGCTTCATTGGAGAGCGTCGTCATTTTGGTAGTTGGTTGGATGACTATATTCACACCAAAAAAGGCCTCTTCATCACCCCACACGGCCATTCCCTCGGTGAGCACAACGGTTTACATCACTATACTATAGGGCAGAAGGCACGCATTGGTGGTGTACCGAAGAAATTATATGTCGCAGCCAAAAAAGGTAATGACGTCGTCGTAGTAGACTCACCACAACATAACCTCCTTAAATGCAAAACAATAATCACACATGCTGACATTAACTGGTTGGTTTCCATGGATCATCTCCCAAACACCCCTTTCGAGGCTACTGCACAGGTGAGACATAGACAGCTTGAAAGTAGGTGTACTGTACAAGTAGAGCATGACCATTTGATGGTCACTTATCAACATTTTGAAATGGCAGTCGCACCTGGACAAACATGCGCCATTTACATGGGTGATGTGTGTATCGCGAGTGCGACAATAGACAAAACAATTAGTGTGGATGGGATATTACATTAAATTTTATTACAACTGCAAATACTCTGCTATGAACACCCTCATTATTCCATTCCAGCGTTCCATAGTCGGTATATCCAGCGCATCTCTGTCATCTTCCGCTTTATGCCATACAGAGGGGAAAGGTGAAGGTATTATGTGTAATATGGGTACCCCTCTGTGTAAGAAAGGAAGATGGTCATCGCTTACCCCAGATCGAGATGTTGTATTTTTGAAAAAGTTAGATTGAAAATTATTCAGTGTGTCAGATTTAGCAAATTCATTAACACGCTTTTCAATATCAATTAATCTATCATGCAGCCATTTAGTCGTTGAGAAGTAATTAGGAATAGATGGATTGTTTGCACCTAGCAAATCCAACAAAACCAAATGATCAATACGGTCGAGTTGAGTGGGTAGTGGTTTTAGTTTGCGTGGATGTATGCTAGACTCCTGTCTGTCTACATACTCACTATCCAATGTTTCTGCATAATGTTTTGCCCCATAGATGCTGTCATCATTCGACCAATTGACGAAAGCTTCTTCACCATCGAAAAAGATGAACTGAAGGGAGAGAGATGAGTCTAATGAAGACAACAAAGGTGTAAAGTAGTCAGCCAAATCGAGTAATAGTGAGCAGGGGAATGCAGAATCAGTTGCGCCAACAAAGTCAAAATTTTCAAAGAATTTGCTATCATAGTGAGCGGCGATAGAGAGTGTGTAAGGAGAGAGACGGTTGTGAGTGAAGACAAGATTGTTAAAGTCTTTGGAACCGTGAGGAGTGTTTGCAGAGAATGAGTCGATGTGTGTGTGCCAATTGAGAGATTTAAAGTGATTTAAAATATAATCAGCCACTTCCTTATTACTTTGTGTACCACTAACTCTGGGTGTGAGGAGTGTGTCTAAGTGATTCTCGTTGGTGAGTAGATTACCAGATAATAAGTCTACTAAATTAGAAGCCTTGACTAGGAAAATAAAAGTAAAATAAATTAATAGATGATATTTCATAAAGTGATATTAATTACTAGTGGACGTTGACAACCAACCACCATCAACAATGACTTACAATCCACTCTACCGGAGAACTGGTCTAATTGGAATAAAACAAGGAATGACCTCAATTTTCAATGAACTTAATCAGCAAATCCCAGTGACTCTAATTAAAATTGATAGAAATCAAGTTAGCGGTGATAAGGATGGTTACTTGCAATTGTCTTCTACAGACACTGATAAACTATCTAAACCACTATCAAAGCATTTCCAATCACTCAACATCCACCCAAAGAAACACTCAAAAGAATTCAAAGTTTCTAATGAGTCAAAGATTCAAATCGGTACAGAGTTAAGCGCTGCTCACTTTGTACCTGGTCAGTTTGTAGACGTTCAAGCCACTAGCAATGGTAAAGGCTTCTCTGGTGTCATGAAAAGACACAACTTCAAAGGATTGAGAGCTACTCACGGTACTTCCATCTCTCACAGGTCACAAGGTAGTACTGGTGCAAACCAAGACCCAGGTAGAGTCTTCCCTGGTAAGAAAATGGCTGGTAGAATGGGTGGTGAGACTACCACTGTCCAAAACTTGAAAATTGTTAGAATTGACACTCAAAACAACACTATACTCGTTAAAGGATCTATTCCTGGTAGAGATAATGGTACTATCTACATTAAAGACGCTATAAAGAAGCTCGTGATTGATGGTCAAAATAAGTTTAAAAAGCTCGGTTCTCAACCTGAGCACACCTCAAAAGCTCTACCATGGGGCGTTGACACTTTACCTTTCCCTGCAGCCACTCAAGAGATGGCTGCATCCTATCCACATATCCTACAAGCTCCAGCTGCCCCCAAAAAGGACGACTGAGTCAGGTGTATTTAGAGCATTATTTAGAGCATGAAAATATACATATTAAACGTAATATTGAGGATTAATATTCGCATATATAACTCAACAATCTACCACTGCTTTGCGTACTCTTCTAATGATAAGAAGGTGTCAACTGCAGTTTGCTCCTGCGAAAAGAAAGTTTGTGCTAGCACTGTTTTTGCTTTATCATTTGCGAATCTGTGTCTGTGTATAGACTTTCCCTTGCCTTTTTCACCAACAGGTACATTCTTCTTGACTGTTTCGTTGTCACCAAGACGCTCGTGTAATGCATCGACGAAATCTTGATTGGTCACCATAGCTCTGTCGCTAGCACTGATGAAGCGCTCTCCACCGGCACGAGGAACAGTCATTGCGAGAACGTGTGTGTTAGCAACATCCCTCACATCGACAACATTGGACATTGGTTCGATGAGTTTATCACCATTCGCATCCTTGAGTTCACCACTAAAGAGTTGGTAGAAACGAGAAATACTAGTGTTGAGCTTGTCTTCTGAGGGAATGTCGTGAATGCAAGGACCGAGAATGAGTGGTGGTGCTATTGTCGCTAAATCGAATGAAGGCTTCTCCTTATCGATGAAATCCCAAGAAGCACGCTCAGCTAGAGTCTTTGAAGCCATGTAAAAGTCGAGTCTTGAAGCCTCGCGACCTTTCTCGTTGACTTGTGCAGGTGAGTGCTCGTTCCACCACTCCTCATTGTACACCGTAGGAGTATCACGAGGCATCATAACGCTAGCTACGGAGGAAGTGATGACTACCCTCTGCACTGACTTGTTGTGCTTATGTGCGCTGCGCAGGATGTTCACTGTACCCTCTACAGCTGGTTTGATAAGCTCGTCTGGATCCTCTGCGTTGAAATGGAATGGTGAAGCCGTGTGCATGATTCCATCCACTCCCTTAACAGCCTCGTCGAACGCATCGGGTGCTTCGATATCCTCGACTATCACATACTCAAATTTACCGCCACCGCCACTGACCTCATTCAGCTTACGCACGAGATAATCACCTTTCGCGGTGCTTCTCACAGTCGTGCGCACGTGGAATCCGGCGATGAGGAGCGCATGGCATACATGTGAGCCAACGAAGCCACTACCACCGCTTACTAGAATTTTACCTTGATGTACTGCAGGCATTAGATGATGATTGTAATTGAACAAGGCAAAAGCCATGATATCACTTCAGACCCCAACAGTCATCATGAGCAGTATCTATAACTTAGAGCCATATACGAATGGGAAGGGTAGGCAGATTCTTAAGAATTTATTTAATTTCTAAAATCAGCGCTCAGTCCTCCTACAGACAACTGTTGGTGATATCGAATTGGAATTATGGGGAAAAGAGTGTCCAAAAGCTGTTCGTAACTTTATCGCTCTTTCTTTAGAAGGTTACTACGATAATTGCATTTTCCATCGGGTCGTACCTGAGTTTATAGTTCAATCCGGTGATCCTACAGGCATTGGTACTCGCGGTGAATCGTTCTTTGGTGAACCTTTCGAAACTGAACCACACCAACGTCTCCGTTTCAATAGAAGGGGTTTAGTTGGTATGGCACACTCTGTCGACCCAGACACAGCAGAACGCGACAATAGAGGCAGAATTCTGCGCACCAACACCTCCCAATTCTTCATAACTATGGCAAGCACACCAGAACTCACTGGTACAAACACGTTATTCGGTAGAATTGTCGGTGATACCATCTTCAACGCTCTCAAAATTGGCTCTTACGAAACTGATTCGAATGAAAAACCCCTCTATCCACCCAAAATTAAGTCTATAAAGATCCTGATCAACCCTTTTGGCGATATCGTCCCTAGAATTACCCGTGCTGAGAGAATATCTCAAAGTAGAGCGAAAGAGGAGAGACAAAAAGAGCGCACAGAGGAAATGGCTAAACTTGGTCGAAAAAAAGCAAAGAAGAACACAAAACTGTTGAGTTTCGGCGAGGAGGAGGAGACTGACGAGCAACCAGTCCAGCCTAGCAAAATTAAATCATCTCATGATCTCCTAGACGATAATACACTGCTAAAAGAGGATGATACTGGGCGAAGTGGGAAGGGTTATATTGAAAAAAGTGAGACTGAGGAAAAACAGTCGAGTAATCGGGACAAGAGCATTGAAAATAAACCTAAAAAGACCCCTGATCTCTCTTCTATACGTAAACAATACACTGAAAACACAGACACGGAGTGGGTGCAAGTGACACATAGCCGATGATCCCTTTAACATATTACAACAGCCTCAAAGAATCCATACGACACACAGAAGATGCCATACAATCTATTAAAGGTGGCAATAAGGGTGATGAAGGGAAAGCGACAAAGAAAGAACCCAACGATGACTACACGGCGATGTTGTCCTCGTACAAAAACAAAAACAAAAATGCAACCAAGGCGAACAAGAAGATCAATACACTTGATCGCCTTAAGGCTTTCAAGGAGGGATTGAAGGGGGTGAGTGTGCAGGACGAACCAGGCGACAAGAAGGTTGAAGATAACGCTAACACACCAATTGACGCACCTTACGACTATGACAAAGACGACGACGATGACCCTAATTGGATGAACCATCAACTCCACTCCTCGCAAACAGACCGGCTTCAGGACGACCAAGCTCGCAGGGCTGAGGTCGACTATGACGTCATCGATCCGCGTCAATTCAAGCGTGCACGGAAGCATGAGAATCCCAACAGTGACATACGCGGCCGGAGTGGAGGTGCGTATTCGAGGAGGTAGAATGTGTATGTGAAGGGGTAGTGTTATGCATAATTTATTAAACTGATTGGCTCCGCTACGTATGAACAATGTCTTAACTCGACCTCCTCAAAAATATCTACATGCTTATGCTCTGCAAAAAACAAGTTCCTGAAAAGGGAGTAAGATGGTATATTTTTGTAGGATATTTTGACAGATAAAATGCGCTCATTGTGTTCGTCTACATGGTGCTTGTAGTAGCTAAGCATAAGCATCATAGCTTCGCGTCCTATCCCCTTACCCCTGTAGTTTTTGTCGGCGATCATCACTTCACATTCAGCGAGAGGAACATCATCATCGCCCATGTTGAGAAATATATTCACATCGCCAATTGGCTTCCCATGTCTTTCTCGCTCTTCACCTGGCAGTGTGTCGTAGTCACCCACACTACTATCCACAACTATAAACGCCAGCTTGTCGTCGTCTATGTGCCAGCTGCGCTGCATTGCATACTCGCCATCTAGAGATAGCGGCTCGGATGCTGTCAGCGTGCGCATTTCTTCGCTAGCCATCCACGCGTGGTAGCGCTGTACGTGTGCTGTTCTACAAAGTGGTTGAGACGGGACTTTCATGCCTGTGCCTTTCACTCACTTGTAAGGAACAAGCGACACTTTCTCACCCAGAACCACGGTATTAGAGTTGATTCTCATCCGTTAACAATATCATAAATACAATAATCCAGGGTAATAAATTCAATTTCTATTCAACTTGTATACAGTTTCTATTCAAATGCTTACACTCGACATCCTCTCAGCGATCATATTCACTGTAATAACTGGTATCCCCCATATCGCAGCGAAGGCCATGCAGTCGGTCAATCTGGCCATGTCACCGTGAGGGCTATGAGGGTTGACAATCTCGCATAAAAGGCCAGCTGGTGGCAAATGAGCGAGTATTGCAAGATCTGTGGCACTCTCTGTGTGTCCCTGTCTATTCACAGTGCCGCCATCTACGCACCTCAGCGGAACCATATGACCAGGTCTGTTGAAATCATTCGCAGAGGCTCCACTACCAGGCGACAACATTCTCGCAGTAAGTGCTCTATCAGTGGCAGATATACCAGTAGAAACACCTTTGAGATAATCAACTGTGACCGTATATGCTGTCTTATGCTTCTCAGTGTTCTCACTACTCATCATACCTATTTGCAGCTCTGATAAACGTGCTGATGGTAGCGATATGCAGATATAGCCACTGCGCGGTGATGAGAAGACTCAACGTCACAAACCTTACCCACCTCGTCCACTTGATCATCCAAGCCATCTGCTCTGCTGTAACACCGCAAGCTGGTAGTACTAAATCACCCTCATTTTCCCTGTCTTGGTCATCCATCACAATCACGAATTCACCCCGCTTGTAAGCCTCTATAGCCTCATCTATACTATTAAACTGGGTTTTGGTCTTGTTTGGATGTGGTGGCTCTGTGAGAGCATTGAATTCACTTGAACTATTCCTCGCCATCGTCGACGTATTACGATAACAACGCTACACAAATCAACTAAACAAAGACCATATAAATTTAGGAAATGGAGAAAATATTAAAAATTACAATCAGAGCGTTGATAATAACTACTTAAACTGCGTCAGTGCGTCATAAATTATTACTTTTGTATCCAATAAGCCGGTGAATCGTGAGAGAAGGAAGAATTTCCCGAAGAATTATCCCAACCAGATCCATTAGTTCTTCTAAATGGTGATCCAAACCCTCCTGAAGACATGCCACCGCCTCTAGATGACATTCCTCTTCCTCCTCTAGATCCTCCTCTGCCTCTACCTCTTCCACCAAACACACTGGCTTGTTGCATACAACCCGCAAACCAATCAGGTATCTCCTGCTTAGCTTCTTTGAGAATCTCAGACAAGCTTCTAACGATATTAAGGTTGTTTTGATTGAAGAATGAGATAGCATGTCCTGTGTTACCAGCTCTACCTGTTCTACCAATTCTATGTACGTAGTCGTCAATATCAGAAGGTAAATCGTAATTGACAACGAGTGAGACGTGAGGAATATCTAATCCACGTGCTGCGACGGCTGTGGCAACCATCATTGGGTTAGTACCCTTTTTGAATGTGCTCAATGCATACTCTCTTTCCCTCTGATCTCTATCACCGTGAATTGCTGTGGCTCTCAAACTGTTTTGTAATAAGAAGTCGCACAGAATGTCTGCCATTCTCTTTGTTTCTACGAATATCAATGTTCTGTTGTTCCCATCAGGCTCCATGTGGCCTTCCAGTATATCAAGCAAAACGCTCTTCTTTTCAAAGTCCTCAGCCCATTCAACTGTCTGTGTAATGTTTTCTGAAGTACTACCGACTCTACCAACCGACAAGAAAACTTCATCCTTAAGGAAATCTCTCGCCAACATCTGTATCTCTCTTGGGAATGTTGCTGAGAAGAGGAGTGTTTGACGATCATGCACAGTTGGCATATCGCATCCCTGCACAATCTTTCTGATTTGTGGCTCGAAACCCATATCCAACATTCTATCAGCTTCATCAAGAACCAAGTATTTTACGTTTGCTAAGCTAATTTTACCTCTGTCAATGAAATCGCAAAGTCTACCTGGGGCAGCACTCAATAAATCGCAACCTCTATCTAATTGTCTCATTTGTTCGCCAGATGGAGCGCCACCATAAACGACAGCAGGCTTAACCCAAGATCTGTAAGCGAATTTCTTAGCTTCTTCGTGAATTTGATTTACGAGTTCTCTAGTAGGGGCAAGGATCAAAGCGGTTGGATAAACCTTAGTACCACCGTATTTTGGAGGGTTAGGAGGTTGAACTTGGGAAGGACCATTTGAGAAACATGCAGAGAGGATTGGGAAAAGGAAACCACCAGTTTTACCTGAACCAGTTTGAGCACAGGCCATTAAATCCCTACCAGATCCGACGATTGGAACAGAGTATTTCTGAACAGGAGTGGGCGTAGTGTATCTAGCAAATCTGATGTTTTCAATCAGATGAGGATCTATTGGAGGGTTTGTGAATTCGGTGATAGGGTCAGGAACACCGTGACCTTTAGCTTCTACTGGGATAGCAGCGTACTTTTCAAAGTTGATACCAGTGCTTGAGTTGAGAGGATCGCCTGGCTCACCAAAGAGATCAATTTCCATTTTGTCATTACGAGGAGCAGGAATGTGCTGACCGTCGATCCATTTACCGCCACCGCCAGGTCTACGATTGAGATTTGAGCCGAGAGAAGGCTTTGCTGGAGAAGGTCTGCCTGCAAAGCTAGCGTTTGAAGGGGATCTAGAGAAAGCGCCTGGCATAGGAGTGCTAGCACCGACAGCAGGAGGAACAGAAGGAGATCTTTCAACTGATCTCAAGTGCGGTGGAACGTATTTTCTAGGTTGATTTACAGCGCCTGCGCCATTCACATTTAGATTGGCTGTAATATTGAGTTAGTGAGGTGTTATATCCTGAATATTAAATTACTTGCACATTTTAGATTCCATTGTGGCCGTTTTGCGTAAAAAGAAGTGAAAATAATTTTTGAGTTGAGTATCTGTCTACAGGATACATAGAGTAATTTAATAAAATCAATGAGAATTATAAATAGCGTTTGTAAGCAACTTAAGGAGGTTGCTTACACCCAGTCCAAACCACAGAAGCTTACTGCAAATCTCAATGATGCTTATGGCCAGTTTGAGTATACAGGCAAAGCAATTCTCAGCCCAAGAGATGAATTAAAGTATAGAATGGCAGTTTCTACAAGCGCATTTAGCCCGTCCACTTCAAACCAATTAGAAGGCCGCAAAGAATGGCTCGAGAAGCAAAGAGAGTGGAGATACAGGCTACGCGGTATAAAGTACAATAAAGAAGACAACGTCAATTCTATCAAAGACGGCTCAATCACTTCCCTCTCGCAACAAAACGTTGTCGGTATCCCTGTCTTCCTCCCAAATATCTCATTCAGGCTGATGCGCAACCACACTCCACCAAATCAAGAATACAACCCTTATTTGGCCACTTTTAGAATACCACGCTCTCTCACCAAGCAAGATATACGCTCTTATCTCCTCGCCGTGTATGGCGTTAAAAGTACGTGGATACACACAGACCTATACCAGCCACGCTTGATCAGAGGAATGACCATGCGTTGGAAGAGAAAGGGCAGAGGCGATGCTACTACCGGCAGAGGTTTTTACAAGAGAGCTTTGGTTGGCCTTGAAGAGCCTTTCTACTTCCCTGACGAGCCTGCTAGAGAGGAGTTAGAGAACAAGTATGCCTATAGTGAACGGGAATGGATGACCCGCAGAATGCTCATGGCTTTCTCAAAAGGCTGGAGATGGAGAGGTGTCAAGGAAACTGGCCAAAGAGGTGCCACGCAGCGACTTCCAAACGTGCTCACTGCCATCTCAATGAGGAGGGCTGAACGCGAGCAAGCAATCTCCAATGAAGTTGAGAAGATTAAGCATTTGAGGTTGTAAATATAATTGAGATTCATTTTCCACGTTATGTCATCAGGTATCACTCCACTTGTGACGGCCATCACTCTGTTTGTTAAATGACGAGCAGCAGCAGCAGTGATAAGAACAATTCGGTTACATCTCCACTGCCATCTCCGTCTGCATTTATACAGCGTTTGAACAGCTACTCCAAGCATGGCTTCGATATCCCAGAGCATATCAGGGTCAAGTGGGTCCCAGTGGTATTTAATGCATCCACTAATCTAAGCTAGATTCGCTCCAATGAGCGTTCCTCGGCATCGTAGGCTCCAAACTGCCGCTGTCGCTACCTGGGCACTCATCCTGCCAATATCTCTTTCATTGTTTTTAATTTGCGTGTGGGTCAACTCATTTACATCAGATAATTTATTCAAACATTTCCAGCTCTTTCCCCCCACTCTGGCCTCTACTCATCCCTTATCTCATCTGGGCGTTTCTTTTCGATGACGCACCCGAAAACGGTGGAAGACCGAAGCACTGGTTTAGAGATAGCGCTGTGTGGAGATTCTTTGCCGAATACTATCCAGTCTCGTGCGTTGTTTTTTTATCAAAATCTAACACCTTCTTACGTCAACAGACTAGTCAAGGCGGGTTCTTCGTTGTGTGTCTAGCATCACTCTAATATCGCTTCAGGAGGACGAGCTATCATCTGAAAAAGCTTACGTGTTCGGTTACCACCCTCATGGAATCATTGGCATGTGAATACACCGCTGGTTTCATTCACCTTCTAAACTCACATACTTTGCAGGGGAGCACTAGCAAACTTTGCTTCGAATGCAACAGGATTCTCATCGCTATTCCCAGGTATCACTCCACATTTACTTACTCTCACAGCCAATTTTCAAGTACCTTTCTATCGAGATCTGCTGCAAGCCATGGGTATATGTAGTGTCACCAAGCGCAGTTGCGAGCATATTTTACGCAAAGGTCCAGGCAATGCTATCACAATCGTCGTTGGTGGCGCTGCTGAGAGTTTGAACGCACACCCAGGTACTTCCGACCTTATACTAAAAAAGAGATTGGGTTTCATCAAAATTGCCATACGAGAGGGGTGAGTGGGGGCTTTGTGGGGTGTGTAGGCTCTTTGACACCCTGTTGCAGTGCTGATCTCGTACCTGTCTTCTCATTTGTAAGTGAATATTTTATAGCCGAGTGCTTCTTTGACAACTACACAGGGCGAAAATGACATATACCAGCAACTATCAACTGAAGATGGAAGCAATGTCCATAAACTCCAAAAGTCCTTTCAAAGGATATTTGGATTCACTCTCCCACTGTTTCATGGAAGGGGCATCTTTAATTGTTCGTTAGCTTTGTTGTTTCTTGCAGCCGTACTTAACGTATCTCTCTAGACAACCTCGGTTTGATGCCATACAGACATCCGATTGTATCTGTCGTCGGAAGGGCTATCCACGTCCAACAGACTGCAAACCCTTCGCAGGAAATGATGGAAGATGTGCAAGCAAGGTACATAGATGAGTTGATGAGGTGGGTTGGTGTCTTGTCTTCCTCTCGTGCATTTTAACTTTCAAACACAGAATATGGGACAAGTACAAAGATGTTTACGCTGCAAATCGTACGCGTGAACTCACTCTAGTTGATTGATTGATCAAACATACATGATCATTTTTGTTTGTTTACACGTGAATAACTCACGATAAGTTGCTCAAATATCTCGATGCTATTTCCTAATTTATTGCCAGATGCATAAGTCGTAGGGCCAATGTAAAGCTCTCAATTTGCTTACTTCAATCGAGTACACGTAAGTACACTTTAAGTGAGGTTAGGTGGAACATCGGAATGAAATGGAGATGTTACAAAAACGTAAGACAAAAATGACTTTCAAATTTTCACTATTGTTAAACTTTTGAAATGCTTCCTATTCCTCCACTTGATCAGTTTCAAGCTCTCCAATCTTTTCCTGACGAGCGCAAATCTTATCAGCCGCATCAAGAGCATAGCTTGGTATGACCTTCTTCCATGCCTTGAAAAGATCAAGCGTCGCTGGATTTGGAACACCTCCAGCGCTAAAGATTATTAGGTTAAACAATAACGTTACTGTCTTCTCAAACTTGATCGCCTTATCGTGTGCTACAGACTGCAGTCCAACTTTGAGGAGAGCTTAGCCATCCATTGTTTGCCAGTCGCGAACTGCTCTCTGAAACTTGGGGGTTAAAGTATATGCACAGTGCACAGTGGCATCATGCTTCGACATCGCATTACCAACTGACTTTAAATTTACTTGCAGATGCATCCGAAGGTCACGGGCGCTTGGCATTGGCACTCCAGTCTCCACCTCGGCAACAGCAGCACGGAAGAACTTTGCAAGTTAATTGAGGATAGCGTCGTGACGCTTTGTCTTGCAATGAACTCGTTGAAGACGGGTGTTGTCGTGTCCAGGGTCATTTATGCGCCCACACTGAGACGTCTCACGCGCCCCAAGGAAGAAAGTCCGTATGTTAGGTGACGAGCCCCGATCTCTCCCTGACTTGACGAGAAACTTTCGATTGCCTAATGGCGCTCGCCTCTCTCTGTTGCAACTATGTCTCAGACACTATGGAATTCAGGCTGCTCACTTAGACCTTTTTTTAGTCAATCTTCAAGAAAGGTTAGTTTTCCGTGGCTATAAAACATGCACATTCCTTTCATTTGTACTCTCAACAGATTACATTCGTTTCTATCTTTACATCGCTGTACAAGCCATTCCTCAAGTATAAGAAAGAAACCTAACATTTTGACCAAAGAGGACTTCAAGTTAGCTTCGTCATTTCATCAATCTTCTTTGTCGTATGGTGATTCAAGGTATTGCACCTGGCCGTTCAATGTTGTGCGCCAGTCGACTCATCCCACTTGCCAAGCCCTATGGTGGGGTGCGTCCTATTGCAGTTGGCGAGATATGCTACAGGGTGATGATGAAGTTAATCATGCGTACCTACTACAAGTCTTCCTGCTGGTTGCCCTATCAGTTGGGGGTTAGATCGAGTGGGGGTGTAGAGTGTTAGGTGACGAGACCA